AGCCTAGTCCAGCTCTAAGCTACTCCGTAGGAAGTAAGTCTACGGAGTACCTACTACACCACACTACACTACCTTCCCGGCGATTAGTGCAACAAAAGCATACGTATGCCGGTAGATAAAGGACTTGCGCATCTGATCACGGCGCCAAGCATTCCGGTGATGAAGACAGCGTCTATCATCTCCCGGACAAGCGTAGTCTGTCTCTTCTGCCCCCTCCTCCTTCCCCCTCCCTCCCCTCGTTCCGGGCGATCTCGCTAATAGCCTAGTGTATACAGTCAGTCCCGGCGGATTGGCCACTAAGCGGCGCGCCGAGGGGGGGGATGTGGGTGCGTGACCTGGGACTTGACCTGACTAGTAGTGACTAAGGTAGAGGGGCAAAAGAAGGGAGGGGGTAGGAAGGGGGGGGGGAGGGAAAAAGGGCGACGTTGACAACACGTATGCGTGGCTTACATAGTAGCTATCTAGACTCTGGCTGGTGAGTAATGGCTACTCCGTAACTAACGAGTAATGGTTATGGGCCAGGGTACGGGCGTGACAAGGCCATCTCTAGATATGATGCTAAGAATGCCTTAGCGTGTTGTTATGGGTCGGATGGGGAGGGGTCCGGACGTGACTATATTTCATGCTACGACTAGCTACGTCTGGTGTCTGTTGCGACGAGGCCTGTCATTGGTACGTGGGACTCCTTGCTGAGGAGGAGAAACTTTAGTGTCGATGGTTGTGTAGGAGGTAAAATAAGGGTATCCAGGGGAGGGAGGGGAAAGGTAATTGAGATGATAGGTGAGTGAGAGAAGGCAACAAGAAAACCAAAAGAGAATAGAAAATAAAATAACACAAACTAAGAGTGGTAATCTGCAAGGGATAGGAACCCACGTTGTTGAAAGGTTCGCCGAATCACCGAGTCCTACATACTTCCAAGGTTCAAAGGCCGACACTTACGGAGAGAGCTGATAACTCCCATACCCCATACATACGTATGCAGAATGCTAGTCTCACTTGTTGAATGGGTGAATGGTGGACTCAGAAGGTACGTAGTGTATGTGTTTATTTTAATCCCGGCCATGCTTGTCGTTTTGCTATTATTGGCATCGAGGGACACGATGCAAATGCGCTGTGTTTCGTGGCTGTTCAACGATTGATCCTATTTCTGGCGTCGGTGGGACGCCCTGGTCTTCCAGAAAATCGGGGTCAAGCATTGACGGAGCACACGCGAGCTAAACAAACAAGCAAGTAAAATCTTAGGAGGAAAAAGAAAAAAGAAAAAGAAAAAAAAGGCGTACGGAGCTTAGCTAGATTATTCTACGGATAGTCCACGAGTCCCCACTCCGCGAGAAGAAAAAAAAGAAAAAGCCATGGAAATCCAGCGGTACAGAGAAGTCCGGAGTACCGTATGATACGACGAGAAAACGTCCGATGACTTCAAGTGTCCAGAACGCGATCAATAAATCCGAGATGGCGGACGAGCATACCGAAACGGGAATCGGAGTTTTTTCACCAGAGACAAAAAAAAGGCTCAATACTGACAGAAATGTTATTCCAGTATCCATCGACCCCATTCAGTAATGCAGGGTTCATAAGCCTCCGGCGAAAAAAGAGGGCAGAATCCGTAGCGAAAAGGCAACTTCGGCGAAGATGTGCACACCGAGCCAATCTGATGATTTCGTTCGGAATACTAGGGACCATAACTAATGCAGGATATGAGAACCACGGTTTCCATCGCACCGTGGCTAAAAGCTTGTCCGTAAGGCTCTTTGGCCTCTGGGGGATTCTGGTTAGGGGCCACTTTACCCGGTCAGGTAACGATGGACATGGCCCATGATGAATGGCACGACCTTCGAGACTCCGTAGGATGATATCAGATCGTAGGTGTCAGATCCGGAGAGATTGGATCTCTCAGAGGCGCTCCGATGCCATGGATGTGTATCCAATGTGCATTCGTTTATATCGAATTTGGTTTGTTGATTCCTAGATCCTAATTATTCTTGGCTCTTTGCCGACAGTTGTTAGACTGTTGGTATTCTGCTTGGTCGTTACTGGCGATACGGGAAAATACCAGTCCCGAGCGACCCATACTTGTAATCTCAATACGCAGCCAAGTTTACACCGGCGCAGGAACTAAAAGCGACGAGAACATTGCTTTTTCTTCGGACACCTTGGAAGTGTTATAAGTGTCAGTCATTCTGATGGCCCATTTGATAAATGGGGTCGAAAGTTAGGAACCGTAATCAGAATTTCAGTCGGCGATTACTTTTGCGAAAAATCCACGATTGTCATTGGCACTGTAGGCGAGATTGATTGAGGGACTTTGGCTTGGGAACAGGGACTTTTTAGTGTCGCTCGCTGCAGCATACTATCACAAACTAACAGTTAGTTACCCCATCTTTTAATTAGCTGGGAGAAATTGTGCTGTCTGGTTTGATTACTGCGTACGCTGGTCCGAGTTGTTCGGATGGAATAAAATAAGGTCTTCGGATGCGGATTATGATTATTGTTATGATGTGGCTTGTTTTATTTTGGGTCGTGTTTATTCAACGGAAGCATTGTCAACGCTCCGGTCAGGTATCTTTCGGCTGACGACAGGCAATACGTACCGGGCAGGGTTCCAACTACTGGCTAGCCCGGGTCCTGTTGGGACGGGAGGACATGGCGGAGGGGCAGTTTGGGCCCTGGAGGGCTGAACGGGGCCTGTCCCTTGGGAAGGCTGGATATCATGACGATGTTGACGCTGTTGACGACGACGAACTGACGTTTCTGGCCATCAGATCCATAAATAAATAATAAATAATTGGAAATACAAAGGAAAAATAAAAATAAAAATAATGATAAAAAACCATTGAATCAAGATAATTAAGATGGATATTCTGGGAGGGGTTGACAGGGCAAAGCCTCCTTGTCCAGGCTGGGTCCAGTGGCTGTTCGCAGAAGGGCAGGTAAGGAACTCCCTGCCAATTGGGACTGGGTCTCCAACGATGGCACTAGTGCCAAAGGCTGGATGTACTTCGGATATACTTCCACATGTTATTAGAGTTGCCGTGAAGTGAAGCCAACCAAGATCGCCTTGGGACTAGAAATTATTCCTTTTGGTCTGGGGGATTTTATTTTATTTTATTTTATTTAATTTTTGTTTTTCTTTTTCTTTTTCTTTGGATTATTATTTTTTGGCTGCTTTGACAAATAAACTTTCGGCAAAGGAGAGACCGCCAGGGTATTTTTTATTCGCTGGCAGATTACCCGTATTTACTGTATCTTGCGCAGTATATCGTTTTGGGGGAGATTTGGTTTTCGCCCTGATGATTTCTGGAATATCAGCCAATACCCTCCTCTCAAGATAGTAGGGGGAAAATACCTATTGACAAGAAAAGACTAAAAAAAAAAAAAAAAAAAACCTCTGGGCAGACCCTTGGCCACACTCTTGGGAGGGGAGCCGATTCCCAAAACTCTCAAGCCGTCAACCCATCAACCAAGGATTGAGCCCATGAACGGATCAATGTTTCTTCTTCTCCAAATGAAGATGCCTGCTCACGGGCTCCACACCCGACCTAAACTCGCTCGACACCCTCCTCGAACTAACTCTGGCACTAGTCCGCTCCCTGAACCCACCCTGCTCGACTAGACTAAACGGACGGACTGACTGACGGACTGGACTGCCTGGACTGCGAGTAACTGACGGACTTTCCAGATGGCCAGAGCTTCTGGAGAGACCCTGGACCAGTTTCAAGATGCTTGGTCTTCTGCTCGGTCTTCTTATTCTTCCTCTTTTTATTCCTTTGCCTCCCCCTTCCGATTGGCATTCTTCTCGTCCGTGATCCCGCATTTTCTGACCTTTTCTTCTTCAATTCTCTCCGTTCCCTATTCCCCTCTTGGACCAGGCCGTTGACTTGTCCCGTTTACCATCGTCATCCTCTCCTTCACCTTTTGACCCTTTGACCTTTTTTCGACCTACTTCTCTTCTCTATCAATTTATCGATATCCACCTGCTTATCTCCGTATCTCGTCGTCTATCATCCCTCTTCATTGCCGCCTCGCCGGTATCCTTTGATTCTATTCCGTTCAAGTCATAAACCGAAGTCCTTTTTTGTTATTATTTTTTTTATCGCTTTTTTTGCGTCTCCCTTTCCCATTCTTCGCTATTTCATTCTCATCTGGGTAATTTGAATTCCCATTATTTATCTTCGAATTCTTTCTCATCTTGTTATATCCTTGGCCCCCGCACTTCTCTGGAAGACTGTTGCCGGTGCCCATATCTATTTTTGCCTCTTTTTTTTTTTTCCTTTTCAAAACTCCCTTCCAGACACGCATTTCATCTAAACCCTGCACGCCTACCGGCCCGGTTTACAACCCTCCCCAAGCATCATTTTTCTATCCGCCTGCCCGCAGCAACTAGTGGTGCCAAAGAACAGAAAACCTACCCCCTTGCGACATCATTGTCTTACCCGTCGATTGGCGCTGGATCGGCTTTGGGTTCGGTTTGATCCAGAACGTGGGAGATCTTGCCGGAATTCTATCCGGTTCGACGTCGAAAGGTTAGGCAAAGACGCCTCGAGTCATCCGTCGGGTTGCTGTCAGATCCGCGCCTAGGTGCTTGTCGACAGATCGGGTGCGCGTTACACGAGAAGAAAGGACAAACATTCTCGACGACAGCTGGTGCGTACTTTCTGCTTCCCTCGTTTTGATTTTTCGGCTCTTTGCTTTTTTACCCTGCTTTTCTTCTTCTCCCTCTCATTTTTTGGCCTTTCTCCTTATCTCTTCTGGTGTCTTGAGATAGCTGTGGTCTTCTTCTTGGTGAAGCGTCAGCTTGTTTGAAGAAGAAAACAGAAAAGTCCAAGCAACAGAAGTTGAGAAGAAAAAGCAAAAAACAAAGGGAAGAAGGAAGAGGGGGAGAAGAAGAAGAAGAAGAAGAAGAGGCAGCAAGAACACCGATAAGACCACGAAGGAAGACAGCCTAGCTAACCCTTTTGGCAGTTTTTAATTCATATTACCAGACATCGGTGGTGTAGGAAATGGCGAGCTGCAAAGGGAGCTTTGTGTCGATTCTGAACAATGATGATAATCCATCATTCGCCGTTCGATCGGCTCCTAGGATAACGAGACATCAGTCTTCTCCAACATATCCCCATGAACAACCCCGTCACGCTGTAGGCCTAGACTATCGCTATGGGCCTGCCTATTCCGAGTCTCCCGCAGTATCCCCGAGGGTAACGAGGCAACCTTTCAATCCTGTGTCCGAAGCGACCCAGCCTACATCTCCCGGGTCCTCGGATTGCTCCTATGATTACACAACGAGTGCCAGTGCCGGATCATACTTCCAACACGGCCGTCAAGAATACCCCGGCTATTCCTCATCAGCGATGCCGGCGCCGGAGAAGCGGCTCAGCGCTAATTCTATGGTTGATCCTCCGTCTCCGCCGACGTCGATCGGTGGATCCAAAGATACGACAGCCGCCCGAGGAACGCGGAAGAATAAGTATCCTTGCCCTTTCGCTGCGAGCCACGGCTGCTCCGCTACCTTCACGACGTCGGGTCACGCGGCTCGTCATGGCAAAAAGCATACGGGGGAGAAAAGCGTGCACTGTCCGATCTGCAACAAGGCTTTCACGCGGAAAGACAACATGAAGCAACACATTCGGACACACCGGACGCATTCAGAGGATATGCCCATGGGCATGGTCGAACGGGAAAGCGAAGGGAGCAGCGGGTGGAGAAGTAGGAGGACCAGTCCTACCTACAGCCACCAGCGATCGGTGAGCCAGTCCCAGATGGACGGCAACGCTTATGAGAGCATGACGACTATGAATTCAATGACCTCAAGTGGCACCCACCGTTCACAGCCTTATTGAACGATGGCATAACGAAGCCGTGTTAAGGATTGATGCGAGGCGTCCGTGCAAGAATAAAAATGCCTACGCGCCTGAAGTCTCCACCAACGAGGCAAGCATGGAATCGCCCGGTCTTGTCCCAACGAGAATATTACGGCCCCTTTCTCCCTTTTTTCTTTTTACCATGACCATTATCATTTTGGTCTCTCATTTGCAAACTGGGTTGGTTACAGGCGAATTCTGGCGTTTCAAGAGAGAAAAAAGCACACCGAAGTATGCTACAGATGACACCGCCCGATGCTCATGCCTTCATTCTGCGTGGTTCTGTCTTTTCAGCTGTCTGAGAATGATGGCGAGAATTGGAACAGAGCAGGGCTATCTAGAACGAATCACTTCCAGATTGATAAACTGGATAGCAGGAATTGGGTCGCTTCGTTGTGGACTTTTTTTTTTTCTCTCTGTTGAGGGGGTTTTCTTTTTCTCTTTTCTCTTTTTTCTTGTCATTTTCTTTTTTGCTTGGAAGTGTTCTTGGATACCGTTTTGTTATACCTGTCCTCTGCTCTTTGTATTGAGGCGCCTGCTGTTTGATTATCGCTCTGTGATTTTGTGTGTTCTATGAATTATCCGAATTTCCCCCCAGAGACTGTGGCTGGAGGGCAGATTCGCCATGTATTGTATACTAGCCAGCACTTATACCAATGACGGAAGACGGCGGATTTCAGAAGACCAATTATATGAAGGGTCAATGCAATGTGATATTTACAAGGATGATGGTGCCATAGGCGACTTGGCGCATTTAATCGGCGTCGCATATGATGTAGGTCTTACTGCGTAGAGGGGTGCTATGAGGGCCCTTGGAACCATGGAACGAGCGCGTCCAATCCACGGAAGCCACGCCGACCCGGGGGACCGACAGGGCGGGATCAGGAACGGTGACAGGCCCATGGTCATGTATGATTTGATATGTCAATGTTCAGACAGCCTTGACAAGACATGGTCGATCTATGACAGCGAAAACAAACGACGACCGGTTTGACGATGCCGCATGATGTCAATGGCGTTAGTCAGCGGAGGCTGGGGATGACCAGAAAGGGTAAAGCCGCATATCCCATCGCAGTCCGGAGTACAGAGCGTCTCTCTCAGTCTCTCAGTCTGTCTCATTTCGGGGGCATGCCAGCGCGGTCTGAAACATTCAATGCGTTGGGCACGGAGAGGGGCAATCTCAGCAGTTGACCCAAGGCGACAAATGAGACCAAGGCGAAATCCGCCGTCAGTGGATCGAAATGCGAGGGTTTCAGCTCACGGTCGACGAGCGCACTGTCGGACGGGATTGGCCCTACGTCACCGGCCAGCCCCGCCCCTCGCCACGTCCCGTGCCTGGCTGGAATTGGGCAGTCACTGGACTGGACTCTCGACCGTCCTTTTTTTGTTCTGGTCCTTCGTTTTCTTCGATCTCTCTTTCATATATTCATCGTCCAATTCCACGCCTTCCCCTTGCATCTCCATGACTTTGTCCCCCATCTTCTCTATCTCTCGCTCGCGATCTTAGCTCACTAGCCACCCCCACAATGGCCTACTACGAGGATCGCCAGTATCGACGTCCTCGTGATCGGCACGGCCGCCCCCCTGGGGGCCATGCAAAAGAGTATTATTACGACGAGGACCCCTACGGCGGCAGAGCGCATGAAGTCATGCGCCGGCGCAATGGAAGTGATGATACTATCGAGGAAGTCCACCCCGAATACCCCAAGGGCGACTATGGCTACGAATATGGCTACGGTCTTCCGCCTCCCCGCCACTCTCGTGTATCATCCGTCCAAGAGGGTGTGCGCAGATCTCATTCGATGAGAGACCGAGACCCGTATTATGAGGACTCGGACTATTCTCGCTCGCGCCACAGTCGACGCCCAAAGAACTACGATGATCGACGTATGTCTGCTCTTTGTTCTTACATCTACTTGTCCCATCCGGATATGTTTTGCGATCGCAAGAGTGGTCGTACTAAAGGATTCTATGATTTGAACGAGTCTACTTTCCTTTGAGCAGCCACTAACTCATCCTAGGACATCGTCATAGGCACTCGCCTCGTTCTCCCTCGAGCAGCCGCTCTCCTTCGCCCCCCAGACGCCGCAAGTCTTTCTCGGAGCAGGCGCTGGGCGCCCTTGGTCTTGGCGCTGCTGCTTCGTCGACCTCGAGGCATCGGGACCATAGCCGTGGCCGTTCTCATCGCTATAGGTCTTCTTCCTATTCCCCTTCCCCAACTCGGAGCCGGAGCCGTCCTCGCCGGGACAAGAGTGAGCAGCGGATCGCCCAGGCTGTCAAAGCGGCCGTGACGGCGGGTGCAGTGGAAGCCTTCCGATCGCGAAAGGATCCTGGTGAATGGACCGGTGCCAAAGGCAAACGGATTCTCACCGCCGCAATCACCGCCGGAGGAACCGATGGACTGGTCGACCGCGATCCGAACAAACATTCGAAGCGCCATGTCATCGAGTCCACTTTGGCTGGTCTGGCCGCAAACCACTTCATGAACGGATCCCACTCTCGGTCCCGGTCCAGGCATCGTGGACGTTCCAAGAGTCGGGGCGGATTCGGGGACCTTGCCGCCTCGGGAGCACTGGCAGCGGCCGGCAAGGAAGCCTACGACCGATTCCGATCCAAGTCTCGTCATCGAGGCCGGTCCTCTTCGAGGGATAGCTACGACGAATCCCCACGCCGGGAGAAGAAGCGCAGCAAAAGCGTGACCGACTATATCAACCGCGGACTGGGAGCCCTTGGTCTCGACGACAAGAAGGATTCCGACGATCGAAGGGATCACCATCGCCGCAGTCGACCATCCCGTTACTCCGAGTACTCGGATGACGATGACTATGACAGCGGCTATAGGTCCAGGCGTTACGTGTCACCTAGGCGCTCCAGGCACTCCAGAGACCCCAGAGATGTAGATGTAGGTCGACCCAGTTACCCCAGCGACATTCGCAGGCCTCGTGCTGCTTCGACCACCGCTATGACCGCACCCCAAGGCAACGGTGGTCACAACCTTGAGAATCGCCACAGCGAGGATTGCAAGACAGAAGGACAGGATTCTGACCCTGGAAATAGTACCGATGAGGAGAAACAGAAAAAGAAGCTCACCCGCCAGACCCTCATGGCCACCGGCCTGGCAACCGTTGCTTCGATCCACGCCGCACACTCGGTCCACAGCAGCATGGAGCAGCATCACAAGCGAATGGAAATGGTCAAGGACGGTGAAATGTCGCCCGAGGAGGCTCGCAGACGACGAATCAAGGGCAACGTCGTCGACGCTGCCAGCATCGGTCTCGCGGCCATGGGAATCAACGGCGCCCTGGAGGAGTGGAAAAATGTCAACGAGAAGCGCAAGGAGCGCACCACCTTTTCCAAGAGTTGCAATGAAAAACGAAACCAGCGACATCGTCGAGTTCAGAGCCACGCTCCATCCTCGCGTGAAACGTATCGTCTCCCAGATGAGATCGAAGAGTACCCCGCTGAACCGGCTCGTTCACGATCGGTGGTTCATGAACAACCACGCTATGCTTGATTTTTTACATATTTGAATTCCACCCCTTCGTTCTGAATTACGACTAGCGAACGCATTCTTGATTTGATTTTCTGTCTGATTATTGAAACTCACACTTTGAATTTCCGAGCGAAGACATGCCTTCAAAATTGAATTGGATTGATCTGACTATTTATCTGAGTTTGATCTTCGATATGATATGATACCATGGTGGGGAAAGCGATTGATTTCACGCAGTTGAATGAAGATTAATTGCATCAGTTGAGAGCGCAAGCACAAGCACCAACATTACAGACTGTTTTATGACTTTGAGATTTTTTGGATTTCAAATGACCCTGATGATGACGAAATGACCCTTGATGACTTTTGATGACCTTGTTTCTGTCTATTCTTTTTTTCTTCTCTCTTTGGTGGTAGGCAAGTGTGCATGGGTTTGTTTCTCTTGAGATCTTCCCTTGCCCTCCTTCCCTTTCCGCTTGTTTTGTTGAAATGCATGCTACTTAGCAAGCCTCTGTATGATTGATTCCTGTACACGTGTGGAATTACTCGATTTCGTTCGTTTTATGTCTACCGATGTCTATCTATCCTATGAATCTACTACGCCAGTTGATTAGCATAGCATCCCTTCTATCTGACTGAGACTATCCACTAGCAAGCGAACATAGACTTGATCTCGTTCCATGAGATCCTGGCGCAATTAACTCCAATCCGTACAGACAACCAGTTGAGTACTGTACAGCCTTACCTACTACTGTCTACCTAGGTACCGTACCTACCTCTCAGAAATTACACTTTACCATGCAAGAGCAATGAAATGAAATGAAATGAAATATCTCCATCAAATCCATTCAAGATATTTAATCAAAAGAACAGAAGACAAGCAAGCAACCATGCCAAAAAGTTTAGCATGCAGGGAATACCAAGGAGGTGGACGGAAAAAGGAGCCACCGATCAAGAAACAAAGACAAGGTCTATGTACAATGCATACAATAGAAGAGCAAAGAGACGGAAAACGAGGATGTAAAGCAACACCGATCCTGAGAACCCCTCCAACGGACACTGACACTGACGGATACCAACAACAAAACAGAAAAACACGATGGCTGAAGTTCAATCAGTCAAATCATGCGACAGGAACAAGAAAATGCTGGAGGGATAGAATAAAGAAAAAAGAACTAGACGGAATGGAACGCTTCAACGCTCGACTCTGGCCAGTGAAGGAGGGAGAGAGAGGATGGATGTCGTAGGTGGAAGGCAAAGAAAAAGGAACTGCGGCTAGCTAGCTGTACATCAATCCATCCCAAGATGAAGACGCGTGGAAAACAAAATTAATTTTTTACAGGTGACCTGATTTCTTTTGCAAACCCTGACGGGAACCCGTGCTTGGAGAAAGAGTGGATTATATTAAGCTCGGCGGGATATCACGAATAAGAAAGAGAGACGGTGGTGGGTGACGTTTGGTTTTGTTTTTCAAGGAAAGTGTGCCGAATCGCTGGGTCATCAGCGGGGGGCATGCAAGTTGAGCCAACTCATATCGGAATTGATGTTGTTGTGAGAGTTTTGCGGCATGGGTTCGTAGGTGTCGGGAATCAGGATGCTGGATCCGCGCGTGGTGCGACCGTCCGGCATACGGGAGTCGTGCAGCGACGGCGGCGGCATCGACGGTAGATCGCGCGAGCTCGGGTTGTACATGCTGGGGTTGTACATGCTTCGGCTGTACGTGCTGCTGGGGGGACGGCCCATCCAGCTCTGTTGGTGCAAGTTGCTCTCGCCCATGCCCGCCGACAGTCCGTCACGGCGCTCCCATTCATCATCGGACACGGCACTGATGGAGCTGGCGCTGGAAATGCGCGCGGATTGACTCTCGGGAATGTTGATGTACCGTCCGTCCTTGGGGGATGACGTATGCTCGGTGGTCGGACTACCCGTGACCACTCGTCCCAGGGGCTTCGGCTCCTCCAGAAGACCCATGTTGAGCGGCGTGAGAGACGGTCCTGGCCACTGACTCACTTGACTGGCGCGCTCTTCAGCCCGGGCAAATGCCGGCCTCGGGGGTTTGGGGTCTTCATAGACGGGTCGATTCATCGGCGTGAGAGTCGACCCCGGCCATTGACTCACTTGGCTCGCGCGGTCCCCAGACTGGGCAAATGCCGGCCTGGGAGGCGCTTGTTCGACTGCCAAGTCCGTCGCAGTGTTGTCTTGGAAGTAGCGACTCCAGCCTTCGTCGGTGCGGCGATCGCCCGGAGACATCGCGTGGGCTTCAATCGCCTTGTCCATCGATGCCGACGCGGGAGTACCGACTGCCGTGGCCTCTCCGTCGGACTGCATGGACAACGGACTCGGCTTCAACGGCGACGGTTTGGGGGCATTGCCGCGGCCGGGGCCGATGGCTCCGGACGCTTTTTCGTCGCCGGCACTCCCGCCGAAGATGGCAAGGGAGTCGACCGAGGAGGCGGCCAGCGGAGCCGGGCTCTTCGCCATCGGGTATGCGGACTGAGTCAGAGGCTCGACGCCCCGGTCCTGGAAGCTCAGACGGTCCTTGTCGCCGTTCTGGCCTTGCGCCTCCCGCTTCAAGGCGTTCTTCTTGCGCTTGATGAGGAAGATGATCAGCAGCAGGACGGCCGCCACACCCAGAATACTTCCCAAGGTGGCACCCAGCACGGTGCCGAGGTTGGAGTTGTCCACGGCGGAGCCCGCTGCAGGGGTCGTGGTGGCGGGGCTAGTTTCCGAGGCCGTCGAAGTGGGACCGGATGTGGTGGTGGAGGTGGAGGAGGTGGTGGGAAGAATGCTCTGTCGAGGCTTGTCGCCGTAGAACAGCTTGGTGGCATTAACCCAACTGTTGGAAGTTTGGTTGAAGATCGCCAGCGTGTCGCTGCCGCTGCCGCTGGAGAAGACGACCTGGTTGTCGCCTTGGGCGATGGAAAAGTCGTCTCGCTTCGTCGAGGAGGCCAAGGAGTCGTCGTACTTGGGGTAGTCGTCGAGGGTGACGCGCTTCCGTCGACTCGATTTCGACTTGGAGCTAGCAACCTTCCCGCCGGATTTCAGCAAGGTTTCGCTGGTCATCGTGTTGGGCGAGCTGCCCATATCGAACGTTTCGAGGATCTTGCTGCCATCCGTTCCCTTCACCAGAGCACATCGCGCATCGTCGGACAGTTCCTTGCCGATGGTCACGTCGGAACTGCGCCATCCCTTGGCGGGATCGAACAGATAAACCTGCGTCTTGTCCGTTAGACCGCCCACCAAAGCCGCCTCCTTGTCGTTCCACGACAGCAGCACGGGATAGAAAACCGGCGAGGCCTTCGAGGCTTCGAATGCCGAGATGTTGTACGGGTCTGCGGTATTGACGACGAAGGTATCGGAGGAGGCATCGGTTTGATGCTTTTGATGACCGCCGTACACCAGGATGGACTTCGATTCCTTGAGATAGACGGCGTTGTGGTCGGTTCGGTTGGCCATGTTCTCCTGGGACGGTTCGAAGGACTTCCATTTCTTATCTTTGAAGGAATAACGTTGTACGCCGGGGCCTTTCCCCTTGGACTTGGACGGGGTTCCTCCGACTACGTACAGCGCTTGTTGGCTTTCGTCACCGTCGATGCCACCGGTGACGCAGGCGGCATTGGAGACCGGCTCTCCCATGTCGAGTTTGGACCACGTTCCATTGCGCTCGAGGGGGATGGCCGCGAAACCGTTGGCGGAGTAAGTGTATAGCGTGTTATCGTGAACGACGGAGCAATGGCCCTCCAATTTGACGGGGGGCTTGGGAACAATCATGTCGAATGATGAGTGAAGAGGGCAGGAGGGGGGTGGGGAGAGAGAGAGATTCTTCGAGAATACCAGCCGAAGACAATCAGGAGAGAAAACCAGCCGCCAGGCGATGAGAGTGCGGGCGGGAGGATGAAACGAATGGAAGGGGTTGACTGCCAGAGTACTATCTCATGGTCGAGGGGAGCCAATTGATCGTCGAAGGCACTGGGCCGTGAGGAGGATTTCGGAGACGGGCTGGACGTCGCTGGCAGATCTTCTCCTTCGGTTGATTCCGATGGGTAAATTTGGGTTGGGTCTTGAACAGTGAGTCTCTTGAGAAATGAGTGTCGAGAGAGAGTGAGAGAGCGAGAGCGAGATGATGTTTGTCAAGATTCCTGTCTGATGAGTGATCGTGGGAGTCGCGTCGTGACAACTGAAACACCACGAGATGGAAATCGGAAAATTGGAGAATTAAACGAATGGCGACCTGGCAGGGTGGGTGTTAAACCAGAAGGCGAGAAATGAAGCGAAAGAGAAGCTCGATGTCAAACCGGCAGCGAAGGAGGGAAGAAAGAGAGCGACACGTCCCCACGAATGACGGTACCGCCAACAGAAGAGGGAGAGGGGAGGCGAAAGGGAAGAAGAGGAATGGGATAGGCAGGAGAGAAGCGAGAGAAAGGGAGGGAGGGGAGGAGAGGGAGGCCGGCAGGCGTCAGGAGAGTGCAGAGTATGGGCGAATGGTGGAGGATGAAACGACGGAGGGCAGCTTAGACCAACACTAAGGACGACTCACCCTGTTTTTCGACGACCGAGGAAGAATGATCCGAGAACCCGCACGAGAGTGCACAGCACGTTCGGGGCCGGAGGGGGTGGGATGGGACGTGGGAGAAAAAGCAAAAAGGGAAAAAATAAAAAAGGGAAAAAGAAAGGAAAGGGAGGAGGCAATTGGCAGAGAGGAGGGGGAGAGAGAGAGAGAGAGAGAGCGAGAGAGAGAATGAAGGGAAATTGAAAGGGAAAGGAGACTTCGGAGGTGCCGCCCGTTCGGGTTTAGCTCGCTGGTGGCCTGCTTTTTCAGGTCCAACAATCGGGCGACCGTTGGTATCTCGACAGGCGTTGGTGATGCATGTTGCAGAATACTCGGGACTCTCTCTTCCTGCTCACTATCTACACAGTGCACTCGGTGCCACGGTTGAAGTCTGTTTATTTTGTTTTGCGTACTTCGTGCCTTGCAGCTGGAACGGCGCAAGGACACTCAGGGGAGGCGTGCCTGAGGATCCATGGACCGCCTTCCCGTGGTTGACCTCATTTCTTCACCCCCAAACTATTTGGCCCCGACGGCAATACTACCTTATTTCTTATTTGTCTTTGCTTTTTGCAGAGGAATGGGGAGGGATGACCAAAGTACGTGAGACTGAGGAATCTCTCTCTCCCTCTTCTACCACCTACTGCGTACTACAGAATCTACAGAAACTACTCCGCTACAGACATACTCCGTGCGACGCAGGTGCAGTCCTGCGTGACAGGGGCAAATCTCTTGAACGCATCGTGGTGGCGCTGATTGGCCGGATCGCCAGGAACCGACTGGGGCCCGCAGGTACTTCGACAGGGATGTCCTGACTTACGGTCTAGTGTCTATACCTTGGGTACACAGAATCCGAGAGAATAATCTGATCTTCTCTGGTAGATTATCGATGAATACAATATATCACTCAGTGAATATCACGAATATCATGAATATCTCTCGATCGATCGTCCAGATGAAACCGCTCTCGCCAGATATAAATAGGACGAATCACTTGGAAAGCCCGTACCGTACCGTACCAACGGCCCCTCCCATCCCGCCGGGACCCTGGCCTTTTCTTACCGTTGATTGGCCCGCAGGCTGGAACAGGGGCCCCGCGTGTGCTCGGATACCGGTATCGTGTACGGACATGACCCACGTAAAAGACGGTGGATCGATGGATGGTTTGATACTGATTGTGCGCACGTCAACCCTGTCTTACTTCTCGGCGCCTGTCGTTTCTCTGGAGGTCTATTAGATTATCTCTCATAACGATAGATTAATTCTGAGCCCTCTGTCTACGGAGTATGGTATATGATAATGTATTAGAAATGATCCGAGTAGTGTCCTCCAGTGGGTGTTCTTGTGTCACCTTCCAGCCCCCGTGAGATCAAGCAGATTTTTCCCTTCCCCTCCTCCGTGTCGATCGATCTTGTTGGTCCTGCCCATGCGCAATCTGACCGGTCCGCTGTTGGACCACCGCGTATTCCTCTCGCCAGCTTCCTACCGCCTGACTCGACCGACGTCTAGCCCTTGCTGCGGAGTACCTACTCTCTAGGTCGTAGCTCTGGGGCTGGATCCGTCGTGTGCATTAATCATGGTCTTTGCGCCCATGGACTCTGGAAAGTACCGCAGTCTCAATGGCTTATGTTGAGTGCTATATATAACCACGGCCCCTAATCAGTCAGACTGGTCCATGCCGACTGAAGATATATGTTCCAATCCACCGCACCGTAGCGATTTCTTGCTGATGCACGCCGGACAGAGTCAAGAATGCAGAGAATCGCCGTCAGCAAACCAGGCCCCTGCCTAGACGCGGTGGCGGCCGAAGTTTCTGGAATGGACGACGCTAGCTCGCAGGTAGTCTGGCTCCTAATTCCTGCCGGTCTCTGATTCCTAGAGACCCGCTTGCGTTCTTTCTCGTTAGTTGTACTCCGTAATTCGTACTGTGCGACATATTCAGAGGGGACCTGTCTGTTCAGTGTTCACCCGCTTTTCTCCAGATCAATATCCGCCGTAAGGGTCTCCTAATCTAACCCAGTCAACCATGACCCCAACGCAAGGAGGCAGGCATCAGACCACAGACCCGACTGCGGAGTTCCTTTCGACTACTCGAGTCTCGAGCACCCCCAACGAGCTAACCATCTGACTGTCTCATCCGGAGGGCTCGAACCCAGACCCCGGCTCGGTCGGTGGCGGAGCAGCTCCCATCCCGGCTAAATGCCCCCAAGCTGTCTTTCGCCCGGCCACCGTGATACAAAAGAACGCTATCCTTTCTCACAAGGCGTATCGAGAATGTTGGATTCTACTCCGTGGATGGGATTGATTGATGGTATCTCACGACATCCCCCTCACTTGGATTCTGGGTCGGTTCTCCATCCGTATACTACCGTCTAGAAACGTGATCCTTAATTTAACCGAGGAGTGCGGTCTCTGGAGTCCGATCCTGATGGGAGTCCTTTGCTCCTGTAATTTCTCCTCTGCTGGGACTGTCGGGCCTGTTCAGTATGCTCTGAACCGGATTCGAATTCGTGCGAGAGCACCGACATGGATATGTCATACAACGTACCTGGGCCCAATCAGATGGCGGGTTGGAAATTGATTGGACTAGTCTGTCGTTCATTGATTTGTAGGTACCCCAGGTGAGACAGAAGAGTTCCGATTCTTTCCGTGGAGGTTGGAATCATAATGTCATAGAATGATATAGTATGTTGGCAGCCGTGAAGATGACGATCCAGGAATATCACCTTTCGGAGAAATATAGAATAAACTTATACGATTTACTTGAGCAATAAGCCTAATATAAAATTACAAAAGAATGGGCTAGAAGAGAAGATTGCGAGCCATTGAAGTTCATGGAGGCATGATTATATATTCTCCAACCAGGGTACATGCCGTAGGTCTAATCATGCATATATCTTTCACCTTCAATCAACACAGCAATTGATCAAGTCCGTTGACCATGTCTACCATGGATTAATATACAAGTGAATCAATTGCTGAGAAGAACAGCCAAGGGCTAAATAAAGAGGATCTGTAGCTTTAACGTGCTACGCAAATCTTCTTTTATGATTTTATGCCTGGAAATGTGCGATATATTTCCCTCGTCTCGAGCTTTTAACGTAGTACTCGAGTATATTTGCTGATTATTGAGTGTTAAATGGTTGTACACACCGAGTTGTGTTTGAATATATTGCTCTAATTCTGCCATTTGCTTTTTGGACGAAGAAAACCTGCTATTATATATAGCTTTTTGACAAGGCGTTTGAGCTCAGTATATACATACCTTGGTCGCGAATTGCAACACTACATTATACACCTTTGATTCTCGCAAATAAGAGCCTCGATGATATTATGGTCAACATTTTACCTCCTGTCACCTTGCCAATACGAAATGGTTCATTTAGCTAAAGATTTAAATATACTCATTGAGTAGCCTGTTTTTGAGATTTTTGCAAAAGAACTCTGACCCCAACTGACCACAGTCCCCAGATATATAAGCGCGGATTGCCGCATGCACCACATGACCAGAATGCACATACTCGACGTTCCCTCATCAACAAACTCTTCCATCTCTTCTTTACCTTCCAGCCCACACAAAAGTACTTCCGCATCGACTCTTCCCTACCACGTATTTTTATATGTTCCACTAACCCTCCAAAGCTCACAAGCATCTACATTCGCCTTCAGGCGACGATGAAAGATGCCCTGCGCCCAACCGACGATCAATTCCACCAAGTCCTCCAGGAGAGTCTGCAAACATGGTTCTCTTATCTAGACACAGCGAGCAAAAACCACCGACTTCCTTGACACGCCATAGACTTCCAGCCTCTCGTTAGCCAAATCCCGCCGTTCCTCGGCGCCGGTGTTTCCTTCGACGAGAGGGCGTCGTTCGCCTGTGAGACTAAAGCGAAAGGTTGTCTTGTCGTAAATGGCCGATCAACGTGGAGGACTTCTAAGGGACCTTGTGACCTGCCGTCGAGGGTCTTGCCGAAGCAAATTTCCCTAGCAGTGGGCAGCCCATTGCCTGTTCGTCTGTCGGAGGATTCTCCCTTCTCGGACTGGCCTGGAGTCTGCGGTTTGTCGCACTACGATAAGGGGAACTATTTGTCGGTTCTTTACCTTGCGTGGGCCTATATCTTCTCTGCTCGATGGGTCGAGTTGCTGAATTGGTCGGCTGGCCACGAGTGTTGTATCAGATATACTGCGCAGGGGGTTGAGAGACTACTGCCCAAGGAGAAGCGTTCCGTGACCCAAATTGATATCGGCGACGACGCTTGTGAAGACGAAGTTCTCTGGTGGCGCAATACTCTGTCTGATGACGGTTGGGAGGCGACCACTACGTACAACGACCAAGTCTACCTGTCGCCATGGTCCGTATCGACCAAGGACATAGGGATTTCCCCAGCCCTATCTACAAATCCTTTCCAGGACACCAAGGCTAGATCCGACCCGCCACTATCAACAACCGCCCTCAACTACCTCTCTCGCTTCTGCGTGCGCCATCGTCTATATGCCCAATGCTCAGCCGCCCTCGCCGCCGTCCTTTACATCCCATTTCTAACCGGGCGAACAGTCTCGCTCCCATTCCCAAAACCGCCCCCGGACCGACCAGAGTGTACTGACGACTTCCCCCCTCCTATCCCCGACCTCCTCACCTCCCACCACGCCCTGCTCCCCAAATACATGACCCTGAGCTCCAACACATGGGGTCTGCGTTCCCTTCTCCACAGCACGTTCTTCAACCCCTCCATCGAATGCAACCTCGTCAGCGCATGGCTGAACCCCGCGTTCGCGGTCCTCGATTCCATCTCCCACGATAAAACCTCCCTATCCAAATTCCTAGCAACCAGATCCCCTCGACTCGGAATCCTCTGGCTCGGCGCCATCCTCACCGGTCTGGATGCTTCCATCCTGCGCGATACCCGAACGGGACTCTCTGCTCTCGACCTCGCGGCTTCAGCCTGGACACAGACAAGCCAGACATTCCTGACTTCTGGAATCGGAGATACGAAACATAGCGAATCGATAAATCGAGCCGACGAATGTCGCCTCTTATTCATCTCCGCGTTCGAAAGGAACCATTCCCGCCCCCCTGTGTGGGCGTGGACGCCCTTTGGAGAAACTCGGCTCTGCGATGCAGAGATATCAGTGAGGAAGCATACTCAATGCCCTTATGACACTCATTGTTTAGAATACGAATCCTGGGAATGGATGCTAGACAGCGGACGGACGGTTCAACACCAACACCAACACCGCGAAGACCAGCATGAACCTGAACCTGAACCTGAACCTGAACCTGAACCTGAACCTGAACCTGAACCTGAACATGCCTTACTAGAATCCCCAGACCAAGAACCCTCATCACCATTGCCACCCGAGAAGACACCCGCTGCGCTTTGCGATTACAAATATGACTTCCTCTCACAGGACCTGTCGGAATGTGCGACGCGCGGAATCTTCGGGTGGTTAAGGTCGGCGGGATACCCGGCCTCCGAAAGACGGATTTACCAGCATGAGTGGATTGATTTAGAGGATACGGACGAAGAAGGAGAGGATGAGGATGAGGATGTGAGGACTGATGGGGGGAGGGAGGGGGGTTCGATACTAGAGAGGGATGTTGGGTGTTGGGTTGATGGTATTGCACAGTAGTTCTATCGGATCATTTCGTGAGGGGGATGTGATTGTGAACATTCAGATACTTTTATATATTGAAGAGAGAATAAAGCGAGAAGATAGAATGCAAAGCGCTTGAATTCAATGAGTAGAGAGAGAACTTTTACCTAGCCCACAATGCAATACATGTACATCATACAACATAGCACACGAACAAATACGCATACACACGACAAAATCAACACCCACCACACCCACCTATCTTCTCCAACCGACAGAAGCAAGAAGCCCGAATATCCACATCCGCGACCGCCAACGCGACCTTCAACGGCGGCTCGACCATCCTGGCCTCAGCCACCCGTCCCAGCCTTACCAAACACTCGTGATACCCGTGCAGAGCCCACACGTTATTCGGGTGGCGATGGGCTCCGACCAGGGTCTCGCTGAGACCGAGATCCTCGGCGTAAGCCTCCGCAGCCTCAGACACGCGGCCCTGTTCGAGCAGCAGGGCGGCGTAGGCGTGGCGTGCAGGGACCATCCAGGCCCAGGGCTCCGAGTAGAGGAGGGAGTCTTCGGCGAGGATGGCAGCGCGGAGGTGCGCGAAGGCGGCGTCGAAGTTCCCTCGCCGGTACTCGAGCTCGCCGTCGAGCATGGCGGAGGCGACTTTGAGGATGTCGGGGATCTTGTTGGGGAAGTAGATGCGGGAGTCGGGGACGCGGGCGGCGGCGGAGCGGTAGAGCTCGCGGTGGTGTTCGGCGTCTGGGATGTTGTTGGTGGCGGCGAAGGCGATGGCCTTGCCGTAGTGGAGGGTGGCGATGGTGACGCAGTAGAGGTCGGGGTCCGTGGGCAGGGGAAGAGCGATGAGGTCGGCCCAGCGGCCGAAGCGGATGAGGACGTGGACGCGCACGGAGAGGAAGGATTCCATCCAGTTAGCCATGGGAGGGGATTCGATGCGGAGGAGGGCCTCGGGGATGGTGGCCTCCATGCGGTCGGTGGCGTCGAGGGCCACGGCGGACTGGCCGGCCAGCATGACGGCGTAGATAAGGGAGTGGTAGTCGTGGAGGCGGTAGAAGCTGTAGAAGTTCTGGCCGCCTTCGCGGGCGTAGAATTTGTCGTCGGCGAGGGTGGCTTTGGTGTTGCTGGCGATGGACCGGCGGTAGTCGCCGACGAGCACGTCCAGGTGCGACGGCATGTGGCAGAGGTGGCCGGAGTCGGGGATGAGGTCGCGCAGGTGGTCGGCCGGCACGAGGGCCGCCTCGGGGGTGGAGGACATCTCCATGAGGTGGATGTACATGTGCAGGAGGCCGGGGTGGAATTTGGCCTTGGGGTGCTGGAGACTCCGTTCGAGGACCTCCTTGACTTCGAGCACCGGCGTGGAGAGGATGGGCTGGCCGGTGCTCGCTTCGTAGAGACCCCAGGGGCTGATGTTCATCAGAGCGTCGGCGAAGAGCGCCGCGATGTCGAGGTCGTCCTCGCCGTGCATGTGGTAGACAGTCCGCATGGCGTCGGCGTAGGCGCGATTCGTGGCATCGTAGTCCTCGATGACACCGTCCGTGGGGAACCGATGCTGGATGGCGTGGAGGAGACTCTGCTCGAGAGGAGAAGCAGCCGCAATATGGACGAGTCCGGCACGAGGAACGTGATACGACTTCCTGACCGAGTACTGCAGATCGGCTTCATCGAACGCAGCCCATTGTTTGTTGTAGTTGGGGCCCGTGGCGAAGGCCACGCCCCAGTAGCCCATGACACATGTCGGGTCGTGGGCAATGACCTGCTGGAAGCACGCCTCGGCCTCCTGGTGGTTGAATCCGTAGGCCCAGGTGAGGCCTCGATTGAACCAGATCTGGGCCTCAGGGCTGGTGGTGCTGATCTTGCGACGGAACGAGCCTAGATCATAGTATGCTTGGCTGGTAGCCACGGGGGTGGCCTGCAGGTATTCAGATGCCATGGCTTAAGCGACGATGTGCTTTGGATGAGAGATGCAAGATGCACAAAGAGTGGGAACAAAGAAAGAGGGGGATTCGTAATTATACGTTCGGCCGATGCATTACTTCATCGCCTGCAGGTCGGTGATTGTCTTCGGTGATTGTTGGCGTCGTCTCAGAGTTCTGTGGATGTTCAAACACCGAACCTCGCCGACTTTGCGGGGATGCTATATCCACTTACTAGTCGACAAGACCCAGCCAAAGAAATAAATACTTGCCATGAACTTGCTCTTCTCTGCTCAAAACCGTCTTCATTCTCCATCCAAAGTTCAGTTTCAACCGAGAAAACCACCATGCAACCCATCACCCTCTACTCCCACCAACAGGGTCCCAACCCGTGGAAAGTGGCCCTCATCATGGAAGAGCTTCAAATCCCCTACACCACCACCTTCGTCAATTTCACCGACGTCAAAAAAGAGCCCTACACGCTCATCAACCCGAACGGCCGCCTTCCCGCCATCCACGACCCCAACACCGGCCTGCACCTCTGGGAGTCCGGCGCCATCACCGAATACCTGATCGAGAGGTACGACGTCGAGCATAAGATCAGCCCCGCAAGTTGGGCCGAAAAGTACCACGCCAAGCAATGGCTGTACTTCCAGGTCTCCGGACAAGCGCCCTACTACGGACAGGCGGCGTGGTTCATAAAGGCCCACCCTGAGAAGGTGCAGAGTGCGATTGATCGGTACCAGAAGGAGATCCATCGGGTGTGTGGCGTGCTCGAGTCGGTGCTGAAGAATAGGGACTGGTTAGTGGGCGAGAAGTGCACCTATGCCGATCTTTGTTTCGTGGCCTGGCAGCGGTTCGGGCCCCGGTTTGCAGGAGAGGACCTGTACGAGAAGTTTCCGAGGGTCGGGGCGTGGATGAAGAGAATGGAGGCGAGGGAGACTGTGGCCAAGGTGTATGCCGATCAGGACCGAGCTATGGCTGAACTTGAGGGCAAGAAATAGACTAAAGGGCTTGTTGAGAATGTTGTTAGATTTTGCTATTACACCCATTTCATTAGAATTAGATATTGAAGAGTTGCTGAAGAAAAGAAAAGAGACCTACAAGAAACAGCTGTTCCCCAATTGCCAAATGATGTTAAAATAAAACATCATCGTAGCAAAACACATCAGACACGGCCTGTGAATGTCGAGTTATAGGCAGCATCCATTTCCCGCGCCATCTGGCGAACACCCTCAAATAACGCATTTCGCTTCAGCGCAGTGTTCAAAGAATCAGCCCCATGTCGTAACTCCTCCAGCAGTCTCTCCGAATCCTGGATCTCCGTTGCCGGATCTGGGTAGTTAAGAAGAGGATAGCAGTATGAAAGACGATCTGACACTATTGCAGCGCGTACCCGATGCAGCAACATGTACAGCGTGTAGCCGGCTTGCATGGACGTGCATGAAAAGTATGGTAACCCGTGTGGGTACCTCGAGGATAGCGTAGGGTTAGATGGCAGCGCTCCCATTGCCTCATATCCTGGTTCCAAAACGCCGTCGGGACGGCATAAGCTAGGATAAGGCAAGGCCCGGAAGATGCGAGAAATGACGAGAGAGGATTTCAAACTGATAATCGACGACTCCATCTCGGTGAAAGGAAAGATAGCTTCAAATTCTGCCGGACTCTTGGGATAGGCCGACGCCGGGAGAATGCCCTTGTCCTCGATGGCAGCCAGATCACAATGCTTCTCTAGAAATAGGGGAATGTCCATGAATGCTCGGTACCGGTGGAGCTTAGTTCGAGCACTATTGTTGCATAAATGTTAGCCTGAGGCGGTGATCCTGTTTCCTGTAAGACTCACGCATGAACTTCAAGGCGAACAACCATCCCCATGGTTTGCGCGGCAAGCCCCTCAACACTCTCCCTGCGAACCTCACCTCCAAAAAGATCGCATTGTCCTATTAGCGACAGGACGTGGGAGTCCATATGACGGATCTTTTCGCGTAAATGCGGTGATGTGGATGGCGTCTTGCCTCCGATGCCACATTCTGTTAGTATACTGGAGATTGCCAAGAGGGTCTCTAAAGCCCCAATCAATAGTGGCCACGGCTGCATGCATAATTTAGTAAATAACAGAAGGGGGAGACGAAGATTGTTCATACCTCAGGCTTTCCTAGTCGCGCATCGAATACAGGGTGCGGCGTGGATATTCTCGGGTCAGATGAATTGATAATAGGCGACTATTTGAACAATCAGGCTGGTACTGATAAATAATGCCTCGAAGTCTTACCGTTTCCTGCAACACCGACGACAAAAGTACTACAAACATCTAGTACGTGTTAGCTGATGCTCAGATCCGCACCGGCAAATCGACTGACCGAAGTCCACCATGCGCGCCGTTGCGCCTCAGATGCGTGCGACTCCAGGTTATGAATAGAGAGATCCATGGCTGTCGTGATCGCCTGGTTGGCACGGGTGCGCATCCGGGATACATTACCACGCTGACAATACTCGTAGATACTCAGAGCCACGAGGGCTAAGATCGGATGCAGCCGGACGGGCACATTAGGATGAATGATCTTTTGCTCTGGCGAAAATCTCGAACCATTGACTAGTGTTAACTCGTCGATTTCCTTATCTGCACTATTGAGCGCAGCTTGCGCATACAGGTTGGCATATTCGCGTCTCATCCAGACACTGCATTCGCTGAAAGGAGTCGGGTTTTCGTCAGGAGGGATCAAGGCTAGGATGGCACATAACGCCAAACTCAGCGAGGACCTCGGCCAGTAAGGCAGAGAGGAACTTTCAACGGTACAGGTCTCTCCAGGCGGAGGCTGAAATGCAATAGGGTGGTCCTCGTGAATTGGTACAGCGGGAGGCGGCAACAAGGAGAGATATGGATGAATGTAGAGATAGTAGGCATTCGCTCTGTCCGAGTTAGCCACTGCTGCGACCTTGGTGAAACAGGTAACAACTCCTAGATCGAAGCTTACATATCCTCTTCCGACGTATACACCCTCAGAATAGGCGATGCCGAGGCCGTTTCACTAGAGCTGGTGGTGTCCATGGGCTGCCATAGGAACTCGGTATCCACATCTGTGCTCTGCATCCCACTAAAAGGAGACAGCAGACCAATGATACTCTGAAGACTAGAATCAATCGACTGCGGAGGGACTGGACATCCCGGCGCCGAGACCGAGTTGGCATCCGGGACATCGATTGCAGGAGTCGCTGTTGACGGGGACCTTGGCGGCACTGGGTGAGGCTGGTGATGAGGCACTTTCGGGCTTTGAGATACGGCATCATATTTGGTTCTTCGGCGTGGCCCACCTCGCCGACTGGGCTGGTAGTGGCATCCTCGGGATCGTTCCATGCACTTTGGTTGCGTTGCTTAGTTGGGTTCTCCACCGTGGGTTGGAAGAATCGGCCTTACGGGTTTACATGGATGTTGTCCGTCACAGCGGGTTTTGGATGCGCGGCTGGTGCACGATTAGCATCTGCTCATTGATGCATACAGATAGTCTTACCAAGCCAGACAGGCCGCCTTCACTGGCTGTTTGACTTCTCGCGGCATGGCGAAGAGAGATTCGGCTTACACGGTAGAAGAAGGAGAAGTTCGGGCTTTGAAGACTCGGTGATGTAAATGTCATGTGACATCGCGTGATCGAACTGATCGAACTACCGGAGTTGTGCAATTACAGTGCTGACCACTGAGTAGATACCGATAGCTGTCAGATTAGAAGGTCAATAGGATTAATGCATGTGGATGAGGATTATACAAGATCAATTTCAATCCTCGGTTCTTCGGGATGTGTGCGGACAGACTTTGACCGAGTATGGCCACTCGGCGTTTGGAGGTGTCGGTGTCTGCTTGGTCACCAAGCGAGACAACCACGGTTGATGGCTGTCAGTCGAAACTCTACAGCACTGGATGAAAGGATTCAGTGACGTTGATTGTATTTTTGACCTCGGATATATCAAGCCACGACTGATCATTAACGAATAATATCCACACATGCGTTCCCATCTCCAATTCTCGTCCCATCCCTCCATCATGCCTCTCCCTGTTGCTGCTTCCATTGGTGTGCTCTCTGTAACAGCCGCGACAGGTTCGCCGATGACTGGTCGTCTGCCGGGAATACATAGTCCATGTATTCCTCGTAGCGGTCGTCGTCCATCTTGCGACGCTTCTTGGCCCGTCGGGGCATTTGCTTCTCGATCTTCTCGATATCCTCGGGCGAGCCATGCGTGTGCTCGAACGATCGCCAGGCATTGAGGAGTTCCACGCGCTGCGGACTGTTAGTATTCGGCCATCACTGCGAAGGGTAGGGTAGTGAAGGCTTACCTCTTCCTTGAGCTCCTTGTCCTTGAACACCTTGTGTGCCCGCTCGAAGATACCCCGAGCACGTCGCTTGGCCTCGTCGCTGATCGGTCGTTCTTCGTCCTCTTCCTCTTCCTCCTCGTCCTCCGGAACGTTGATCTCGAACCGGGCGTAGTTGATCCACACCTTGACGTGGTCGGTCTTCTCCAGGAGACGCTCGTACAGCTGTCGGACCCGGCCGTATTCGCCCTCGTATTCCTCAAAGTCGATGTAAGACTTCCACACGAGCTCGGGCATATCCAAAGTCGGCTGTGCGATGCCCAACTCGTAAATTGCGCGCGCACGCTCGGCATCATCCAGGCCTCGTTCCAGTTCGGCGAACTGGATCCAGGACTGACTGTTGGATGAGTTCCACTCGATCTGTTTCTCAAACAGTGTTCGGCATCGTACGAACTCGAACAGCTGGCGTTCCAGGTCGATGTATCCCCGGAACAGCTTGTCCTTCGGGCACATGCCGATTGCCTGACCCATCGTTTTCCGAGCGGTCGCGAGATCCATCTGTCGGATCTCAAACTGCGCCTTCATGAGCCACAGCTTGGCAAATGTGAACTTCTTGTGCGGCACCAGCTTCAGACATTCGTTGTAGACCTGGCGGGCGCGCGCGACATCCTTCGCCTCCATCTCCTCCCAGATGGCGTAGAAGATCCAGAGGTAGATATAACGCCGCCAGTGACGCTTCTCCTGCGACGGGGGGATCTGTGCAATCGCGCGTTCGTAGATGTCGCGGACCCGTTCGGGGTCACCGGCATTTTCCTCCAAGCGGGCAAAGTCGAACCAGATGTCGTAGTTGCGCGGGTTCTCCTTGAGTTGTTCCTCGTACTGGACCCGGCGCTTGGAAAAGATCACATCCTCAACACCTGTCTGATCGCCATACTGCTTTTCAAACGTTGTGTACGCCTTATGCAGGGTTATCGACTTGGACCGCGGTAGCCGATCCAGGGCATACTTGTAAATAGCTCGCGACCGCTCGTACTCCTTGAGCTTGGCCTCGAACTTGGCGTAGGCGATGAACAGCTTTTCATCCATGAAGTCCTCCCCTAGCGTTTCGATTGCCACTCCGTACACCTCTCTCACCAGATCACTCGTGCCGTATTCCTCCTCGAAGCGAGCCCATTTGATCCAGTTCCTCGGTTCGGGGTGCACGATCGTAAACCGTTGGAAGATGCCGCGCGCCCGTTCGAACTCATTGTATCTCTTCTCCAGCTTGATATACGCGCTCCAGGCGCCCTCCTCCGGCTCCCACGACATCCACCGCTCGAACACCTGGCGCGTGCCCGGGATGTTGCCCAGCGTCTCCTCCATGTAGACATACTTGTACCACAGCTTGTCGACACGGGGCAGGATGGTCACGGCGCGATCCAGCAGGTTCCGCGCGTGGTTGATATTCCGGGTCCGCATCTCCGCCTCGATGTAGCGAATCCACAGGATCACCGACGTCGGGTTGACGTCCAGCGCCCGCTCGAAGATCGACCTCGCGCGTCGGAATTCCTTCTGTTCCAGTTCCCAGGCGGCATAGCGCATCCAGTTGTTCATGTTGATCCGGTTCCGGCGCACATAGTCCTCGAAGTCCTTTCTCTTGCGGCCCTGGTACTCGTGTAGTTCTTCGAGGTCCGCAAACCGCTGCGTCGGCGCCTGCAGCGCGGGCTCTTGTCGGTCGACAGCCTCACGAAGCAGCTGCTCCGCCGAAATCTGGACCGGCGCAGCGGCCTTGTTCTTGACCCTAGGAGGGCCGCGTGACGACTCCATCTTGGTTGGCGTCACTCAATCCTCGCGGCGCGGTGAAGGAAGGGTAAGGTCTCAGGGTTCGATTGATTCGGAATTTCAAGTCGCAGTAGTTGGTGAGAGGTAAATAAGCCTGAAATCCCCCCTTGAATGGGCCAGGCTGAGGACCGTTGGGTGAATGGAAGTTGTCTGAACCGGAGTCGCGCAGCTTCCATCGCCGGCACAAAGTCGGACGGCTGCACTGTTGGTCCGCGCCGCCACCCCCACATGACTAAGCCAAGACCCAAATTGGTGGCGCATTCAAATCCTCTCGTTCTTCTTGACTTCAAGCTTGTTTACCTGCCAGCTCTCCACCGGCCTGCCCACCATGTCCACCGCCGAAGAGCTCTTGCGGGATTTCGAATCGGACGATGAAGATCTCCAGGATGTTCAGCAAGAAGAGGGAGGAGGCGAGGAGGAGATGATTGACGAGGAAGAGGAGCATCGACAGCAGACCGGGCCTGAGGTCACCAACGAGTTCGAGGTGGCCCTGTCAACCGGAGACGAACTGACGCGACTACACAAAGTGTTACGAGACCACTACTCGATCCGATTTCCAGAACTGGAGACCCTCGTGACGAACTCGATCGACTATGCAAAGACCGTTGCTATCCTGAAAAATGGCCCCCTCAACGACATCAAAGCACTGTCGTCATCGGCGGACAACATGGTCGGCACGCCTCTTAAATCGATTCTGGATGGTCCGTCTCTGATGGTGGTTGCCGTGGAAGGTACTACGACTCGAGGACGTGAGATGACCCCGGCGGAGTTGAAGACGGTGCTTGATACTTGCGAGAGAATTCTGAAGCTGGATCGAGAGCGCACCGCTCTTACGCAAAGCATCCAGTCGCGCATGAACCAGATCGCTCCCAACCTGGCAGCGCTGATCGGACCGGAAACGGCCGCTCAGTTCCTGAACCAAACGGGTGGACTACGCGAGCTGGCCAAGATCCCCGCGTGTAATTTGGGCGCTCAGGGTAACAAAAGAAAGGAAGGGCTCGGCTTTGCTACGAACATCGGCATCCGATCGCAGGGATTTCTCTACGAGTCCCCGCTGATCCAAGACATCCCGAACGACCTGAAGCGACAGGCCATCCGCATTGTGGCCGCCAAGATGGTTCTCGCTACGCGGGCAGACGTTTCTAACTTCAGCCCCGACGGGTCACTGGGCGAGGATTTGAAACAGCAGTGTTTCCAGCGGCTGGAGAAACTGACGGAGCCGCCGCCAAACTCCGGGACCAAGGCACTTCCCGCTCCGGATGATAAGCCGTCCCGCAAGAGAGGTGGACGACGGGCTCGCAAGGCCAAGGAGGCCGTGGCCATGACCGAAATCCGCAAGGCCCAGAATCGCGTTGCGTTTGGCAAGGAAGAAGCGGAGGTTGGGTACGGCACGGGCGAGGGTACCGTCGGTCTGGGTATGCTGGGTCAACAGAATGACGGGCGGATTCGCGCCACGCAAATCGACCAGAGAACCCGGGCCAAGCTGAGCAAGTCCAACAAGGGATGGGGCACCGCGACGCCTGCCAGCGGCACCGCGTCGTCTCTGCGTGGCTTCGGACAGGGCGGTCTGGGAGGCACGGCCAGCGTTCTCCAGGCGAAGGGTCTCCGAAGCTCTGGCATCGGCACCTCGTTGGGCGCAGGATCGGCCGGTACCGCCAGTACCATTGCGTTCACTCCCGTGCAAGGCCTTGAGCTGGTTGATCCGAAGGTCCAGGCCGAGATGAGCCGCAAACGCAAGGCGGAAGAGGACCGATGGTTCAAGTCCGGCACCTTTACGCAGGTCGGAGGCAACCAAAACAACGGCAACAACAACAACAACCAGACGGACAGCGCCGGCTTCAAAGTGCCGGCTTTGCCTGCCAAGAAAAAAGTCGACACGGGCGAGGGTAAAATGGCACCGCCTCCGCCGCCCCTCAAGCGATAAGCGGGAGGTGATATGTCCGAACGAAGCATTTCGAAAGAAAACACCGGCGTTTTTGAGGCCTGGGATTCTCGGGGAGTTTTCGCATGATACCACATTAAATACGTGTATAATAGGATCTTCGAATGACAGGCGGTTTTTCATTTCTCGCGACCAGAGCGATGGGATCTTTCATCCGGGTGATCGGAATGTGAACCATGGAACGGCCGCCTGCAGAATCACGCCGAAGCCCAAGAATGTGAAGCAAGGACCATGGATTGCGCGAGATGGGACGATCCTGTCGTGCGATTGCCCCGATCTGGGCAAGTCTGGTGTCAGCCCTTCTTTGCCCCTGAGACTTTTCCGTAGGATCCGCCTGCGTCTCGGCCACTTTCTTTGTCGGTTTCAAACGGGCACGCGAGAATTCTGGGGCAAGAAGCACAACTCTAAGTCGGCAAATCCACCGAGCGACCAATCGGCGTGGCGTCCTTTCTGGATTGTTCAATGGCTTGTGCAACGTTTTTTTTTTCTTTGCCATCCGATGCGAAAGACCGAGCTCGTCAGCTATTGCGTGCTTTGGAGAAATCTGTCTTCATACCGCCCTTTCTTAGGGCTTGTAGTATTTCCCGGCCTCGTAGTCCGCTTCTTCTTTCTTTCTTCCATAGATTTTATTACTGTCTCTTACTTCTCTGCCTATTCAAGCCATTGTCCTCAATTTCCTTTCGGCGTCCATTCTTTGTCTATCTATCGTAGCGATAGCCAGGCACCAATCTAGACGACAATGGCTCCTGAAATCGGCAAGCCTGTGTTTCCATCCACACCCACATCCCCAGAATTATCTCCAGACACAAGAGACTCTCCCACGCCGTCAAAACCCTCCCTCTACCACCACAGCCTCGTGACCTCCGACTTTGACGCCCTGCGCTTCCACGCCGCCGCCGCCCTGCAACTCCAGTATCCCTCCACATCCACCTCCACCACCCCCATCCAACAATCCCTCCCCTCGAGCACACACCTCATCGCCTCGCCCTACAACTCCCCCCCTCACCTCCTCGACCTCACCACCCTCGACACCCCCAACCGCCTCCTCGCCCTCGCCCTCTCCATCCTGAAACCCGTGCGCGACGACTACGCCACCGCCCCCTACGCCGACGCCCTGAACTGGCCCGCCGTGTTCTCGTTCCTGCGCGACCTCGCCGCCCACGAGGGGTTCCACTGGCCGAAATCGCACTTCTACGTCGTGGTCTTTCGGTCGCGTCTCCAGGACGGCATCGATCATCAAAGATTGCATGATCTGGACGCCTACTCGCATCAGGAAGCGACTGTTTCCGGGGGGCTGTTGAAGTACTGGTTCGGGGCGAAGAATGAGCGCAGGGAGAATTTGGCGACTTGTAAGTTTCCCCCCCCTTCATCCCTCTTGCTGTTTGGCTTTGTTTGGTATTTGGTATTGGGGACTGTGAGTGCTAATGAATGCAGGCCTCTGGCGTACGCGACAAGATGCGAGAGCCGGTGGCACCGGGCCCTGGCATAAGAAGGCCCGCGGGGCGGCGCGGGACATGTATGAGCAGATCACGTTTACGACGCTGAAGTTGGAGGTCGGGGAGGGGGTGACGTCGTGGGGGTTTGGGGATTGGACGGAGGAGGATGAATAGGATACCTACTAAGGTATGAGGTATGGGGGGATAATTGGTTATTCGGGGATGATGACATATACACGTGCACATGTTCTAGAAGCGAGTTCGATACCTTTTCTTAGTCGATAATACAATTTAATAATCTGGATTTATTTGACACACTATTGCATGTAGTAGAAGATGGATGATGAATGTACAGCGAGGTCACTCCGCAGCCGAACGCCCTCCCGTCGGTACCTGCAGGGTACGTGCGCGGATCCACCAGTGGCGACGGATTGCAATGCATCGAATCTCACTGGAAGCGACATCTTTCCCCGCCATCGCAACCCCCCTGATTGGACTGCAGAACGTCCCTGCTCGAATCGAGTATCTTTCCACGCGGTGGAGTGCGCCACATCGCCGAAGATTACCTCCTGCTGCCGACTGAAGCAATTCAGACAGCTCATCGTGCTCCCCGCGGGGTCAGTCGTAGTCGTAGCCGTAGCTGGAGCTGTGCGAGGTCTACTTAAGACCGTCGCAACCGGCCCCAGATGTATTCTCACTTCCATCTACATTCCCCTCTACACAGCTCCCTACTAGCAAAATGCCCGGTGTCCTCAGCGCCTCCAACCTCTCCGTCGTCGACGGCCCCTTGACCTCCGAGAACGCCGCCCTCCTGCGTCCCTCCGACCCAACCCTCCCCATCGAGGAGCTGCGCCAGCGCTACAACCAAGACGGCTACCTCTTCCTGAAACAGGTGCTGCCCCGCGACGACGTCCTGCAGACCCGCCGCGACTACTTCGAGTACCTAGCGCCCACCGGCGTCCTGAAAGACGGCTCCGACCCCGTCGACGGCATCTTCAACCCGACCAAGTCGCTCGCCGACTACCCGGGGATCGGAGCCGGGCACGTCGACGGTAATGGACGGCCGGGGGGCCCCAGCGCCGACATGTTCGTCGACCGCGCCATCGAGGCCCACCAGAAGGACTGGTATACCAAGAACCTGGTCCACCACCCGGCGCTGTATGACTTCGTGGCCAAGTTCACCGGCTGGGGTAACGATACCTTGACCTTCAAGCGCACCCTGCTGCGCAATAATATCCCCGGCTCGAAGCCCATCGGCGTCCATTATGATCAGATCTTCCTGCGCCATGGCGAGCCGACGAGTGTCACGGCGTGGGTGCCCATCGGGGATATTAAGCTCAATGGCGGCGGGCTGATCTACTTGGAAGATGGTATGTTGTGGCTACTATGATGCGATGGATTCGGCGCGCAGGAAACCCCAGATGAAGTTAGCAAGATGCTGATGGTACCAGGCGACCCGGTGGGATTGAAGATCGAAGAAGAATTCACGACCAAGGCCAAGCAGGCCGGGCTGACGGAGGAAGAGGCGCGTTCGGCGTTCAACTCCAACATGATGTCCACCGGTCTGCTGTCCGAGGCGCCGGCGCAGTTCGCCAAGGAGAATGGCCGGCGCTGGCTGGTCTCGGCCTACGAGGCAGGCGATGTCGTGCTGCACAAGCCGCACACGGTAAGTTTGTATCGCCCCTCCCGGCTGCATCCGACTGATGGGCTCTGCTAGATCCATGCGTCGACCATCAACAATGACCAGGACAATGTCATCCGGTTGGCGACGGACTTGCGGTTCTGTGACTCCTCTAAACCGTATGATAAGGTGAGTCGCATGCCCGTGTGAGTTGATGATTCGTGCTAATGGTGAGATAGCGGTGGATGAACACTTACCGGTTCAATGATGGTGTTTGAATGGATGTGTTTGATTTCTCTCGTGTTTTGAAATAGTGGCATGCCTTCGTTAATGAAATGAGTTATGGTGATTCCATTTTAAGCGTGAAGGTGCAGATACTCTATCAGCCTTGGAACCTGCCAAACATCTTGGACATTGGCTCCGTAAATATGCACGGCCGCTTACAATACTACGGGGCCATTCGAAGTGGTCAGGACCGCCGTCTTCCATAGAAGGTACCATTCACCTTTGGCTCCGAGTCACCGACTGCGAATGCCTCCCGCAGTTTATTTTGATACTCCTCTTGGTCCTTAAGTTTATCCGCAAGAAAATCCTGCATATCCGCACTCCAATAAGGCGCCACCATTCGTTCAAAGCTATCCACTTCTGCATCGTCCAGCCTGGCAAAGATAGGCTGAATGTGGTCGAGGAATATATTATACAGTCCTTTGGGGTTGTCGAGGGCATGAAAGTACCAGAAGCTTCCGTTTCCCAAGCCCCGCTTGATAATCTCTGTTAAGATAAATGGCCTGTCCTCTTTTTTGGAAAGTAATTTCTCCTCTTCTGCGAAAATTTCCATGAATTCGCTGTGCATGTTGCTGAAGGCGTCGAAATGTTCTCCCTTTTCCAGCTGGTCTACTCCACGACTAGTCAGCCAATACGGAGGATGTAGCATTTCTACTGGGCGCAAGCATGTCCACTCTAGATCGACCAGAAACTTGATGTTCCACTCGCTGTCCACAAAAATGTTGCTTTGATGTAGATCCGTGAGGTTGAGGATGAAAGGTCCCCGCCGGAGATCACGGCTTGTGAAATGAGGAAGGATGGCGCGCATAACAGTTAGAGTGGACAACTGTGCCTGACCGTCAAGCTCATCTCGCACAGAATTCGGAGAGTATCGCAAGTAACTGTCGTGGTAGGCCAGAAGATCTAGCAAGTATGCGTCTGTGGAGCAGTAAGTAAGATCCCGGTCAATGCTTGTTGGAACAGATTGGTTTTCTAGGTGTTGAAGTCGGAGCGTAAGCGGGCGATTTTTCAGTCGTACGACACTTCGATTGTCGATTGTCAGCGAGCCTATCCGGTCGAATGGCAAGCGTGCCAACGATAAGATAATCCGAGATAGCCCTTTGAAAAGATTCCTCCGTCGAGTCTGGTCCTGGCGTGATCTTTCCCAAGATTCAGAAAGCATAGCCCCTTCGGTGCCATCAATGTAATTCATAACCAGATAGGGAGTTTTTAATCTGTAAGGACATTGCCGACTCACGTACTGACTTGGAATCGAGTATCTAAAGATGGAGGAAATGGTCCGGCGTAGACTCCACATCAGCCGGCGAAAAAAAGATACTCGTCCAACCGCGGTAAACTCCAGATGAACAAACAAAAGTTAGATCGGCCAATCAAAGATGAACATACGAATATACTCACACTTTGGCCATTGGCAAACCCAAACCCCCATAAGTTAGGTGTTGGAACCAGGGGACAATTCTCTTGGATCCATATAAATGTTGCAGCCTCGGAGCGCAGCTTCTCCTCTGCGTTGCCGGGACATTCGACTTCTCCAACTTTATAGGGCAGAGGAAACCTGATCAGTACTCGTTTGGCGGTCGCCTTTGTCCAGTGGCTGATATAAACCGGTATGCAGACATTGAAGCTCCCTGCGATCCATTCTCTGACTTCTCCGATACGGCATATCTGTTTGCTCTTGAGCCCCGGATGAAACGATACGACGTCCTCGATGGTGTCCCGCTGCATCAGCAGGTACGTAAAGAACTGGATTCTTTTCTCGGGGTAAGACAGCTCCTGGAGAACATTGTCGTCATCATCTAATGCCGATTCTATTGTGATGAGGCCGTTGAGAAGGGGAAGTGTTTTTTGCAGTGCGCTTTGCCAAGCTGTCTTGTTCCTATCTCTTTCCTTCTAGCTTTAGAATGCAGATGAGAATGTGGTATTCTTGAACTTGTTGACTTGGATGACCCGACCGGAAGATGACAAGTGAAGCAACAATAACATAACAAAGGGCCCCGAGAGGCGGAGACGCTAAACCATTTCCGGAGGCCCCGTCCACGCTAAATTCTACTGGGCCAATCAGCAATTTGGTAGTCAACGTTCTAGGATCTATACCGTATAAAATCATTGAGAAATAAATGTATGTCTTTGTCGTAACTATCTAATTCTCTTCATCCTCACCACTCATCCCACCCATCCCGTCTTCAAGACCTTCAAAATTCATAAACTGCTCGTTCTTGGCGTCGGTCTCTTCCCCCACCACAACGCCATCTTGGACCTCACAGTCCTGGAAATAAGTTAGAAACCTAGCCAATCTAGACAGGACTTAAACGCACCTTGAGAATAGACTCTCGTCCAACGTGACTATATCTACCGACTGGAACAATATAAGTTCATGATCGAACAAACCCTATTTAGCTTGCGATCAACCTACCAATACAACCGGTGAGTACACATTTTGGTCCGATGACCGCGTTGTCCATGATGACACATCTGGTCCAAGTTAGAGCTAATTCGAGATGAGATGTGAAAGTCATACCTCGTCAAGCGAGAGCCACTGCAAACCTTCGCCTTCGAAGAGATGCACGACTCCTTGATGACGCATTTTTCCTCCACCTGTTCAGACGTTAATTCGAGCACATGATCAATCAAGGTGGGACATGTGATACCGTCGCATGAGGCCCCAGTAAGCAATCACCTTTGGTGACGACAGACTTCGGAGCGACCCCCTCGGGACTAGCGATCTTCGACGCATGGCTGAACGGCGAGGCAGCGGCACGACCGATCTCTTCAATAGACTCCAGCTTGGCGAGTCGGAGAGACATTGCCAATACCAGAGCGGAACTGTCAACCCGCCGGACGAGTTGTTCGGAGGGTTTGGTCATGTATGCTAGAATTGGCGGCACCTCTACCGAGGATTCGGTATTCGACGAAGACTTCGTATTCCCGGTGTCAGAACCCTGTGCATGCGTAGTGGTCATGCCTCGAAGATCGATATCATCCTCCAGTGAATCGCCATCGAGGCTTGCATGGTCCTCGGGATTCGCATCCTGTCCGCCTAGTATCTCATTGATCCCCAATTTTTCACCCAGCCCACGCTGCCATCCTGCTTTGGCCCAGTATCCAATCAGATCCTCACTAACTGACTCGAACCGCTCCTGGTGCCGCGCCAGGGACTGAACCCACTTTGGCAAGATGTATAAATGCGCATCCCTGTAGCCGGTCAGCATCTTGACCGAGGCGTGTTTCTCAACCAAGGTATGACGCAGCAAAAGGCCTTTATCCTTCTGCATTCGATCCTTCAAGGTATCCATGGGCGTCGACGTAACCAATTTTGAGATCTCGTATCGCGAGAACCCGGGCCCCTCGTCTCTCTTAAGTAGATTGATGGCGACAAAGTCCGTCGGCTCTTTCTTGATCTCGTCCTCGACGCCTTTTGCCGGATAGAACACCGATAAGCCTCCCTGGGACAGTGGACCCAAATCACTCTGCGAGACCAGCCATGCCTCCAGCAAGTGTTCCCCGGGAATATCGCACAGCAAGTCGCAACTCAGGAGCAGGAAATTCGACCGAATGCAAGCCTGGACTTCCGGGAGGCGGAGCAGCTCGGCCGTTCCTGTGGTCATCTTGAGATGCCTCGGGGCTACGACTGTGGGAGATGGCGAGGAGAGCGATGTTAGGTAAGGATTTTGTTGGAGGGCCGCCTTGAGAGACGGGAGGGCGGAGGGAGGTGTGATCAAAACGATATCTGATCCGTTAGCAGTTGCAACTGTAAAGCGCACTTCTGGAGAACTGTAACCACCACTCACCGGTTATTCCGGCGCGCTTGCACCAGTCGAGGGGGTAGTAGACCATCGGCCTCAGCTGGCATCAATTGTCAGTGCTTGCTCCCCACCAGGCCAGCCCTAGATTCGAGGCGCGCCAGTACATACTGCTATGGGAATCAAGCATTTTGGATTCTCATCTGGATTAGATGAAATGGTATTCAGGCTTTCACCCGGGCCGCAGAGGATCAAGGCTTGAAAGCCACTGCTTGGTACTGGCGTAGAAAGCACCATGTTGCTGCAGTTGTGATATGTTTAAACAAGCCCCGCGGGCAAAGCGGGGAAACTAGAATTACTAGTAGATCGACCCGGCCAATGCGGGTCAGGAAGACTCCGCGGGTGAAAGAGAGTCGTGTTGTGCGAGAATGCAAATAATCTCAACGTCTGGAGAACTGAAAATATTGCAGGACAAAGCTCCAGCCGAGTTGTATGCTTGGGCGAGTCGGGCGCCGTCATCGGCCTGACGCTGGGAAGCTGCCTCAGGCCCACATCTCATTGCCAAGACCAGATCAGGTGGCCTAAACTCTAAAGCAGTTTGAATTGATTTGATTGGCCACCAGCAAGACCCGCTTACCCCGGAGCACGTGACCACAGGCATTCACGCAGCAGCAACGCCTCCTTCGTTCGGATTATATACTGTTAAGGCCTGCGAAATGTCCCGCTCCGTAAAGCCCGACACCAGCAAGGTGCAACCGATAGGAGAGATGCTGGATTTATTTCGGGAAAGCTTCAAGACAACATGTGAGGATCTAGAACTGCCAGTATCATTGGATTAATAAACCAGCTCGAGATTCCAGGTAAGAAGCCTCTGTGCTCGCAACTATGATAGATTATCTCAATTCATATGATCCAGATCTTCGAAATGTAGCCTTTGATCTGACCTCGGCTTTACGCGCATACCCAGACATCCGGAAACTTCCCTCTGCCACCGGTCGTCGAAATCTTTTAGATGATCTCTCCGGCCTCATCTACTTCATTGGCTCAGACGCGTTCGACATAGATCGACTTTTGCCGCTGCTGAAGGCGATCTGGAATAGAGCAGCGGATGACGCCATTTGGGACAGAGTATATGCAGTCATAGTCGAAGTCGCGCCTCCGCCTAAGCTTGTAGCTTTCCCTGATCAAACTTCGTACTCGCATACAACGAGTAGCTTCGTTAATTCCTCGGAGCAGCGAAAATACACGGATGCTGTACTAAGACAAGAACTGGGTTCCATATTCGTTGGTGTCCCTGGCTTCTTCGAAGTCTTCTACCATGGCATTGAGGGTCTTCAGACAAAAGCAGAAGCCGTTCTGCAGGAATGCAAACGTGGAGATAATGCATTGTTTCATAACGAGACTGGCTGGCAAGGCTGGCCTCCGAATGCAGAGGAGAAGGATGTTCTGACCTGGCTCACTCGCATTTTTAAGGACATAATGAAGCTTGTTTCTGATCACACATCTGATTTCAAGCCTCGCACCATCCTGGCTCGTCCTTCAAAACCGTTGGAAGGATCCTCTGCGAAAAGGAAACTAGATGTTGCTATAGCCAGGAACCAAGAAAGGGCGATCGGGGTGTCACACCACTGGTCGCAGGTTCTCTTTCCTGGGGAGCTGAAGAGCAGCGCCGACCTTGATACGGCTTCGAACACGTGGCGTGACTTAGGCCGATATGTGAGGGAGGCTTTCACTGCTCAAGATACGCGCCGATTTGTGCTAGGATTTACACTATGTGGATCTGTTATGCGCCTTTGGGAGTTCGACCGCATCGGAGCCATAGCATCATCGCCTTTCGACATCAACTCGGAACCCCTGCAGTTTATATCGGCGGTTGTGGGGTTTCTACTGATGAACGACGAGCAACTCGGCTTTGATCCCAGCATTATCTCGTCGGAAGATGGAGAAAGGTTTATTCGAATCCATCGTGATGGGCGGGACGAACGTTTGATCCTTGAAAAGCTCGTAAAGCCGTCCGCCTGTGTAGCTGGAAGAGCGACTACGTGCTGGAAAGCTCATCTGGATGACGAAGCCAGAACCCCTGTTATTGTGAAGGACTCGTGGCAGTACCCGGAACGTGCGGAAGAAGGCGAGATATTGCAAGATATCGGAGCACAAGGTGTGGTGAGCGTGGCGAGGTATTTTCATCACCAGACCGTCAAAGTTCATGGCGAAGTGGATGACGTACGGAACAACGTGCGCAAAGGTCTTGATGTGACCAAAGCCTCTAATTGGAGACAAGTTCGCTCTCCAGTGACTGAGTCTAGAGACGTCTCCCGTCGAGGCAGTACGAGAAAAGCCAGCAGTCTCGGGCAGAAGAGATCATCCAGTCATACTGAAGCATCCCTACCACCAAGCAAGAGATCGTGTTCACCGGCCCACTGGGGTGATCAACCTTTACAAAACCGCGTCCATCGTCGCGTCTGCGTTCGGGATTACGGCAAGTCGATTTATAGAGCCAGCTCCCGCGTCGCTCTTCTGAATGCGCTGGAAGCGTGTGTTGAAGGTGCCTCCCCAAAGTTTCATAGTCCCGAACATCCATCATTGACTACAGATAGGTTATGAGTCGCTGCATACAAAAGCGGGGGTGCTGCAAGGAGATATTTCTACCGGCAACCTGATCATCAACGAGGAGCACAACGGCTCCTGGTCCGCTTTCCTGATCGATATGGACCTTGCCATTAGGGAACGCAGAGACCAGGCATCTGGCGCCAGGGGCAAGACCGGCACAAGAGCATTCATGGCCATAGGGCTGCTGTTAGGAGAGAAGCATTCTTTCTGGCATGACCTGGAGTCATTCTTTTGGGTTTTGTTCTGGATATGCATCCACTATGACGGGCCCGGCAAGGATATCGGGCCGACGGACTTTGACTGCTGGAACTACGACGACGACCAGAAATTAGCCAACTCTAAAAAGGGGATCGTGGCTGACGAAACCGACTTCGAGCAAACAGCACGGAAGTACTTTACGCCCTACTACCAGTCACTGGTGCCATGGGTGAACCGATTACGTCGGGTGAACTTTCCGGAGGGATCGCGACGGAAAAGCAGTGATACGGGGATATACGGACAAATCAAACATGTCCTTCGACGCGCAGCCGAGGATGTGGAGGTCATAGGCGAGATATGATGAAGATACCTGCTTGTACTCTACCTGTTCGCCCTTTTGAGACCCAACTTCCATTCCAAATGGTTGTCTGTTAATAAGCTATACCCATAGAACGAATATATTAATGTGCATTTCAGCTGTAATATAGTAGGAGGGCAGTGCTAGAGGCAACCAACCAATATAAATCCGGGCAGTATCTTTTTGAATAAAAGTCCAATGCATTATACATGCCACATGATCAGATCTGGAACAACATTGTGTTAACATAAATATTTTAGAACCACGAGAAATACATCCCACCAGTCCTCCCTTAACAATAAAAACCCATACTCCAAATCAATCAACTACAACCTCGCCTCCCTCCCCCCCTCCTCCTCCACCTTCACATTCACCTTCCCCCAAACCTCCCTGCGCACCTCCTCCACGATCCTCCCCGCCTCCTTGACCTCGCGAATCAACCCAATCCCAGCCCCCGCATACGTCGCCAACCGTCCCTGCGGCCCCCAGCCCGCATCCCCCATCCCCAGCGCCTCATCATGCAACCGCTTCAGCTCCTCGAACGGCTTCCCCGCCTGATGCTCATGGAACGACAGGTTCGTGATCCCCCGCGGACTGTACGCCGCCGGCCACCCGAACGTGCCGCGCAGATGGTTATACAGCAGCGTGCGCGTCGTCGACGCCGCCCCGTCGCCCGCGCGCACAATCTCGTTCTGATACCCCGCGCTGATCCGCGCCTCAGTCGCGGCTAGGAACCGCGTCCCCATCACCACGCCCTCTGCGCCGAGACACAGCGCTGCAGAGGCGCCACGTCCGTCCGCGATTCCCCCCGCCGCGAACACGGGGATCTTGCCCCGTCCTGGTGACGAGGCCATGGCCACGATATCCGCGACCTCCGGCAGCAGCGTCATCAGTCCCATTCCGTCCGTCGCCCGCCCGTGACCCCCCGCCTCGGCGCCCTGGATGACCAGGACATCGGGTTGCGCGGCGCTGGTGAGGATCTCGTGCACCTCGGCGATGGTCCCCACCTGGACCCAGATCTGGGTGTTTGGCGCAACCTCGCGAATCCGCAGCGTCCACGTCTGGATGTCGGCGGTGTGGTGCGGCGCGAAGAGCCAGGCGGCGCAGGGCTGGTACTGCTGGATGGCAGCGGCGGCGGTGGCTAGGTCGTCGCTCCAGAGCTGGAAGCCGATGCCGATGGGGAGGGGGGTGGAGGGGAGGGATGAGAGGGTGGTGCTAGGGGCTTTGAGGAGCGAGGACGCTTCTTGCAGGTTCGTCAGGGCGTCTTGCGTCTTTGCGCCGGGGCCGATGAAGCCGAGTCCGCCGGCGCGGGAGACCGAGACCGCTAGTGCTGGGCCGGACATGATGCGCATTGGGGCGCTGACGATGAAGGGCGAGGTGACCCATGGGTAGAGGGAGGGGAGGGATTTGGAGAGGCGGATAGGGGGCATTTTGATTATGATTATGGGTTGATGGTATTGGGGGTAGGTGATTGGGAGTTTAGATGATCAAGGGGATGGTGATTAAGGTGTAGACTAAGAGTTCGAGGAAGAAAGTCGGTGGTTTGTTTTGGTCTTATGTAGGGAGACCTCCTGCAGCGTGATGTAATCCGGATGCAGCGGGTATTGCGGGTCGGTGAAGCGAGGGATGCGCCACTATATAAAGGATCGTCGTCCCCGGGCAATTGAGAAATTTTCACATGCATGTTCACATTGCACCATTCCTGTATGGACAATCCTGTATGGACCACCGTATGGACGTTACGTATTTACAGATTCGTCGGAAATAGATTCATCACATCGTCATCCAGCGACTCGTACAGATTGATCCCCTGCAGACTGGGCATCTCCGCCACCAGATCCTCCAGCCACGAGATCTCCTCGCGACTCGCCCCGGTCTGCTCCGCCGGGACCTCGGGGTCCGGCTGCTGATGCGTGCTCACCAGCCCGCTCAGCATGTCGACGTCCTCCTGCCGGCGGCGCTGGTACAGCCGCACCAGCAGACACGCGGTGCTGTAGGCCTCGCGCATCGTGTCGGTGTCATAGGTGGACGCCACGAACTTCAGCGTCTGCATGGCCTCAGGCAGCAGGGCCAGCGACGCGCGCGTGTCCATGTCCAGCAGCACGCCGATGATCTGGAACGGCACGTTGGCCATGTGGTGCCACGGGCAGCAGTTCATGGCCATGCTGCGCGCGCCCTGCAGCGCCCTGCGGAACAGCGCCAGCACCCGCTCCTTGACGGCCGACGACGTGCTGGCGTTCATCACCAGCAGCCGCCGCAGCAGGCACAGCGCCAGGTTGCACTGCGCCATGACCGACGGCGGCTGCGTGTGGCGGCCGTCCAGGATGGCCCGCAGCGACGCCTCCAGGTCGCGGTCGTCCGGCGACTTCTCGGGCCCCAGGCTCGCCGACACGGGCAGCAGACCCAGCAGCTCGGTCGTGTAGTCGCCCGGTTTGGCGGCGGGCGCCAGACACTGGTCGTTCCAGACGATCACCCGCGTCAGGCCCAGGTCGTAGGACACCCACATGTTCAGGTGGCGCGCGACGCCGACCAGCCGGCGGCGGATGTCGGGGCTGCAGTGCACGCGGCGCGAGAGGATGGTCTCGCCGGCGGACTCCAGGTGCAGGCCCAGGGCTTCGACCAGGTGCATCAGCGTGGCGCTGGCGATCCAGGTCGAGTGCGGCGACGCGGTCATGCGCATGTAGACGACGCGCAGGGTCCAGCCGGTCGCGGTGTCGAAGCAGGGCAGGCCGCCGCGGTTATTGAGCTCGAGGATGGAGCGCGCCGACTCGACCAGCAGCAGCTCGGTCACGTCGATGATGCGATGCGAGAAGAGGGACCCCAGCGCGGCGACGCCGGCCAGCACGCTATCGTAGACGCCGGAGCTCAGGGGCGACCGCCAGCGCTCGTCCAGGCGCTCGTAGAACTGGCGCGAGTCGATGAAGCCGTAGCACGGATCGACCTTGGCGAAGTAGATCCCCGCCAAGGCCTTCATGTCGTCGCGCGACAGGATATCGACGATCGGCAGCGCAGAGACGGCGCCGTTGCCGAGGCCCGACGGCAGGCGGCGCTCGCCGATATTCCAGCCAAACAGATTCAGTCGCGGGGCATTGGAGGAGTCGACCTTCAGGCCGAGATTGCGCACGAAGGCGGCGCCGGAGTTGGCCTCCAGGGAGCGGGTGATGCGGTGCGGGTCGGGGGCGGAGGTTTGAGGGAGAGAGTCTAGAGCATCAGAATCCGGGGGTCTTCCCGGCGAGGCGGAGCTGGTCGGGATGGACGGATTCGAGTTCTTCTGTTTCTTCAGGCTGGCGGGTGTGCCGTAGCAGCAGTCATAGCCCCATTCGAGACAGGTGGTGCACGGATCTCCCCCGTTGCATTTGCGCTTGCGCTCGCGACATGGCGCACAGGCAACTCTGGAGCGCTTGCGTTTGAGCTGGTCGGTCATGTAGGCGAATGATGCGCAGGAGTGGCTTCAATGTGGAAATGGATTCGATGCAAAAGGGACGATGCGGGCGGCTACGGCGGATATTGCGGCACGTGCCGATTAGTCAGACACAATCTCGACTTTCTTCCTCCACCCTCATGAATGCTTCCTGTTGCTGTTGCTGTTGCATCCCCGTGATCGTGGCAGCCTGAGGCAGGGCGGGGAACATGAATGACTTCCTCCTCCCAAGTAAAGTAGTTGTAAACTCCGCCAAAATGCCCCTCCGAATCGCCGCCTGCCATGTCTCCCCCGTCTTCCTCTCCGCCCGCGACTCCACCACCAAGGCCATCTCCCTCATGAAACAAGCCGCCCGACAAAATGCAAATCTGATCGTATTCCCGGAGACCTACATCTCCGCATTTCCCATCTGGAGCGCCCTCCGGCCCCCAACCGACAACCACGCCTTCTTCGAGCGCATGGCCCAAGAATCCGTATACGCCGACGGCGACGAGATCCAGACCCTCCGCGCCACAGCCCGCACCCTCAACCTGATGGTCAGCATCGGCGTCTCCGAAAAAGTCCGACACAGCAGCGCCACCCTCTTCAATGCCAACCTCCTCATCAGCCCCACGGGCGACGTGCTGATCCACCACCGCAAACTCGTCCCCACATTCTTCGAGAAATTGACCTGGGCGCCGGGGGACGGTCACGGCCTGCGCGTCGCGGACACGCCGTTCGGGAAGATCGGGAATCTCATCTGCGGCGAGAACACGAACCCGCTCGCCAGGTATGCGCTGATGGCGCAGGGCGAGCAGATCCATCTCTCGACGTGGCCGGCGATCTGGCCGACGCGGGTCGCGGGTCCGTCTGTCGAGGAGGCCGACAAGGGGGGCAAGGTGGATGAAAAGCCCAACTACGATAATGTCGCCGCGAACCGGACGCGTGCGGCGGCGCACTGCTTCGAGGCGAAGTGTTTCGGGGTCCTGTGTGCGGGCGTTCTAGGCGCGGATGCGATCGAGGCCATTGCGGAGGGCTCGGCGCATCTGAAACAAGTCATGGAGCGGGCTCAGCGCGGAGCGACCATGTTCTTGGATCCGACGGGGGCGCCGCTGCGGGGGTTTACGGTGGACGAGGCTGGGGAGCATCGATCGGTGGAGTACCTGCAGGCGAGTGAGGGGATTCTGTATGCGGATGTTGACGTGAAGGATTGTGTGGAGGGGAAGCAGTATCATGATGTCGTGGGTGGGTATCAACGCATGGATGTCTTTGATTTGAAGGTCGATCGGACACGGCGGGATCCTGTGACTTTCACGGAGATTGCGGGACAGGCTCAGGTGGTTAGTGGGGAGGCTGATAAGTAGGATGGACTCAGGGTATAAAATGAAGTTCGAAGGGGTATCTTCAACAGGGTAAGGCATACAGTCACCAAAAGGATCTACCGCAATGACAAACACATATCACCATGACCAGCAAAGACCAAATTCCTCCACCGAAAAGAACTGGCACCAACAAAGCAAAGAGAACCCAGGCCTTTACAGGAAGCATCTCCATCTGCCAATGCATCAGAATGGAGAAATCCATGAAAATGGAAAGCTTATCCCCAGGAATTCTCCAGCACAGTACGCACCTAAACCGATGGACAATATACTCCACAGAAACTACAAACGGCCTAGACTGTTCTATTGCCTCTGCGTGTTGTACCTGAGTCTTTGGAGTGGGCCATCAACCCAGAATGAGGATGTCTGGTGGATGGAGTACGTACTAAGGAAAGCACCCCTGCTCTTTATACTGTATTCTTTAGATGAAAAGACTGTCCCATTCTGCATTCATATCTATACAAGCTGCTAAGTAGCCACAGGACCTGCTAGATCCAAAAATCAACAAGTAAATAAAACGCCCGGCCGAATCCATTAGGGTTATACAGTCACGTGGAACTATGGGACGGCATCTATATAGAGTACCACATACGACTGAAATAATGTTGGACTCTCATACAGAGGTAGGCCAATTTAATTTCTCAGCCAGTTTCCCTTTATATCATTTCCTGTAATGTGCTTCTTGACTGTGGCTGAATGATACTGAAGTACGGTCCGTCCACATCAACATTCCAGCGGGGGTTGGAATGCAGGAAGAAAACACCCCTTCAACCTCTCTCAATCTACTTCGTACTCGCTACCACTTACTCCCCTTGAATCAATCAGAATACATCTTATTATATCAATATATCAACCAGGATAGATCCTCTCCATATATACAATCCACATACTCTCGTGGCTCAAATCAAAACCATATACAAGCGTCACATATACACGAACTCTTCAATCGAAGAGGATGAAAAAAACCAAAGACAAAAAATGATAGACGCAACCGCGTCATCTAACCAGGGTATGCCATGAAGCGGATTCTACCCAACTCCGGAAAACACCATGTCCGTGAGATTATTATTTTGGTTTATACCGTCTCTCATGTCGGTTAATGTGATCGGTCATTGTCCGAAGACAACAGATCATGCCGATATCGTTCAACCCGTCAAGGCCTTGAACGCTTCCCGTTCAGCCTGGATCTCAGACTGAAGTCGGCGAGTCTGGCGAAGAGCATCATCCCTGTCATACGTTAGCAGGCTGATCATACAGGTCAGAGACAAACTACGTTAACTTACCGGTCGGATTGAAGTTCCGCCACGTCGATCTGAGCACGGTTCATTCGGCTGACCACCTCGCTCATCTCGGTGTCCGCCTCGCGGAGAAGTCGCTCGAGTTCCTTCACCCGTTGCTCCAGAGCCTCCGATTGAATGGCCTGGGGCAAAGCCATGCCATCACCACTGGTCGTTTTATCCAGACGCGGCGAACGCGAGCCAAATGGAGTCGAAGGAGGCAGGGGCGACAAAGTGGCGGGGCTGCGGCCGCCGTTGTCCTTCAAGCGCATGAGTTGCGCGGTGTGGGTCTCTTCGAGGTGACGGATCTCCTCGTCGTGGCGGGCCATCTCTTCCTCGGAATGCTGTTGCGCCGCCATGAGCATGTCCTCCAACTCCTTCAGTCGCGCCTGCATCTCGTTGATGCGAATGGCCGAGACCTGCTGGTCCTTTTCACCCTTGCCGATGGCATCCGCCAGGCGGCTGCGCAGGGTGTGGTTCGTGTCGAGCTGTCGGCGCACGTTCTGGGCCAAGACATCCGTGCGACTGACGGAGGCGGCGAGGTCGCCGTGCTCCTCCTGCGGGAACTGAGCGGCGCTGGCTTCGGCATGTTCCCGGTCCGCCTGCAGCTGTTTATAGGCGGACTCCAGCGACGACGACGTGGCGATGACCTCGGCGAATCCGTCGCGGTCGGTCTCAACTTCCTCGGGAGCGGTAATGTCGTGCTCCTGCAGCAGGTCGCGCAGAGACGAGGTCTCCTGCTCGGCACGGTCCAGATCCATCTTCAGACCCGCCAACCCCTTCTCGCATTGCCACTTCTGGTCGAGGGCGTCTTGCGCGCGGGAGCGCAGGTGGTTGACTTCGTCTCGCAGATTGCGAACCTCCCGCTCGTAGCCGAGCCGGCGCGGAGAGCCCGATTGCTGCGCGCGCAGCACCTGCAGTTCCATGACCTTGATGCGCTTCTCGTACTCGCGGGCGTCGTGCGCCTGACGGTCGAGCAGGCGCCGCAGGGACTGGTGAAGGGCATCGCGTTGAGCTTCGGCGCCTTCCACCCGGTCCGCCAGGGATTCCCGGGTGTTGACGTCGCGATCGCGGCCAGAGACCGTGTTCGCGCGGGACAGCGAGCTGGACCGCGACAGGCCGCTGGGGCCGTTCGATTTCGAGTGCATGCCACGAGCCAGCGAGTTCGAGCGCGACAATCCCAAGCCCGAGTTTCGCCGGCTGGAACCGTCCTCCTCGGCAATCGAAGCGAACCGACTGCCCTGCAGTTGAGCTAACGAGGCGTTTTCGATCTTCAACGCCTCGACTTCTTCCAGTAGGCGCTGCACCTCCGAGGGGTTGGCGGAGCCGCCTTGACCATGCTGCAGTTGAGGGATCACGTCGTCCCGCAGCTGATCCCGCTCATTTCGGAGCTGCTCCAATTCCACTCGCATGGCGGTGAGAAGATCCTCGAAATTATCTTTGATCTGCCGTTCCTCTGCAAGCTTTCTACGAGCGGATTCGAGCGCACTCTCGAGTTCTTTGGCCCGGGAAGACAGATCGGAGAACTCGGCTCGTTCTCGTCGGAGCTAACAAAACTATTAATATCTTACAATCGCAGGATGATGACGGACGTGATTCTTACCTGTTGTACCTGTGACTCGAGAATTTGGACGTGTGACTCCGTGGCCGCACGGCGCGACCGCTCCTCGTGCCATTTTTGCGTCAGATCGACCTTCAATTGGGCTCGCTCTTGCTCTGTGGTACGTCGGAACTTCTCCACGTCTTCTAATCGGCCGTCATAGGTGTATCGGATGGAACTGGACCCCGAATCGGAGAAGTAATCGCTGGTGCGTCGGTTCGGGGTGTCGAGAGGCATCTCCGACTGTAGCCGCTCCACCAGGTCCTCAAGCTCCATCTCCCGCCGGATCGACCCAGCCAACTCGGAGCTGATCTCCCGCAACTCATTTTCAATCTCCGCCACCAACGTCGACGACCCCGACTCCGCCATCCCGGCACTGCTCAGGGATAGGTTCCGCATAGGCATGGGCGGAATCGGACCGGAGGGTCTGGACTGGTCGAGAGGTACGGTGGTGGAGGGGGTAATCGAGTAGGAGGCACTGGGAAGAGACTGCGGTAGCGGGGATGGCAACGGGGACCGGCCCGTGTCGGAGATTTCGGTGCTGGACGAGTCGGCGCCGGGAGAGGAGGACTGGGCTCGCCAGCCGAAGAAATTACTGATCTTATTCGCGGGGGTTTTCGGTTGTTGTGGGTGTTGTTGGTGTCGAGAGTCCATGGCCGCCTGCATGCCTCGCACCGAGTCGATGTGCAGCGGTGGAGGACGATTGGAGGGGGGATGTAAAGCCATGGTGGCGGCTCTTTTGTGGAGGATTGGGGGCGATTTCAGGACCGGGACAAAGGGTTCGCTGACAAGGCGGCTATGGACCGGGGGCCCATCCGTGAACTGCGAGGGAAACCCAGGGCTGTCTTCGTCGCTGCTGGCGTCGGTGACAAACGAGGTCGAAGTGTCTATTCGGCGATGGGACGTGGACGGACCACCACGGGGAAATCTGGGGACGAGCAACAACAGCAGGCGGTTAGTTGGGAGCACACGACCTGGGATGGCAATCGCATGAGGTGTTCAAGTCGCAGCACGACGAAGAGGAAAAGTGTTCAAGGCCCCCAAAGGAATTGGCAGGGCGAATTGGGGGCAGTTACAGCGCGGCATGAGGGGGCAGAAAAGTAAAAAATAGAAAGGGAAAAGACAGGACAATAAGAAGCAAACAAAGAGGGCGCTTAATTGGGGGCGAACATACCTATCCAGGTCCCTGGGAACAAAGAAGGAGGGGCCGTCATGCACGGAGGACGGGGTTGAGGAGAGGGAAGAGGAAGAATGATAGTGGGTAGGAGCAGCAGCTGAAAGATGGGAGGGCGAATTGGCCGCAACAGCAGCAGAAGTGAGCAGCGCCGTAGGGTTTGGAGGATCGGCAGGCGTCTCGCCCCCGGGGAAGGAGGTGACGGCGGACACAGTCGAGAGCCGGGAGTGGCCAGCAGGGATCACAGGGGAGGCATTCTGGGGCAACGGCTTACGGCGCACGAGGGAAGGGGATGGAGGAGAGGTGACAGAAAGGAGAGCAGGAGCGGCGGTAGATGAAGAACGACTTGGCCGGCCGGGGGGACTCCTGGGATGGGATGGTTCCAGGTCCAGATCCTCAGGATAGGCGCCGGAGCCAGGAGCAGCTGGCGGAGATGCCCAGCCGGGGGTCATGGCGTGGACGTAGTATGATTATTGACTTCCCCTGGTCAATGGCCCAAATCCAATTTAATTCGATCGAGAAACAAATAAAAAGCAAGACACCAGAAACGGGAAAGGAAAAGGAGAATCAGAAACCATCGTTGGTCGGGCGGATCGACGTTACCCTCATGGGTGACGAAGAGCGAGCGAGCACGGGGCAGCCGATAGATTTTAGGGGGAGCAAGCAGTAGCGTCGAGACTAGCGGCGCGAAAGAGTGGTTAGTGCAGGCATTGGCAGGGGAAGTTGGAGAATGAATAATGAATGGATTGACGGCCATCAGGGGAGACGAAGAAAATTGGCCAAAAAGGAGACGGTCGATGGCCGGTGGGCCTGCATGTACCGCCGATGGTGCGGTGACCTCGGGCGGCTGCTGGAGGTGCCGGTGCGAGAGGTCACTCGCATACAGCGATACTTCTACGGAGTATGTTCATTCTAGATATACACTTGACTCGAGAGTACTCAGTATATCAGGCTCCATATACTCTACAATGTATTCATCCCTTCTGACAGATACCGAACAGATGCATTTACTGCTACTTCCAGCGTACGAGTTGGACGGCTCGTAGGCGCCGAACTAAAGCGGCCGATCGCAAAGTCTCGCAGGACCCACTCGTTTTCAGGGGAAGCCCTGCGTGATTGCTTTCTGATTGCTTTGCTTCATGATTTGTACTGCGTACAGTCAGAACTCAGCTTCAGCCGGAGGAACTATGAAGGGTCGTTCATCTTGGCCGTTGCCGATCGCCTCGTACGGTCCAAATTGATATCCTGGTTATCTTCTACCTACCATAGCAAGCATACTAAACATAGATCTGTGCTACAGGAAATCCTACGCTGGAAATAGTCCCCGGGCATTAATCGCCCCGAAATCATATGGTGGCTGTCAGCCCTCGTAGTTTAAAGCAACGCAACGCATGCGTTCTATTCCCGTCGTCAATCGATAGTATGGAGTGCTAAAAGTGTCGCGAGAATAAATAGAAAACCACGGAGTATTGCCTGCACAAGAGATATCCTCAGATCCCTGACACGGACCAGCCCAGCTCAGGTCACTCCCCACGACAATCCTGCCTTGTCACTGGTCGGAGACGGCGTCAGTGCGAGGGACTAGGAGTATTCCTCCCTCCTACCAGGGATATCTGCATCTCCAATCAATTCCCCTCGGAGTATAGGTACTCTGGCGATCCCTTCTTCTAATTGCCCAATATACTCCGTACTCCGGAGTCAACGAATGGCACGATCATAATATGCGTACCATTTCATAAAGATTAATTCCAATAATAACTGACTATCCTCCGTTGCAGCGTCCCAGTACTAAAAATATCCAGTAACCTGAAACGAACGTAGTGCTCGAGTCTAGTCACGACTGGGAAATCTCTCCGGACCGCCTGCCTCCAAACGGACGATAGTTCGGCGCCACCGTCTCTGTGCCTTGGTTGGATGCTTTATTAAACAATCTAATTGCCCAGCCCTACTTTTCCTCCCGAGGAACCTATACCCCCGTCTGATATTAATTATTAATTGCTTGCTGCATCGCGCTCTCATGTAAATTGGAGGGAAATTTATGCCCGGCAAGGGGGAGATAGGGCTCCGGTTAGCGCTGACTGTAGGAGCCCCCATTCACAAACAATTAAGAAAAAAAGATACTCAGATAATAAATAGGAACGCCAAGAACCAGGCGTCTCGCCCTGTTCCCCTGCCTGAGTCCGGCTCATTCCCGGGTCTGACAGTTTCACCACCGCTGCAAGGGACCGACCGGTAGTTTCGGATTGCTGGACCCTGGATGGCATTCCTCGAGGCCGAAAGCTTGTCCTGGTGCAGAAGTGACATCTGTCGGTTTGTGACTGGTCGGATATTGTAAACTGCACATCTATGAATAGTTTAAAGGTGATGGATTTATGATCAGTCGACTGTACTTGAGATATAGGTTGGTGAAGATGGAAGAAGATAAATTAGATCGCTGAAGAATAACGCCTACATCGCTGCCCATTTATATACATCGGATTAAAGCATTTTCGCTTCTTGATATCGTAAACATAACCTGCATGGTGGCTCAATCGCGCACCATTTAATACGGAATAAAGTCAAACCTCATTCGATCTGTCCTTGTCAGCTAAAAGACCCAATTTTGAGAAATTGCAACATACCTAGGAACTGATTCCAACTCTCGTGCTCGTCCAGCTGATTCCCCCAGTACTGCTCGAGAAACTTCAACGACTGCAGCACATTCGGCACTCGGATCGTATCGTGCAGCGCGGACAGCAGCTGCCGTACTTGCTCGCGGTCTTCGCCCTGCGCTTCGCAGCCCGCGATAAACAACGGCGTCGTGAGTAACACCCACGGGCTCAGCCCCGACGACGGCCCGATCTGAGCAGTGCATTCGAGAATCCGCCGCACGGATGCCTGCACTTCGGGCGCGGCCGCGGGCGTTCTTCGCAAACGGCGGTGGATCTGGATGAGGGCACTGTGCTGGAAGGCTTCGTTGCAGAGAATGGATTGTTGGATGCACGTGGCTGATAGACCTTCGACGACCCCCGGGTAAAACGTGGGAATGGCGTCGGCTCCCTGGTCCATGAGTCGTCGGAGAGATGACTCAAGGGTCGCGGCCTCGTGGAAGACTGCGACTTCGTTGCCCTGAGTCGCGTGGCTCGGATGATTTCGCCAGGCGGCAGCCCCGATCTTCCGGAAAATGGCCGCGAGGTTGACCGTGAAGCCCCAGTAATCGTCCAGATAGTCCGGGTATTCGGATGGGTTGAGATGCTCAGGTCCCGCCTCTTCCTTGACTTCGACGGGGGGCCCGTTCCCCGTCAACGCCGTCAGCGACACGATCGATCGATACCATCGGTCGAGGTATCTGCGGAATCCATCCGACGAGCCTGGAGACACCCCTCCTCGGTTGTCTGTTGCGACCATCAAAGCGCGGGCACCCTCGATGTGAGCTCGCCACGACTTGGGATGGATCGCCCCCGAGTGGACCTCGGCAAGACAGAGCGTTCGTGCCGTCGCCAGCAGCGCATCCGAGCCCTTCGTCTGCGGGTTCTGCAGTTCCTTGCGAAAATGTTCCAGGCTAAGAGCCATCAGGTGGGCGATATCGGGCGCCGATTTGACGTTCTCCGATTGATTATACAAGGCTTGTAGGTGGATCGCGGACAGAGCCATTGTCGCATAGAGCAGAGACGGGGTCTGCAGAGCCATAGGGACTAGCATCTTGCATATATCCCTCTGCATGCCCGAATGGCAGGCCGTGATCTGAGAGGCATCGTTGAGAAAGTGGTGGAGCAGAGCCTTCTTGTCCGACGAGAGTGAGGAAAACGGATCGACAGGTTGCACGAGGGGAAGCGTTTCGACGGCGGTGGGGGAGGTGGAATGCGTGGTGTAGACAAATTCTCCCGGGGAGTATTCTAGACCAGGCAAATCACAGTTAGCAGGGACAATCCAGGCCAAACCACATCATCGACAAAGCCAGGTTGAAGAGACGCACCGAGCTTCTGCATCCCCCCCGTCCCCACGCAGGCGCCGAACCTTGATCGCGAGAAGGCTCTTCCTCCCCATTGCAGCTGCATCGCATACCCACACTGTGTGCCGGCCGCCTTGCAGCGTCCGCAGGTCGGTCGTTGCTCGTCACATTTCTGACGCCGAGCTTTACATCGTTTGCAACCAGTGAACGATCGAGACATGGGAAGGCGACCCAGCGGCTTTTTTCCTGGCGAACCCTTGAGATTTCCGACCGATCCAGCCAGCCAGACACCGTATGGAACTCTCTCCAATAGACGAGGATCCACTCTATTTGATTTCAAACCCCAATAGTATGCAGATGCGATGATCAATGAAGGGAAAATCGAAGAAAAAGATCCAAACCCCACGACCGGGATGGTTATCAGTGAAAATCCACACCCAAAGATAAGTCCGTCGGGGCCCACGGAATGTGTTGCGATAGCGGCTGATCACCGACTGCGGTCCACCGTCTGTCTCAGTCGCACTGGAGCATTGCCGAGCACCTTATACAGTGCAAGTGGCAGACTAGATTCTGAGGATGAATATAAGCATACGAGGGTGAATTAGTGCAATGTGGGGGACAGGGGGGATTGCCGATTGAGTCTCTGGTCGGTTCTTTTCCTTCTCCGCTTAACGCAGGGATTAACCGGGTCTTCTCCATGCGGGGTAAGACTGCCTCGTACTCTCCCCGGTTCTTGCCAGGCCGGTGTTTCAAGGGATGGAACGAGAATTGGGTTGGTTGAGGATGTCATGTTGGGGATGTGTTCGTGGCAGTTCTGCTTCGTTGCCAAGGGACATACGGTTGCACGAATATGCGGAATGGATTCTCCTTAATCGCATTGACCAATATTTCTATTATGCACAGGAAGCTGTACCATCAATGCAGCATTCGATTCTTACAAATGCTCGAAGCCCGACGAGAAAAAAGAAACAGATTGGGTAGTATAGACAGGCAAAACACAAGAGAATACAAAATCAGTCATCAAATGTATACCGCAGCCACTCGCCCACTGCCCGCAAACTCTCCCATCTCACCGTCTCGTCTTTGTCCGCCATCAGCTCCATCACTCGCGCCTTCAGTCCCAATCGCTCCAACTGGTTCCGTCGCTCGGGCAGTTCCTTCACTAGGTGTCCCACGTCATTACAGGCGATCGCGAGCACCTGCTTGTCATTGTCCCAGCTCTTGGAAATGATCTCGGCCAGCTTCTTCGGGAGCGCGGCGTTGGTGTCGTCGAGAATCCGGCGCGCGTTGTCTTTCCAGAAGGTGGGATTGCGGTGGGGCGGCGACCAGCGAAGGTGGCCCGATTGCAGTTCGGCGGCGTACTGATCGAACGTCGTCTGCGTCTTGGTGTACTCCTCCAACATATCCGACAGGTATTTGAGATCCTCGAGGAGGTCAGGGTCGGTCAAATGACGGCCGGAAAGGTTGGAGAGAAGCGCGGAGAGGCGCACAAACACCGCTACCGGGAGGAGGGTCGTGCGGTTGGAGGACAGGAGGTTCTTGAGGGTCGCGAGGAGGAGGCGCGTGGTCTTCTCCTTGGGAGAAAGACGCAGAAGGTGAGAGTACAGCTGGATAATCTCATGATCGCTGCATGCCGTCAGTACAAAAGCTCGATGACAGAAGCCGGCCGGAAATAACTTACGCTTGAAGATCATCGCCGATCAGACTGCCTTCGAAGCTCAGCTGCCACAGAACCAGGAGAACGCGGTATAACAGTTGAAGGCCAACTCCGCCCGCCAGACCGGGCTCGATGCGGGAGCTACCAGCCAGAGTGCTGGAGCCAGTGTCCTTGGCTCCGGCAGCAGCGCGGAGGATCTCAACCAGGGGATCGACCGTCTCTTTCCTCTGTTTCCAGAAGAGCTCTCGAGATCGCGATGTGCGTAGCAGCGCCGACAGTTTCTGAACTCCAATATCCTGCAGTCCGCTGTCTTGGTTCTGGGTCAAGCTAGAGAGGTAGGTGAAAAGCTGCGGGAGCGCCTCCTCATCCCGCGGAGTAGATTTGGACGTGGACACGAGGCTGATGGATACGAGGTTGGTCAAGAATGTCGAGGTAAGCAGTGGGATGGGATCTTCGGTGTTCGTGGAGTGACGCAGGAGGGGAAGGAATGGCTTGTAGGGGCTGGGATGCGCCACCAGTGCGGACGATAGGGACGGGACATCTGTTCAAGTCAGCTCCCAGTTCGCAGGAAAGGGCCCGGTCACTCAAACATGACACGCACCATTGATCAGGTCGGCTGCCAGCACAAGGATGTATTGTACAATATCGGTTCTCCTGGACGCCAAGTCCAGCACGCTCTTGCCGTCGGAGCTGCCAGCGAGCAGACCAACATAGCCCGGAAGGTCTCCCTCCACCGTCTGACGTCGTTGCTCCTTGCGGACCTTATCGACCGCCTTGATCTTCTTCAGATGATCATCGGTGATGTTACCTGCGCGGACAGCCCCCTCCCAAGGGATCGGACGAGCTCGAATATTGTTCTGGAGTGAGCTGAGGTAGGCCGGGGGCTCCAACGGCATGGACGACATGGTGTCGGGTGGGGGGAGTCAAAAAGGGGGAGGGTGGGACAGAGACGGGAGCCTGCCCGAGCAGAGGTATGGCAGAGGGAGGAAGATAGAGAGAAAGAAGGAGATACGAGAAGGAGGGGAGGGTGTGAAGAAGAGGGAGGGAGAGCTGCGACAAGTTGAGCCGGTCGGAGGTCAAGAGAGAGCGACGACTGACGTTCTCTGCCAAGCCCCGTTAGCCCCGATTGGATTCCGTCTTCAACGCCTCGTCCACGCAAGCCATTTCATCTTCTTGCTTCGTCTACGTTGATCGCGTCGCTCCCAGTCTCTCGTTTCTCATCGTGTTCGTGCAACTCCCCCCCGTGGGCCGCCCGTTCTGTTGGTCTTGTTGGCGACAACATCTCCTCAACGTCAAATCAAATCGTCATTGTCAGCATCCGTTGCCTTTCATGACGGAGAGAATCGATTAGGTTCACTGCTAGGCATCATAGGAGCGATCACTCTTGTCTGGCCCCACCATCATGGCGCAACAATCTTCCAAGCCGAAATGGAAGGTCGGATCCTTCCTGCAGCAAGCAGTCGCCGGCGTAGAGTCGAGACTGGACCTGATTTTGGCGGAAGAAGATGAGCAACAACAGTCGCAATCGAAATCCGCGACGGCAAAGCCCAACCAGAGCGGCAGTATGACACCCTCGCTCCCACAGCTTCTTTGTATTAACTTGGTTCCAGATCTCTCTCGGAGTTCATCCAATGCCCGCAAAAACGATCGCCTTCAAGAACGTTTAGCTCGTGCCGTCGTAAAGAACAATGCGCCGGGAAATGTCAGCTCATCCTCCCCGCCAAGCCGCGTCACTTCGCCCGTCTCGAGTCTGGCCGCCAGCAACGATGCGCGTTCGAGTTTGGATGTCGAATCGAATTCCGGGATCCCCGATAAAGCCGACGAACTTCCTCAAAGCTCTCCTCCCCCACAAGAAGAAACGGTCGACGCTAGGACAAGCCATGACTCGAGCGTTCCTTCACGAACCTCGAAAGAGATCGTCGCTTCGTCTGTTGACGATGTTGCACCGGCGGATAGCGGCGCTGAGAATGTTATCGAAAACTCGAAAGATGCGGATGGCCCTGAAATCCCACCCGCCGATGAACCCACCAAAATTTCCCGGCCTTCACAGGATCTCGTTGCACCCAATACGGACACAGCGGTCAATGGCGATGAGAAAACGGTCGCACAATTGCGGGAGGAACACAAAGCGGCCGAATCGCGCTGGCAGGAAGAGATGTACGGATACATCGAGCGAATCGATGCCTTGCAGTCTAAACTAAAGTATCTTGCGAAAGACGCTGCAGACTCGGCTAAGAAGGCGGCCGCCACAGCGGGCCCTGGTAGTGTCGAGAAGCAACTGCGAGAAAAGGACGAGAGAATCGCATTGCTACTAGAGGAAGGACAGAAACTTTCAAAGACCGAGATGGACCACCGAACGGCAATTAAGAAGCTCCGTCAGCAATTATCGGAAAATTCCAAGCTCCAGACGGAACAGAAAAAAAAGACCGACCGACTGGAAAGGGATCTGGCCAACTCAGAGGCGCGGGCCAAGCGAGCGGAGGCGGCGGAGAAAAGGGCAAACGGTTCCCTCACTTCGCAGTCTAAGATCTCCCGAGATCTCGATGCAGTCACTTCCGAGCGGAACGCGCTAACTCAGACCGTCGAGGAGATGAAAGGTCAGCTTGCCAGAGCGGTCGCGCGTGCCGAGGCCGCCGAGGAAAAAGCACACTCAGACGCCTTGGAACAGGAAAAGCGACATGCATCCGCACTGGAAGAGGAGCTGGCCAGTACCAAGATTGAGCGTGACATCAGCGAGGAGAAACTGAGGAGAGAGATCAGCGACCTGAAGGAGACCATTGGACAAGAAAAGGAGAGAGCTCGCATGCTCGAAGCCGAGCTAAAGGGTGAGCAGTCAATCTTGGAGAGTAAGATGGAATCGCTGCGTTCGAAGGCGGAGGAAGCTTCGTCCGGTGTCGCCGGTGATACGCAAGCCAAGCTCCTGCGACAGATCGAGACACTGCAGACGCAGTATGCCGTGGCCAGTGAGAATTGGCAAGCCTTGGAGGGCTCGTTGATGGCGCGACTAGCCAATGTCGAGAAGGAGCGGGACGAAGTCGCCAAGCGAGAAGGAGAGATGCGACGCAAGATCCGAGAAGTGGTATGAACCATAGTCAACCCAAGAGCCAGAGATTGCACGCTAACATAACTGCTACACAGAGCATCAAGGTCAAGCGAACCGAAGAGGAACTAGAGAACGCCAAAGAAACCGAGCAGGATCTGGAAAACAAACTGGAAGAACGCGGCCAAGAGCTGCAAAAGCTCGAGCAGAAGCTGCAGCAAGCCGGTGACGACTTGAAATCGGCACAGAACGATCTCGTCGACCAAAAGAAGGTGTGGGATGCGACATGGACGCAGAAACTAGAGGAGGAGCGGTCCAAGATCCGCGAACACTCTCCTTCGCCAATGCACCTGCTCCGGACAGAATCCCCCGTTGGCTTTAGTCGCCGATCGAGTAACCTGGAGCCCGTCGGCTCTCTCTCCGATCACCGACCCACGAGCCGCCGTCCTTCGACCTTGCAAATGACCTCGTCGGAAATGGGCACTCCCCCGCGACAGAACTCCTTCCCAGCTTCCGTCGCAAACAGTGTCTCGATCCACCAAATCCCCGAGACTCCTTCGATTGCCTACGAGCCGGACGAGTTCTTCACCGGGATAGGCACCCCGTCCGCCCACGGCGGCGCACAGTCACGCGGAATCAACGACATCATCTCCGAGTCGACCGTCGGTGCCGGCCCCTCCGTTCAACTTGTTGAACGCATGAGCGCCACGGTCCGTCGCCTCGAGAGCGAGCGCGCAGCCTCAAAGGACGAACTTGCGCGGATCACCACACAGCGCGACGAGGCCCGCCAGCAAGTCGTCGACCTGATGCGCGAGTCCGAGGAGAAGAAGGAATCCGACGATCGGATCCAAGAACTCGAGAAACGTCTGGAGGATCTCGACCAGCGGTATCAGACCACGCTGGAGATGCTGGGTGAGAAGAGTGAGCAGGTGGAAGAGCTGCAGGCGGATATTACCGATCTTAAGAAGATCTATCGTGAGTTGGTCGACAGTACCATGAAATGAGCGATGCGTACTAGACTCTTCAAAGTCTTAATTTTTGCTGTTCTTTCGTTTTTTGCCTTCTTCTATTTTTCATATTCTTTTCTTCGTGTGTATATATAGCATTTCACGGTAGACGGGCTCCGATTTAGACGACGTTATGTGATACAGATTTTTAGTACCGCAGGAAACTTTCCCTCTGCTTTAGGTTCTCTAAATATATTGGTCTCCATTCTATGTTTAGTCCCAGATTGGGCGTACCATTTCTACTTTCGATCACCAATTGCACCACGTCATACTCGTATCAAACCAGCTTGGCTTGTGTTTATAGAAGGCCGCAAAACTACCATGAAATAGTTTATTGTAGTCCTGGAAGAAGGCTTGCTCGAGGCCGGCTCAGCGGAGGGCGAGGCGGATTCTAATCATTATTAGGGGAAAGGAAGGGAGAATTGGAGGACCAAATGGTTCTGGAGAGTTGGGATAAGACGTACACGTGTAGAAAATGGCTATTTTGCTCGGTACTCCGCATCTACGGAGTGCTAGATTCGTTTCATGTTGAAGAATGCTCGAACATCAGCGCTTTATCAAGACCAGCAGATTGACGAATTCCGAGTTGCGCAATGATCCAACTCGTCATCCTGCTCCTCAGCGAGCACTTTTCAGGTGTCAGACACCTCAGTTGCTAGAAACCGAGGTCGTTCAAGAGGACCCACTGGGCCAAAAGCGCCTTCATGCAAGATGCTGCGACTGCCGCACCATAGCCTTGCCACAGCTTGTTCTTGTGGCTGTCTGCGTAGTCGCAGACTCCTTTGACGATGACGGTGGGAAAGGTATCCCAAGCTCCTGCGGCCTCCATCTCAAAACCGATTACATCGTACTTCTCGACAAGTCGGTCGCGGTCCCGTGCCGATTTCATCACGCCGTCACTACATGCGACTCGGCCAAAATGTACCACCGGGTGCGTTGGACCAGACTCACGGAGACGGGGCCGGGCCACTGTATGCCCTGGCTCACATCCAAGTTGATCGCATGATGTATCAAGAGCATGTTGGCATACGGCACCGCTGGTCGGGTCGCATGTTCTGCAAGTCTGCTCTGAGCGGCACTGATGTTGGTATGTGGACTCATATAAATGATCCCGATGGGCACCGGGATATTCTAGGCTCTGACCAGTTTTTGACTGAAGGAGTGCGTTCAGGGTGCTATTTGTGGCATCGGCCACCCGGGTATAATAGTGGTCGGTTTCACTCAGCATGCGCAGGAAGGAGCGCAGACGCTCAACCGGCCGCCCAAAGTTATCTTCTGGGTCATCCTTCGGAACAAACCCGCTTTGATAGTAGCGACCAAAGTCTACCTGTTTCAGGCCAGTACTGATGATAATATCACCTAGTACAATGTCTTTCTTCGTGCGGGAATTGTAGGGGGCACCGCCGCAGACTCCCACCACGAGGCACAAGCCCACGTTTGGGAAGGAAGATTTGAGACGCATTGCACTGCTGGCAGCGTTGAGCTTTCCCATTCCCGGGAGATGGACGACAACTATGGAAGTCTTGCCAATGCGGCCGGTTGTATACGCATTTGCATCCTCACGAGCTGCCTCGGGCAGGGTTTCATAGACCTCATCCATTACGGCCATCACTGCATTCGACTCCACACCCAGCGCGCAGATGACGGCTATAGTATATGTCTTGGAGTCTAAGTGAGAAACCTGCTCATTGTCGGAGTCTGAGAAGGGACTCCAACTTCTCCCAAGTCTACACTGATTCACCACCTGTCGCCGCTTGACTGGGGAGTTGTGGACCAAGGCATCCGGATGCGAGCGCTTACCATGGTTTGAAAGTCGGTTTTGCTGGGCTAGGAGTATGGATCGTTGGTCCTTGCTCTTACCCAAAGATAAAAGAAGATTATCAACATCTTCTATATTGGTATTGAACTCATCCGCCAGTTGATCCTCGATGGGCGACACGACTTTTTCATATAGCCATCGGCAGAGGCGTGCTGCACCAGCGTCATCGGGGACCCAAGAATCCCAATTCACACAAGCTCCAACTGCGTTGCGATACTGGGTGTGCATATCCCATTCCGACTGCTCCCATAACCGTTGTGCGGTGAACAGGTCGGTGTTTGGGTCCTCTGACCCGTCGGGGGCCATGTCGGCTGCATCTCGTAGCTCGCCAATATGCTTGCCGAACCACAATTCGAGCAGGACTATCCCGAGAGAGAGAACAAAGGGACTGGAATGAGCTAGGTCCTGCCAATCAGCCCCGCCTTCCTCTTCCCCATCTCGCTCTGGGAGACGAGCTGCAAGTAAAGGTCGCGGAACGACCTGGCCCTGATCTGTTTGCATAAAAATGACACGAGTTGAGGTCAAAGTCTTCGGCAACCAGCCAGTTTCGAAGAGCTGCAATGCGGAATGAGCAAGCACTACGGCGAGAACCCGGCGTAATTTGAGAGGTAACGGTGGCGTCATCTGTAGGATCTCTTCGAGTGTCAAAGCTTGGTTGTATGTGGGCGCTGAGGCTCGCTCACGGGGAGGCGGTCTTTTCGAGATTTTCCCGTTTCGAAGGCCCAGGTTCAGAATCGACATATTACTTGCTGGAAGAGCAAGACAAACTGAACCGACCGTTTCACTTCGCTGCCGGGGAGCTTTTGGTTCCGTAGTGAGTGTATATCTGATAGTCACTTTCTGACTAGAATCGGGGCTCAAATCATCTTGTGATGATGGTACCACCGAGCCAGAGCCAGAGTCTGAAAGGGCCACATTGACGATCCCATCATACCACTTGTACGATGCGGCCGAGGATCTAGTGAAAAGGACGTTGAAGTCAAGATGGGCGAGCGAGGGTTCCCGACGGCAATGGGTCTGAAGATACAGCATTGAGCCGCGACAGGAGTTGCATTTGCATTGCCCATGGTCCGAAACACATTCGTGTAGCAATCTTGCCAACGCTCGGGTTTTCTCAAACGATGGTTGCTTCTTGCGGCGCTTTGGAGGTAATGGTTGCGTGTCGTCCATACAAAGTCGATCGAGTTCGCGGACACATTGACCGAATCTAGACACAATAGCGTACTGATCGCCATCGAATATACACAAGTCGAACGTGCTGCAGGAGACGGTACCAGCCCGGAGGCCTTCGAGCGAGGGGTACTCTGAGTTGTCCTAGTCAAGCCTGCTCAGTATATGACCCATCACCTCCGCACCGAACCATCATTACCTCCGTCGAACTTTTCTCCTGCCGCAATATGCGCTCCAGCATTCCCAGAATCTGTTTTATCGTATCCACGAAGGCATCTCCGGTATGTGTCATCGAGTCCGGACCGATCAGTCCAGCGATAGCCGTCTGTCGCAGGCCCAGGAGGATGAGGTCGGCCTCGAACAAAACGTAGGGAATGCGGAGCTCGGCATTGTCGCGATGCTCGGAGACCCTTTGGCTGGTGATGCGGGCGAAGTGGGGTATCACCGCTTGAAGCAAATAGAATAATTCAGTGGCAGACTGGTCCAGACTTCCTGACGCGAAAGCCATCAGGAAATCCCGTATGAGCTGGTCATGTGTAGGATGGAGAGGGAGCTGAGGATTTGTAAGGGGAAGAGTTTCTCTCAGCCTCCCCTGAACAAGCCGCATTAGCGCTGACCAAGTAACGTGATTGTTCCCCTCCAGCATCTTCCCTTCTCAACCCTAGTCAAACCACGTCTTCTACCTATACCTGCAATCTCATGGTTGTGTTCGGCCATGGAAGCCTCAGAAGGCCTGCCAGCGGACCGTCACATCTCGACCCAGGCTCAGAAAGCACTCGTTGCTCTGGAAAAATGTCTTCAGGTTTCGGGCTCGTGTTCCCAGCTGGCCGAGGTGCAGCTCGCACGCTTCAATCTGTGGGCCACGAATATAGGTGTTTTTGCCAAACATAAATCCTCGTTGGACTTTCGTCTACGGGATAGTCCAGACGTTCAAAAAATTATCATCAATCTACTCGACATTCTGGGAATATATGCCGGGCATGGTGCGTAATCCGAGAATATTTCCTCCTTTAATATAGCTTTATACAATGAATAGACTCGAGCTGATGATGTTACAGCTCTTCGCGCTGAATTGGAGCTTTTGTCATCAAACGGTGTTGGTGAAACAGCTTCAGGGTTGTCAGCTGGGAATGAGAATACGACTTCTAGGGCCCACGCCAGCGACTTGATGTCTTGCCAGCAAACATTCCAAGTTCGACCACCGAAAGAACTATCTATTATCCAAGCGTATCAGTCAGTGGATGATACTATCAGTCGTCTTCATCGGCTGTCAACTGCAATACGCAATGCCGGTGTGAGAAACCCCTACTCGCGCATAAGCAGACTCACCATTGTTGATGAGAACGGCGATGATATCAACGATCTGTTCGAATCCTATGTTTCACGGGTCCTTCACGTCCGATATTCCCGATTATCAGTTCTTCTGCAACGCCGAATCACGAACACGATTTGCTTTCGGCGTCGTCGGTTTCTCTACAATAGGCTGTCGGGACAAAGGAATTACAGTCAAAACGCGCCGCTAGCAGCGCCAAATGGGCGAGGAATTTCTCATTTATCTACACCACCAGCTAGTCAGAGACGCCCTTCAATATCTGGTGCAGCGCAACGCCTCTTAGCACCTGCGCTCACAAGCCGAACAGCATCCACATTTTATCCTCATCGGTTTGAAAACCCACGTCCATCCGAGCCCTCTGTTGCCTCCACAGTGTCACCACGAACGTATGTTCCGCGGGTGAATGAGAATATTCCTAAACCTCCTTCTATCGCTTCAGGACAGAAAGAAGCTCAATGCCCGTTCTGCCCATTTGTGGTGGATGCCAAATATTTGACCGGTACACGCTGGATGTATGTTGAGAGATAAAAGAGATCCCTTCCACCACTAACCCCTGGCAGAAAACATTTCCTGGAAGACCTGGAACCGTACGTCTGTCTCTTCGAAGACTGCACGAGTTCCCATGAGCTTTTCTCCTCCGTCGAGCAATGGTTGGCACATATGAAAGCCCACCCAGTACCGTCAACAGAATGGGTCTGCTCCATGCGCCATACAGTACCCTCTAAGACAGTGATGCAGAGTGCCGAAGAGTTTGCTAGTCATATGAGAGACGAGCATACCGGTCGCTTTACTGATATACAGATAAAAAGTCTTCAAGATCGAGCTGCGCGACCCGGTTCCATGTTCCCCGACTGTCTGTTCTGTGACTGGTCATTGCCCCCAGATAGCGAGCAGGAGAGAATTCCAGGCAGTTTAACACCCGTCGAAGAACACACCGCTGACCACCTGTTTGATCTGGCACTCATGTCACTTCCGCAAACGTGGAATACCAAGGGTGATGGCGAAGACGAAAGAGATAGTTTGGCGAACGTTTCCCTTGACAGTGGTAATCAGAATAGCCACAGCGTGCTGTCACAGAATCTGTCGGGTTTCGACAATAGCAGTTATCGGAGCCCCTCGGCTAGCCCGTTGGGTGATGACGGAGTCACAAATACCTTGATACAGGAAGGCATGACGGGCTCCCAGTCCCCTAGCCAGATGCTACCTGGACAGGAGATGATGGTTCAGCAGCAGCAGCAGCCCCAGACAGCCTCGCAACCCCCTGTCACTGTTCCTCCAACCGCTCCACAAGTCGAGCCAGAGCCCCAAACCTCGCAGCCTTCAGCGCAACAGGTGGGAGAAGACGTGACGATAAAATCCAAGGCTACGGCTTCTGGTAAAGGGAACAAACCGTCTTTTGCAGAGCAGACATCCAAAAGCAAGCTACACGATGGTGAGCCCACGGAAGAACAAAGCACACCTATGCAGAAGCAATTCGAGCCTGCAGTTTCTCAAGGAGGACCTGCTTTTCCTGAATATAAGCCCAATCTGCCTTTCAATCGGGCAGAGATGGCGGCTATGACGCGGCAGCAACGTGCTCAGTTGGAGATGCATATACGGCAGCGTCGGGCGCAAGGCCTTGGCTTAATAAGTATGGCGTCTGCTGAAGATGCCTGGAACAATTTACCGGAAAGGATTAAGATGATATACGATGAAATTGTTAAAGCTGCACCGCCTGATGAGCCTGTTACAGTTGTTTCGGAGCAGAAGGCAACCATGTCTCAGCAGCTGCGTGACTTGATCAATCACCTGGGTAGAATGGATGCACTTGTCCAATTCATTTCAAATACTATCCCTGATCAGAAGCGTAGTGTCCGCACTTTACTTTCATTGGCAAGTCTCGATCACCTTTTCTCTAATAAGATTACTTGGCTAATGATATTTATATAGCGAGTACAATTAATGAGGCAGTTTAAACCAGGTTCTAACTGGGAGCTTGCCGATTATTACACTATCACTCCCAGGGGCCTCGAAAATGCGATCAATTACATCAAGGAGATGTTCGATCATATGAATACTCACTTAGACCGCGTTGCTGAACAGAACGGTCAGAGATCGTCGATGCCAACTCCATCCCAGGAAAGCTTTTCTTTGCCATCAATCAGTTCTGTTCATATGCCTTCACTCAGACTCACCGGCTGCCAATGGGCCGACTGTGTCTATGCTTCTAAGAACTGGGATTCCTGGGAAGGCTTGCTCCGGCATATTGAACGAGATCATATCTTAGATCGTGAAGACCTTTATGTTTGTTCGGTTGATGAATGCTCACGAAATTTGCCGAACAAAGCCGACCTCATGGCTCATCTTCAACTACGCCATCAAGACAACCCAAAGGCCATGGAACAAGACCGGGAGCTGAGGGAAAACGTGACTCAATCAGCGAGGGTTCTCCATTGCAAGTGGAGCAAATGCGTGTCTACAGACTTGTACTCATCCAATGAGCTTGTCCAGCACATATACACTACTCATGTCGCTCCAGAGCCCTGGTATGATTATACGCATTCTCATAACGCAATGGAAGCCGATGCAAATCTACCAACAGAAAATGACCCACAGGATGTGACCGTGGAAGAGGAATCCGCCAGTATCAGATGCATTTGTGAATTCTCTCATGACGACGGCGCCACGATATGCTGCGACAAGTGTAACAAATGGCAGCACATCATATGCTATTACGAGGATGATCTGAATTATCCTGAAACCCACGTGTGCGGAGAGTGCCAGCCCCGGCTATTCAATATCCAGCGCGCGAAGCGTATACAGGAGCAACAACTTGAACAAGCAGCAAGTCAACACAGAGAAGAGAAATCTTCCAAGAAGAGAAGACACAAGAATGCAACAGGAGATATCAGCAAAAGAAACCGCAAAGGTTGGGCTGAATCCAGCCCTCTACCACGAAGGGCCGGGCCGGAATTTGCACCGGATCTATTTCCACATGAAACTGAGCCTTTTAGAAAACGCAAACTTCGTACGCCGTCAGCTCCTCTACCCCGATCTGCAACCAGCCCGCAGAACGATATTCGAGACAAAAAGATTTCTCTCCAAGAGGACCAAGACCGGCAAATGAAGGAATAAAGTGGAATATCTGAAAGGGCTAAGCAGTGGGCAGATCCAAGGCCAACGGACGAAACATTAGCAGAGCGAGATATATTAGAAAGAGCTTCAGGTTTAAATTAGTCAAAAATAGCAAAAAATCGGAAGAGCAGATTCAAAGAGGCGGCGACGAGTCGTTACTCTGGTCCTCGTCTTCGGCAATGCACAGGGCACCACTCTATTGATATACCTATCTATCTATCGTAAACTGTTAATTTCCTGGCAAATTTAGAGCCTTGCAAATGCCGGTGGTGTCAAGAGAACAAGGTTTGATCATGCTTTAGGCTGTTAGTGCCACTATTACAAGAAAGCTTAACTTTCAATGAACTATTTATTGTTAACACACCCTTGGGCACATTGATTGGTTGCAAGGGCGAAACACTTCGAGAGAAGCTGGGTATCTGGATTGTTACGCCCCTTTCAAAGTCCTAGACTGATGCATGGTCAAGACCATGGACATCTTACAATTCTACGCCCTCCCTCTCAGCAGTCTGGATGATATATCCCCGAACCTATATCCGAACAATCAGCATCACTATCCCGAGCAAACGCAAAACCACCACGCATAGTCAAGAAAGGAAAAAGGCCACAAACCTTTCCATCAGGAGCCATATCAATGGCCAATCTCCCATCAGCATCCCTCTTATCCGTCTCCGCACCCGCCTTGAGCAACGTGATCGCCGCATCGCCATGGCCTTCGCAGATCGCATGATGCAGCGCCGTCATCCCGTCCATATCCGTCGCGTTGACAGGACTCTTCCCATCCTTCAGCAGAATGTTGATGATGGCCGTCGATCCGATGGCCGCGGCTCGGTGAAGCGGCAGTTGTCCGCGCTTATCTTTGACTCTGGCGCTGCATTTATTCTCTATTAGGGTGCGGACGGTGGAGATGTTGGCTTTGGAGGTCGCGAAATGGAGGGCGTTCTATTCGTGCAATTTCATTCGATGGTTAGCGTTTGCGTTTCTTGCGTGCATGTGGAGGAAATGGTGTACCTGGCCGGAGTTGCTCTTGGCCGTCACGTCTGCGCCTTTTCGGAGTAAGAGCTCGATGATGGCGTCGCCCTCGGCATTTTTCAAACTCGATGCGATCATCAGTGGGGTCCAGCCCGATCCGTCCTGATGATTTGGTCAGTCTCTGTCTATGAAGAGCGGGTGGATTAGCAGATGGCGCGAACCTCGACATCGGGATCAAAGTTCTTGCTGGACACTAGGAGCTCGACGATGGGGAGGTGGTTGTAGGCGACGGCCCAATGGATCGGTAGCCGTTCATCGTCGTCTTTCGTGTTAGCTAGCTTCGGGTTCGCCTGGGACCGGGTCAGTATAGGTTTTCTAGGATGTGATCGATGCTGTCTGTTGGCTGGAGACAGCTCCGGCTGATGCGGGGCAGCTTCCGAGCACTCACGCTTACGAGGGATTCGGCCGTTTGAGCTGGAGAGAGTTAGATGTTATGCTGAGTAGTTATGTGGATGAAGGTGCATACTTTTGCCCTCCCGGGCGGCCTCGTGGAGAGGGAACTTTGCGTCGTGATCGGGATCCATGATGTTATCGATGGAGAGACGATCGGAGTGATAGTTGGAGATGCGATAAGAAATGGCCGTTGGGGTCGACACCTGATGGCGTCTGCCTGAATGCCTCAGGCACTAACAGCTCTCCGCCAAAAGTCAAAAGGAAATTAAGGTCGACTCGTTCCGTCCGCGCAGTTCCTCATTCCACTCCCTTTCGCCCTCCACCATTCGCTTCTCCGGACGTGTCCTCCGGCGTTGAACAATATTTGGAGGGTCTTGGATTTGCGGTCATCCACGAATTCAAACCTCGCCCACGACAAGGGTTTAGGACGTTAACGACACGCCTTTTCCTCCATCACGCCTCTCGCGATACGTCGAATTAGCTCCACCACCGTTCGAGAACTTTTTGACCCTGCGATAATACGAACCTTTAATCGCAATAATGGACGTCGCTCCGTCCCCACTTTCGCCAGAAGATGCCGTGCGCACGTCTACCAAAAGAACCGTTGAATTGTTCGGCTCCGACTACCTCATGGTCACGCCCTCGACAGGAAACGGCTCAATCGGAGTTTCGTACCGCCGCAAAGCCGAATACCAAGATGTGAAGGAACTCCCACCAGCTCTCGCCGAGAAGCAAGCCAAGGCTGTCGCCGTCGGGCGCGCAAAGCGACCGAAGACACAGATGCAGGCGCAAGCACCTGTGGATGGCAGCGGTGCTTCCATGTCCCTGGTGAAGAGAGCCCCCGGTCCCCAGGCCGGTGGTGTCGGTGGCGAGAACGAACCCAAGAGTTTGATTCAGCGACCCTCCGCGACGCGACAGCAGAGACCCGACTGGCACGCGCCGTGGAAGCTGATGCGTGTGATTTCGGGACACTTGGGATGGGTGCGGAGTTTGGCCGTGGAGCCGAATAATGAGTGGTTTGCTAGTGGTGCCGGTGACCGGACGATTAAGATCTGGAACCTTGCGACGGGCGCCTTGCGCTTGACGCTGACGGGTCACATCTCGACGGTGCGTGGCCTCGCGGTGTCGCCTCGTCATCCGTATCTCTTTTCCTGTGGTGAGGATAAAATGGTCAAGTGCTGGGATTTGGAAACGAACAAGGTCATCCGTCACTACCACGGCCATCTGAGCGGCGTGTACACGCTTGGTCTCCACCCCCGTCTCGATCTCCTGGTCACCGGTGGTCGTGATGGTGCCGTCCGAGTCTGGGACATGCGAACCCGAAGCAACGTGCACGTCCTGACCGGCCACAAGGGCACCATCGCCGATGTGAAATGCCAGGAAGCCGACCCCCAGATCATCTCCGGCTCGCTAGACGCCACCGTCCGGCTGTGGGATCTCGCCGCCGGCAAGTCCATGGGTGTGCTCACCCACCACAAGAAGGGCGTGCGCAACATCGTCACCCACCCCCGGGAATTCACCTTCGCCAGTGCCAGCACCGGCAGCATCAAGCAATGGAAGTGCCCCGAGGGCGACTTCATGCAGAACTTCGACGGCCACAACGCCGTCATCAACTCCCTCGCCGTCAACGAAGACAACGTCCTCTTCTCCGGCGGTGACAACGGCTCCATGTCCTTCTGGGACTGGAAGACCGGCTACCGCTTCCAGAACATCGACACCGCTGCCCAACCCGGTTCCCTCGACGCCGAAGCCGGCATCATGGCCTCGACCTTCGACCGCACCGGCCTGCGTCTGATCACCGGTGAGGCCGATAAGACCATCAAGGTCTGGAAGCAGGATGAGGAGGCCACACCCGAATCGCATCCCGTTACGTGGGCGCCTACCCTGGGTCGTCAGAGATATTAGATCCTTTTCCCTCACCTTTTTTATACCCCCGTGCTATCCTGGAAAGATTGAACACTTTCGAGATCCAGAAATCACCACCTATCTACCCTTACCTGCTCCGTATCCATCTATCTACCTGTCCAAATATCTACATGTCCTGCGCACTCTTATGGCGTTCAGCGTTTTTGATGTCTATTTACTTAAATCTGGAATTGGGGAGGGTTCGCAAAAGGAATTGAGTGACTTGTTTTTAATTCAAACTTCAACGATTTTTGTATCATACAAGCGTAAAAGTCTCCCTTATCTATTAGCTTAGGCTGCTCGAACAATAGAGTAAGGATCGATATCTCGCGCTTTGACATAGAATGGGTATCATTTATAATTAAACTATCGATTGTGTACTAGCTACCCTGACCTTTTGAAATCTCACCGAGCTGATGTACGCCATATATGCTTCCAACTATATCAATGTTGTACAGAGTGTGCTTGAACACCTTATGAATCCATCCCCAACCCCAGCGACTTGGCTTCTACATCTTCTCGGAAAGCAAGCTTGACGTCCTCGACGGCCGCTCGGAGCCTGACTTTCCCGGTGCGGTCTCCCCGGTTCGATAACAAGGAGCTGCCGGCAGGGCCTCTGGCACCGGTCCCGTATTCGACGGCCAGGACGCCCGAGTTCATGAGCTCCATGGCTGCTTGGCCGAGGGATCGCACGCGCGCGCTGTTGGCTCCGCCGCTGAGGAGGAACTCTTTGACTCCGGCGCCGGCGGCGCCTGCCACGGCGACGGCGGCATCGGCGATCCGTTTCGCTTCATCGATGACGTCGCCGAAGGTGGATTCGGAGATGCCGGTTCGCTTGATGCGGGCGAGGAGAGCAGCGAGGAAGAGCTTTGCCGAGAGGGGGAGGCAGCGCAGGGATTGTTGTAGGGGTGTAGAGGTGGCTTCTTGGATCGCTTGTTTGATTGTGGCGATAGTGACACGGCCGGTGGCTGGTTTCTGGGGAGGAGGGTCTTTCTGAGGCGATTCGCTGATCGGGGGGAGGGTGGCTTGCTTGCTGGTGGACTTTTGTCTGCGGGCCGGGGTCTTGCTAGGGGTTGGGGGGAGGGATTCGGTGTCGTCGCCGTTGGGCTGGTCTGCGTTTGAGACTCGGGCTGCGGCATCACTGCTTTGTTCTGCAATCTCCACGGCTCGACGGCAGATGTCCAGTGCGCGGCGAGCATCACCACTCACGGCGGCGACCTTGCGACTGGCGAATTGGACGGCATCAGGATCGACGATGTTCCCGGGAACGTTCGCCAGACGGGTGCTGATGATCTCCATGAGGTCGGTATGCTTGTAGCCAGGGAATGTGATGCGAGTCAGACCTAGACGGCTGGAGATCTTGTTGCTTAGGGTTCGCTCGGGCAAATCCATGGTGTTTGCGACGGCGAGCACGATGAGACGGGAATGGCGCAGGGCTGGCCAGTTGAAGAAATTGTACATCACGGACTGGTTTTTCGTTACAAGTTGATCCAGTTCGTCCATGAGAACGACGCACGAAACTCGTCGTGGGGATGGATGCGAAAATTCTCTTTCCAGCAGATCGAGTGCGTGGGAAGGCGAGACGCGGTCGCCTTTAAGGGCCTCCCACAAGAGCGAGTAAGATTGATGGGGATCCGTCACTTTCATCCCATTGATTTCGACGAAGATGAAATCATCCATCTCTTCCGTTAGAACTGCGGCATTGAGCTGCGCAACCACCTCCCGCACTGTCGCCGTCTTCCCCGTTCCCGGCGTTCCTGATATGTAGATGCAGGTTCCAGTCCCCTCCATAATCGCAGAGCTCAAATGCGTATAGACGGTATCGAACTCGTTCTTTCGGCATGGAAGCGACGTGGGAACGGTGGACACATGCAGTAGGTTGCGTGCCTGGCGATATGGCGAGGCAAAGTGGGAAGGAGAGAGGACACGGGTTCCGAGAGGCGTAAACTCGAGCGGTTTCTTGACAACGATTCTATTGAGAACATTATTAGCAGCTGTTTCGGATCATTACATAGAAAAGTGGATGTTACCTCTTGTGAGTTGGTGTTGTCAGAGGTTTCTGTCGTCGTGATTGTGGCGTGGTAGCCGTCGAAGCGACTTTTTGCCTCTTTCTCGGAGTCGTGGGTGTAAAGTCGTCGTCCTCTTTGGTGTCCACGTACTGTGGAATCTGTTAGCATCACACATACTCCCAGCTCATGGTATGAGTGGCACTCACATCATTGTCAACTTGTTTGCGCTTCTTCGCTGACTTCAGGCCATTCTTGATCATGCTAATCAAGTCGAAGATCTTATCTTCCTGATAGACTTGTTCCCATACGAATTCATCGGTATAGCGTCCCTGAACTTGATTGACGCCTCTGCGGCAGACAATGCACTTGTTGTACTCAGACAATTCCTCCTTTCCCTTCGGAGGAGTGCCGTTCGGGTATTTGGCGAAAAAGGCATCCTTCGACATCACCGTGGCTTTACCATTGACCGATGTCAAGGGGTTGGTGTTGAAATCGGCCGTCAGATACTGCTCATTGGGCAAAGCATCCGCCCGTCGCTTGTTTCGTGTCGACATGAACTCATCCGGCGAGGCGAACCACATGATGTTGACTGTTTTGATGACCTCTCCCTCAACCTCATCGTCATCTTCTTCCAAGAACTCCGTGATGATCCCAATCCAATCCTTCCCTGGCTCCGGAGACTTGAGCAGCACCACCTGTCCCAGTCGGCATTCGAACGAGCCCATGCGAGCTCCGACAATCTTTCGCCGGTTCTTTGCGTTCGGGCGGGATGAACGTCTTCGGCTTGACTTCGGCGTGTCCTCCGCAGCACCCGTTGTCGACTCCTCTGCCGCATTGTTCTCGGAATTTTCGTCGTATATCCAGTCCCAGGGAAGATCCTCATCGCCAAGCTCGTCATCAGAGTCGTCGCGGACCAGGCCTCCTTTGGTCACCCATTGCTGCGCACGCTTTCGAACATTGCGCTTGCGAGACTGCGAGTGATCGGTTTCGTCCGCAGGTCCTGGAGTCATCTCCGCCGTAAATGGTGTCAATGGCTTGTAGCAAATCCGAAGAGAGATTGGTTTGCAGCGGAGGCAAAGCGAGCGAAGGGAGAAAAAGAAGCGTCACGTCCGGAAAGGCGCGTCGTCCACTTTTATCCTTTTTGGGATTAGCGCAAACCCCGGTCCGCCAGCCAATCGGAGGCTGGCATTGGATCTATACAACAACCGCAGAAGGAACAACTGAGAATTTCCCTGTTTTGGGGTATTTTTCGTAATTTGTTCTCGCAGCTGACCTTTGAAATCTCCAATGGATCCTGGATACAGCTTCAATACCTACGACCTGGGAAGAAGGGGCTGGGTGCCCAGGTGGATTCACTACAGCAAACGACAGACGTGGCCAATGCATGTATCCGGTCACTCTGGCTGCCATTAACCGCATCACTGTCTAAGACCTTCTCTTCAATCATGGACTCCATTGGACATAAAATCTGAGTACCGTTGCTAAGAGACCAGGAGGTGAGGTACTTCCCCTCATTTGTCTGGCAGAAACCATGGCACGTGCCATTCCCTTGGCTCTTCTCTTCACCTTTCCTTCACTTTCCTCCATCACTCTTTCTGCTTCACTGCCCATTGCCACTATCTTGACCATCCATCCCTCCTGCTTTCTCTTTACCTTCATTTCAGTATCTCCTTTAGAAGGAATTCTCATCTTCTACAGAGTCTCAGCCTGTCCTTTCCCATAGTTTCATTTGTCCCAGGACAATGGTCGGTGTGCAAGAGTATACCTTTTGATCAGAACGCACCTCGATATCTCTTAGGCCCTGCAAAGTTCTGGCCTCTAGCAGATTTCTCTTACCAAGCGGCCTGGCATAGACTGTCGGCCCGTTCGATCTGGCAAACATGGAGTAAGTAAATTCCCAGTCTATTTTAGTTTTCTATGTTGACTAACTTCATTGTAGCCACGAGACTTCAGGTGCTCAAGGTAAGACTGGCTACTCTCATATACAAAAAATAAGACTTTCTCTCAGTCTACTCATCTCTTCTTCATTTACACCGAACCGGCTGACTTCTTTTGCAGAATGGCACTTGCCTGGATACGGACGTATCGCAACCAAGCCAGCCATTCGGCACACTGCTAGTGAAACTCGAGAATCGACTTCTAAGCCCCCCACTCCGAAGAAACCCCAGAGTCAACAACCAAAAGATGGAGTACCGATTGAGATACCAAGTGGAAAGCCGTCGTTTGAAAACTGGCAAAGAGGCCCGCCTCGCCCACAGAGAGGACGCGGTGGGTTCCGTGGTAAATCGTCATCTGCAGCGCCTTTCTCGTCGCGTCAGTCAAGGAACCTCTTTCAGGACTCTCCTTCGAAGTCAAAATGGAGGGCCGGCAGCGAACCAGCCTGTGAGTCTCATCTATCACCCAGCTTGATCGACAAACAATACTTACAGAGTCTAATTTTTCTAGATTCCATGAAGCTACCCGCCACCTTTGGCTCCTTCAAACATGAGTATGTTCTGCTTCACCTTAATGAGTGCCAGGCTAATCATTTAATTTCTACACAGGTTTTTTGGGGTGGCTAGAACGCATATTTTAGGCGGAGGCCATTCGGAAGCCCATGCTCGGCAGGAGGTATTTGACGCCATCAACAAGAAAACCGGTGCATATGTGAAATCACCATACTATGATGAGTCTGTAAGTAATTGAAGGCTCTTGAAGACATAGGGGCAAGTAACTAATGAGAAAAAGGCCATCTGCATATGGGGCGAGACAGCTCAGGTTACTGCAGCCAAAGAACTTCTCGAAGGCATCCTTTCGAAGTGCATTAGCTTACAACGCACCTCCAACAGCAAGAGATTTGACTGGTCAAAGATCGCCGCCTACTCTGACAAAAAAGAGGCAACTGCTGAGATGAGAGAGAAGCACGAGAGCATGGTGGTTCAGCTAAGGAAGAAGCCGGACATGCCTTACGTGTTTCCGGAGCAGGTCAGCAATTCAAGCGACTCTTCTCACTGTGGCCAACTACTGACTTAGTTCTCTTTCTAGCTCCTATTCCTCTGGCCCAAGGAAGGTCCGTCCATCAAAGAGGCACTTGGACAAGATCTCGAAGCTCTTGACCTCATACGATCCCAGTTCTTCTGTCATGTTTTTGTCTTAAAGGATGTGCCGGATTTCATTTGTGTCCTCGGTAATGACCATGACACGATAAAGCAAATCGCCCACCGTTTAAGGACCAAGTGGGCTGAAGTAACCGCCAACAGCAATATCAGATCCAAGATTTACATCGTTGAGCCACCGGATGCAGGATACATGAAAGGAAGGGTCGTTGTTGAAGAGAGCGACTCTCTTCATAAGGCCTCGCTTTCAGGAAGCCCGTTGAAGGGACCCCAGGTGGAATACTGGCGCAACCGAGCGAAGCTCATACGCTCGAAAAACGATGATCGCATTCTAAGCGCCATTGAAAAATCGCTGAAGGGGCTTGTTTTCGTGCGCGGGTATCTGCGAATGCGAGTGAACCTTGGCTCGTTTATCCTTGAGAATTACAGACTCCCTGCCGATAATAAGCCATCTTATGGCTTTGAAGAGTTTAGGCAGATGCTTCTCAATGAAAACACCAAAGGCCGATTGATCCCAGGGTGCGTTTTCTATCTTTGAATCCTCGAAATATGGAGCTATCTACTGACTATCAAAATGCGATTTAGATTGAAAGTTGACGAAATGGAGCTTCTATCCAGGTGCTACAAAGCAACTCATCTCTTCGAGCCTTGCGAGAACACATCTGCTTCGTTGAAAGACGTTGAGCTTGCGTACTCTGTCAATTTCGAGTTTCTAGGGTCCAACAATTCGATGCTCCGGCTGGAAGCAGAATTTTCTAGACGTCCCGGCGCCCAGGAGTACGAGATTACTCAGAGGCGATGGCTTAGACCGAGGGCGAGTGGCCAGTATATCGAGGGACAGTCCCCTTTACAGATTGGGGTCATTGATTTTGAAAGGTACCTCCCCTTACAAGTTTCTTTTATAGCCAGTCAAAATGAGCTAAACTGGTTTAGATCGGACTGGCAGCTTGAAGTCAAGTCTCTCGAATTCTACGAAGCATCTTCAATTGACGCTGCGCTGAAATCGTTTTCGCATTCAATCGGTTTCCGCCGCTCCTCCACCATGGGTGACATCTGCGCGAAGCCCCAAAGGAAGGTGGTATTTCCCCCATCCGCTCCCGTGGCCAGGTTTGTTGAAAAGACCGCCATACGTTATCGGCTGAAAGGCACGGAATACATTTTTGAGATTGCCCGATATGATGAGTATGGTCGCATCAATGCCCAGGGGTTTCCGGGGCAGAGCTTGGCATCTATGACGTGCGAAATTTCTGATATCCCCTCGACATCATGGGGTGCTTCGGTGTTTGCTGCTAATTGGGACATGTTGCTGGGACAGCATGGTGACTTATCCGTCGGACATTCGGCGCAGTACAATACCAACCTCGATACTTTCTTCCCAACTCAGACAGCGACGCCTTTTGAAGGCAAGCATGCGGGTTTCTGGGAGTTTATCACTTTGGTGAAGGAACTAGCCGCAATGCTAGGCTCGACTGCCCCAAATTCTACCCCAAACGTGGCCAGTATCAAGAATCCAGGGACTTTGCTGCAGACGGACCTGGGGACTTTGTTCTGATAAATGGTGTCTTTGCGTGGGTGCCTGTGGTCATCTGAACAGTCGGCAATGGTGCTATGTCATACGTGGAGGGGAAGCCAGAAAATTTCGGGACAGTTCTTCTGTGTTTATTGAAAAAGGGAATTGAATTGCGATGAATTTTCAATGGGAATTAAAAGCTGCTACATGGCGCATGTCCACGTCAACTATCATATGGAGAAACCAAAATTTCTATTGCTTACATTCATTTTAAGCTGGCTAGCTCTCCAGCACTCTATTTACCCTGGTAAAGATATCAGTTTTTATATTCATAAATCCTACCGAGATGGTATTCATCCGCCCCGTCGAGCCCAGCCCATCTGGGCACTGTCACTGATCACTATATCACGCTATCGATCCAATTTAACCACCACCGGCAGCAGCAGCCTGACCCGATGGCCCGGCGGCACCTTCGCTAAGCAGTTTTTGTCTCAGAGCTAAAAGCACACGGGTTAGCTAGCTGTTTGGATAAGCCACCTCCGGAATAACATACCATCTTCAAAGAGTCTCTGCTGAGAGCTCTTGGTCTGCACGATCTTTTCCAATTCCACCAGGTTCGCATCCAGGGTCTTGATCTTCTCGTTGTAGAACTCGATCGCTTTTTGCGGTGTCTGTATTTCCCGAGTGGTTAGCTTGATTTGCACGAGTCAAATTCCGGAAAATGAATCCAGCGAATATTTCCCCTTCACCGAATCCGAGCGAGCAGAAAGGAAAAAGGAAAATAAAAACCCACCTTCTCAACATAAAACCCCGTCCCGACATCGACGAGCACCTTTTCCCGATCCGCCAGCTTCCCCTTCACGTAGAGCGAGCTGGTCAAGGGGACCAGGATCTCATCTTTTCCGTCGGTGCCCTTCTTCTCGGAGCCCAGGACGCCCTCGTTGATGGAGCGCACGCAGTCGCGGAACTTGGACTGCGCCGCGCGCAGCTTGGCGTGCGAGGAGGTCAGGTGTTCGAGTTCCGAGGAGAGGCGGGATTGCAGGGCGCGGAGCTGCTGCGCAGAGAGGGAGTTGATGTTCACTGTTGGGGTTCTCCGTGTTAGATGGGACTGCGGAGCGAGTTGCTCTGTCTGAGAGGGGAAGGGACTTTACCTGCGCCTGGAGGGGGGTCGGATGCGGGGGTGTTTGGAGGGGGCATTTTTGTTGATGTGCGGAGGTTGGGTTACGCTGAGGTGGTGGACTCGGTGGTGGGATCGATAGTACCCGGGAGGGAGGGTCCTGTGTGAGCTGGAGAGACGCTCTGAAGGGTTTCAGGACCGGCGAGGAGGCGGCGATGTGCGGCGTTGAAGATGGAGAGCTTCTTTCTGGCGTCACGTTCGGGATTCTGCTTTGGGCTTAGCGTGCTGATTCAGCGGGTGGGCTTCCTCCTCTTTGGGGATGGACTATTGTTTGCTGATGAATTGATGGTGACTTTTTGTTATTTTTGCCCAGAGCTAGGTAAAGAGCGACGATTGAACAACAAAGAAATAGTAAAAGAACAGAATCAAGAATACATAAAGTGATGAACCGCCTTCATATCCGGTCACCAGGCCGCTGTGCAGATCTCCCAAATGCGCCATTGAGAAACTACTCATCAGCAGCAGAAAGCTGGTCAAGCAACGTCATACATCGTACAGTGTTCATCAAATCATACTTTTTGACGTTCTCTCTTTGAACTGAGACGGCTAGAGGGATTTCAGGCTCGAGAATATCCAGCACCATCATAGTTATTTTGAGGATGGGGAAGGCCAGGTGACTGTTCTGGCGATATAAATCGCGGATAGCGTTGATATAATGCGATCGGTCCGTGTAGTCCCCTCTTCGGGGAAGCTCGTACGCTTGGGTTGCCAGGACAGTCGGGCCAGGGGAGAGGTGTTCGGAAAGTGTGAGGATAAGATCAGCGGGATACGGCATGTCCGATTCGGAAGGGAGCTTCAGCTCGCGCACCAGTTCCTCCGATATGTGCATTCTGAGCCAGTTCGACACAGACAAAGCCTGATCTCGCCATCTGAGATATGATGGTGTTTCCGTGTCCTGGGGGCGAGGCGTTTGCGGGTCGATAAAATGTGACCTGCCCCAAAAGTCCAGTTCGGTTTCGACGTAGCGAAGCCAGTTGTAAAGGTCGCTTTGGTCCCTCAGCATGGGGATGTCATTCAGCATGACGTAGTCTTGGTCTGAGAGGCCGGACTGATGACTGCACGGGTTACCAGAGTCATGTCGATCATGATGCTGGTGATCTGGTGATGGAACTTGGAGAAGACTCGGGGAAAGCGAATGACCTTCATCCCCAGGGCCGGCTTCTCGTGAGTTGCCCATTTGAACGATTAAGAGTTGAGGGTCAAAAAAGGAGGTTTGCGAGGTTGATAATTATGTGACAGATGGCCCAAAAGCTAGGGATCAAAACTGGCGTAAGCACAGACTGTAGAGGGATAGTGCTGATCAAAGTGAAAGAATAATGGTTTAGTAGATAACGCATGTAAAGTAGATACTGAATAGGTTGTCCGGAGGCGCAGGATGTTTACTCGAGCCCATCGAGGGTTCGTGCCTGCCGAGGCAGTGCTTTCCTGTTTCATTCAATTAAGTATAGGGAAAGTGGACTTCCTCTCCAGCGGTTTCTTGATTCTGTTCGTGTATTTCTTCGCTGTTCAATCGTCACTCTTTCTCTAGCTCTTGACGAAAATAACAAAAAGCCATCATCAATTCATCAGACATGAAAACCCAATCAATCAATTCAATCCCGGGAACATGGCACTTTATGCTCACGCACTTAGGCTTTGAATCGGATGAAACCCCTTCCGCTGCTCGAACAGATTCACAATCGGCATGAACAGCCTCCTCCCGTCGAAGGTCTCCATCCGACCCTCTTCCTCCGCCGTCTTCTGCGCCGCCGCAAACTGCGCGATCTCCTCCCAGCTCACCCACTGCCACTCCTCACACTTCTCCGGCTCGAGGACCTACAAGGTATCAGAATGACCATTCACAAAGTAAACCACCAAACCAAACCAACAAAAACCAAAAAGATAGAAATAGAAATAACGAACGAACCTTAACTTCCACCTCCCCACCCCCCGACGGCGTAGACACCCTACACCCGACAAAGCAAGTAACGTAGTGCTTTCCCTCCTGCTCCATGATGTCGTTCGTGGCGGTCAGGAACCTGATGCTCTGCTCCGGTAGATGCAGGCCCGTTTCTTCGAGCACTTCGCGCGCGGCACAGGTCTCGAACGATTCGTTGAATTCGAGATGCCCGCCGGGGAGTCCCCATGTTCCTGTTTTTCTCTGTTAGTTTTCGGTCGTGGTACAGGGTATGGTGGGGTTCTTACCAGCGCCGTGGCTACCCTTGCGTCTTCCTAGGATGACTTTGCCCTGGTCGTTCAGGATGAAGACGCCGACGCCGATGCGGGGATTCATTTTGTTTAGTTGCTGGTTTGGGAGAAATTTGGTTGGTTGGTTGGTTGGTTGGTTATGATCAAGGGGAGATGCTGGATTGAGCCGGGAGGTTAACAGTATGTGTTTGAGGAATATAAAGACGGATGTAAAAGGAAGTAAGTAGATGTTTATATAGAGCTCGCGAAGAGAAAAATGATGACTGGTGAGTCAGGTCCAGAATGCCAAGATCGGCTGCCGTTGGCGGTTTGGTTTGCCCTACAGTCACTAGTAAACGGTTAGACGCCGCTCAGCCACGATGTGATTGCCTTGCTGCAGAGTTGCGCTCTTTTCCTTTGACTTCAGGCGTTTTTTGCCTTGTGGTGGTACAGTGGGTTGGGCGGTAGGCTGACTGGTGGGTTTTTGAGGTTGGGGTTTACTGCCGATTGCGGGGTTTTTCGTCAATGTGCTGTTGATGGGATTTAGGTTCTTCAGTATAGTTTAGTGTACTATAGTATAGTATTTCAAGTTGGAGATGATATAATCTGCTTGGAGGCGACCATCTAAGCCGGTGATGTAAGATTAAATATTCAGGCTACTAATTACCATGTAGAGAGGGGGATGAAATAGTATAGCCGCGTCAATATATACCGACTTCATGGAGCCAGCCCTGCACGTTGACGACAAGGGTGAACATGTTGTGTCCTAGCCAGTCCAAGAGCACTAAAAGAAAAGGTAGCAAAGGGTTTGCGAGACAAAGGAGCCCTTTGTTTCTAGTAGCACATTTTGTGGCGTTCTGAGAAATTGATCTGTTGGCCGCAATAATCTGACAGTATATTTATTTGTCTTCCTGTAGTGTTTGGGTTTTGCATTACGCAATGTGTTTTTGAACAAGCAGTTGACTTTGGTTGTGTTCCTTGCATTTTTATTGCGTCCTCTATTGAATTTTATATCATATGCATTTATTGAGAGATCGAGATGAGAATGCCGATCAAGTAGGTCGTGCTAAGACTCGCTAACCCGTGTCGAATGCCGCGTCATCCCGAGGTCAATAGTTGTAACCCTAATTTAACAGTCTGAGCAGTCATTGTGAGCAGAGTTATCTTACATGTAGTTTTTTAAGAATCCCGTGAGTTGTGGTTGCTGATGGTCATGTCGAAGGCAGTGGAGTTGTGCGGGTCTGAGATCGACTGAGTGGTGAAGGGTATATGAACACTAGTATACATTTTGCATCATCGACCTATTGTACAAATGCAGGACAACAATTCGCTAGAGCCGGTCCAGTAGAGATCTGACAAACTCGGGCAAACGGTCCAGTGGCACCTCTTCTTTCAAACCACCCAGTCGGCGACACTGCACCTCCAACGTCTGTTGTTTCTTCCATCCCTTGCCGACGACCACGATCACCGGGTATCCGATTAAGTCAGCATCGCCAAGTTTCCAGCCCATCTGCTTGTCGCGGTCGTCTAGGATGACATCGACCGGAGAGCTGGAGCCGGGCTGCGCGCTGAGAACGTCGTACACTTTCTCAGCTTCTTCTTGCAATCCCTTGGCCGGAACGACAATGACTTCGTAAGGGGCCATGGCGCGCGGCCAGTTGAGACCTTTGGAGTCGGCGAGGCTGTCGGCGACTGCGGTGATCATGCGCGAGACGCCGATTCCGTGGCAGCCCATCTGCATGGGAACGTTCTGGTCCTCCGTGCCGCCAGTGTGAGATCGATCGATCATGACGGATGCCTGGAGAACCTCGCTGTATCGAGTGCCGAGGTGGAATGTGTGGCCGAGCTCGATGGCAGTGTGGGTTTTCAGGTGTCCCTGGGCACACTGGCTGCAAGTGTCTCCTTCGTGCATCTTGACCAGGCCTAGCCCGCTGCTTGTCCCGGGGAACCGATCCAGCATTGAGTAGTCGACCTCATCAATCCCGCAGTTGACCTGCTCCAGCAAGTCACTTAGTGGGGGGCGTTTGTATACCCGCACCTGCGAATCATACAGATCTAGGACCTTGGGTCGGTAGGAAAGGTCCTCGGATGCCTTGGCAGACTTGATCTGTTCCGCCCACTGTTCTAAGGGGTTCTCGACACTGAGGTCAAGATCGATGTCTGCTGCGGTCGCGACAGACTTGATCGCATGAGAATTGATCTCTCGTTCCACGGGTTCCTGGCTTGCGTCTTGCATGGAGAATTTCGGGTACCAGCCCCGGAGGAGAGTTTGCTTGTCCTTGGAAATGGCCATCCAGAGACCCGTTGAAACGGTGGGTGCCGCGTTGATGGACTTTTCTTCGGTGTCAAATCCATCCGTTTGCGTCGCCTGATGGGACGTTTGCTCAGCGCCGTGGGATTTCCCGTCCGCCAGCTCTTCATTGTAGACGCTGTCACAGCTGGTGCAGCTGATGATCGTGTCCTCGCCCTTCGAACTGGGAAAGTGGAATTCATGGCTCATGTTCCCGCCCATGTTACCCGAGTCTGCTGCAGCAACCAGATAAGGCACCTTCAGCTCGTTGAATAGCTCTGTGTAGGCGGCTTTCACCGATGAATATGTTTTCAAAGCCTCTTCGACGCTGTGATCGAACGTGTAGAGATCCTTCATAATGAATTCGCGTCCACGAAGAAGGCCCTGGCGCGGCCTTGGCTCATCTCTATACTTCCTCGCTGTAGTTAAAGTGAGCGTCTATTCGTTGCATACTTCTACCTGTCTGAACTTACATATCTGGTATACCCGCAAAGGCAGGTCTCGGTAAGATTTGGCGAGACTTCCTACTAGGGTGGTAATTTCTTCCTCGTGAGTGGGAGCAAGCAAAAACCGAGACTCCTTGCGATCGAGAAATCTGAACACCTGGAGCGTCATAATTAGCAACGAGCGTTGAGCTCGAAGGATGCTCATACCTCCGAACTGTCCGTCAAACGTCCGGACCGCTCCCAAAGTTCCTGGGCGGATATAGACGACAGAGAAACCTTGGAGGCTCCTAAAGACCTGAATTAGCTTGTTGACACAATAAGATGATGACTGATCATACCAATTGATTGCATGTGCTTGTCAATTAGACGCTCTAGCTTGTCTTGAACCCGCAATCCTAGAGGCAACATGTGGAAGATTCCTGAGTATGCCTGTACCAGATTAGAGGTGCTTTTGTGCGTATGGTATGAGCACAAACCTGTCGAAGGAAGCCACCTCTCACTAAAAGGTCATTTGCGTCCTCTATTTCCTAGTCAGCCCTGTTCTTTTAGAGCATAGTTTTCGCATGTACCTTTTTCTGCCGTGACATTCTTCTTGGAGATACCGCCAGTCGGGATCCAGAAATTGGATATCCGACTCCGACCATCAGTCTGCAAAATCAGCAAGTATTACCACACTTAAGCGCACGATGACATACATGGTAACAGCATCTCGGGACCCTCTGGAATCGAAAGACTCCCAAATATGCTCGATACGGGCCCGAGTAGCGGCCCGCAGTCGGGCGGACCCCAGAGATCATGAATCGCGAGGGCACAATTGACGCTTAAACAGAGTCCTAAGGTCAATTGATGGAGATGAGCGAATCCTAGTCAATCCCAAGTGTTCGAAATGGAGCGGAATCTAAAGCAAACAGTCCGACTGATGGCCTCGGATGGCCCGTGCACCGTAATCCGTCGGCACAACCATTTCTCCGGCGGCCTCGTCCGTTTGGGATTTTCGGGCGGCAGAAAAAAAAAAGTTATCAGACAATCAATTCAATCCCACATCTTGGCTGCTATACCTGCCCGTCATGGCTAAGAACAAGGGTAAACGCTCCTCTGGGGCCAATGCGATTGTCCCCGATGGTGGTGTCCCCGTCAATGACTCCAACGCTGCTGCCGACGCTCTCCCCCAGATTCCTGAGGGCGCTTTTGCCGGCCTCCGACAGAAGATCGAACAGAAGTTGAAGGACGAGAATGCGGCGAAGCAGAAGAAGATCAACAACAGCAACAAGGCGAAGCCGGCTCCCAAGGAAAGTCCGAAGCAAAACAACAAGCCGGCTGCCCCGGCGCAACCTGCGAAGCGGGGATCCGACGCCGATAAAAACAACCAAGGCAAGAAGCGGGATCGCAATGGGGATGTGATTGCGAGAGGGAAGAAGGATGCGGAGAAGCCTAAGCCTTCGAAGTCGAATGAAACAGACGAGACCGATACCCTGCGACAGGAGATTTTGGCCCTTGGGGGAACTGAGGAAGACTATGATCTACTTGCTGAGATCGAATCCGACTCTGAGGTGGAGGGCGCGAAGGAGGCCCCCAAGAAGTCAAACAACAAGTCAGACGATGACTTCCTCCGGAAAGAGCTTTCGAGTATGCTGGCTGCTGCTGGACAGGTTGTCCCTGATGATCTACCGGATGATGAAGCTGAAGCTGAAGCTGAAGAGGACGAAGGAGAGGAAGATGATGAGGCGGAGGATAACGAGTTGGATGTGGACGATGAGGAGGCACAAAGCGACCTCGACGAGGGTTCGGATGGCAATGTTTCATCAGACCAGGAAGTTTCTCCACCTCCGGCCAAGAAAGAGACGAAAAAGCAGAAAGCCGATCAAGATCGGGTTCAAACGGTCCCAAGGGAATATTCTAAGCTTGTGAGTCTTCATGACAACTTTCCTATGCTACCATTTACTAATACTATGAACAGACAGTTCCCCCACGATCTGACTGGTACCAAATCGAACTTCCCCCGATTCCTGCGAAGCAAGTCAACGCACTGCCCCGACACTTGATTGACCGCGTGTACCAGCATGCTCTCACGCTGCTCGAGAAGGAGAGCAAGATGTACTCCGCGGCCCAGCAGGCTTCTGCGTCATCTTCCCACAAGTTCTACACGACCATCATGACATCCGGAACCCTAAGCGATAAGATCTCTGCTTTGACGCTTGCCGTCCAGGAGTCGCCCGTCCACAACAGCAAGTCGTTGGAAAGTCTGATCAACCTTGGAAAGAAGCGCAGTCGTGCCCAGGCCGTTGAAGTCCTCCGATCCCTAAAGGATATGTTTGCTCAGGGCACCTTGCTCCCTGGTGACCGCAGACTCCGATCTTTTGCCAACCAACCAGGCCTTTTGACGGCGTTCCAAGGAGCAGGTGGCCGATGGTCAGAGGGCGATGCTCTTCCGGGAGGTCTCGAGGAAAGCCATCTGATTGTTTGGGCTTTTGAGAGCTTCCTCAAGGACCAGTATTTCGAGATGCTCAAGATTCTCGAGGTCTGGTGTAACGATGAGATCGAATTCTCCCGCTCCCGCGCCGTCAGTTACGTCTACGAGCTTCTCAAGGAGAAGCCCGAACAGGAAACCAACCTTCTGCGACTGTTGGTCAACAAGCTCGGAGACAAGGCAAAGAAGATCGCTTCCCGATCCTCCTACCTGCTTCTTCAACTCGAACAAGCGCATCCGCTGATGAAACCGACCATCATCAACTCCGTTGAGGAAGTCCTCTTCCGTCCTGGTCAGAGCCAGCACGCCAAGTACTATGCCATGATCACCCTCAACCAGACCGTTCTGAGCACGAGGGAGGAGCAGGTCGCGGTCAAACTGCTTGACATCTATTTCACCTTCTTCGTTGTCTTGCTGAAGTCGATGAAACCCCAGAAGGGCAACAAGAAGAATGGCAAGTTCGCTAAGAAGGGCGGCAAAGACAAGGAAGACCCGGCCAAGGGTCAGGCTCAGAATGAAGAAATGCGAGAAAAGCTCACCTCGGGAGTCTTGACTGGTGTCAATCGTGCTTATCCTTTCACCAGCTCGGACACGGAGCGGTATGTTTTCAGATTTCCCCCATCGGCCAGGGAATGTTACTAATTACATTGGCAGGCTCTCCAAGCATATCGACACTCTGTTCCGTATTACTCACTCTTCCAACTTCAACACCAGCATTCAAGCCCTCATGTTGATTCAGCAATTGACATCCACTCACCAAGTTGCCGCCGATCGGTTCTACCGCACCCTGTATGAGTCGCTCCTTGATCCTCGGGTGGCTACGTCCTCCAAACAGTCTCTCTACCTCAACCTGCTGTTCAAGGCATTGAAGAATGACATAAACGCCCGACGTGTCAAGGCGTTTGTCAAGCGTATCATCCAAGTCCTTGGTATGCACCAGCCCGCCTTCATTTGCGGTGTTTTCTACCTGGTACGAGAGCTGGAGAAGGCATTCCCGGGTCTGCAGGCCTTGTTCGACCAGCCCGAGGAAAATGACAGCGACGACGAAGAGGTGTTCAAGGATGTACCCGATGAGGATGACGAGCAGGAAGAGCCGACGGTGGCGGAGGTCACCCCGCAAAAGCCTTCTCATAACTACGATCCCCGCAAGCGAGACCCCGAGCACAGCAATGCGGACCGCACGTGTCTCTGGGAATTGGTGAGTTGTTCTCCATTCTGCAAGTCGAATATGCTCCGAGTGTGCATGCTAATATTCGGCGTAACAGCTACCCTACCTATCTCACTTCCATCCATCCGTGTCGGTCAATGCAGAGCATCTGCTTGATCACAAGCCGATGAGCGGCAAGCCGGACATGACCATCCACACGTTAACCCACTTCCTTGACCGCTTCGTCTACCGAACCCCCAAGGCATCTGCGGGTACACGTGGTGCGTCCATCATGCAACCCCTTGCCGGCAGCGAGGCGAAGGACCGACTGGTCAGCTCCGGCAAGCACGCCCACCACCTGCCCCTCAACTCGGAGGCCTTCTGGCAGAAGAAATCCGAGGACATTGCGGCCGAGGATGTCTTCTTCCACGAGTACTTCAACCGTCTCGGCAAGGACAAGGAGAAGGCCCGCAAGAAGAAGGGCCAGGAGTCCGCCGGCAAGGACGGCGAGGAGGACGAGCTCAGCGACGCCGAGTCCGAGATCTGGCAGGCCCTGGTGGATTCGCGACCGGAAGTCGAAGGCCGCGGCGACAGCGACGACGACCTCGACATGGACGATCTCGAGTCGGCGTACGACAAGTCGGACGAGGAGGAAGCCAGCGGCGACGAGGGCGTCATCTTCAACGACGAGTCCGACGAGGAGATGGACGAGGGCGAGGACGAGCCCGCGGCCCCCAAGCCCAAGGCCCAGCCCAAGTCCAAGAAGTCCGCGGAGGAGGACGAGGACGACGACTTCGACATGGACGTCTCGGACGACGAGGCCTTCGTGGACAGCGACGAGGAAGTTCCCTCGGACGTGGAGCTCGGCACCGTGGACGAGCTGCCCAAGGACGAGAAGCATGCCGAGAAGCAGAAGCGCCGCAAGCTCAAGCACCTGCCGACGTTCGCTTCTGCGGACGACTATGCGGCTTTGCTGGCCGAGGAAGACGAGGGGATGTAGGAGGGATCGTTGTAGATCCGATGTGCATATTACTAGATACAACAGATACCACAAAAGTCCGGGTTACGGTTTCAGGATTCATTTTCGTGTAGAGAACAAGTCCGAAAATTCTCTAGATTGTCTAAACCCTCGTCCTTACCCTACTGAGTAACTGGTCAGAATTACCTACCTAGCTTCATGTGGCCGACGGGATGGTGCAATCCCCACTAGTCTGATACCATCGATGCAGAACCACCGGCGGGATATCATTGGCGGCGGTCCGGGGCCAGACGACAAGCATTTCGCCCCAGCGACTACCTAAATTAAACTACTATCGAATTTTCCGAGTCCGTAGACCTTAGTATTGCCGGGATCGTGGTCAGGTCCAGCTACTTAATGCCGAACTGTTGGATACGAGAGCTTTCCGCCCCGATGTCGATGGCGTGCTTTGCGTTGTTTTTAACTGCCCTATACAGCCTACGGAATAGGTACTAGGGAAGCTACGGTCGAATAGCCCTACATCCAACAGCTCCGTCGGCATCGGGAAGTGGGGATGCAAAGAATGACTAGAAGTGGGTGGGACGCAGGTACCAGCGATCGAGACCAAACCACAACATGTGAACACTCATCCATGATGCCTGTAGAGTATACCTAGACCAGACCATGAAGATGACCACATGAAAACGTCAAATGCAAGCCCTTCCCTAATAGGGTCAACCCCTCAGAGTCGGGCGCATTTAAGTTTCGAGTTGCGGAGGGAGGAGGAGCCGTGGATCCCGGCGGTGGTTGTTGTTCAAGATGCGAGGGTCGAATGGTAGAGTGTCCAGTCGGAGGATTCTGATTGAGTCTATGCGTGGCTTTATTAGAAGTCCTGCTATAGAGGGGGATCTTACCGAAGAAATAATCTCTTTCGTTACTAAGCCATAAGAAACTAAGATTAAAGCAACTGTCATACGACGCAAGGGCCCCGGGAAGGAAAGGCAAATGAAGGCGACCGAGAGCCGTCCTCCTTGCTGGACTCGGAGATGGCCGTCTGGATGCTAAATCGACTGGACACGTGGGAGCGAAAATCACGCCATCGGCTAGTGCATAACGTGCTCGCCGTTAAAACCAACCGGATTTCGTTCTCGTTTTCTTTTTGCGTTCTCTGCATCATACTATTTCCTGCAGGTTGTCGACTAGTAGTTACGCAGTACGGAGTAGTTAGCTAGGTAGTGTTGCCGATGTAATTAATAATTATGCAGAGCCCTGCATAACACAGTCATAAGAGTGGATGGATCATCGACTGTGTTCAGACGGCTCCAACCGCCCAGCGGCCAAAGCAGGACGCAAGAAAAAAAAAGAAAAAAGAAAAAGCCGGAAAAGACATACGCATGCGGGGCGCAAGAAAACTCGGACAGCTCCGCCCAGATGCTCCTGATTGGCCGGAAATCGACATGGGGGAGTGGGGATTGGGGGAAGAGGGTGCCCCAGACCCGGTGTAAATCGTGGAATGCCTGCCAGCGCTGGAATCGTCCAACGAACGCATCGCTGCTAGATCGCTTCGGGTAAGCCTGGGATGGGAGAAAAATTCAACTTGGGTCGCCCGGTGTGATCGTCTCCCTGTCTCCCAGTCTCCCGACAGATGGCGGTCGTATTCTCCCACTTGTCCAGGGGGGATCCAGGTCCGTGGGAAGCTGCAGTTGGGAAATGCCAGGGAATCAAAGAATCAAAGTTAGGAGCCGTCACCATCCAAGGCCCCACGCCGAGCACGTCATGGTCTAGTGGTGCACTCCGTAAGAGTCCTAACAGGGCGAGCTGTCGCTTTCGCCGCATTAATATTGATCGCGCTGGCTGGACTCGGAGGGCGTCGGTCTCGGCCTTCTTCATTCTAACTCGCTGCAGTAATTGAATTTAATATTATTATATTTTCTGCTTTTAATCGTTTGTCGCTTTTATCAGTCGATCTTCACCGAAAGGATCGAATTAAATTAGACCCTCATTTCTACAAAGTTAATCTCGGCCAACGTGACAACCCAAGATAATAAAAAAGAAAAACGAAATAGAAAAAGAAAAGAAAAGAAAAAAAATGACCGGGATTCCCATCCAAGCCGTCCTTTTAAGCCTTTAGCATCGTCCCTTGGCTTTGCTTCGCTTTTCTTGATTTCCGTCCAAGACTTTTCGCCCCTCGTCCGGTGTCTTGGACTCTTGGTACGCCGACGCTTGACTTCCTTGGTAGGTCCAACTGCCCTTCCCACTCTCTCCTCCTCTTAGCTTGACTGGTGTCTTTTCTGCGCTCGCTTCTTTTGCTACGATTTTCTGCTATTTAAGAATTTCCTCCGTGCTCCCCTGCGGTCTTTTCTTACCCATTGCTCGTCTTCATCCGGGCTGCCATTCCAACTGCTTTTCTCTCCGTCATTAACCCCAATTCCTCTAGATACCTTATCGTCCTCCGCCTGCTACTTCCCATTTTCGGCGCCAACAGGAGCAGTACATGCATCTGCGACCCGTACCCGTGATTTCCTTTTCTCAATCTCTCCATTCGTTTCGCCTGCGGTTCGTCCGCTCCATAAAATGGCGGAGTACAATACAACCCAGGCCGCGGCTCGTAGGCCCTCCTTCGCCTCCGACCAGCTCGATCCCGCCAATGACAAGGTGAAATTGGACCTGGAGACGCAGCAGTCCGAAGGCATGGATTCCGGATCCGAGGGAGACGTCGGAAGACAAATTGAATTGGAGGCCGGGAACTCGATCAAGTATCGCACTTGCAGTTGGCAAAAGGTCCGTCGCTCGCTTTCGAGGAACCCCAGACAACAGAAGAAAAAGTGATTTGGGGGCCACATGAACCGAAGCTAACGAGATGAATCGAATTAGACGGCCGCGCTGCTTTTCTCGGAGTATATCTGTCTTGCGATCATGTCGTTTCCCTGGTCCTATTCCATTCTCGGCCTCGTTCCGGGCTTGATCTTAACCGTGTTTATCGCGTCAGTTGTGTTGTACACGTCGCTAATTATCTGGTATGACTGTTCGAGTCCGTCGATTCGGGTGCGCGCTTGCTGATGAGTGGCCCAGGAGATTTTGCTTGCGTCATCCAAATGTCCGCGACGTGTGTGACATTGGCCAGGTCCTGTTCTGGAATTCGAAAATTGTGTGGTATCTGACTGCCATTATGTTCTTGCTGAACAATACTTTCATTCAGGTTGGTTTCCACTGTTCTCCGTGGCCTCCAGCGTTGGTGGGAATCTAACATCTAGTTAGGGCTTGCATTGTCTGGTCGGCGCCGAGTACTTAAACACCGTCACCGGTCACCCCACGTGCTCAATTGTCTTCGCCTTGGTGACTGCCATTATTTCTCTTATTTTCTCGCTCCCGCGTACATTCAGTACCCTGTCAAAGGTGGCAACATTCTCGGCTCTGACCACCTTCATCTCGGTTCTGCTGGCCATGATCTTTGCGGGAATTGAGGATCACCCGGCTGGTTACAGCCCCGCGCTCGGCAACCCCATAGTAACGGCCATTCCTGTCAAGGGAACGACCTTCGTTTCTGGCGTGAACGCTTTCCTGAACATCAGCTATACGTTCATTGGTCAGATCACTCTACCCAGTTTCATCGCCGAAATGAAGGAACCCAGAGATTTTTGGAAATCAGTCACCGCGGTCACGATCGCCGAGATCATTGTTTTCAGCTTGGCAGGATCCATCGTTTATGTTTACACCGGCAACCAGTACATGACTGCGCCGGCATTCGGCTCGCTGGGCGACGATATCTACAAGAAGGTGTCTTTCTCGTTTATGGTTCCGACCTTGATCTTCCTCGGAGTGCTGTATGCCTCTGTGTCTGCCCGCTTCGTGTTCTTTCGTCTGTTTGACGGAACTCGTCACAAGGGCAATCATACTGTTCTCGGATGGGCTGCGTGGACCGGTATCCTGATTGTCCTGTGGGTCTTGGCCTTCATCATCTCCCAGGTCATCCCGTTCTTTTCCGATCTGCTCTCCATCATGAGTTCGCTCTTCGACTCCTTCTTCGGTTTCATTTTCTGGGGCGTTGCGTACCTGCGGATGAGACGCGAAACCTACGGACCGGGATTCTATAGGAAACGAGGCATTCGCGGCTGGGCCGGAGCTGCCCTGAACGTCGGCTTGATTGGAGTGGGGCTCTTTTTCCTGGGACCAGGCACCTACGTAAGTCTTTTTGTTTCATCCCTTCAATTGACTAGAGGGCAGGCTGGCTAACGAGATATCAGGCTTCCATCGAGAGTGTGATCTTGAACTATAAAGCCGGAACCGTGGGAAGTCCATTTTCCTGCGCCGACAACGGACTGTAACGATTAGCTTTTATGTCATGATTTGTTTTGTTCTTCACGTTCTTTCAAGGAAACGAGTGGGATTTAATGTTTGATGTCGAACACCCGGAAACAGGTTGAGGGTGCTAATGTCGAAGGGCTGGAGGCCGGGTTCATCTGATGCGGGCGATCTTCCGTTTTCTACGCAGCGATTTGATCTCTTCAAACGACCAACCTTTATTGTTCTGGGTCAATACAAAAAAACCTTCTGTTCGCGAGCATGAAAGTCTTCTGCCGAAAAAAGGGCTTGAAGACTATCCCAGACCCAGGGGAAATTCATGGACGAAGACGCAGTTTGCTTTGTCCCTTGCTCGCAGCAGGTCTCGACATTTATATTACTATGGTAGATCACTCAGTATTCATTAGTAGATGGGTCTAGATCACCGCATTTGGGGACTCTGTCTAGGGTATGATGCTGGTGGTACTGGCCGATCAACCGAGAAGATAGATGAGATGATGTATCGATATGATTAGACTATTCAACAGACACCCTGTACATGGAAGACCAGGGCACTGGACTTGGAATTGTCAGAAGAATGGAATCCACTGGATATTACTACTAGGTTATGATGATCCTTGTCGTAAGAGTTGCCTGCCATTATCCGCGGGAAGCTTGGCCTATCATTATATAACTTTCCTGCTATCTCTGTATAGCTATCTGCTCCTTAACTCTTGTATAATTTTAATGTTTTTGTTTTTATCCTTTTTTTTTTCTTCATGCTCTTGTCTCATGGTCCTTACGGGATGGGATGGATTTGGTATTTTAACAAACACATTGTTTCCAGCTTTAGTTAGGTAGTATAGATCCAGAGGATAGGGTGGATTGGATTCTCAACGACCCGAAGGAGGCGTACCGGCAGTTCAAGCATGCCCTCGAATGAATATGTGATCCTAGATATGTTCCAAAAATACACTGTAAAGACTAAAGACAAGGCGTCGTCCGGACGATTATTGCTCCGGCGCTAACTAAGGCATACTCCGCTCCGGAGTCTATCCCCTTCATTCATTCATTCCGAGTCATCCACGGAGGCCTACGGGTCTGTGAACTAGTGTCGGCAAGTGCTTTGCTCGGACACGGCATCGCAGCTCTTGTTGATTGCTGTGTCGTGCAGGGCTTCTTGACTTTAACGGCGGGCCACCTCACCTCTTCTGGCTCTTTGAAATACCATTTACGGTTCGATATGCTGGACGAGCTTGCTGAATTACGACGTCAAGTGGAGGAAGAGAGAAGGGCAAGGGAAGAGGCAGAGCGACAACGGCAGGAGGCAGAGCGCTGACAGTAAGAGGCTGAACGACGACTGTAACCTACTACTTTGTTTCGCCTTCTTGACCGCTGCCACGAATCTCTGTCTCAGGCGATCCAAGTCGAGACGGATGCTACCCTTACCACCTAAGGCGACGTAACTAACCTGGTTAACTGACTTTTCCCCAAACGGATTGTCCCTTGGCTTGATTTCCCTCGGCTCCAGGAGAAAATCTGGGAACAACTCAAACACGCGGTCAGCTTTACCTCGCGCCCGCTTTTCCCTTCCGATGACCAGCTGGACTATATCACAGAAAATGTTCAGGGCCGGCCCATCTACTCAGAAGCAACTTTGCGAAACTTCGAGCGAGACACGGTAGATATCTTTGTTAAAAAGATCTTCAAGGCATTACAAGGCGATGGATCTTTAAGCCAGGAGTTTGATATTAAGGGCCAAGTCACCTTTTATGACCATATGGACTCAGTGTCGCTAGATGACCGTATAGAGCAGATGCGCCTTAACGGTGCGCCTTAGCAACCAACAAGCACTGACCATGGGAGGGGTGAACAGGTGGGACAAAGTCAGGGGGCTCGCTCGAGAAGGCGACTCAACCGCCGGACTGATCAGTTCTGTGTTCGCATTGTGGCTGGCGAGCGCCGGACACTAGTGTATGCGGTGGAGTTTAAGGCCCCTCACAAGCTAATACTCGCTGAACTGGTTGTGGGCTTGCATGAGATGGACCTGGAACGCGATGTTATTAGTTAAAAAGGTGATATATTTGAGTTTCATGCCATCTGTCTTGTCGCTGCTGTGTACACTCAGATATTCTCATATATGCAGGACCTAGGGATTCAATACGGGTACATTCGGACAGGAGAGGCATTTGTCTTTCTACATATCCCAACAGATCCCACAATACTTCAGTACTCTTTATATGTCCCAAATCAAGACGTGCTGACAGGTGATAAGAGCCGTTTCCACCAGACTGCCGTGGGTCAGATACTTACATTCACCCTCCAGGCGCTGGCCGCCGAAACTCCATCTTAAGATTGGTACAATACAGCAAATAAAAAACTTACCGAGTGGGAAGTTAAATACTTGGACGTCTTGCGCGATATCCCTGAAATAATTCGCAAGGAGCCACCACCCTCCAATTATCGACCCTCACACTGGAAACGGGAACCAAAGACGCACTATACACGGTCCCGTGCTCGTTGTGACCCAGACGTATCTACCCCGAAAGGCTCGCCAAGCGAAGGTAGTAATAGTGACGAGGACGTGCTTTCACCGTCTATCGCACTAACTATGCGCAGTCGATCGAGTCACGGGCGTGGTTAACATCCATCGACCGGCACCCGAACACAATCCGACCGGAGCCAAACACAGACCTCTTAAAATAAGAAGCGGTCCATGCGGCCGTACTGCACCATGGCTTGTATCCGTGGCATTGTCCACCGAGGTCCTTTAAATAAAAATTGCCCTAACTTGCAACAACACAGCAGTCCTAGGCATCCAATGGGCCCGCGGGAATTCACATACAAGCTACACTGTCAACTCGTCCAGAACCGAGACCAGGGATTTGAAATACTGCACATCTGTGGTCGGACGGGGTATCTCATAAAAGCGACTCTATTATCTCATAGATATACTATAGTTATTAAGGCTACAACTGAGGAGAAGCCGTATAGTTTTCACGCCAAAGTTAACAATTATCACCGCCTCCAAAGCTTGCAAGGATATCAGATCCCGGTCTGTCTAGGCCACTTTAAGCCAAACGTCAGATACTAGTACCATAGCAAATTAATAGCACATATGATAATCCTGAGCTAGTCTGGAATCCGGCTTCAGAAGGTAATTAGTAATGAGAATTCGGACTTCTTCCACAAAGAGCGCGATAAATGTCTGGCCGTCCTCTGGTCGCACGGAGTGGTCCATAAAGACAAGAAGTGGCGTAATATGCTGTGGGATGAACTGACCGGGCGTTTGGTTGTCATTGACCTGGAGGACATAGAATGGATCAAGCAGCCTCGGCCCCTCCAGCCAACATCTGCCAATTCATCAGGTCGTCATATTGCGGGAGTGCAGCAGAGGAAAGAAGGACACCGCTCCAGTCTGCCTGCTGCCTGCATATCATGATGATTCACTTAAAGCAGCCGCCTCGATCACAGACTCACAGGCCGATTGAAGATAAACACATACATGAAGGAAGACGAAACACCAGTCGCGGGATTAATGGCCATGATATATCAAACGCCCCAAGCATGGCTCAACTCGAGCAAGAGAGTTGGTTTCTTTCTGCCCCGGGAGCCTTCCCGGTCAACATCTTCTCTACCTAAATACTTCCGCTTGTCCCGATGACGGGAAAGGGACCTGCTCATCGGTAGCCACAATCCAATCACATTACCGAAGGAGAGCTGGTATCCGAGACCTCACCAAGGAGATTCAGGGACACTCACGACATAAAGGACGCTGCCAGATACTTTCGCTGCCACGGAGGATTTCTTGCTGACAACATCCTAAAACTCAGGCCCATAGTCTATCGCGTGTAATTCGGTGCCTGAAGACTGGGTTTCAGAATCTCTCTCCGCTATATCGGGGACCGAGTCCTTCACAGACTGGCGGCAAGTCTAGGAGGTTATGCTCATCCTATTTTCTGACTGTTCGCATTTAAACAAAGATGTCGGAAGGATTTATACATTCATATTTATACATGAGGAAGAACGGTTGGGGATAGTAGATACGAGGGAGCTCCGGCGGGGGGGGGGGGGGGGGGGAGTGGGTTGTCTATTTTCAGTCATGGCAATCTGCAAATCCATCTTATAGACAGTGGTAGGTCTTGTTGGTCTATACCTACTTTGAATTTCTACCTCCAAACATGACCCTTCGATGTTGGGATATACATTTTTGCGTGCTTCATGGCTGGTCACGCACCCCACAGGCACTCAGCTTCTCAGTCTCGCTATGTGCACCCCTGGAACATGATCCTAAAGTTATTACCGTCTGCACCTCCATACTGTCAGCCTATCCATGTAACTCATCTCGGCGGCTCCGAATAAACGACTCGGTCGAGTAACTGCTTGCATGTTTTCCGATTAGTCATCGGGGTCTCCAGACGATGGTGGACGAACTTGACCATTTCAGGCAGCTGCTGGTGCCGAACATCAGATTGCCCCGAGCTATGAATCACAGCAGTGGTTTAATGGACTCTGTTACTCATATTTCCGAGATCCCCACCTGGTCAGCAGGCAGTGGGGATGCGACAAAGCGTATAACAGCAGACGCCCTTTCCCTTCGATCTCATACGCATCGAATCTTCATTCTCATTCAATGGTCTATCTTGTCAATTAAATCGCCTTGCCACCTTCAACTCTGCATCCCAACACAATGGAGGCGTTCCAAAGAACATTTACGAAATGCAGAGCTGAAAGCCGCGCAGCCCTGATCACCTACGTTACAGCCGGATATCCCACCGTTAAAGGGACACCGGGAATCATGCTCGGCCTGCAGGCCGGTGGCGCAGGTATGTGCTCGCAAGACTACGAACTTACTCGCAAAATCGATTCTGACGAAGAGGGGGGGAAGATATTATTGAGCTTGGGGTCCCGTTTACAGATCCGCTCACTGACGGCGTCGTTATTCAACGGTCAAACGCTCAAGCCCTCGAGAACGGTGTTGACATCCACTGCATCCTGCAGATCGTCGGAACCGCGCGCGCGCAGGGTCTGACTGTCCCGGTTCTCCTGATGGGCTATTATAACCCCGTCCGGGCGTATGGGGAAGAAAGGCTGTTGCTGGATAGTAAGTCCGCAGGGGTGAATGGGTTCATTGTTGTTGATCTTCCGCCAGAGGAGGCCTTGCGGTTTCGGACTGCTTGTAAGAGAGAAGGGTATGCTTTCGTCCATCCTCTTTCCTGCCTTGATGAGAGCTTCAGACTTCCATCCGTTGACGGGTGAACTAACACTCGCAAGCCTTTCGTATATCCCGCTAGTTGCGCCGTCGACAACGGATGATCGGATGGATATGCTGTGCGGTATCGCCGATTCATTCGTCTATGTTGTTTCGCGGATGGGGGTTACCGGGGCCAGCAGGTCGCTGGCTGGAAACTTGAGCGATCTACTTGGTCGTGTGCATGCTCGCACTGGAGATCGTATTCCTGCAGTTGTGGGATTCGGGATCAACACTCGGGAGCAGTTTAGCGAAGTGGCTCGAATCGCCCAGGGCGTGGTCATCGGCAGCCACATAATCATGCTCATTGGGGAAGCGTCTCCAGGCACTGAGCCACAGGCTGTGAAAGAGTATTGTCTTCACGTTGCAGGGCGCACCCAGGATCAAATCGCCATTCATCCTATGATCGAAGTTGACGAATCCTCCGCCTCGGAGTCTGCTTCCCACGAAACCACAGAACATCCCGGCACAGACAAAGAGGCCCGCTTCACGGATAGACACACCCAATTCGGGGGATTCGGCGGCCAGTACGTCCCCGAGGTTCTCATGGAATGCCTGACCGAGCTGGAGAAGGGCTTCAACGAGGCCGACGCAGACCCGGGCTTCTGGGAAGAGGTTCGATCCTACGCTGCCTACACCAACCGACCGTCATCGCTGCACCTGGCACACCGGCTAACCGAGCACGCCGGCGGAGCCCGCATCTGGCTCAAACGCGAAGACCTGAATCACACCGGAAGCCACAAGATCACCAACGCGCTGGGCCAGATCCTGCTGGCCCGCCGACTGGGCAAGACCGCCATCATCGCCGAGACAGGCGCCGGCCAGCACGGCGTCGCCACCGCCACGGTCTGCGCGCTCTTCGGCATGAAATGCACCATCTTCATGGGGTCGGAGGACACGCGCCGCCAGGCCCTCAACGTCTTCCGCATGAAACTCCTCGGTGCCACCGTCGTCCCCGTCCCCGGCAAGCACGCCAAGCACGGCGGTGGCACGCTTCTCGATGCCGTGAACCAGGCGTTCCGGACGTGGGTGACCGATCTGCACTCGACGCACTTCATCATCGGCTCGGTCTTCGGGCCTCACCCGTACCCGACGATCGTGCGCACCTTCCAATCCGTCATCGGCGCCGAGACGCGCGAGCAGTTCGCCCACCTCAACGCCAACCGTCTTCCAGACGCCGTCATGGCCTGCGTCGGCGGCGGCTCCAACGCATCCGGCCTGTTCGCCCCGTTCTCGCAGGACCCGTCCGTCCAGCTGATCGGCGTCGAGGCCGGCGGTGCAAACACCTCGGCTGGCAACCACTCCGCGACGCTGGGCTACGGGTCGATTGGCGTTCTGCACGGCGTGCGCACGTACGTTCTGCAAGACGAACATGGCCAGATCGCCCCGATGCGATCGATCTCCGCGGGCCTGGACTATCCCGGCGTGGGGCCGGAGTTGGCCGGCTGGAAGGAATCGCAACGGGCGAGGTTCATCACCGCGGATGACCGCGACGCCTTGGATGCCTTCTCGCTGCTGAGCAGGCTGGAGGGGATCACGCCGGCTTTGGAGAGTGCGCATGCTGTTGCGGGGGCCGTCCGTGTGGCGAAGGAGCTGGGACGAGGCAAGGATGTTGTTGTTTGTTTGAGTGGGAGAGGGGATAAGGATGTTCAGACTGTGGCGGCTCTTCTTGATGAGCTCTGATTTTGTGCGCGTGGGATTTCTTATGTTGCGTATTCAATGCATTGGGGGGTCTTTCAAATGGCTTCACGTCCGGCGCTTGATGCGATCCCCCGCAGGTCAAGACCATTCAAGGAACACTTATTCACCTGGACTCCAGAAGACAGGAAGCAACCAGAGAATATCCCCACCCCAATGCATGTACTCTAGCACAGCAATCACATTGATTTAATAATCTCCCAACCCATAATACAACACCAACTCTGATCCATCCATCCACCAACCCAAATACAAACCTAAACAGCAAACCGACTCCAACCCCTAATAACGCGACCAAATTTCCAAAAGACAAACGGCACCGGCGTCATCACCGCACTGATGACCCCCAGAATCGTCAACGTCCAATGCACGCCCAGATTCCGATAGAACGGAATCCCCACCACGGTCATCCCGCCGGCGGCGAAGTACCGCGTCACCGTCATGAAGCCCAGCGCGGAGGCGGCGTAGATCTCGTACGCGTCGATCACGTACATGTAGCTGGAGATGAAGACGCAGATGCTTCCGAAGCCAAACAGCCCGGAGCCGAGGATCGGGGACCAGATTGAGATGTCGCGCTGGGGTTGTTAGTTCTACATGTGCGTGAGACTATGGGCCTGGGAGGGCTATGACGTACGTAGTCTGTCCATCCCATCCAGAATAGACTGATGGGGATAGCAGGGGCTCCGATCATCGCGTACCAGAGCCTGTGCTCGGGGTCAGGCGAGCTTGAGCTTGATTTCTGGGCCGGGGGAGTCCGGCGATTGGAGTCGCCGCTGGCATCGCTGAGCTCGTGGTCCCCGGGGCCTTCCTCCGCAGCGAGTCGGGTGCGGCGATACTGGCTGTATATGCCGGGGAGGAGCAGCGCAGCCAGCATGATGCCGACGTACATGGCGACCCAGACGATGTTGGTCAAGGGCTGGGAGAGGCCGTGGACGTCGGTGAAGATGAACGCGTAACCGTCGAAGAAGGTGAAGAGCACGATGTACAGCACGGTCATGTACAGGGCCAGCAGGAGGATGATGGGCTCTCGCACGGCGAGGGTGAATTGACGGCCGCAGGCGCGCGCGATGCGGGACGGCAGCGGAGTGTCGCCCAGCTCCAGCTTGGACCGGTAGCGCGGGTCGCCGGTCAGACGGCGGAGGTGCTGGGCCTTCCACTTGAGCAGCAAGGGGCTGTAGGTTTCTGGCTGGAGGAGGAGCACCAGACCGAGCACGAGACCGCCCATGATGAGCACGATCCAGTTCACCCAGCGCCAGGAGAGAGTGCCCTGGCCCATGTAGGATGCGATGACGGGGCTGAGGATGGCGCCGCCGAACGAGAGAATGGCGTAGACGGGGAAGGCGAGGGTCTTCTCGAGCGGGTCCCAGAGGTCGGCCACGGTGCCGCCGGCGCAAGTGAGCGGCGGACAACCGCACACGCCAGCTAGGAAACGGCAGGCCAACTTCGCGCCGACGTTGGGGGATAGGCCGGAGCCCATGACGAAGAGCATGAAGAGGGAGGTGGAGATGGCGTAGACGGCGTTGCGGCCCAGGATCTCGGAGAGAGGCCCCGAGACCAGGGTTCCCGTGGCGAAGCCGAGGAGAAAGACGGCGGTGAATAGCGAGGCGACGACTTCGCTGACGTGGTAGGCGGCGCTGCTCTGCGCGAGCACGGCGGATTCGATGGACGAGGAAGCGCTGACCACGAACGCCAGGGCCGAGACAATGAACGTTCCCATCATTTTGGTCGCGAGGCTGAAATTCCGCGGGTTCAAGACATCGTGGTCGCTTTCCCAGTCGACGAGAAAGATATGCGACGGCTCTCCGTTGCGACTGCCTGTGTCCTCTATCAGTTGAATCCCAGGCAATAGACTAGTTCCATCCGGTTGTCGTTGCTGTTGATCTGGATTTTGTGTCCTGAATGGGTCCGAACTGCCTCGTGCCAGAACGCGCTGATACCCTTCCTGGTCTTTCTGGTCGAGCTGGTTGCGAACCGAAGCCCTGATGGCGCGATATTGAAGGTACGCCTGCATTGAGAGGAGGGGATACTCCGGGTGTTAGTTAGCAAGATGCCAGAATATAAGGGTAATGATGATAGCCGGGGGCCAATTTGGAATGCCCAACGTCTAAATAATATAGGACTGAGATCATCTTGGTCTTCAGTCGTGGTACTAGTAGTCGGCGCATTCGATGTATGCCGCTATAGTGGCTCTGAACTCCGCTATCGGACTCTGCGTCGGACATCAGCAGCCCAGAGGTCAGACTCATTCGGAGCCTGCAGACACAAGGGGTGCCGCCTCTTCCGAACCCATTGGCACGGTTGCTGCTCCGTCGGAAACAAGAGGAAGACCCCTGGATCGAAGAAGTGAAAGGAAATCAAATCAAATCAAATTGGCTCCACCGACGACATCCTCCCCGATGACTAATCGGATAACCATCCCTAAGGCCCTCTGGAAGTATTTTGTTCCTGCTACAACATTCCTACTCCCTACAGTCGATCATCTTCTTCCTGTGGGGCAACCAAATTCCTTGGTTTCCAAGCTTCATGCTGAAGTTCTTCGGAACACTCGAAAGTGCAGTCATAGATCAAGACTCAACTAGGTGGCCCACCAAGGCTCGAGATCCAGACACGACGACGGAGGACGACGGAATATTGCGAGCGAATTGATTGCCGAAACATTATGGAAGACTGTATGTAGCGCCTGGCTTTACGTGATTTGTACGGGGGCATCGCTGACGACCCAACGTGGCTTGCAGATCCCTTGATCTGATTTCCTAGCATATATCCGTACCTCCGAGTTTCTACTACTACTATACACTCCTGATGAGATGAGCTTTGAAATCGGAATGGTTTTAGTTAATTCGACCCTCTAGGAACTACCAAATATGTAACGCTACAGCCGAAACTCCGCCCCAGAGTTCAACACAATCGCTGTTGCTCTCATTTTATATGTGCGCAACATTCTCCGGATGCTGTGATACTATACCTCTATCTCATTGCACATTCAAACAACATTGTCTGGCAGATCCACCATTCCCAAAGTCAATAGCGCACAATGACTGAGCCTCGTGCCCTTCCCCCCGGTTCCAAGCTCTGGGTACTGCCATCTTCTCCGTACGTTGAGCGCAGCTAACAAGCCATAGTTGCTTGACCTAGGGACCCTCGACATTGATGCCTCCTACGTTCTCTCCGGGGCAAATGTCCCCCTACATGGCGCTAGACCCGAGCCCCACGAGACCCGTCCCTGTGTAATGATAGCAGGCCTTCTCTACCATCCCGATGTCGGCCTCCTCCTATTCGACACCGGGTCTCGCGAGGACGTGATCAAGTCCTGGGACAAGGAGTTCCTGGAATGCGCCCCTAGGACATGGGACAAAAGCATCCACTCCCTGCCCGCAGCGATCAAAGCCACCGGGGCCGGAGAAATCGGCGACGTCAAGGCCGTGATCATGAGTCACCTTCATCTTGACCACGCGGGGGGATTAGAGCATTTTTTCGGTACCGGTTGGTGTACTCTTCTCTTGTTGCTGGCCCGAGCATGCCATATGGGTATTAACAGACGTAGATGTGGAGATCTGGTGCCATGAAAAGGAACTCAAAAATGCCTTCTGGGCTTCTGCCACCGGCGCCGACGCGGGTCTCTTTCTGCCTGATTATCTGAGAGCAGATCTTTTGAATTGGAAGACGGTTTCGGAGGAAAGGGCGGTGCTTTGGGACGGCGTCACTCTGCATAGGTGCCCTGGGCATACGGAGGGGTCTTTAGTCCTAGAGCTCACGTTGATGTCCGGGACTGTGGTTCTGATGGGGGATCTTTTTCACGTCAAAGAGAACTACGAGGATGGAAGACCGCAAGGGTTCCTTATGAGGAACTACAATCAATGGTTCCGAAGTCGCGAGTACGTGAGAAGATTGGTCAAGCAGACGAACGCGAAAGTTTGCCTCGGTCACGAGAGAATGTACTTTGATATGTTCGAGAAAAGCCCGAGGTTTTTGGCTTAGCTAGCTTGCGGACCTTTGCATATTCAAATCGGTTGTAAGTTATGGCGGAAGTTTTAGCTCTTCATGAGTATCCAGATACTCGCAGAACATGTATATTAATCATTTCGCTAATATAACCGGTCTCATCTCTTCTATTGTATATATCCCTCACCCGTCGCCATCCTCCGTACTCCAGGATGACCCAAAGAGCCAATTGACTATGAAGGTTGCAAGCCGTGGAATTGTTGAAAGGCTTACGAGGGAATGATCAATCAAGTCTGCTGGGAGTTTGGATCTGCGGATATCTCGTGGATTTACGCAGTAGAGGCCCTGTGTACCGATCACGATGATACTATGATTGGTGTTCGAATCTGAAATATGTTTAGTCAAGAATTATTAAGAGGGATAGAACACCAGGCAATGTTCGGACAGATCACGAACCAATGTGAACCCGATATATTAATTACTGATTAACCTGTGGTACTTAACCTAACTGCTTTAACCTAACCCACCTCACCAACGGTTAATGGGGGGTAAGGTAGACCCTGCCTTTTAACCTACCCGAGCAGTTATGGTCAAGTTAACCCACTCTAGGTTAGCGTAAGTAGAGACTCTAGATTGGTAGTCATACCTACACCGTACGCCGAGGTCGAGAGATCGGCAGAGGTTAGTATGGGTAGAGAAATGCTCAGGTAATTTCTATCCACGCTGAGCTTTCTTCTACCCACAATAAGCTACAACCGAGGGCGGTGGCTGAGTAAGCGAGGAGTGCAAACAGTGCAAATAACCTCCGCACTTTCCCAATAAACGCCATGCAGCCAACGATCCAAATTATCGTCACCTAGTTAGACTTGGATCTGTGGGTAGGAGCGACTGTCTCTCCCATTCCTGTTTCCCTTCAGTAATACTGGCAATTACGACGCAACATGCGGCCGCAGGATTGAACTCCAAGCAAATTATCATCCGCGACGGGCCCTCGCCGTTGATATTTGCCCAAATCGCAGCAAAACCAACATCATCCTGCACTCTATATTCGCTTGATATTCGAATTGGGTTAAAACGGTCCGCTGGCTGCCGCGAGCGGTCAATGACTGGCCGATGGGTCGACCGCCCTCTCTTGTCCCGCCGTGCAGATATTGCCAAAGGCAATTCAAGCGCCAGGAACACCTGCGAAGACATGAGCGCACTCGTGAGAATTACTAATATTCCACGCTGAGATACATCCCCGTATCAGTTGACTGACGTCTGTTTCAGACACGCGTGAGAAGCCGTGCGTATGTGAGTGTGGTGAAAGGTTTGCACGACAGTAAGAAATCCTCCCTCGTGAAATTCCGGCCCACACCTGCGTTCTGATTGCCCTCAAGAGATATGCTAGCGCGACATAAGCGCTCTTCACACAAAGCCACCCTTACACACTCTGAAGCTGGTGTAGATGGCCCGTCTGTGATCGAACAGAGTGGCGAATTCCGCGAATCTCCATCCACTTGCCCGTCTGTTGCACCAGGCCATGACGACTCAAGTCCTCGGATCGATGGTCTTGTGCCAACCCCGCAAGATCTCTTGAGAGGGGGCACTGAAGGAAATCCTAATCCACCCTTGCCGTGGAATGGTAACGATGATCTTGATTTTCTTTTTTGGAATGACTTATGCCCATTCTCGGCGTTCCTCCCTGAGAGCTCCTTCGACCCAAATCTTTCCTTCGTGAACGCACCACAGGAACATCAGTTTCCTCCTTTGGAGCAGCAAAACTCCCAGGCAATCGCCCAAGGACAGCATAACACCAACGACACACTGCCCACAAGCTCAGCATACTATCCCCCAACTCTAAGGGTGCCGTCTTCGCCTGGGATGCGGAGCCTTTTCCCAGAACCGGCTTCAATTAACGACAACTCACATCTCGCTGCCATAGACGAAACAGATCCTTCTCAAAACCGTCAATTGGAAGGAAATTTCGATCCCTCAATTTCTCCATGGATAATAGCATCCTCAGATTACGCAGTGCTGTTGAATCAGATCAACGAGCTTGGCACCCTCTTACCACCATCCTTCTCTTTACCCTCACGCTACACCCTTTCTCGATTTCTAGAGGGGTTCTTCCGAGGCTATCATGACCACTTGCCATTCTTGCACGTTCCCTCATTCTCCATCTTATCGCACGGACCGGAAATTGTACTACCACTGGCTGCTGCAGGAGCGTTCTATCGCTTTGAGCACGGAAAGGGGTACGCAATCTACCACGCTGCACGCTCCTTGATCAATTCGCAGCTAGAACGACAAAACAGAGAAGCAATCGCCAATTTGGCGAAGACCTCACCCGGCTCTGCCTCTACTTCGAGCATCAATGGCCACCCTCACGGCTTCACTGAGGGTAGTGAAAACCAAGCCGCTCAATTTAGGCCAAATAAAATGACCCAATACTCATTGTCCTTGCGTTTGTTGCAAGGGCTCATTGTGTTGATGACGTTGGCTTCATGGGGGAATCGCTCTGTGGTGGGAGACGCAATCGCGATATCGGGTCAAGTTGCCATGCTGGCACGCGACCTGGGCATATCGGCACAGGATGCTGATCATGAAACAAAGTCATGGGACAACTGGGTCGAGCAAGAAGAACGACGCAGAACGCTATGGGTAGCTTTTGCTCAATTTAATCTGCAAAGTATAGCATTCAATGTGCCGCCTATGATCTTGAACCAAGAGGTCTACCTTACTCTGCCAGCCTGTGGCGAAGAATGGAAAGCACGTGATGCCCGAGCTTGGATGAGCATGCGGAAATTGCATACGCCTGACCCTCGAAGTTTCCAGCAGGCGTTAAGGCAACTTCGCCAGGGCCACCAGATCCATAAGCCAAGTGCGATGTCTGCTTTCGCGAATTATGTCTTGCTTCACGGCTTACTACAAGAGATCTTCTTCGCCCGCAACATAACATCTCTAGACCAATACCCTAGCTCCATTCAAGATGGCCACGCTCGTGTGATGGAAACAGCTCTACAAGCATGGCAAAACTCCTGGGGGGCAACTTATGAATCAACCATAGATCCACTATCACCCAGAGGCCCATTGGGATTCAACGCTAGAACTCTGTTACAGTTAGCTTACGTTCGCCTGAATGTCGATATAGGGCCTCATCGTCAACTGGTATCTCACAATCCAGCGGAAATAGCCCACAGGCTTGTCGACTGCAAAACTATTGCCTTCCGGCGATCGCCTTCCGTTGACCGTGCGATTCTTCAATGCATCCACGCGCTAAGCATTCGGGTTCGCTTAGGGGTCCACTTTATCGCGCACACTCAAATCTCAAACTGGAGTATGCAGCATTCACTCTGTAACCTTGAATGTGCATTCCTTCTTAATCACTGGCTTCAAGACATTGCCCAGTGTATCGACACTTCGGGTCTCCAAACTATACGGGACGAGGAGCGCAAGCTACTTAGTATCATCCATAGCATTGTCCGAGAAGCGGATCTGACAGACCTCTCAGACTGGCCAGATGACAATGCAGCTGCGGTTCGTCGTCTGGCAGTATGTACCGCGCGACTGTGGGCTGAAACATACAAGGGCCACCATATATTCGAGATATCTCGCGTTGTTGGCGAGACACTTCTGATGATTGTAGATATTTTAGGTGCTCGACTGCCATTTCCAACATGATCTTTGATCTAGCATAACGAAGGGACGTCCTTTGCCAAGCCCACTCAATGACAATATGCTTCCACGCGTCTTCCTCGAGCAATGTCGGGCCCCAAATCGGCTATAATTTCTTTTCTTAAAAACAGATGATCTTGCCGTTCCTCAAACGTGAGATACATCCGTCCAGTTGATTAATGGGGTTCCGCCAGAATTCTACGAGAAAGAAAGTCAGTGGGGAAGAAATTTTGATTGGCGACGCCATGCACTTTGCTGTAAGCTCAGGGCTTCTTTGTCAAGGCGTTAAATTCACTTTTGTTCCGCTTTCTAATGAACGGTTCTTCACACTGCGGTATTTGCTCTAAAAATCGATACAGATCTTTCCAATATGTTGTCCACTTGTCATGTAATCAAAGGCATTGATCACCGAGGCACGGCCGAACTTGAAGGTCTTCTCAACCGGGATGGCCAAGTCGTGAGAGCCGATAAAGCAAACGGCATCCTCAAGCATTTGCTTCGATCCGATCATGATCCCGCGGACATTGGCTCCCTTGCCCAAGGCAAGAAGAGCGACATCGGGCATGTCCTCTTGTGCAGCAATGGAGAGGAATCCGACGACCGCAATAGTACCTCCAAACGCAATGGCATCAAGGGACTGCTTGATGGTACCGGACCCACCATTCTCAATATTCGACACCACGGCCACCAGTAATCTTTTGAACCTCGCTTGCCCAATCGGGAGACTTCTTGTAGTTGATGACGTGGTCAACACCGTACTTCTCCTTCACATACTGGAGCTTATCGTCAGAAGAAGATGTGATGATCGTGATCGCACCCGCGGCCTTAGCTAATGCAAGGCCAGTGACAGACACTCCCCCGGTTCCTAACAGATAGGGTCAGTCATGTAATCACTTATAGCTACGATCCTTGATCATGAGAAATTGGCTTACCTTGGAAAAGAACAGTTTGGCCTGGCTTTAGTGGGAGAGCTCCATAAAGCGCGTTCCAGGCCGTCACACCGGTACAGACGACACTGGCCCATTGAGCATAGCTGAGGGTAGAGGACTCGGGGATCCTCACGACACTCTGTGCGGGAAGGGCAATGTACTATCTAAGGACGCCGTCGACTGGCCCACCCAGTCCAGTTTGCCAGGACTTGATCGGTCCGTACAGTGTGGCTGGATCGAAGGCGGCTACGACTTTATCACCTAGAGCGAAGCCCACTACTCCTGGGCCAACTTCGACGACGTCGCCGGCAGCACCCGATCCGGGAACGACCTGGTCTTTCGTAGCGAATGGATATTTTCCAGTGGCGATGGCAACGTCTCTGTAGTTGAGGGCAGCACTGCGGACTTTGATGAGCACCTCGTGGTTGCCAACGGTCGGGCGAGGCTCTTGCACCTCTCGAATACTCTTCCAAGAGTCGAGAGTCGTGTGACGAAGTGCTGTATGAAGAGCCATTTTGTGTGAAGGTGCGATTGATGTAAGTGTGAATGGTGAAAGGTTGAGTATGTTGAATATATAGTAACCTGAGTTGAAATAGATTTGAAATTCACACGCCGGACATGTCAAGTATCAAAGCCGATACTCAAGTGGAGAGGCGTCTCTAGGCGTCATACTTTCAACCCCGGGGGCGAGTTGGCGTGGAGTTTTTACCCCATCAATTATGGATCCCATGAACTCGGCCTTTCATAAGCGTCGCCGACGCCCCCAGCCATTGGAACTTGGATTTATGATCTCATGACAAAACGACTATTCCGCCGGCTTCCTAATGTTGGTATAAGCGTAAGGAGACGTTCCAAGCATTCCTTACAACTCAATTCAAGCCGATAGTAGATACAAGGCCATGTCTTCTCTCCCTTTCTCCTGTGCTATTGTGACCGGCGGTGGGGGAGGCTTGGGTAAAGCAATGTCAGAGTTCTTATTGAGAGAAGGAAAAAAGGTCATTTTAGCAGGGCGGACAGAGAGCAATCTACGCCAAACAGCCCAAGAGATTGGCGCCACAGATTACTTTGTCCTCGATACTGGAAAGATCGAACAAATCCCTTCATTCATCGACACCGTTATTGCCAAGTATCCGGAGGTCGACTGCTTGATCAATAATGCCGGCGTCCAACGGCCACTGCACGTCTTGCAGGATGAACCCGCCGACTTCCTGCTGAAAGCCGACCAAGAAATCGACATCAATGTTCGAGGACCTATGCACCTGGCGCTGGGCCTCCTGGAGCACTTTAAGAACAAGCCGCAGGGTGCCACAATCATCAATGTCTCATCGATCCTCGCTTTCGTTCCCTTCTCCGTGATCAATCCGGTGTACAATGGCACGAAAGCCTGGCTGCACTTTTGGTCCATGGCTCTTCGGTCACAGCTATCCCGGGGGGGCTACGAGAAGATCAAGATCGTCGAAGTTGCTCCTCCGTCGGTCGCAACTAATTTGCATCGCGATCTCGATGATCCCGATGATAACAAGAAGCATAAGAATCCGAATGTTCTGTCCGTGGAGGAGTTTTTGGACTTGTTCGTTTCCGGTCTTAAGCGTGGAGATACTATGATCGCCCCTGGGATGAGCAAGGGGATTGTCGACAAGTGGTACTCTGAATTTGGACCTTTGTACGAGAGTTTATCTGGTGGACGTTGATCTAGCTAGCATCTGAGTCATACACGCCATTCTGCATCACAATATTCTCACATCTAACCCTCCAAAACTAGATATATTTCGCTCGCAGTATTGAGATCGGTGCCCTTCATGTTGCATGGGCTGAGAGACTCAGTCTTGTAGTCTAACTCGGTTAAAATCGAAATTTGGACATAAATCTTTCGAGCGATAAACCTTCCTCTGTCACGCGACATCAATGAGGTAGCTCTGAACACACAAGGTATTGCTGAAGCTACTGAGTGCGGATCATAATGAGGTTGTCTAGATGTCTAAAGCCGAGAGAAATAAATTCGCGTGAGAACATCAAATGCTCTCTCAAACCTTGGAATCAGTTAATCGTCAAACTACATGTACCATACGTCACCCCACCCAACTGGGCCAAAGGCCGAAATTCCTCAAGATCAATATGGTTCAATTCCTTGTTGACGGCATCCTCCCAGATCCAGAATCGCGTAGCCTGAATGAAAACTACCACATTAGGGGTCTTTCCAGGGTTAGCAAATTCAGCAAACTCTTTATTGTCCACGACTTTCCCCTCCACCGAGATTCCGGACTCCTGGACTCGCACCGGCTGTACCGTTTTCCTTGGTGCTTCGCGAAAGCCCGAGAGATCCCATTCTGAAACGTCAAATGGTGCGTTGATTGATGTCGTATTCACGGCGTGAATCATGTTTTCAGACACAGTGTTAATCACAAATGAGATGAGGAGACTATAATCATCGGCTTTTGACATAGTCGGGGCGTAGGGGTCGATTTCCGTGTGCACGAGGCGCACCTTAGTTCCACGATGGATCGGGCGGTGCGGTTAGATCGATAAGCCGATTTGAATGATTGAACTTTGGGAGGTGGCTTAGAGCATCATCACTCTCCTGGGGGCTCTGAGATGGGCTTGTCCTCGTGGTGGCAGTAGCAGCAGCAACGGTGGACAGTGAGCTGGTTTGGAAATGTGAGGTGGTACGAACAGATGAGGTTATCGCTCGGACTGCGTTTCTGGCCGTGGATCAGCAAGATCGTTCCTTATACGAGCCCATCCGACCTACCTTGTCAAGCAAAACATTGTTTTATGTCTACTGTACATAAGAAAGACAATACTGGGGGACGGGGGGGTTACTCCATTTGCCGAGAGATCAAGATCAGCCCTATACGCATTTTCTGCCCTTCGGAGTTTCGGCTCTTTTACCTTTTTGTCTATTGCGCCAGGTGAGAAGTTGAAGTCCTTTGGTATCGTTAAGTAGTACCATGCTCGATTCTCCTGGTACACAACCACTGGTCAGTCTGCTGACTGCTATTGTATTCCTTGGGCGTGTATGCTTACACCCTTGCGAGGAAAATTGTGAGTGGTAAATGGCTTTCGTTTACGACTAGAATATAATAGGTGGATGCAAGCCTGTACACGGTCGCATGATGCATGGTAAATACTTTCCCGCCGATGCATGCAGATGCTATTCGCTATATTTTTCTACGGCCCTACGTATCAAGCAAACAGCGAAAGACGATGGGTTTAGCATCAACTAGGTAGAAAGAGCGACCCCGTCCTGTCCAGATGCCGTAGAACCGCGGATACGGGCGTATCCAGATGTGTCTTTTTAGCATGCTTGGCGTATTTACGGTGAATTGACTGAGTGCTCTGCTTTCTCTGTAATTGAAGCGTCTCAAAATTTCTATAGATGCTACTCCCCTTTGAAGCCCCCTCGGTGGAGGGAAAGTATATCTCTTCCAAAACTGAAGTGATAAACGGCCACCCGGTTCTTCTATAGTTTTATCCTATGCTTAGTAGCATCATATCTACTTAACTACAGAATCTGCTAGTTGCAGTCGATGTTTACGCACCGCATGCGCTTTCAACGTGGAAAAGTGTTAAACGCCAGTGGCACGGTCAGCGAAGCGCAGCAGAACTTGATCACGAAATATATAGATTCTCACACCTCCCTTAATCATAACCTTCCGCGCCACGTTAATACGGACATGCACAATTTGTTAAACGGCCGCCAATCCAACAAATCACTTATATCGCAATCACCCGCATAAGCCGATGGATTGGTATGGGACAACCTCAACAACTAAGAGCCGAGCAACGAGCGTCGATACGTGAACACCCAAAACAAAGCGATAAAAAAGCGAATAACAAAAATAGTCTCAGCCTCTCCAAAAACTCCAAAGAATGAAATACTTCTAGAAAAAGCGGGAATTTATATTCGGAAAGCCAAAAAACCTCGGCGATACTCTCAATATTACGGTAATGGCTTGCTGCCTGTTCATCGTCGAACACATAAATGTAAGGAACACAAATCGACTTTGCGAAAGTTTAGGAAACAAAGTTAGAGAATCGGAGATATTATATATGTAGTAAGAATCTTCTACATTAAATGCATATTCACAGACATACAGGAGATGTTCATTATCTTTCTACCGAACACAGTTACTACGTAAAAGAAGAGCCAGGATCGGACATTAATATGGACTAATGTTTCCAATCTCTTCAGCCTAGGTGACACGTCAAAATTGGTTAATAAACATATAGATGCTTATATTTATTGAGCTGGATTCTTGGATCCCAGAAAATCTCTTAAACATATGGCTTTGAGCAGAAACGGATGACGCAGCAGGAGTCCCCAAAAATGGGAAGTCCTTGAGCACAGTTACAGAAACGACTCTTGATCAATGCAATGTTTCATTCTAGATGTCTAAGTCTCTATACTCTAACCAAGCAAGTATCTACATACAGTATAGTATTCAGTCAACAGCCCAAAAACTAGCGAAAGACCCATCCCAACTAAAAGATCCATCAGAGTAGTTCATTTGGTCTCGTAGAATGGGTAATCAACGTAACCCTTGGCGCCACCAACGTAAAAAGTAGGACGGTTATACTTGTTCAAAGGCCAGTTGTTGCGAAGACGTTCGACAAGATCGGGGTTCGCAATAAAAAGACGACCGAAACCAGTCAAGTTGTTAGGATACTTCTCAGCAATATCGAAGGCGCGCTTAGGATCGTAAGTGTAACCACCAGTTGTGACAATAGGTCCCTTCCAGATAGCACGGAAAGGATCAAGAGACTCCTTTTGCTCAAAGTTGTAATGGTCGTCGTACAACACTGAGCGGGGCTCGACCATATCAAGGAAAGCAAGCTTGGTGTATTCAGATTGGAGCCTCTTGACAACGTAACCCCAAGTGGCGTAAGAGTCATCATCCTCGACATCGAGGAAAGCAGCCCAAGGAGAGAGTCGGACAGAGATAAGCTCAATTCCAACAGCCTCGACCAAACCGTCCAGAATCTGGAAGAAAAATCGGGCACGGTTCTCGGGGGATCCACCGTACTCATCAGTACGCTGGTTGGACGCAGAGTTGAAGAATTGGTCAAAGAAGAAACCATTTGCAGCATGAAATTGAACACCGTCGAATCCAGCCTCAAGAGAGCACTTGGCAGCATGCTGGAAGTCCTTGACGTATTGCTCCATCTCCTGCTTGGTGATCTCACGGGGAGTCTCGTACTCATAATCACCCATGAACTCCATGCCCTTGATGGCAATGGCAGAAGGAGCAACGGGGGTCTCCTTGATATACTTGGAAGAAGCGGCACGGCCCTGGTGCCAAAGCTGACTCTGGATATAACCACCCTTCGCGTGGACAGCAGCAGTGACCTTTTTCCAGCCCTCAACGTGCTCCTTGGAAAAGATACCAGGAGTACCAGGACTCATACCGGCCTGCTGGTTGACATTCATGGCCTCAACAATCATAAGGCCACCATCGGTAGCACGCTGACCGTAGTATTCCGCCTGGAGGTCGGTAGCGACGTGGTTCTCATCGTTTCTACCACGTGTCAAAGCGGCAAAGACAATTCGATGCTTGAAGTTGATAGGACCGATTTTGATGGGAGTGAAAAGAGCGGTGTTGGTGTTAGACATTTTTGATGGACTTGAATGTGTCTGTACTGAATATTTTGAATTGATGAAACAGAATGTCAACGATAATTCAGGGATCTATGAACGTTTATATACTGGATTTTGTTTAGTAACGGCATTGCCGTCCATCCGATGTCCATGGAGAAAAAGGATTTCTAATATGACAATTCAAAATACATACACAGTGTAGGCGCGTGTCAAAATGAAGTTATCCTCTTGGTGTATTTTACTTCTCCAAAATTATCTGTAATCAGGTGGAGTAGAAATTAACGTACCGCAGTGAAAAGTCACGGAACGCTCGGCAGACAGGGCTTCCTCCGAGCTCAGTTTCTACTCCAAACCTACCTGTCCCATTCAATTTACCCCACAACCAGACTGTAGTCGTCATCGGAGCTACCGGCGCCCAGGTCTGTCTTAACCACGCCCTCCCATCCACGAGCGACAATTGAACGTACCTCTTGCCCTTGAACTAACATCGTGGCAGGGCGGTGCCGTGGCAAACAGCCTCTTCGAACATCCAGACATCTATCATGTCCGAGCGCTTACCCGCAATGCCGAAAAACCAGCTGCAAGGGCGCTTGCTGAACGCGGAGCAGAGCTCTACTGCGCCGACCTCAGCAGCGGCCGCGACGCTCTCGCCACCGCATTCTCCGGCGCGGATGTCATCTTCGCCCTGACGGATTTTTGGCAGACGCAGTCCACAGACATTGAGATCGCGCAGGGCAAAGCGATTGCCGACGCCGCGGCCCAAACCCCCACGCTGAAGCACCTGCTTTGGAGCGCCCTTCCTGACCCCGTGGCCTTGTCCGGCGGCAAGTTCCTGAACGTGCATCACTGGAAGGGCAAAAGCTTGGTGACGGAGTATATCCGGGCCTAGTATGCGGAGCTCTGGGCTAAGACCACGACTATCCTCTTTCCGAATTACTTCGAGAACTGTCTGACCACGCCGGATAGATATCTTCCTACGAAGGTAAGTGCGCTTCTGATTCAAAGCAACCCGGGCATAAGGATCTGACTCTGGTGTAGGATGCCTCGGGGATTTATACACTGTCATTCCCGCACAGCCTGGACACTGTGATGCCCAACGTCGCTATCGCCGACACCGGCAAGCTTGTGCTTTCCATCCTTGCGGCGGGCTCTCACTACTTCGAAAAGACGATTGCGTTCTATTCCCAAGCCTTGTCGGAGGCGGACAAGCTGGCGACTATTAGAAAGAGCACGTTGCTCCACCACCCCAGCTGTTCACGTCTAATACACAAGATAGGGTACAACGTTCCAACGCAATACCGGAAACTCACCTCCAGTGAATTCCAGGAGATGCTCCAAGCCCGTGATGGGATGTCTGAGGAGATTGCTCTGGACTTTGCAGAGCAACTTATGATATTCGAGGAGTGCGGCAATGTCTATGCCAATGAGGAGTTTGTCCAGGCGTATGAGGTCGGCAATGTCATGGTTGTGAATGATTTTAGTTATTGTGCTGACTGTTGCTGTCAGATCCCTGGACTGAAGCTTCAAACCTGGGCTGAATTTCTCGACAAGCATGAGTTGCCCTTGAAGCCTTGAAGGAGTTAGATTATTACAAACTAGGTATGGAAGAACAAACTGGACAGCGTCGTGCTGAATGGAAACGCTTCTTGAAGCCACCAATGAAAACTCTCGTCTCTCCATTTAATACCTGTTCAGTCCAACTGCCATAAGCCTTAGGCCCCGGTCACTTTCTTTGCAATCCCTGAGCCTGTGGCGTGTTTGCATGCGGTGAATACACACATGTCGAGATTCGGTATACAATGTCCTCGGACCAGAGAGGGAAAAAAAAAAGAAAGAAAGAAAGAAAGACTCCACTCACTCCTGACCACATAGCTTTGCAAATCAATCACCCTTATACGCATTCCCTGACCTCCGTTCAACCTTACAAAGTGTATTTGCTCCCCGAGAAACACGGCACGAGACAATTCGGTATATCTCTTGCAATAACACACTTGAACCGCCACCCCGTGCAATGACCGGTAAGCAAGACCTTCGGATCCAGCTTTTTCAAATCCCCCATCGTCGCATTTAACTTGGCATCGTCGGCATCTGCCAAATGATACCCGCCCACAACGCAGTACAACGAACTGCCGTTTCCGAGCTTAACCGCGTCCCGGCACGTATTCACCACCCCGGCATGGCCACAGCCCGTGAAGACCACAAGCCCCTTCCCTACATCACCTCCCGTCAGAAAGCCCTAAGTCCAAGATGTCAGTCAGATAGACACACCTTTGATATTACACATCACGTAGCGCTCCTCCATGATCAGCGTATCCTCCTCCCACTGCCCCGTGCCCTCGTTGAACCGGATCCCGCCGTAGATGCCATCCTCGTAGGTCGTGTCGCGCGGAATCTCGCCCGAGACCAGGAAGAAATCATCCAGCACCGTATGCGCCCGGTCACTCTTGACCAGGGTCGCTCCGGCGGCTTCGAGCTCTTCGAACGACGGGTCCGCCTCGAGAGAAATCGGGCGGTCGGCTTGCACGCCTCGATAGGCTGGTCGGTCGGGGTGCACGTCCACCACGACCGCCGTCCCCGTTCCTCCGGTGGCGAGTTTGCTGGCGTTGATCAGTTCGATTGCCCGGGTTAGACCACCTGTTTAGTGTCCCAGTTCGTGGATATGCAATAAGCCGAGTGTTCTATAGAGTGTTGACTGTCGGTGTCCTGATCTAGCTACGTACCCGAGTGATCCCGATGATAATGCGACAGAGCAACGTGCTCGATGCGCCCGACCTCTGCTCGCAAGCGCGCAGAGTTCCGCTCCCAGACGTCGCCTTCGGGCCCGGCGTCGAAGAGCAGAACGTGCTTCTTGTCGCCTTTGGTGGCAATCTATTTTGGGTGTTATATTAGGTTCGAGGTCACGGGCCCGTCCTGTAGGGAAGAGAGAGAGAGAGAAAGAGACAGAGAACAAAGCACGCACAAGCAGCAGGGAAATGCCGTGCGCCGCACAGCAGATATTATCCATGCGCATTTCCATCTGCGCGCCGCCTCGCTCGGAGGCAGGGTCTAGCGGACTGAGTGGGATGCCCATGAACCGGCTGGCGACCTGCACGGCGGGATTCGGGCTCGGCGAGATGGGATCCAGCTCGTCGTTGACGAGGACGTGGATTTCGAGGGTGTCGATTTCAGCGAGCATGGCGGATGCGGAGCGAAGAGTTAGCAGTGCGGATTTCGAGACGTATGGCTGTCGGTTGTGAGGGGGATTTGGTGCTTTAGTAGATCTATACTGAGGTGATGATGTCACTCGAAGGGGGTTTTCCCTATTCGGGTCGGGAATCCGATTGTTCACGGACAAGCAGACTGGGTTTTACAGGGGATTCTTCGGTCTCGGATGAGTGGTTGTCTTGTCCTTCCGACTCGGAGTTCCGGTCACTCAGATGTCGGAAGCCAATCTAGATAGTATTAGTGGAACAAACCTACGTAGACAATGGACTATACCCCCTTTGATATGTATATTCTTTCTTCTAACAGGAGTCTTGCTCCCATTCTGATCCTAAAATAACCCCCATCCAGTTATTTCCCACCCATCTAAAAGCCTCAGACTCTTCACCGTGGTCTACACGTTCCCGCTAAGCCAACATAACCCCCGCCTCAAGACAGACCACACAAATAACAAATTCCTCCAAAACCGCCATCCCCAGCAAGACAGCCGGACTCCCCGTCAACAAATCGAAGTCAGGATTGTGCGAAAACGACCCGAGAAACGAGTAGAGCACGCGAACCAGCAGAAAGGGCATCGACAGCGCAACCGCACGGACAAGCCTGCGCTCTTCAGCCTTGATATATCGATTTCGGGACGCCATCGAGAACACCAAGATAGCGAGGCCGGCCCAGACGACGAGGAAGATCACCACGCTGGCCTGGGACAAGGAATTCGCGGAGGCCGGCCGTTCCGCGTCGGCGCTTTGCACCTGCCCGATGATGCTGAGGATCATGGCCGCTATGGTTGCGAGGCTGAGGAGTCCAAAGAGACATGGGTGGGCGGGTTTCCCACTGTCAGTATAGGACATACCTAGGCGGGTTCCGTGGGGGTTAGGAAATGGGGCAGGATTGGCGGTGGGGTGTATGCACACTCGAGAAAGGAGGCCGATACAGGAAACGGTCAGCTGGAACAGGCCGATGGCGAAGCATACGGCGTATGTCAGGTAAAGGTCTGACGAGAGGGGGTGGGCGAGGGTTGCGAGATGAACGAAGGATCCGACGACGCGCACCAGCGCAAACATCACCAAGGTGGTCCAGCCAGCGCTCTTGCGGAATCCATGCCTGAACACGACCAATAGAGCGACGATGAACGTGGGAATGTACACCACCGCCTCCAGCACGGAGATACCGTGCCGATAGTCGAGACCCATCACTTGGACTGAGACTGCTTTGTTCTCTGGTGAAGAGGTCTGGTCCATGAAAGAACTGGCTGTTTATTATCAAGAACGGAAACGAAGCAGGGAGATGAGAAGGAATTGGATGATCATCTCTAACTATACGATGAAAACCATGGCTTATGTAGTCATGGCCACATGACATGCATCGTGGGATGAGCCATGAAACAACCGGGACCTACCGCCAACATCGTGGAAGGTTCCAACATTTATCGATGCTGTAGAGTATAACTGCAGCTCGGATGAAGATGAATATTCCGAGGGAGCTTAACTCTGTCGGGTTCTTCAAGAGGTCCTGTCATGTCTCATCTGGTTTGTTCAATGGTGGAAGTATCCTGCGGAATACTAGGCTGGCTACTGCATGGGTTAGAGGAACAGCTGCGGAGACGACCTTTTTGGAATCCATGGGGTGGAGCCGCTCTAAACCAGTCTCAAGCCTCTCAGACTCCGGTTGGGGGCATCTGTTGTCATTAGCAAGGTGATGTGAGTTGACTTGCCGTACGCAAAAAAGCCCGGGGAGTGTAAATGGAAGCGCTGGTTCTATTTTACACCTTGTTAATATACAATCCTTTCTATTCTAGAAGTCTTAGGGTTAGTCTGTTCACAACGATAGATCGAGGATGCATATAGTCATGTTAACACATGGATCGGTATATTTAGGCCGAAGAACTAGCATTCAGCACGACTCATCTTGTAGGCAATGGATTTCAGGTAACTTCGTCCATCTTCCTACTTACAATCCCCAGGAAGTGGTTCAGTAGCATACCTACCAATTCAACCAGTAGAAGTCGACAACGAAGGAGGGAAATCCGCCTCCCCCGTCCCCCAAGAGCTCTCATTCCTGCCCAAAACAAGCACCAATTCTCTACCCTCAGTGAAGAAGTCGTGACCCACCCAGCTCTTCGTATACGGCTTCCCATCCAGCGTCACGGACTGGATATACACGTCGCGGTAGCTGGGATCGAATTTGACGGTGCGTAGAGTCGCGACGTTCCCCGTGAGAGGCGAGGTGATGGACACGGATTCGAAGAATGGAGCAACGATGAGGTAGATGTTTTGGCCGGGGTTAGGGAAGAGGCCCATCATGGTCATTGCGACGAAAGAGCCCATAGCCCCGGAGTCGTCGTTACCCGGGAGACCGGCGGGGCTGGGATTGAAGAATTTGGGGATGTAGAAGTGGGCGCGAGCGGTCGATTTGGCGGGGCGTGCGGCGTAGTGATATTGGAAGACAGTAAGGAAGGAGGGCTCGTTACCAATGTAGGTGATGCCGGTGTCATGAAGGTAGTCGAGGCGGCGGACGAATTGGGAGGGCCCGCCGAGGTAGGTGATGAGCGTGGCCATGTCATGGGGGACAAAGCTGGATTGTACACGTTAGTTGGTGCGGCTAGCATGGCAGAATAGGTAGAATATACAATTGGTATTCCCAGATACTGGATTCGAATGTTTCGGCGGCGTTGTTCTGCAGAGAGCATGCTCGTCCGCTTGTATCAATGCTAGAGCAGGCGACAGGGTCCTGGTCATTGTTAGCACCATATCATGCAGCCAAGGTTAAGGGAGCATACCTGGTATCCCCATGTCCCATTAAGATACTTGGGCTGGAAGAACCCTGTGAATCCCGTATCCGTCCCATTGATGAGCGAGGTTTGATCATCTCGGAAAATATTCTCCCAGTTGCGAGAGCTGGTTTCGTATTTCTCCACGTCACCTGTCCTTCCCAGACCACGGGCCATCTGTGCAATACTGAAGTCGTCGTAGCAGTATTCCAGTGTACGAGAGACACTCCGCGTCATGGTTCCAAATCCAAGATAGTCGAAGTCCTCAACCGGGATGTAATTCAACGATTTCCAGCTGATCAGTCCACCTCGGCCCTCATTCGACCAGTCAAAAGGTTCTTCTTCAGCGTCCTTCTTCACCGCTGCGTAGCCTGCCTGCCAATCAATGTTTTCCGTAATCCCCTTAAGGTATGCGTCCGCAAGAACGACATCCGCGTTGGAACCGCCCTGAGTGTATCCTAGGATGGTGTGAGTCCCATTCAAAAGGTCAATAGTAGACACAAACCTTTGCAGAGAGACATGCGGCAGTCAGGAAGCCATCCCAGGTTCTGCTGGGTATCGATCAAAGAGCGGATCATTCTGGCCAGAGACTTCGGATCAAAGATAGTCAAGAAAGGCAACTGGGACCGGAAAGAATCCCAGAGGCTGATTTACTGTCAGGAAGAGGATCTACAGAGGATGAGACACATACCAGTAGAATGAATCAAAGTATGGCTCGGTGCTCTTCCATAGAGGGTTTTCCCCTGTAAAATCTTGCGGGTTGATCATTGTACGGTAAATCCCACTGTAGAAATTCGTCAAGACCGAAGAGTTAACCCCCTGTTTGGAAACTCGAATTGGTGTCATCTTCTCCGTCCACAGCTCAACTGCCGCTGAATGGGTAGCTTCAAAGTCAAAATTGGGGATTTCGGCTTCGGCATTGCGGCATGCCTGCTCGCTGCTGATAAAACTCAAACCAGTTCGCGCTTGCACCGTGATATTCGAGGCTGAATCAAAACGAACAAATGCACCTCCCTACATCTGTCAGCTTCACGCACTAGAAAACGGGATGAAAACTGACCGGAAGCGGAAATCCATTTATGCTTCGTGAAATTTCGAGGTTATTGACATCGGTGCTTGCTCGTGAATTAATAAAAACACCATGGTCTCGCACTTTGGCGGCACTGTCAAAGTCGACACAGAAATAGGGAACGTAGGTGCCGCTTCCAAAACTCGGTTGAAAGCGAGCATGTCCTGTCATGCGGCCCGTCATAGGATCTATGTCAACGGTCCCATTGTCCTGGCGCGTATCAGACAGATCGGTGAGGTCCAAAAGGATCAGAGGACTCGATTTATCATCCGTTGGAAATTGAAACCGAATGAGGGACGTATGATGAGCCACCGTCATGTCCACACGAATGCCCGACTCCATCGTAAGCCCAAAGTAACCAGGGCTTGCCTTAACCGAATCGGAAACGTAATTCGTCTTCCGTTGTTTCTTAGGGTATACACAGCCATTGACATCGTCGTCGTGACATTTCACGTAGGGGAACAGAGGATAATTTCCGAGGGAAGGCTGGCCTCCGGTTCCCGAATCATGCAGACTAGAAAATCCGGTGATGCGGCTGCCATCGTACGTGAAGCCTCCCTGGTTGCTGGGCGAGTCTGTATCCGCTACGGCTTTGGCCATGCCATAAGGCAGAGAGGCGCCTGGGAAAACATTTCCTGGATGGGAGAATCAGTTCCGTTAGCATTGGAAGACCATGAGACTATGCGCGAAGGTGATTCCGGACAGCAGGTAGATACCTCCATTCGCACTTCCAATGAGTGGATCGACGTATTGAAGGACATCGTAATTGTCGGGTATCGGCGGAAGGGAGGCGTCGGACGAGCCGAGAACGAATGGAATTGAGACCAAAAACGCGAAAGCGCGACAAGGGGCCATGGCTACTAATGGAAAATACAGTTGACAGATTGAAAGGGTGACAGGAGTATCTAAAGAATGGCGATTCGATTATTGCTTTGCGCGCGGGCCAGAGGGCTCCTTCCCGGCATGCTGTCTGGCGAATGTAGTCCAGCAAGGGGCGCCGGACTCCAGGAATGGGCCATTTCATGGACACAGGGGTCATCGATAGCTAAAGCTAGTATAATATACTGCAGGCATGCTGTAGGTCCAAGGAAAAATGCAACATGCCCCTGAAGATCAACGCATGTCTCAACAGCATGCAAATGGCTATTGGCTAGGGCTATGCAAGAGTCGATCAAGGGAAGGATCGATCCAATCTGGGGAGATTCAGCCCCATGTCCTGACAGGGATGATGTCGAGTAGCTCGACTAGCCACGGATTCGATCCGTGCTCATGTCGTACAGAGATTGACAACGTAACACGACGGGGGACGGAGATATTCGACGGACTCTAGTCGGTTGTTGTGTTTTCCTTTCTAGATTCGGGCCGACATCCAGTCCGGATGATGATGTGGGCAAGACATCATCCCACCCGGAGTGAACATATAAGTTGGCGGGAGTCCCATCATGGGCATCTGTTCTTCACGGAATGGTTTGATGTCTGAATTCTGCAAGAAAACAACATGGCAAAGCTTCCCCGCCGACCGTTGGATGGTGGAGCCCTGACCGTTGATGAAGGACGAAGGATGAAGAAGACGAAAGATCCACTTCGGAGATGGAGATGGCGCCCGTCACGTGCCAGGAACATACAGCGCAAAGGCGACAAACAGGGCAAACCACGAACTGCCAAACGACACTCGATGGCTTCTTGTCCCATGGCTTCTTTGGACTTGGATCTGTCACAATCCAATGATTAATCCCACATCTGCTTCTTGCAGGCAACACCATGTCTCATCTGATTACTCATCCACTCGATCAGCCGAGGTTCGTTCTCTATTCTCCGCCTCGCCCTCCACCAATCAGAAGGCGCCAATGGTGCGCCGAAGGGCCGTTGTGATCTTCGGCGATGCATGGATGACCGTTGTTGATGAACCTAGGCACTCCGCCAGTCACTTGCCCCGGCTCACTTGAGGCTATCCGTGGCCCGGATTCCCCAATTTTCAGTCGGATCGCTCGCCCTTAAGTCGTTGGAAGGCCAAGGATTTTAGGTCTACTCCTGGTATCCATTTTCTCTGCCGAGTCCATCTCCCCGTCATGGCGCGAGTCCCAGTGTCGAGATTCTTTCGGGCGGTCCCCACTACGACCAGGCTCGGCCTCAGTTCGAATCCTACAAATATTACCCCGTGGTTCGTGCGTCTGACCCGTCAGACTCATCCTCGATTGTATTCTGCCGGTATGTATTCCTCCCCTTGATTCTTCCTCGGTGCTCCAGGCTATCCCCAGGCTTTACTGATCTCCTGAACTCCCTACTCCAGAAGCCGCTTCCTCTCCTATTCCACCTGCGCTCCCCAAATCGCAGTCCCGCTTTCGTCGCTTCGTGGGATTCACGACCATCGCCATTCTTGCGTTCTCCGCCGGTTTAGCCTATCAGACCCAGAAAACAGTTTCTCGCATGATGACGGTTGCACTTCCCACCGACGAGGAGACCCTCACTTCGTTCATCCCTCCCGATGCGATTTCCAAGGAGGTGGAGGAATTCATCCGCGACCACCCGCTCGCCGTGTCGCTGCGGGAGAACCCGGCCTTTACCGAATCGCGACCTCATCTGAAGATCCCGGAGCAGATGCGCACCCGCAATCTGACGGCCGGCACGCTTGCGGGCCCTGAAAAGATCGTGGTCCCGCCGTATATCTTCTGCGAGGAGGGTGGAAAGAGTCTGATCTCGTTGTTCTACCTGGGCTCGAATATCTGCGGTCACCCGGGCATTGTCCACGGCGGTCTGCTGGCTACTCTTTTGGATGAGGCCATGGGACGCTGCTGTTTCCCTGCTCTGCCCAACGGCGTTGGTGTGACAGCCAACCTGAGCATCGACTACCGTCGGCCCGCCATGGCCGAAGCCTACGTCGTGCTGCGCGCAGAGACGGTGAAGGTCGACGGACGAAAGGCGTGGGTTGAGGGACGCATCGAGACCCTACCTGAAGAGGGCAAGGAGCCGGTTGTCCTGGTGGAAGCGAAGGCTCTGTTTGTTGAGCCCAAGCAGGCTGCGGTACGTTCACTGACAGGATTAATATGACATGAGAAAGTACGCTGACAAAATTATTCACAGGCCATGTCGAGTCTCTACAAGGTCACCAACTAGAATATAGACAATATGGAGGGATCTAGATGGGTTCGGGGCAGGCTGGCGTATAGATGGGATTATATTTGTCATTGTATATAATTTTTGAACAGGGCACATGTCCTTGGTCTAGGATGTAAGACTAGCAAGAATAGATTTATCATTTACATATTTACATATTTCGTCGAATACTATCTAGGTTAAAGGCATCGGTGGTTACTCTTACGTAGCCTCTCGGGCGATGATCGATTGACCGCCTCCGGCCAGCTGCAGCTCCGGGACATTCGCAGTGACGGACTGACCTGCTCTCCACCTCCCTCATTCCCCGACTTCCTCAACTTCGCTCGTGTTACTCCATGCCCGCTTTGTCGAGCGCGGCAACGGGTTCTCTCTAGTTCATCTGATATTCTCCCCTGGTATTCCCTCCTCGACCACCCAACCTCTCACCATGTCGAAGACAGCCAAGTACCTCCTCGTCTCCCTCCCCACCTCCATCACTCCCTCCCACCATCGCGATGATGCCCTCGATGCCGTCTCCGCCACCGTCGCCCCGGAAAATGGATCGGTCGCTCCCTTCCCCATCCCCGAGTTCAAGATCGGCACGCTAGACGCCCTCGTGCAGCAGGCCGACGAGCTGGCCAAGCTCGAGACCGCCTGCCAGGCCGTGGTGGTGAAGGTCGGAGATGCGTTGAAGAATATCCTGGAAGGTGACGAGGCGCAGATCGATAAGATGAAGACCGTGAATGACAGTAGGTGTGCCTGTGTGTTCTGGAATAACTCGTGCCGATGAGCTGGATCGGCTAACGTGGTGGTGTTCTAGAACCGGCGGATCAGTACCTGCGGACGTTCTCGTGGAACAAGGTCAAGTATCGGGCTGACAAGTCGCTGGGTGAATTGATCGATCTTCTGCAGAAGGTATGTCTGGTCTGATCCGGGCCTACTGGGACTGGGGTCGGGGTTAACTCGCGCATAGGAGGCAGCTAGCATCGATAACGATATCCGGACGAAATACTCCCAGTACAACCAGGTGAAGGGTAACCTGGCGACTCTCCAGCGCAAGCAAACGTGCGTTCCATGGAAATAACCCCGAAGTTTGGTCCTATTCTGACACGTATGCAGAGGCAACCTATCGACCAAGTCGCTCGCCTCCGTCGTCGACCCCCGCAAAATCGTCCAAGATTCCGAATACATCGAGACCCATCTGGTCGCCGTGCCGGCTCAGCAGATCAAAGAATTCCTGAAGACGTATGAAACGGTTTCGCCGATGGTGGTTCCGCGATCGGCGACGCTGGTCGCCGAGGATGACGAGTTCACGCTGTACGCGGTCACCACGTTCCGGAAACACAGCGTGGAGTTTGTGCACAAGGCCCGTGAGAACAAGTGGATTCCCCGCGACTTCAAGTACGTTGAAGGCGGCAAGGAGGAGGAGCGCAAGGAGTTCGAGCGGGTTGGCGGCGACGAGCGCAAGCTCTGGGGTGAGACGCTGCGACTGGGCCGCACGGCGTGGAGTGAGGCAGTCATGGTCTGGATCCATGTGTTGGTTCTGCGGGTGTTCGTCGAGACCGTTCTGCGATACGGTCTGCCTCTCGACTTTGTCTGCACTATCATCCGGGTATGTCTCACTATCGAAGGGTCCTCAAGGCTAGACTAACGAGTGCATAGACCCCGAGTTCGAAACAGGCCGACAAGGCTAAACACAACCTGGACGAGAAATACTCGTACCTGGCCGGCAACGCTTTTGGCCGCGACAAGAAGGGACGGGTCAAGCGCGACGACCCCGGCGAGATGCAGGGCGAGGGAGCCGGCGAGTACACGGCGTATGTGTACTATGACTTCGAATTCAACTAAGCCGATGGAGAAACACCGTGTGAAATAATTTGTTTCTTTGCACTATTTGGCCGGTATATTTGATACCTTGCTTTTTTGGTAGCGTACCGTACATACATTTGATGCAGTTGATCTATCTACCATGACGTTGCAGACTGAACAGTAGGCATTGTTGTCCCCTTTAAAGCTACGGAGTCCATGAATGAATGAGTCAAACAAGAAAACCACACCTTCCATCTATGCATACGTACAGAAGGAACACAGGGATATCAGCGAGAAAAGAATCATAACAGCAAATCTATCTATCCTCTTTCACACCACAGCATAGAAGCAAAAATCTACTCCTTCTTAGGCAAATAACCCTGCTCATCCAAATACTTCACAATCTGCCCGACAGCCTCCTTAATCGGCAAATCGACGTTCTTAATATGCACCTCAGGCTTCAACGGCTCCTCATACGGGGCACTGATTCCCGTAAACTCCTTAATCACGCCCTCCCTGGCCTTCTTATACAATCCCTTGGGATCCCGCTGCTCCGCCACCTCGACGGGAACATCCACATACACCTCGACGAAGGGGAGACCCGTCTCCTCACCGGGCGTGGGGACCTCGTGCAGCGAGCGCGCAGTGTCACGGTCGATCCGGTAGGGCGAGATGAAGGAGGTGATGGCGATGGAGGCGCTGTCGGCGAAGAGCTTGGCGACCTCCGCGATGCGGCGGATGTTCTCGTTGCGGTCCTTCTCGCTGAAGCCGAGGTCCTTGTTCAGGCCGAACCGCACGTTGTCGCCGTCCAGACGGTAGGCGTGCACGCCCCGCTCGGCGAGCAGCTGGCGCTCCAGCTCCACGGCGAGAGTCGACTTGCCGGACGCGGAGAGTCCGGTCAGCCAGATTGTGAGGCCGCGCTGGTTGCGGAGGTTGCTGCGCTCGGCGCGCGTGAGGGCGGGCGCGTGGAAGGTGATGTTGCTGGTGTTTGTTAGTATGGAGTGTTGGAGGTGGGATGGGGATGGTGGGATGGAGGGGTGATGATGTGCTGGGATGGATGTGGTGGGGTTCGGAGTTTTCAGGGAGGAAACTGAGATGTGGTTGGGTAGGAGAGGGGACATACGTAGCCATCTTGACAGGATTGTTTCTTCCAAGACAATTGAATTGGAGGAATTGGTAGATGTGAAGGAAGAGAGAGGGAGGAAGGCAAGAAAAAGGAAGAAAGAAGTGCGTGGCGGGCCTGTCACAGGTTGACGAGCGGGGCGCTGATCGCGGGGATTGCGTGCGTGTACTTCGTCAGTGCTGCTGGCGCTACGTCTCAGCCAGGGGGCGGCGGTATTTATTCCGGAGTATAGCTATTTGCTCTGGTTTATATGGACGAGGAATTTCCTGTCTTTCTACAAGCTGACCCAAGAGATTCCCAGCATTGGCATTTCTTGCGTGACTTGACGGAATGAGGGGCAATTCTGTCCGCCGCCGATTATCGGAGCGGAATTTTGTATGCGAATATCACCATGTTGGAGAGTATATTTTGAAACAATGATAAATTTGATTTAACTATTATTCTTGATGCATGCAGTATTTTGTTCAAAAAACAGAAAGTATCTCACATAATTAAATCACATGGCCTGTGGATCTACGGAGTATATCCGGCGCCTTGATAGTCGGTCTGGGAAGGGCGATATCTATACTTGATCTTTTATTATTTACCTAATTCTGCCCTAAAACCCAAAGTGCTTTAGCTGAACAGTTTACCATTGCCTTTCTTACCTGAATTGATCCATGTAAGCCATGTCTGTATGCGTCCTAAATGACTTGGATCCTAGGGTTCCGGCTTGCACGTGGCTACGTAGACCAGCTGTGGATATTATAAACCGTCAATACTCCCTTGGAAATCTCCAATTTTAGTTGAATTAGTCAAGTCTACGTAAGCTTGAAATGAAGACCGCAAGATCCTAAGACGGAGATGTGGCATGTGGAGCAGAAGGTCAAGCCGGTTTCGATCGAAGACAAGGTTGAGGGAAGAAGCCTAAAAGACTCAGGATAGTTAGAACGAAAGAACCATGTGAATTAGACATTTCAAGCGTTTCAAGTCGGAGGAAACCCTCCCCGTGGATTTGTTACCCGATCGAATGAAGGTTCGATCTAGCTTCGAGAACTGACTGTGCATATCCTCATTCATCAATCTGCATAGCGGTCTTCCCGATATGTCTTAACATTGATCATTTGTGGCAGTTGCTTGCCCCTATCAAGGGATGTGGCCATGCCATGAGTCACAGATTGTCATTATGATCGATTTGACAGAAAATCAAGTATTCTATTTCCCATTTCGAGTCCTTTCGCTTACTTACGTTGGTTTGATTGGTCCTTGGTGAGGTAAGAAGACATTGCAGCCTTTTCGAACCCCGTCGGCAAACTTTGTATAAACCTTGGCCAGGTGACAGTTGTAGATTATCAATTTAGGCTCTAGACTTATTGAGGATGTAAGTGGCATCATAGCTCGGCTGTGACCTTGCTAGTACATGACAGGTCTCTTAAGTTTTGGCTCCAGGCATAGATATAAATACCTGGTCTAGCGGCTTGTGGAAGTCTCTATGAGAGGGACGAATTAGCCTCTAGGATCTTCTATTCTTCAGCCTACCTGTTTCAAACCAGCCAGTTTGGATAACCTTTTGAATTCGGTTTATCATGCCTCAATTCAAAACTGCCCTCGAGGCATCTTCGTATTTTCACCCGAATCAATGTGAAGCCTTCCATCAACAGGTCCAAGAAACAATCCGAAAGATGCTCGAACAGGGATATGAGTATCCCACTCTTACTCAGTACAGCGTTGCCTGGGCCGAAGATCAAGATCCCTTTGGGCATGTCATGTGGCAAGCCTACGGTCACATCTGCGCGCAGTGCTTCAATCGCGTCGTGGAGTCCTTTCAAGAGCATCTTGGGGATAAATTCCAGGACTTCATGACCGCTCGCGGGATTAGTGCCATGAGCACGAGAATCACGATGGATGTGAAAAGGGTGGTGAAGTATCCTGATTTGGTATGTCGGATTTCTCAAAAAGAAAATAATCAAGGATAGGGGCAACATGACTGACTTCATTTCCAGCTTATTACTGGGGCTCGCATCTCAGAGGTCCATCCGGATCGTTTCCTCTGGCGTTTCTCGGTGTGGTCAACGAAGCAGAGAGCTGCTGTGGCCGAAGCAGAAGGATGGACGGTTTTCTTCGATCATCGGACGGGGAAAAAGGCTGATTTGCCACGTGAGGGGGGAGTTTATGCCAACTTGCATGCGGCATTGGTAAGACGTGCGGAGGAATCCACGCAGGTCAGAAGGAAATGGGAAGAAAACCGGAAAAGCAGAAGGGCGAATCTTTGATTCAGTTGAGGTGTAAACACAGCTTGCAAATTGGCGGCTGTTCTTGTTGATTGCTTCTTGCCTATCAGTTTCTTTACTATTTTAATCGGTATACTCTGGATGATTGAGCTTGTACAATAAACACTGTGTCTGAATGTATAGTATTTCCTTGAACTGTATTCATTCCATCTCGATGTGGATCGAACCAGATCGACAAATGGGGAGAATCCATCTGCTGCTGAATCCAATCATATGCGATCATCGGCAACTTTGTATCAGCATTGACGACATTGCTGCAAGGTTCGAGCATATCCATGCGTTTTGAAATTCTATACAAATGACTTAAATGTGAACATGGCAATGCCAGTATTACAGCAGCTGAAACTAAGATATTATTCTCTTTATCGAAATCCGGTAGGACAATTCTCCCAACAAACAGAGAACAGAGACAAGATACAATACCTACTCCTCAGTCAACAATGCCTCCTGAAGACCGCTTAGGTCTTCGCTTAGCCAATCAGATTGAACTCAAAAGTGTGTTGGGCAATGATAGTCTGGCTAATTCGATATATACCGGTATAGATATTCAAACCAAAAGTGTCTACGCTGTGAAAGCTTTTTCGAAAATCAGTTCTGATCGCAACGGGCAACGAGAGTTGAGGCTTCACCATATAGCCAGTGAGCATCGCAATGTTCTTCAATTGGTCCGTATCATAGACGCGCCTGATTGCATGTACTCTGTCATGGAATTTTCCCCAGAGGGCGACCTGTTTGACAACATTACCGCGAAGAGCATGTATAGTGGAGATGATTCCTTGATCAAAAAAGCTTTTATCCAGATTCTGAATGCTGTTCGCTTTTGCCACGCTCATAAAATTTACCATTTTAATATCCAACCAGAGAGCATCTTGGTCGCCAATCAAGGAAAGACCCTCAAGTTATCCAGCTTTGAATTCGCGACGACAGACTATTTTTCGACCGCATTCAACTATAAGCGCAATTTCTACGTATCCCCAGGTGAGTTTAGATTGCTCTATCATTGCCGCTAGCCATAGTGTCACTAATACCCTCTCCTTCCTGCAAAGAATCTCTACGGACAGACCAGGGACCAGACGCATGTTATTTCTCAGCCCCTCATGATGTCTGGAGCCTTGGTGTCGTCCTCATCAACTTGATTTGTGGCCGCAACCCGTGGAAACTGGCATCCGTGGAGGATGCCACGTATAAGGCCTACTTAGAGGGCCCTGGGTTTCTGAGAACGATACTGCCGCTATCCAACGATATTATGCGCTTCTTAAACCGCGTCTTTGAAAGCGATGCCAGTAAAAGAATCGGTATCCTAGAGCTTCGAGACTGGGTTTATAGATGCCCTTGTTTCACCGTGGAGCCTGCGCCTATGGCGCCTTCTCAATCATCTACATCTCTGGATGCCAAAGACTTCCCAGAACATGAAGACTTGGCGAGAAGCGAGCCTGAAATGGACGGGGCATCTCAGGACATTGGCAATTTATTTGACGAATTGTCGGAACTTGAAAAATTATCTGAACTTGTTTCATCCATCGAGCATGACGAATTGGTCAGAATCAAACCTGAACTGGACCGGGCATCTCAGGGACTTGACAATTTAGTTGACGAGTTATCTGAACTTAATTCATCCATCGAATAGCTATTGAAGTTACTGGGCCCATGGAAGGTTAAATGCCATCTGATCTCTAGTTCTCCAGAGTTTTACCATGAACGCAGAAATATCAATTGACTGGTATATAGACCAACATCAGAACAAAAGCAGGGCTCATGCAGTTCATATAAAATATCTATATTGAATGTGTTCTATACCTTGCCATCTACGGCTATATCACTCATCCAATGGAAGAATACACTTTATCATGCGCTAGAGGGCTTCCCTCCAGCAAGACTAATCACTTTCTTCGCCGCATCTTCAAATTTATCAAACGCGTGAAGAGGCAGACCACTCTCGGCAATCTACACTCAAGCATCAGCATCGGCCATTCCTCACACCAACCCAACAAAGACCGGACAGGGAATTAAAAACCAAATAAAAATAAAGGGAAAAAAAAAACTCACCATCTTCTGCCCCTCCTCCTCATTCGTCCCCCTCAGTCTCACCACAACAGGCACACTCATTTTCAAGTCCCGGAATGCCATGATAATGCCCTCAGCGATCATATCGCACCGCGTCAACCCACCAAAGATATTCACGAAGATGGCCTTCACGCGCGCGTCGGAGACGATGATCCGGAACGACGACTTCACGGTCTCCGACGTGGCTTTTCCGCCGGTGTCGAGGAAGTTGGCGCAGTGGCCGCCGTGGAGTGTGAGTGCGTCGACGGTGTTCATTGCCAGGCCGGCGCCGTTTACTGGATGGTTGTTAGCTTGGTTGGTTTAGAGTAACGAGAGATATGGCTGGCTTACCGAGGGTGCCGATGCTGCCTTCACCGTCGAGTCTGGTTTGAGTTTTGTAAGTTTCACGGTATGGCTCAGATGGTTATTGAAAGGGGGGCGTACTTGACATAGACAATACCATCTTTCTCCGCCTCGACTTCCTCGGGGACTTCTTCGGCGGGGTTTCGCAGTCGATGCACCTCGTCTTGACGGCCAGAGCTTCTGAATGCTGCGTCGTCGAAGCCGAACCGCGCTCCTCGTACTTCCAAGCCTTGCGCGGAGGGGTTGGCTCGGACTTCGAGTAGATATGCCTCTTTTTCCTTGAAGATCTGCCACAGGGCTTGGACTAGCTCTGCTAGTCCTGCGCGTGAAGTTTCGGGAAGTTGTAATTGGGATGCAATAGTTTCAATCAGAGGGTTAGAGTCATTGAATTCTGTAGTGTTGTAGGGGAATTGGAAACGGCCTGTCTGCGAGGGGTCGAATTCTGCGCTGGTGGAGGTCAGGATGCACGGTGTGAGTGCTGTTCTATCCACGGTCAAGGACAGGAATATATCCGAGGCGGAAGGGGGTGCGTCGTTGGTCGGGATGGATTTCTGTTTAAGCATGTCGAGAGCTTGGAATTGTTTGACGTAGAGGGAGCGAGCCTGCGACTGTGGGAGTAGCTGTGGCTTGGTCTCTCTGGGGAAAACACGCCTCATAGTATGGAGGCCTCGTTTCTGGTTTGCTGGGTTGGTGGACTATATTTTATTAATCCCTTTTAGTTGATTTCTCGTTTGTTGCTACTTACTGTTGCGCCTTGGGCACGCGCTCGGGTACTAAATAAGGACTTCATCCCCTCTCCGAAGTCCTCGGGGTGGTTAACCATAACTGCCCCGGCATTCTCTAGAGCCTTGTATTTGACACTCGCAACTGGCTCTCCGGGTGCTGTCCAAGCTCCGGCATGGCCCATGATACGGCCTGGAGGTGCGTATCGGCCGCCGACAAGAGCCATAATGGGCCTATTGCACATCAGCGATATTCGTTTGAGCTACGAGCAAGGCTCAATGACTTACTTTGGGTTGGCGGTCCTCCGATGATAGTCTTTGATCCATTCCGCAGCATCAATTTCCGCCATTCCACCAATTTCACCGACAAGGATGATTCCCTCGGTGTCGGGGTCATTCTCGAAGATCTTCAACGCATCAACGAAGTTAGTCCCGGCCAGGACATCGCCTCCCATACTGATGCAAAGACTCTGGCCCAGACCTGCCCGCGTGGTTGATGCAACGGTCTCATAACTCAGGGTGCCCGACTTCGCCACGATGCCGACATTGCCGGGAGCGAAGCAGGGTAGGGGCTGGAACCCAATGCGGCATTTCCCAATGGCTGAGATAATTCCGGGACAGTTTGCTCCAACTAGCCGCGTCTTGGATTGAGTTTGGAGCATGGAGTGGATCTGGAAATTAGGTTAACATCTGGTCTCTCCATGATATCGATACGACCTGCCCTTAAAATGTCATGAATAGGAACGTGTTCGGCTACAGCTACGACGAGAGGAATCTCTGCCTCAATTGCTTCTTCCACTGCCTTGGCCGTGGAGTTTCCCGGCACGTAGATCGCCGATGCATCGGGCTTCGCTTTTTCTTGGGCCTGTGGCGATGAGTCGGGTGATCGTGGAATGGGGACTAGAAGAACATACCGCACGAACGGAGGGGAAGACAGGGAGTCCAAGGTGTTCATCATCTACTCCTGGCTTGACACCCCCCACAATCTTGGTTCCCCACGCTAGGGACTCTTTTACATTAGCAGTGGCCTATGCTCGTTAGCACCCGATGCTGTCAATTACGGGGCTGCTGCAGTACTTGTTTGCCTATGAATTGTCAGCAACTATGGCCTGTCAGAAACTATCTATATCCGCTCTTACCTGTAAATCCCTGAAACAACACCCTCGTATGGGCCCCGATCTTCAGGTTCGGCAGCGTGTCTGCGTAGCTATACCTCGGTCCTAATGTGGAAAACTGATTCAGTCTCTTCACGGGCGTTTGCCAAAGAGACGTTCTCCGCGCCCGCGCGGGAAGAGCATATAAGCCAGTCATGGTGCAATTGCGACGTGGGATTGATCTCAACCCTGGGTATGGAGAGGAGAGGAGATGAAGTTGACCTCGGGAGAAGACGCCTTTAAACGGACAACCCGCCGGTCTCGGAGTTTTGTTGCCGGTGGTTTCCGAGGAGCCGGGGTTTACGAGATGCACGGTGATTGGCTCTCTCGGAACCGCGCTTTCTTGGCATAACTGCTCACGTGCATGGTGTAAGGCAGTCAGGCAGTCAACAGGATATTGTCCGGACAGCTTGCAGGAGTCGAGGTTTTTTGCTTTATACTGAATCAATCAGCTATAGTCGAGCACGAAATTTGCATTCTACAGTAGCATGGAGATCTACTTCTACTACCATCATCACTAGCTCACCCAAAAGTAAGTGGCGCTAGCATCTCTATCCAATGGCCCTGGCCTCATGCACGTCATGGAATACTCCGTCGACCAACACCACCTCCAGCAGACCTGCGAGATATCCAAATCCCAGGCCTGATGCGCGTTCACCCGCTCAAAAACATGCCCACCCCCCTGCACCGATCAACATCCCCTACGGTCCCAACGACAGCCACCGACCAGCGGATGAAACGCGATCACCAGCAGCGCGGAGCCAATGACGAGAAGCAGCCGAGGCAAGGCGGGGTTCGGCTTCTCCACGCCTGACGCCATCCACTTTGTTCTCTTGTGCTCGCTATTAATATCTCCCTCTCCAGGTTGTTCTCGACCGGCTATCGATTTCCGTCCGCCGTCGCTTTTTACGGAGAACTTACTCACCGTTCCATCGCTACGGTCCACTGTGGCCCAGCCCAATCCGATTCCATCTGGCAGGTCGATTGAATCCACCCGTCTGGAATCGCTGCGTGTGGGTGTGTGTTTTTTCTTTCCTCTTTTCTTCGCCAGGAGCTCCTTCCTCTGATCTTCCTTCCTCTATCCTCTAATCCTCCTTCGTCTGTGACCGTTTCTTCTATATATATCTACTATCTATCTAGCTACCTACCTCCCCAGTTAGCTAGTTCAATTGCCCCAATCCCTCCATCAAACCACAACTCAATCCATCAATCATCAACCACTCAACTAACGCCCTCTTCCTCTCGTCCCAATGTCAGCCTCAGCAGCAGCAACATCCGAGCTCCACTCGTCTCTGCGCGATCTCTCCATCGCCCAAACCCCCGTAAAGGATATCCCCCGCCCAACCGTGACCACAAACATGTCAAGCAACAAGCCTGCTGCATCGAAGAAGAAGCCCGCGGCCCCCGTCGCCGACTCCTGGGAAGACGAAGCAGACGACTCCGAGTCTTCTCCAGACCTCGACTCCCCAGCCCCAGACCAAGACCCGGCCACCATGCTTTCTCCCTCCGTCACGGCCGCCGAGGGCCCGCTAGATCCCCCTCCCACGCCCATCTCGCCGCAGACGTCGCAGCCGTGGGTTGCAACCCCCGCGTACGCGAGCACGGGGCCGTCGTCGTCCACCTCGTCCGGTGCGAGGTCGCCCACGCGCAGGCCGGAGAAGCAGACGGCTGTCGCGGGGCGGATGATTGCGGGGGCGTTGGGCATGCGGGCGCCCAAAAGGACGGAGGAACAGCGCGCGTATGACCGCTCCGTGAAGGAGCAGGAGATTCGGCGGCGGAATCGCGAGCGGGAGGAGGCGGCTAAGGCCAAGGAGGATGAGGAGCGCGCGAAGGCCGCGGTTTGGGATGAGTGAGCTCGAGCTCCTTACTATTACTACGACTTATAGTACTTATAGTACCTCACTTCATCTTTGGTGGTTTCTCTTGTTTTATATTTTTACCTTCGCTGTCTGTCGGTCTCTGTTTATATATTTGGTTTACAGTGGGGTTGTTTGATGATTCTTTCGCTCTTGGGATTGGGTTGGGTTGTAATCGTATACTTATTAGGGGTTTTGGGATGAGTGGCTGCTATGCTATTAACGGGTGCATGGAAAACGTCGATATTACTAGGTAGTCTACAATGAACTAGAAAAGTTTTCAGATAGAAAAAGACATCCTATTCTCTTCCATAGGAGTCTGCAGGTTTTTAAGTTGCTCAGATACAAGTAGAATCTCTTGAAAAATAGAAAAAGAAAAAGACCAAATCAACCAGGCATAAACGAGCCTTGAATCATGAATTCCGTGAGACGTCAACAACTTGCTTTTCTTGCTCTTTTTTTCAGGTCTAAAAAGCCAGATCAGGCATGTTGTCCAGGGTATGAAAAGACATCATCCGTCCGTCCGTCCTTGTCAAGCCGGAACTTGGGAACACCATAGCGCCCGTCTCGTATGCGAGGAAAACAAAAAGAGAAACATCGGAAAGCGTCAGAGAGAAAAAAAATATGATGAGAAGAGGATATCGAACGTGTCAACACGAGACGTAGAGGATGAGATGAGGAGCTTAGACGCAGCGATTCAGAAGAAAAAAAAAAAACAGACAGAACGAAAGGATCAAAAATCGTCCGCCATCTAGTCTAGCCTCCGATCTGCTCCTGGTGGACCTCTAGGGTATCGCCGTCGGCCATCTCGAGCTGTCAAGGATCAAACGGGTTAGTGGAAAGAAGGCCAGGTGGAAGGGAGGGTGGAGGGAGGAATTGCGACAGCGACGGCAACATACGGTATCGGGGGTGTCCTCTGGGCGCACACGGGTGCCGTCGAAGAGGAAACGCACGGTGGAAAGCTGCTTTCCTTGACGGTCGCAAAAGGCATCCATGAGCTTCTTCAACTGGGTGGAGCGCTTGATCTTGAAGAAGACCTCGTTGTTGTTGTCCGTGACCTTGATGTTCAAGTGCTCAACGGGAGCGTCGGAGGGGGGGACGGAGTCGGACATTTCGGCGCGAGGAGTGGGATAATCGTGCGAGACGAAGGGATCTTCTGTTGGAATGGCACAGATGGGCCTGTCAGCCTGGTGTCCGGAGAGAAAAGATTCAACCATCTTCGTCGCAAATCGCAAAGAGGAAGAGGGGAACAAGTGAGGTGAGGCGAGGCGAGATGAGACGAGGTGGGAGATGGGGAGGGTGGCAACTTACCTGGGCGATCTGAATGATTCCGGGATGGCAATGAGACAGGTTCCGAGCTAGTTTGCAGGCCGATAGGAAAGATGGAGGGAGGAGTAGGAGGGAGAACAGGAGAGGCAGAATGAGAGACCGGAGGTGTGAATATCATGGCTGAGAAGCCAATGGAACCCCACCAGCGGAGAGTCTTCGGATTATCTGTTGTTGCGCTGCAGAGCGGAAGGCGGTGAGGTGCAGGAAGTTGGGTGGGATGCGCTGTTGCTGCCATCACTTTGCTTGCTTTCCTCTGCTGTTTTCTTATGATTGTTGGTCACTCAAACCTGATTGGGACAAAGAAACTGCAGCCTTACAATAAAGGAAAGACTGGAGTCTAGTGAATAATTGAAGTTTCCTTCACTGGCCGCATCATCTTGCTGCTCACTATTACATCATGGTAAGAACATTCCGGCATACAGAGTAACAGAAGTAAATTGAATGGTGAATGAATGACTGGTAACTTCAGGGAAATATGAAAGAGGATTTGGCCTACGATCCCCCTTGTCATCCACGAGCAGTAAGTATTGATTGCCTGCCGTTTGGCAGAAATCAAGTGTAATGTTGACCGTTGAGCAGTGTGCTATCCAAGGTATATTTATGGACATCGATACTGCAGCTAGCCCCGGCACTGCGATCCTGCCATTGCTAACCCGTCCCAGCCTGCCTGACAAAAAACTCTTACCAGGAGTCTAAGTGCCAGTCGCAAATCAATGCTCTGTACGAATGCTGCAATGCGTTCTACCAGGACCGCGGGGAGGACGCGAAGACCCCGAGCTGTCCGAAATATAGCCTGCTGAAGCTGAAGATGAAGCAACGGGCGCAGGAGTCCTGATTACGATTTACTGTGTTTCTTGGTCTTCGGTTTGAGGCGATCATCCATGGCCTGTACATAGCATCGTGGCACATAAGCGTAGAATAGATCCGAAGCGATTCGGTTAGATCCCACCGGCAAGGGACGGGGATTGAAAATTCGGGATGTGGCAATTCCTTTGCAGCTAAGCCCTCACGTTGAGAATCAAAAGCTAGGCTAGTTGGGAATTGCCAGAATTACTCTAAGACAATCGTGAGCACGCAGAGAGGCCGTTTTGACCTGGACGAAGATTGAAGCTGCTCGTCCCGAGACTCTAATGACTGCCTAAATGACATTGAAGAAAGAAAAGAAAGAAAAAAGAAGAGAAAAAGCGACGGGAAAATCCGAGGTTTTTCAATGCGTGCGCTGGTCCGCGCTAAGCCGCTTCGGGCGCTAGTGGCCCGCCGGCGCCAAAACACGCGGAAAGAGGAAGAAGTTCGCTGCGCTTCGGCTGTTCTTCTCCTCCCCCCAATCCCTTCGGACGCACGGCTTCTTGCGACGCTCCCGTTTCTTGGAAGCGCTTCTGATCTCGTCAGTCACGCCGGCCGTGCTTCTCATGGCTCCCTTGACGCGAGCTACGGGCCCGTCCGGTCCCGCCGGTTTTGCCCCCGTCAACGTGAGTACTGAGGTTTTGTTTTTGCCCTGTCTCGGGGAGCTTACCTAGCTGACCTGGTCCATCCCTCACCTTCTAGTCCTCTCAGCCATTTTCCTCGAATGGCCATGAGGTCATCGACCTCGATGACGATGACGACGACGAAGGCGATGATCAAGTTATGGACGAGAGTGAAGATTTAGACACCAATGAGGACGAGGACGAGGATGACGACGTCGAAGAGGAAGAAGAAGATGAAGACGAGGAAATGGATGAGACGGAGGACGGAGAGGACGAGTCCCAGGACGACTACGGCGAGGAGACAAACGGCCTGAATGGTAGTGAGTCGCCTTTGGATCTGGCTCCCGCCCCCAACGGTCTCAGTATGTGCCCTGGCTCACTAAGTATTTCCTCCCCATGCCTTGGGTGCGAATGGCTGACTCTGTGCAAGAAATCGCGAACATCACCGCTCCCGAACTGTTTACATCCGCAGGTGCGCAAGAAGCGCTGCACCCCCTTCGCCGCACCGCCGACCGAGTAACGCGCCAGATCGAGGCTTTCGCGGAGAAGTTGGATCGCTTCAAGCAACAGGGCAGTCGCTCCGATGAATTTGGGAATTACCAGGCTGCCTACCAGCTGGTGAAGAACTACCAAACTATCGCGCAGGACGCCATCAACGACATCTCCAAGCAGAGCACCTTGCGACGAGCCAAAATGGGCTGGAACTCGAGCCGAACCAACGGATCCTCGCATGACCCCAAGATCGAGGAGGAATTGCAACGTCTGCAGTTGGAAGCAAACACTTGGCAGCTTTTACTCAATCTCATTAGCGTCAACGATCCTCCCAGCATAGCCAGCGCCAAGAAAACCCAGGAGACCGCCTTCCAAAAACTCCACCGCTACTCGTCCGATCGCGAAATCTGGGAGCAGTTCTTGGATGCGGACCACTACGCGCTCGAATGTATGGTCATCATGAAATGGCTGGAGGCCACCGCAAGGTCTTCCAGTCAGGACATCGACTCCGTCATGTCTGAGCTGGAGAAGCAGGCCGAAAGAGGAGAGGGGTTGTGGACACATGGTTGGCTCTATACGAAGGAGGCCATCAAGGGCCAGAAGCGGCTCAGGGCCTGGCCACAACCCATTGAACCCAATGACCCCGGAATCACGACGTCTCTCCTGAACTCGGAGAAATCAGAGCCCCTGATCACGCAGTTGGACCCCGATGCCATCACTCGCCAGAGACACAGCCTCCAGAAGCAGGACCAATTCCACGAGCGTGCCACGTGGATGGCGTGCTGGAAGATGCTGCGACAAGGGGAGGATTGGACTCGGATCCGTGAGTGGGCACATGAACGTCTGGAGAATTGGCGCGCAGTTAGCTTGTGCGGATCCAGCGTTGATAAAAAGGCGCATGATGTACGAACGCCGGTCGATGATGGTGCTACGCGCATGATGAACCACCGGTCCCAGAACACCTGGCGCGCCGCCTGCTCTGCGCTTGCACGGAACCAGCACGCTGAGGATTTCGAGCGCGCCGTTTATGGACTCCTTAGCGGCGAGACGGAGGCCGCCTTCAAGGTCAGCCAAAACTGGGACGACTACATCTACGTCTACCTCAATAAGGTCGTGCTCTCTCGCTACCAAGGGTTCTGTAAGCAATTCCAGCGAAAGCTGACCTACTCGCCCACAACTCCCGTGGCATTTGTGCCCGAACCGGCCGGCTACGCGGACGTGAACAAGTTCGTCCTGTACACCAAGGGCAACGAGCGCGTTGGGGTCGAGGCGCGCAATCCCTATCGCACCATCCAGGCTGCGATCATCGGCAAAGGATATGACGGTTTCTTCCATTCCCTGGCCAAGGCGGTTTCGCAGGCGGCGGCGAGCAAACCGGAGTCGACAACCTTCGTCCCCGATCTGTCGCCAACTCACGTCGAAGACTCCCTTCTCATCACGGCCGAGGATGGCGACGCCCTGCGGATCGCCACGCATCTCTACGTTATCGCCAACTCCCTGGGAGACGTCCGGACGGATTCTCAGTTTTCCGACGTCGCGTCCGTGAACGTGATCGGGTACATCGCCAATCTCGAGGAGGAAGGCCTCTTCGATTTGATCCCCTCCTATGCATCTCTGTTACCGAGAAACATGGCACACTCCGTTCTGGGGCAAGTCTTGATTGAAATCGTTGACCCGCGGGAAAGGAAGCTACTCGTCAGGCTCATGGAAAAGCATGCCATTGACGTCGAGGCTGTGCTTCAGGACCAATGGAACTGGATCAGCGACAGTGTCTCTTCGGTGGAGCATCAAAGATCTCGCAAGACGTATCCCAAGGTGGTTATTCGAAAGGATGGAATCCGCGAGCTCGCCCCTGTCAAGAAAGATCTCATCGGCACCGATCTCTCCGGCGCCGACGAGCGAATCATCCGCAGCCTCGAGTGGCTCCGTTATGTCGATGGACAATGGGGGAGGATCTGCCATCTTGGTGCTCAGCTCTATAAGCAATTCTACCGTATGTATTTCCCCAGTCCCAGCACCGACATTGCCAGCCTTTGCGGCTATTAACTCTTGAATAGTTAGTGGCAAATTTTCGGCTGCTCGAGAATTGAGTCACCGCATGAGATTGTCTGATGTCTCGCGCGAACTCTTCGGATTCGATATCACCGAATTCCCTGTCAGCGTTGTGGATGGGTTGGAGTCGTCTATTGCCGAGCCCACCAGTCCGACGAAGTCTAGATTATTTGGGTCTCACCGACGCAGCCGGTCTGCCACGAATGGGGTTCCGTCGAGTGGCGAGACCAATGTTCTTATTCAACAGTCACGACTCATGCGAGAATTGGAAGAATTGGTGCTGGGCTTTGAAGCCTTGGAGAGCTTTGCTATTACATATGAGAAGGTCGATAAGTAAGTTTGGCCGAGTGACATTTTGCGCCGGCGACACGTTCTAACCACATCGAAAACAGGACTAAGCACCGACGCGACTCTGGTACCGTCCATGAACTGCGGACGGCGCTTCAAGAAGACTTAGATGAAATCGCCTTGCACGTTGATGCAGTGTTGGATGAATGGCTGACCATTGCTGCGGACGGTAGGCTTTCATACCCTTGTGTTGAATGGTCGAACTCGAGACTAACAGGCCTTGCAGAGAACGAACATGCTCAGCTAGAGGAGATCCGGAACACCTACATCCCGGAGTTGTTCCTCGATTACCATGCTGCCCTCTACTACTCGGCACGTATCCTGACCAGCGACAACCTGGTGCAGTGCATGAACCTGGGGATCCAGCTGGCCGAAAACGAGTTCTTAACCCGCTGCTTCATCACGTCCCGTCGGATGAGGGAGCTGGTCGAGGCTCTGGCTCTATCCAGCAAAGCCATGGTCAACACAGGCGCGGACCCCGGCAAGAGACTCTTGGGCGGTGAATCGCTGGGAATTTGGAACGTCGCCTTGCCCGAAGACGCCGGGGCAGCCTGAATGTACTGTACGATGCGTTGGAAACCGGGGCCTTGTATACTATCCCCATGCCATTCTGCTTTTTGTTTATGTTTCTTTCCCCCCATCTTTTGTCTGAATATGAATTGGCAGGAAGGGGGTGACCGGTAAAAAAAGCCCCAACTGATTGCATTGGTCTGGATTTATGAGGAGTATTTCTTCAGGGCGCTTTGATGGAGACGGTTGTTATTTATTCTATTTTTTTAAAGCTCAACTGCATACAAGAAGAAGAAGTGACACTTCAGCTGTCACCTGACTCAATCACGATTCTCCTTTCCCCAGTGCCAGTGCCTTATTAATTGATTTCGATCCGAGACAAAGAACAGGATCATATTATCGGACATGGCGACATGGATGCATCTAGAAGGTCGCACCATTTCCTACCGTAAATCAGAAACAGGATTTAAATAAAAAGCCACGGTTTCACAGCCTGCGCTCTTTGTTGCTTCGTCCTACCCTACCTACCCTAGCTAGCCTAAGTAGATACCCCATCCTTAGTACCTAGACCTGTCCTCCCCCATGCTTATGCTTCGCTGTACTCCGTGCAACGGGATGTAGCATTGTCGGTGCCTCACGTATGGATGTAGATATCCATGTCGATTGCAACTGTCTACCGGAGTACCTAGTCTCCTGTCTGCTATTTTGGTTCTGATAGGACTTATTTTATTTGTAGGACTTGGTGGTGTTTGTTGGGCTTGGGCCTGGCCTTCACCGACTGACTGGGTTGCATCAGACCGCCTCTTATGGTGTTTATGGTAGGGTGGAAAGCAGGGACGAGAGGGGTGTGGGGTTTGATTGATTTACAGAGTTAGTTTGGGTGGCGAGGTAGGTATTTGGGGTTGGGGGTGTGATAGTTTGTTTCATTATACCTAGTACCTGATGCGGTAGAGGGACTCGGATATCGACATATACTAGGTACGGAGGAACGGGTATGTGCTGCGTAATGTGATTGCAAGAAAGGCATTGTCTGGTTGGACGAGAGTGCGATAATAATGATGTCAATTGAGGCTTAGCTATCTTACCAGAAAGGCAACCGAGGACAAGATTAAGGTGTTGTGGGTAGGTTTGAGCCCGTTGTGCTTGGGAAAGTCTGTTCGAGCTTGATCATGATGTTGTCCATGGATATCCGAATATTATCCAATGGGTGTATGTATGGAGTACGGGATTGCCCAGCAATTGCTAAGGAATTGATAACCCCCGCCGGATGGAAGGCATGTCGCTCATAATACATTAATCATGCCATGAGTGATTCCGAGACCGGTCAACCGACTATCTCCAATTCCAGTCCCTGGTAACCCAGCCATCGTCACTACGTCACCCACATACGCTATACGCTACTCCGTATCTCGACCGACTCCGTAAGACGCACGGATATCAGGTCCACTACTCCGGAAGTTCGCCTCATTTGCAGCCGTATTCGTAAGTCGGGTAGCTGTAAGTGTAACGGTTCAGGTGCTGTTGGAGTAGACAGGGCTAGTCCAGCCTAAACAAGGCGGTCATCTAGTAGCTACTAGCTCGAGTGTCAAATCATGTCATCATCATTTGGTCTGTGGTACGGAGGACGCATCAGCGCCTCCTCGACCTGGGGACATGGTTCCATCGGTTGAACTGACGTGCTGTGGATATGACCGACGAGAGGTTGATGAGGGTTAGCACTAATTCCGACCGACCAGGAACAGGAGAGCTCCGGATCACCAGTCGCCCGATAGGAGAGAACGGACGAGAAAAAAGAAAACGAAAAAAAAAGGCCGCAAAGAAAGGAGGCCAGAACGCCCGGTTGCGAGAGGGTCGACGTGGGATGGGTCCTGCACCGCCCATTTGCCAAGCCCCACCGACCCTAATTCCTCCGTCACGCATTTTTATTGATCATCGTCGAAGTTTTTTTGACACCGTGGACCTGGAGATCATTCGGCTGGTTCCTCGGTCGCCTGGAAGACCGTCGTCTGTCTGTTGCTGCTCTGCCGTAAGCGAGGTCGGGATTTCCCCATTCCCCCGTTTGGTCTCCGGAGACGCGCTCTGGAACGGGCAGCGCTGGGAGTTGATATCTCGGGATGCCAGACTTTTAAAGTTCCGGTGGACACGCACTGCATTAGTGGCGGCGGGGAGTCGAATAGTCAATTCGTGATGACTCGGTTGGACTCGCAGTCACATCCCGGAGACTTCTGCGAGTCGCCGACTCCTCCGTCAGTCGTGCTCCGGATATCGAACTCCTCATCGGGTGGAGCCCCTTTTTGGTAGGATCCCTTACGGAGTATGATTATTATACTATCGACCGTGATTGATCCGTCGCTTATGCCTACCCTGGGCTAAAATTGCATGTTGGTTGGTTGGGATTGGAGAACTCCTACGGAATCAGCCGATTTCGATCCGTACGGTCGGTGAATTTGTGAAGATTGAACGTCCGCCCGTCCATAAAGTGGCGGAAACGAGGTGAAGCGGTGTCGGTCTAATCTATCAGAAACCGTCTAGAAGGTTGGCAATGGGGTGGATACGAGTGGAAGATGGCAGAGGCAGGCTCCGTCCAGACAATTAACTTGGATGACGGATGCCGTAATGCAGAGGGCAAGTGCAAAGTTAAAATTGCAAGAAAAGAACAAACGATGCTTTTCCATCGGAATCAGAAATCTCAGTCCCCCAAAAAAGGGGAGGGAAAGGAGGTGGGAAAAAAAGAAAGAAAAAAAAAAAGTTCCCAGACGGGGAAGAAGTGAGGCAGTGCAAAAGCCAACGACGAGTTACATTCCAGCGTTTGACAAGTCGGAGCTCGTTGCAGCACCAAGTCACTTTCTCGTTCGGGGCAGGTGAAGCACCAAGTGTTTCTTGTTTGGGTGGCAACCAACTCCGCATCGATGCCAAATTACGCAGTACTGCAGCAGTTGATGTCCATGGCGATTGTTCCTCCTGACGGCGTATAGAGTATACTGCGTAGATCGTGCGGCTAAAACCACGAGAAATGATTCTGCAGGCGGAGGACCGAAGGGGAAACGACGGTCATTACCGTACGAGGAATCTCGACCAATTCGGCGCGCCAAGTGGGGCTGACGGGCAGGACGCAAAGAGATGCTTGCCAAACCGGGCAGGTATGGATCTGGCCAACGGGTCTTCATGCCGCATGCATTCGGGACCGCCGCTGCTGATTGGCCGCCGCCTGCCCACCGTGCAGGGTCCCCAGCCACGCTAGTCCCGAACGGGCCAGACCAGTCCTTCCACGGCGTCTGGATGTTTTTTGTCTGGCGTACGGCGTATTGTAAGACTCCGGAAAGTCTGTGACGACAACACTGACAAGTCTGTCTTGCCATCCGGCACCTTAATCTCTGCTCTCTGCTGCTCCTCCAGAGGCCGATGGGCACGTAATTCATACCCCAGTCCCAACCCTCATCTCCTCTCTCTTTCTCTCCTTCTGGCCTTTCTTTATCGACACTCTCTTGGCCCCGTCGTCCATCCCCCCATTGACTCGGCGTTGCTTGCATTAGGCGCATTACACCCCCGTGTCCGTCTCTCTCTTCTCCCTCGTCGCTCGCCCTCTTGCTGCGTTTTCCCTCGGATTGGCCAACGCCGTGGAACTGACACTTCACAGGTCGAATTGTCGTGGTTGACGGCCCTTTGTTATCGCTATTCTCTCCCACACTCCCTCAACTTGGCTGTTGTTTGGGCTTCCCTCAGTTTCGGCCATAGCTCCCCTGTAATTTCGGGCCTGCAGTCCTTTTCGCTCCTCTTACATCCTTCTATACCAGTGTGGCTGTTCCCATCCTCCCAAACGCCACTCCCCAGCAGCCTCCATTCTTGCCCCCCCTACTTCCAATCACTGTGATTCTCCGGGGCTGCCATCGTCTCGGATTTGCGACGTCCGTCTCTGCGTTCGCGCACATAGCTTCTCTCCGGAACCGTCCACATCTGCGCATTCCTCAACCTGCGGCCTCATGAGTTGGAAGCTTCCGTTTGATATGAACTAGAATAGGATCACACATGGGATAACCCTGTTCGGCCTCTTGATCTTTCGACATCCGCCTGGGGGGACTAAATCCGATTGACATTCCACGCGTATTCCCGTTTAATGATTGGTCTGCATTTACGATCCGACGAGACTCGATGGATATGCTTCTGCTGCAGCCGCATTCTTACTGATATCACTATCCCTGTCTTCATCTATTACTCTCGCTCCTTGAGACCCACCATTCCCGGGCCGTCCTAGACATCCTCCCACCCCCTTTTGACGATCATGTCGGATTCCAGATCGGATGGAGTGGATTCCAAGCAGCCGACTCCCCTGCGACGGGAACGGGCACCCACCATCACCATCGACACTTCGGCCGTGACCTCGCCCGCCGACCAGACAGATCCTCCGCCTCAGCTCTTGCCCGGCCCGGCGCAACCCTCGGTACACATCTCCTCGGAAAATGTCGACGCGGGCGATACCAGTGCGCTTCTAAACAACGGCGGCGTCTCTCCCTCGGACGCGCGGTCGCCGGCATCGATTCGATCATTCACCTCGTCGGAACCCAGAGACCACGAAAGCAGACCGACCTCTCCCCACAACATCTCCTCCCCAACGTCAAAGATGACGGAACCCATGTCCAACTCCAACTACCTGGCCGTGCCGGGCACCAGATCTCGGGGGAATTCACTCGAGTCGGAGGACACCAACCAATCCTCGAGCTCCTACGGCGGGGACACGTACGTGCCGACATCGTCCCAGGGGTCCCGCGCTGATCTGGCGCACACGCTCATTGATGATGAGGAAGCTCTCAAGCCCGATCCGGGCCGGGAAGAGGAGTTCACCGTGGAGGACAACCGGTTCGCCTTTTCCCCGGGTCAGCTGAATAAACTGTTGAACCCCAAGAGTCTCGGTGCGTTCCACGCGCTCGGCGGAATTCAAGGGCTAGAAAAGGGACTGCGAACCAACGTCCGCAGTGGTCTGAGCTTGGATGAGACCGGCCTGGAAGGCACTGTGAGCTTTGAAGAAGTCACCTCGCGACAACCCGATACGCAACCGAAGTCCGATTCGCAGGCTCCCACGCCGCCGAGCCGAACCACCACCGGCCTCTCGAAATCCGCAGATAGATCATTCACGGACCGGAAGCGCATTTATCGAACCAATAAACTACCGGAAAAGAAAGCCAAAAGCATCTTTGAGCTGGCGTGGATCGCATATAACGACAAAGTTCTGATTCTTTTGACGATTGCGGCGATTATATCCCTGGCCATTGGAATCTACCAATCCATCACGGCCAAGGGCAACGAGGCGCGAGTGCAGTGGGTTGAAGGCGTGGCTATTCTCGTGGCGATCGTAATCGTCGTCGTCGTGGGAGCGGCTAATGACTGGCAAAAAGAGCGCCAATTCGTGAAACTGAACAAGAAGAAGGACGACCGAATGGTCAAGGTGATTCGCTCGGGAAGTACCATGGAAATCTCGGTTCATGATATCCTTGTTGGGGATGTCATGCATCTCGAACCCGGAGACCTGATTCCTGTCGACGGCATCTTCATCGATGGCCACAACGTTAAATGCGACGAATCCTCTGCCACCGGCGAGTCGGACCTGTTGCACAAAACGGCAGCCCACGAGGTTTCTCGTGCCATCGAACACCAGGAGAATCTTTCGAAACTAGATCCGTTCATCGTATCCGGTGCCAAGGTCTCCGAGGGAGTCGGCACGTTTTTGGTCACCGCAGTTGGAGTCAATTCATCCTACGGCAAGACGATGATGTCTCTTCAGGATGAGGGCCAGACCACCCCGCTGCAGTCTAAACTGAACATGCTCGCCGAGTATATTGCGAAGCTTGGTTTGGCCGCGGGTTTGCTCCTCTTCGTCGTGCTTTTCATCAAATTCTTGGCCCAGTTGAAGACCATCAAAGGTGCCGACAACAAGGGTCAGGCGTTTCTTCAGATCTTTATCGTTTCCGTGACTGTAATTGTCGTTGCTGTCCCCGAAGGACTGCCTCTGGCCGTTACGCTCGCGCTTGCGTTTGCCACCACACGAATGCTCAAGGACAACAACCTGGTGCGACTGCTTCGCGCCTGTGAGACCATGGGTAATGCGACCACGATCTGCTCCGACAAAACAGGTACCCTCACGGAGAATAAGATGACCGCCGTTACCGCGACTTTGGGAACGACATTGAAGTTTGGAGGCAAGTCGCGGGAAGCATCGCCCGGCGCTTCTCCTAATCCTAACGGTGAACCCGTTGCTAACGACCCGTCCGGCGCTCTTTCGCCCTCTGAGTTCGCTTCGAGCCTCTCCCGTCCGGTCAAGGAATTGTTGCTCGACTCCATTGTGCTCAATTCAACTGCATTCGAGGGTGAACAGGAGGGAGTGATGACCTTCATCGGCTCAAAGACCGAAACTGCCCTCCTGGGTTTTGCACGGACTTATCTCGGCATGGGATCGCTTAGCGAGGCGCGATCCAATGCTACAATGGTCCAGATGGTGCCGTTTGACTCGGGTCGCAAGTGCATGGCGGCCGTGTTCAAAATGGACAATGGCAAGTACCGTATGCTGGTCAAAGGTGCATCGGAGATTCTGGCTCGCAAGTGCACGCGCGTCATTCGTGATCCCACGCAGGACCTGTCCGAGGCTCCGTTGTCTGAGGACGATCGTTCGACGCTGGATCACATCATGACCCTCTACGCGTCTCAGTCGCTGCGACCGATTGGGCTGGTTTACCGTGATTTCGAGCAGTGGCCGCCACGCGGTGCCCCGACGCAGGAGGAAGACCGCAACCTCGCCGCGTTCGACCCGATCTTTAAGGACATGACCATGCTTGGTATTTTTGGCATCCAGGATCCGCTTCGCCCGGGTGTCACGGAGTCCGTGCAGAAATGCCAGAGTGCCGGTGTTTTTGTTCGAATGGTTACGGGAGACAACATCATGACCGCCAAGGCTATTGCCCAGGAGTGTGGAATCTTTACTCCGGGAGGTGTGGCCATTGAAGGTCCCCGGTTCCGCAAGCTGAGCAGTCGCCAGATGACTCAAATCATTCCACGACTGCAGGTTCTGGCACGGTCAAGCCCCGATGATAAGAAGATCCTCGTCACTCAGCTCAAGAAAATGGGCGAAACGGTTGCGGTTACGGGAGACGGAACGAACGATGCTCAGGCCTTGAAAACGGCCGACGTTGGTTTCTCGATGGGAATTTCCGGCACTGAGGTTGCCAAGGAGGCGTCGGATATCATCCTGATGGACGACAACTTCACCTCTATCATCAAGGCCATGGCTTGGGGAAGGACTGTGAACGATGCGGTCAAGAAGTTTTTGCAGGTAGGATTACCTTGGGCTGATACAGATCAGTGGATGCTAACTGTTGCTTAGTTCCAAATCACGGTGAACATCACTGCAGTTCTCCTCACGTTTGTCTCCGCAGTGGCCAGTAGTGACCAGGAATCGGTGCTGACCGCAGTGCAACTGCTGTGGGTTAATCTCATCATGGATACTTTTGCTGCGCTCGCTCTAGGTAGGCTGCTCTATTCATTTGAGGCCCGGTGTGCTAATAGAATACCCTTCTAGCTACGGATCCCCCGTCTCCCACCGTCCTCGATCGTAAACCCGAACCGAAATCCAGCCCGCTGATCAGTCTGACCATGTGGAAAATGATCATCGGACAGAGTATTTACCAACTCGCTGTGACTTTTGCCTTGAACTTCGCCCATTTATACGATGGAAGAGAACATCAAACGGTCGTGTTTAACACCTTCGTCTGGATGCAAATTTTCAACCAGTGGAATTCCCGCCGCCTCGACAACAGGTTCAATATCTTTGACGGCATGCTTCGCAACCGATGGTTCCTGGGTATTCAGCTTATCATTGTCGGCGGTCAAGTCTTGATCATTTTTGTTGGTGGAGAGGCTTTCTCCGTCGCCCGGCTGAACGGACCTCAATGGGGAATTGGCTTGGTCCTCGGTGCCATTTCGCTCCCCGTTGGAGTGATCATTCGTCTGATCCCCGACTTCCTGTTTGAAAAGCTGATTCCCAGCTTTGCGCATCGTAAGAAGCGACCCGAGCTCCTGGTATCCGACGAAGATCGACGGTTTGAGTGGAACCCTGCCCTGGAAGAGATCCGCGATCAGCTGCGATTCCTCAAGACGGTTCGTGGAGGTCGCCTGAGACACATCAAGCACAAGCTGCAACACCCTCAAGAGCTGCTGCCGCGATCGCGCAGCGGTTCCCGGTCCAGAGAAAACTCGATCCCCGGAACGCCGAATGGCGACGGAAGCATCACGCCGCCGCCTCCAGCTAGCCCTGAATCACGCTCTCGACGCCGGACTCGATCCCGATCGAACTCGGCGTTTGGACCGGCCGCGGCCATGGCCGGTGTCGTTGCCGGCAGTATTGCAGGCTGGTCTCCGATCGAGAGGGCCCCGTCCGATGGGGAATCCTTCAAATTCGGCTCGAGTCCCCATGGAGGGTTGGATAAGCAACAGGGCATCGAGATTCACCCCGAAACTGCCGCCGACGACCAGATCGTAGGCGAGTATCTTTCGACATCGACCACGCCGCCAAGTCAGAATCCGGACCTTTTGCCATTCTTTGAGCATGCGCCTCCGGAGCGTGCGCCGTCCCACCGCAGCCGGAGATCTACTTCTCGACTCTCTCGGTCTAGTCACCAAAGCCAGTCCTAAAACCAAGACTCGTCTTCGCAGAAAGACATAAATTCTCACACTTAATTGGGTTCATTTGAGCCGTCACCTCATTTCACCACGATGTATTCTTACGAATTGCTCGTCGATCGCCTTTCGACAGAAAGGTTGTTTTGTTCTTTTCATTTTCCTGTCGTTCATATTCCCCATTTCCGGGTTGTTTTGACTATTCCCGCCGAATACCTTTTAATGTCTAGCGATTGTTGGCGTCCGTGATTTGAAAAAAGGCACTTGTTTGCTGTTGTTCATAGACACTCTCGCATCGGGTTGGCCTGGGCGCAAAGGTGGATGGTTTCTGTTTACTTCATTCGTTACTGTGATTGGATCTGTACATACTTGAGGTCGGAATAAATAGTACCTGACTATCTGTGTTGTATGCAATTTAACCTGTATCAACCCTGAACAATCACCAACTAAGGTAGTTCAAAAGACTACCTCCGAAAACTCACCCCCAGCCCCAAAATCCCCTCCACTCGACCCTCCTCGTCCAGCTTTTCCCTCCCCTCCATCCCCACCAACACGCCGCTCCCCAAGTCGCTCATCTCGCGCCTCTCGCTCGACCGCCCCGGGAAGAAACTCTTCTGCTTGTTCGTCACGAACCAGAACCCGTCTACCTGCGTGCTGCCCACGTACACATACATGATCTGGATGCGTTCTTGGCGGTCGAACGCGAAGGTTTTGCGAATGGTTTGGGGTTTGGTCGAGGTCGAGATCTCAGTGCCAGTTCCAGTCCCAGTTCCAGTCTCAGCACCAGTACTAGCACTAGCACTTGTATTTCCAATTCCAACCCCAGCTCCAGCTCCCGATCCAGAGTCAGTAGCCCCGGTACTGGTGCTGATGCCAGTACCAATACCAGTGGAAGTGGAAGTGGAAGTAGAAGTACCCAAATCCTCCCCACAAACTCCCAACCTCGCCCGGTCCCCGTTCATCCAGGTGACCCTGATCCCCGTGAGCTGGCGATCCGGCGTCTCGTAGGTCTGGATGGTCTGGATGGGGGTCGTGGGCGGGTTCGTGAAGAGGGTGGTTGTGGCCGGGGAGGCGGGGAAGGCGGGCGGGTTGGTGAGGATGTCGCGGGTTGGGGTTGGGGTTTGGTTTATACTCGGGTTGGAGGTAGAGAGGTCCATTTTTGTTCTTGACGCTTGGTTCTTTGGTTCTGGACGGTGCTGTATTAGTGGTTTAGTTAGATGGTGTTATCGGTCGGTTGGATGGAGGTTCAGGATTATGCCATGGGCTTACCTAGGTGCAGGAAATCTAGATGATGGAGTAACCAGACAGGCGAACAATCTCTAACCCAAGTCGACGCAATGAAACCACTCAGCAAGGAAGTAAACCAAAGGAAGGGACAGACAAACAAACAACAAACCCAAAAAGATAGGACAGGCTGACCTTAAATACCCAACCTCCAACCAAACAAACAAACAACCCCAGACCAACTCCAAACCAACCCAACCAGCCAGTCTAATCTAGACCTGTCGGTCTACCTACCAGGCATCGACTCACCAACCAAAGCCAGACCTAAAGCAGCCCCGAAGAGGAGAACCCGGCGCTCGAATCCAGTGTAACATGGGCATCCTATCGGAAGGGCCGGGATATAAATAGCCTGGTTAGCCGTGAGAGGGGAAATCAAGAATGTCGACAGATGAGGGGGTCTTCATTTCTTTGTCTTTATTTTGAAAACCCTGGAGGAGATGGACAGGATGGAGCGAGAGTGGGATATACTATCATGGAGATTGGACCTGGGATCAGGGATCTGAGTCTGACACTGCTGATCGTTAGGGTTATGGCGGGCTTACTGGATGCGGTTAGCCTCGGTGCTAATGTTGACGTCGGGTCGACTTTCATGTCTCCTTTGGATCGTTTGGGGAATGGGATGGGGTTTATGATGTCTTTGAGGGGATTATAGAGGAGATCAGGGATTCATTTATTTGGCAAGGATAGGTGGCGACGCGGAGTTCTTGGGTGGATTTGGTATTCGCTTGCGAACGAGAGGAATATATCTTACCAGAATGCCTGTGAGTAACTTAGTATACTCTGTGGAGGACTGTCTAGGAGAGCTTTTCAAATATTGATAGTTACTAGATTATCCTTTAGTTTTTTCTGGTCCTTGTCCCATATCCATGGCACAGAAGATCAATCATAGCTAGTGAAGGCATCTCTTCAAGAAAGAAAGTAGGCTCCAGCACTAGGAACAGCAAAGAACCTACCAATCAGTCCCTGTCCTCACTCTAATTCACAAACCAGATCATGAGAGCATCCTCGGCCCTATGAACAGCCGAGGTCCCGAGGCTCATGACAGTTCTAGAGTAGTGATATAGAGCCAGTTGTTACTATCTTTAGTACAGGAGACGGGATCCGTGCAGGACTATTTCCTGTCATTTTCTGTGAATATTTTTCTCTTGCTTTAGTAATGTAGCTATATCATGCAGGGGATTATCTGTTACAGCTCACCCGATTCAGGTTCGTGCGAAGGATAAAGAAGTTCACGCACTGTCTCCTTACTTATCAGACCTCCCAGCAGTATTATGCAAGCATAACTGATACGACAAATTCATAGCTTCTGTGCCGCGTGGCTCGGTCTTGTAGAGCTGGTTACTCGTACGAACGTACTGATCTTCTCTGCCGAGTCGCTATACTGGATACCTCCCATAGAGACATCACAGATCACGCACGCCGCCGTCCACCCCGCAAACGCGAACCATGTCTCCATAACAGGGGGCTCTGCTAATCACATCAATGGCTGTCTTCGCGATATCTTGCTTTGATCACTTGGATCGCTTGTTTGGATCAAATCAGGAACTGCGCGTCTAATCACCGGCTCTTCGTGGTATCTCGTTCCGCTTTAAATTCGTAGCTATACAAATGGAACCTCAACTACTCTCTCCCATTCCTCTTCTTTGTTGCTTTGTAGTTGCTATCTTTTATTTGTATCCTCGTGTCCTTACCAACCCTATCGTTACGTCCCTTCCGACCTCGCGTTTCCAGGTCGCGCATCCTACCTGATCCCTACCCTACCGTCCACTCGAGCACGATGCCGGTCCTCGTCGAGTTCGACCCCATTGAGCTCCTCTCCGGGGAGGATAATCGCCTCAAGAGACAGGCCCACTGCATGAAGGTCAAAAGCTGTGCGCCCACCTGGGCACACAAGGTCACGCTCTTGTAGGACATCCCCAGCTCCAGTCCCAGCTCCAGTTCCCAGCTCCAGTCCCAGCCCCAGGTCCTTTAGGCCCACAGGAACCGTCGATGGAATACAGACTAACCGTCAATATTCCAACCCAACAGCCAGTGTGCCCACCAGAGCGACCTCGACCCCAGAAGACACATCACGTACTGGGCGTGGAACGAAAAGGGCGAATGCTTCGGCCCCTACCACGAGAACTTCTCATACCAGCAAGAACAGGACTTCATAGCCATGATTGAGAGCCGGCCTGCTCCTGTATCTACTTCCTCGTCTTCATCCGTCTCCAGTACCTCGAGTACTGGATCTGCAAAGGCCCGCGAACCAGCGCTGTCAAAGGATCCCCTCGATGACGACAACGGCAAGCCCTTTCAACTGGTGACTCGCAAGCGGGGCAGGTCCAGCTATTCGGCTGAGAAGGTCCAGTCTATCGGTAATATTCGTTTCTAGTTGCTGGCGGTAAGTTTTCGGCTGGGTTGGAGGGATCGGCTTGCTGATTTGGTTTCGCTTGAGTCTAGTTCTCGATGCCTGATTCTCTTTTCTCCTGGGACCTTCGGACTGCTTCGTCTCGGCGAAGAGCAGTAGCGACCATGGTCAAGCTGTCAGAATGACTGGGTCTGTGAACGAATGGTACGACTGATGGATACAACGAGTCATGAGTGATGAGGGAATTTGATTTTGGTATTCGGCGTCCGTTTTGGCTTCAAATTGTTGGTTTTGGAGATTGGTTATGATATCGAATATTGCCGTCTATTTGATCTGTCATTTCGGAGTTCTGTATTGGAGGCTTTGTCTTGACTCTTTAGGAGTGAAAGATGATGATCCATCCTGTGTGGTGTCTTAAGATCCAGTGCTGTCGATACCGAAGCAAAATCGAGTTGAAGCTGATCTCCTTTAGTGTAATATTTTGACAATGCTTGTCAAGGACACTTGTCATTAGGACGCTCTACCGATTTATAACGAGATGGTGGGCAACTTCGGGTAGTAGCAGTACTTTTGCTTTATGTGCAACTTCAGGTGGATGGCTGGGACTTATAAGGCGCTAGTGCCGGAGCAGTGGAACAGCCATGTAACACTACTGTTGCTTATGTTGCTTATAATTTTGGTGGTACGTATTTGCTGCGTCTTTTGCAAGGAGGCAGTGGCGAGCTTATCGCGGCATTAGAGGCATTTCCTTGCTTCTGCGGTGATTAGAATAAGTCGGCGCATAGTTCATGGGCAAGGGCAAAGAAGCCTGCCTGTATGTACGACACTGTCCTGGTCCCTAGAGCTGCCTGCTAATCAATTCGATACCATAGGCATCAGTAGAGCATCATATGTCCCTGCAGAACAACCCGTAGCTCTAGGCACCAACCATGGCGCAGGTCTTTCCTTCTACCAGATCAAGCCATGAGTATCATCTGCATATTTGTCAAACTCTTTCTGGTTGAATCTTTCTCCGTATGGTTTATAATCACCTCTGGTCCCTTACATGAATGGTGCATTCCGGTTAGCCGGCTTGACACCCCAGGGAAGCTCTGGTATGTGGTGCGCATGGTTCCAAGACAAATAACGTAACAGAAATTACCGATAGCTCATCAGCTGGTATAGCTAGTGTATAGATAGCAGCAGCCATCCTGTTATGGGCTGGTGTGCATTACGTCCGTGCTGGGACCTCTGACTGGCGTGGAATTCCCAGTCCTTGTTAAGGAAAGATTACCATCCCCTGGGAGACATGGGTGGTGCTGTACCAGTTTCAACACCCCCAGAGGTGTTGCTCAAGGTGCACCGGTGATGCTAGGCCGAATAGAAGGAGCCTTGTTCTGCTGCAAATTGTCTGTGGAATGTTCTTTCAGGTAGTGCAGGTGCTACACTGGGTGAATGGACTGATGTCAGTCCACTATCACCGAGTGCCGGCAGCTCTTACACGCCTAGCATCCTCCTTCTTTCCGTTCCTCCTCCTGTCTATATAAACCTACTGTTGATCCACTCCCTCCATCCATTGAGAGATTTTCCCTTGAGAATCTGTCGCGCCTTCCACCGTACGTCATTGTCAGTGAAGAGACGTGTATGACCGGTTTATTTCCCGTTCCCGAGACCCGTTTTAACTTCCATGTGAGCCAACATGGTGTCAGACGTTGAAAAGGACCGTGTATCTTCTTTGCAAAGTGTAACACAAGATGGGTTGGAATTCCGGGATCGCGAAACAAGTGCCTTCACCTCCAGGTATCAGCGATGGGCAAGAAATATCAAAGGACTGGAGACTCGCGGAATCGAACCTGTTCCATTGGATGAACGTCTGGAGCCAAATGCATCAAACTCGCTCCACATGTTGCTGATGTGGTTCAGTATGGGGATGTCTTTGAACAACATCGTGGTGGGATCATTGGGAACGTTGACCCTGCACCTGAGCTATTCCGACGCTGCTCTTTGCGCTGTTTTTGGGAGCCTCCTCGGAGGCCTGGCGGTTGGCTGGATGAGCACTTGGGGTCCCCGAAGTGGGAATCGAACACTTGTAAGGTCCATCCGTTGCGCATGATTCGACACAGTTTACCTTCCCCAGCTCTTTGTCATCTCTCCCCCAGCAATTCAAGGCAGCAATGGCTTACGTTCGTTCCCTACTCTTTATGACAGATCGTGGCGAGGTATTTCATGGGCTACCATCCCAGCAAAGTCTGCTGCACATTGAACATATTGACCAACCTGGGATACGGAATGATGAACTGTATGATCGGAGGACAGCTGCTTTCCAAGTTGTCCGGGGGCGCTGTCTCCGTCATTGTGGGCATTATCATCGTCGCCCTCGCGAGTTGGATCATGGCAACTTTCGGTGTACGCATCTTTCAGATATACGAGAGGTATGAGCCACGGTAGTCGTGATGCCTTTTGAGCAAGAACTATGGTGACCCTTTTCTTAATGTTTAGGTTCGCTTGGGTTCCACAGTTGATGGTTCTCTGCATTATTATCGGATCGGCAGGCCCTTACTTCAACTTTGACAACTCTTCTGTTGGATCTTCAGAAAAGCTGCATGGAAATCGGCTGGCATTCTTTTCGTTTTGCCTGTCCGTTGCTCTTTCCTGGGTTCCCTTAGCTTCGGATTACTATGTGAATTTCCCACCAAGTACTCGCAAATGGAAGATATGGTCCATGACCACGATAGGGTTATGTCTATCGATGATGACAACCCTTCTACTGGGGGCCGGACTCGGGTCTGGCGTCGCCTATAGACCGAAGTGGGCAGCGATATATGACGGTAGCCCGGGTAGCTTGCTGATGGCGGGTTATTTAAGACTTGGGGCCTTTGGTAAATTCTGCGCAGTGATCAATGTGGTGACGGTGGTCTCCAACAACGCGCCTGGCTCTTATTCCATGGCAATGAACTTCCAGATGCTCGGAAACATGTGGCGGAAGATTCCTCGACCGATCTTCACCATACTTACGACCATCACATACGCAGCCTGCGCAATCGGGGGCCGCAATTCTTTGTATGAGATTTTCAAGAACTTTTTACCGCTTATCGGCTACTGGGTCATCATCTGGTTCGCCATCGTGGTTGAACAAGACCTGCTCTTCAATCGAGGCATCGGTTATGACTGGTCTATCTGGAATGTTCGGCAGAAACTGCCGGTTGGAATGGCTGCCAGCGCAGCTTTCCTCATCGGCTGGGTCGGAGCCATTGTGGGGATGGTAGGCTTTTCTCAACCCTTTCTCGCTTTTGTGCAGGCCGACCTGTTGCTAATCTTCTTTTCCTGAGCAGGACCAAGCCTATTATACCGGGCCAATTGCTCAAACGATCGAGGGAGGTTGCGATCTAGGGATCTGGCTTGGATTTGGATTCGCGGCCCTTGCTTTTCCACCGTTGAGATTATTGGAACTCAAGATCATTGGTCGCTGACTGAACAGACCCAAACCCTGTCTGTGGATGTAAGGGTCCGACAGTATAACACCCAAGGACGTAACCCAAGCGCATTCTGTACGTACCCACTCCCGTTTGCCTCCTTGCTTTGTGTACCATAACCCGCAGCGTCTTGATATGCTGTCCAGGGTGCTTTGTGTGTGCGAATCAAATTAATTGTCAGTATTTTGTTTTTTGGCGACCCTGATTGGACGAGTGCAATTGTTTTTAAATGGATTAAGGGAGACCTCTAGTCATGATTGAGATCAATGGCCCGGAAAAAAATTAAAAAGACATTCACAAGTAACGTGGACGAATCAAATAGCAGACTATGTTGAGTGCCTGATAAATCGAAGAAAGAGACCGATGATCGGTCCACGCATAGATGCCTTGCGCGTCTCTTTATCCGAGGATATCGACATCAGCGGTGGGGCAGAAGTGGCAGGGAGATGAATGCGCAAGAGAAAGAGAGGAAAGAAGGGAGAGTCCGTTGGTGCGGGGGAAAGACAATCGCATGGAAAAAGAAACAAAACGTGACTGGCAAACTGCACTTCTTCCGTTTCGTCGGTCGCGCATCCCCATATAACCCCTTCATAAACGCTACTCAACTCACTACATCATAGTTGATCTCTCATATCCTAGGATCTACTCCGTAGCGCCTTTCCAATCGGCACTTTCTTCTGTTTAGTTACTCGTCGGTAATGCCACGTCTCCGAAGCGATGCACAATGAGACGACACATGCCGCGTTCGCGGAGAATGGCTGGGCCTTGCGCCCTTCAACATTTACCACCTCGCTAGATTTCTCTTCCCGTCAGTTCCGGATCCTTATAGTAACGATTGTGGCGGCATATCCGATCCTAGTCTCTCTGCTTCGGTTCCGCCGTGTCCGATGGCTGCACCGGAAATACCACTATCCGACGCGCGAGTCCCTGTCGCGCATGACCGATAACGATGCCTGGGAGATCCAAAAGACGCTCTTGCAGTTCGAGTTTCCGTTTCTTTACATCAAGGCTCTGCAGTTTGCATTATTCAGGGTTGGTTCCTCTGTTCACCTTTATGCGAAGTCGAATGACTAATGCGGTCGGTCATGGCATCTAGACATATGGAATTCCGACTATCTCAAAACTTCTCACAAGCACAAGGCAATTATGTGACCCGGAGCTGTCTCTCAAGCGATATTCAGACACCACCGTCTTCGTCCAGGAGTTTATCGGCTCGGCTCCGTCTTCAACCCGCACCCTCGCTTCTATTGCGCGGACCAACTTCCTTCATAGCGGCTATCGGGCTTCCAACAAGATCCTCGATGATGATATGCTTTACACGCTGGGTCTTTTTGCCATTCAGCCGGTGCGATTTATCGAGAAGTACGAATGGCGCGGCCTGAGTGATATGGAAAAGTGCGCCATCGGGACTTTCTGGAAAAGCTTGGGCGATGGTCTAGAGGTCAAGTATGATGTGCTTCCATCGGGCAAGACGGGATTCCGTGACGGTCTGCACTGGCTCGAAGAGATCATGGCTTGGAGCGATGACTACGAGGTTCGCTGTATGCTTCCGGACATTAAAAATCATGAAACCGCTGCACAGACCACAGCTATCGTGTTGTACATGGTCCCGAGGCCGTTGCAGCAGATTGGGCTGCATTTGGTTTCATTCCTTATGGACGAGCGTCTCCGGAGGGCTATGCTGTAAGTGCACAACAGGGCCGCTCGGCTATTTGATATCCATGCCACGGCCAGGGCTGATAATTGATTAGGTATGATGACCCACCGGAATCGTATGCCAAGGTGTTTGCAGTACTCCTGCGTGTGCGTCGATTCGTGATGCGCTATCTGGCGCTTCCTCGACCCGAATTTCTCCGCTACACTACCTTCACCGACCATCCCGATGAACATGGCCTCTATTCATTCACCCAATGGGATGCTGCGCCGTACTACGTGAAGCCCACCATTTGGAATCGCTGGGGACCAACGGCGTGGCTCACCTGGATCATGGGTCGGCCGCTTCCCGGGGACGAGGGTAGCAAGTACTACCCTAGGGGTTACAACATACCCGACGTCGGGCCCAAGAATTTCATGGGGAAGGGCCAAGAGTACCAGGAGAAGACCATGGAGGGATTGAAAGCCTCACGAACGGGTCAATGTCCGTTCCATTGAAGTGCCATTTAGTGAGAACATCTCGGCATGACTGTGTTTTGTTCATATAGTACTCTCGTTTGTCCCATTGAACTTTTTCAATCCAGCCAACAAATCTGGAATTGGCGTGCATATGATGGATTTAGTAACTAGATATGGGGCAACTAGCAGAACAGGATTTTGCGTTTCGGGTATCCCAAGCACGCCAATGCCACATCTACAGGAAAAGAAAGCATGACGACGTAATGCAGAAGGTCGCAGGGTTCCTGTTGCTCGTTGACAAGGCTGTACAATCCCATTCCTATTCCAGACTAGTGGCGCCATGCCAACACTACTGCGTACGGGTTAGTGATTCCACTCGGCTGGGAATGACCCCTGATCGTGACCATGGGCTGGTTTGGGTGCTTACTGCTTGGGAGTATTTGGGTAGGCTAAAAACCGGTTTATAAAGAATCCTGAGGTATATTTTTTGGGGCAATCATCCAGACGAATCAGAATCGAACCGTAGAATGTAATGACTAAGCCGCGGAGCTACGTAATCCACTCCCTGCCTGAGGCAGCAGCTCTTCCTGGCGGAAACGACGGCTCGGCGATAATATCTCCCCGCAGGTCTGGACCGCGACTTTTGATTTCTCCAACCCATGTCTAACATCTTTGCATCCTTGGGAGTTTCCTACTCGATCTGCGCTACCATGATGGCATCTCAGGCCCCCGACCCCGCCTCAAACCCCGCGACGACAATCAGTTTCCCGCAGGATCCGTCCGAATTCGACAGCGACCCGCGGGTCTCGTTCTCCAAGCTAGACGACAAATTCATCCTGGAAACCGATGACGGAAGCGAGTTTGAATACGATACGGTGCTGAAGCGGTGGATTCCGACGGTGTGTGCGCGCTTTTTCTCCAGCTGGATGCCCCTTGTCATGCCTTCCGGTGGCGATTAAAAACCATAATACACTGGCCCCTCTTTGTTGTGTGCTGTTCTGTTTTCTTCTTGTCTACGGGAACTCGCTTTGCGACTCTGCAGCAAAGCGTCGAGGGAGACATCTTTTCCGTCGCAGATATGGTCGCAAGGCTGTGGCTTGCATGGATTTTGCTTGGCTCGTGAAACTGATTATCCGGTTGGCGCCACTCTTTGCGCGCCTGTGGGTGTTCTCCAGGTCGATGATGACTTGCTTCGCCAACAGCAAGAAGCCTACAAGGTCCAAGGAGTGGATGAGAACGAAGCGGTGACGGCGCAGACGTTGAAGAAAAAGCGGAAGCAGCAAGCAAATACCGAAGAGGTGAGTACTGGATCTTGCCCTTGCGCCTCTCTCGGTTGTCGAGGGAGGCATTCCGTTGAGAAGCATATACTAATATCGGGGGGTGCGATGCAGGGTAACGGACAAAAACAAAAGAAGCAGCGTGTTAATACAGCCGTGTTCGTCACATCGATCCCTCTAGATGCAGGCTTCGAGGAAATTCGAGATACCTTCTCCAAATGCGGCGTTATCGCCGAGGAAATCGACAGCGGCCGTCCCCGTATCAAGATGTACAATGACGATGATGGGAAGTTCAAGGGGGAAGCTCTCGTCGTATACTTCCGACCGGAGTCCGTCAACCTCGCAATTCAGATGCTGGATGATTCAAACTTCCGGATCGGCCAGGAAGGTCCCCAGGGACCCATGCGAGTTCAAATGGCGGATTTCTCTTTTAAGAGCCAGCAGGAACAACCGGTTAAGACCAGCATGAAGGACAAGAGAAAGATTATACAGAGGACCCAGAAATTAAATAGGTATGGCATGGATATACGGGCCGAATCGTCTAAGCTGACATGCCGACAGCAAACTCGCCGACTGGGACGATGACGACCCTTCCACGCTACCGGAGACCAACTCCAAATTCGAGAAGGTCGTGATCTTGAAGCATATGTTTACTTTGGAAGAACTAGACGTACGACAGAGCCCCGAACCCGTTGGGTCATATAGGCCAAACTGACCCGTTCGACAGGAGGACCCGGCCGCCATTCTGGATATCAAAGAGGATATTCGTGAAGAATGCTCCAAATTGGGGGAAGTGACGAACGTTGTGCTTTACGATAAAGAGGCCGACGGCGTTGTCATGGTCCGCTTCCTGGAGCCAGAATCGGCCAAACGCTGCATCCAGGTGAGACATCCCGTTCGCGAGTCGTTCCCGAGTACAAAGGCAGCTAATCCTGGCGGTTGTTACGTTCAGGTCATGGATGGACGGTATTTTGGCGGGACGCGAGTTGAGGCATATATTGCCACTGGTGGTGAGCGATTTAAGAAGAGCAATGAGAAGCGAGCGGCGCTGGAGGATCTAGCGGAGAAGGGATTCGATGCCGAAGACTCCGACGAAGAGCAACGGCTGGATGAGTTTGGCACGTGGCTGGAAAGCTCGCACACGGTGGAGAACACGGCCAAATGATGGAATCGTCGTCAGAATGTATCATAGGTAGCTTGGAGCCCAAGCAGACAAAGGAAATGCAAACCCTCCACCTCATAGTACAAGAAGTCTGGTTCGCGCCGGCGGCGGTGATTGGCGGCGGGATCCGAGTCCCCCGTGACGCGGCTAACCGCATCGGGCCAGCCCCTATTTGCCTGCCCAAGGCACGGGGGCGCTAAACCGGAAGGGGGTGTTGACTGAGTTGTTGATGCTTCCCGCACACTTGCCGGCTTTCCTTTCCTCCTTCTCACCGCTCAACCCGTCCTTTCTTCTTCTTTCTCCTCCACCTCACCTCCCTCCTGACGGACTCCCTGTCGACTCAACCACCTCCAATCCAACTCCGCCGCCCTTTTTCTAAACACTTTCCCCGTCAAACCACCCGACCTTTCATCCAAAATGCGTGAGATCGTACGTGACGCCTTGTCCCCTGAGCCCCTCGCCAGACGCGTTTTTTGTTTGGCTCTCCGGCCAGGGGACCCCACCGGTTCACTCCAACCAGGAATGCTGACGAATATCTTCTCTGCTTAGGTTCATCTTCAAACTGGCCAGTGTGTAAGTGCATACCGGGGTTCAATTCGAAATCCTTCCGGATGGGAGCGTTGTTGGAACTGCCACTAAACTGGATTCGGGGATAACAGGGTAACCAAATTGGTGCCGCTTTCTGGTACGTCTGCACATGGATGGCCATTGCCAATCTGGATTATCGAGTACCATCGTCCCAAGCCTTGGGTCCGATGGTGCTTAATTCTTGATATTCGAATGCTAACAGAGTGAACAGGCAAACCATCTCTGGCGAGCACGGCCTTGACGGCGCCGGTGTGTAAGTGCAACCCCGTGTTTACACCTGTCGAAATGAAACTCGAGGAGAAACGAAACAAAATACCGTGGTGGGATTGATTGTCTGATGGGATGAACAGTTACAATGGCTCCTCCGACCTTCAGCTGGAGCGCATGAACGTCTACTTCAACGAGGTTTGTCGCCCGAAAATTTCCTCCCTTCGTGTATCCGACACGCCCCGTGCATCAAGTTCTGACCCACGCTTTCTGTACCTTCTAGGCCACCGGTGGCAAGTATGTTCCCCGTGCCGTTCTCGTCGACCTTGAGCCCGGTACCATGGACGCCGTCCGTGCCGGTCCCTTCGGTCAGCTTTTCCGCCCCGACAACTTCGTCTTCGGTCAGTCTGGTGCCGGTAACAACTGGGCCAAGGGTCACTACACCGAGGGTGCCGAGCTCGTTGACCAGGTCGTCGACGTTGTTCGTCGCGAGGCTGAGGGCTGCGACTGCCTCCAGGGTTTCCAGATCACCCACTCCCTGGGTGGTGGTACCGGTGCCGGTATGGGTACCCTCTTGATCTCCAAGATCCGTGAGGAGTTCCCCGACCGCATGATGGCCACCTTCTCCGTCGTTCCCTCCCCCAAGGTCTCCGATACCGTTGTCGAGCCTTACAACGCCACCCTTTCCGTCCACCAGCTCGTTGAGCACTCCGACGAGACCTTCTGTATCGACAACGAGGTATGTTTCAGCATTCTCCGAGCCACTTCGGGCAATAGGACTCGATGTTCGACGTGGGAAGCATGGGAAACTGACTCGTCTATAGGCTCTGTACGACATCTGCATGCGTACCCTCAAGCTCTCCAACCCCTCCTACGGTGACCTGAACCACCTGGTCTCTGCCGTCATGTCCGGTGTCACCACCTGCCTGCGTTTCCCCGGCCAGCTCAACTCCGATCTCCGCAAGTTGGCCGTCAACATGGTTCCCTTCCCTCGTCTTCACTTCTTCATGGTCGGCTTCGCTCCTCTGACCAGCCGTGGCGCCCACTCTTTCCGTGCCGTCTCCGTCCCTGAGTTGACCCAGCAGATGTTCGACCCCAAGAACATGATGGCTGCCTCTGACTTCCGTAACGGCCGCTACCTCACCTGCTCCGCTATCTTGTACGTGGAACCCTTTCTACATCGATGTCTTGGTTTTGAAGTTATTTTCGAGTACTAACTTTATATCCAGCCGCGGTAAGGTCTCCATGAAGGAGGTCGAGGACCAGATGCGCAACATCCAGAGCAAGAACCAGACCTACTTCGTTGAGTGGATCCCCAACAACATCCAGACCGCTCTGTGCTCCATTCCCCCCCGCGGCCTCAAGATGTCTTCCACCTTCATCGGAAACTCCACCTCCATCCAGGAGCTCTTCAAGCGTGTCGGCGACCAGTTCACTGCCATGTTCCGTCGTAAGGCTTTCTTGCATTGGTACACTGGTGAGGGTATGGATGAGATGGAGTTCACTGAGGCTGAGAGCAACATGAACGATCTGGTTTCCGAGTACCAGCAGTACCAGGACGCCTCCATCTCCGAGGGTGAGGAAGAATAGTAAGTGCTCACCAGCCTAGCATCAAACAATTTGTGGCGCCAAACTAACTGTTTTTGCAGCCTTGAGGAGGAGCCCCTTGAGGTTGAGGAGTAAATTTCTCCCACCAGGAGTAACGTGAATTGAGATCTGCTCAGAGTAATACCCTTGATAAGCCTACGTTCTCTATGACTCTGGCCTGGGTAACAGGTCTTAGTCCACCAAATTATTTTGACGGAGCGTTTTTTAATTTTCTTTCCTGTTCTTAATTTTGAGAGGCCCCAAAGCCCTTGACCAATTAAACCAAATAGCACATAGTTTAAAAACAATCATCCACACGTCCGTCGAAGGCATTCATCTGTAGGATTGATGACTAACTGGCTTTACTAGACTAGATCTGGTACTGCAAGTAGATTTCTGTGCTAACCTACATCAATTACTCAGTATTCTTTAGAAGAATGAAAAGTCCCTCGACAGCCCTAATGCAGGAATTAAATGTCCAATAAATACTGAACGACGATCTATCTATACCTATTGGATTTGGATCAAGCTTCGAATGAACAAAGAATGAATATATTGAAGGAATAGAGGCACTGTGACACTCAAGCATCTCTTAAAATATTCTGTACCTGCCAGTCTGAGATGATGGGAGATGCAGGCAGGGTTGCTTAGATAGTGTTATAGTATGTAGGTAGTTTTATTTCGATTATGGAGTTATGTACACCGTCTCGTAGGGCGGATATTCTGGATTCAAAGAAAAAGAAGACGATATCGATTAATATGGGTCAATATTTCCGATAAGATGTGAATAAGTAGACAAAGAAAAAAAGACCAGGCAGGAACAGGAAATGGGTATTGTAGAAAGAAAGGTATGAAAAAAAATTATAAGGAGTAGAAATTTGAACAAGAACAGGCCGAGACAATCATAGATAGTACCCAGACCCAGTACGGAGATCTGGTTGGGCTTTCATTTGAATTAAGCCTTGGTCTCGTTGCCTTCTGTGGGCGTCGCGGTACGCTTGGAAGCTGCGTCGCCGTTCTCGCTACCCGGGGCGCTGATCACGTCGCGGGTGACTTCAACATAGTCGTACTGTAGTGATATTATGTTAGAATGATGATTTGATGGAAGAGACAATGGGAAAGATTGGGGAACATACGGCGAATTCGCCAATCTCGGCGTCGTCAATGCCCATGATCTCGTCGTCCTCGGGAGCACGCAGGCTGAGACCGGGGATGAGGTTGATGACGAAGAGAATGATACAGCTGCCGAAGAACGAGTAGGCCATGCCGGAGACGGAGTCGGCGAGCTGGTAGCCCAGTTGCACGTAGTTGTGGTTGATCCAGCCACCGTCGATCTCGGTGGATCCGTCCAGACGAGCGATGTAGTCACTGCAAGGGAACGGAAATTAGCCGGGAATTCTTAAGCGAAAAATAAAGCTCCTTCTTGGAAGGCTGAAGGAGGGTTTCACTTACGCGGCAAATAATCCGGTCAGAAGGTTGCCCACGAGACCGCCAATACCGTGGACCGCGAAGATATCCAGGGCGTCATCGACATGGATCAGGTACTTAAGCTTAGTGGCGTAGTTGCAGGAAACGGCACCGACGACACCGAAGATGAACGCTGCCCAAGGAGTCACGAAACCGGAGCCCGGGGTAATAGCCACCAGACCGGCAATCACGCCGGAGCAGAAACCCACGGTGGACCATTTGCGTTCCAGGCGGTAGTCGAGCAGACACCAGGTGACACCACCGACGGAGGCCGAAAGGTTGGTCACAACAGCGGCCATCACGGCACGCAGGTTGGCGCTGAGGGCAGAACCGGCGTTGAAACCGAACCAACCAACCCAGAGGAACACGGTACCGATGACGACGTGGGTGACATTGTGGGGACGATAATTGAGCTCGTGGGTGCCATGTCCGCGACGCTTGCCGAGCATCAGGGAGTATGCGAGGGCGGTGCAACCGGAGGCGATGTGGACGGGCGTGCCACCCGCGAAGTCCAACCCTCCCAAGTTGAAGACCCAACCGGATGCATTCCAGGTCCAGCAGGCGAGGGGATCGTAGATGATGGTGGTCCAAATGAAAATGAAGACCATGCAGGGAAGCATGCGGCCACGTTCGGCAACAGCGCCGACAGCGAGAGCAACTCTGTATGATTGTTAGGTTTGAGGTGATGATACCGAGACTTGGAATAATGAGCAACCTACGTAATGCAGGCGAACATTCCCTGGAAGACGGCAAACAGGAGATCGGGCACCTTATCGCTACCCACCGAAGGTGCAGCCAGAACGCCTTTCATTCCAAAGTTCTGGAGGTCTCCGATGTACTTTCCAGCTGTGTGAGAGAAGGCCAACGAGTACCCCCAGAAGAACCACTGGAAGGAAACGACTCCGACAGACATGATGGAGAGCCATATTAGGGACAGAGCGGACTTTCGACGGGCGAGACCGGAGTAGAAGAATCTGGGGTGAATCGCGTCGTCAGCACCGCCATTCTATAACGGACTGGTCATTCCATAAAAAGAAAAGGTTAACCCATACCCAACACCAGGAATCATCAACAGAACAAGCGCTGTGGAGGTAACAACCCAGGCGATGTCACCAGACTGGAGGAAAGGTTAGCTAACATGATTATGCCTTCTTCTTAGGGTTACCATGTGACTCACGCTGTACCATATATTGAGGTCCTCCGTCATGGAGTCACCTCCAGTGCCAGTCTCCGTTCCATTGTAAGGGACAGGGTATTCGGCCATAGTGTGATGTGCCACAAAGCAGTGTCAAGAATTTTAACCTCCCCAGATACGACCACTGTGGGAGTTTATCAATGGGTTTCAGTCTTTGCCCCTGGAATTGGACGTGTATGCTGAACGAGAAACCACGCAGGAAAGAACGGATCCAATAGCGCGGGCTTCAGAACTTTATGCAGGAAAGATCGGAAAGAAGTAATGACGAGGGAAATGAAATGTGACAGGGGCAAAGAAGATAAATAAATATCATGCAAGCGCGGATACCAGTCAGAACGCCATCAGCTCCACCGTCAGCCGGGGGTTTGATATCGAGAGCCAAGCCCTATGCGAACGGATAAGGACGAAGGAATACGGGCTCGGGCCATGACTTTCAAGATTAGAGTAATGGATTCAGATCTCTCTGCGTCATATCTTAATTCTTTTCTTTCTCCCGCCGTTCGAGTCATCCGCTTTGTCTGGTTCCTTTGATATCTCGGAGCCCCAGAGTATGGAAAAGGAAACTGGAGGGTGCCCAAAGACCAGAAGGGGGCCAAAAGACCCGGCAATTTGGATAGAGTGGATGATATCGGACAGGGACTGGAGAGAGATAGGAGAGCGCGAACCAATCATCCGAGACCAACTATCTCGTCCTTTATCGGCCTATCAGGCTGGCTACTCGCCGGTCTTCCTTTCTCGCCCAGACGGGGGCTCCAGAGCGTGGGGAGATCGCCATACGCTTCTGGAAAATCACATAGGATGAGCTCATCTTCGAGGGAATGGTTGGCTTCGATAGTTCGTGAGGGATCCTGTTCCCCTGCTTTGTGGCCGTAAGACCAGAACAATAGATGACCGTAGTAAACAGGGAGTCGGAGATATTTCCTACGAGGATCTGAGAGGCTGTCATATCAGTGCGTTATCCGCCAATCAGCAGGCGGCGATGGGTGCTTATCATCCGGTTCCTCCCACACATTGTTATGACCGTGGATCCTGGACAGTGCTTTGTTCATGGAGCAAGATAGACAAGCCCTTGGCAATTAAACACGAACCTCTAAAGCTGGAGAGCTTTGGGTTTAGGGATCCGACATCGGCAGTCAGCAAGCAGTGCAATTGCTAGCTGGTTCGTTCTCCTTGGAATGAATGAAGGAAGGAAGAAAAGATCCAGGTTCCTTCTCTGGCGGTCCAAGCGACTGCGGACCACGGGACACATCAGCTGATCGTCCTATTATTTCCCTGTGCGCGCTGAAAGAAGATACCGCGAGGTACCTCCGACGCAGGCCAGAATTGTAGGCGTTGCGCAGTCGCGGGAGGTACCCCGGGAGGGACAATGGGAAGTAAAGATAAGCCTTCGGGCTCCCATTGGCCCACCGTTCGGCATCCCGAACGGTGGGCGGCCTTGGCGTCGCAGGGCAGGGCTGAGCTTGACACGTCCAGCGCTCTTTCTCTTTCTTGTGGTTACATCTGTTCATCTATTCATGGCGTTCGGGGTCTGGGATATTGGCTTCAGTCAATAGTGGATGAAGGTGGAGGAATATTTGTCATTCCTCGAGCTCAGCTCACCCGGAAATGACCTCACCAGCACTAGACGGTTGTCCAGTACAAGCTGTTTACAACTGCAGCAAAGGAGCGTTTCTGAAATGGATTCATCAGCTGGAGAGTATTCGAAGGTCATGATGTTTCAAGAACCCGGCTTTGTCTTATCCCACACGGCTCACTACCTACTACCTAGATACTAGACATCTCGTCCAAGTACGGAGCACCAACATTTGAAATGAACGCCGGTCGATCATGCAGGATGTCGCCTATCGATCAATCACTTGGGTTACATTTTCTCAACCCCACCTCCATGAACAGGGGAGGCTTCCAGATTTCACGGGGACCCGCCAATGCCAAGTTAAGCCCGTCGGTCCCGCTGATCAGCATGTGGCATCTCGATGCATGTAACTATCGACGCTCAAGCTCGGTGGTTCCAGGTGAGCAGCATCTGTTTTGGCAAGCATTCTCGATTTTGGGGAATAATTACCAGAGAATCCAGTGTTTCACGCGACGAGAACGGGACTGATAAGACGATTGACATTGCCGTTGCCGTTGCCATCTACATACATCTAGTTTCTGCGGGTTTGTTCGGCCATGCTCACTTCACTGGCCAGATGGCAATTTGGAAGATTACGCATACACCAGGTTATATCCCTTGATATGCAGCATGGTATTCAGGAGAAGATACGCAGTATGCACCCCTTAATGAACAGGACGGGCAAATACTTCCTTGTGTGATGAATCCTCAAGGCCGCCAACAGGCTGTTTGCATGCTATCAGCCTGCCGACGGACCAATACTCGTTGTTTCGTACCTTAACACAATTCAATTGTGCTCTCATTGGACATGTACGAACTTTGGGGTACATAGTAGTTGTTCCTGGTCATAAAGGGGGAGAGCCAAAGCAACAGCACTCCGTAACATCTCAAGGCATCAAAATCTTAGAGAAATTAGTGTTTTGACTCTCGACACCTCTCTTCTTATTTTTCTCTTTCATTCTGCTTGCATGCAGCTTTCTATCTTCATGATAGTTCTCTCGTGAGCAGCTATCCATAAAGCAGGAAACTACTATACCCATGGACTAGAATATACAACCTGAGATGGCAGTACCATGCTCCTTCTTGTCCCTGTAGCATAGCTTGCCGGTCATTTCATTTTGACAGGGCTCAAATAGGGCAAGAGAAACAATACACAGAAGGTCTGGGCCCGTCCAGAGAGCATAGAGTGTGGTTTGTGCGGACAAACCCACGGCTCTCTGCACTCTGACGTTGACCATGTGCTGACTCATCACCTGCGCTCTGGACTTCAATTCACCGTTGGTGCACTTCATCCGCATAGATTTCTTTCCGGCAAGAATTCACTTAGAGCGTCTTCCTGGCTAAATTTCTTTTTATACCAGTGCTACCTTTGCACCTTAGCGCACGGAAGACAGAAAGCACTCTTGGTTCCACTCCACTTCTTCCGCCACCGATCGGAATGCACCGCCACAGCCCCTATATCTCCGCCTAAGGCCTTCCATCCGATCTCCGTCATCGATCAAGCTCATCATGGAGCCTCACCAGGACCGTGGATTTCCCCAGATCATGGAGCTGCCCGACATGAACAATCATGATTCGGACGGCTCGGGGTCCTCCGACGAGCTCCTTCAGCAGCCGTACGCCGCCCTCTCGAATTCGGGCTACTCGGAGAACTTTGACCCCCAGATCCAAGGCACTCCGGCGACCACCATCACCTCCTCGCCTCCTCCATCGCATTCGAGCGGCCTGCCCTCCTGGTCTAGCACCACGTCCTCACGTCCCCGCGGTGCCAGCGTGGGCACTCCGTCGGCCCTGGATCAGGTGCCGCCAATGGACGGTGCCGACCTGAGACTCCAACGCCCGTCAGGCCCCGCCAGAACGCCGTCCAACACCTACGCCCCTCAACGCCGTCCACCGCAGTACATCAGCCTCCAGAATGACCGCCGCCGATCCTCCTCGAATAAGCGAACCCCGAGACGCGACCCCAACGCGCAGTATCGGGCGCAGGAAAAGGCATATGTGCAGCGGATCCGTGCGGACCCGCAGGCGTGGTATAGCCACTTCGATGAGGCTCAAAACATGGGACCGGCCATCGGGGACTCGGACCTAGAGGAACCGTCGCCTTCGTCGGAGGTTCCCTTCGAGGATGACGCCTACGACCCGGATACGCAGCTCTTCCTTTCGGACGATAACCAGCCAACGCTCGAAGAGCTGAGGAACCCAAAGAACCAGGAGCGGCTGGAATGGCACTCGATGTTGGCGTCGGTGCTGAAAGGAGACGTCGTGAAGCAGGAAAAACAGCGACTGCTCGGTTCGGCGGAGACGAAACGCTCCGCGGCCCAGAACAGTGCCATCTGGTTGGGTGTGAGAGCCCGGACTTGTGGACGCAGCGTCGCTCTACAACGGAAACTGATTGAAGAAGCACGCGGGGCCCTGGGGCCTATCGTTGAGGATATCATCAAGTTCGAGATAAAAGGAGAGACAGAGATTGGGAAATCACCGATCAAGCAGGTGGAGGATATCGTGGAGGAGATTGAGAAGTGTGAGATGCTTTACTCGACCCATAAAGAGTTGGAAAGCGAGCAGCCTCGGGTCGCCTCGGAGGAGTTCTGCTCTAGCCGTGAGGCGGTCTTCGCATGGCACAACACCACAATTCTTATCAACACGGAACTCGCTATCTTGCGGAAGTGGGTTGGAAACGACGAGCTTGACTTTAGCAAGACGAGGGACAAGTCGACCAACAGCGATCTTTCGGACGAGTCGTCTTTCCTGGACCGCATCATGAAGGAGGACGGGCTTCGGACGCTTCAGGGAGACCACAACATGTTGATTGACATTGGTGAAGTGATCCAGAAGGCCAAGAGCACCTTGATTGAGAATGCAAGCAATTTCGCCAAGCGCCATCTGCCTCCCTACATCGAGGAACTGCTGACTCTCATCAATTTCCCCTCCCGTCTTATTCAAGAGATTATACGGGTTCGACTCTCTTACGCTAAGAACATGAAGGACCCTGCCTCGCAGTCTCCCATCTTGGTCGATCAGATGATCTCACAGTTCCAGATTCTGATGAAGGTTGCAGTCGAAATTAAGCAACGTTACTTGGACATTGCGAGACCTGAACCTGGCTGGGATCTCCCGCCTTGTATTGACGAGAACTTTGATTCGGTTGTCTTGGATGCCCTCAAATACTACTTCCGACTTCTGAACTGGAAGCTGAATGCGAACAAGAACACCTTCAAGGAGGCGGAAATTCTCGAACAAGACTGGGAATTCTCTAATCATATTGGACGCCAGCTTGAAGGTGGAGATATCGAAGTCGCTGAACAATTTAGGTAAGGTCTCAAATCCTAAGAAAGCCCTGTGACCATCAGCTAATTGATCGATAGTGCTTTGACCGCAAAATCACTCCAGCGTCTAATGATTCATTTCGAGCGGGAATTGACGATACTTCCCGACGAAGACCCGGCAGATATGGACAAGCGTTATAAGAGCGTTCTGGATTCGACTCGGATTCGTCAACGAAAGCTTTACCGTTTCTCCAGGTTCCTTCGGCAACTTTTCGAAAATGCCACCGAGTACAACATTTCCACTGATATCGCCTATGATTTCTTCGAGGCGCTGCTTATCTCGGATCATTTTCTCATCAAATCCGCTACTTCTATTGGCCAGAAGGGCGTGTATTTGTTTGCTCACCCTGCGCTTTGGGATCGTCCCACCGACATCCAAGCAATTCTTAGAACGTCGTTTCGCGAAGAAGATTTGCCGAAAGACTCGCCCCTTTCGCCGTACTTGCTGGTAGTTCGGCCCGAGAAGCCCTTGACATGGGCCGGCAGGGAAATGCAGGTGGATGTGTTGGAGCAACCTACGGACATACGACTCGCAAAGCTTCGCCTCGTGGTTGAAGGAACACAGCAGCGTTTGTCTAATGCGCGTCAAGAGTTGGCACAATTGACCGGAATTCAGCTCGACATGGCCATTGAGCAACGTGCGAATCTGGGTCGTGTCAACGTGGAGCTTAACAAGATCAAGAAGACCTCGTTCAAACTCTCTATGACCATCATGGACAGTGTGGCGATCATCCGGGATCAGCTCAAGGAGAGAGGCATCGAGAACCTCGATTTGATCCAGGCCTGTTATGCCTTCGCTACTGAGTTCGGTAATCGTTCTTCAAACGTCGACCCCAACAGACGGGCAATGAATAGCGCCAGACTTGTCGAGCTGTCACTCGACTGGGTGTCCTTCATTTGTGATGACTGTGATGCCGCCGATCGGAAAACATTCAAATGGGCCGTGTCCGCACTTGAATTCGCCATGGCCATCACCTCCAGCAGGCATCTTCTTTCCATCGACGATGAACAATTCTCTTGTCTGAGGCAGAAGGTCGCTGGATGTATGTCGCTTCTGATATCTCACTTTGACATCATGGGCGCTCGATCCTCTCGCGCTGCTCAGGCCGAAAAGCAGCGAATGGAGGAGCGAGTAGGAGGACGGAAATTCGGCGCCGGCCGGATTTTGACCGACGAAGAAGCTACAAAACTTGTGCGTGAACAACGCTTGTCTCATCTCCACGAAATTGAGGATAGGCGAGTTGAGGAGAACGCGAAGCGTCAGGCATTGGGCAGGGTGCTTGAAGGGTCTAACGAAGCCGACCGGTCCTTGACAGTCCTGTCATCTTCCGCCACCAACGTGACTCTACGGTGGCAGCAAGGACAATTTATTGGCGGCGGAACGTTTGGCTCCGTTTATGCTGCCATCAACTTGGATAGCAACTACCTCATGGCCGTCAAAGAAATCCGACTTCAAGACCCGCAGCTTATTCCCAAGATTGCCCAGCAAATTCGCGACGAGATGGGCGTCCTTGAAGTTCTGGACCACCCGAACATTGTGTCGTATCATGGCATTGAGGTGCACCGTGATAAGGTCTACATATTCATGGAATACTGCTCCGGGGGCTCTCTGGCGAGCTTGCTGGAGCATGGTCGCGTGGAAGACGAGACCGTCATCATGGTCTATGCCCTTCAGCTTCTCGAAGGATTGGCATACCTACACCAATCCAGCATCGTGCACCGGGACATCAAGCCCGAGAACATTCTCCTGGACCACAACGGGATCATTAAATACGTTGATTTCGGAGCCGCCAAGATCATCGCCCGCCAGGGTCGCACGGTCGTCCCCATGGATGCCTTTGCTGGCCCCAACCCCAAGGACGCGCTTGTTCCCAAAGACGCGCAGCTCGCGCAGCAACGAGGCAAAAACCAGAAGACCATGACCGGAACTCCGATGTATATGTCTCCGGAGGTCATCCGAGGAGACTCGTCGAAGCTGGTCCATCGCCAGGGCGCCGTCGACATCTGGTCTCTCGGATGTGTGATTTTGGAGATGGCCACCGGTCGTCGTCCCTGGTCTACCTTGGATAACGAGTGGGCAATCATGTACAACATTGCCCAAGGAAATCAGCCGCAGCTGCCTAGCCGAGATCAGCTGAGTGATCTAGGAATCGACTTCCTTCGGCGTTGCTTCGAGTGCGATCCATTGAAGCGATCGACCGCGGCCGAGCTCCTCCAGCACGAATGGATTGTCTGCATCCGACAGCAAGTTGTGCTGGAGCCGCCGACTCCCAGCAGTGACCACGGCAGCAGTATGAGCTCCAATTCTTCCAACAGTCGCAACAACTCCTATTATTATAGTTAGTCCTCTTATGATTTTTTTTCTATCAGCGATATTTTGTTTTTCCTTGCATCCCCTTGTTGGATTCACTTGATTTCTTTTCAAAACCCACGCGCTCTCCCCATGCCCATACACCACAAGATTGCATTTGATACCCATACAACTGCCACAATCTCGTTCAGACCTGTGTTCATTAACTTACCGCCCTTCTTTCCTTCGGGAACTGTCGTTTGTCATCTTTCTGGTCCGAGTTGTTTGTTCTGGTTTATTTTTTTACCTGAGACCGGGAGGAACTCGTTTGATTTTTGTTCTTTTTTATTTGCTCTGTATATATCGATGCTCAGGAACACGAAGGGCTCGAAATGTTAGGTGTTTAGGTACGGAATGAGATGAATTGATATGGTAGTCAGGTGTATTAAGGCTAGCCATTACAGATTTACCTAGATGGATGTATATCATATACCTTAGTGGCCAATGAATTGAGACCAATCGAGTGTTCAAGACCAGCGTATTTATATGGCATTCAGGGGTTTATGACTGACGGATCGTGTGATCCTTTCCCGATTCTGGCTGGACCCACCTTTAGCGAAGATTCTGATTTATTTCTGATTCTGATTCTGATTCTGGCTTATACGACTACGACAGCGATGCTGACTTGGCTAAAAGTAAAACCCTCTGACACAGTCCACTAAATTCTGACACCGGCTCAACGGCCGTCTGCTATACTGCGTGGAATGATAAACCGGAAGACAATCCGAATCCAATCTCGTCCAGGGTCACCCCGACTTCCCTGCAATGTCCGAGGTCGATCAGGCTGTTTCAAGGAGGAACCGCAGGGAGTCCGATACGATTACGGGAATTGAGCCAGCACGCCACGGCGCATCGCCCTTGCTGCCAGGGTGACAAGAAGCATCGACCCCGGTGGAGCCGGCGTCTCTAGCGTACGCCCTCCGCCACTTTGTCTCCATCTTTATTCCCTAGTGTCGCCGCATCGGGTTAAGCATGGGGTTGTTTCAGGTTGACAAAGGGACGGCGTCCGCCAATATTTAATTTAGATGATGAAGCGGTGGAGACACGCCGGTTGGTCCATAATCCATAATACCATTATACCGCTACCTGAGTTCAGTCGTTCGCCAGTCCTTGAGTCGATGGCCTGTCGAGTACCTCGAGCTGGTTGTCGAGGGAGGACTCCGGAGTATGTACTTTCGCTTGAGGACTCCGTAGGTACTACAGTATACTACTGCGTATGACCACGCCGATCAGTGATTGTATTCCTCCGTATTCGTGAGCATCTTTCCGATTTAAGGCCCCGTTCCCCTGAGATTACGCAGTATGAAATTGAAATATGATGATCCATCAGTCCCGGTGGGCGTCGTTCTGCTGCGCTTCTTCCCTTCCACTCCCTTCCCTTTCTCTTTCTCTTGAACATATTTCCCACTCTTTTATACTATTACTCTAACCCAGTCATTCTTTACTAGGAAGGAATCTTCCCCCCCCCCCCTCTCTCTCCATCCGCTCTTTTATCTTATCGTGCCCTTCTTTCGCCCTTCCTTACTTACCCACGCCCACGGTCTTGTTGATTCCAGTCCACATCCCCAGACAACAAGCTGTCCAAATCCAATTCCAATTCCAATTCCAACCTCCAAACTCCCAAAGCAGGAACTTTTTATGTTGATCCGATACCTTCCCCCGCGGCTTCCTTGACAATGTGGACAATGGCTGCTTGGGGTTTGCCTCTCATTTCGGCCTCGGTTTGGCTATGTTGGTATATCCTACGCTCTCTTCCTGGCGTCCCAGCATCATTATCGTATTGAATGAACTAACACATCTATTCCTAGTCACTCTCCTCACAATGCTCGGATACTGGGCTAGCCTCGGCCGCCCGGTCTACAGCTACATCCACAAGGGCCAGACAATCCCGTACATCACCACACCCGGGCCCTCTACCGCAACGTACACACACTAAACCTTTCCGCTAGGTATATCTCAGACGTCGCCGCGCAGGAACTGCAGCCGCTCTTCGTCACGGGCTGTCTCGTCAGCGTCATCCTGCTCAACATCTCCCTCGTCCTGATCCTCAAGGCCCGCAGCGCCGGCCCCAAACCCTCCGTCAAGCTGCTGCGCTGGAAGCGCGCCGGAATCAGCCACACGTGGTTTCACTACCTGGCCATCTTCCTGACCGCCGCCGGCAGCGTGGGGCTGGTTCTGCTCGCCCGCTTCGACAGACTGCAGTATCCGGATCTGCATCGCGAGTTTCTGACGCTATACGTGTGAGTCCCCCTCCCTCCGCCCCCGGCCCCGAGCGCCGAATGAGATCTTGATCGGGCTAATGCGTGTTCTTGGTTCTGTCCTGTAGGGCGTCTTTCTCAATAGCCGGCGCCGTGGCGTTCCTGGAGTCTTTGCGGTCGTGTATGCGCTCGCGATGGAGACATCCGCTGCTCATCGTCACGCTGATCATTCGTCTCGTGACGGGGCTGGTCTCGGCGATACTGGGCCTGGCGTTCTGGTACACGTTCAAACATATGGAAAACGCGAGGGATACCTGCGCGGTGATCGAGTGGAGTATGTCTCTCCCCTTTTTATCCCCTGCGTTTTGTTTGGGGGGCTACCTAGGAGACAAAGCTAACGGTTCTTTCTTCAGTCCTCGGGATCACCTTCACGGGCCATATCGCCTGCTTCGCGTTCGACTTGCTGCCGTCGACTTTGGCGCTGCATGAGGGAGAGTATATGGAGCTTGTTTAGATAGGCCTATATATATATATATATGTATATATATATATATTGAGATTGGTTAGGTGTTGGGGTTGAAAAGAAAAGACTTGGGCATTTATGAATATCGTTTGTATTTCAAGTCTATTCTTCTCTTCCTCCTCTTGAATGGAGGTTGTTTATTCCCCCCGCTGTTTTCTTCCCCTGTTGAACCTGCCTCTGCCAACAGTCCAACTCACGACTATCCATGCTATCAGTCAAATTTCCTTCTACAAGGCTGCACCCAAATTAGTACCCAAATGTCTATCCACCCACCCCGTCAACGCATCCGGCACAAACGCCGCCGCATCCGCCCCCAGGGCCGAGAAGTGATCAGACGTGCGACATTCCTCGCCCATAGACACGCCATCGAATCGCTCCTTGGCCCACACAAGCGCCGCGAACATGCCATCCACAGACAACGCCGTGTGCGACTCCACCTTATACTTCCTATAGTCGACCAGCACGCCGGCGGCGCAGTAGTTGCGGACGAGCGCGTCCGCGTCCCCAATGGGCGACTTGTCGTCGTGCGTGCTCTCGTAGACCAGGACCGGCGCGCCAGGGACGCCCTGGCCGGGGCTATTCTCGTCCAAGATGCGCGTCACCGCGGAGGTGTTGAGGAAGTCAAGGCTGTCGAAATACGTCGACATGTTGGCTGTGCCGAAGTTTTCCTTCAATGCGCCGGCGCACTGGTCCCGCGCCGCTTCGAACTCCGCCGTTTTCTCCGCACCCCCGCCGGCTGCTGCTAGATGCGCCTGCACGACCCGGTTGATGGGCGGATACTCGTTCGCGAGACCCCACAGCGCAGGCGGGAGGTTGTTCGGCGCCGGGATCGCCAGCTCCAGCACGGTGGTCAGATTCATCAGGATCCCGCCCGTCGCCACGCCCTCGATCTTCAGCTCCGGTGCATAGCTCCGCTGAAACTCCGCCGCCAGGACGGTCGAGGGGCTTGCGCCCGAGTATCCCATCATCACGGCGACCGCGTCGGCGGAGATGTGTGTGAAGGGGGAGGAAGCGAGGGCGGCGCGGATGCTATCCAGCCCGGCAAAGGCGCCGCGCCGATTCGCCATGAAGGCGGCGCCGAAACCCTCGTAGTCGGGCATGATCACGGGCCATCCTTGGTTCAGGGCGCCTGCCAGGACGATGGTGTGGACGAGCTCGATGACGCGGTCGGAGGTTTTCTCCTCGTTGACGCCGTCGGCGATGACGTAGGACGGTGAGCAGTCGATGCTCGCAGAGTTCTGGACGGGGAAGTAGGCGAGGATGCGGCTGAGGTTGGCGTTGGGGGGGATGAGGAGGGTGGCGAGGGAGGCGGTGGGCTGGTCGAAGCTGTCGGTGGTGCGGTAGATGATCTGGTGGCCTGTTTCGAAGAATGAGGGCAATGGGTCTTTCAGGGGGTGTGGGAGGGGGCGATGATCGAGGATGTGGCCTGGTGGTTTGGTCTCGTAGTCGGCGGGGAGTCTGTAGAAGGAGTCCTCGCTGGGGGGTGTGGGAGAGGCATGGGACCGTCCGAGATAGAGGCCGAGAAGGCTGCACCAGATGAGTTTCATTGTCAGTGGATAGACGGGATTTGATGGGAGAAATACTATACACCGTCCCTTGCTCCAGGGTTCTTTATACAAATGTCTTGTCTCGTGGTTTTGCAGCATCTCCAAGGGGTCGATGTATAGGAGAAGCTGACACGCATGCCAAATAAAGCCATTGACGAGCGCTGATCATCGATCCATGAGCAAGGGGGAGATCGGATGTATCAGCTGGAGTTGTATACAGGTGGGAATCCACCCGGTGAACCGGCCATAACCATGTCAGATGAGACTCACCTCATTCTCCTTCCAAATTCCTTCGTGATGCCTGCTTCAGCTCCAGATGTCCCCCGGTCCACCAGCCCATCCTCTCAGCCAGCTGCAACGGAGAATTCATGCTCGAACTTGACTTGGAGCTTTCCTACTTATGTAGGTTCCTGTATAGATAATGGCTGAATACGGCTAGCCTACTCAAGTCCGAATCTGAAGCTGCCTGATATCTGGTTGATTCCGTTACTGCTGTCAGGTACGGCCTCTGAGCTGGAGGAAGGCTCCGGCGTTCCTTCACCTTAGGATTGTCGCCTGATTGTTTACTCTGCTTACTTTCCCTCATCTTCTCTCTCCACTTTACCTCTCCTGCGACCTTCACGCCACATTCTCGACAGTCTGTATCTCTTTCCTACACACACCCTGAACCCTCTCACTTCTGTCTTACTATCTTGACTTGGCCCCTTCTGTATCGCCACCCCTTTATCGGACACATTCTGCCCTCCTGTGAAGATCCGGGGCGAGGGAGTCCTTCAGACTGGAAAATGGCTGACACGTGAGTCATACTTGGTTATCCCACAGTTCCCTGACTCCAGAATCCGTCGTTTATGCCTCGTATCCTTTACTAACTACCGGTCCTGCGTTATACCCCACAGCCAATCGATTGAGAACTGGGTGCTCCAGGTTGCCCCCGCAGGATCGCCACGAAAGCCCCAGGATGGCATTGAACGGGACGATGGCATGCTACCCGCGAGTACACCAAGCAGCCGAGTCTCGGTGACTGGAAGCGAGCGGACTGAGAGCTCGGCCACCGATAAGCAAGCCAATTCTTGCCACGAGACCCCCCTGTGCGTGCTCGAGGAATACGGCGTCTACCGTGTGGGTGTGCCGACCAAGACAACAAATGCCCTTTCGCCCACGGATGCTATGAAGGATCTGAAGGACAGGATATTGGCCGCCGACCAGACAGCAATGGATCGACCGCAGGCGACGCTCAGTCAATACTACGCCAGCGCGGCAAGAATAGGATATTGGATGGACCAGACTGTTGGGAAAGGGTCAACCAAGCCCCAGGTCGACGCACTGACCGCTGTGCTCAGCGGCTGTCCTGATACCTGTGGCGTGGATATCTTCAATGTTGAGTATGACGTTCCCGTAATAGCGCTTGAGACTCCTCGTGGGATCGCACTAACATTACTGAAGGGGCCTCCCAATATCTCCACAGTATCGTCTAGTTTCCCCATCCCGCGAGCCGCTCCACCTCTGCCCCGATGCTGTGATAAGCGTCCCGACAGGCGACAGAGCCAATCGCGTGAATAAATTCTTTACAGCGACCAAGCATCGATACAGCCTCTGTCCGCTGCCACGCCTTGAATACATGAGCGCTCTCCTCTTACATGCTATCCAGTTTAGGATGTTCTCTGAGGATCCGATCGGCCCGATCCGTCAATGCCTCGGCTATATCGGCGCAAGCCTCCGGATGTTCGCAGAGCTCGCGGAAAAGGCAGGGATCGATCTGACACAGGACCCGATTCCGGCCTGTGTGGCCATGGAGTATCGTTTCTGCATGTGGCACTTTACCGTGGTAGCACTCCACGAGGATAAGTCCCACGGCAAAGTCATCGTAAGTCCAACTCCCTGTACAGCGAGCGCCTCGAGACCAAGGCTAAGTCTAGTTATCTAGCTGTTCGAAGAGATTCCCCGCGTGGACCTGAACCCCCGGCGGCCCGACGACCTCTGCTCTCTGACCGAGGTCTTCAAAGCGATTGCCATCCATGCCAACGAAGTCTGGTGGAGCTGGGTAGAGAGACTTATGGATAACTTGGACCAGGGGCGTCCTACAGAGGGGCAGGCGTAGGTCCACACGGAGAATCCCCTCGGGTAGTAGAGCAATGTTTTCTTGGGGTATTTAGCTTTTATTTCTCCCTTCCCCGCGGACCATAATCTCAGTATATCTGGGAGCATGTAGCATAGGGAGGACCAGACCTGTCCGATCCCCAGCCCAGGAAGAAACGCAAGACTAAATCCCTCTGCCGTGTCCGCCTCCCAGAACTTATTCCAGCGGCAGTCACGGCGCTCCATCGTCGGCCGCAGTGTCCTCCTCCAGGCCAACGAGCAGACAGACCAGCCCAGCTTTGGGGCCGGGATCGACAGTAGAAGAGATCGGATACATCAGCTGAAGTTGTATACACCCGATCCGGTTCTTTGTTCCCTGCCCTTTGTGGACCGGCCATAACCATCTGCATCCCGATCTCTTTGACCAGATGAGACTCACCTCACTCCCCTTCCAATTCCTTCGTGATGCCTGCTTCTGCTCCAGATGTCCCCAGTCCAAGTCCATCCTCCAAGCCAGCCGCATACTGGGATAGCTTGTCCACTCTCTGGCTGACCAGAAGCGCTCTGCACGAGCTGCAACGGAGACTACATGCTCGAACACCCGCAAGCCGGAGGTGCTCTCGAACCACAGCGGCCCTTCTCCAGCAGTGTCCACCGCGCTGCAGACGAGAGATCCAACGGCTCTCGCGACGGGGAGGACCAGACCTGTCCGATCTTCGAGGCGTACGTATCGGTCCCCAGCCCAGGAAGAAACGCAAGACTAAATCCCTCCGCAGTGTCCGCCTCCCAGAATCGATTCCAGCGGCAGTCACGGCGCTCCATCGTCGGCCGCAATGCCCTCCGCCAGGCCAACGAGCAGGCAGACCAGTCAAATACCAGCCACGACAACCACGCCGTACAGCCTGAACTTCGAGCAGAACCTCGTCGACCACCAGATCTACCCTCCGCTGTACAATGCCCAACACAGCGGTACCGATGACAACGAACCCAGCAACGTCGGCGAGATCCGACGCCGACTGGCGGCGCCCCGGCCCTCCCTGGACGCATCATCCACACTCTCCAAGGTCGAATACCAGCGGTTCAGAAAAACCGCCTGGGCCGCCACACGGGGAGCAGACGTCAGGGCCTCCGTGTTCCCCTTCATCGAGGGAGCCTCCTCCTCTCCGCAACAATCCATCAGTCGCGACACCCACTTCACCAACCTCGCCCCGCTAACAGACGGGACCATCTCGCACGCAAAGCCGGACATCAGCCACGGCGCACGTCCTGACCAGCTACACCGCGAGATCCGCACCCAGCTCGGGCCCCTAGTCGTCCCCTCCGCCGACAACAGCTTCCCGCTGGCTCCCAACTTCCACGCCGAGGTCAAGGGCCCAGGCGGCGCGCCGGCCGTCGCTGTCCGACAGGCCTGCTACGACGGGGCGCTGAGCGCCAGAGCAATGGATGCGCTGCGGTCGTACGACCCGGTGGAGCACCAGCAGCAATACAACCAGAGCCAGAGCCAGAGCCAGAGCCAGAGCGACCAGCCCAGCTTGGGGCCGGGATCGACAGCGCAGACGGTCCCCGCCGACAACAACGCCTACGCCCTCACGGCAACCTACTCCGGCGGCCTGCTGAACCTGTTCGCCTCGCATTCAACGACGGCGTCTCTCGCGACGCCAGACGGCCCGCGCCGCCCGGAGTACACCATGACGCCGCTGCGGTCGTTCGCGCTCACCGACGACGTCGAGAGCTTCTGCGCTGGAGCGGCGGCGTATCGTAATGCCAGGGACTGGGCGGGCGAAGTGAGAGATGAAGCCATCGCACGGGCGAATCGGAGGCTTGAGGAGGCAAGGGCTGGTCGTCTCGACTCGGTGGTTGAGGAAGAATCGGTGGCGGGGCCTGGTTGAATGGAGAGAATAAGTTCAATAGGGCGGTAATTGTGCACGATAAACACAAAGGGATGGGCTGTCATAGAGGGTTCTGATTTTATGGAATTCAAAAGGGGGGGTGGGGGAAGACGATTGAACATACAATGAATATAAATATCAAGGATAATTACCTTAAGCGTAAGCGTCACCCTTCAGAGCTCTTAAAGCACGACCAGATCAGGAACGTGTTCGTAGTTTTGGCACGTAGAAGTCCTATTTAGAGGGCGCATGGGAAGGCGTGGAGACAGCATTTCTTTCGTTTCGTAATATTGCAAGGGAGGAACGGCGACCGAGAGAAAATTGACAAGAGGACGTTAAGACATGAGGACCGAAACTACCAATAGACTGAGATAGCGCTGCTCGCATGAATCGAAGGAACAGACAAACGAGATAGTTGTAGTACGAGTAGGTAGTGACAAAAAGAAAAGAAAAAAAAAAGAAAAGAAAAGAAACCCTGGTAGTCGAACCACAACCAATAAAGACGCCAATTCAAAGAACCATCGTAAACCATAGACAGGATCGAAGTCTGCTGTCTTCAGCACTGCACAAAAACACCGTAACCATGGGCGAGGTCATCATGAACAAATAAAGAAAGATAAATATAGAGGATGAGGGCGATTAATGCGACCTATGGGGTAAAGAGGATATGTGAGAAAGGGATGGCCGGAAATTCTAGGGGAACACATCAGCGGAACTCAATCGCAGGAGTGCAGCCGTGATCCTCGACATGTTTCAATTCCAACTGTTGATACCTGGGAGTTCAGTCAGTATATGCGTTGAAAATAACGGAATCATGGCATCAAACGTACTTCTCGCTCTTCGCGTGGAAGTAAATCCCGGTTACATCTCCCGCTACCTGGTTGAAGCAGATGTAGTAGAATCCCTCGAAGCTGGCGCCCGAGATAGACCTCACCCGATGGTCAGGGACGAGGAAGTATTCTTTCCATCGCATAAAAATATGCTCCCGCTGGGCAAAGTTCCGGTAGGTGAAATCAGGCCTCTTCGCCTGCTTGGCCAGCGGTCGCCACGCAGGAAATCTTGCCCAATGGTGCATATCGGTCTTCTCCGTAGCTCCCCATGCTTCATTCCGGGTCTTAAAGGTGTGTTTGGTGCCGATGATCTCTCCTTCGAAAAAGGTCGTCAAAGTGGGGTGATCTTCCGTGAGGCCTGTGCGGAAAGCCACCACCGATTAGACAAAATTGAGACATGTCGATTTGAGGCACGGATCATATCCAACATACCTTGAATGCGCAAGTATCCGCAGAGGTAGGACTCAACCATGTCCACATGTTTGATCTCGACATCGACGTTGTAGATCTGGCGGTCCGACTGCTGGGTACCTGTGAATTTGCTCCCCGGGCGCAGAAAGGAAGAGGTGTAATTCGGAAGAAGCTTCAGAGGATCAGCACGGGTCCCGCGACATGGTTTCAGCCCGGAAACTTACACGTATGTTGGAAAATTCGTAACTTAAAAGGGAGGCACTGGAGGGAGTGTTGGTGGAACGTGACTGGTCGCCGGTAGGGCTCAATCTGCCGGCAACGGGCTCGTCGTCGGGTTTGGCAGAGTCCTTCATGGGTGCGCCCGGGGTGTTTAACGGGTCCGAGACCGTGTGGGCGATAGCATCGTCCGAGCGGATCAGCGCAGACTGCGCGGATGCAATGGCCCGGGAGAGCGCATTATCAGGAGTCTCGCCCTCCGCGGTCGGAGAAGATTCGGGTGACTCTCGCCACAACGATGGCCTCTCTAACTCGGGTGGACAGGTGGTGCGAGCAGAAATGTCATCCAGGATTGATGTGGCATCCAGGCGTGGTGTGTTGTCACTCGGGGTCGGCATTGAGGCGAGTTAGGCCAAGGGAGGAGATGACATCGGATCCGACTAGTAAACTGGCACGAAGTAAGGGGAGGGCGACGGAGGAGGGGGAGGGAGGGCACAGAGACGAGATTTCAGGACGGCAACCACAACAACGAACGAGAGGAAGGATAAACGACGGGAGACAGGAGCAGAGGGGAAAAGTACAGAAGAAGGGAACGAAGGGAATTGTAGAAGAAGAGCAAGTCAAGTGCCGTTCAGTCTGGGGCGGGAAGACGCCCTGCCCAAACCGGTTAAGCCCGTGGATCATGCGAGCGCGGGGGAGGCAAACGGGCGCCTGAGGCGGTTAATTGTGCCCGTCCGGATTCCCGCAGACTCAGGCACCCACATTGCCCCTTTGGGCTGGGCCCTGCATGCTCGGAGGGATTCTACGGCACTTCCTCCGTACAACTTACGGTGTACTACGCTTCTTCTGGATGGAGTCGATCGAAGTACCTTACAGATCATCTATCGGCGCGTGGTTCAAATCGATGGGTATTGTTTCTCAATCTTGCATGGCGTCATCACCGCCTGGCGACGTAGTTCTCTCTCGCCTGCGCCTCCCCAAACGCCGGGTTTTTGCCTCCTCCAGTTTCAGCCGGTCGTGTCGATCATTATCATTAGATGGGTTTGATCTGTAGTTGCCTCTGATTAGATCCTGACCTCCCTGTACACTCGGCACCTGTCCTGCTTACCTTGAAATGGAGAGAAATCAGAGAGAAAATGAGAGCCTTCAGATCTTGCACGAGGTAGTAGAACACCCGGAGACCCTCGGGATCTGACGATTCGGTCACATCCACCAACGAGCCGATTTTCGCGGTCTGCACGTTGTCAGAATCAATGAAATATAGATAATCCCAGGTCATGCCCGGCAACGCACCTCGAACGAGATATGTTCATTGCCAATTCGGATTTCCAGCTCCTGTCGTCCGTCCTTGTTCTTCTGGGGCCATTTGGAGTCGTCCTCCCTGGGTCGCATTAGCATCCACCCTCTCGTTCGATTCACTTCTCGAATATAGATAACTGCCGTACTTAATGATCTCGCTCTCCTTGATAATGCGCTTGACCTCCTGGATCATCGCCGCGCTCACACACACTGTATCGTGTCAGAGACCATTCGTCTTCGTGTCGATCGCAGGGACTTACTCTCTTTGCGGATCAGAGAGTCATTGCGGTAGTTGGAGTTGTTGGCGTACCGCACCGCGGCACTACGGCCATCACCTAAAGTGCGAAAGTCGAACTCTGCAGTCGCATTAGCAGTCGCGGCGAAAGACACCGACATTGGCGCAGACATACCCAGGAATTCATGTCCGAACCGCCCAGAGTGACCTGAGCTGCGGAACTGTCAGCAGCGGAGGAAACCTGGGCCTTGCACAGATTGATCTTACTAGTATCGGAGATAGAAGGGTTCGTTCTGATTCGACATGGTCGCGAGAAACAGAAACAAGCAGGGTGGTGGAGGGATTACTCGCGGCAGAGAGTCGGTCGAACAATACGGCGGAGGTTTGCAGGGTTGGGTCGGGCTTAGTCATCCACACACTCCGGACAGCTTGCGCTCCGCCGCGCAAATGGCCAGGCTGGTTTGGTCCTCCAAGTCCCTCCCCGGATTACAACATTTGCGCTGATGAATGCAAGGCCGGTGAGGGGAGTCGAATTGATTTAATATAACCTCCTTCCGTTCCCTGCGGCTTCTTCCCGGAGACTCCTTCTGGTTGGTCCCCCCTCGACCCTCCCCTGACTCGGCGGACCCAAACAGTTGTTGTATTGACCACATTTAGCTCTCCTTAGCACACCGTTCCCCCCCATTACGATCGCTTTCCACACTCAGTCACCATGGCGTCGTTTTTAGAAAACGCGTACAGCTTGATCCATTTGGATAATACTGCAGACCAGCCTACCCTGCAGGAGCTGAAATTGCAGCTGGAGAAGGGCACTGATGAGACGAAGTTGGACACAATGAGACAGATCATTACGATCATGCTCAATGGGGATCCCCTGTCTCAACTCCTGATGCACATCATTCGGTTTGTGATGCCGTCGCGGAGCAAGCCTCTCAAGAAACTGCTATATTTCTACTACGAGATCTGCCCCAAACTCGACGCGAATGGCAAGTTGAAGCAAGAGATGATCCTGGTGTGGTAAGAACCCATCGCTCCCTCTCTCCCTGCTCCCTCCCCGCCTGTTTCTATCATGCCTGACCGTCTACTCTGTGCAGTAACGGCATCCGTAATGACCTGCAGCATCCCAACGAGTACGTGCGAGGCAACACCCTGCGCTTCCTCTGCAAGCTCCGAGAACCGGAACTCATCGAACCCCTCCTTTCATCCGCACGCTCATGCTTGGAGCACCGCCATGCCTACGTGAGAAAGAACGCCGTCTGGGCCGTCGCCTCGATCTTCCAGCATTCGGAATCGCTCATCCCGGATGCCCCCGAACTCATCCAAACATTCCTCGAAACCGAGACCGACGGAACCTGCAAGCGCAATGCCTTTGCCGCTTTGATGTCTATCAGCCACCAGAAGGCCCTCGAGTACCTGGCTTCGACATTTGACAGCATTCCGAACACCGATGAACTTCTCCAGCTGGTGGAACTTGAATTCATCCGCAAGGATGCGGTCCAGAACACGCAGAACAAGGTAGGTCTGGGGGGAGAATTCATTCGGTCGGCTCGATGGTCCGCTAACGGCTGACAGGCGAGATACTTGCGGTTGATCTTCGATCTCCTTGATGCGTCGACAAGCACTGTGATCTACGAGGCTGCCACGTCTCTTACGGCACTCACCAGTAACCCCGTCGCTGTGAAGGCTGCGGCGGGCAAGTTGATCGAACTGTGCATTCGGGAGGCCGACAACAACGTCAAGCTGATCGTTCTCGACCGGGTCGACCAACTACGAATTCGCAATGAGGGTGTTCTGGATGACCTTACCATGGAGATCCTGCGTGTTCTCTCGAGCCCGGATATCGACGTCCGACGCAAGGCCCTGAGCATTGCCTTGGAAATGGTCACTAGCAAGAACGTGGAAGAGATTGTCATGCTCCTTAAGAAGGAACTTGCGAAGACGGTTGATGAGCAGTATGAAAAGGTGGGCATATCACTATGCTGGGGGTTACGGGCTCTTGCTGACAACGGTAACAGAACAGCGAATATCGTCAACTCATCATCCAATCGATACACACCTGCGCCATCAAGTTCTCGGAAATTGCCGCCAGCGTGGTTGACCTCCTGATGGATTTCATTGCGGACTTCAACAACAACTCGGCCGTCGACGTTATCTCCTTCGTCAAGGAGGTCGTCGAGAAGTTCCCCGGATTGCGAGCCTCTATCGTCGATCGCTTGGTTTCGACTTTGAGTGAGGTCCGGGCCGGCAAGGTCTACCGCGGAGTTCTGTGGGTTGTGGGAGAATACTCGCTGGAGGAGAAGGATATCCGCGAGGCCTGGAAGCGCATCAGAGCAAGCCTGGGAGAGATCCCTATTCTGGCCTCGGAACAGCGTCTCCTCGAAGAAGTCCCCGACGAGCATGTCATCCAAGAACAAGTCAACGGTCATGCCAAGTCATCGGCGCCCTCTGGCTCGCGAAAGGTCCTGGCCGACGGTACCTATGCGACTGAGAATGCCCTGACCAGCCAGTCTGCCGCCGCCGCCAGACTTGCGGCCGTCAAGGCTGCCCAAAAGCCCCCTCTCCGTCAACTGATCCTTGACGGCGATTTCTACTTGGCCACCGTTCTTTCTTCCACGCTGACCAAGCTGGTGATGCGCCACTCCGAGGTTTCTGAAGACGCCGCTCGAACTAACGCTCTGCGCGCGGAGGCGATGCTGATCATGATCTCCATCATCCGTGTCGGCCAGTCGCAATTCGTCAAGGCCCCCATCGACGAAGACTCCGTGGACCGTATCATGCTGTGCGTGCGCTCTCTCGCCGAATTCTCGCAGAAGAAGGACCTGGAGACTTCCTTCCTGGAAGACACGCGGAAGGCATTCCGTGCGATGGTTCAGGTCGAGGATAAGAAGCGGGAGGACAAGGAGGCCTCCGAGAAGGCCAAGAGTGCCGTCCAAATCGACGACGCCATTCCCATTCGCCAGTTCACGAAGAAGAACGAGGCGGAGGGCGCAGAGGAGATCGAGCTCGACCTGGCCAAGGCCACCGGCGGTGACTCGACCGTGGAGACCGCGGCTTCGAAACTGAGCCGGGTGGTGCAGCTGACTGGCTTTTCGGACCCCGTCTATGCCGAAGCCTACGTCACCGTCCACCAGTTTGATATCGTTCTGGATGTGCTTCTGGTCAACCAGACCCTGGAGACCCTGCAGAACCTGTCGGTCGAGTTCGCCACGCTCGGAGACCTGAAGGTCGTCGAGCGACCGGCCACGCACAACCTCGGACCCCGCGACTTCTTGAACGTGCAGGCTACGATCAAGGTGTCGTCGACGGATACCGGGGTGATCTTCGGCAACATCGTGTACGACGGCGCCAGCTCGACGGAAACGCACGTTGTCATCCTGAACGACATTCATGCCGACATCATGGACTACATCCAGCCCGCCCACTGCACCGAGACCCAGTTCCGCACGATGTGGACCGAATTCGAGTGGGAGAACAAGGTGAACATCAACTCCAAGGCGAAGGATCTTCGCGAGTTCCTCAAGCAGCTCATGGAGAGCACCAACATGGCCTGCTTGACACCGGACGCCTCGCTGAAGGGAGATTGCCGCTTCTTGAGTGCGAACCTATACGCCCGGAGTGTATTTGGTAAGTGCCGACTCTATTTTCTTTGCCCCGAACTGTTTGCTAACTTGACCCAGGTGAGGACGCTTTGGCGAACCTGAGCATCGAGAAGGAGGGCGACGATGGGCCGATCACCGGTTTTGTGCGGATAAGAAGTCGGTCGCAGGGACTGGCGCTGAGCCTGGGATCCCTCAAGGGCCTCAAGGCGTCGACTGCGTAAAGGAAGCGTCTTGTTCCCTCTCCTCTTGAATAGTGACTAACCCAAGTACCCTTTATCATATTCTCTCATATTATTTTCCTGATTCGACTTATCCGCGACCGTTTCTTTCCCCGCTGTTTCTGACGGATGAATTTGTTAACTATACGCTTTCATTTTTTGTGTTGTACTGGATGAGAAAAGACTCTTTTTCAATTGAAGCATTACAGTTTAATAGACCGTGTCTCATGTCTTGTATCCTTTCTAGATGTTCTAGATGTATTCAAATCTGATGAATGATGGACGTGTCTCTTTTCGCGGTGGCGCATCCCGGTCGCATCGGGAATGCAACGGTTGTCCAGGTGGAACAGACTTGGAATCCTGAGATGTAGAAATTGGCGATCATTTGGGGGGAACAGAGTCGGATTCAATCGGGCGCAGGTGGTGGCCGATGCATGCGGAAAGTCGAACGTCCTCGGGAAGTGAAAGGAAATGCCACGGGGAAGTATGCGTAGGCTTGTAACACCTCGAGCTTGACTCACGAGTCTGGCATAACAAAGTAAGATATCAGCAATGGAATCCCCAATTCTCAGCTCCAATATCGACCAGACTAGGGGCAGAACGACTGGGGAAAGTGGAACCGATTCCCAGACATCGAAGCGAACCAGAAATGCGCCTTAATTAATCTCGTGATGGCATTCATAAGCAAATTCACAAAAATTAGTCTGCCGTCCTCCTTCCTCCCCTTCCTTGCCACGCTTCATCCTCTTTCGCCCTCCTCCCTCTTCTTTATCATCCTTTCCGTGTGTTCCTGTTCGATTCTCTTTGTGCGGTGGCTGTACGATGTTCTCTGTCCCCCCGAGAACATAATGACCTCGCCCACCCATGACGCTGCGCGTCCGTCCTTCAACAATGCGGATCAGCCGGATTCCCAACACCAATTGCTGCAGCACGATTCGACCCTGACGGTAGCACAGTCCGTCTCCCTTACCTTGAGCAGCGACTCCCTTCTCGTCGCCGGTATGTTGCCGCTAGCCAATGGCTGTCACCGTGCTGGCAGGCTCCCCCTTCTAACCGAACCTTGTTCTTTCTAGATGAGCGTTCCTCCACGCGTACTTCGAGTCGCGCATGCTGCGGGTTACTGCCCAAGTCGTGTATGCTTGATTGATTTTTCTTTTATTTCCGTCTGATTGTTTTCCGCGCTGTCCGAGAAGGTAATTCGGAATCGCTGACATTCTCGCCCGCTTCTCAGCAACCAAGGATACCCATGCCATCTCGTTCTATAATATATTGGACGCCGATCTTTCCCCGGCGGGCTTGACCATTACCTATGCGGAGCATTCAACTAAAGATGACGTGTCCGTAACTGCGCTTCAGTACCCGATCGCCGACGAGGAAAAGGCAAACGTCGAGGCCTGGATCACCCGATTGCTGGACCTGGCATATGGCAACGCACAACGATATAAGAGGCTCAAGGTGCTTGTCAATCCCTTTGGAGGCAAAGGAGGCGCCGTGAAATTGTATCAGAATTATGCGGCGTCCATCTTTGCCGCGGCCCGCTGCAAGGTGGATGTTCAAGAAACGACGCACTCCGGCCACGCCACCGAAATCACAGAGAAAATCGACATCGATGCCTACGATGCGATCGTCTGTTGTTCCGGTGATGGGCTCCCGTACGAAGTCTTCAACGGTCTGGCGAAGAAGCCAAATGCTGGGGAAGCCTTGAGCAAAGTGGCTGTTGCGTTAATACCGTGTGGCTCGGGAAATGCGATGACCTGGAACCTCAGCGGAACGGGCAGCGTGTCTGTGGCGGCACTCGCCATAGTTAAAGGATTACGAACACCAATGGATCTTGCCTCGATCACGCAAGGGCAAACTCGCACTTTGTCGTTCCTGTCGCAGTCTTTCGGCATCATCGCGGAGTGCGACCTGGGAACCGATAACATCCGATGGATGGGTGCTCATCGATTCACGTACGGATTCCTTGTACGGATCGTGAAGAGTGCTGTTTGGCCGTGCGATCTTGCTGTTAAGGTGGAAATCGACGACAAAAAAGCCATCAAGGATCATTATACTGCATACGCGAACAGTGTCCCTCCACTCCGTTCCCCCCAAGAGACTGCTGGACGGTCCGGGGGCCTTCCCGAGCTGAAGTACGGCACTGTGCAGGATGACCTCCCCAAGGACTGGGAAGTCATTCCGTCCGAGACGCTGGGCAACTTTTACGCCGGCAATATGGCCATCATGTCCAAGGACACCAACTTCTTTCCGGCCTCGTTGCCTAATGACGGATTGATGGACGTCGTCACTATCGACGGAACTCTCGGAGTCTCGAAGTCCCTCAAAATGATGACAGCAATCCCTGAGGGGAACTTTTTCGATATGCCGGAAGTCAACGTCCGTAAGGCGACCGCGTATCGTCTCGTTCCTCGAGAGAAGGAAGGATATATCAGCGTGGATGGCGAGCGAATTCCCTTTGAAGCTTTCCAGGTTGAGATCCACAAAGGACTGGGCACCGTCCTATCCAAGTCGGGACACCTCTACGAAGCAGAGGGGCCCAAGCCATGATATAAAAGAAATTTACTTGTCCGGGTCTTGCGACAGACATAGAATAGAAAGAACCCGGACTCCTGGCTTTGGGGAGATGTGTTTATATAGCTGCTGATCTTCGCACTTTTTGATACCCTCGCGCAAGAATATTTCATCAAGCACTGGCCTGCTTTGTATGTACAGCTGAATTGACGTTGTTGTAAAAACGCTGGACTTTCTATCCTTGCATATGTACTTCGTAGTCTCATCAAGCATTTCAAACACGGGTTTAACCGTCATGATCATTGTCTATAATGCCATTCGGCGATAAAACGAATTTTGTCTGGACTAGATATACAGCCGCTCCCCAGACGCCTCGAGAATTAATTTTTGGCACCTCAATTAATCATCGAAACCACCCCACTCGATCTCACTGTCCTCGTCGTCATCCTCCTCCTGAACGGGACGGGTCTTGAATCCCCATTCCACCAACCGATCGTCATTCAGCGTCTCCGCCGCCCTCGTTCTCACCGGCTTGTACGGGCAGTCCGTCCGCAACTTCTCAATGGGCCGCAGCAACAGCTCCATGGGCACCTCGCCCTTGGGTTTCCTCGACTGAGGCTCCTCCTCACCATCCACCTCCTCATCAAACTCAAGCACCTTCTCCAACTCATCGATCCAGATATCCATGATATGATAGCGCAGCCCATCCGGTCCATGCGGCATCGGCACGTAATCATTCGCCTCGTCCGCCGCCGGCTGGTCCGGATCAAAGTTCAACGGACAGAGCGGGCCCTCCTCGATAATCGACAGGTAGGACTCGAGATCGGCCCATTTCTGCGCGCCATCGCCATTCGCCGCAGCGTCCTCTTTCTCCTCGTCCTCGTCCTCCGCCTCAGCCTGGGCCTTCTTCTTGCCCTTCGACCGCTTGTTCTTCTCCTTCTTGCCGCTGTCCTGGCGCTTGCGCTTCTTGTTCGTCTCCTCCTGCGCCTGCGTCTTGGCGCCCTTCACGAACACCTCGAAGGCAACCCCCACGTAGCATCGGATCAGGAAGAGGTATTTGTCGAGACGCAGCCGGTCCAGCGAGTGGAAGTCGCGCCCGATCGTGATCCAGAAGGCGCGCAGGAACCGCTGCAGCGTGGCGCGCGGCAGGGTCGGAACGAGGGCGTACGAGAGATTGCGCGCGAGGGCTTGCTGTGTGAGGGGGCGGTCGGAGTGGTAGAAGCCTAGAGGATGGGGGGGTTAGCTATGAGGGGAATCGGGCTTGGGTTGTCTTTCTCGGTTTTGTCGTGTAGAGCACTAGTGAAAAAGAGTGGAGGGTACAGAAAAGAAGGAGTAGAAGGAAGACTAGACGTACAGAAGAAGAGACCCTTCCATAGTTTCAGGAGTTCGATAAGAGACAGGTCGGTTCTGGAGCGCAGGAAGAGAGTCAGGGACTCGGTTGCTTTGTCGCGAGTGCGTCGGTCTAATGGACAAGGACATTGTCAGTATATTGATCCTATGACCGGTGGTCAATTGGTAGGAAACATACCGCTTGAGGCAAGCTCCCTGACAAAGGGAGTCTTTTGTAGATCCGTCATGATCTTTGTAGACTATGCGTTTGGGTTTTCCTCAGTATAGATTGATTCAGTTGCAAGCCAGATGGAATTCGTCTGGGTTGATGTGTAGTATCGCGGGTATTAGTCCATCCAAATGGCCCGGATTTCAAGGTGTGCCACTGCGAATGTAGGTGTTGACGTTGAACCTCAAAAATTCATCAAGTGCTATCGCGATTGCGGCCATAATCTTTTTTTTTTTTTTGAGGATGTTTGGCCTGTTTGCTCGGGCAGTATGCCTGAGGCACGATAGCTTTTGCTTTCGGTTAGACCGAATAGCTAAATCGGTGCAAGTGGGGCAGCACGGGGAAGATGAGTCAGCCAGGCACTCGAGTCAGGTGATCCAGATCCAATTCATCGTCTTCGATCCATTCATTCACTATTCATCCAATCCATTCCATCTATTGAACCTATTGAACCGTATTCATCACTACTCTTTGTTGGGGGGCTTGATGACCAACTTTAAAATCACTACTCGTACTAGCTGAAATGCCACCATCGGTTTTTCGTCTATTGGATTTCGGATGCTATTGATCGCCTAGCGAATTCCAGTTTGTGGCAGCACGCCCGCTCAAGCGCCAATAATCCCGAGTTCCGCAGCCATTCGTGCCAAGAATTGGTATCTCATCGGGGCTAACGGGCGATGAACACATCTTCCGTGATGATCATGATGCAGACCCTATCCGATGCCCAGTGTCTATCTCTGTCTCGAATACGGAATACGGATGGAGCCAGCTGCGAGTCCTCGGATTGGCCAGTTGTGGATCTAGGCCAGCGGATGTTTTCGTTCCCGAGAGCCCGTGCCGCCTTCTGCCTGTCCTACTACTGCGTAGGTATGCTGCTCGGGCATGGTCTAATCCACACTTAGCGTGACATTGCACATCGCTTCGGAATCGGTACCTTCGAGCAACATGAACGGTTGTGCATAAGTATGCGCGGAAGGGATCGAGCTCCCGACCCCCGATACTCCTCATTAAAGTGTATCCAATTTTATCAGTTCCGATGCCGAAGATCTAGAAACGTTCTGGTCCGGGGCCGCATCCGGCACGTCCACATTCCTTCCATTCCACCCACTTTCACTTGGCTGGTGCCGGTCTCTCATGGCATTCCAACGATTCGGATGGCTCGAAGCAAACCCGAGAGCTCAGATTTTATCCGTGCAAAACTCCACCACGTAGTTACACAAAGAAGATAGTCTGCCGTCATGACATCACCACTCACGTATTGGGCGAATCGAATCCAGGGGCGCCCTGGGTTTCGCGTACGATGCTATCGATTTTACTGATCGGGCTCCTTGCTCTTAAAATTCTCCAATCATTCCCTAGTCTGCCTATCATTTGTCGCCGATCTTCTCACATGATGTGGCGTGGATAGGACAGAGCAAAGGTTAGATATTAACTAGCGATTGACCCCCTGTATTCCTGGCATTCTTTACTTTATTTTTTGGGCACTGGCTTTCCCTCCTTGCTAGTACGGTCTTATATTTTCTGTTCACTGTGCTACACTTCCTCGTCTTACCGTTTTAGGGTTTGTGTAGGGCTTTTGTGCCCAGATCGACTGTCCAAGATGGCTCAGGACGATGAGAACAGCATCTCCTCTGGGTCTACCTCCAGCCATACCGCGCATGAGAATGAGATCCAAGAGGAGCCTCCGGTTTCTCGTCGGCAATCGAGAGTCGATCGTGATGGCAGCAAGGTCTTCGAGAACATGAGTCCGGAGGAAAGAGAGCAGCTAACTCGCATCGCCTCGAGTTTCCCCAAGCGCCGAGCAACTGATTTAGGTACCGGTGGGACAGCTCTAGAGCGGAAGGATACCATCGAAGAAATGGACGACGACCATCCTGCGTTCGACCCTAACAGCGGACAGTTCGATCAGCGGAAATGGGTCCGCAAGATGCTGAAGTTGATGGATCGACAGGGCCTTTCGCGCCCTGCTTCCACCGGCGTTGCCTTCCAGAATCTTAACGTCTCCGGATCCGGGTCTGCATTGCAGTATCAAAGCAGTGTGAGCTCTATGCTGATGGCTCCACTACGCCCCCAGGAATACCTTAGCTTCGCCCGACGATCTCCCGAGAAGCATATTCTGCGCAATTTCGACGGACTTCTTCAGAGTGGTGAACTACTCATCGTCTTGGGTAGGCCGGGTAGTGGGTGCTCGACATTCCTCAAGACACTGTGTGGAGAAATGCATGGGCTGAAGCTTCGAAAGAGCTCGGAAATCCAATACAATGGCATCTCGATGGAACGAATGCACAAAGAGTTCAAGGGCGAAGTGCTGTACAACCAGGAAGTGGATAAGCATTTCCCGCATTTGACTGTTGGTCAGACGCTGGAATTCGCTGCCGCGGCGAGAACGCCTGAGGTTCGACTGAGTGGCATTGGACGACAGCAGTATGCGAAGTATATCTCGCAAATTGTCATGACTGTGTTCGGACTGTCGCACACGTATAACACGAAGGGTACGTATACTACCTCGGGGGAACAAGCAGAATCTGGTTTACTTCTTATCTGTGCCTCTAACATCAAATATAGTTGGAGATGACTACATCAGAGGTGTCTCAGGAGGTGAACGGAAGCGAGTCAGGTTCGTGTGCCCATGTCCTCTACGTCGCTTGTTAGCTAACTTCCTACAGTATTGCCGAGATGGCACGTAAGTTATTTGTCCGCACGTAGTTGCGGTTTCGCGCTAATTGTCTCTAGTGTCTGGGGCGCCTCTCGCAGCGTGGGATAACAGTACTCGGGGTCTTGATTCCGCAAGTGCCCTGGAGTTTGTCAAGGCACTGCGTGTTTCGTCCGATCTCGCTGGAACCTGTCACGCCGTCGCCATTTACCAGGCTTCACAGGCCATCTATGATATCTTCGACAAAGCCATCGTTTTGTATGAAGGCCGTCAGATCTTTTTCGGGCCATGCGAAGAGGCTAGAGATTACTTCATCGAAATGGGCTGGCACTGCCCCCCGCGTCAAACGACCGGTGATTTCTTGACATCCGTGACCAACCCTCAAGAGCGCCAAGTGCGGAGGGGGATGGAAAACAGGGTCCCTCGCACACCAGATGATTTTGAGAAGTATTGGAAGAACAGTCCTCAATATGCCAGGCTCTGCAGGGAAATCGAGCAGTATCGTCAGGATTTCCCTCCCGGAGGAGAATCAGAGCAGGCGTTTAGCCAGATGAAGAAGCTGCGGCAGGCAAAACACGTCCGGCCTGAGAGTCCTTATGTCATTTCGGTTCTGATGCAGATCAAGCTTTGCACAATGAGGGCTTATCAAAGGTTAGCTCTTTCATTACTGTTTTGCTGTGCAAGTTTCTCATGCTAATGATGTTAGGATATGGAACGATAAACCTTCTACCCTGACCACGCTCATCGGGCGAAGCATTATGGCTCTTATTATTGGCTCTATATACTATGGGTGAGTGCTCCCTGCAGGGTCTGTCACTTCAGTCTAATGTTCTCTAGGACTCCAAATGCCACCGCTGGGTTTCAGAGTAAGGGCGCTGCCCTTTTCTTTGCCGTTTTGTATGTTAAACTCCCTCGGTCAACCGGATAGAATCGTCGGCTAATTTTTATTTCAGGATGAATGCACTTATCAGTATCACGGAAATCAATTCGCTCTATGATCAACGGCCTATCGTCGAGAAACAGGCCTCGTACGCCTTTGTCCATCCCTTCGCGGAAGCACTCGGTGGCGTTGTCTCTGATATTCCGGTCAAGTTCTTCGCGGCTGTCGTGTTTAACATCATCTTCTATTTCTTGGTTGGATTGGTAAGTGCAGAATAAGAGCAAGGGAAATCATGCCCGTCACTAATACTGGGATCTAGAGATATGAGCCGTCTCAATTCTTCATATTCTTTTTGTTCACATTCCTAAGCACACTTGCAATGTCAGGAATCTTCCGAACGCTGGCTGCAGCAACCAAGACGCTCGCGCAAGCAATGTCCATCGCCGGTGTGATCGTCTTGGCTATCGTCATCTATACAGGCTTCGTGATACCTGTGCCACAGATGTCCTCTATTCCTTGGTTCAGCTGGATCAGATGGCTCAACCCTGTCTTTTATACTTACGAGTCAATGATTGCAAACGAGTTCCACGGTCGACGCTTCACGTGCTCGGAGTTCGTGCCGGCGTATCCCAACCTGAGTGGCAATTCTTTCATATGCTCTATCAGAGGCTCTGTGGCAGGCGAAAGGACCGTGTCTGGGGATGCCTATATCGGATCGCAATATACGTACACATATGCGCATGAATGGCGGAACCTCGGCATCCTGATCGGATTCTGGATCTTTTTCACGGCACTGTACTTGGTGGCTACTGAAATCAACTCGGCAACCTCATCGAAGGCCGAATTCTTGGTGTTTCGACGAGGCCATGTTCCGGCCTACATGCGCAACATCGACAAAGATCAGGGCGATAAAGAGTCAGCGGTAGTCAGTCAGCCTGAAAAAGGTGCTCATGAAGAAGAGGATACGGCTGTGATTCCGAAGCAACACAGCGTCTTCACATGGCAGGATGTCTGCTACGATATACCCGTCAAGGGAGGTCAACGGCGTCTGCTGGATAATGTCACGGGGTGGGTGAAACCCGGTACTCTCACGGCCCTGATGGGTGTCTCTGGAGCAGGCAAGACAACTCTTCTCGACGTTTTGGCCAAGCGTGTTTCAATCGGCGTCGTGACCGGAGACATGCTGGTGGATGGAAAAGCTCTGGACAATAGTTTCCAGAGAAAAACCGGATACGTGCAGCAGCAAGATCTGCATCTTCCCACGACCACCGTTAGAGAGGCATTGCGTTTCAGTGCAGTCCTACGCCAGCCGAAGTCTGTCCCCAAGGCCGAAAAGTACAAGTACGTCGAGGAGGTTATTGAGATGCTTGGTATGCAGGACTTCGCGAGTGCCATCGTCGGAACGCCAGGTGAAGGGTTAAACGTTGAACAGCGGAAGCTGTTGACTATTGGGGTTGAACTGGCCGCGAAACCCGCGTTGCTGATCTTCCTGGACGAACCGACCAGTGGTCTGGACTCTCAAAGTTCGTGGTCGATTATTGCTTTTCTGCGAAAACTGGCAGACCACGGTCAGGCGGTGTTGTCGACAATCCATCAGCCCAGTGCGCTCTTGTTCCAGCAGTTTGATCGTCTTCTTTTCCTGGCCAAGGGCGGTCGAACCGTCTATTTTGGGGATATCGGAGACCAGTCTCGGACCTTGCTTGATTACTTTGAAGGCAACGGGGCGAGAGAGTGTGGTGAATCGGAAAATGTAAGTCTCCCTTCATCCATTTGGATAGGATAGTTTATACTAACGTGAGAAGCCGGCTGAGTATATGCTGGAGATTATTGGGGCTGGTGCATCTGGCAAGGCCACTAAGGACTGGGCTCTTGTCTGGAACGAGAGTCAACAAGCTAGGGACGTGGCAGGTGAAGTCGACCGAATCCATCGAGATCGCGCGTCCGCATCCAACGAAGAGAACGACACTACCAAGCAGGCCCAGCAGGCAGAATATGCTATGCCGTTTACCTCCCAGCTGTGGTACGTCACCTATCGTGTCTTCCAGCAGTACTGGCGCGAGCCCTACTATGTCTATGCCAAACTCATCCTGGCCACCGCATCCTCGCTTTTCATTGGTTTTACGTTCTTCAAGCCCGATAGCTCCCAGCAGGGGTTCCAGGATGTTTTGTTCAGTGCGTTCATGATGACTTCCATCTTCTCGACTTTGGTGCAACAGTAAGTCTTATCGATCTCCATTCTCCGATGTCTCCCGTTCAATTCCCGCTCACGGTTTATTAGAATCATGCCCAAGTTCGTGGTCCAGCGATCACTATACGAGGTTCGAGAGAGGCCATCAAAGGCGTACTCCTGGGCCGCGTTCCTGATTGCCAATGTTCTCGTCGAAATCCCCTACCAAGTCCTCGCTGCAATCATCGCCTACGCATCGTACTACTACCCCGTCTACGGAGCCAACCAAGCACCGCATCGCCAAGGACTCATGCTTCTCTTGATCATGCAATTCTACATCTTCACCTCGACGTTCGCCTCGTTCATTATCTCCGCACTCCCCGATGCCGAGACAGGCGGCACCATCGCCACCCTCCTGTTCATGATGACTCTTGTCTTCAACGGCGTGATGCAACCCCCCAACGCCCTCCCGGGCTTCTGGATCTTCATGTACCGCGTCTCACCCCTGACTTATCTGATTGCCGGCATCACCGCGACAGGGTTACACGGCCGAGCGATCGAGTGCGCCCAAGAGGAACTCAGCATCTTCGATCCCCCAAGCGGCCAGTCTTGCGGCCAGTACCTAGCCGCCTACCTACAGGCCGCCCCAGGCCAGCTGTACAACCCAAACGCGACCCAGGGGTGCGAGTACTGTCAGCTCCGCAACGCAGATCAGTACCTGGCCAGTTCAAATATCTGTACGTCCCTTCCCCTCTTCCATTGTCCCATTAAACCCATCCCACTGACCAATCTCACTGTCTAGCCTACGGCGAACGCTGGCGCAACTTCGGTATCGGATGGGCCTACATTGGCTTCAACATCCTGGGCACCGTCCTGCTGTACTACATGTTCCGCGTCAAACACTACAACCCCACCTCTCTGGTCCGGGGGGTCGTGCGCGGCGCGAAATTCATCTGTCGCGTGTTCAAGCGACGATCGGGCGAAACGCCCAAGGGACGAGAGGCGGAGAATGGTCGGTTGGTGTGAGTGAGTGCAGGTGTGAGTGGAGTGTGTGTGGGAGGTATATTTCGTTGCCCTGCCCGACGGGGTAGGGTTATCATCAACGCTATTGGTTTGAGTTGAGTTTGTAGAACAACGATGGTTCTGGAGGTTCAAATAACTAAAATAATGAATTAGTTTACTAGGGATAACTTCATAAATTAATGGAGTATTCATTATTTACAAGAAAGAAAGGATTTAGGGGTTTATATGATCTTATAATCTTAGGGACCGCGATTAAAGTGCGTATATATCTTTCTTATTAGTGTCCGCCGTACTTTCTGCTAAATTGCATTAGTTCATCTTATTTATCTGTTGCTGCCTATGCGCCCAGTTGTATTACAGAGATCTGCAGATCCATCCAATTATGGGGCAACTTTATTTAGAATTATAGCCTCAGTAAAGCATAAAAGAGTAGGTAACACGGTTGTCTACAAGTACTATAGCTCCACATCATTACCCTAATCCTAATACCAAAAACTATCTGGGTTCCAAGCGAATCCTCTACAACTCAGCGGACATTAAGATTGAGAAAATAATTTAGACTCAGCTAGCTCACGCAGCACCTTAGACATCATCCATCCTACCTTAATCTGGTGGGGGTGGTTGACTTTGATTATACTCTTGATGATTGAAGTCTAAATATGCTCGGAGCTTGTTCTCTTCGACTAGGTAGTCATGTATTGAGGCGCAAGTTATATTATCCTTGAGCTGGGAAAGTCGACATGCCCGCAATGAAAATCTTCTACATAGCCAAGCCTTGATACCGGGCACAACGAGCATCAATAGACAATATGAGGGTCCATTGAGTATTTCATGAAGAAGGAGAATCTTATCTTCCAATCTTTTTAATGTTTTTGTGCGTGATTTGCGTGTCTTGCTTTGTATATGACAAGCTTTTGGTGTGTTTTCCATGGTACCAAGCGCCACATCCCCCTCCCAAATAGCATTTGAGTGGCAAGATCTAGGTATTTGAGCTAATAAGTGAGGATAGAATCTATGGTCCGGGCTATGTTGATTGGACAGATATGAGGAGGGTGTCCAAAGGGTTGTGTGAATCCCTGGTAGGGAAGATAGTTCCTCGAGGAGCCGATCACACCTTTTCAGCAAACTGGAATGCGATATAGTTAATTGGAGCTTCACTCGATTATTAATTTTACTTCGAGACCTGGTGAATAAGGATGGCTGGAGAAATGTACCTCACCAATGCCATGTGTGGTCTAAAGTTTTCCATATATGTAACCCTAACAGCGAAGTGGGAGGTGTAAACTTGCCCAGCTTATCTTCTCCAGAGCTTGATATTAACTGCTTCCCTCATTTTCTCACCTGGCCTTGCACCCGAATTCAAATTTCTTTTTTTTAAGATTTATACCAACATGACTGTTCTTACAACCGAAGAATTCCAACTCACCAAGGACGCCGTCACGTTAGGACATGCCCTAACTCCGCTGCTCGAGCAGGCCGCCTCGAGCCATTTCGACAAGACCGCACTCATCTGTGGGGATCAAACACTGACATATGGAGAGCTCAACGCACGCGCCAATCGTCTTGCGCGCGTCCTAGCAGAGCGAGGCATCAAGCGCGGCGATCTCGTTGGCGTGGCTCTAGACCGCTCGGTCGACCTCGTGGCCGTGCTGGTCGCGGTGCTGAAGTCCGGAGCCGCCTACGTGCCCATTGACCCGGCCCTTCCGGCAAAGCGCATGAGCCTGATGATAGAAGATGCCGTTCCCAAGCTCGTCGTTGCCAATGAGCGCGCGCTAGCGGCCCTGACCCCGTGGAGCGGGATATGCGTGCGCATGGACGCCGTGCGACGGACGATGGATCTGGCCATCGACTCCGCCAACCTCGACATCGACGTCTGGCCGAGCGACCTCGCGTATGTCATCTATACCTCCGGGTCCACCGGGGCCCCGAAGGGCGTGGAAGTCAGCCACCGTTCGGTTACCAACTTCCTGATCGGCATGCAGCGGCGGATCGGCTGCAGCAAGGCGGACCGGCTGTTGGCCGTCAGCTCCATTTCCTTCGACATGGCCGTCTACGAGCTATTCACCCCTCTCATCGCCGGGGCCACGGTCATTGTTACCCCGTCGGCCCACATCCAAGATGCTCGGGCGCTGCTGGGGCTGATGCAGTCGCACGCCGTCACGATGCTGCTCGCAACCCCGACGAGCTGGCAGATGCTGCTGCATGCGGGCTGGAGTGGCCAGCCCCGGCTCCGGGCCAGCATCGCTGGCGGCGAGCCTCTGCCTGGCCACGTGGCGGAGAAATTGGTCGACTACAGCGACGCTGTGTGGAACGCATACGGCCCAACCGAGGCCACGGGATGCGCGAGCGCCTGGCGAGTGCAGAAGGGCGAGGGCATGCTCATCGGCGAGCCCCTCGGCAATGTCCAGGTCTACGTGCTCGCGGACGACCTGACCCCTGTTCCGCTCGGCCGCCACGGGGAGCTTTATATCGGCGGCGCCGGCGTGGCCTGCGGCTACCGCAACAATCCGGAACGCACCAAGTCCCACTTCATCCGGAACCCGTTCGGCAAGGGACGCCTGTACCGCACGGGGGACCTGGCTTGTTTCGTGGCTCCGCAGAAGCTGAAGCTGCTGGGCCGCGCGGACAGCCAGGTCAAGATCCGGGGCTATCGGATCGAACTGGGCGATATCGAGGCAGCCATCGCCCACCATGGGGATATCGCCGAAGCGGCGGTGATCCACCGAGACGGACAGCTGGCCGCGTATTGCGTGCGCCGAGAGACTGGGGGCAAGGCCTCGCTGGACAGCATCCTGCGTCCATGGCTGGCGGACCGCCTGCCGGGCTACATGGTGCCGGCCTTCTTTGTCGAGCTCAGGGGACTTCCGATGACGCTGAATGGGAAGCTGGACGACAAGGCCCTACCGAGTCCGATGGAGGGTATTATCGAGGTCACGGAAGGGGCAGCCACAGAGCTCGAACGCGGCATCCTGGCCATCTGGTCGAAGATCCTGGGCCATGCACGCATCGGGATGGACGACAACTTCTTCCAGGTGGGCGGTGACTCGGCACGTCTTATGTGGGTACTGGTGGAGTTGGAGAAGTTGCTGGGCCACCGCGTGTCGCCTGCAAAGCTCTTTGAGCATTATACTGTCAAGAGCCTGGCCACGTACCTGGCGGGCACGGAGCCGTCCAGTCGGAATGACTTCAAGAACAGCAGCAACAACAGCAGGAGGCACAGGAACGATGAGGACATTGCCGTCGTCTCCATGGCATGCCGACTTCCGGGTGACATCAACACAGCCGCCGACTTCTGGGAATTTCTCCAGCGAGGCGGAGACGCCATCACGTCCGTCCCCAGGGACCGCTGGGACGCCGATGCCATCTACGACGCCGACCCGGACACCCCAGGCAAGTCGTACTGTCGCTCCGGTGGGTTTGTCCCATCCTTTGCCTCCTTTGACGCCTCTTTCTTCGGTATCCCGCCGCTCGAGGCACGAGGGCTTGACCCGACGCACTCCATGATGCTGGAGACGTGCTGGGAAGGCCTCGAACGCGCCGGCTATACCACTCAGCAGCTGCGCGGCAGCCAGACGGGGGTGTTCATCGGCCTGAGTGACAGCATGGTCCACGGCAGCAGTTACAACGACGTGCACGGCTTGGCCGACCTGACAGGATACACGGGGACTGGGACCACGGCTGGAACCGTGTCCGGACGCCTGTCGTACGTCCTCGGCCTCGAGGGCCCAACCCTGACGGTGGACACGGCATGCTCCTCCTCGCTGGTGACGACCCACCTTGCCTGCACGGCGCTCCGCCAGGGGGAATGCGATATGGCCGTATCCGGCGCCGTCTCGCACATGCCCACGCCGGGCCTGCACGTCGAGTTCAGCCGATTGCGCGGCATGTCCCCCGACGGCCGCTGCCGCGCCTTCGCGGCGGATGCGCAGGGCACGGGGCTTGCAGAAGGCGCCGCGCTCGTCGTGCTGAAGCGGCTGTCCGATGCCCGGCGCGATAGCGACACCATCTACGGGGTAATTCGCGGCTCGGCCGTCAATCACGGCGGACGCAGTGCTGGTCTCACGGTGCCACACGGCCCGGCGCAGCAGCGTCTGATCCGCACGGCGCTGGAGGCGTCGGGCCTGCAGCCGGACGACATCGACTACGTCGAAGCGCACGGCACCGGCACCAAGCTGGGGGACCCCGTTGAGGGCGTGGCGCTCGCCGAGGTCTTCGGGGGCAGGACGCATCATCCCCTGTGGATCGGGTCGGCGAAATCGAACGTCGGCCACACCCAGGCGCCCGCCGGCCTCGTCGGGCTCATCAAGGTGCTCTTGGCCCTGCAGCATCGCACGCTGCCGCCCACGCTGCACGCCGGCGAGCCCACGGCGGCGGTGGACTGGCAGGGCGCCAACATGGCGCTGGTGCAGAGCAGTCGGCCCTGGATGCCGGTGGACGACCGACTGCGGCGAGCTGGCGTCAGCGCATTCGGCATCGGCGGCACGAATGCGCATCTCGTCGTCGAGGAAGCACCACGGGGGGCAATGGCTGATAGCAGACCGTCGGTGCCGTTGTCCCAGGCATGGCCCTTTGTGCTCTCGGGTCACACCGACGAGGCCCTCCGCCAGCAGGCCGACAAGCTGCGCCAACACCTCAGCCGAGACAAGACGACGACGGATTGTCTTGGGGACGTTGCCTACTCGTTGGCAACGTCGCGCAACCATTTCTCGCGGCGGACGGTGGTCCTGGCCCAGGACCTGGCCGAGTTGCTGGACCGTCTCGCTGCCCCCGGGGGCGCCGTAACCACCCCCAGCGGCCCCAGTCAAGAGCCTCGCCTCGCCATGCTTTTCACTGGACAGGGCAGCCAGCTGCCGGGCATGGGGAAGGGTCTCGCTCAACACTTCCGGGTCTTCCGTGAAGCACTCGACGAGATCGCGAGCCACTTCGAGGCGCTCGAGCGACCCCTGTTGGACGTCATGTGGGCCGACGGCGACAGCGATGACGCCGCTTTCCTGCAGCGCACCGAATACGCCCAGCCCGCCCTCTTCACCCTGGAAGTGGCCCTCTGGCGGCTGTGGCAGAGCTGGGGCGTGCAGCCGGCGCTCGTCGTCGGCCACAGCATCGGGGAGCTGGCGGCCGCCCACGTCGCAGGGGTGATGGACTTGTCCGATGCCTGCCGGCTCGTGGCCGCACGCAGTGGCTTGATGCAGGCGCTTCCTGACCGGGGGGGTATGCTGTCGCTCCAGGCGAGCGTCCGGGAGGTGGAGGAGGCCATTGAGACCCTGGACGCCGGCCACACGGTGGCGATTGCCGGCCACAACACCCCGTTGCAGACGGTGATATCCGGGGACAAGGACGCGCTGACCAGCCTCGCAGCCTACTTTGCTGCACGGGGCTGCCGGTCCACGATGCTCGGGGTTGCGCGGGCCTTCCATTCCCACCACATGGACGACATGTTGTCGGACTTCCAGGCCGTGGCAGAGACGGTGAGCTTCCGGCCCCCGACACTGGGCATTGTCAGTACACTCACTGGCAAGCCAGCCGAGCCGGGGCAGCTTGAGCAACCGTCGTATTGGGTCCGACAGGTGCGCAGTGCGGTCCACTACAGCGATGCCATCCAGACCCTCGCTGACAGCGGCGTCAATGTCTTTCTCGAGCTGGGGCCTCGACCGGTGCTATGCGGGATGGGCGCTGCTTGTCTCACTGACCGCGATGAACCCATGGCATGGCTGCCGTCGCTCCAGCCCAACAAGGACGACATCGCAGTGGTCCAGGAGAGCCTCGCTGAGTTGCATGTTCGGCACGTCCCCATCTCGTGGCCAGCCTACTTTGAACCCTTCGATTGCCGACGCGTCGAACTCCCAACATACGCCTTCCTACGCCAGCGACTCCGTCCGGCCACCCCGGGCGAGGGAGGTAGTACCGTGAGAACCGTCCAGAGCAAGGCGTTTCAGATAGATTGGCGTCCGGTGAATACGGGCAATCTTCACCCCGGCGGCATTTGGGGTCTCCTTCGCCCTGCCGGGGAAGTGTCCTGGGCTGGGGACGTGAGGACCGCCCTGTCGCAGGCCGGCATGCAAGTGCGCGCCGTGAAAGATCTCCGGGAGGCGGAGCGACTCGATGGCCTCTTATGTCTGTGGGACTCGGACGCGGACATTCTGTCTCAATCGCGCGATTTCGCCATCAAGGCGCTGGCGCAGCTGCAAACCGCCGCGCAGACCGGATTTGCGCCGCCCTTGGTCTGGCTCACAGCCCAGGCCGTGGGCACCGGCGTCCACGATCAGCCTGCTGCACTCGGGGCCGGACCTCTGTGGGGGCTGATGCGTACAGTCCGGAGCGAGCATCCGGACCTGCGTTTGCGCCTGGTCGATCTCGATCGGAGGGCGGAGAGCGTCGACGTCGACGCCAACTCCCTGGCGCTGTTGCTCATGCTGAACCGCGAGCCCGAATGCGCCGTGCGCCAGGGGAGGGTGTTCGTTCCGCGCATGCAGCACGTTGCCCCGGCGCTGCAGCCAGTCTGCCCGCCTCTCCTGCGGCCAGATGGCGCCGTGCTCATCACCGGCGGCCTGGCTGGTCTCGGGGCGCGCGCGGCCTGCTGGCTGGCACGCACCCACGGCGTCCGCGACCTGGTGCTGACCTCGCGCCGTGGCATGGAAGCCCCGGGCGCCACGGCGTTGGTTGACCGGCTGAACGGGCTGGGTGCCACAGCCACCGTCGTCGCCGGCGACATCGCTAACCCGGACTTCGTCCAGTCGGTCATGGGCATGTTCCACGCAGACCGGCCGCTGCGTGGAGTGTTCCACGCGGCCGGAGTCGCGGATGCTGGCGTCCTGTCGACGTTGACGCCGGACCGGTGTGGTACGACGTTTGCGCCCAAGGTAGATGGCGCCTGGCATCTCCATCAATCCACCCGGCAGATGGATCTGGACATCTTTGCGGTGATCTCCTCCATCTCCGGCGTGGTGGGCATGCCGGGCCTGGCGATTTATGCGGCGTCCAACTCCTTTCTGGACGCCCTCGTGCACGCACGCCAGGCGCAGGGGCTGCCGGCCATCTCGGTGGCATACGGCACCCTGTCAGGCGGCGGAATGGCGGATGGGACCCTCAAAGCAACGCGGACTCATCTCAGTCAATTCGGCCTCGATCCGCTGTCCCCGGAGGAATCGCTGCAGCTGCTGGAGCTGGCCGTCCGCAGCCACCGCGCCCTCACCGTGGCCGCCGCCCTCGATCTGGGACGGCTCCAGCATTACCTACAGGAGCGCGGCGACATCCCTCCACTCCTGCATTCCCTGCTGCGTCGCGATGGCAGAGGGAAGCGCCGGGGGAGTCCCGATCTGCGCCAGGCCTTGCGTCAAGCCCCCCGCGAGCAGCACGCCGACATCATGCTGCGGACAGTCCGAGAAACGGTGGCAAAGGCCCTGGGCATCTCGCAGCCGGGGGAGGTCGACGTCTCGCGCCCTCTGGCCGAGGTGGGCATCGACTCGCTGACGGCGATCTTGATTCGAAACCAGCTGGGGAAGCTGGTGGGCCTCACCCTCTCGGCCAATATCGCCTTCATCAACCCCAATCTGGCGGCCCTGAGCCGGTTCTTATTGTCCCAGCTGCCAGACAGCCATGTGGATAAGCCCTCGCCCGAGGCATCCGCGGACTCTCCCGGCCTCAATCTCACGGCCATCCGTCAGGGCTGTCTCGACGCCAGCTTCACATTCGACAACGCGGCTCAGAGCCCACCACCTCACCCGCAGTCAGTCGTGGTCACCGGGGCCACGGGCTTTATCGGGGCCTTTATCGTGCATGGCCTACTCGAACGAGGCATCGTGACCCACTGCGTCGTGAGGGCCAAGTGCCGCGAACACGCCCGGCACCGCATCGTGGGCATGCTTCAACACTACGACCTGTGGAAGGCCGACTACGCGTCCCAGCTCCGTCCGCTGGTTGGGGATGTGAGCCAGTTCCAGCTGGGGCTGGGAGAGCAGGCATTTCACGACCTGGCCGGCCGCGTCGATGCCATCTTCCATGCCAGCGGTCTCGTCGACTGGATGCTTCCCCTGGCCGACTATCTAGGCCCCAATATCATCAGCACGCACGAGGTGCTCCGTCTCGCCGCCACGGGCCGGGGTAAAGCCATCCATCTCATCTCCACGGTCGCCACCCTGCCCCTCCATTCCGGCTACGATATCCCCCCTGACGAGCTCGAGTACTGCTACGCCACCTCGAAGTTCACGGCGGAGCGGATGGTGGCCGCGGCGCGTTGGCGCGGCGCCCACGCCTCCGTGTACCGCTTGCCATTCATCACGGCCGCCGCCTCCACCGGCCACTTCCGACTCGACCGGGGTGATTTCCTGCACAATCTCATCGTCGGGAGTCTGGAAATGGGCAGTTTCCCCTCGTTAGACGCGGACCTCTCGATCATTCTCCCAGTCGACTATCTAGCCCAGGTCGTCGTGACGGTAGCAACCCAAGAGCGAGGCCGAATCGGGCACGATTTCGACTTCACGAACCCTCACGCCCCGAGCTTCCACTGCTTTTTCCAGCTCCTGGCCACCACTACTACCGTCGGATCCGGCCAGCCGATTCTCCCGTTTTCCACCTGGCGACAGAAGGCCCTGGACCATGCGACCACGCAGCCCAAGGGCTCGCTGGCCCGCATCGCGGCCGTGATCGACGGCTGTACCGAAAAAAGCGCCGCAGGCATGTTCAAGGGCATCCGGGTTGGAGCGCACGTCTTCGGTACCAAGGATCATCATCCGGCTCCCGCGGTCGACGAGCAATATGCCCGGAAGTACGTGGGTCGGATTCATGCGGCGTGGCTGAAAGCCTTTTCCTCCTCCTCCTCCTCCTCCTCCTCCTCCTCCTCCTCCTCCTCCTCCTCCGCCGCCACTGGTGATCACAGGGGCCCTCCCTCCCTCGCCATGGGTCCTACAATCGGCCCAACTGTAGGGCTAGGAGTAAGGGGCAGCCAGGTGGTCGAGGCCTGACACTTGTGACTTGGTTTCCTTGCATAGATGTATTACTAGAGCTCGGGGATCCTGTAGTCTGTCTATAAACTGTTTGTTGTGTACTGGGAAATATGTAGGAATTCAGCGAGATTCCGGATGCCTACCGGAGCGTTCCGCTGACCTATCCCAAGATGATGTCATTCGATCATGTTTTATGGGAGGTTCTATTAGTTGATCACCGCCTTGATCAGCATAAATAGGGCCTTTCTGCGTGTATCTAAAGCTTCATCTTTAACAACCTTTCATCTATCTGTTTTCTAGTCAATTGAATTGTTCTATCGTGGACCACCCCCCTCTGCCAATTTCCTACAAAATATAAGATATAAGAAAATAGATATATACATATTTATATATATTGGTTCAAAGCACTCAAAGTCACGGTTTGGCTTTGTCTGACTGTCTTTTTCCCATTCGGATATATACGACATGTCTTTTTAATACTTGACCACTCTGTCTATATAAGACCCCCAGACCACCTACAATCGAGTTTTATTCCCAAGGACCTGAACATGATTAGGGTTCCTGGCGCTGAACAGGAGCCTCCGAACTGAAGGCTGATAGATCAATTCCAGAAACCCAAAAACAAGCAGCGAATCAGAATTCAATCTGGTCCGTTACCACCGCATCATTGGTCTAGTGGTAGAATTCGTCGTTGCCATCGACGAGGCCCGTGTTCGATTCACGGATGATGCATTCTTTTTGCTTCCCTTCTATTATTCCTTGGTTTCATTGCTCTATCTAAACTAGAGAGGAACTAGAGATGGAAGACAGAACATCCTTTTTTTTTTGTTTGGCCGCGGTTATGTTTTCTGTTAATCTAGAAGCATACGATGCACGAATTCATGCCAACACAGCCTATATGAAAAGGTTGATGTGTTCCATAGGCAAAATCCCAAGCTAAAGACCTTAAATTCATCATTGATTGGCTGTAGACAGTACATACATACATGCATGCGTGTAAATAGCTAACTAAGAAAGCGCTAGAAAAGCAATAGAAGCAGTGACAAGCACCAGAACAAAAATCCACCTGCTAAAATTGGACGAAATCGACGGTTCAAGAAATCGCAAGCAAGTCCAGTCGTACCACAAAAGAGACACGAAATGAGCGACAGTCAAACAGAGAATGAAGGATAGTACTGGCATTGTCAAGGACTGGGATCGGACAGCTAGATTGACAAGGAAAGGAGGCGCAAAATTAGAGAGATATGAAAAGGGAAAAGGCAAAGCATGGGTATTATGCGCAGAAATAACGCCGGGAATCATCGAGTCAATCATCATTAGATATTCGTTGGGTATTAGAGGGGTCGCGAGGGTGGGATGAATTGGGTGATTGGTTGTTCACGTTGTGTTGTATGCAGGGGATGCCTGGATGGTAGGGGCCGAGTCCAGAACAAACAGCAAAGAAGCTGCTCGTCTGCACCTAGACGGTCAACCAGGTGGTTTCAGGATCAATGCCTGATCGCTACCAATGCGTTGACCACATGGCCTGGTGTCCATCCTTGCTCGGTCAAGGTGGAATTCTCCTTGAGCATCTTGCCCAAGTAAGCGATGCGAACACGGTGACTCCTGGGAATCTGCACGGTGTTCCAGATGTTACACGTCAGCTTGCCGCGACTTAATCCAATCGAACCCTTACGTAGGCTGGGTGACGTACCCTTGCTTCTTGCTGCACCTTCCGGGCAATAAAACCCACATTCTGTGCATTTCCGACGGCCACGACCACGTCGGGTCCACCCCTGTCGCTGAGTCGTGCTTTAACACAGATCAGATCTCGCTCCCGGGTTTTGCCTTTTTCGTCCCTGCGCCGTTCGAGTTCTTCCGTGATCAGTTCGTCGCCGGAGGCTTCGTCCGCCGACAATTTGCCGTCTTCGGTGTCGAAGTCGTCGTCCCCCTCATCTATCTCGCCGCTGGATCTCGCTCGCGCCATGTTTTCTGGGTCACTGACGATGCACTGAGGCAGGCGATACAGTGCCCCCTGCTCGTCGTAGCAGCCCTGACAGGGATCCCCCGTGGGCACCGTTATCCCGGCGGCATCGATGATGCTCTGGGCGGTCGCGAGATCGTCGGCGCGCATCAAGACTAGTGCTGTCGATAAAGCGGCCCAGACCTCTGGACGACCTGTCACTCTGGTCTCGAAGAAATCCTTGCGCTCCTGATCCAACTGCGCCCGGCTCCACAGCCGACGCTTGCTATACCACACATGACGGCGAATAGGGGCGTTGAAGTGCTCGCTCAACGCAAACTGGCTCGACGAGCGTCGTCGGGCAGCAGCCGAAGAAGCGGACGGAATATTTGGATTCGGAGTCACATGGGAAGGTCGAGGTGTTGATTCTGACCGACGTTCTTCTGCGACTACTTGCGAGGAATATTGCGAGTCGGTCTCGTCACGACGAGGCGAGGAAAAACAGCAACCCTGCAGGCGCAAAGTCAAGGTTAGATGTAATGTACAGCGACAGACAGATTGTCGGTGGGATCTATCCCAGAAAAATCGACTTGCGACAAGTAGAAGGGCGCCGGATTCTGCATGCGGGCTGCAGGCTACGGATGACGTACGACACCATAATGATGATCGATTGAGGCCCGGAGACAAAGAAAAACGAACAGCACTCACCATCTTGACAGGATCGAGGATCGACGAGACTCCATCAGCCAGATAAACACTATCAGTTCCTGAAACCCCCACAGTAGTAAGAGGGAAGAGTAGAAGAAGGGTTGGGGGTCAGAGGAGGGCCGCGATGGCGATAGATCGACGGTCCCGTCCGCGGTGGAAATCGTATGATTTGGAGTGGAGCAAGTATAGATTAGTGGCTATGGGGACGCTGGCATGACGCTGCCGGCGATGAGAGGGAAGCAATTGCGGCCGATGGGCGACTCGAGGATGGAGTGATGGAGGAGCAGAAGTTGAGGGAGAAAGGAAAAGAAAGGAGGGGAGAGAACGGCGTGAGGGGAAGTTTACAGCATCCTTTAATAAACTCAAAGACCGTTAGTTTCCACCTCCGCAACCACGCGGCCTCCACTTCCGATCGCTGACTCTTGCGAATCGGGACTATTCATCATCACTGAATAATGCCTTTCATCTTTACGACAGTTCTATTCTCTTCCAATATACGGACTAGACCGCCGGTTGTCGCCCAATCCCGACTGCACACCGTCTTCGACCCCCAGATCGATGTACCTCTGTCGTGTAACCGTCGTTTAGCTGCAGATCCTCGTTCCTCCAAGGCCAGGGAAGACGCGACTAAGCTATTGAAGCCGTTGAATTCTATTTTGACTCGGTGAATATCGATTCCTCGTGCCCCCTTAGCTACAAAAAAGGTTGCGCAATTCACTCAGTCCTCTTCATCCTCATCGTCGCTGCCAAAAATCGCCTTGAAGACCGCCTCTCCCGGTCGCTCTGTCTCCAGGGCATCGTTGCGCTCCGGTTCCATCACCACCGGTGGGCGTTTCTCTGCCTCTGCAGGTGCTCCTGCGCCCGAGGCACTAGACCCGCCCGTCTCCAGCATCAGCTGGCTCATCACATCCTGGGAGACCAATTCCTTGGGACGAGAATCGGTCTGGTACCCCGCCGACTCGAAGCGTCCGCCCGGCATGGGTTCCGCTCGTCCCGGCTGTGTGGCCGGGTCAAGTTGCACATGGTCTGGAGGTTTCACATTGAACCGCTTACACAAGAGACGTGAGGGGTAGAACGAAACGGTGCGTCGAGTCATCGGCCCAAACATTCCAATCTTCGCGGCCGCTACGGCCGGGTCCTCAGGCTTCTCGGCCGGTTTGCTCAGTGGTGAGTCGGTCGCAGAAGGGTCGGACTCATCTGCAGACCCCTTTGGCCCGGAGGATGCGGACGTAAACCGCGAGGCCATCAACCCGGACATGGGTTTGAAGACCTCCGCTGCTCGCGTAAACTCGTGGAGTTCCGCAACCCACTCGTCGGTGGTCGAGCCAGGAACCCGCTCGGGCAGCGTATCTCGAAGCTCGGCTCGCACTTCCAGGAATGTCCGATATCGCGAGCGTTTGTTCTGGTCCTCGGAGTATGGCATCCAGCCACTCGCCGCTCTGGTCAACGCCTGCACGGCGATTTGCTTGTCCAGTTTGGGGACAAGATCCCACATGTCCTTGCGCTTCTGCGAATTGGACAGTTCAAATCCCTTCGGCGCTTTCTCGCCCAAGGCCGGCGGTAGATTGGTTTTCCCCGTAAGCTTCACAATCCTCTCCCGAGCCTCCGGGGTCATCCAATCGAAGATGGATTTCCCGGGTAGCTGGGCCTCGCCCAAGAGCGCAGCTCTGGATGCGGGATCCAGCGAAGATGCCTTGGCTGCTTCTGCCGTGGAGACGTAGTCGCTATTGTTCCTTTCCGTTGTCGGTGCTTTACTAGACTTCCAGTCTTTGGGGATTTCAGGCGGCGCGTATTTCTTCTCCTGGGACGAGATGGAGAGGCCTGAGATGCCGTCGGCGAGGAGAAACCCTTCCAAGGGTAAACGCCCGTCATGGCATTTGCGAAAACCGGCGGAGCTTTTGGCCGCAATCGCTTTCTTAGATATAAAGACCGGCTTGTTGTTGAAAAGAGGGTTGGAGGACGATATGGCGGGTTTGCCAATATCGGTGGAGCTCTTCTTTTTCTTCTTCTTGTCCCCCCCGATGACTCGGTTGTAGGAGATCTGTGGCCCTAGCGAGTATGGATCATCGTCGTCCGACCCGGTGTCATTCAACACGCCCACGCCGAAAGCTCCACGCCGAGGTTCCTTGGCCTTGGGCTGCTTGGCCTTGCCCGGACCTATGAGTCGTCGACCGAAAAACTGATCCTCGTCCTCCGATGCATCGCCTCCATCCTTGCGGGACTCTAAACGAGATTCTCCCTCGAACCCGAGTCCCTTGTGATCTGTCTTATGTATGAAGGCCACCATCGGCGGATTTTCCGGGGCGAACAGATACGTCTTGTCGGCCTCGGCGCCCTTGGAGCCCAATGCTTCTCCTAGATCGGCCGTACGTCGCACCTTGGGACCGATTCCTTGGCCTTCCCTCCAGCCCATTTTCTTCAGCAGTTTAACGCCCATCGTTTCACCGCTGGTTTTGAGCAGGTCCATCAACCCTCCTCGACGGGTGGCATCCGTCTCGGTAGATCCAAATCCGGCAAAGTCGTTCGTGGTTTCAATCTGCCGCGCTTCCTCTGCCTCCCGGATGTCATCCTCATCCATGAAATCCTCCGGTCGCTGCTGCTGAGCGGGCTTTGCTCGGTTCTGGCGCGACGACACGAAGGCCGTCGGGGCCCAACCGTCCTTCGAACCGACGGTGTTGAAGTACCTGGAAAAAGACGGGGCCACATTTTAGTGTGCTGTCCAACGCGATCGACGAATCGTGAGCTCACCCGGCACTGAAACCACCGGTGAAGGCGCCGTGCAGGCGTTTCCTTCCCCGGTCGTCGGTCACCTCCTGTTTCCAGATGGGCTCGTAGGAGCCATCGTCGCGGACGCGATCATCCAGCGGGGGAAGAGGAGTTCCGAAGAAGGCGTAGGGGGACTGATGCGCTTGTAGATCAGCCTCGAAGGCTGCGCGAGTTCGTTTGGCGGCCATTGCGGGGGGATGCGAAGGCAGGTTACGGCGCGGTCATATTATGTATCTGATCGCGATCTAGGTGATGACGTATCGTTAGGATGCGAGGGCATGGACACTCGAGGGGGAAATGAGACCTACCCGAGTAGATTAATTCCGGAGCGAGCGGTCTGTAGGCTAAAGATTGGTCTACTAAGTAGACCGAGACCGAGTGGTGGTGATCGCAATGACGGGAGTTGCAGTGACGCTGCTCGGAGTCGGTCGCCTTGCCGATGCGACGAGACTCGAGACTCCGCACCGCCACGAGTGGCGGCAGATTAGTTCCCAAAGGTAATGGATACAAAGTCCCGCCGAACCGTCATCAATCGGGTCTCGTGGCGCAATGGTAGCGCGCTAGCTTCCGGTGCTAGCGGTTGTGCGTTCGAGTCGCACCGGGATCGATTTCTTTTTTGTTTTTCTTTTCTCGGGCTGGCGATGCAGGTGTTTCTTTTTTGCTTTTGTCGGTGGCTGGCGTACAGAAAAGGGGCAAAACTGTATGACCATCTGGACGTGCTCCGTAGAGGTCTGCAATAGACAGTATGGATGCTATACTACTCCGTAGGTGAAAGTCTCTCTGTCAGTCAGATAAGGTTGATCTCCCTACAACTGCTATATTAAGAACGCCAGGTCTGACGTAACGGCGGTCGAGCTGGGAAATGAGAGACGATCGCTCGTGGTGTTTGATGCGTAAGATTAAGATTGGCACGATGGGTCTCGTCCCTCATTCTCTAGATCCATCCGGCGAGGAATGTCTCGCGAGGGAATGGGGGTGGACATTTTTAGCATTAGGATTATAATATTTATTTATACTAGTTATTTCCAACGATTTCTCGTAAGAATACCTGGATATCCCTCATCCCGGCCAATACGAGTGACCAGCCTCCTCTGGTTGCGGCCCCCGTGCCGTCTCTTTCCCTCTTTCTTGCTTGCTTTCGACTATCAACAACCACCTTTCTCTCTTCCTTTCTCTCTCTCTCTCTCTCTCTCTTTCTTTCTCTTCCTCCGCAGTCCTCGTCCCCACCTTCATCTCCCTCGAACGGTCTCATCTTCATTCACAATAATAATCCCCTTGTTGGCTCAGTCAAGTACATGGGGCATCAGCCTGGCCGGTTGTCAGCCAACGCCAACTTCCCCGCCTCCCCGACCGACTGTCACTTGCCTTCGCTCGCTCTTTCGCTCTCTCCACGCGAACCACTAAATCCCATTCTCCTGTCTCGGGCTAGACACTCCCTGCCCCCTGGCTGTGAGTGAAGTGGCTTGGGGATTATTGGCTTTGCTTGTTTTTTTTTTTTTTTTTTTTTTTTTTTTTTTTTTTACCATCCTTTATTTTATTTGATTTTATTCTATTGTTTTGCTCATTTCCTCTCCATCCTCCCTCTCCCTCTCTCTCTCTGATCGTGATGTCCACCGCTGCTCCGTCCAGTGCGTCGCCGTCGGTCGTCCGCAGCCAATCCACCTCCTCCCGACCTCCCTCCTATCGCCCCGTGCAATCCGATACTCCTCACCGAACTCGAAGCGTCGCAGTCCGGCCGGCCACTGCCAACCAATCCCCCTCGCAACAGCCTCATCCTCCGTCGCAGAATTACTATTCTCATTCCCACTCCAAATCGCATTCTCATGATCGCCGCCCGCCTTCGAATCAAGCGCTGTTTGACAACTTAGCCCGTCGGGATTACGAGGCTTCGAGAGCTGCCCAACCGCCTCCCGCCCGTCGGAGCAGCTCCAAGGAACGCTCCCAGGAACGTCCCACCACCTCCTACCGCTCCGATTCATCTTCCAACAAACACCATCGCAACCTGTCCGTCCAGGGTCATCAAAGAAATAGCATCGATATGGCTGCCGCAGGGCCCGTCGGGGCCGACGCTGCTGCGGCTCCGTCCCAACCTGTTCCCGGCTCGCGACTGCACCCGATGAATCCGGTGCCGTCGAAGCGTCGCACAACGATCACGACGCCCTCCGGCCAGTGGACGCTGGGCAAGACGTTAGGTGCAGGGAGTATGGGCAAGGTCAAAGTAGGGAAAAACATGGAGACCGGAGAACAGGTGAGTTTTTTTTTGTCTTCTTGGGTGCAATTTACCGTGTTAAGTCGAATGCTAATGATGCTTCTCTTTCTAGGTGGCTGTCAAGATCGTCCCCAGGCAATCGACGGAGGAACATCGCAGCTCTCGCGAGGCGGAGAGAGCGGATCGCTCCAAGGAAATCCGGACGGCCCGCGAGGCCGCCATTGTCAGTCTCGTCAATCACCCGTATATCTGTGGCATGCGAGATGTGGTCCGGACCAATTATCACTGGTACATGCTGTTCGAGCTCGTCAATGGCGGGCAGATGCTCGATTATATTATTTCCCATGGGAAATTAAAGGAGAAACAGGCGCGAAAGTTCGCCCGTCAGATCGCAAGTGCGCTGGACTACTGCCACCGGAATAGCATCGTGCACCGTGACTTGAAGATCGAGAACATTCTCATCAGCAAAACCGGCGACATCAAGATCATTGACTTCGGTCTCAGCAACCTCTTTTCCCCGAGAAGCCTTCTGAAGACCTTCTGTGGCAGTCTTTATTTTGCCGCCCCCGAATTGCTGCAGGCGCGACAGTACACTGGCCCCGAGGTGGATGTTTGGAGTTTTGGAATTGTTCTTTACGTTTTGGTCTGCGGGAAGGTGCCTTTTGATGATCAAAGTATGCCCAAGCTGCATGCCAAGATCAAGCAGGGCGTGTTCGAGTATCCCCCTGGACTGACGGCAGGTATGTTTTTGCCCACTACAGGCTAATGGAAATTTCTCATGATACTAATGCAGTCGCTTTTCCGCAGAGTGCCGTCACATCATTTCGCGCATGTTGGTCACCGATCCCAAGCAGCGCGCAAGCTTGGCGGAGATCATGAATCACCCGTGGATGAATAAGGGATTCAACGGCGCTCCCGATAACAACCTCCCCCACCGCGAGCCGTTACAACTGCCCTTGGACCCAGACGTTATCGAGAAGATGACAGGATTTGATTTTGGTCCTGCAGACTACATTACCACGCAACTCACGAAGGTCATTGAGTCGGAGGACTACCAACATGCCGTCAAGATGAACATTCGCGACCACCCTCCACCGAGCCACGGCGAGAAGAAGCGCGGCATGTTCGACTTCTACAAACGGCGCAATTCGGCTAGCAGGGATACATTGTCAGCCCCGTCTGCGGAGGCGGTCCAACTGGGGTCTGATCCCTTGAATGCATACAGCCCGTTGCTGTCGATCTACTACCTAGTGAAAGAGAAGCTGGACAGAGAAAGGGCCGAGACCAACCCCGGTGCTCTCGGCGTGCCGCAGGCGGCCGGAGATGCCATGCTTCAGATGCCAGATCTACCCGCTCCCGAAGCGGCCCATACGAACCAATATCAGGTCCCGGGAGAAAAGGATGTCGGAAGGCGCACTCGTCCCCGTGCAAGGACCCATGGGGACGACGACATGGCCGATGGAATCAAGAATCTTAACTTGGCTCCTCCGGGACAGGCGTCACCTGCTCCACCGGCGTCGCAACCCGAGACTCCGGCCAAGAAGGAGAGTACCGCCGCGGGAATTCTGAGGCGGTTCAGCACCCGCAAGACGAAGGAGCGCGGCCGCGACCCCGAACGCGGAAGAATGAGCAGCCCCCATGCGCCGTCCTTGAGCGTTCAGCCCCCTGCCGATTCGGCCTCGCCCTTGTCTAGAGGATTCAGCATGAGGAAGACCAGACGTGCCGACCCCTCCCCTACGGCCATCCCGCCAGCCAGTGGCAGTCAGCCGCAGCAAGATCTCCTCGCCCCCGGATCGGCAGAGCCGGCCTCGCGGTCCAACAAGTTTCTCGAGAGATCGACCAGCGTCAACTCCGCCGATTACCGCGCCCGAAGGACGGCACGAAGAAACGACACGGACACTATTGGACAGCCGCCCCCGAGCAGCGGGTCAGATCACAATGCGAACGTACCTAAAGATCAGACCCCTTCGAAGGACTCGAGGTCGACCGGCCGTACGCACGCCTCCCGGACCATGTCGCTTGGCCACGCCCGCCGGGAAAGTATCCAGGCACGACGCGCGCGGCGAGAGGCTGCCCGGGAAGCCAACGTTCCCGAGGAGACCGATGCGGACATCTCCGGGGCGGGGACGGCCCTGGAGAGTGCGAACGAGGGCGAGGATCTGTCGAAACCGGTGTACCTCAAGGGACTGTTTAGTGTGTCCACAACCAGCAGCAAGCCCCTGCCCGTCATCCGCGCGGACATTATTCGAGTACTTAAGCAACTTTCTGTGGACTACGTTGAGATCAAGGGAGGGTTTAGCTGCCGCCACGCGCCCAGTATTGACTTGGAAAAGGTGACGGACGCGGCGCCGCCCAGCCCTGACCGACAGGGCCATGTTTCGAACCACCGACGACGGATCAGTTTCGGCGGGCTGTTGAACCACGACGAGGGCAAGGAAGAGAATCGCCACACCCCCAGAACACCGCGTCGGACCCGGGCTCCGCCGGACCGTAGCTTCGTTTCCAACTCGGATGCATCTGACGATTACGTTGGTCCTCGCGACAACTTAGCCGTGGGCGAGCGTGTAGTGGGAGAGACCACGACCCGTGTCCAGAGCGATACCGGAGAGAACCTGATTCTTCGATTTGAGATCCTCATCGTGAAGGTTCCCCTGTTCTCGCTTCACGGTATCCAGTTCAAGAAGGTCGCAGGAGGAATGTGGCAATACCGCGAGATGGCCAAGAAAATTCTGGACGCCTTGAGACTATAACTGTGTCCAACTTGGATTTGTTTTTCTTTTTTGTCTTTTTCACACCCCCTGTGAATGATATGGACGGCCTCATCATGAAGCATTTGCACGAGCATCATGTTTCTTTTCTTTTTATTTATTCCAGCCCTTCAATAGCCCCCCTTCTCCATAGCATCCTGTCTTCCCCTGTCCCCACCCATCTATCTATCCATGCTTTTATCTTCATTATTCCGCACCGCTATGGATTCGTTCCTGTCAGCTTTCGGTTTGCATCTATACTTGAGCTGGCTCAATTCTACTGTAACTGGTTTGTCATGGTGTATATTAGGCCCGAGAAAAGAAAAGGACGCATCATGGATTCAGACAGTTTTGTTTTATGTCCTCTGTTTTGTTCGATAAGGCTATTGGTGCGCTGTTTTCTTGTCTCTTTTTGTATATCTCAGTTTACAGTTCGTTCTATTTCTCCTTCAGCCCTGGTAATATAATCTCTGTCGCTGTCTTTAGTTCCTGCGTGGTGCTTGTTGACTTGATTATTCTTGCGGCTTGTTGTCCATACGCAGTGAAAATATTATATAGATTAGGCTTGATGCTGGTAAGTTGACTGGTTTTATTGATATTAAGGAGTGGAGGTATACTGCTGTGAATATACAAGTGAATGGATGCTGGAGTTAGTTTTATGGTTTGAAAGCAGGTAAATTTGCTGTCAACTTGATTTTTGACCAGTCACAAAGCAGTGTAGGGGAGGTAATATTGAATAATCACTTATTGTCATTAGAGAATTGGACATAATTACCCAGCAATTATTGATAGGTCGCAAAGGAGGTAAACAATCCCGGTGTATGCAATCCATGTCTTCGTCCTGCCTATTTAAGAGATAGATCAGTGTGTCCCATGTGTGCTACTGATAGCCATGAATTCTTTGGATATTGGCTTGACACTTGCCAGCTATAGGCCGTGTTTGTAGGGCTCTTGTCAGGCCTGCTAATACTAGCTTGGCCAATTTAGCCAAGAAAGGTGCTCTAGAGATTTCTTGCGACAGAACTAAGGTGGATGGTTCAGAATTAGGAAACTAGTCTCAACGAATGAACCTGTAGCGACAACATGATCGTCTTGACGGGTAGTTAGCGGCCCCGGGGCCCGGGCTAAGCAGCTGCGGGCGAAGTTTGGGAGGCGAGCCCCAGACGCGGGCGGCGGATCCCCCAAGGCAAACCCTAGATTCCAGGCGCCGAATGCCAGTTGGCCAGCGGACGGATTTGGCTTGTTTGTGCCGTTTGCAGCAAGTGGAGCTTAGCTCTCGGACCCACATCCCCACCGATCCTTCGCTTTCTCTCTTTCCTTTACTCTCTCTCTACTCTATTTTCAACAGACTACCCAGGCCAAATGACCTTGCTATCGTGGTTAGATACTCAAAAACCATTGTCTCGGTCGCTCTTGATCTCAGACACGTCCGTGACCATGAAACAACCCAGAAAAAGCCAACGCTTCATTCACAACCCTCACAGCCTGAGCTCTTGAGTCTTGAGTCACCAGAACCCTCAAGTCTCTGGTTCGTCAAGTCTCCTTCTGGATGGCCTGGTCGCCAGCTCTGCAGATGCACTGCAAGTCCTCGATTACCCTCTAAATTGTGTGTCAAAATTTGTCATTTCTTGATTGAGAAATCTCTGGTCCTATTGGTTTATTTTCTACTTCTAGCCTGCTACGCTGTTGTCACTTGAGCCCTTTACTAATGTTTACAATTAATCTTGGCTGACAAATACCATCACTGACAGCAAATCGCGAAGATCTTTGTCAAATCAAGATACCGCGCCCTGCCTTTGTTGAAGTGGCTGCCCACCCTTATATTATCCTCATATCAAGATCCCACGTATAAAGCGCAACTGGATGGATGATCGCATCGGATTCACTAAGGCATATAACACAAACGGGCAAATTTGGTACGAGAAGCGACAACAAGCTTTCGCACTTCCGACCGCTCAGAACATAACCGTCGGCCTAGATGGCCTATAGCGCTCAATGGGAGCGAAGTATTTGTATTTCTGAAGACGGAGACGGACCTCAGAGATCTATCAGTGTTGGCCACGGCATGTCTAGGTCATACTAATCTGGTCTGGTCAGCAGATATACACCAGGCAACCAGGGTGGCCTGAGTTCCAACATAAATGTCCCGTGATAGGGCATTGCGCGTCTCATTGTGTTCAAGAAAGCGATTTATATGCGTTTTAACATGTCGTTGCGAATATAAATCCTTTCTACACAGTTCCTAATAAAGTCGACGTTTCGACATATCGGACTTTTATAATTGACTCATGAGCGTCAAACGAACAACGCAAACGAGCCGGTTGGTTGCACAAGTATGCCTCTACAACACAACTTAGTTGGCTACCTTAGTTATTATGATGACTTAGTCAGCACAGGGCAGATCCGTGCTACTCTGACAAAAGGCTTGAAGAGCAGGCAAGAGAAACTAAGTCAGCCGGAGTATATTAGTGAATGAATGGGGAGTGCCCGAGAACGCACCCGGAGCACTTATACTGGCCCGACGTAGTGTACTCGCGACAGGCAACCAGGCAGACTTGCAGAAACAGTTCAGTTAAACACTAGAGGTAAAAGAAGTATACTACTATTTAAGCATTTGATTTACTCCTGTAGGCCTCGACATCTGAGTGCATCGTCCGACCTATAATTTGATGATCCTGCTTAGTCAGCACTGATATCGCGCCAAGGAAAAACAAAGGAATTCCTTAAAAACTTCAAACAACTCTCCTGGCCTTATAAAAGCCTCTAATTTTATTCTGAAAACTGCACCTGATTCGCTGAATTATTCTCTACAAGTCTGTCGGTTTATTTCATAAGATCAGGTAATTTGCAGTCCTAGATCCTGATTGGCCCATTGTTGTTGTTTGATAGATCAAACGCGGGTGAAATGGGAGCCAAGCGGGCGCTCTGAACGGTTTTTCCTGACAAGTGGAATATCGGATTGATCTTCCTATCAGACTGGCGTCTCACTCTACCTGATCTTCACCTGATATCAACTTCTTTTTAACTTCACTTCCCAAGAATTCCCTTTATCATCTTTAATTCACTAGAAGACAATTCCTTGTTTTAAAACCAGGTTTTCTAGGTTCTTCCTGCTCTAACATGTTACATGATTTAATATTCACCTCAGATATAAACCCTATGACTAAGCAACCATTTCCCCTGCCCAAACAGGACTAGCCTCTGCAGAGTCCCAGACTTGCGTGCCCAAGAAGACTTCCTCTCCTTTTATCTCTCTTTCCCCAAGGGCCTGGAGTGCAGTCTTGATCCCCAACCGCGCCACCTTTTAGCGGCCTGGTTTCGCCCCCTAGGGTGTATCAATTCAAGATGGTCATCGACCTGACCCAAGACTCCGATTCCGACACCCAAAACCACCCCAAGACTTTGGTAAGTGAGGTTTAAGTGGATATCGTATTCCCGGATTTAAGCCCCATCTTGTTTCTTGATTTTTTCTCGCCCTTCCATGATCTTTATGTTATTATTTGGTTTTACCTGCGCTCGGGGGCCGAATACGCCTACGAGATTCCTTATAACCTCTAGGGTGATATTATCATAATTCCCAGCTGGCGAGCTTTATAGGTTACTGTTTGATTTGGTGGGAGCCAAAACCCACTTACTTTACTTTGATTTTCCTCTCAGATTTCTTGTGCTCTGTGGATCGTGTCTTGTGATCATCAGCTGACCCCGATCTATACAGACTCCTGCAAATAACCTCCACCTGACACATTCACATCCCAGCTCGGTGCCATTGAAGAGAAAGCAGAGTACTCTCGAATGGCCCTCGGTCTTCTCCACCTCTCCCTTTAATCAGGCCAATTTCTCTGGATTCTCAGATAACAGGGGGACTGACAGTGATAGCTCTGGCCACTCAAATCACTTCTTTAAATCACAAGCCCAGCGCCATCTCCAATCTTTTGTTCACTTTAATCAACAAGACCATGCGGTTCCACAGACCAAACGGCAACAGAATGTCCCTACCAATGGCGCTCACCAAAAGTCTCATGAAATCACCTATCACCAGCCCTCTCTTCTGTCTCAGAGACCAGTCCAGCCGTCTACTCCAAGCCCTGGTCCCACCAGTCAAGACCAACTCCAAAGCTTCAAAGTCGTTGTCCCCTCTCCTTCTCGCCAGCTGAGAACTGAAATAGCCAGCGCTCAGCGGATCACCTCGGAAGTTCCTACTGGCCTCTCTGAGAAGTACTACCCGACAGATGCCTATGAAGAACGCGCCCTTAAGGGTGCTTACCCAAAGTCCAAGAGAGTCAATCGGGCTGAGATTCCCTTTGAGATTGGAACTCCCGGTCCCTTTCTTACTTCCCGCCCAGAAGTTAACCTGCAGCTTCAGCGTTCACTCCAGCGCAAGTTGTCTGCCATCAAGGGCCCTGCCGTCACCTTCGCTGCTACTGATCAAAAGCTGCTGGCTCAGTTTGAGAATTTCGAATTCATCAATAGTAACCTGCTGCGGAAAGGTGTCCAGCCTGCCCCGGATGAGTTTCACGGGGGTTGCTCCTGCGCGATGGTCTGTGACCCGAGCCGCTGTACTTGTTTAGAGACGGAGGAGGACGACTCCAAGAAGACCATCATTCCGTATGAGCGAGCCAAAGACGACGCACGACTGATGGTGCTCACGCCGGAATTCATGAAACGGAACATGATGATATCCGAGTGCGGGTCTCGCTGCGACTGCAACGCTGGCTGTTGGAACCGAGTCGTACAAAGCGGCCGCCGCATTCGATTAGAGATCTTCCACACCGACAACCGTGGCTTTGGTATTCCTCTCGACCCAGTATCTACTGACCATCCGCTAACTAAGATACAGGTCTCCGGTCCCCAGACCACATCCGCGCCGGGCAATTCATCGACTGCTACCTCGGCGAAGTGATCACCAAGGACGCGGCGGACGTGCGCGAAGAGCTCTGCATGGCTCGACACGGCCACTCATACCTATTCGGCCTGGACTGGTTCGACGACACCGTCGAAGAAGAGGACATGTTTGTCATCGATGGGCAGAAATTCGGCGCCCCCACGCGCTTCATGAATCACTCGTGCAATCCTAACTGTCGCATGTTCCCCGCCACCCGCAACCAGGCCGACCAGCGTCTCTACGACCTGGCGTTCTTCTCGCTGAAGGATATCCCCCCTCTGACTGAGCTGACGTTCGATTATAACCCGGGCTCGGAGAAGGTCGATCATGTCGATCCGCAGGCGGTGGCGTGTCTTTGTGGGGAGAGCAATTGTCGAGGACAGCTGTGGCCGAATCAACGGAAGGGCACGAGATAGCGGTTTGCTCAGTTGGTTTGGACCTGTCTGATCTGTCCGTCTACCGTTATGTATCAACAATCGGAGACTGCGGACGAGTCGAGGGAACATACTACATGCCTTCTGAGTCTCCGCGCTGTCAGTCTGTCTACTACACCTCGCCATCCTCCCAACAAATCGACCTTCATAATACGCCTGAGCGAGATACACAATACCCGAGACCATCCAATATCCCCAAACCCAACCCTCCGACTCAAGTGAAGTCCGAAGTTATGTAGGACAGGAGATCAGAACCCCCCTTGTATCCCCTCCCTTTTCTTTTCTCTTATGTCTTTTCTTTTTCTGTTTTATCGCTTTTGGCCCGCTCGAAATACAAATACCCACGCCATGTTTCTGATCCTCTTTTGGCATGCATGCACTGGCTGTTAGCGTCTGCGTCTGCGTCTGCTTTCTGTGGCGGGTGTTCGGTCGTCAGGTAGTTACCATGGTGGATTTCTTTCTTTCTGTTGTTTTTGTTTTATCTCTAGTGGAGTGGAGTGGAGGGTGCATGGTGGATTGATTGAATGTATCTATCTACCTGACGTATGTGCATGGTGTTGGTTGAATTGAATCCAGTACTGGCATGACCTCACTCAATCAGAATCAATCAATTGAGAGGATGTTGGTTTGGTTCATGGTTAGTTTTGTTTTGGTTAGTGCTCATGGCTAAACCACCTACATACATTTCAATGTGTAGAGTGAATATCCCTGCACATGAATCAAAAATGAAGAACCAGAACCAGAAAATAGGATAGCCATAACTGTATCATACGATATCAACCACTACAACACCAGACCATCATAGAAAAGGCAAGATAAAATGAAAATGACAAATGGTATAAACAAATCCAACCTCACTTATAATAAATAAGAGTAAACAGTCTTATCTTCATTTCATCTCAGAATATACTCCGTCCACGCAGCTTTATATACTATACGAATCAATCAATAATCAAGCATCGCTTCAATACTCCGTCCGTCCAACTACCGCAATAATAAATTTCCAACATTGAAGACCCCAACTGGAACCGGAACCGGAATTCACATCAAGTAAGAGCAGAATAAAACCACCAAGAGCACCGAAATAAGTGAGAGAGTGATAATCAAACCAAACCAACCAAAACAACACCCGAGAGAAATATAGAAAAAGAGAGAGAGAGAAATATAGAAAAAGAGAGAGAGAGAAATATAGAAAAAGAGAGAGAGAGAAATATAGAAAAAGAGAGAGATATAGAAAAAGAGAGAGAGCACATCCATAGATGGCAGACAAGAAACTACCCCCTCCCCTCCATAACCTCAAAAATGCCCCCCATCACGACCCTCTGCTCCCTCAAACCCCCTCCCAACCTCGTCCTCTCCCACGGCGAACCCGAGCCTGACCCAGCATCATAATCCATCTCGACCGCCCCATCCATACTCATCCCCATACCTTGATACTCCCCCCCCGCAAACCCCCCAATCCCCAACGCCGCGTCGGCATCCGCACACGCCGCCCACGAATTCGGCGGTGCCGGCCTTGGCTCCAGCATCTGCAGCCCGAGGCGCTCGATCTGGTCCTCGCGAGCGCGCCACCGCTCCTCGCTCAGCGCGACTTCTGCGCGCGAGGGCCGTCGTCGCAGAAAGATGGGACGCGAGAGTGAGCGCGCGCTCAGGCGGAACGGCGAGGTCCTGGTGCGGGGCCCGCTGGATGGCGAGGGGCTGGCGCTGTAGCTGTAGCCTGGGGTCGAGGGGGCGTGGTGAGGAGGGTGAGACGGGAGGGGGTCGTCATCGTGGCGATCGCGGGTGGGGAGGCGGCCGCGAGGGTGGGTTGGGTGATGGTGGTGGTGGAGGCGGCGAGGCGGAGAGTAGTAGAATGGGGAGGTTGGGGGGGAGGGCGACGAGATGGAGGCGGTGGTGGCGGGACTGGTTGGGCTTCTGGTCGGGCTGGTTTGGTCTTGAGGGCGTGGATGGTGGTGATGATGATGGGGGAAGGAGGTGTGGAGGGGGTTGAGGTTGGGGCGCATTTTGATCGGAATAGAGTAGAGTAGAGTAGAAGATGAGATCGAAGTGGATAGAAGGGATAATGAATGAGGATCGGAATGTCGATCGGCAGGATAACGAGCGATTAAATACGAACGAGCGACACGAGATGGCGAGAAGGAAGAGGATTCGGATGGAGATTATATGATAAATACAATACAAAGAGAGCCGAACGAAGACGGCGATCGGCAGGTGATGGATCAACTTTGGCTGCTTCCGGAGGCGCCGTTTCCGATTGTTGGCAGGAAGAAGAAGAAGAAGAAGAGGAAGAAGGTTCGCTCGGAATCGCCTCCTCGAATCCGCATCCGGTAATCCCTCGCCTCCTTACGCCTTGCTCGTTCGGTCAATCCGATTCATTCTGAATTCGATGGATTCGATCATTTCAATTCAATTCAATCGATCAATCATACATACAAAGATCACACGCCACCGCTATGCAATTCCCAAGATTCTAGCGGAATGCAATTTCACGCCAAGACGTCAAGAAATGAGATGAGACAAAATAACAGGTACCAGCAGTTTACATGTGCAGAAAGTAAAAAAAAATACAAACAAAATCATATCATCCTATCATAGAGTTAGTATATACTACGAATCCGACCGTCGATCCGGTCGTCGCTGCGTGAAACTGCGCCGGATACTCTCGCCCCAGGCCGACTCGCCCAGCGACTGCATCACGTCGCGCACGCTCATCGTGCTGTTCTGGCGCGAGTGCTCCGATGCTTCCTGCTCGTGAGGGTCCGGCCCCGTGTCGTAGTTGGAAGACATCGTATGTGCGCGATCCCGTCGCGGCGAGAGCGACGGGCTGATGCTTGACCACTCCGTCGTCGGCGAGCTGGTGGCCGAGATATGGCCCAGATGGCTGGTGTCGATGCGTGGCAGATGGGCTCCGCGCGAGGACGATGGGCCGGGGTCTCCAAGGCCACCGCTGCTGTGGGTGGGCGACGTGGGAGACAGCATGGGCTCGCCGCCAGGCACCAGGGGCTCCTGCGTCGCCAGTCGCCGCCGTTCCTCTTCCGGCCGGTCGTCATGCGATCCGTCGTCGACGAAAATCTCCGGCACCGAGAACTGCGGCACGAAGCTCATGCGCGCCGACTTCTTGTGCTCGACGCGCCGTCGGAACTCGCGCGACCAGTACAACGTGTCGAAGAAGCCGATGACCGTGGCGCGACGCACCGCTTCGTCGACGCGCTGCAGTCGGGCCCGCCGACGCAGGAACTCCTCCAGCCGCAGACTCTTGCTGTCGGTGATCACGTTGTAATGGGCCAGGATCATGAGACACGAGTGGAACGAGATGCCGCGCACCGGGTCCGCTGACACCAGCACCTCCTCGTAGAAGGTGTTGAGTCGCTGCCGCCGCTCGCGGACGTTGTCGATGTCGATGCGTCGGAGAATCCGGCCCATGCGGTCCAGGTCGAGTCCTTCCACCACGCGCCGGTGCGCAATCAACGAGTCGCGCTTGTCGACCTTGCACTCCTCCAGGATGCGCCCGATCGTGAACTCGCCCTCGTAGATGCGCATCGAGAAGACGCCCGACAGCTCTCCCAGCAACCGTGGGAACTGCTCCTTGGAAATGTACCCCGTGCCGTCGGGGTCGTACGTCGCCCACGCCTGCTTGAACCGACGGATTTCCTCCCGGCTCAGCGCGTAGAGCCCGCTGCTTCGCTGGTAGACGTAGGAAAAGCTCTCGAAAATCAACGACACGAACAGCGACACGAAGATGTACATGCTGATGATGTTCCAGGAGATGAAGAGGGAGCGAGCCCACGGCGCACTGCCGCAGTCGTCGTTCAGGAAGTCGCTGCCGTACGTGCACATGGGCGGCTCCATCGTGGCAAAGTCCTCCATCAGCTCGTTCCACCCCTCGCCGCAGCTGGTCCGGAAAAGAAGGATCAGAGACCGGGGAACGTCGCGGAAGTTGACGTTGTTGTTCTCGCCCTCGCCGAACTTGGTGAGTCCGAATGCCTGGTTCATCGCAATCGCGTACACCAGGAACAGCACGAACCAGGTGGCCAGCAGGTTTCCGATGGACGTCAAGCTACCGGCCGCCGTCTTGAAAAGCTGGTCCAGTTGGTTGTTGCGCGGGATAAGCAGGAGCGTGATGGCGACCAGAAAAAGCTTATTTAACTCAACGATCACCTGTTGGTGTCCAAGGAAACTGAGAACCGTCGTGGCAAATGCTCCCGGAACGGCGAGCAATGAAAAGAGGTCCCAGGAGCTTCGAGTAAACCGGTGCCAACCCAACCCAATCAGTCGGATGAGGACGTTGGCAATGTAGAAAAGACAGAAGAAAAAGAAGAGACCCTCTGCAGATATATAGTCAGAATACAATCAGAAATATAGAACTTCAACGCGCTAACTCACTTCTTATTATATCCCACAATTGCGGCTCCGGATAGAATTCCAGAACAAGCAGCAAGAGATGCAGCATCAGAATGGTGGTAACACATCTGGCCCATCGACCATGTTTCTTGACGGCGACCCGATAGCACCACATCTTCCACTTGTGGCTGGAGTTCTCAAACGAGCGTTTCGAAGGGGAGATCTGCCGGAGAAGCTTCCTCAACTCGAGCCAGGACCGCTGCTCGGCCGTGAGGAAGGCCACGCCGGTCTGTTCCGTGTAGTTGCGCATAAACACAGACACGAACAAGGTCAAGACGAAAACGGCTCCGAGCAAGTTGAACACGATGAAAAAGAGCCCGTTCTCCGGGGCGACGTAGTCCTCGGGTTGCTGGCCCTTACTGGTAATGCTCATGGCGCTGGACTGCACATCGGTCCAGCCCTCTTGACTGACAATCTGAAACAGAATGAAGAGCGAGTTTCCGAAATTGTCGAAATCGTAGTACGGATTAGCAGCTGCCCGGGGCGCGAGAACCTCCCAATTGTAAGGCTCGCTGATGTACTCGTTCACGCAGTAGTCCAAATTGCCCTCGAAGTCGTCATCATTGCACTGCACCAATTGGCCGTTGAACAAATTGACTCCGTAGATGGCGAACGGGATCAGAAAACTCATCGAAACGGATGCGGCCTACGCAAAATATCAGTCATGTCATCTTTGTCGCGCAAGGTTGGCGCAGGGACTTACAGCAATAACTTTCCACCCTCCCACAATGATAACGGAGTGGAAGGTATTCTTGGCACTGTCGCTGACGTTCAGCAGTCTCAGCGCTCTCAGCGCCTTGAAAGCTCCGATGGCTCTAGAAACTCCCCAGTCCTCGAACAGCGAACTGATCACGTTGATCCAAAGTGTCACGAGCACGATGCCGTCAATAAATCCCCAAGATCCGCGGAAGTAGGCGTTCGGCGTCCAAAAGAACCCGTCCGCGATGACTTTGATGAGGGCTTCAATGGTGAATAGAATGGCAAATCCCATATCGGTATATGTGAACCAGTCTCGGTCGTTCCGGAAGTGGTCGCGTTGATAGATCGGGGTGGTGATACACGCGAGCAGCACCATGGCGACAATAGCGGCGTAGACAAATGCAGAGAACGAGTACCACACCGGCTTGTAAGGGTCGACACCTTCGACACGCTGGTGCCCTCGTCCAGGTCCTACAATGCGCTGACACAGTCTGCGGAGGTGGTTGTCCGGCGCGAAGAGGAACAGGGATTTGTTGTAGTTCGGATGTCGCATGAGGTATTCTCGCTGTGCTCGCTTCCTCTGCTCGGCGGCAGACACGACCTCCTGCGCCATGGCCCGGGGGTCCAGCTCCTCGTAGGCGCGGGTGAACTTCAGTTTGGAATAGAATGGATTTGGCTCTTTACGCGTGACGTAGGATGTAGCGGTCGTCCACGCCCGCGCAAACACCCCCGGCTGCTCGGTCTCTGCCGCAGCCGTCGCCTCCATATACCGACTTCGGCGGTTCTCCGCGACTCCTTGTTGCTCGTCCAGGAAATCTTGAACGACAGCATCTTTTAGAAGCATCTCCAGAGCCGCTGGCCCGTAGTCGAGTGGGTCTTTGTAACGGTCCGAGTCCCGGCCCATCATGAGGATTTTGGTCAGGGACAGGTTCCCCTGGGAAGTCCCACTGACATGCTTTTGCTCCAGAAACGCTCTGACCTGCTGAACTCGCTTCTCGTCCTCCGACACATCGAAACTCTCTTGGATGACCGCAATGAACATGTTCAGGACGACGAAATTGGCCACAATGAACCAAATGATGAGGAAGGTGGCGGATATCCAGGCAGTATTGTAAGGGTTGGTTTTCGAGGTGGCATTGAAGAGTACACTAGTCCAATTTTCACTGGACAGGATCATGTACATCCCGACGAACGAATTGTAGATGTTGGTGAAATTGATGTCGGCAGGGTCAACGTCGAGAAGCTGAGTGCGAAAGAGCTGAGTGGCAAAGATGGATGCAAGGTATGTGATCAGAAACACAAAAACAATCAGGTTCAGCAAACCTTTGGCGTTGCGGAAGACAACCTGAATCAAGTTCCTTGTCACTGAAAAAGCCAGCACCACTCGGTACACCCGAAGGATCTGAAAGAGAGTGAGGACCGAGTACGGCCTCCCGGAGTGTTTGATGGCGGGGATTTGGATAATGCAGGTGATGATAACGAGCCCCAGGTCTACCCAGTTGCGCCGGTGCCTATGAAACCCGCGCCAATCGGAGGCAAAGCGCAAGATAATTTCCACAAGGAGCGTAAAGGTGATGACCGTTTCCGTGACATCGACGAATGTTTCTCGACCCTCCGACATGGAATCGCTTCTCAACGCCTGAACGATGAGACCGAAAAGAATAACAGTGACCCAGAACCAGTCGGCCTTGTTATATAGGCGCTTGAAACTACTCTCTTTCGGAGCTGGTTGCTGCTCTTTCTCCGCCGTGTCGACTTTGTTCACGGCAAAAGCACTCCGTTTACTCTCTTCTCGGATGACCTGAAAGGTGTGTGTGATGACGGCAATCAGCAAGTTCACCATCCATAAACTGAGAATGAGAAATCCAAAGGCGAAAAAGAGAGCGGCAGCAAGATAATCACTGTCGGTCATGTAGTAGAGGAGATCGGTGAATGTATTGGAGCTCATGATGACAAAAACGAGTTCCAGCGAGGAGAGGATGTTGTCGAAGTTCACGGTTCCACCATAAGGGTTCTCGTTTTCGACGCACTCTGATCCTTTTGGGCAAATGTAGCCTTTTGGCTTCGCTTGGCTCCTTTCCCCATTCATCTGGATCCACGAGAGTTTGTTGCCGGTGACGGGATCGAGATATCCACCACATAATTGGAGAGTGCCATCCGCGTCATTCAAGATAAAGTCTTCTTGGCCGTCAATGCCACGCCAGACGCAACTTCTTTTGAAACTGGACTTGAAGCTTTGGATGCCGACAATAGCAAAGAGAAGCCAAAAGAAGCCTACCAGGAAGGCAACGTGCACCATTAATGGGGCAGCCCTCTTCAGACTTCGAAGGATAATCTGTTTTCACGTACATCAGCAACGTCGTATCTTGCGCCAATTTCATACGTAACGGCGGAACTTACAGATGTACCATTGGTCAATGCCAGGAGACGCAAGAGACGCAGACAACTGAGCATTCGAAAGACGAAGAGTTGCTGGCGGGTCTCGACTCCGAACACGGAAAGGAAAAAGGCGACCCAGTAAGCCACCACGGCGACAAAGTCGAGACGGTTGAACGAGTGTCGAAGAAAGGCCCGATGAGCGAGTCTCACCCGACGCTTCTGGAGAGGGTCATCGACCACAGTTTGCTCGAGTTGATTCAGCCCGCCAGTGAACGTGCGTATAATCGAGGCCTGTGGGTGTTCCGGGGCTGGTGATGCCTTTCTCGTCGATAATTGTCGCTGCGGAGCGATGAGATTCTTCCCTTTCTCCGCCACGGCTTTTCTAAACCCTATCGATCGATCTATGGTACTATACTCGACAGGATTCATGATGAAGCCCGACACCAGGATTTTGGCAATCAGTTCAAGCGTGTAAATGACAAAGATGGCGAAGTAGGGATAGTCCATCACACTAGTCCCCCATGGGCCGGCGTTATGCCAGTCTGACATGGACGATTCAATCGTCAGCAGGATGGTTTGGATGATGATCACGATCAGAATGAACGGCTCGGTGAAGGGGTGGACCAAGATATCACACAGCCACAGGCGCAGAGGGTTATCGGGGCCCAAGATGCCGAGGGACTTCCCCTTGAGCGGATTGTTGAGCGATCTCCACGCCTTACTTGCGGTCGACTTCTCTCTTTTGACCCGGCCGTTCAACTCGGGCGTCGAGGGCGCATCGTGGGCGTAATCCGGCAGCGATGGAAGCGACGGGGGTTCTTCGAGCCGCGAATTCTTGTGGGACTCCTCCCTCTGGATCGATTGTTCCACCACCTCCGGCTCGTTACTAAGGTTGACCACACGCTGGGACATGGACTTCATCATCGAGCTGGCCCGCATCAGAGCAGAGCCCGACGCCGAAGGGGACAGCGAGCGCCCCCTCTCCGTCGCAATGCTCCCCCCGCGACTCCGTCCACCCAGTCCACTTTCCATATTATGCAGATCATCACCCAGGCGCGCCCCCGTGTGGCTGTCGTCCGGGAAATGGACGGTCTGCGCGCTGTGCCTGTCATTCTGCCTCCCGCGCTCGGGGGTCGCCCCGCTGATAGGTTGAATATTTCCGATATTGGTCAAGGGCGCGGTGTCGCTATATGAAACGCTAGGGGTGAGGTTATGCGCAGGCTCTTGCAGGCCGTAGCCGTCCAAGGGCACGGTGTCGAGGTCGTCGCGGCTGTGCGTCGCAGGATGGCCCGGGGGCCCTTCGAACGAGAGTCCGACCGAGGAGATGGCGGCCGCGAAGGCCCCTGGATCTTCGGGGAAGGCATCGTGGGCATCGGATTCCTGGCGACGGTGGTGCGCGGTTCCTGCAGCCGTCGTGCTTTCGATCGGGGAATCCTCCGCTATTCTCTCGTAATTCGTCTCCGACCGGCGTCTTCTGGTCAACGACCGCCCCGGAAGAAACCTGGTCCCCGCCTCTTGATGTCTCCCGATGTCCGGCGGGCCGGAGAGGTCTTGTAAGGGAATTGAATGATCTGACGAAAAGCTGTCTTCGTGGGGGCCGCGATCATGGCCGTTGGAAGCCATCATGGGCACAATCGATTTGCTAACCAAACGCAGACATCGCAGGTCGCAAACGCTCGAGAGGTCAAGGGAAGATGTCTATTCGATGGAATTTCGCAGGTAGACGGTCAATCGGGCGTAGCCAACGGTTGGGGGCTGTTGTTTGATATCCCCGGTGCCTGAGTTCGTCCGGAGAAGAAATGTCTTTTTTTTCCTCGCTGTCTTAATTAATTAATTTGGGGGAGAAAAGGTACAGGGAAAAGGACTTTGGCTGAGACGGTCGGCACGGAACGTTTAAAAACGGGGCCAATCACACCGGACGAGCTGGCACGAAGACGGCATAGTCGGGAGGAGCAGCAAGCAGAATAATAATAGCAATGGTTGTAATGAATCCAAGGGACAGGTGGTCGACGACCAGATCGCAAAGTCGCGGAGCTTCTTGGCCAAGCCGGGGCTGAGGACGCCGCTGGGTGGCCCGTTGAAAGCCTTACGGCTGGTGAGGAACCACGGGTTGGTCGCCTGCAGATCACTAACAGATACTTCATGTTCAGGGACTCTGCAGTGCCTGGAGGACGACTTACGGCTTACGGCCTACTGCTTACTGCCAATAATAATAATACCGTCCTTGTCCATGCATAACATTCCCAGTATGCAACCCTCCCTCTCTGTCCTGGTACATTCGGCCCTACGGAAATATGCGCAGATGGAGACAATGAGGTTGCCTAACTCCGGGCCCGCCAGTGCCAAAAATAGACTGTTTGGTTGACACTTTGACAAGCTCCATCCGGTCTTCATTTGGACAGATTGAAAATCGCTGCTCTATGGATCGGCTTCATTTCCGGACGGCTTCTCCCGGTCGGCTTTTTTCTATGGTGGGAAAGAAATGGCTACTAGTAGTTACATGGGAAAGACCGATGGAAAATATAAAAAAGAAGAGGCTCAGATAATATGTAATAGTCATTCAACAAGTCAGTCCGTCTCCATCGGATTGCCCTGGGCCGAGTCCTTGACGTGATTCCGAACCCCTTGCAGAAATGTCTCGACAGCATCCCCTCCGCCCAGTGGAACCCCTCCCCTTCGCAGGAACCCTCCGTTTTCCACGGGAATTTTGAGCGCCTCGCTGATACTCGGTAGACCACCGTCTCGGATCGCCGTCGTCAAACTCGCCAGGCTCTGCGTAAACTGGGGCGAGTGGAGAACTTTGCGAAGAATGCCCTTCTTCTGCGACAGCTCCAGAGATTCCATGACCGCCGACGCCAGCTCCGCGCTGTCCTCGGCAGGCACTTCGTCCACTTCGGCAGCCAACAAAAGAAGCGTGGGGGGCAGGAAGCTCAGGAGATTGTCGACGGTCTTGTCATCCGCGGATTCAACAAAAGGCAACGTAGCGGACGGTGGAAGGAGATCTTGCAGCGTAGTGAATGGTCTGTCAGGGTCCTGGGATTGGTTGCTCGATTTCCCTTGGATGGACTGCAAGAAGTTCTGCACGACCGACGAAGGATCCGAGTCATCAGCTGCTCTGTGACGGGGTTAGCATATGATTCACAGAAAGCATAACAACAAGGTTGACATCGGCCTGCTCAGCCGGAAGACTTGGAAAAAGTGGGGGGAAAAAAGAAAAAAGAAAAGAAAAGAAAAAAAGAAAAAACAGAGCTCTGTACCTACGCTCTTCCGCCGTCGGCACCACCCTCCCTCGACTCCTGGCCTTCCTCTCTGACATCTCCGCCGGTAGCATCCGGGCCCGCTCCGCCACTGTTCCCGCCGTGGTTGTGACTCGGGTCATGGTCGACACCTTCGACATCCTCCATGGTCTCGTCATCATCGCCGCCGCCAGAGCCTCTGGGCAGGTTGGCGATTTCATCCTCCACATCGACCTCCTCACCCTGGAGCAACGTGTTGACGATGTCGCCGAGCTTGAGATCCCGAGGACTGAACCAGCTCGCATCGCCTCTCTCGTGCTGGGTCTTGGACTGTAGCCAGAACAGATACCGCTGGGAGCTGGACGAGAACTTCAGGACGTAGACACGACCGTTCGTGGGGGTGCTGTTGTTGGCGGGCTTGTAGGGCAAAAAGCTTCCGTCCGAGGGGACCATCACCAGATCCAGCTCGGGCTCCGTGTGAGGAGCGGACCGGGGCCGCCAGCAGAAGTGTACCAATTCATCTTCCGAGTAGAGATAGATATAGCCGGGCGTCGTCTTGGGCTTGACGATGGGAGTGTCACTGGAAGTCTGTGGTCGTGGCACATCTGCAGTCAGCGCAAGTTTGGATGGGTGGAAGCTACGGTCGAGTCTTCAACTTACGTCCAGGTCACAGATGCCGGCCTTAAACGTGATGATCGGGTCGATCGACATGGTGGAAGAATGGAAGTCAATGACAATGATAAGCCGAAAGGAAAGTCCAGGTGGATCGACTTCTGATGATATACCCCAGACAACACGGGACGCTGAAGTTGGGGAAGAAGCTGCGGCGTGAGAAGATACGTCAGTTCAGGCCCAGCAACAACATCGGGCCGGCTGAGTCAGCGGGCCGGGTGCGTTCTGGGTCGCTGTGCGGCTCCCTTGGCCGGTGCCTCAGGCCGGCCAGGCGGGCGCTCCGGGCGGTCAGGCGGCGGTCCAAATCGGCACTAGCGCATTTCGGCTAGGGCTCGTGATTCCCACAAACCTCAGATTTCCCGCCCTGGGCCGCAAGTAGACCGTCACACATCAATTCCAACAACCACCCGCCGTCGACAACCACCCCCCTTTCATTCTTTTCGACTCCCCTTCGTCCCCAGCAGCCAATATGTCGGACTCTACTGTTGGCCAGACGAAGCAGTTTGGAAAGGGCCAGAGGACCGTGCCGGCCCAGAAGGCCCAGAAATGGTACCCCGTTGATGACGAGTCGCAGCCCCGGAAAGTCAGTACACCCTGAGCAAGGAAATCAAGCAGAAAAAAGCAGCAAGTCCTGTGTCAATGGGAGATACCGGTCCGTTATTTTGAACAAGTGCGACAATTGCGCCGGTCGAAATCCTGCGGGACGAGAAAAAAGACCGGTGCAGATTGGGGAACCATGGAGTTTTTTGATAACGGGATCGCATCTTTCGTTTTCGCATGATTTATATGCTTTTTTCGCAATTTCCACATGTCTTCGACCACAAGAGAAGCCAGAACCAATATTCTGACAATTTTTGTTGCAACGATCTAGGTCCGCAAGGCTGTCCGTCCCACCAAGCTCCGTGAGAGCCTCAAGCCCGGTACCGTTCTGATCCTCCTCGCCGGTCGCTTCCGCGGAAAGCGTGTCGTCCTCCTCAAGCACCTCGACCAGGGTGTTCTCCTCGTCACCGGTCCATTCAAGATCAACGGTGTTCCCCTCCGCCGTGTGAACTCCCGCTACGTGATCGCCACCTCCACCCAGGTGGACGTCAGCGGTGTCGACGCCAAGACCCTCGAGAAGGTCTCCACCGCCGACTACTTCACCAAGGAGAAGGTCAACGAGAAGAAGACTGAGGAGGCTTTCTTCAAGCAGGGAGAGAAGCCCCAGGTATGTCATGAAATTGCGCCCTGTGGAATTTCTCAATCTACGCATCCGGGGAAGAGATTCTGCGGATGTGTGGGGAGAGATTCGAGATCCATATCAGTCCAGATCACTAACTAGGTCTTTTTCCACCTCTACAGAAGAAGGTCGTTGCTAGCGCTCGTGCCAGCGACCAGAAGTCCGTCGACCAGTCCATCCTCGCTAGCGTCAAGAAGGAGAACTTCCTTGGCAGCTACCTCGCCACCTCCTTCAGCCTGCGGAACGGCGACAAGCCCCACGAGATGAAGTGGTAAACATGTCGATGCGGCGGCCGCGGGTTCGGTGATTTGAAGTGTGGAGGATCTTTTTAAATGTGAGGGGCGGCTTAGAATGCAGATTGGCAGTTTTTTTTTTACTTTTTTCCCTTTTGTCTCTTAACTACTCCCCCTATCTCCTTCCTCGTTACCCGAGGAAAGACGGGTGAGGAACAAGAGGTTAAAGGAAGAAGGGAGAAAAAAGAAGGTCAACGCAGGGAAAGGAAAAAGCACAGCTTTCATGAAATATGTAACTTCGATTCGGAGTCCCGATTTTGCTCTTATTAGGATTTACGGTCAATTCGGAAGAAAAAAAAACACAAAACAAAACTCCTGGTTGTTTTTTTCTTTTTTTCTCTTCCCCCGTCTCCCCCCCTCTGTTTCACGAAACCCGGCTGGTTTCTTTCCTCACTTCCCTCGCGTCTGAACTTCTTTGGCTGCTGATCTCGCAGGACAATGTTTCTCAATTATGTTTCTTGATAAATGAGCCGAAATATGAATCCAAAACAAAAAAGACCAAAAAAAGATATGACTGGCTGCGCTGTTCATATCACTGCAGCTGGTACATGTGTTTATGTTCAGTATGATTTATAATTATCTTCAGGGTCGGGTGGGTTATGTGTTTAATAAACAGTTCTAGTATATATAGTATTCTCCTGGTTCCAGATGCGACTTAGTAGATCGATACAGACGGAGTAAGTAGTGGGTGGTGTGCCCTAATCAATCCCCGATAGTGGCAAATGAAATCCCCAGGAATTGGTTTCCTTATCCACATACCCCGGTTTCTTTCTATACTAAGTTGACTAGGTCTAAGAGGTGCGTATTTATCCAATCCCCGATCTCCAAAATACATCACTCAATGACATCGTAGCATCATACAGCATATAACGTAGGTAGATACAAATAAGACATTCAAGCTATCCAACAAGGTAAGAAAAGAAAAAAGGCAATCTCTCCCTCCCAGACTTCTATTTACGCACCAAATGCCAAAAACTTTGAAAAAAAAAAAAAAAAAAAAAAAAAAAGAACAGTTCTCCTAGATCTCCCTACCCCCAGCAACATCCTCAAGGTGATGAATCAACACCTTCTGTCCATTCAATCAATCCATGAACAACCGACTGAACAGACTATCGGATTCAATTCCCCTTCTTCTTCAACCGACTCCTCTCATAAAACTTCCGACTCGTACTCTCATCCACCGCCCTCTGCACCTTATCCGCCAACTCCCTGCGATGCCCGCCATCCTCGTCGTCGTCGTCCACGGTAAGCGTCCCACAGATCCAATCCACCAGACCCCAGCGGCCGAAGTTGCTGTCGTTGGTGAACAGGTGGATCTCGGTGCGGCGGGCGATGCCGCCGAGGATAAACTTGCCAGGCATGACGGAGTAGCCGGAGAAAGCAAAGGTCTCTTCGAGGGAGACGAGCGCCATGTAGAACAGGTAGGTGAGCATGTGGATGCGGAACAGCGCGACGGGGACGTAGGTGGGGATGAAGGTGCCGAGGAGGTAGAGGGCCGGATGGTCGTAGTGCGCGGTGAGGGGGAAGGGGACGCGAAGAGTGTGGTACCAGTTGCGATGGGTTTTAGTGATGAAGGAGACTCGGCGATCGCGCGAGTGCAGGATGTAGCGGTGGATAATGTAGGTGAGGACCTAGAACGGGGGGTGGTGTTAGTTGAGCTCTCGAGATGACGAGTGTAGTGGAATGGAAGGGAAGGGAAGGGCCTCGAAACTCACCTCGCGAACCAAAAGCGTAACAAGTAGTCCCTTGAAGATTTCGAATGGCATGGGCAGCTTGATGGAGACCTTGACCGCACTGCGCATGCGCATGCCATCGATACGAAGTTTCTCGATGGCCGCTTGCACCGCAACACTCAGGAAGATGTTCAGCAGCGACCACCCGGCTACTTTGAAGATTTCTCGTCGGAGCCTGGCCCGTTTGCCGCCACTAGGAAGACCAGCTTCGCCATGGACCTTGATGACCGCCGCGGCGGAGGGTGTCAGGATATCGAACAGAAAGAACAGCAGTGAGGGCACGAAGCAGAAGATCACGCGCACGGCGACGGTGCCGAACAATTCAACGCGGAGGGGCGTATGCGACAGCACGAGGGTCGTCCATGTCATATAGAAGAATATGAAGTTCAGAGTCGTTCTGTAGGACGACAGGGCCGGGATGAGGAGGATCGTCATGATTGGCAACGAAAAGAGGGCGTCCAGCATGATCGCGGTGGTGACGGCGGCGCCGTCGTTGGACTATATATGGCGCCTGGAAACTTCGAGGAACTATGGTTCATCTGCCGTTTGGCATTTTGAAAGAAAGAGTCCCAGGAGTTCTGGGAACAAAGAAACGGTCAATGAAAGAATTGTGTGAATGGAGGTGGGACGGAGTAAAATCCCCAGCCATCGTCGCAATGGATGCGGGCTTTTGCGGTCGCGGACTCGACAGCCTCGACGTCACGCCGATCGGCCGCAAGCCCTACGCTAACCCGATTCGGGCGGAGGCTTTGTTGTGCATCTTCTCGAGCTGTTTGGCGTCAAGGTGGAAGACTGGATGGTCTTTGTGTTTGAGATTCTCTTTGATGTACTATTTATTCTCCTTATTTATTATTTTTTGATTTTAAATTTTCGACAGGGCAAGGGAAAGCGCGGTTTTGTGTGGTTCTGTCGTGAAACGTGGAGATATATATTGAACCTCAGCTCGAGAGCTACGAGATGATCACTCTTAGGTCCGACACAACATCGGTTGATTGAGAGTCCTCAGGTAATAACTATTCACCGGTGATTATTCTAGAGCAAGGACGATGCAAGAGAGATCAAAGAGAATGCTTTTCATTCATTACCTGTGGACCCTCAAAGGCAAGAAGCGCCCAAGGGAGACAGACTAATGTTCATTATCGTAGGTGGTTATGGATATGCTTCAAGGAACAGGAATGTCAAAGGCTATAAGGATAAACACAAGAAAGCAGGACAGGGTATTTAATGTACAGCATCAGACCAGACGTAACATGCGATATGATGGCACTCATTCCTTCTCCTTGGCCGCCGGAAGACCATACTTCACTCCCCAGTTCCAAGCTTGCCTGCGGAGATCGGGAGTGACCTGCAAAAATGCCAGGCTACTGAGCCAGCTGGTCAAGGTGTCACGGATAGCGTAGTTCCGAGGGCTACCGCCGAGAGCGCTTCCCTTCATCACGTGGCCGACAAACATCGTGGTGATCAGGTACTCGCCTCTCTCCAGAGCCTCGATTGAGATTCTCGCAACCTCCTTGGGGGATTGGGGCTTGTCAGCAGCCTCCAGTTGCTTGGTGAGCTCGGGCTTCAGTCGCTGTTCCTTGTCGAAGCCTGGACTCAAGATTCCCATGGGGAAGATGGTGTGGATCTTGACGTCGGCGGGAGTCGCTTCGCAGCGGGTCTTGGTGATGCGAGAGCCGTTGTACATTTCGATTTCCTGGCTGAGTGTGTCGGACAAAGAACGAATGGCAGCCTTGGCCGGGGAGTAAGGAGCATAGCCAGCAATGGGAACAAAAGCAAGAGTGGAGCAAGTGAAGATCAGATGTCTGCGAGGCAGGGCCTGTTGTTGGCTGGGGCCGACAGGCTTCAGCCACTTCTTCAGCACGGCATGAGCGGTATTGGCAGCAGTCCAATAGACCGTGTCCATCTGGTCCCTGAGCGTCTGCACGGGCGTGTCAATGAAGAAGCCAGGGTTGCAGTAGCCCGCACAGCACCAGACGACATCAGGAGGGAGACCGCCGTTCCACTCGGTGACCTCTTCGATCATCCGCTCGCACTCGGCAGGATTGGTGAGGTCGGCACTGATGAAGTGGAACCTTTGCTTCTTGATGTCCGCAGCGGATCCCTGGAAAAGGTTGTGAGCGTAGTTCTCAGCAGGAAGACGTAGAGCACATACCTTGACAACTTCCATGGACTCCTGCAGCTTCGCGGTGGTACGTGCAACGAGGACGACATTGGCACCCTTTTCGGCAAGCAGGGAAGCAGTGGCCTTGCCCATGCCTTCGGAGCCACCGGTGATCACGATGGTCTACCCAAATGTCAGTCAATTGCCCCTGAGATGGATGTCAGAGCGAGGAGACTTACCCGGCCGTCCACCACAAATTCGTTACGAGTTCCAAAGCCAAGCATCTTGGTAGCGGTATATACGAAGAATCCGAAGAGAACGACTGAAATTCCCAGCTGTGTGGGCGATAAGTCATGTAGGTAGAAGGATAGTGTTTGATGCATGAGGAAGAAAGAGAGCGAGAAAGTCGGGGGGAGAAGAAGAGGGAACGACAACACGCAGTCCGAGGCTTCCTTACACGGTCAAGATGGGCGGTCCTGCTTGTTTGGTGTTTCGTATGTTGAGTTTGAGGAAGGCGGAAAGGAGAGCGGCTGCCCGTATGCGCATTACACTGCCGTATCGCTTTTTGGCTGGGGATTCCGCGGTTTCCGTGTATCAGAGCGTAAGATACATCTCATGCAGCAAACCGCACAAACACTGCCTGACAAGGTTTAGCGTACTGCGGGCGGTGAGAGACCCGCCCCAAAATTTTATCAAAAGTTTATCGGTGCAGGACAGCCGGAGTTTTGTAGTCTTGTCCAGATTCCCTGCAAATTCATCGGAGGTTTCAGTCATGGCGAAGAAAAGAAAGGCTGGCGGTCGCCCTGCGGCCAGAAATGCGCCTGCCCCGGAAAAGACCAAGTTCGGTATGGAAGAGCGATTCGACGACTCGGAGGACGAATTCCAGACGGGTCGCGATCAAGTTCTAGTGGACGAAGCTCCCGATGCGAAGAGACGCCGGAAATTGATCGAGGATGGTGGGTTACTCTCAATTCATCCCCTGTGTTTTCATCGAATGGTTTCTGATGTCGTATCGCAGAGCAAGATATCCAACCCTCCGACGAGGAGATCATGGGCTACGAGTCTGTGGACGAAGACGACTTGGATGACGACGACGAAGCCGATGAGGGTGGTTACTACGAGGACGACATGGATGACCAGGACGAGGATATTTTGGGGTCGAAGGGCAAGCGACAAGGTGGTTCGGAGGACGAGGACGAGGAAGGTATAGCCGCCTGGGGCTCTTCCAAGAAGGATCTCTACAATGCCGACCAGATCGAAACGGAGGCGGATGCGTTTGAGGAAGAGCAGGAGGCGAAGCGACTCCAACAAAAGCAGCTGGAGGCCATGGACGAGGCGGACTTTGGTTTCGACGAATCCGAGTGGATGGAATCCGGTAAAGAGAAGGAGGGCGAGGAGGCTGAATCCGGCGTGGTAACGGAGGTCCTACCGCAGGCTGAGGTCTCCGAGGACCTGAGCGAGGAGGAAAAATTGAAGATCCTGAAATCGAGATACCCGGAATTTGAGCCGCTGGCCAAAGATTTCGGTGAACTTCAATCGGTACTCCAGGAGCTTGCACAGGCTGCGAGCGCCACGGAGATCAACGACGACACATTGGACGCACCCCCCGTTTCTGTCATCAAATTCCGTGCCCTCTCGTCATATCTCGGTACCATCGGTCTCTACTTCATGCTTATGACATCCCCCGCAAACGGCGCCGAAGGAAAGGCAACTGCTCTCTCGCCTGCCGACCTGCGCGCCCACCCGGTTATGGGATCCCTCGTCAAAACCCGAAAGCTTTGGGAGAAGGTCAAAGACATCAGCACCCCCGAGCCTTCTGAGGTGGACAGCGAGGAGGAGCAGGACGCACTGGATGTCGCACCAACAACCACCAAGAAGACTAAGGACGCCCAAGAGCCCAAGCCGAAGAAACAGAAGCTGTCCAAGGCCGAGCGCGCCGCAGAGAAGGCCCAGGCCGAAGCCGACGCCCGCCGAGCAGAGCGAGTCAAGAAGACAGAAGCCAACCTTGCCGATCTATCCGACCTTATCACGGCGCCCGGCAAGAAGCGCGCCGTTCAAAAGACCAAGAGATCCGCCAAGGAAGAAGACGATTCGGACTTCGGTGACGAAGAAGCCCTCACCGCCCGGGAAGCCGAGGAGAAGGCCAAGCAGAAACGTTCCCTGCGCTTCTACACCTCTCAACTCGCCCAGAAGGCGAACAAGCGTACCGCTGCTGGTCGGGACGCCGGTGGTGATGCTGATCTACCGTATCGGGAGCGCCTGAGGGATCGCCAGGCCCGCTTGAACGCCGAAGCCGAGAAGCGTGGTCGTCAGCAACCCCAGGGAGCCGAACAGCTGGGCGGCGACAGTGACGACGAGGACCGCCGGGTCGCCAACGAGCTGCGAGGCCAAGGATCCGGCTCGGACGACGACGAATACTACGACATGATCGCAGCCCGGACCAACAAGCGCAAGGACGACAAGAAGGCTCGCGCCGACGCCTACGCGCAGGCTGCCCGTGAAGGCGGACACGTCGAGGTCCAGGAGGAGATCGGACCGGACGGCAAACGAGCCATCACGTACCAGATCGAGAAGAACAAGGGTCTTGCGGCCAAGCGGAACAAGGACTCGCGCAACCCCCGTGTCAAGAAGAGGAAGAGATTCGAAGACAAGAAGAAGAAGCTTAGCAGTATTCGCCAGCAGTACAAGGGTGGTGAAGGCCGTGGCGGCTACGGTGGTGAACTTACGGGTATCAAGAAGAACCTGGTTAAAAGTGTTAAACTCTAGCCTTGGGTTTGTTCTGGGCGTTTCCATATGTGATATCAAAATGGACTTTTATTTTGCGTGTACATATATTACTAGAATTTTTGGACAGGTTAATGTCTTTTCCTATTCAGATTTGGTGCTCATCTCGCCACTTACTGCTAACTGCGCAGATCTGGACGGTAAGGTATATAACTCTAAACATAAATGTTGCGAGCATACGCTCATTCATTACCTTTCACAATTTGTGTTCCCAACTCAATCCATCGAGGGGAGAGCAGGAAAAGAGAGATCAAGTGTCAACCTCCTCGAAGAGCCTATCGAGCACTCTGTCTGCATCATTCGAGTGACCTTCATCTGACAGATCAAGACCCAGAAAAGCCCTCGCCAATTTATCCTATGGTTCAGTGGTTATCAGTCTTCATTGATTCCAGTGCAGTCGATGCCGACAATCCGGATATATCATACCGCTTTCTCTAGCAAGCTTGTTTCCTCAGCTGATAACATGGCACAAGCAGCAACTAGATTCTCGCCACGAGTTGCAAGGGACACGAGTTCGTTGGCTCGGTCAACGATTGGCTGGCTGATTCCGTTCATGGCTGCACAGCTGTGTTGCATCACACATGTCAGAACAGACATTGAGAGTCTATAGGGAAGGGAAAGAAGAAGGCCTACACCGTTCCAAAGCTCTTGCTGCTTCGACCTAAACGGAAACTATTGACCTATGGGTTAGTGTAATCGGACCTCTGGTTGATCCTATCATGGGAGTAGGCTGGGCTCAAACTTGTATAGATAAGTGATTTGGTCTCCATTCTCGCGGGCGTCTTCACAGATTCGAATCTCCATATGAGCGAGCTGTAGTCGAGGACCAAGCTTGATGAGCTCGTGGTTGAGAATTTCATGGAAATGAGTTGCAAAGATGATCTTCGGGGCATCTTCAAGTCCCAGAAGATGCTCGAGTACTCCACATGCTAAGCCGATGCCATCTGTACGCCAAGTCCAGTTTGTTAGCTTTCGACGGAGCTGATGGTAATGGTGATACGAGCCATTTGTGTTTGTCCCTTTACCGAACTCGTCAATTAGCAATAGGCTCCGGCCTGTCACTTGCTTCAGATCAAATGAAATTTGCTGCAGATCGTTCATGAATGTGCTTTGAATCTGATACTGTGAGTGTGTGAGGGAAATGGCTTGGTTTTGTTTCTTCACCTGCGAAACACTGTCTTGAGTGTTTGATTTCAAAAGAATTTTGTCGGTGATTCCGACTTCTGCGCTTTCTGCCGGGACAAAACTACGACGCTTAGCTATGTGCATGCATGTATAGCTGGGATATCGACTTGGATACCTTCCAATTTGTGCTAAATAGATGACGAGCGCAACCTGTTATATCTTGAGAAGCAGACTTCTTCGCAATGGTTGCGACACTCACTTGTTTCATATAAACACTCTTCCCAGAGTAGTTGGGACCAGTCAATAGGAGCATATTTGGCGCATTCATCGAAGACTGATTTGAGGATCCCGAGGCTTCTGCATCTAGTTCCCCCCCGACAAGAAGCGTATCATTGGGAACATACGATGAAACGGTCAATTCTTGAAGTATATGTCTTTCGTTTCGTTAGTGCACGTTGCTCTTGTCATAGATTGTATCGCTTACCGCCCCCCTTCGATTCGAAGAATGTTCTCCTCTGTCATCTTAGGGCGGACCAGTTTATAGAAGCTTGCAGCCTGTGCCATCGCAAGAACACTGAACCATGAGATTAAGCCTTTGACTATGCGGATGGTACGTTACCTATCAACCTGCCCGCAGATATCTGATGCTTCGATGAGAACTTTTTTGTATTGGAGCACCTTCTGCGCTAGCTCATAAGTAATCTCAATCTCCCTTTCTTGAAAGGAAAAAGAGGTCAGTATGTTGAAAGTCCCATGAGGCTTGTACACACCACATATGAGTCCATAAATGTCACCCAATGTTTGGTCCATTTCTCTCATTCGAAAATCCTTGAAATACGCCCGGTTTTCTGTTACAAAGATAAGCTCCCAATCGTCCACAGGCCCGGCGTATGCTGCTTCGCCCCTTTCAGTCAATGGAATGGCGATATTAAACCCAAGTTGGGGGAAGTATATAACGTTCACGTCGATCTCAAGACTCTCGGGGATTGTTTTGGCGATTTCTATGGCGACTTTCTTGAGCAAGCTACTCAGACCATCATATGTGTCTTTCATCTTATCAAGCTCTCGGTCAAGTCCTGGTTTTACCACTGTTCGGCCCTGCTCCTCGGAGCTATCGATATCAACCTGGAGCGTTTAGCTGAGACTTGAAAGGGTGACATGGTGCGTACTATTTCTTGAATCATCCTCCCGACCAGATACAATTGGGCAGCCTCAAGGGCTCGAAGGGCCTCATATAAGTTCAGTTTCCATGCGGAAAATCAATGTTGAGTTCCCAACCTTCTGGTGCAACTCCAGTCCAGCCCCACCGGAAGTTTCTTTGAGAGCATCATGAATGTCAATGCCATAGAAGGCAAACTAAACAGCGTTAGACAGGCACCTTGCTAGAGATTATATGATCGATTCGATGTACAGCTAGAAGCGTAGCCCAGACGGTTGTTTTGAAACCGGTGATCTTCCCACTTCCGGTACTGATCCCCTTTCGAAGGTTGATCATGACATAACGGAGGTTCTTGATATGCTTCAAGCTTTTGACGATCTTGTTGAGAGCATTGAAATTATCTGGCCTCAGATATACACTAATGAAAGAATGCCGTTCGCATATGACCTTCATATCGGTGCTTGGACGAAGGAAGTATTGCTTGAGCAAGTTTTTACCCTGAGGTGTAAATGCGAATCGTTGAAATAAGCCGAAGACCGAAAGGCCTTCCTTGGCAGATGACGACTTTGTTCCAGATCCCTGATTTATCATGCATGGATGTGACTCGGACTCCATAATCTGAAGTGATAGAAGTGTCCTTGAGTTGACGAACCTATGATATTTAAGAGATAGTTTGAGGCCCAGAAGTGTACGTAGCAACTTACATGGTTCCTTTCAACCCAACCATCTCGACGGAGGCAATGCGGAAGATCTCTATTGTGCCATTTCCAGATGACATTGTAGCTCTTCGCCTTTGCAGATGAGTCAGGATAGCGCCAGCGCATCCCATCGTCACAGTGTTCTGTATTTCGATGGATCCTCCCATGTGTAGAATTCGCCCTTCTTGCAATGTGAAGTCCAAACTTTCAGTGTCCATGTGGTCAGCATCGACTAAGCCTGCATGAGGCACAAGGAACCTAATCTGCTCTTCATGCCTCGAGGAGATATCTAGAGACACCAGCTTGGATATCGCGCTAGCATGGCCGAATTCTTGGGATGGTCGTACGTCGATCTGGTAGGGGAGGTATGAATCAGAGCCTGCTATCAGGTCAGCACCGAAATACCCATGAGAATGTGTCGGTGATCCTTACTCTCATCTATGTCCAACCCCAGCCTTCCTTGACCATGCAAATATTCAACTCGAGGCGAGGCCAAGATCACGGTAGGTTTGGTCTGGAAGATAACTGACGAAATATCAATACCATGCATCGCTAGCCATGAGGGTAATACACACTGGTGTCAATTATGTCAGTGCCAGACGACTGCATGTCTCCCAACATATAGAGTTTTTCCTCTCGAGCCGAGTAGTATGAACAGCCAACGGTGCCGGAATCCCTCGTATCAATGGCCACTATGACTTGATCAAACACATCATCAGTGAGCTGTTCACCTAGACGATCATTAATCCGGCTGTTTATGACGGCAGGGGATGGAGGAACTATCGACGCAGAATTTCTCTGTGAGCTGGATGAAAATGAACACTGAGCGATCGGGCGAGCAGCGGGGTTTGGAGTATGTCTCGGAGGAAGAGAAGTGATTGCATCGAAGGGAGGTTGCGATGATCTTTCACTAATGGATGGTCCCATGGCTAATGAAATGGAGAGAATGGAGGGAATGGAGGGAATGGAGAAAATGGAGATGAGTAAGTTGGTGGTTTCGATTCTACGAATTGATGAAGCGGCTGCATACCTTAGGCTGCCACATCTCGTGACAAGGAATCATGCCCAGATAGATCGAATGGATATTGGAATTCATAGATCATAAGTTAGAATTCATAAATCATGTACAATTAATTCACATATTATACAATAGGGGAGATGCTATAATACACATGGACACGTAGAGCGAGGATTCATTTGAAGCCAGTCCATCCAATAACCAACAAGACCAAACAAACCATGCAATCTCATAAACAAACTGGCTTGACTCCGAGAAATTACGGCTTTTCAGCCTCTGCAGCTTCTGGGGGTTCTGGGATATCTTCTGCATTCGCCGGTTCCGGCGTGATCGCAAGCGCCGTCTTGTCGGCATTGAACGAGACACGAGCAGTCTGTCCGGAGGTGATCTCACCGCGGATGATCCTGTCGGCCAGTCGGTTGCCAATTTCTTTAGAGATCAAGCGGTTGAGAGGACGAGCACCGTACTTGGGATCATAGCCCTTATCGCACAGCCAGGTCTTGATCTCGTCATCGACTTGCAGCACCATGCGTCGGTCATCGAGTCTCGATTGGAGCTCTTTGATTCTAATATCGACAATATCCCTCAGAGCTTCTTTAGACAGTCGTTTAAAGACGATAAACTCGTCCATTCGGTTCAAGAACTCGGGTGGATACGAAGCTTGAACCACATCCATGACAGCCTTCCTGATTTCAGGGGAGAGTTCTTCACCCCCCAAGTCCTTGTGAGAATGCAGTGGATCGGCACCCACGAGAATATCGGCACCAAGGTTGGAAGTCAACACAATAAGAGTGTTCCTGAAGTCAACCTTGTGACCCTGCGAGTCAGTGAGGAAGCCTTCATCCAAGACCTGTAGTAGCAGAGCGGAGATATCGCGATGGGCCTTTTCGAATTCGTCAAACAACAACACGGCATATGGCTTCCGTCGTACAGCTTCGGTGAGTTGACCTGCATCGTCGTAGCCGACATATCCCGCAGGAGAACCAATCAAGCGACTAATAGTGTGTTTTTCTTGAAATTCACTCATGTCGAATCGCACCACGGCCTGCTCCGTGGAGAACAAGAATTCGGCCATTTTCTTGCAGAGCTCCGTCTTTCCAACACCAGTGGGACCAAGGAACATGAACGATGCGAGAGGCCGGTTCTCCCCACTCAGACCTGCTCTTTGCATCCGCACGGCATTGGCGACCGCAGTGAGTGCCTCGTCTTGCCCACGCACAGATTTCCGCAGCGTGTCTTCCATGTGGATCAGTTTCTCAACATCTCCGGCCATGAGCTTGTTGACGGGGATGCCGGTCGTGCGGGAAACAACATTTCCAATATCATCGGCAGTGACAGAGTCATGGATCAGAGACGACTGAGAACCCGATTTTTCCTCGCCCTCCTTTGGCAATTTGGCTTCCAGAGTCGGGATCGTAGCGTATCTCAGCTCTCCGGCTCTGGCGAAGTTTCCTTCTCGCTGGGCCTGCTCAAGCTCAAAGCGAGCCTGTTCCAATTCCTCCTTGGTGCGCTTCAGCGATTCAATCTCCGCCTTCTCGTTGTCCCATATCTCGGTTAATCTCTGAGATTCCTCCTTTTTAACCTTGAGGTCCTCCTCCAGTTTCTCCCGTCTCTCTCGGCTACTGACATCCGTTTCCTTGCGGAGAGATTCGAGCTCAATCTGAATGGTAGTGATATCGCGATCCAATTCTCTGATCACATCGGGCTTAGACTCCTGCTGCAACCGCAGGGCCGAGGCCGCCTCGTCCACTAGATCGATGGCTTTGTCGGGAAGAAAACGGTCCGTGATGTAGCGGTTGCTATAAGTTGCTGCGGCAACCAAGGCGCCGTCCAAAATTCTCACACCGTGGTGGACCTCGTACTTGTTTTTAATACCACGCAGGATGGAGATTGTCGCGGCGACCGAAGGTTCTCCGACCTGAATGGGTTGGAATCGCCGGGCCAACGCGACATCTTTTTCGATCAATCTATATTCGTTCAGGGTGGTGGCGCCGCAGCACTGCAGCTCGCCTCTGGAGAGCGCGGGTTTTAAAAGGTTGCTAGCGTCAATGCTGCCTTCCGCTTTTCCGAGACCAAGCAAGGTATGGAGCTCGTCGATGAAAAGGATCACACCGCCTTGTGCGTCCTCGACCTCCTTAAGAACCGCCTTGAGTCGTTCTTCGAAGTCTCCTCTGAACTTAGCCCCAGCTATGAGCGAGCCCAGGTCCAAGGCGACCACGCGCTTGTCCTTGATGCTTTCGGGCACATCCCCTTGCACAATTCTCTGAGCTAGACCCTCGAGGACGGCTGTTTTGCCAGTACCGGCCGCACCAATGAGGACGGGATTGTTTTTGGTCCGTCTCGACAGGATCTGAATGGTCCGGTGGATTTCAGAGTCTCTTCCGATGACTGGATCCAACTTTCCGGCCTTCGCTCTGGCAGTCAGGTCAACACCGTACTGTTCGAGCGCCGCCTTTTCCGGCTCGCCGCCCAGGTTCATCCGATGGGTACCTCCGGGCGGGTGAGGCCGTCCATTGGCATAGCTGCGCGTTGTGACGATGGATGGGGAGAATACGGCGTTACTGGTGAGGGCAGGGAGCGGTCGCGTCTGAGGGAGAAGACGTAATCTTTGGGAAGGGTGGATGATGCGGTTGGGAGACAGAGCTGGCGTACGAAGCAAACGGCTCCGCGTGAGCTGCAGCCGGGAAGCCATGGCTTATGAGTACACTGAACCGAGAAATCAGGGATGTTCAAAGGCTCAGGCGTCAGAGAGACCACGAAAAGCAGGTCCCTGGCGGTGGCTATATACCCCGAGGACCCCAAGCGTCGTGACGCTTCTCGAAAGCTCCACCACGGCGACGGTGAGTGGCGCAAGCTCAGCGAAGCTCCGTCACCAGTGGGCGGGTCACGTGCGGGCCCCGTCCGAGGGGCTTTTTTGGCGCCGAAAAAATTCGCAACGGAAAGAAACTGCAGCGAACATTTTTCCCCTCCTATTTATTACGCCTCTCCCTCCCTCGTCCTTTTTCCTCTTTTCCAACACACTCATACTTCACATCCACATAATCCTTCACAATGGGTTTCACCGACTTCGTTTCTGAGACTGGTCTCACCCGTACGTCTTCTCTCCTTTCTTTTTTTTAACCCTATTGTCTCCCCCTCTTCCCACACTCGTTGCAGGAAACTAATTGTACCCCTCAGTTGCCAACAACTTCTTCTCTACCCGGAGCTACGTTGTTGGGTAAGACAACCCCTGCCTTCCCCCTTCTATATTCCTTGCATATGTTCTTGTTTTATCTCCCAGCTGTTCCTGTTCGCATGATGAAAATCAATTGGTCCGTGTTTATGAGGCGGATTAAGACCCCGCTGCAAGACTACACAACAATCGCGAGCAATCGCATTTCTGATCGCCAGGAAGAAAAAGAGTTTATATTCTTTTTGTCATTTGCTGTTTATTTCTGAAACCATGTTATCAACCAGCACTGTGTTGGACTGCATTTGGCTAACCTTCCTCATAGCGATGCCCCTTCCCAGGCTGATGCTGTGACCTTCAAGGCCTTCTCCGGCGCCCCTGACGCCGAGAAGTACCCTCACGTCGCTCGCTGGTACAAGCACATTGCCTCTTTCGAGTCTGACTTCGGCTCTCTCCCCGGTGACTCCTCCAAGGAGTACACTGCCTACGGCCCCGAGTCCACCGACCTGCCCACCAACCCCAAGAACAAGCCCGAGGATGATGACGACATGGACCTCTTCGGCAGCGACAGCGAGGAGGAGGACCCCGAGGTCGTCAAGGAGCGTGAGGCTCGTCTTGCTGAGTACAAGAAGAAGAAGGAGTCCAAGCCCAAGCCCGTTGCTAAGTCTCTTGTGACTCTTGAGGTTAAGCCCTGGGGTGCGTATTCTTGCCTATTGTCTTTCTCGAACGGTACTAACTGGTGTTTATAGATGATGAGACCAACCTTGAGGAGCTCGAGGCTAACGTCCGCGCCATTGAGGTCGACGGTCTCGTCTGGGGTGCCTCCAAGTTCGTTACCGTTGGCTACGGTATCAAGAAGCTCCAGATCAACCTGGTCGTCGAGGACGAGAAGGTCTCCACCGACGAGCTCCAGGCTCAGATCGAGGAGGACGAGGACCACGTCCAGTCCACCGACGTTGCTGCTATGCAGAAGCTGTAATTGAAACGCCCAATCATGAAGCGAAATGGTGTGATGAAGGATTTTATTATTTGATGCCATGAACTTGAATAACTAGAACTCGACCGGATGATCTCTGGTCGTTTTGATGAATGAAAAAACAACCAAAATACCCACATTCAATTTTTAATATCTTTTTCTCCCACGTCCTTTGTAAATGCCTTTCGTATATCTGGTCAATTGGGATTTTACCCCGCCGAGTGGCTTAAACAAGGTGCCCAACCAAATCCCACTTTCTCTTGGGCTGGTACGGCGGGGTCGTCGCCTGAGGTTCCGTTTCTGCACTTCAGGTCTGACCAGGCTACCGTAGAATCCAGACTTCCGGCCGCGATTACATACGCCATCACGGAGCTGTGATATTATCCTGGAGGCCTTCATCCCAGCCTCAATCCCGATCATTCGGCCAGTCCTCAATCAAACCCACCGCCAAAATGGGATACATTTCCCGCCTCACCACATTCTTCGGCCTCGTGCTGCTCGCCCACGCGTACGTCCATTACCACCTACCTATCTACACATCTCCAGCACTTCTCCAACCAGCCAGCACCATACATACCCTCTACCTACCTATCTACCTCCCTCCCTCCTTCCCCCTCGCTCTACCCCCTCCTCTGACCTCCAAAATCTAACCACCCCCAAAAACAGCGGCTACTCAGCACACGAACACACCCTCCTCTACAGCAACGCCCGACTCTCGTCCACCTCGTCCGCCAGCGCCCTCCCGCACGACATCGTCATCGAAGCCCTCGTCTCCCTGCTCATCGTCTCCGTGGGCCTGGTGCTCGGCGCCCCGGCCCTGAAGCCCATCAGCTGGAGCGAATGGGCGGGCCAGATCGAGCGCGAAGGCGGCGCCCGGAATCCCTACCGGCGGTTGGAGCAAAGGTATAGCTTTTGGGATGTTAGGGTATGTGCTCTTCTTTTATCTTCCCTTCTATTGGTGTCGGGGTGTTTGATGGGGGGCTTGTCTTTCTGTCTGTGTGTCTGTCTGTCTGGTTTTAGGTGGGAGGGTTGGGTTGTCGTGATTTGGTGCCGCGGGAGATCGTGGTGAGATTATGAATGGATGGATGATAAGCTAACGACGAACGTACTATAGGCCAAGAGGAAGGAGTTTGCGGACTGGGTGAAGGGGGATATTCCGAAGGCTTAGGGGGGCCTAGGTTTATTTGGTTGATGGTTCAGGCTGGGTTCTTTTTATCTAGCTTTCTATCTATCTACTTGTCTAGCTGCATGGTGAGGTAGACTAGGTAGGTGAGAATGAACCTGTTGGGAGGGTTCTACTACATAGTACGGACATGGATGGATGTATTTAAACAAACAGAGCAAAAAATGACTACGGCTTCGACAACTTCCAGATGCAGGATATGTACAGTAAACTAGGAGTTAAGGCAGGTCTTGGCTTTCTCATGTATCAGATGATGAACGAGTACTAGTCCCCAGCACCACGAAGAGGTGTCTCGCCTTCGCTGGGAGTCTTAGAGGGCTGACCACAGAACACAGGGCGCATGGCCTGAAGTGCAGCTCACCTTCAACAAGGGCCGACACAGCTCACCTCCAAGGGCCGTTAGCATCTGGTAAGAAACCTGGTCCTACTTCCTTAACACCGGGACACGACCAGCCCTATATAGCCTGTCTCTCTGGCGACACAGCGCGACCAGCCGCGCAGATTCAACCTCCTTTACCAGATAGTAGGTCTGTTCCCCGCAGCAAGTTGAGTGTGGCCATAAAATGCCCGTTTGACCGTCGGCAACATCGCACTTCGTATGATTGAAGCGATGCGGGCAAGACCACAATGTGACCATCCACTCTCACTGGTAAAATTTTATCTGGAGCCTACTAGATGATCGAAGGGGCTAACACCGCATCACAGCACTTGGTTTAACGACATGGAGCACGTTACCTACTCAGAGCAAACCAAGCAACATCTTCCTGCGTGGTGCTAATCGGTTGGATGGCTTAACATTGACCAAGGCATCAGGACAGAATTACACGCACGGTGGCAGCGGTGGTGATCCGGTCAAGCTGGCTCTGAAGGATGACGAATACTGGACGCAAACAACACTGTGCCAGGGCAAGCGCGACGACCACACGCGCATATTCTACCTGCACTTGACGACCAGCGCTGGAAACGAGCTGGAGGCTGGCACCCAGACAGACGATTGTCAGGAATTCAAGGCGCCCGAGGGCTGGCATGTTGTAGGCTTTTACGGTCGCGACGGCGATGAAGTGGATTGGTTGGGATTCATTGAGTTACGGATCCCAGTGATTCATCATCACCCAAACCGGACATCAGACAACAAGCCAGCTTCTGCGCAGGGCGGTGTCTCAGAAATTGCGCTCATTATTCTCTCGGCGAAACCGTAATCAAAAACTATAATCACCATAGTTATCGAAAGCAACGGGCATTTTTGTCTTATGGATATATCTTCTAAGCCTGAGTATATTCTGCTTCCGAAAAGAACACGGAAGTGCTGGCAGATCGCCGTGCTGCATCGGGAAGTAAAACACCACATATCGGCCCGAAACACGGCACAGGGACAGAGTAGATAGGGAGCCGGCCGAGCTCATATTCAGCGAAACCAGCAATTTTGCAGTCAAGGACATCCCGCCGTGCCGAAAGGGGCAATGGACCCCGGAGATTCTTCGGCGATACTGGTATAGATCCAGGCACTCACACCACATGGCTTGACCGGGGGTTGAGACCAGGAAGATCCTTTCCACTCTATCAGCGGAGCGATAAAGCTTCTGTTTCAGAGTGAGATGATGAAGGCCTCCCTCAAGCTGCCCTCCTAGTATGACATCAGACAACAAGCCAGCTTCTGCGCAGGGCGGTGTCTCAGAAATTGCGCTCATTATTCTCTCGGCGAAACCGTAATCAAAAACTATAATCACCATAGTTATCGAAAGCAACGGGCATTTTTGTCTTATGGATATATCTTCTAAGCCTGAGTATATTCTGCTTCCGAAAAGAACACGGAAGTGCTGGCAGATCGCCGTGCTGCATCGGGAAGTAAAACACCACATATCGGCCCGAAACACGGCACAGGGACAGAGTAGATAGGGAGCCGGCCGAGCTCATATTCAGCGAAACCAGCAATTTTGCAGTCAAGGACATCCCGCCGTGCCGAAAGGGGCAATGGACCCCGGAGATTCTTCGGCGATACTGGTATAGATCCAGGCACTCACACCACATGGCTTGACCGGGGGTTGAGACCAGGAAGATCCTTTCCACTCTATCAGCGGAGCGATAAAGCTTCTGTTTCAGAGTGAGATGATGAAGGCCTCCCTCAAGCTGCCCTCCTAGTATGACATCAGACAACAAGCCAGCTTCTGCGCAGGGCGGTGTCTCAGAAATTGCGCTCATTATTCTCTCGGCGAAACCGTAATCAAAAACTATAATCACCATAGTTATCGAAAGCAACGGGCATTTTTGTCTTATGGATATATCTTCTAAGCCTGAGTATATTCTGCTTCCGAAAAGAACACGGAAGTGCTGGCAGATCGCCGTGCTGCATCGGGAAGTAAAACACCACATATCGGCCCGAAACACGGCACAGGGACAGAGTAGATAGGGAGCCGGCCGAGCTCATATTCAGCGAAACCAGCAATTTTGCAGTCAAGGACATCCCGCCGTGCCGAAAGGGGCAATGGACCCCGGAGATTCTTCGGCGATACTGGTATAGATCCAGGCACTCACACCACATGGCTTGACCGGGGGTTGAGACCAGGAAGATCCTTTCCACTCTATCAGCGGAGCGATAAAGCTTCTGTTTCAGAGTGAGATGATGAAGGCCTCCCTCAAGCTGCCCTCCTAGTATGACATCAGACAACAAGCCAGCTTCTGCGCAGGGCGGTGTCTCAGAAATTGCGCTCATTATTCTCTCGGCGAAACCGTAATCAAAAACTATAATCACCATAGTTATCGAAAGCAACGGGCATTTTTGTCTTATGGATATATCTTCTAAGCCTGAGTATATTCTGCTTCCGAAAAGAACACGGAAGTGCTGGCAGATCGCCGTGCTGCATCGGGAAGTAAAACACCACATATCGGCCCGAAACACGGCACAGGGACAGAGTAGATAGGGAGCCGGCCGAGCTCATATTCAGCGAAACCAGCAATTTTGCAGTCAAGGACATCCCGCCGTGCCGAAAGGGGCAATGGACCCCGGAGATTCTTCGGCGATACTGGTATAGATCCAGGCACTCACACCACATGGCTTGACCGGGGGTTGAGACCAGGAAGATCCTTTCCACTCTATCAGCGGAGCGATAAAGCTTCTGTTTCAGAGTGAGATGATGAAGGCCTCCCTCAAGCTGCCCTCCTAGTATATAAACGTCCATGAAGACCACGAAATAGAGGACCAAACAACTTCCAAACAACTCGAATATCAAAGCCGGTCGAACATCTCGCACAATTCAATTCACAATGAGAGCCTCCTTGTCTTTCCTCCTCGCCCTTCCCGTTGCCCTGGGATCCGTGGTCCAGCCCCGGGATAACCGTGGCAGCTACACCGTCGCTGGTCTGGGAGAGCGAAAGCAAGCTGTTCTGAATTCCGGCGGCAACACCATGGACGTCGCTATTGCCATGTTGGAGACGTGAGTACCTTCTTTTTGAAGAACATTTGGAACCGATCGCCTAACGATCATAGCGACGGCATGACCACCGACTACACTTACGGTAACTACTTCGTGACTTTCCAATCGAGATCTGCAGAATCCTAACGCTCCACAGGCGATGGCAAATCCGGCGACGCCACCAACTTCGGCATTTTCAAGCAGAATTGGATGATGCTGCGCCAGTCCGCCTCCGAGTTCATGGGCCAATCACCCGAGGACGTCAAGAATGGCGAGGTCCTGAAGTAAGACATTACCACGCTTTCCGGCCCTGCTGATCACTGACCTGGATAGCTCCGACTTGAACAAGGACATCAAGGCTCGCCATGACAGTGAGGACCACTACGGCTTCGATGTCTGGGTTGCTGGCCACAGAAATGGCCAGAGTGGTTTGGAAAACCCGCACACCGATGACATTGCCAGTAAGTTTTGGATCTGAGAAAGAAACGGGAGTGAAGATACTGACTCATCTCAACAGCCTACCGCAGCGCCATCGAGTGGATCCAGCAGCAAATTGACAGCCAGGAGTCTTACAAGTCCGATGATACTCGCTTCTGGGTCGATGTCACCGCCATCTAAGTGATCTGAGCCGTCTGCCCGTGGCCATCCACGGCCTGTTAGGGCAAGGTACATTGTACACCACACTGAAGACGATAGAGGAGGTGTTTGATTTCTTGTTCTGTGATTTAACCATCTTCAAGTCGCTCCTTTAGCTGCGTCGCAGAAATCAATTACATGCGTGTTTCTCGCAACCCAGTTTATCTAGAGATTTCGCATCACCTCCGGCTCAATAGCCTCTAGTATTGCACACAGTTCATGCCAGATCTTCTTCTGCGCTGTGTGGCTGTCCTCGCCGCGCACAAAAGCTGACCGCTCGTGTGGCGCTAGGATGTAATTATTTAGATACTCGCCATGAGTCTCCGGGCCAGCTGCGAGCCCATCTATTATAGTGCGACTGCCTACCTTTGTAGACCGGGCTAAAAAGAAACTTCATGGTCGCCATGCCGATACCCGCGTTATGCGAGAGCTGGGAATGACAAACCCGGGTTAACTATTTGCGGTATGAACATTTTTCGAAGACTGGGGAAGACTGATGTTTCCGGCAAAGCCATATTAACGGGTTACTTATCTACAGTGGATATCCGATAGTCTATCCGCAACCAGGTTAAGGTGATTGTTCAGCTAGATAAATAATAAGCTTAAAGTTAAGCTACTATATATTGATGTTAAGCTGTATTATTAGTAGCTAAATATTAATACAGCGGCTAATACTGCCGGACTGTCCACGAACTACCGTAAGTGGGTTATGTCAAGATTTTTAACTTATATCATTATTCATAGTAATTTAACAACTTTAAAAATCCTGAGGTGTCACCGGCGGGCCCAGAAGAGACTTGGAGGGGTCTCGGGCGGGGGAGATCCTCCCAAGTTTGTATGACACCATATATGGCGGGTTGGGTACTGGAACTCCTACGGAGTTCCATGTTGGTCTTTTTGGCCGTGTGGGAGAACGTCGAGTATCCAGGCGCCTTTTACATGAGGGCTGTTTATCTATTACAGTGGTTGAATTACCCGTGCAAAATAGATAAGGGATAAATATAGTAGAATTTAACGTAATCCACAAGCGAGCCGCGGATACAACCGAACCGCGGATCCTTCGCCATGGCCATTACTATTTGAAGCTATTCAATCACAAACTCCATTAAATTTACTGAATAAATATATGAAAATTCAGCTATTTACTAGGACAGCTCCGAATTGTATGTCCAACTGTTCCACAGCCACTGCAGCGTGGCAAAGCCCGTTGACGAGGTACAGGAGTAGTTTGCTCAGGCTGCTCATTAAGCTGCGTATTTAGCTGCTGAACGCGATTTTGGCCTTCCTGTACAGATAAAAGGGTATCATTCCCTAGTAGAGCACGCCTTCTTGCTTTCTTTTTATATTTTCGCTCATTTTCGGCTCGTAAAGTCTTGATTTCTTGCTGTAAAAGGAGGTTGGTTTGCATCGCCATTTGAGCAGCCTTTTCAAGATGTTGAATATGAGCAATTGGGCTACTAGAAAGCTTTCGTTTAGCACTAAGACTGTTCTGTAAGCTGCGTATCTCTCGATCTAACTGGCGAGTATTCTGTGGAGTCTGGAAAGCAGAGGAAATTGACCCTTCAACTAGTGACGGTGCAGGTGTAGGTGTATGTAGTCGAAAGGTAAGCTTTGAAAGAACTCGTTCTTGATTAAGTGGCTTAAGCCCTGCTCCTGCGAAACCACTGCAGATATTCGTAGAAGTAAAGACTTGAGCCCGTGCGTCTGGATATAGTGATAAAAAGTCCTCTTTATCAATATGGTTGTTACCCGCAATCATACGCCCTTCAAGCAGTTTTCCGTATGCGCGTTTAAGCGGGCCAAAAACACCCACATCAAGCGGTTGAAGAAGGTGCGAAGCGTGAGCAGGCATACAAAGACATATTATTGCATTTTTTTTGCAAAAATCGTCGAATTCAGCAGTCAAATGACTACTATGGCCATCCAGAATGAGCAGGCGTTTTGCCCCAGTCATATAACGCCTAGAGGAGGGTTCAAAGACATTCTTTAGCCAAAGAAGACCTATTTCATCGGTAGTCCAGCCATTTTGGCTTGTTGCAATCCACCAGTCTCCGGCAAGTTTAGGTTCTTGAAACCATGCGGCCTGTTGATTGCCTGCTTTAAGTATAATGACTGGTGGTATATGTACGCCGCTTGAGCTGACTGTTTCGATGATTGTAACCCATTCACGATTACCCTGGATAACCCTGCGTGGCCGCTCACTACGCTCTACTGCAGTAATAACTTTAGCAGCTGAGCAGAGCCCCATTGCAAAGCCAGTTTCATCAAAATTCCAGATATCGTCTTCGTGTATGCCGTGTTCTTGGATAGTCTCGTGGACAGTTTGAAACCATGGTATTATAACCTTCGGATCTTCTTGTTTTGCGCGTTGATATGTAATCCGTCTGCTGTATCGTGTACGTAGTTGAGGATGGCGTTTAGTAAAATTATATGACCAGTTAACTCCAATCATTGCCGTAGGGATTTGAAGACGCGAACGAAGTAATATCTCTGCCATTTCACGTAGGAATTCGGGGCGAATTGGAAATCCTCGCGTATCTGCATCTAGTAATCGCTTAACAAGGATTTCTTCTTCAAATTGAGAAAGTTTATGGCCATTGGCGCGCGTTTCTGATCGTGGTTTTACACCGCGGAGTCGATCGCGTAGAGTATTTTCAGGGATCATAAAAACCTGTGCAGCGCGTAATATAGATTTAATTTGACCCTTTTGATAAGCTGAAATAGCCATCTGAATACGCGATTCTTTAGAAGGAGGCATATTGCATTCAGTGTTGAAGATATGACGCGTTGAATAAAGGGGGTGGAATGCTGATTGAGGATCCGCGGTTCGGTTGTATCCGCGGCTCGCTTGTGGATTACGTTATAGTTTATTACTTATTAAGCACAGGCTAAACACTGACTAAATGCTCACTGAATGCTCACTGAGCAGTGAGTCGTGATGTGAATGACTTATTGAGCAAACTTCTGAGCGCCCTCAGTAAAGCGGCGATGTCTATAACAGGAAATTAACGATAATGTAGAAAAACAGGTACGTATAGTGACCTACGTATGTACAGACTCCATACTAGTAACTGGGCAATTGGCCAGGGATAACGGAAGCATTGGCAGATATTTCTCGGCCGTATAATATCGGGATTTGAGTTCGAGCACTTGGGCTGAAGAAAATATAACAATGATCCATGCATACAAGGTTGTACATGTATATTTGGCATCATTAACAAAAAATAAGCCGGGATCCATGGCCCTTTCTAACCCCGTCATAGTTCCAAGCACCGACACAACGCCATCTGCCCATAATGGCTGCAATCCCGACAAATCCGAATGACCCTGGAGGTTGTACACCGCAGTTAACGGTGCTAGGTATAAATGGACGGCCTGGGCCATTACTGCCATTGAATGAAAATATCAGCTGCGATTCAAGACCTATATAACCTACATTTTCCCCACATCTCACATCAACCCAACCCTACGATCTACACCACCAGCCCCCAACCCAACACTCCATGAGTATCCTCATCACCGGCGCCACTGGCAAACAAGGCGGCGCCGTCGCCCGCCACCTGCTCGCGCGCAATGACATGCAAGTCCACGCGCTCGTCCGCAGCGCCTCCAGCTCTGCCGCACTCGATCTCCGCGCCCTCGGAGCCAACCTAATCGAAGGGTCCTTCGACGACGCAGCGTCTCTCCAACTGGCCTGCCAGAACAAAACCGCCGTGTTCCTGAACGTCACGCCGTCGTTCCGCAACGACGGCGCAGAAGTCCGCCACGCGACTAACGTCCTACTCGCTGCCCGCGCCGCCGCCACCGTCACCACCCTCGTCTACCCCAGCGTCTCCGGCATCGATCAGCACGAGAGCTTCCCCGCCTGGACGACCTGGGCTGACGATCACCCCCTGAAGGCGTTCTTTCGCGACAAAGCCGCCATCGAAGAGATGGTTCGGGAGGCCGGGTTCGCGAACTGGGTTATCTTGCGTCCGCCGGTGTTTATGACGAATTACCTGAGTCCGACGGTGGAGGGGTACTTCCCTGAGCTGGTGTCGGGGGTCTTCCGGACGGCGCTGGGGCCGGGGAAGCGCACGATGCTGATCAGTCCGGATGACATTGGGCAGATTGCGGCGGCGGCGATCGCGGAGCCGCGGCGGTTCTCGGGGCGGGCGATTGATATCGGGGCGGAGGCGTTGACGGCCGAGGAGGTGGCGGGGGCGTTGGCGGAGGTCGGTGGGAGGGAGATCCGTGTGGAGTATATTCCCGACGACGAGGCGAGGGAATTGGCGAAGACGAATATGCTGATCGATGTCCAGCGGTGGTATTGGGAGCGACAGGCGGGGTTTGATCCGAAGCAGGTGGCGGAGGAATTTGGGCTGAGGTTCACTAGTTTTAGGGACTTTCTGAGGGCGAATGAGGCGTTGCTGAAGTAGAGTCTTGGAGTTCAGTAATTAGGAGTGTATGCAGTAGGTGAGCTGCGTGAGCGTAGTATTGTTCATGATGGATATATCAGATTTGATGTTAGTGAGTAGTGACTGGCCGCAGAGGAGGGTAGTAAGGCACTGGATCATTGGAGGCAATTCAAATTATGAGCTGCGATGGCTTTCGGATTTGACCGCTTGCTGTGCTCGAGACCTAGGACAGGAGAATTCAGGACGATCCAGATCATTCCAACCGAGTCGAGGAATGCGAGTCGCCGCATGTGAGGTGCAAGGTGCAAGGTACCGACCGGACAGCACGCTCGGGCTTTGCTGTGCACCATGAAATGAGGGTTGCAGAATCCTCCGTTGCGACAGCAGATTAAGTGGAGAGGGCCATCATCTTAATATGTAGGAATTATGCTCCGTAATATATTATTGAACCCTGGATTGAGCCATCATCAGGGTCCTGTCCACCGCCCAGCGTCAGACGTAACCAAACCGTACGAATTGATTGCACCCAATTAAAAGACTGGAGTTAAGCTACCGTTTCGTGTGGCGGGTTAATTAAATTCTCGGCTGTTTAATCTCGCCATGACAGCTTAACCTCCTCCAGAACGGGATGGATATTATCTATCCAAGACCAACGCAGAGCGAATCAAAATAGAAACGCTCTTGGCCCGAATGGGCGGTCTCTACGGGGCGGCCGTGTCACATGGTGTTTGATCTATAAGAACTAAGAAGCGACACATCATTTGACTCCCACCACGTTGTGCGTTCAGCAGGTCGAGGGATCGGGCCTTCAGGGTTCGCAACGGACTCGATGTAAAAATAGCCGGCGATGGAGAGACAGTCTGACAGAGAGAGAGACAGAGCACCACATGTTTTTGACAGCCGGCGTCGATTGGATTCCATTCTCGCGACGGATGGAGACTAAGTCGCTAGCTCCCTTCGGGGCCACCGTGTCTTGCCTTCTGTCCCCACGCACTCGATTTTATTTTATCACGTAGATTGACGCAGATCCACCCAGTCCTGAGGCAGATTAAGTCGCTGATTGGGGGAGGACGGCACTAGAAGAAGTCATACCGTCATTGTCAGGCTCATTTCTGAGAAGATGGGACAGATGGGCATTACAGAGTAGGTAATTCTTCCTGTCGGAGAGAATATTTGCATTTCGACCCTTCCATGGTCTTCGTCCATTCACTCATTCATTGTCATTTCCCTTGCGTCGGAAGGGATGAGGGGCGGTATTTCTTTTTTTTTTTTTTTTTTTCTTTCTTTTTTTCTAACTTCTGTTGGTGGTACTGTACGCCCTGCGGTCAGAAGTTTCATACTTCCTACTCAGAAAACCCCCTGGAAACGGTACCTTACGGCCGACTCTTCCAGACCGGCACTAAATGTCTTGGAATTCTCGGGGGGCTGTCAGTCCGATGCTGCAGGGTGGGCATACGTACTCCGTGCCACAAGGGACGCTCGTCGGCTGGTTCCGTGCGACGTGATTTGGTCCGAATTCTTTCCTTTCATCTTCTCCCTCGGAATAGGATGGAATACTGGACAAGGTGCAGTTCTCGTCAATGTCGCTGGCGACGTATGTACGTCCTACCTGGCTCGTAATCGACACGTAAGACCCAACCAACCGGGCTTACGACCTTACCTCTGGCACTATTTGCTACCACCCAGGTATACTCCGGATGAGTAGCCCCCAGGTAGGATGGCAGGAGTGCAATCTTACTGACGGCGTCCGAGCACCAATGGGGTCAAGGGAGGCAGGTTGCGTATCCTACGTGGTCGGACGTCGAGGCTCGAGCCTCGCAGATACGGGTAAATAACGATGAATGATTAATGAACAATGAATGCGAACCATGCGTCGATTCCTAGGTACCTACCTTCTGACTAGGTATATTTTAAGGTATCTGTAAGTATCCGTACCGAGTGGACAAGGAGTGGTACCCATTACGTACAGCCATTACTCACTGAATATGTACCACGTCCGGAGTATGTGCTCGCTTATTGCTGATGACGGTGGCTTGACTTTCCCCTAGAAACCCCTAAGCAATGGGCTAACAGGTAGGCGCGGCAGACGATGTCTGGGCAACTGACTCTGCCCCGGTCATTTCATCTGGTTTAATGAGGACTGTCCGGCTCATCTGGTCTATGCGGATCGGACAATCTGCAGCCGTCCTCGGAGTTGCACATGTCGACCTACTCTTTCGGGGTGGGACTAGCTGTCTAGCCTAGGGACCTGTGCTGTTGCAATCTCATCGAAAGGGTTAAAATAGAAGCTCCTACTAGTCAGTAGTCATGGATGGGAATGATCTTATTTTGGGATGACGAGTGAGACAAGGATTCGACTAAAGGGAGTTCAGCCAGCGAAGGGAGCCCGAGAGAGAGACACCGGCCAGCCTAAAGGATACGAAGGAGGTATGGACTCCGGACAAACTTTTCAGATGAGAGGGAAAAAAAGAAAAAAGAAAAAAAAAAAAAAGAAAGGAAAGAAAAATAAAATGAAATAAAATAAAAAACGAATTGAAATAAATAAATAAAATAAAACACCACCAAACATCGACTTTGCCCTTTGCAGATCTACAGTAGGGCACACCTCCCCGGTCATTGGCCCAGACGGGTGGGGCGGCCGGCTGACTGTGCTGGGGTGGCGGCCAAAAATAGCAAGAATCGCAGGAGGGCATACGCACACCTCCCCTTCACACTGGATTTTTGGGTTTTTCCAGCGCACCAACAGGGCTTAGACCAGTCCGCCCCGGAACGCCCTAGACTCAGTCTCCCGCCCATGGAGATTGTCTCCCTGTGGTGGGTGGAGCCTGCAGGTGCGATTGCCACTAGGAGGGATGGCCAGGTCGGCGGAGGCTTAGTCTAGTCCTGCTCATCATTCATCCAACGAGACGCAGGGCTGATGATTCACGGCGTACGCAGCAGTATTACTTACCCAGGGAGTAGGGGTCACCGGGGGCTGGCCGACTGTCCACCCAATAATGTTGTCTATTTAAAGGATTCCCCTGCGCCTGTCACTTCCTTTGTCCCCTTTCCCTCTTCCGTGATATAAAGCAATCTATCCTCCCCACCGTCGTTTCGTACCTACTTCGCCTCCCATCTTCATTTCGTTCGCTCGCTCGCTATCTGAAGACTACTCCTGACCCTTCGTCCCTTCCTCGATCAACAGTCAGTCGTTCGTCTCCGTGATCAACCACTTCTTCCACAATGCGTGCCTCTCTCTTCCTCGTCGCCTTCTCGGCCCTCGCCGTCGCTCAGTCCTCCTCCGAGGCTGTGGTATGTACCTCCTAGTCCGATTCAACTGCAACTCGTACTGACGTCTGCGTCGCCAGCCCACCGCTACCACCGACGTCCAGGCCACCACTGGTGCGACCACCGGTGCTGCCACTGACAGCGCTTCTGCCACTGCTACCGGCACTGCTTCCGGCACTGCCACCGGTGCCACCGGTACTGCTTCGACTGGTGCTACCGACGCTACCACTGCTGTCTCCGGCTCTGCCACCGGCACTGGCGCCACCTCTTCGCCCGTCATCCCCACCGGCACTGCCACCAGCGGTGCTCACTCCGGATCCAGCTCGCCCGGCTCTACCCTGGCCAAGTCGAGCAGCGCCGTCAAGAGCCACACTGCCAGCTCGACCGAGACCTCCACCAAGACCAAGTCCGGCCACAAGTCGTCCTCGACCGGTGACTCGACCAGCGGATCTTCTTCTGCCACTGCCTCCGGATCCAGCACCTCCTCTGGCAACGCCGGTGTGCCCATGGCCACCGCCGGCCCCATGGGTCTCCTGGCCGGTGCTGCCATCGCCGTTTTCCTCTAAACGGCTGGCATCATCTTTCCTTCCAGCGGGTCATGAGTTGACGTCGTTTCCGCTATCGGTCCTTCGATCAATGTGAAAGGAGCAAATTCTCATGGCTCGTCCACCTTCCGAAAAACGAAAAAAAAAGGAGCAAAGAAGAGAATGACAAGATGAGGAATCGATTTGCCGCACGTTCTCTTCGTGGAATTTGTATCAATGCTGGGAAGGGGTCCGTTTTTCTTTCTTTTCATTTGTTGCTCTCCTTCGCTCAAAGCCAACCGCCTGTTACAAAAGATGCATAGTTGCGGCGCACATAAGAACTTGTTTTAGTAAACTAATCATAATATCCTAATGAAGTCATGGTACATGCGACATTTGTCTGGAACTCCGCGATCTGAAATCCCAAAGGTTAAACTCTAGTTGTAGATAGCCTTGCGGGGTGGATCCAGGTGAACTATGGATGTCCGCCGTGCTCCGTAGCGACTATCGATATCGACTATCGAATATCGATATGTCTGATCTATCATGTTGGATATCTCGATCCCCGGTCCACAATTGGCCGTGGCAACAAATAACAACGAGGGACTGAGGCAGACAAGAGTGCCCCTTGAATGACGCTAGTCCCAACAGGCATTAATTGCACTTCCCAAAACGCGTCGCCTCACGCGTCAGTCACATGACCGCCACGTCCTTGCCTGCGGGCCGCATGGGGACTAGCTCCGTCCGCGTCACATCATCAAAACAAAAGAAGGCAAACATCGCAGACGTCGGGGCAACCGAAATCTAGACAAAGCTGGCCGCTGATCGACGCTTTCCTCTTTTTGCGCCGTCGAACTTGGCTGACTGATTCCGTTGCATGGGTCTGGCCTACTTCTGTCAAATCGGACTTTATCTTTTTTCAGGGAGCACGGTTCCGGAGAGCCATTGATTCCAGTTGGACCTTGGTCACCCTGTGGCACCACAGCATACCTGGATCACCGTCGATAGCGGCCAGATCGTACCACCACCACTGTTCATTCGACTCGTCTATACGTGGACATCAGAGACAAGATGGTAAGGATATCCTCCAATTGCATTGATTCGATTATCCAGACGGCCAGAATGAACGTCTGAGCTAACCTCACCCCTTCTTTCCAGCCATCTGGCCTCCGACGTCTCGCGGCAGACCACGCCGCCCTGCACGAGGACCTCCCTCCAAACTACCTTCATCCCTCCGACGACTCAGGCGATGATTTGACTCAGCTCACGACCCTGCTGGCCGGTCCGCAGGGCACGCCGTACTCGCAGGGTCTATGGCGATTGCACCTGAAGATGCCCGAGGATTACCCCAAGAGCCCACCCAAAGCGACGTTCAGAACTCGCATATGGCATCCGAACGTGGAGGAATCGACGGGGGCTGTTTGTGTGGATACCTTGAAGCGGGACTGGAAGCAGACGTTGACGTTAAAGGATGTTCTTATCGTAAGTGACTCCCTGCTGGAGATGTTGACTCAAGGTTCAAAGCTGACTAGGGGAACTCTCTTGCGCAGACAATCTCGTGTCTCCTCATCTATCCAAATCCCGATTCCGCCTTGAATTCCGCAGCTGGATCCCTTCTTCAGGAAAACTACGAGGCTTTTGCCCGCCAGGCAAAGCTGATGACGTCGATTCATGCGCCTGTGCCGGCGGACATGAAAAACGCAGTGTCGGAGGCAAAACTACGAGGGGAGGATGCGGGAACAGTGATCCCAGAACAGGAGGATGCCCGACTATTACGGTCTCGCAAGAACGTCAAGACTCAAACATTGACGATGAAGAAAACCACCGCACCCACCATCACCACCCCTACCCCACCGACAACATCAAAACCGCAACCGTCCCCATACCAATCCGACAACCAAGATACTTCCGACGAAGAAGACGACGAGAACCAATTTGATGACACCGAAAACGACTCCCCCGCCCCTATCTTCTCCGACGACGAGGAAAACCTCTCCGCCGCCAGCAAAGAGAACGATCCCTCGCTCTCCCCATCCCCAGTCAAATTCTTCTCGTCCAGTCCCCGTAAGAATGCCTTCGGCAAACGACCCCTCTCCGTCCTCACAGTCCCAGTCGACTACCCAGACCCGTCCTCAGCAATGGGCAGGGAGATGGACTCAGACGGAGACACGACCGACACCGACAGCGATCACCCCATGACAGCCTCCGAAAAGAACATCGCCGCCAACTACCCCTCCAGCATCAGCGACCCCCAATACAACGACGCCCTCGACGGCTCCCCGCAGCGCAAATCCCCGAAACTCTCCCTCCTCCACAAAGGCGCCAACTCCTCCGGCCGCGTCCGCGACGACCTTAAGATCTTCGAGGACGTGCCCCCGGCAGGAAACACAATGAATCTAGACCGCCAACTCAGCGGCGACGGCAAAGAGAACCACGAATCCTCCTCTTCTTCCTCCACAGGCCCCAAGGGTCTTCGATCCCGCAAACCGCTCTCCACCTCTTTCCCGTCCTCCATCCTCGCCCTCTCGTCAACACCCACAGCCACCATCGCCAACGCCTGTCCCGCTCTCGGCGCTGGCCCCGGCCTCTCAACCCTCTCACGACCAGGTCTTCTGGGGTCCAGAAAGGTCTCCGGTGCCGGGACGATGAAGAAAGCGAAACCGCGTCTCGGGATCCGGAGACTATAAATCTTAATTCTTTCTTTCTGTTTTTTTAGCATTCATCCCGGAACCCTCTATTCCCCCCTTTATCCTTTTTATCTTATTTTTGTTTTATTCTATGCCCTTGTCAGGGTGACGGGGTTTGCGCATTGGCATTACGTTTTATGTTCAAAGTTCAAAATTCAAGCATGGGGAATGGATTCGGACTGGCGTGCATGGCATCTCTCTTCATGAACCGGGAGGGACGGATTGAGCGAGTGCATTGGGTTGATTAGGTGCTTTGGGGACGTTGGATTGATGGCGATTGCATGTTTTATTGGAGTTACTTGATTTATCCGGATAGAGTTGGTATACTTGCTTATCGAACAAAACTTAGTTAGCGATGAAGTTAACATCTTACTTTACTTCACAGATCTGTAGTCCTTATGCCAACAAGCAAGTTTCCGAAACAGCCTGTGAATAAGCTATGCAACTATCTAAAAAAATGGACAAAATTTCCGTAATCAAGCCACTTGGTTCCTCCGCGTCCTTGGAACATTTCTGGATCAATATACGTCGCACGGATCAGTGATACATCAACTCAGTTCTCCCAGAGACTTTTCGGTTCCCACATAGTACCACGCTGTAAGAATAAATGATATTTAAACAACCTAAGATAACCGGCTCCCCGGAGCGGTCTTGTAGAAAAACTAGGAGACCAGCCGTTATAGCAAAAGAAAAGAGGAAAGAAAAACAAAAAAGAAAAAAAATCACTAAACACGCTAGACTGATTAAAAGCACTATTGTCAGGAAAGACATGCAAGAGTCAACGGATGGGTTGAGAGAGATCAAATAATAATGGTTGAACTGTAGGGCAACCAATGTATATCAATTATACGTCCCCTGTGAAAGGTTTGCCAATGGGCCAAAACTTATTACTTCAACATGTGAGGAGGCGAATATAGATTCCTCAGCCCTCTACAAAGCGTAGGGGTTGACGGAGCGAATAGTGAGGCATCTGAATAAGCGTTAGAAAGAATGCAAACCTCTTGAAAAAGGGAAAAGGCAAAAACTTACGGGGGACTCTTGCTCAGGTCGGTCTTGAGGATAATGGGAACGCGGGTCATCTCGGTGACATCCTGGATGTGCTCTCCATCCTCCTCGCGCAGCTTGAACAGCCGCAGGTACTTCTCCTTGTTGGTCAACTTGGCCTCGGGAGCGTCACCCGAAATGGTGGCGATCTTGGGGTCCGAGCGGGTGCGGTGAGGAGCCTGCTGGACATGACCGTTGCGGGTGGGCGAAGGAGGCATGCTCTGCGTCGAGCGGTCGGCAGCCGAGTTCAGGGACACGCCGGCGGCCATCTCGGTGACCTCGGAGACGTCGTCGTCGTCATCGAAGAGAGCGTCCACGTCGTCCGCGGACATGGTGCCGGTCTCGGTCTGCTTGCGCATGGCCTCCTCGCGCTCGCGGGTACGCTCGCGGGCAGCCTCCGCTTCACGCGCGGCAGCGGCAGCCTGGGCGGCCCGGGAGTTTGCCGGCTTCGGCCGTTCGTCTTCGGGGATGTAAGCCGAGGATGGCACACCCTTCTCCCAGTAGAGCTCCAGGGTACGGCTATCCTTGCGGAACTCGGCCTTCTTCAGAGGCAGCTGGTCACAGTGGACTCGCTTCTCGAAGCCATATTCGGGGATGAGGACATCGAAGGCGGACTCGTAGACGCAAAGGACGACACCTTCGCTGATCAGATCACCACCAATCTCCTGTCGCTTCTTGTCCATCTCCCGGCAAGCCTCGATGTGAACGCTCTGCTCCTGGGCGTTGTGAGCCGAGTCCTTCTTGTTGTTGCAAAGGTCCGCGGTCTTGTTCAGAGACTCCAAGTCTTCCGAAAACTCGACCGAGCCGTCGGACAGCGCCGCCTCCAGCTGACGGTGGACAAGAATGTCCGCATATCGTCGAGAGGGGTTGGTGAAGTGGGTGTACACGGGGAGGTTGAGGGTGAAGTGCTGACGCTGCTCATCCTGAGGGCTGGCAACGTAGTACTTGGCACGCTGCATTGCTTTCACAAGGAGTGTTTCCATTCCCTATCAAGTGTGATTGGTTAGACTATCCGATCCGTAGAATGTCTAGAAGGTCTAAAAAAGCTTACCTGTCGCAGGTTGTCGTCTTGGACCTGGCAAAGACTGCTCTGCAGGGTTCCACTGCTGGTGGGGTCCAAGTTGAAGCCAAGTCGGTTCATGCGCTCGACCAGGGTTTGCAGACGGCGCGCGTTGGGAGAGGGCTGACGACGCAAGAAAGCCTTGTCGGGCATGGCGGTCACAATCTTGCGGGCAACGAAGAAGTTGGCCTTGTGGCTCAGTTCCTCCACCAGCTCCTGCACGGGCGATGCGTCGAAAATGTTGTAGCGAACCGGAACGTTCTCATCGTCCACCTGGTACAGAAGGCGCAGAGGGGGCAGCTGCGAAGTTCGGTTGCCATATCTTGCCTCCCGGAATTTCGAAGAGACGGTCTGTTTTGGAAGGCAAGTTAGCTGCAATGCACACCGGGAAGAGAAGGGAGAATGGGACATGAAAACTTACGTAAAGGGACCGGATGGTCTCGGCCTGGACTCCAGGCGCCGCGACGTCCGAAGTGCCGCGGATCACGGCATCGGCCTCGTCATAGCTCATACGTCCCGAGCTCTTGACGATACCCTTACCGATCCAGACGTCATCGTCGACAACGCCGGTCTCCGGGTTGGCCTTGAAGACAACGCTGACGGTCAGACGGTCCTCACCGGGCAGCAGAGAGCAAAGCTCGGTGGAGATACGCTGGGGCAGCAGGTTGACGAGACGATCGACGAGATAGACGGCGGTGCCGCGTTTCTTGGCCTCGCGGTCCACCAGGGAGTTTGCCTTGACGAAGTGGGCAATGTCGGCGACGTGAACACCGATTTCGACCTTGCCATCGGGGAGGGTCTTGAAGTGGAAGGCGTTCTCCAGCTCCTTGGTGCCCTGGGGGTCGACGGTGAACGTGACCTCCTGGCGGAAGTCCCGACGGGAGGCCAGAAGAGCCTCGCCTTGGTTGGCGACGGAGAAGTCCTCCCATCCGATGCTCTTCAGGAGAGCGTCCGAGAACTCGTCGGAACCGAAGTTGTTGTCGCGGAGGAGCGCCTCGGTCTCGACCTTCAGATCACCCATCTCACCCAACTGCTCCACCAGGGTTCCGAACGGGTGCAGGGAGGTGATGGGCCAACGCTTGATGCAAGCAACGAAGATGCGGTTGGCATACTCCTGGTGCTTCTCGACGAAGTCGCGCGGGGCCTGCTCGGTGGGGATGGCGATCAGGGGAACACGCTTGTCGGTGGGCTTGAACCAGACAATCTTGGGCTTGTCCTGGTGACGGTCATGCTGGGGGCGGCCGTGGGCGCCATCTCTGGCCAACCGCTCCGCCTCCTGCTTCTCCTTCGTCGCCTGGCTACTGGGACGGAGGAGGCCGAGGGTTCCGGAGAACATCTGCCCGGCAACTCGTTCAATCACGGCGACGACGTGACCAGCGTAGAGGGGCTTCTGCTCGTCGCTGATCTCATCCTCCTCGACCAGGAGAAGGCTTTGACCCTCCACCTCGACGTCGTCGTTCTTCTTCTGCGTGGGACGCTGGCGCAGACTGCCACGGCGGCGGATGCTGCCGTCGGGTCCGACCTCCTGGCGGTCGCCGTTGGGACCGGAGTCGGAGCGCGAGAGCTTGTCACCGCCGGCGTTGCTGCCGGAGCGGGCGTCGGTGATGTCCTTGCGTTTCTTCTTCTCTTCCTTCTCCTTCTTCTGGGACCACACCTCGTCGACGTCCAGCAGCTCCACGGCCACGTAGTCGCCCTCCAGGGCACGGTTACGGTCCTTACTTCCACAGATAAAGATGTCCGCATCCAGGTCCGGGGTCGTCACGTAGGCATCGGAACGGTTCTTCTTGTTGACACGCAGGATACCGGCCACGAGCTGGCCGTTGCTCAGCAGAGCGGGAAGGTTGGCCTGAGGCAGATAAGGAGTGAAGAGCGTCTTCCGCTGTTGCTGCTGCTGCTGCTGCTGCTGGGACTGCTGCTGCTGAGGCGACACCTGGGGAGGAGCGTGCTGGCTGGCCTGGAGACCCAATCCCTGGTTGCCCAGCTGTCCATTCTGCTGCAGAGCCTGCAGTTGAGCCAGCTGCAAGGGGTTGATTTGCTGGTTGCCGCCAAACATCTGGGGGGAGGCCATGACCACCTGACCCTGCGGCAGCTGGATGAGCTGAGGCTGGCTGGGGTACTGGAAGGAGCCGATGGAGCCGATGGATTGGTTCATGGAGGCACGGGCACGATGGCCGGGCTGGAAACCACCGCCTTGCTGGCCAAAGCCCTTCTGCTGGTCCTGACCCTGGCCCTGGTTGTTCGGCTGGCGCCAGTTGCTGTCAAAGTTGCGGGAGCCGGACCGGGCATGACCGCCCGCCTGGCTGCCGCGTCGCTGCTGGTTCTCCGAGCCGGTCGATGCGTCGCCGGGGCCGGGGAACTGGAAACCACCGGCACCGCGACCCGACATGGATCCTCGGTTGCCGCCCACGGCCATGGACTGGCTGCGGCCGTGACCGCCGGCGCGCATGTTACCGGCACGCTGGAATCCCAAGCCCTGGGGAGCCTGCGTGTTCAGGGGGGTCGACTTGTCGTCGGAGCTGGCGGCGTTGTCGGACGATTCGCCGCCGGCGCTGGGGCCGGGGAATTGGAAACCGGACGCGGTCCTCTTCTGCTGAGCCAACTCGGCCGCCTTCTTCGCCTCGGGCAGCGCCAGAGAGTGACGACGCTGATGGCCACCACCACCGGGGGGTCCCCGATTGCGGCCATGGTTGCCGTTCTCGTTCTTGGACTGAGGGTTTTGTGGTTGCTGTTGCTGGTTGAAGTCGGAGTATCCCGAGGCTCCCGAGGACGGAGCGGGAGGAGGTCCCATCCCCAGACCCGGGAGGGCCGATTGGTTACGTCGGTGGGAATGCTGATTTGTGTTCATCGGCACGCCAAGCTGCTGTTGCTGCTGCTGCTGCTGGCCGAGCTGCTGCTGGGCAAGCTGGGGGAATTGGAAGGCATTGATCTGAGGGGAGACGCCACCGACGGAGGCACCGCCGCCTTGCAAGGAAGGAGAGAATCCCGAGACCTGGCCCAGCTGCTGCGGTTGTAGCAGACCCATGTTAACATACTGTTGATGCGTGGCGGCGATTTGTTGTTGTTGCTGCTGAAGCAGCTCGATCTGTTGCTGGATAGCCAGTTGTTCCACTGGAGTTGTCAGTATCCCCTTGATAAAGAAAAAAAGAGAATAAAAAGATGGACGTACTCATGAGAGGAGTGAGTTCCGACGGGCTTCTCCGATGAGCGATATGGAGCTTGCGGCCGGCCGGGCCGGGAACCCCGGATTGACCCTGTTGATCCATCTTTCGGGAGAAAATGAGAGAACGAGGTATCGTCGGGAGCAAGACCCTGCAACGAGGGGCCTGTCAATGACAAGAGAGTGGCGGAAGGGGTGATTCTGCGAGTGCAGGCCGACCGAAGACAGGCGGGGGGACAACGACGGATGAAGTCTGTAGTATTGCTACTAGATAAGAGAGACAAATAGGTCAGTCTAGGTGTGCGGAGCGGATTAGGAGGTGGGCAGAAGAGAGGACAACAACAAAGCTCGATCGGAGAAAGTCAAGCAGCAGTGAGAGGAGAGGAGGACATTGCAATCCCACGGATGGAAGCTACGATTGCGTCCGGGAGAGCGAGTGACATCAACAGAGGCAAGCTGGCCGGAAGGAACGAGGGGGACCAGAAGTGCAACGGATGGCAATGGAGGCAAGAAAGCCACGAGGGGGAAGCTCCCACGATCGAGCTTGCGGGCGATGAGAAGACTGGCGAGCAGAAGCTTACCTGTAAATGATCGTCCACCGAAGAATGTTGATGAATGACGTCTTTTTGAATTTTCCCTCTTCCCCTTTTTTTCCACACGGGAAATTCCTTTGGCAAGGCAAGGAAGCGGTGACCGGGTTACGGGCCAAACGCAGAGGGAAATGAGCGAGGGAGGGAGAGGAAAAAACTAGAAGAGAGGGGCCAAGAGATTAAAAAAAGGGCGATGAAAGGGAGAAAGAAGAAAAAGGAAAGATTGAAGCACAATCAAGCCGCAGCCAGACGATCAGAGGGAGCGGAAAGAGAGGATGAAGCTGGAGGGATGGGGGGGTTTGGAAGAGGCAGAGAGGGGAACGACCGAGTAAGCGGATGCCCCAACTGCCATCGACTAGTGCGCTCAGGGGGAATTCGCTCGTCGGCGGTGGGGATGGCGCTGCGTCGTGGGTAATTTGATATTTCCAGTTTCCACCCGCTGGTTTTGCCCTCGTCTTGGACTGCCGACTGCCTTGATTGCGAGACTTCCCACGTCAGGAGGATCTTTGGGCGGTGGATAACCCGATGAAGGAAAAGGGGGCAAAGAACCACTCGGTCGATCCAAGCTGTCGATAGCACTCGAGATGGATTCCCCAGGCGAGGGGTCGTCGGTTGCTTTTTTATTTGATTTGATTTTATTTTTTTCAAACTAATTTTCGTGGTTCAATTTTTTTTTGGTCTTGGTTTGGGAATAAGAAGGATAGATAATCTTTTGGGACTTTTCCACTGGCGGAAGAAGTAGTTCAGCAAGGAGCCGCAGATGGATCTAACGAAGAGAATGACCGAAATGGATTGATCAAGCCGAAGGAATGATGGGAGGAGAGCAAAGGAGAGCGAGGCAAGGAAAAGAAGAGGACGGAAGAGAGAAGAAGGAAGACAGACAGAGATCATATAGGAGATGATGGACTCATGATCAAGTCGGAGTCACTAAGACGAAGTTACCAGACTTTGGGACGCCGCCGTCTGGGTCCAGCTGTCATGTCGGTACTTTGGAGAGAGAGTAAGATGGTCAGACCCAATGTTTCAGTATCTGCAGTCTGACTTTTTTGCTTTTGATCTCTGACATTTTGCTGTAACTCAGTGAGACTTCTCAGTCTCGATAACTACAACTACCTCCCTGCAGTATAGTTGAGACTCCGTAAGATACGGTACCGCCATGTCTTGATTTTGGGTCCGGATCCACCACAGCTGTTGTCATTGGAACCGAGTTGAGCAGAATCATCATGATCGATTATCTATTATCTATTATCTATTATCGATTGTATATGATTATGTAGAGTAGGATCATGTAGATATCCTATAGACATTCCAACGGAGTACTGGAGTCGACTGACTGTAATATGAAGGTAGTTTGCATCGTTTGTGTTGATGCCCCGTTCCCCAGGCTGCCGCTGACTCAGCCCTCTCTCTCTGTGTGGTTCGGACAAGGAATTCCCTGACAATCATTCAATCCCTTCATTTGGCCGCTTCACTTGCGTCACGCTCTTTCGTCTGTCCTCCTGGTTGGCACCGCTTGCTCTGCCCTGCAATTGGCCCCCCGAGTCCTTGGGATCCGCCCCGACTGTTTGTCCGACACAGCTTCGGCTCTGCTGCTCGGCCTGCTCCCGGAATCTACTACTCCTGGTCTCCGGGTCGACAGCGAACCTTACTGAACAACTCGCTGAACACTCACTTTCTCTCAAGCTGAGCTATGAATTTGCGTGCATTCCGGTCATTTCAATAGAACGATACTTCCTAAATTACCCCGACGGACTACGACCCGACCAGACCCTCGATATTGATCGCCAAACTCCATTTCAAACCGTACCCTGCCGGCGAACATGGGACGATCAAGCTACCCTTCGCCGCTGGACAGCCCGTCCAAACAGCTCGTCTCCGACCTAGCCCGAGATCTGGAGCAGCTGCGAGTCCACAACAACGAGCTGAAGAAAGTGAAGGCCTTCGAGCGTCGGTCCTTTTACGAAACCCTCGATCGGGCCGACAGCGAGCACGAAGCCGTCCACAATGCCGCCCTCGACCAAGTCGCCGCGCGTCATGGACAGCTGTTGGAGGAAGCCGAGGAGGCCCTGCGCGTGCACCGACGCGCCGTAGAGGAAGAACGACGTCGAAAGGCGGAGGAGGAACGCAAGGAGGCCGAGCGAGTGGCGCGTGAAAAGGCCGAGAGACTCCGGCGGGAACAAGAAGAACAGGCTCGACGCGAAGCCGAACACAAGGCCCGGGAGGAGGCCAAGAAGAAGGCCGAGGCCGAGGCGGAGAAGAAACGACGCGACGAACAGGCGGAACGAGAGCGCAAGGAGAAGCAGCGAGTGGAGGAGGAGAATCGGAAGCGCCAAGCGGAGGCTAAGAAGGCCGAGGAGGAAGCCGCTCGAGCCCGAACCGAAGCGGAGCAGAAGGCACAGGCGGAGCGCAGGACCCAAGGTGCCAATGGCCGGCCGACGGAGCAGGAGCTCAAGGTGCACAAGCGCTATCTGGAGTTGCACCAGCACCTGAAGAAATTCCGACAGTACATGAAAGACACGAGCAAAACCAACAACACGGTCAAGCAAAACATGGGAGACATGCGCCGGACGATCAAGAAGTGTGTGGGCCAGCTGCGTGAAGGAAAGGGAAGCAACAAGAATCAGCTGCAGGAAATCAAGACAACGCTGGAAAAAGCCGCTTCCATCCCCGAACCCTCGGTGGACATTCGCCAGTTCATAGCTTTCCCGCCCCCCGAGATTGCCAACTCCGAAAACGAAAAAGTGCCGGCTCTTCTGATCTACTCGCTGAACATGTTTGCCAAAAGTTTGATTGCGTCGCTTCTCAACGAGGCCTCGCTCAACCACGGTCACGCGGAGCCGGTGGGCATCGTCGCCGCGCAGATCTTCTCGATGGACGCGTTCATCTACAAAGGCTGTCCCATGGTGGACATCCTATGGGCCAAATACCGCGTCGTGTGCCCGGGTCTATGGGGGTTCTACGGCAGCGAGAAGACCGAAGGGGGCCGGAAGGCGCTGGGATGGTGGCGCGACGGACCGGACGGGCCCTATATCAGCGAGCAGATGCATGCGGAGCGAATGACGGCCCTGGGAGCCGGGTTCGCGGCGCTGACGCTGCGGAACTTTGGCAAAACTCCTCGCAAGAATCCCTTCCCCAACCACATGTTCTGGCGGGCGATGCACAAGATCCTGTCCGTCCCGCCGTCCGACATCCAGGAGACCCACCTGATCCTTCTCTCGTCGATGCTGAAATCATCAGCAGAGCGAGTCGTCAGCTTCTTTGGGCATGTCGGGCTGGCCATGATGCGCAGAGCCATTGTCGATCTGCCATCCACCCTGCCTGGTAAATCAATGGGCGTGACGCAGCTCCAACTTCTCAAGGATCTCTACAAGCGGGAGAAGCACATTATCATTTGAGGACATGTACATTGATCTGTCAAATTTCTACACCGCCAGACAAAAGAAAACATTAGCGCCTGTTGAGGGTAGGTTTTCCCCCAACTTTCTGCAAACTTTCGTTTCCTCTTATTATGTATCGAACGCCGAGAGAGATCTCTGCGCCTTGCCATGTCTTAATAACGCCACAACCCATATCCGGAACACAAGACCCAAACTAACGGAGTGTTTGATCGTTGCAAAAACCAGACAAACGTGCAGCTACCCCTTGTTGCCAACCAGGCCACGGTCCCTTGGCCCAGCTGCACCGCAGCCCCAAAGATTTGTTGAGCTGGCCCTTTAGTTCCTGCAGATCGCCCGAACCGTGGTATCTTCATGTTGGACCGCATGCCGATGCATAAATGCGTCATCGGATTAGTTGTCAGCCAGTTGTCGACCTATGACCGTCGACCTGATGGTCTCCGACAACTACATCAATGGCATCAAGAGAAGGACTCGATAAACGATGGATAAAGTTCTGCCTGGCTGGTCATCCGTGGCTGAGGATTTGCGACTCGACGAGTCGCAAGCGCGTCTCCGATGCGAGGCGCATGCATGACTAGACGCAGTCGCCCGAGGGACCAGTTTTACACAACCTGCATATTGGACGTGGATCCAGCCCGAGGGCTTTCCTTCGACCTGTATATAAGATGGACCATCTCTAGAATCAATCAAACAACCTACACCCAACCCATGGACCTCCCCTTCATCTAACATACAACCATCCCACACCACCAACCCACCCAGACAGAAGACAATAAAAATGGCCACCACCCTCCCCACCGAACTCATCCAATCCATTCTCCTCCAAACCGACCCCGAAACGTACCTCTCCGCGCACCAAACCTGCCGATCCTGGCACCACGCCTCCTCCACCCCTTACATGATCCAGCGCATCCTGGCACAGATCCCGGGGTCTCTCGTCCCCCCAACAGACCACCTGACGCCCGAACAATGGAGCGCGTATTTCGCGCAGACCGCCCGTCTCAACCTCCTCCGCCGCCGCCACCACGTCGTAAAGTCCGTCGCGCCGCGGCTCCTGCCGCCCAACTGCACGGGGACCACGGTTCGCGGCGCCTCCGGTGACGGCCAGACGGTGGTTGTGCTGAGGGGCGCGCAGGTCCTCGTATATCGGGCTGCAGACACGTCAGCGTCAGTGTCAGTGTCAGCTCCAGCTTCAGCTCCAGAGGCAGATGCAGAGCCACAGCTAGAAGGGGAAGTCGAGCTGGGCCCCGAACCAGCCGAGACCTTCTCGCTCGCGTCCTCGCTGTACCCGCACTGGACGTCCGTCTGCCGTGCGCTGATGGACCGCTCCAACGCGGGCTGTGCCGTGAACCAGCGGACCTCGAAGCACCGGGTGGCCGTGTCGTCGGGGGGAGAGTTTGTCGCCGTTGCGCTGGGCCGCGTCATTCAGGTGTACGAGCTACACTCCTCTCGCTCTCCACGCACTCGCGCCTACCAGGCAGACAGCGCCGCAGCCAGCAGCGCAGACAGAGCACCGCCCGCCGAACACGTCCTGGGCCAACGCACCTCGCACGGGGCGTTCGCGCGCGCGCCCACAGACGCAGACGGATATGAGGATACCGACGGGGTGGTGGAGGGGCTGGAGTTCGTGGAGAACGATACCCTGCTGCGCGTGGCGATCGGGAAGGAATCGACGGTTCATCGGCCGACGAGGGTGCGGTATCTAGGGTGTCCGGATATCGTGCTGGGGGGTCGGGGTCTCGATCTGAGCTACTGGCGACGGGCGCTTAACACGGTGTATTTGGATTCCGCGGCGCTGGGAGTCTCCCTGGCCAGGGATGGGGATGCGAGGTGTCAGTTCCGTGGGTTGAGGTTGTTGGATGAGAAGATGGGTTTGCAATCAGAGCCTACACATGCAAAGCCAGGAGCAGACGCAGAGCCCTCCCCCGGAACTGAAAGTGAAAGAGAGATCCAATCTCGATACTTCCTCGCCTCCCTGCAAACCAACGACATCGACACCTACTGCCTCGGCCTCGCCACATCCTCCTCCTCACCCTCTACCTCCTCTTCGTCCATATCCGTGACCATCACCCGCCTCCTCCCATCCATCTACTCCCGCCCAGCCAACCTCATACCCACCACGCCCCAAACCAAAGACTACCCATGCCTATACCCATACCCTCACGAGTCAGACCCCTCCCTCACCGACTCCCTATCCCACCCTCAATCCTTACCCCAGACCCAGAATGGAACCAACCCCAACCCCAACCACAAACCAACAACCAGCTATACCTACAACCTCCAAACGACCCTCCCGCGCTTCACATCGACGAACCTCCCCTCGGGGACCTTCTCGTCCCCTCTCTTGGCCGTCTCCCCGGACGGCCAGATCCTCGCCATCTACGAGCCCGACCACGCGTGCTGCGTCGTCGAGGGCGGCGCTTTATATATCTGCTCGATTGGGGAATGCGAGAGCGTTTATCGGCCTGGGTTGGGTCCTCGGTCTCAGTCTCAATCTAAATCCGAATCTGGATCTGGATCTGGATTTGAACTGGAACGGGGGGAGCTCGGACAAGGACAAGGACAAGGACAAGCGGAGAGAAGGAATACCGCTATCGATGACAGCGATGTGAATGCTCTCGCCAACGGGGAAAAGGGAAAATACCCACCCCGCGAGATCATCCCGTCGTGGCCGTTCCTGTTGGATCGGGTGAGTGTGGATGTGGAGAGTATTGCGGTGACGAGGGAGCGAGGCGGGCAGAGGTATGTGGTCACGGCGGTGGCGGGGGATGAAGTGATGGAGTGGGTTTTTTGATTATTGGATTGGATTTGGTTAGATGAATGATAGTGGTTGGGTTGGAGAAGGTGAAGTTTGAGATAGAATAGGGAGTCATTGTTGGGGTTCGAGATGAGAGTAATAGATGGAAGAAGATTTAGACGGCTGATATACTATACTGTACTTCGCTTAAGACTTGATTTTATCTAATGCACAACTGCTCAATTAAAGTATCCAATTAAAAGAATAAGGGTATCTACATAGCACCACGGCAAAGAAGAAAGAAGAAAACCAACAGCAAAGCCAAAATAAAAGAAAGACCGGGGAAGGCACCAATCTGAATAAAGAAACACATCGAACCTCGACGTTGAAAGAAGAAAATAAATACCAATGACACAATGGAAAGTAGGAAGTAGAAATCAAAAGAATGACAAGTTAAATCAATATGTAACGCACGGTTTGTACAAACGCGATGAGACAATGGTATCAGATGGAAGAAAAAAAAGTATCCACTATCACATACAAGAAGGGCAAAAAACAGTCTGAAGTACCAATTGAAACTATCGGATTAAAAGAGAGGAGTAACTGGGGAAACAGCATAATGTCACAAGTCAAAACGATTCAGTCTCAAAAAGAATTTCAAATGCTAAGGTATCTGCTGAGATAGAAAGGAGATATGAAAAAAAAAAGAAAAAGGAAATCTGTCTATGCGGTTATTTGCGGTCCAAATGGCCCATCGTTGGTATCCCGTGGAGACGCAGAGACCAATCCATCGGCTGTACTTTCATTTTCTCCCCCCGGAGAGCCCTCTCCATAGGCCTCTCCGTAGGTGTCATCGTAGTCGGTGGGCTCTGCATCGTGGTCATAACTGGACCTTCGGAGAAGAGGGGGCGTGCTTGGAGGCTCGCGCATCTTGCCAGCTGCCCGCGAGGACAGCGGTCGAGGCGTGCTGTTGACGCTCCTGAGCGGGCGACTCTCCGACGACCGTCTCGCGCCAGATGCGGATGCATTGAGACCCTGTCGGTTGGAGTTGGGCGGCGTCAGGAGACCGGATAGAAAAGCAGTCGCGTGACTCGGCTTGGAGGGCGTGTGGTTGGAGGTGTTGCTGTTGGTCCCCTCACGGGCCTTGCGCCAACTGCCCCATGCTGCAGCCGCTGCGAGAGGGAGTGCTCGAGGGGATGCCCGGATCTCGGAAAGCGACGGAAGGCTGGGAAGACCCTGTCCTGACGCAGCCCTTTCTTTCTCCTGTTGCTGCATCTGCAGGTTGGCCTTCAGACGGATGGCAGCGTCTCGGACAGCGTTGTGGTCGAACGAGGGCTGCGACACGGTGTTGACAATGTCCTGGAGATCGTCGATGCGGACTCCAAGCAGTTCGCGGAGCCAGTTGATCTCCGTATCCTTCTCTTTCAGCTTGTTAGGAGCATCCTTATCCACAGAGGCAACTTCTTGCTCGAGCTCGTCAATACGACCCTCACGCTGCTGCAGTTGGTCCTGGAGCACAAGAATAGACTCGCGCAGGGCCTGTGGGGAGATCTTCTCGGGGACCATAGATCCGTTGAACGACATGGACGGGGTGTTGACGGGCATCGTGGGAATAGGCGCGGAAGTAGGTCCGGTCTTGGCCATCTGGGCAGCTTCCGCAGCGGCACGAGCCGCCGACTGGGCGATTTCCAGCTTGTCTTCCAGGTGCTGGACGCGATCCTGCAGATGGTGAACCTTGTCATCCGACAACTCCAACTTCTCCACCAGATGGGACTCGGCGCGCTGTCGGTCCTCGGACGAGTTGTGCAGGGCACGGGCGTGGCGCTCCCGCAGGTCATTGAGGACGCGCTCATGCATACTGCGCTGTTCTTCCACGGCCATTTCCCGCGATTCAGCCGCCGCAGCTAGGGCGGTGGCCTTGGTCTCGGTGGCCTCCTCCAGCAGCATTTCGTAGCGTTCCCGTTCGGTGTCGTTGTTCAGTCGCACGTTGTCCATCTGGCTCTGCAGGCGGAGAATCTGCGCCTCCAACTCGGCGCGGACAATGTTGACCTGGCTATTAGCCGCTTCAACATCGGCCTCCATGGAGGTCCGGGTGCGTTGGATCTCGACCCGGCTGCTCTCGCGGGCCTCGTTGAACTCGCGCTCGAAACGGGCCGCCTTGAGTTCCATGTCGTGGTTTTCGACCCGCAGGTTGGCGACCAGCTCTTCCAGCCTGGCGTTCTCTTGCTGGGATTGCCCGAAGATGAACTTCAGTTTGGCTGCCTCCCGCTCCTGCTGCTCAAGCTCGCTGATATCCACCTCGAGCTTCTCGCGGAGCTTCTGCTCTCGGCTGTAAGCCGCCTTGAGTTCGTTATACCGGGCAACGTGCTCCTCCTCCCGTCGGCGCCAGTTAGCCTGCTCACGAGCAATATCACCGCTGGCCGTGGCCATTTCGTCCTGAAGGCGATCCAGTTTCTCACTGAGGTTGTGCCGGATGCTCATGCCGTCTTCAATGCGGGTCTTGAGATGATCGATGGAGCCACGCAGGCTCTTGTTCTCCTCCTTGACTTCCTCGAGTTCACCCTTCGACCGCTCGCTGTCACGCTTCCAGTTATCGCTAGACACGCGGTATTCGTCCAAGGTGCCCTCGAGTTCAATGTTCTTCGAGGAGATTTCAGCCAAGGTCAGCTTGAGCTTGGCATGCTCCTGCTCCAGCGAATCGGCCCGGAACTGAACCTTTTCGAAGTAGGGAATCTTCTCTTCCTTGAACTGGAGGAAGCGAGCTTCGGCAGACTCCGCAGCTCCACTGTGGCGAGCGGCATCGTCTTCAACGTCCTTCAGCAGTCGCTGAAGCTCGGCCATGGAGTCCTGCGCTTCTCTGCGCAGTTTGTACTCCTGTTCCGCCCTTTCATCGGTCAGTCTCAGCATGTTCTTCAGACCGTCAATCTGGAGCATCAGGCTGTCGGCGCCAATCTCGTCAGCGTCGGACGGGCGAGCATTTTGCACGCTGAACTGGTTCGCAACCACCTCCTGGAGCATTTCTCGCAGGCCGGCGGTGGGGTCGTGGGCCAGTTTCTCGGTGGTCATAGCTTGCAATTCGGCGACGCTGTCGCGGAGCTGCACCAGCTCGGTGTTTTCGGGCTTCTCTGCGGGCTCCTGCGTGTCACGCTGGGCTAGTACCTCCAGAATGACGTTCTTCAACCGATCAAGCTTGCGATCTCTGGGGTGAGGAGACCGTTCTCGGTAGGATGCATTGTCATCGTACTCGTCATCCTCGTCGTCGGCGTCGCTCTCCTCCCCTTCGGCGGACGTGCTTCTCCACGTCAACTTGTTCTGAGTCGACAGGGTGATCGCTGAGACGGACTGCTGAATAGCGCTGAGAGCACGCTCAAGCGGGGACAGCCGATCGTCGACCACAGATCCAACGAGATCGTTAATACGACGATCAAAGAATTTGCTCCGATGCTCCAGCTTTTCTTCCTCACCGGACGTGATCACGTCATCCCAGTCGCTGATCTGATCGTTCTGGCTGATGAGTTTCCGGATGGGCGATGGCATGCCGGACGCAAAGCCCTTCGAAGGAGTAGCCGCGAAATGAGACTGGGCATCGAAATCCAGTTTCGGGACATCCAATGCGTGCGAGACAAGTCCTCGTCCGGGGCTCGGGCTGGGCGGGTCGCTTCTATTGCCCGCAGGACCGTGTCGTTTCTCTTTCGAAGGTCCGGGCGCTGCTGTCTGGGGACCGCGGTTCGCAGCAGTCTGGGGGGTGTTGACCCTTTCGATTCCAGCGTCGGATTCATTGAGTTGCTCCATGATAGCGTTGAGCTCATCCTCGTCGGGCGAGTCGGCGTCGGAGTCAGACTTGGTAACCCGCTCCGGCTGCTCATCTTTATCGGTCTTGGGCTGTACGGGTTGCACCGGCTGCACCGGCTCAGGTGGCGGGGTCTCGCGCTTTGGCGAGGGCGGAGGGCTTGCGACAGCGTGAACAGAAGCCGCAAGGTCGTTCTTCTTCGGCGGCTCAGGCGCAGATTTCGGCTGATCCACTGTAAATGGTATGAATTCTGCCACAGAAGGCTTGAAGGTGAAGGTTTTCTTCGACCCGAATAACGCGGTCCTCCAATCCTTCTTCGCGGGCTGTTCCTTGGGAGCTTCCTGTTGCTGTGCCTGTACAGGAGCGGCTGTAGCGTCTTCTTGCTTAGTTGCCTTCACATCGGATTCCTGGGCTCCAGTTGCTGCCTCTTCCTTGGTGCCGGAAGGCGCCCATGTTGAAGCCTCACTCACCGGAGTGTCCTTACGCTCCTCAGGCTTTCCGAGATGAGCAGACACAGGCAATGTGCCCGCTTCATTCTTGGGAGCTGCATTCTCCTTGCCCTCGGCGGCTACAGCAGGAGCGTGAGGGATCTGGGATCGCTGAGCATTGGACTCCGTGAGAGCATGGCCCGGACTGAATGGAGCCTCCTCGTCAGAAGGCGCATCGCCACGACGGGCACGTTTATGACGGTCCGACGATTTTCCACTCGGCGCCTTCTCATCCCGGTCTCTCTTCTCGGGCGTACTGTCATCAGGTCGAACGATGGGAATGGCCTTGGACTTCTTGGCAGATTTGGAGGCCTGCGAAATATCCGCGTCGTCAAAGATCTTGGTTCTGCTGTTAGCAGGCTGCTCGGACCCGGCGGAATAGACGCTGGCGGCCGGGTTGAAGACGGGAGCCGCAACATTGAACGAAGGTGAGGAGAAATTGAATTCACCGGATCCGGCATTGTTGCCCATACGGTGAGAGCCACTCGCGGAGAAAGGAGCTGGGGGCGCATCGAACGAGTTGACAGGGGGCTTGAATCCGGGCCCTGAGCCGAAGGTGAACACATCGTGACCGGCGTTGGGGAACTGGAAAGAGTTGTTCTGGAACGGGAAATGCTGCGACGCCGTCGATGCCGTCGGGTCGAATTCCTTTGCGTCGACATTAAGCGTAGACGATGACAATTTCGAGCGGTGGCCGGGATACGACCCACCACTGGGTTTCGATGAGTGCCAGGGAATGTGACTGGCAAGTGGATTATGCCTGCGAGGAGTGCCGGAGAGACTGGGGTTCGTATCGATATCGGATCCCTCTTGAGCATTGTGGCCAGAATATCCCCCGCCGTAGAATTGATGCACGTGCTGAGGAAGGTGCTGAATGTCACGGTTGTTGTTCTCTGGCAGAGCCCACTGCGAGTGCATCAATCCTGGGGCACCAAAGTTGTGAGCCGGCTCATGGTCACCCTCCTCAAGCTGCCTCTCAATTGACTCCTCCAGATGATAGTCGGACTGGGCGATCTGATCAAGTCCCTTCTGGAGCGTTTCGCTCAGGTTGTGACCGCGGCTATGGCTCCCGCGTGGTGTGGGTTGAGCGATTTCAACTGTCGAGGCGTGGAAGTTGTCCATATTTTCTGTAGGGGTGTGAACGGGACGCAATAGATGGCCTTCCATCGCATTATCCTGAACATGATGGTCCATGTGTTGCTCGTGGAATGCGCCATTTTGTAGGTCTGGTTGTTCGTTCAATCCCGGGTGGAAAGCACCCGGGCCATTCATCGGTGATACGGGCGACAACATGGACGTCAGGTCTGGAAGAGTACCCGGAAGACCGGGGTTGTTCGCATGGCGGGCGTTGAAGAAGTTCTGAGGAGTGAGGGTGCCCTGAGCAGGAGGCGTATTCTGGAAGGGGACATGGTATCCGGGCAAGAGATTCTGGTCGACGCCCAAGAATGGCGTTTGAACACCGAAATGCGAGACGGGGGATGCCAGACTACCAATGCCATTGCTGTTGTTGGCAGATTGGTTGAAATGAGGAGAGAACGGGTTCGGCGCGGACAATGGGTTGCTGGCTGCAGATGCCGTCGGGATCGGTGGTGACGGGCCCATCCCAGGGAACGGCGCCATCTGACTCATGGCCGGCGAGACAGAGGGCTGCATTTCCTCCTCGCCGAGAGAGACACCCAGAGCTCGCAACTTCTCTTCCTGGAGGGCTCGTACGTACGAGTCCCAGACATCCCTGTTCGGGAATTTGACGGAATAGCCCCCTTTTGTCTGGTGGTCTTCTTCGTTCTCGGGCGTGTCTGGGAAAGACGGGCGACTAAGTCCGCCTAGCTCGGTGACTTCTGAGCTGTCCTCTGGCGCGCCGACATCGAATCCACGGACGCTGTAACCCTTCTCTTCCCAGTCTTTCAGCTTCTGCTCAACATCCTCCACGGTCAATAAGCGATAGCCTGATTCTTCCGTGCCTCTTCTGTCTCCCGGTGGAAGTCCAATAATGCAAGCTTTCCCGCGCCACAGTATCTTCTTTCTCTTCGGCACTGGTGCTGAGGTATTCCGACCTGACGGCACTTTATTTTGCGTCACGTTCGGTTCGGTGGCTTCTGCAGGTTTCGCTGGGATGTTGTCTTCTTTACCGGCATCCGCTGGGGGTGGGGGAAGCGGCTTCTCGTTTGGAGACGGGGCGTGGCTGGGCTCCGGGTGGCTTGTTGGGGGTTGACCCTCCTTTGTGTCGGCCATGGTGATGGGCTGGGGATCCTTGTCGTAGGCGAAGCCCCAAAAGTCTTCTTGGCGTAAGGTATCGGCTCTCCGGTGAAGGTAGTCTTTCGTGCGTTGACGCCCAAGACTATTTTCCCCGTGGGTCGCAATTGTTCGCCTCTTGACAAAGTCGGACAGGGTCGGGGTCTTCAAGAGGTCTTCGTCGCGGGAATCCTGTTCTAGAGCAAGCCAATCGTCGGACGGGTCGTCTGCGAAATGGTTCTGAGCTGTAAAGAACGAAGGGGCCTCGCTACCCGAGTCGTCGCTGAGCCAGTTGCTGCGTTCGGTTCTGGGCTGACCGGAGAGATATTGGTTGATCCAATCCTGAGTGAAGTCTTTGATGGACTTTCCTCCTTTCCTGCCCAACAGGTCTCGCCGCGGAGATCGATCGAGAGTCGAGTCACCACCGTACAATTGCGTTGTCGAGCTCTCCGGGGCGGACGGTCTCAGGAACTCGGTATGATTTGCTTCGGAGCCGTGATAAAAACCACTGCGCATGGACGCCCGGGAACTGATGCCCGAACCGCGATCGATGCCAGCGGATTGACTCAATGACCACGAAAGCCTCCGAGGGCTGGGTGCGGCATACGGTGAGCCCCAGGCGGTGGTGTAATAGATGCTGCTCTCCGCTTTTTTATTCTCCGGGGACGACGTCGACGAATCCCACGCACCACGGTATTTCGACACAGTCGGGATGGAATTCGACGGGTTGGAGGAGGTGACACTACGGTCCCGGGGGGAGCCAGCGGCCGAACGACTCGACGCTCCGGGGGATGCGGCCGATGAGATCAACGGAGCAGCCAAATATGAAGCGTCACGTAGGCGGGAGGGGTCTCTGGAATGCGGCGGCGGAGAATGCGCCGAATTGGCGGAGGGTACGGACGGATCTAGATCTAAAGACACTTGAAAGTTTAGCTCACGCTCGGATTTTTAGCATTCAGGGGAGACCCGTAGCATCAATCTATTTTTTCCTTTCTTGCCTTGGGATCCTCCTCCACGATTGGGGGTGGAGGAGGTATGGGGGGTGGATTGATGCCAAGGGGGAGGTCAAAAGCAGAGACACTCACCTTCCGTCTCGACTGCTGCAGCAAGCACTTGCTTGCTGCTCTCCTTATCGTCCAGAATGTTGAAGCATGGAAATCAAAGCCGCTAATATGGAATCCACCTCGCAAAACCAGCCTCTGATCGGCACACGAAAGAGGAGGGAGAGCGAAAAGAAGGGGGAGGGGAGGAAGGAGAGGGCGGTGTCTCGACTCGGATTGTTCAGGAAGGAAAAAAAAAAAGAAGAGAGCGGAAAATTAGTGTTCTTCAGGGGAGGAGGGGGCTGCTAAGGACAAGATCCCCAATCAGAGTTGGAGAACACAACCCAAAAGACGAGAGCGCAGGAAAGAGAGGAACAACAGATCACAGACACCTAAGGTATGCGGAAAACTTGGACATGGCGCATACGCGGAGGACAGCTGGATCGAGGTTGGACGATGAAGAACAGGAATCGAGACTAGGGGATGGAACGAGGCGAAAAAAAATGACCATAAAAAAATGAATTGGAATTCACTAATTGGAGTTAGACCATGACACGATCATTTGCTGATGCTAAGAGCGTCTAGTCGATCTCATAGGAGGAAAGCTCGAAAGGGCCGTTGGGGAGGAAAGTAAAATACTGTCCTTACGGCGGCGTATAGGTAGACCGGCAGTCACTGCGGAGTACGGAGTACCTAGCTACAGCGCTACTGGAGGCCGGGCCTATGAGGTATCCGGTACCTCGGAGCTACGGGGACTCTCCCTGGGCCAACGCCAACTCAGCGCGCGACTAGAAGGGCGAGGGTTGACCGCCATCTACAGAACGGAGCAGTCTGGACGGAAGGGAGGAGACGGCGGAGGAGACCGACGTCCTGGAGTGTCTGGCGGTAATTGGATCTCATCTGCTCGAGACGGACAGGTTGTCTCTGAGGTCTGCGGTGGATACAGGCGACAACCCCTGAGACGATGCTGGTAAACAAATAGCGAAGGCTCCTACCGACGCGCATCGCTTTGGTTCGTGTCTCCATTCAGGGGTAAAAAGACGCTACGAACCACGGTTCTCCGGCCGCCGTGACCGTACCGTACAACTTGCTCGTACGAAGTCGCAGTAAACCAGGTACTGTAGGAAAATTACCGTACAGCCTGGTATTTGAGACGCACTAAACCCAATAAAGCCAGGACCGACCGAGGGTTAGGTAAGCTGACACGCTTCACATGGCCGTTGGGCGGGAAATTATCGGCGGGAGCAACTTAATCATGCCGAAACTCTGCAGATGGAAACACTATCTTATGATCAAGGAGGACTTTTCTATTGCTTTTTCCATATACATATACATATCAACCTCTCTATTTGATGCAACCCCTTCATATAATATTTAGTGCCGCTCGAGCATGATATATGATACAAGAATTTATTGAATCGTCGAAATGACCGAAATCGCGTCATTCACGTCATGGACACAAACTGTCTCTTCAAGTCTTGGGGCACGAGATGTCGAACTTGGCTTTGCGGTCCGAAGTGAACAGACCCCAGTGAGTCTCATCCTTCTCCTCGCCGTTGTCGCCCTTGCTGACGGGCTTCCAGGGCTCGTCGAAGGCCTCGAAGTAGAAGACGTCGACACCCCAGGTGAGGATGCCGCAGACGGCGCTCTTCCAGTACTCCTGGGCATACTCGGTCTTGGCCACGGCTTTCTCGTAGTCAGTTCCACCAGCTGCGGGTGCGCGTTAGTTAGGTCTGCGTTACTTTAAAGCTGCGGAGTATCAGGGTCCGGTAACGTACTAGTAGGCCAACCGGTTTCGCCGTTGCCAAAGCGGACCTTTCTGCCAGCTTTGCTCTCGATACGCTTCCTGGCCTGTCTCATGTCGTCGAAGTAGGTGTTGGTGGCATTGTCAATTGCCTGGCCCTGCCAGTAGGCGAAGCCATTGGCCAAGCTTAACTCAAATCAGCATAACCGTGACAAGATCGGTAACGGTCATCAACAACTTACAAGTAGTTGATCTTGGGGCTGGCAATGATATCGTCGTAAGTGCCGTCGGCGAACTTGTTCCAGCTGTCCACCGTACCGACGGTGACCTTGGGGAATTCATCCACCACCTGGATGATACGTTCCTTGAGCTTGGCGGGGGAGAGGCCTCCGCGGTACAGGACCTCAGAACCGACGGTGATACCGTAGACGACGTCCTCGTTACCGTGGACGTACTGCTTCAGGATGCCGAAATCCTTGTTGAAGGAGTCGTCATAGTCGGGCCTATTCAAAGACACAGTTAGCCCTTGACAAACCTCATGCAATGTAACCAGCTAATAACCTACCACACTCCCAAAACCACCTGGAATTTCTTGTTCTTGGCGGCAGGAATGATGTTCTTGGCGGTGTCGCAGTCGCTGGCGGAGTAGGTGCGGACCAGCGTAGTCACCTTCCTGAGGGCGTCGAAATCGGCCTCGTAGTCGCTGACCGTTTTGCATTGGCCGTTGACATTCTTGTTGCCCAAGGCGATTCCCAATTTGCCTTGTTCGGCAGCAGTGACGGCGGGAACGGCCGCCAGCAGGCACGGGAGCAAAGCAGCGATACGCATTGTGAACTCTGCTTAGATGAGCCAAGCAAGAGAAGGGAGGATATAGGTGTAGGCTCGGAAAGAAAGTCGGTGGCGGCGGTAAGAGTATTTAAGACCGAGGGAACGAAGGAAGCCACCTCTGTCTTTCTGCTCGAAGAGGAAAGAGAGAAGAGGGGCCGGATAAAAATAAGATAGGTAAATCAATAAAGAAAGGGGAGGGAGAAAGGGTTCCTGAAAAGGAAAAGAATGTCGCTGCAGAGATCAGCCGAAGGACCGCGATCGAAACGAACGACCGACGGAAGGGATTGACCGAGCAATATATAAGAATAGAAGCCGTACGTCAGGAAAGAGAGCGAGTGGAGATCGATGGGGGATGGGCGTGAAGAAATCGCCTCCTGAGGCGCCCATGCTGACTACGCTGTACTCCGTCGGTGCGGGTGAGCTGGATTGGCTCCAGTGCTGAACGTTTGTTCGGATCGTGGAGGGCGACGAACGCCCCCCAGCCAATTACTGGCGCCGATCGCAGCCCAAGGGTGCCAGGGCCCGCCCCTTTCGTCCAATCCAGACCCTTGCCGGCCCACCCGGCGCGGGCCTTACTGCAAAGGTGCTCTCGCGCCCGATGATCGCTATTACCCGAAGACCCTCGCGGTGCGCTACGGAGTAGGTGAATCCAGGGTCTGGAACTCTGGGCTCTACTCCGTAGTACATGCATCTCTCCCCCCTACGTGGAATGCTTCAGGCAGGAATGCGCCAGGTGGGATGAGGGAAACAACATTCGTGTAGCCGGGCAACGGTCATCCCCGCCTTCTCAGTCGACACCCCGTGCTTCCGATGACGTTTTTTATTGCTGTCTCCGAGGGAGTACGGACATAATGGTCCAGACCCCTTGGAACAGTGCGATTGTTCGGGCGAGATGCTTCAATTCCAGGTTCACGGTTCCTCGGAGCCCCCGATGCGGAAGCCTCAGCCTATTCTCTTACCGTCTCGTCGGAAATCTCGAATTCCTCAAGGGCTAGAAGGTGAATCTACACACTCGGTCCGTTTGTGCTGGGGACCATGGGAAACGTTACTCGATAAGGCATTTTACTCGTCGAGACCAGAGTCAATGATGTCACACAGAGAACGGCGAACGCGGAAACCATGCCATACGAACCTTGGGAGAAACCCTTGCGGTTAGGACCGAAGGCGAATTGAAACGCGAAGAAAGAAAATGCACCAGAAAGACCACGCAACTACACCCACAATATCCCCCTCCGACGGACTTCCCTACGCCGATCGATCCCGCATACTCATTCATGCCAGGGTCTAGTCCTTCCAATCCCGACACACGCTGCGAGCTGCCGAGAACATTCCGTCTGCTTCTCCGGACGAACCAGGCCTTCTCTTCCATCGTCTCCATTCGCCCGTTCTGGCCAGCTTAGTCATCCACGATCCATTTGGCCTGCTCCGGGGTAAGGCTGTGTCCGGTCTTGTCATTGAAGCGGGTGCTAATGGCTACCCAACGGTCTCTTTCCCACTTGGCCGCGATCCGATGGAGAAGTAGCACCTCTTTCAGGGTAAAGTCGCTTTCGATGTAGCTCACTTTCTTAATTTTCGGGTGCCGGGATAAATCTTCGTCGTCGTTATCGTCATCGTAGTTTTGGTCCACCTAGAATGACTGGTCAGCGCGAAAGGTTAATCCGGAGGAAAGGCAAAAAAAGGAAAAGATATATCAGATTGCAAACCCCCACCTCTCTAACAGTAGTCAATGGATCGGCGAAAGACACCCGACGCCGGGATTTGTTCACACCCTTCTTGTTTCCCTCCCAAGGACTTCCCTCTTCGTCGTCTGGCTGGTCGACCCAGTCAGCAGTCTCGACGTCGTTGGGCTTGCGGTCCCGAAGATAGTACCATCGTCTTTTGAGCTGCGCGACTGGTCTGTTCCCCATTGCGACGGAAACGTATTTCCACGGGATATGACAGCTCTTGAGCTCATGGAGGATCCGGTCTTCTTCGTGTGTCCACGTCCTGTCCGCCGCAACGTCCGGTATAGCCGATTTGCCACGCTAGATGGAGTCAGTATCGAACCGTCGGACCCGCACTACCGAGCAGAGTTGTCCTATTCTAGGGAGTTAAAATTAGAATATGAGAAGCTCCTGACCTTTCTAGGGGAGGGTAGCGGGTCTTCAGTGATCGGCTCGCTGCCATTCAGCAGGGACAAGAATCGCACTCGGTAGCGTTTGCCATTGACTACAAAGACAGGCATGGTTTCTTCACGCTACCGATTTTTGAGCTGCCTGGGAGAAATAGTGGCTGTGTAGTCTATGAAGCTTTTGTTTGCTTCCTGGATATTTCGTTAAAGACAAAGACCGCACGGGGGAGTGAAAAGGAAAGAGCTCCCGATGCAATCGGCACCTGACGGCCTGCATTAATACGGATAATTGCTCAGTTGCGTATGATCGTAATATATGATAATCACAAACACTGCCTAGTATGACTTCATGGATGGAGTATCTGAGGAATAGGATCGACAGGAACTCCCAGCATTTCTGATCGTACTTTATCAGCCAATTATTACTAGAATGTGACGGGGACCAACGTCAAACTAATGAGCGTCTAACGAATTTCTGACGTGTAGATCAAGCCATCACCGAAATGGACTTTTATGAAATCACCACTGTACCAAAGATTCCACTACGCCTAGAACTTCGCACGAAAACTTCACCCCTGAGCTGTTGTGCGCTCCAGGGTCCCAACGACACCCATTAACTGGCTGAATGTTCTTAAAGCGTGCACTGCCCGCGATTGCACCATCCCAACTGTTTGCACTGCGTCTGTAGTTAATAGAGTCGCATTCACCACTGTAGGTCTTCGCTTTCACTGCATATAAAGACCATGTAGCCCCTCTAGGTCAATCTCTCTTTCCCTTCTTCCTCTTCACAGTCAAATAAGTTGTTGTATTATATTTTCATTGTTCGTCATGTTGAAAATGACCAAGTCTCCTGTCTCAGCGGTCGAAACAGTCGATTTATAGCATACGACATGCCTTTCCTGAGATCGATTTATATTCCTTGATGATCAGATATACAAATCACAAACCGATGGAGATGGCGACCCACGAGAGCCTCTTGCATTTCGCGGAGATAGCCAAACTGCTTATAGACCTTCTACCGTGAGATATCCCTCCCCTTTCCAACAGCAGCCCGATTCCTGACGAACAAGACAGACAATATGGCACAGTTGGCCTCAAAAAAGGGCATCAAATGCCTCTGGCATACATAGCCTGACATCTCCCAAAACCATGACGAATCCGGCCCAGATCCAAAAATCAGAAGAGGCAGCCTCTTACAAAGTACAGGTGCCCAAGACGAAGTATAAATGGGGTTCATGAAATTAGACAAGCGCGATATTCGAACGTCTCTTTTTCATGTCCTGCATCGACAGTCTTCTGCGTACAACATTCTAAAGGATGTATGTGCATGCGCAGAACCCGCATGATATTGCAAATGCCCAGTTCCAAACCACTTATGGTTCTGGTTAAACGGTGCACCCGACCCAGGGAGAAGATTGCCCACAGCAAGATTCTGGGTGCGCATGTGGTTTCCGAAAGCCATTCGACGGCCTAGACTGCCCGTTCGACGGTGGAACTGCAGCAGGTAGTAAGCGGAAGCTGGATGACGAACGAACGCTCGTTCTCCAGGCTGATGTAGTCAGGCAGAATTTCAAGACGGAGTGTCAAGAAAATTGTCAAAACCAGCAAAACAAATTGATGGATTGAAAACGCTCACCCTGGAGCTACTCATTAATCGGCATATGAGTACAACGCTTGAAACCTGGTCTCAAGGAGGAACACCACCATAACAAAATACAAGGCCATGCGAGACACAATCTTTCTGAGGACAGACTCAAGTTTAGTCGATTGCCGAGGATAAGTTGCACTTACTTGTCCTTTCTTGAGGCGAAGGCCAAACATTCAAGAAATCTGTCGACGACAAGCTAGCAGAAGTCCCGTCAAAACCAAAAGAATAAAGGTGTCGATGCCGCCGATGACGATGACGACCATATGTCTGAATACGCGGTCGATCAACTCCAACACAGGACACCTGCAACGGAAAGATGCCACAGCCGGCGAAAATCCAGCCACTTTCTGTCCAGACGGATTAAGATACGGCGATGAAAGTTTCCAAATCACTTGGACAATCGTAGGGTGGTGTCCAGCCTCACTATTCTTTTGGAAGAGATCGTTGTGCAAGTCCACGGCATTTTGGTTTACCAGGCTAATTTCTTGACATCGAGACCTGGCCACTGGTATCCCAAACAAGTTTATGCAAATATTGCAGTCCAAGTAAAAATTCATGACATTCTTCTCGAATCGAAGAAACATACTGATACTTCAGACGTTCGGTGGAAAAAAATTATCCAGCCTTGGTCGTTGCTGGAAATCGATCAAAAACCTACTGAGAGTGCAAATTGGCCTCATTGGCTCACATATTCTCCAATTTAATTTTATTTAAATGACTATATGGGACTTGGGCCATGCGCATAGAATGCTCTGAGCGACGCGGTGACATCTGACCGAAATATGGTTCCGGATTTAAGGCCGACGCATAGCCTGGATAGTTTTGACCATGAGGTGAACATGGGAGGGATACATTCTTGTGCAATGTAACTTGGTTCTGCTTTTGCCCAAAGGCGCATATGGGATGAGGTGTTTCATTGGTGATCGAGTGGTTAAATTCATAGGTAGTTGATTGGTTTAAACGAGTGTTTCGAGTCATCCATGTATTACTATAAAAATAGGCCAATCACTACAATGCTAAACACCAAGCGCAGTAGCCAAGTAGAGAGCAAGGCAGCCAGTTAAAAACAGCCACATTCCAGCTGAACCCCGCACTTCTTTATGAGGGCGACTACCTCTTCTTAATCTGGGACAGAATCAACAGTTTTGGTTCATAATTATTGTCAAGTAATATGCTTGTGCAGAGTCTGTGTGCCGTCAATTTAACCTACAACGGATATCAAATAGGGCTTGTTCTAAGTAAGTCATTCGGCTTATTTCGGCTTATTGGTCCTTTGCCTTTATGTCGTTGTCTCTATTGGTCGAAACTAAAAGTCAGTTCAGACAAGCTACCTTACCTACTCTTGCTGCCTATCTGCAATGCCCGACCCAAAGCCCAAAAGCTCACCTGCTACAACGACCGACCCAAAGCCCAAAAAACCATTAACATTCCTTTACATCTGTGTAAGTTATGATGAGAAAAGTTATTACTATTAAAAAACACATATCCAGCTGACATTTACTTGGTTTCTTTTCTTTTGAAATAGTGTAATTGCCAGGATGGCCCAAAAAATTACAACATGCAACCTACGTGTGTAACTTGTAACCATGTAGTTTGTTCGGGTTGTCAACATGTCAAATAAAGCGTTAAGTCAAGGTGCGGCATGGGAGGCAGTGTAGTGTAGTTACTCATCAAAATGTTACAGACCTTGGTCTGGGAAGTCCATGAGGGGTGATTTTCATAGGTATTTACCAGGTAAACTGCCCTGCTCCGCCACTAGGCATGCATATATAGGCGCCGAGCGGCTGAAGGCCAGCCTCGTCCCTCGAACTTCTGGATCCCTTTTACACCCTAAGAGACCTCTCTTCTCTCTCTTGAAATTTTTTATCGATCTGCTTGCAGCAAGTGTCGTGTATCGAACTCCTGAAAATGTGCGATCCGGTTGGCGTCATATCCCTGGGCATATCCGTCTGCCAAGGACTGCTGGCCTACTACGGACCGTACAAGGCCTTCCACGAAGAAATCGAAGACATAATATGCCGGACACAGAATCTGGACAGAACCATGAGATTACTGGAGAAGGTGCTTGATGGTGCGCAAAGCTCTGAGGTGACTCAGAAAGCAGAGTGTGCCAGGGTCGCGATGCGAGCAATCGAGAATTGCGAGCAGGGACTAAAGAGACTCAGAGGAACATTGAAGAGCTGCTACAAAACTTCAGCAGGATCTCAAAGTGCCCTGAAGAAAAAGGTGCAAATGAATCGAATACTCTATCCATTTCGACGAGATACTTTGATGTCGATGGTGTCGATGGTGAATGGACTCCAGAATAATTTAAACACTGCCTTGCAGATGTTAACTTAGTGAGTAAAAGACTTCCATTTTGTATGGTCCAACTTCCTTATGAACCAATCGCAGTGCGATGACGACCGTTAACGAGGAATATATGGGCATGGTTGTCTCGAACGCTGCTTCCGCTGCCTCGGGAACGAACCAGGTGCTAGATGTTGTTCGAGATATGAGCCAAGCGCATGATTCGTTTGATGGTAAACTGGAATCCATAGAGCGTCGCCTGATCAAAATGGTACCCTGATCGAGAGCCCATCGAGTGAAAGCTTCTCTAACTCTGATCACAGGAGACCAGTATTGCTCAGCATCAGATGCAGCCGGCGTTTGACCCTTCTCTGCTTCGGTCGCTTCTTGACAGCCAAAATGACCTTGATGAAGAAATTGGTCTAGCACAAGTCAGCCCTTCTTTGTGGGCGAAAAGCCCTCGAAAAGCTTGCAACTGCCTGAATGGTAAGGGGGCTTTCGTTTCGCCGCGGCAAGTCCGGTCGGTCAAGTCTTCATATGGAAATGCGTGTCCCTTTCACACTTTGGAGAGAAGGGTCGCATTGATTAGTATACGAAGAGTCTTTTGCAACTGGCTCTTGAAGCTTTCCGTCACAGCATCACTTGAAATAACGAAGGGTGCCGGGGAATTTTCTATAAGTCCTGGTCTGAGGTTCCGCACGGTTGTACCAGAGGACTCTGCAGCATTCAAACTCCTGGCTGAAAAACGGAAGATTTTATACAGAGCTTGGCTGTACGGAGAGCATGCAGAAGTAAATGATACACTGCACAGCATTTTAGCAGGCTTATTGGAAATGTTCCAGCAAGGCAGAGCATTTCCTACAGACACGTTACCCAGTGGGAACACAATTTTGCACGTAAGTTCAACTCCATCAACTCCATATAACTTGTATAGTAGCGCAACATATCGCTCTCTACGACATGGCTTTCACTGATTATAACTGACCAATGCAGGTAATTGCGAGCTGGCACCAGCTTATCAGATTTTGGAGCCCATCTTTGCTGGCTCAATGGCGCAGACTATTTAAATCTCTTCTTGAGAACTGTGCGCTTCCTAGCATCATGAACAATAGTGGCGAGACGCCCGTGGATATCATCTTGCAGAACTTGTGGGTGTGCTGTCTAGGAACGCCTGTGGAACAGAGCTCAATTGGCATATGCTCTGATTTGATCAGCGCGGGAGGGTATCTGACATCCGTCGGAGTCTTCAAGTGCAGACAGCTGGCATTTTATAGCCCCGAGACATTGGATGCCCCAACTAGTCTCATCATTGGAATGCCCACGTTTGTGGTTGGTCAAATTGCTGGCAAAATTGAAGTAGAAAGTGCGTCACGTTTCGTGAGGAAAGAGCCCTATGCTAATTTGAATCGCTCTTAGGCATCGAACTCCCTGAGAAGTTTGCTCCAGTGTTCTCCCAGTCCGAGCAAGACCTCGAAAGGCTCTTGAAAAGTGGAGCTGATATGACTGAGGTCATGGAGTACTATACGCAGTGGCCAAGAGGGCTTGAGATACTGCTAAACAGTGGACTTGCTCCCTCACACAAAACCTTATCAGTAGCATTGGCTGCTGACTATAAAGAAAGTATAAAGCTTCTCCTACAGACAAAGAATTTGTGCATAGGTCCACAATGGCTACAGACTGTTAGCTGTAGCCGTGATGTGGAGCTGCTGGAGCTTGCTACCCAGGAACTTGTCAGCCGCAGAAAGCGTCTACGGCTACTAGCAGAGACTTACTTACCAAGTACAACACTTTCTCGGCTGCGGATTCAACCCGATCGTCTTCTCAATAGCGCAGCGGCAGATGTGTACCGTTCATTAAAAGCATTGTCCATTGACATTGGTTTCGCAGAAAGCGAGATTTCCTGGATAGTCTACTCTCATATAGGGTCCAATATAACTCTGGCGGATCTGCTGTGGAAGGCTGGCTTTCGTGATATGGACGAAAGGGATGATAACGACTACACCAGTCTAATGAACCTGAGCACTGACCATTACCTCTCGGGAGGCCCGGTTGGTCTGTTAGAAAAGGCACAGTGGCTTATTACCAGAGGCGCAGATCCACATCTCACACGCGAAAGCTTACCAGCTGTCTTGTACATGTGCTACGATCTCGGCCTTGCCTCGTATTGCAATCTTGAACATCTTGTGAGCGCTAGCTTCAAATTTTGCGATTTGAGTGATCGGTGCCTGGGGCTAGTGCGACGGATTCTTTTCGATCCGTGCCGAGATACTTGCAGCTGTTCCTACTCTCCGAATGGATGCAGCGGGCTATCGAGGTTCATGGACGCTTTTTTCTGGAATATCACCTATCGAAAGGTTGATGGGGATGTTTACGAGCAGCTTGCGGTGGCTCTCGAAGATATTGCAGGCGCACTGTGTTCATCATGTCCCCAAGGCATTTTTGATGCAATGGCCCCTGATGTGATTCGCTTCATCACTGCACACGCCCTGCAAATAACTCACACCTGTGTTTGCGATAGGTGGGGAGCATGCCCTCGGAGTGTTTGTGAGAAACTACAGGAAGATGAGATTACGGAGCTTTCATTTGTGGAGCATGATTTACTGCAGCAGCATGAGGACCTTTTCGGTGACTTTTTGGCCAAGTATAAAAAAGGGAATGAACCCTTGCCTCGCTTTATAACCGGCTATTGGTCCACGAAGATGAGACAGGCCCTTTCATTTGACAATGCTTCACCTGAGGAGCAAGCGATGGCCCTACGTGAAATTGGAGTGGTCTTGGACAGCAATGCAGATACCTCGAATTCATTTGAATCGGGTTAGTATTGCGCATGCATAACTTGAGACGATACTTAGGATGTAAGCTGGTTGTTGGGATTGCTGGTTTCTCTAATCTAGGTCTTCCTGTGATAATGAATTTGAAACTTGGATTCAAGAATGTTGTAATCGCCTTTTCTTTTATACGAAGGCAGGTATGGAGAGTTGTGCAAAAAAAAAAAAAAGAATTCCCATACAAGAGTGCGAATCCACAGTACATTGATACCTCAGGCAACAGGAGTGGGTCCACCGGTGATAAAGTCAGGTGATCCAAACTCTAAACTACCACAAATTTCACATGACCATTCGGGTCTGGTTGGTATGGAAAATAACAGAATTCGTATGGGCTGGAACATTTGCAGGCCTCTGCCACCGTCAGAAGAGCCGGGAAATCTACCAAAATTGCATATCATAGACACATCACTGCCTGCTATCCAAATATCAGTCCATTTTCGATTATCGCCTTTTCTGCGACCGTGGTAGCTGATTTTGCTATCGGAGAATGCTTTTCCTATGATTTCGTGAAATCGGGGTTTGGAAGGCAGTCGGGGTCCGGGCGGTCAGCTTAGCGTCAGCTGTCAGGTGACTTTCCGCTTGATTCTGCCGGCCAACGCCAACCATTTGTACGGACGGGAGTTGTCTGCCTGGACTCTCAATCATCAGCAAGACAGACTTGTCACTTTTGAGCACCGCAAAATGACCGTGCACATTTCAATTTACCCAGCTCCTGAATGAATGGCTGTCTATTTTGTTCCCTCAACCGAGGATATCTGATAATGCACCCAAAGTCCCATGGGGATCAATCGATAAGTAGAATGTTATCTCTACTATGGAAGTAGTTAGGCCGAGGGCTCCAGTACTTAGACACGGGGCCGTACCGGGGAGACACTGCTATACTGCGTTTGGCTCGGACAGCAATCAGCTATACTACTAACAGCTGAAAGGCATGAAATTATCCTCACCCGACACCCAAAAAGCAAAACATGAAAAACGAAGAAAGAAAGACAAAAAAAAAAAACAGAGTGCCACCCGCTTGCCAGACTAAGAGAATATAGCTTTGTTTCTTTGAACCCAACTCCCGTTCATGTCCCCTTTTGCAGCCACAGGGTTTGTTTGCTGCCTCTAAACCTGGCCATGATGATTTCTTTATGAAGGTACTTTTTATCAAGCCTCTCCACCGACAGCCGCAACTTCCTTTCCAACATCTACCCATTTCCCTTTCCCACCATCCTCAGTTCCGGGGTTACTATACTCGTTAGTACGCGAAGCCATATGTCTTGTCACCAGAGTCTGCGCCACGAGCCCAAGATCCAGAAACCGGCAGCATATTGGGATAACTTGTCAACCCTCTACTTGACCAAAGGTGCTCTACAGGAGTTGCAGCGAAGAATCGGACGTCCGCAGAAGAAACGGCAGAGCCAAAGGTGCTGACAACCGCGTGGTATCTCTGGCTTAAATAAACTAACATCTTGTAGACCCTCCCAGACAGCTGCTGCCATCCTCAAGAAGTTGAAAAATCGCCTGGAAGAGGTTAAAAGATCTTCGCGGCAAGGCGGATTCGACCTAACCGATCTGAGAGGCGTATGTCACTTACCCCGATGCTACATGTAAGGCCCTAGGCTAAATTTCCAGTATCCTCAACCTGAAATCGATTCTCGCTGCGGGCCAATGACGCGAACCAGGCCTGTACCTAAGAGCAAACGAACCCGAAAGATATCCAACGATGCTGATGATATTACAAGCATCACTACCACGCCATATAGTCTGAATTTTGAGCAACACTTGACGGACCACCAAGTTCATCCTCTGAGACATTCCTATGGAGAAAGTCAGAAGGGGAACAAACCTGAGAATATGTTGGAAATCAGGAACAGATTAGCCAATCGTCGCGCATCCCTATCGTCACTGAATTTCTCCGACGCCGACTTTGACAGATTTTCAACCGCATGCGATACTGCGTCTAAGGAGCCACAAGTCTCAGCTTCGGTGCTTCCTTTTATCCAGGGGAATACATCCCAGTATTCCGGCGGGGGCACTCTATTCAACAACGTTGCTCCCCTGACCGATGGAACTATATCGGATGCAAAGCCCGATATCTATTATGGTGTACGTCCCGAGGAGCTACACCGTAAGATTCGCAATGATCTCAATGATATGATCATCCCATGCACGAATGACAGTCTTCCGATACTACCAAACTTCATCGTGGAAGTGAAGGGCTTGGACGGAAAGACAAGCGTGTCTAAGCGACAGTGTTGTTACTATGGCGCTCTTGGAGCACGAGCGGTCCACGCGCTCCAATCATACCAACCGGACAGAGCCGGTGAAGCAGTCTATGACAACAACGCGTATACTATTACGTGCAGTTATTATGATGGCATGCTCAGTCTATTTGCGCATCATCTCAAAGCGCCTGCGATCCCCGGAGAGCGACCGCAGTACTTCATGACCCAGTTACGATCATTTATGATCCTGGACAGTCCCGAAAGCTTTCGAGATGGGGTATCGGCATATCGGAATGCACGAGACTGGACCAAAGAAAAGAGAGACGAGATGGTGGTGGTCGCAAATAGGAGGCTCCAGGAGGCTGGAGAAGGAGCATCTGGTACTGAGCATGAGAACGCATCGTCTACTTCGGGAAAAGAGGGGGAAGAGGAAGGAAAGGAAAAGAGGGAGAAGGAAGAGAGAAAGAAGGGGAAAAGAGAGAAAATGGAGAAGAAAGAGGCGAAGAAGATGGAGAAGGAAGAGAGAAAGAAGCGGAAAAGGGAGAAAGAGGAGAAAAAGCAGAGGAAAGAGGCGAAGAAGAGGAAGAAAGCTGAATAGACTTGCTATTTACTGAATGAATCCATCAACAAGATCCTAAGACAATATCAAATGTAAGCAAGTGTGCCTGACAAGTCGCGTCGACACCTCAGGCCACACTGGTCCTAGCGCCCGACGGAGAGAAGACCACCTTGCGCGTCAATCGAGCCCGTCCCCGTCGGCCAACCTCACCACCACCGCCCGTCCATTCTTTCCCCTCTGCGCCCGGTCGAGGATTCAGACCCTCTGGAAATAAATAAACACGCCGCTGCCCCCACCATGCGATTCTCCGCCGCCACGCTCCTCATCACGGCGCTGGGCTGGATCACCGCCGCGACCGCCCACAACATCCAGCTCAAGGCTCACTCGCGAGAATGTTTCCACGAATCGCTGCACAAGGACGATCGCATGACGGTGACCTTCCAGGTCGGGGATCGGGAATTCGGAGGAAGCGGCAACTTGGAGATTGATTTCTGGGTATGAGCTGTGATGTTTGGGTCGGAGTTAGTTGGAGTTGGAGTTGGATGGGCAGCTTTTTCTGCCCGGCTCAATCCACCTGCTTTCAACTTTCCGTGACGGCGATATTGGAAGAAAAGATGTGCTGATGATCTCTGCGTTAACAGGTCGAGGACCCCTCGAGTAACCGCCAATACTACCGACAAGCCGTGTCGTCGGAAGATTACTCGTTCAACGCCCACGCCGACGGCAAATACGTCTACTGCTTCAGCAACGAGGGCTGGACCTCCAACTCCAAGGAAGTGTCCTTCAACGTCCACGGAATCGTGTATGTCCCGGAGACGGAAATGGAGCAGGATCCTTTGGAGACCGAAGGTAGGAAAGACCGATACATAGGCGGCAGCAGCAGCAGCAACAGCGGCTAACGGATCATCGCCAGTTCGTCGACTTTCGGAGGCATTGGCCCAGGTTAAGGACGAGCAGTCTTACATCGTGGTGAGAGAGCGCGTGCACCGGAACACGGCGGAGAGCACCAACGCCCGAGTCAAGTGGTGGAGTATCTTCCAGCTGGCGGTGCTTATCGGCGAGGGAGTGTTCCAGGTGTGGTGGTTGAAGAGATTCTTCGAGGTGAGTTAGATCTGGATTGGTGATTTGCGATGGTAGTGTGCATGGATTGCTAATGCTATCTGCAGGTCAAGCGTGTGGTCTAATTGTTTCGGGGCATTCTTAAATAAACGAAAAGGGGTGATGGATGGACAGGACGTTGCTTCCATTCTGTACTAGTCGAGGAGTTTAGATTCTATGAGATATGGAAACCAAGTAGTTATATATTGTTATTCTCGAGACGCACCGCAACCGACAAGCGCCAGGCACGGCCATGTTAATAATCGACCCAAAATAAGCTTAACGGGCCAGACCCCGCACCCCATCATGTTGTCATTCTGTCCGTCTTTTCATCCAGACCTCATCATGACGACAATCCTATAGAATTGCATAAGCATAATCTCTTATTCGGAATAGCAGTCCTCCGCATAGAAAATAATCCCAATGTCGTTTGACAGTTTCGATCTGGGCCAAGACCTAAGCACCGTCTCCCAGATGGACCAGAGCAATTCTCCGAATGCATCCTTCGGCATCGACGCCAGCGACCCGCTCTTCTACGTCTGCTGGCGCCGACAGTCCTGTAGATGGTGCTTGGAGGGCGACGCGGCGTGCAGTTGGTGCGCGGTGGTAAATCTCTCTTCTTTCGTTTGCTATTCATGCTGTCAATGTGTTCACAATACCCCTTGCTTAATTCATCATCCTTCCTTAATGCCCCAGTTACATACATATAGCCAATCCAACTCAGCCCAACCCAAACACTACTACACACGATACTAACCAACAAAACAGACCTCAACATGCGTCCCTAACTCCGCCCATCTCCCTATCCTCGCTCCCCTGGGCTCGTCACAGATCTGCCCTCTCGGGTCCAAAGAGCGCTGGGAGCTGCGCGCCCTCCCGTTCGGATGCAACGTCAGCACCATTACGTTTCTGACGGCCGTGGGGTCCGTGCTGAGCACGCTGGCCGCGATTGCGTTGGGGATGCTCGTGGTTTGGGCGGTTCGGAGGGCGCCGGGGTGGTGGGGACGGAGTAAGTTGACCAGGGGGAAGTGGAGGGAGAGGGTTTGGGGATTGGGTATGGGAAGGGGAAGGGGGAGAGACGGCTATGATCGAGAGGAGATTGGGGATGCGGAACGGAGGCCGTTGTTGGGGAGGGAGAGGGGGTAGTTTACCTGTGATGACTATCTACGAAGAGGGAGGGTTGGTTTTGATTATTAGGGGGTACATGGGATTAGGTTGGCCATGGTGTGGTCATGAACATGAGATATAATAATTCATTCAATTCATCATGGCTTCATTCTCATCATGATTAAATAGCAACCAGTCATTGCTAGTAAACGAGTGAAAGTACAGTGTTAGTTCGTTACGCATGAACAACCTGACTGACTCGGTACTCGACGACAATCGATTTGTCCTTGTGGACGTTGAAGCGGCCCTGCGCGACGAAGACGCCGTGCTCGAGCTGCTTGTAGCGTGCGTCGCCAGTCTACGTTGATTGGATTAGATCTCATCCGTCTGGCACAGCCGGTTGAGATGGATGTTTCTCACCTCGAATGTAAAATGGGTAACTAATCCCCAAATTAGTGCGCTGGTCTCCGATATATAGGAATATACTCACAAGCATCGCCAAAAGGCGTGGATCCCTCGTCTGCGGAGCCTGAGAAAACAGCCTGTACAGCTGCAGACAAGGTGACGATACCCGTGTAGTTCACGTAGATGAGCTGGAGCTGTCAGTCCCACCCTGTACATCCGTAGAGCGAAAACATACGGCGCCGTCATGGGTCCTATAGGCCACGGTCAGGTCAGAACAGGCAAATCGACAAACACGGACCCTGCTTACTTGATAACGCTGTGCGCATTCAACCGCAGATGTTTCCCATCCGCATCCGCATGGATGTAATCATTTCCGACACCCACGAACTCGGAATCGACGGAGGGAGAGAAGTTCGAATCGCTTTTGAAGGACCCGCCGGTCATCGGCTACTTGAAATGAGAGGCATCTCTTGATGGGAATCGATGAGATTAACTTACAATCACCTGCAACGGGTTGGACCGCGAAAGGCTTCCTATTGAGAGTTAGTGGTGACCATGAATCTCGCGAGATAACTCACCGACAGCCAAGGGGGCATCGATGGTGACCTAGGTAGGCCGTCAACTCTAAGCATCGGAACCGTGGCACCGCCAACGGCTTACCTTGATTGTGAAGGCGGGCTTGAGCGAGGGGAATTGAGACATGATGGATCAAGGGTTTTGATTAAAGTTGGATGAGATGAGCCAGTGCAAGGCGAAGAGGATTGAAGGAGGAAGAGATTGGAAGAGCTGGAAATTCCCCGCACTGGAAGAGGGGAGCCCTCTTTTTAAGGCGCGCAACCACGTGAAGGTGGCACAATCATCTGCCCGCGTAACCTTTGCGTAGACACTCCTCTCCATGAATGAGACGATTACGGTGCATGAGTCAACCCGATGTCGATTCATCTCGTCAATAGATTGGAATGGTTGCACATCCTCCCCTCTTACCGACTGGATTGTAGGCTTGCTTCGGACATCGTCGGGGCATTTTCCCTGTTATGGGTTAATGTGCTACAGTTACATCTGGCCAGACTCTCTAGACAGAGCACCAGGCAATGCCAGCATTCATTCAACCAATGGGCTGTCCAAATCACGATAGCGTTCCCGAGCTCCGACTGACAACCTTGTCCGCTAAGCTCGGGGTCGGCTTTAGGTCAGTAGCAGGGATCTATGGCCGGGACGTGGCGGCTATTGCAAAAGCAGATATAAAGCACCAGACCAGCAGACTGCAGAGTTATTTGGCCAGAATTACCTTCCGTGATCAAAATGGCCGACCTCACTTCTGCGCGCAACCACATCCAAGTTGCAACAGACTCTAACGCCGAGTCCTTGCGACAGCTCAACCTAGGGATTCATGGCCATCCAGAGACCGCCCACGAGGAAGTCCATGCACACGACACCTTGACCAGCTTTCTTGAGACCCGTGGATTCAACGTAACGAGACATGCGTACGGCCTTTCAACCGCTTTCGAAGCCGAGCTGGGAACGTCCGGCCCTATCGTCATCTTTTGCGCCGAATACGACGCACTACCTGGCATTGGACGCGCTTGCGGTCACAACCTGATCGCCACGTCTTCGATGGCCGCGTTCCTTGGCCTCGCGAATTCAGTCAAGCAATTGGAAGTACCCGGACGAGTCCGCATCCTCGGCACTCCAGCGGAAGAGGCACACGGAGGGAAGATACAGCTTATCGACGCCGGGGCCTTTCACGACCCGGCGATCGTGGCTGCCATCATGGTGCACCCCACCGCGCAGCGCAGTATCCCAGAGGGATACCAAGGCGTCGCTGGATGGGAATCAATTGCGAATGCTCTCATCCAGGTTGAGTTCCACGGCAAGGGTGCCCATGCAGGAGGGGATCCATGGAACGGGGTGAGTGCCCTAGACGCAGCAGTGTCGGCGTACAACAGTCTCGCCATGCTACGACAGCACATCAGACCAGACGAACGTATCCATAGGATTATTGAGGACGGTGGAAAAGTCCCGAATATCATCCCTGACTATACGCGAATGAAATAGAGTATCCGGGGTCGAACAGCTGCGCGCACAGACGAGCTTCTTGCGCGAGCCAAGGCATGCTTTGAAGCGGCTGGGGTATCCACTGGATGCAGTGTCAGCTATACTATGTGAGTTGATCATGCATAGACTTTCGAGGCGTCCTCTAACATAGGACTAGGGAGCCGATGTACAAGGATATCGTCGTCAATGACCCATTCTGTCAGATATACACGGAGGAGATAGCGGCTTTGGGACGAAAAGTACAATTGAAGTCAGACGGACCTACCACTGTCTCGACTGACATGGGTAAGTTGACCTTATTCTTTCCCATAAAGATGAGCTAAATACTGATTTCCGCAGGCAATGTCTCCTACGCTGTCCCGAGCTTCCACGGTGTCTTCGGCATTCCCACGCCTGACGGCGTGCCGCCTCATCACGCCGGTTTCGCCAAAGCAGCAGGGTTAGAAGAGGCTCACCACGAGGCCATAATATGTGGGAAAGCAATGGCTATGCTTGGATGGAGGTTATTGACTAGATCATAAGGCGGTGCGTACATGAATATATTTTCATGTCACTCCGTCTAGGAGAAGACTGAGAAGATGCAATTTGACCAAGAATTAGCGTGCAGAGCAATTTCATTTTGATGACATGGAGCAACCAGCAAAACTATTCATCTATATCCACAAGATACCACGAATAGCCCTAAGTCGCAAACGAGTGAAATATCATCATACACCACCACCTAATACATCCCCTCAATATCATTCCCCATCCACACTCAGCTCTCATCCAACCCCATCAGCATCAGTTCAACCTCCTCACTTCCTTCCTCCTCCCACAAAACAGAGAAGAGGAAATCTTCTAGTTCTTCCCCACCCCAACAAACAAATACGGCGCATCCTTCAACTCCAAACAATCGACCTTAATCAGCCCGGGCTCGTCGCCGTACTCGATATCCACCAGCGTGCAATCAGTACACTTCGAGTCCCTGCATCCTCCGAAATGAGGCGGCTTGACGCTCTCGGGCGTCTCGACCTCCCCGAACAGTCCGGCGTGGTAGCCGTCGGCGTAGGGACGGCCCAGCTCCACGCAGACGCTGCCGTTCGTGGGCTCCCAGGTGTACGCGATGTGGTTCTCCGCGTGCTGCGTGAGCGGGCAGTTGCCGATGCCTTCGGTCGTGATGGTGCCGGTGTAGCCTTTCTGCGCGACGGTGGAGGTGGCGCTGAGGAGGGCGACGAGGAGGGTGGTTGGGTTGATGATGGAAGGCATTTTGGGTGTTTGTGCTTGGTATGTGTTAATTTGGTTTGGTTTGATTGATTTTGCTTTGAATGTGATCTGTTGATTGACTGATTGACTTTCTTGCAATTGCCAGTAAAGAATGATGAGGGCTTAACCCAGCGAAACGAAGGGCTCTTTATATCTTCCATTTCCATGTCCATACCCATGCCCATCTCATCGCTCACTACCTACATAAGGGTCCAAAACCCCAGCTAGTAAGTGATCACCGCTCAGGGTCCAGAAGCTCTCCACTCCGCGGCGTCGTCCCCAGCGTATAGACCGCACAAACAAGCCTTTCAGGAACTGTTAGCTCCTCACGCCCTTGCAATTGGATAGATTCTACTGTCGCAGCCAAGGCGACAGCATTCCATGTTTCAACGCGGCCAAGGCAGCAGAGATCCTGCGGATGATTGCATGAAGGAATACCTCAGAGGCTTATCTGAGATCATGGAACGGATATGACATGGGGAAGTGGATCGCAGATCGCTGGATTAGTACGTTTTCGGAGCTTTGGGTTTCCAGGTCGGGTTGTACAAACGGGACGAATGGTGCTGCCTTGTTTGGTTCTGGTATAGTGACCGGGGGGTGGTTGCTTTTTGGCCCCATCTACCCGACCCCGTTCGATGTGACTTGTTTATGATCGGAGAAACAAATTGCCTCATTAGACTAGACATTTTGGCGCTATACTCAATATTCAGACTCAGGCTTGAATCTTCGCTGCCTTCAAGCCCCCTTTCTCCGCTCACAAAAAGAAACGAAACGAAACAGACGCGGAAAGATGAAATCACAGCCTCGCTCCTCCCCTGCCATCGAATGTAGGCAACGAAGCCTGAAACGCATCCCATCTGGCCGACGACATCATCGGTGCTGTCAGATACGGCTCGACGGCGTCGTGGCGATCGACTAGCTCCCTGATTCGGGGGAAGAGGGCGTCAATCGCGCGCTCTTCCATGTCTGCCTGGGTCGATCGGCTGAGCCCGAGGTGCTCGGTGTACCAGGCGGGATCGGTCTGGATCATTTCAGCCTCGAAGAGAGCGAGGAGGTTGGGGTCGATGGATGCGTCGAGGGCGGCTTCGTAAGCCATGCGGTGGGCGATGGCGAGGACAAGGGGCCGGCAGCGCGGAAGGATGTGCTTGTTGTATGCGTCGCTGCGGTGGAAGCCGATGTTGCTGTGGTCTGGGTCGTGCGTGTGGGATGGGTGTGGAATACGATGGATCGCCTCTCGAAGCTCGAATAGGAGGCCTGTTTCGTGGCGCGCGAGCAGGCAGTCTGGGTGTCTGGGCTCGGGCAGGGAGTATCGGTCTATGGGAATCTCTGTTGCTAGTCCTGTTGATCTTGTCAGATAGAACTTGCGGTGTTTGGAGTGGTGGCGTACGGATTGACAGGACAAGCAGGTCTCCTTCGGCGATACCACAGAATCGCGCGAGTGCCTGGATTCGATTGGTGAGCTGGATGTCTAACAGATGTTTTGTCCACTAAATAAATGTGGAACGTACCTCCATCTCCCTAATCTGATTGTGGATGAATGCCCCCCTGGCACCAATTCGCTCAGACAGATTCGCCAAGCTGCCCTGTCCAACCTGAAGAGACATTGCCTTGAGAATGGCACCTAGACCGTGTCTCACCTCGGGATGGAGAGACTCGTCCACGTAATGATCTTCAACCCAGTCCGCGAATGGTTCCAAGACCGCGATGTGGGCAAGCGCGTGCAGGATTGGGAGATGCTGGGTCCGGAAGCTCATAATCGGTGTGCGTTCGCCGTGCAGTCCCTGCTGGACTGTGCGAGACAGACTGTACTTGCCAGCGATGTAGACAGCACCTTTAAGGAATGTCGCAATCCATATATTGAGCGCCAGAGTGCCTGTTCCAATACGCTGGATCGTGGAAAGATAGCTCGTGCGCATGTTGGTTGGTTTGGTGAAGTCGCCTAGCATGGATGGGCCTGGGATTCGGACGTGGTTGAAACTAGTGAGGCTGTAGTCGAGCATTCGTCCACCGGAGGCTGGTGGGAGAAGTCTATAGTTGTAAGCTCAATAACAACGGCATTTTGGAGTCAGTTATGGGTCTTACTTCGACTGTACACCAGGCCTCATGTGAGCTTTATCCGCCAAGGGGACTATAAAGGCCCGCATGCCTAGGTCTTCGTTGCGGACTATCAGACGGGCGAAGACGATGCCAAGGCGAGGAATATTAGCAACTGGCATAGATGGTGGCATGAATCTGACCCCAATATTAGATGTGGCTCAAAATAAACCGATGGTGACCTACTTAGACGCTCCAGGGTGAGGGGTGTGCAAATCGAAACTCCCATCCGACTGCAAAGTCGCTGTGGTCTCGATATTTCTCGCATCACATCCGTGGTCGAGCTCGGTGAGCATGAATGAGCCACTGAAGGAATTAGTGACAGTAGAGCAATTGCAGATTATAACCCATACATGACATCGAAGTTGAGAATATTCTCCATCAGAGGATGCAGATCTGGTCGAACGGCGGCATAGAGTGCAACAGTCCCGGCGACAATGTTAATCTGGACCATAACAATGATCTGGGCTACGGTGTCTCGAAAGGCCATGTAGTCCTTATGTACCTGCCAGAACCTGGGTGACAGGGCGATGATATCGTGCATTGCCAATCCTGATAATGGTTAGAATTGTTTACATTCACAGAACCGTGCACATACCATGATGTCTGCCAAGTGCTTGGGCTCGAAGGTAGGAACGTTCCAGGTGTTCGATCCGCGGAGCATCTTCATAATGGTGTTGAAATAGAGCAGTAGACAGAAGATAAAGACTCGAGGGCTCCTCCGGAGCGGGCTCGTCTTGTTCTTGCAAAGTGGAAGTCATTTTTCTACATTGGAGAATAAGACTTTTGTGTCGTCTAATCGCGGATCCAGCGCAGTAGATATAGCCTGATTTTCTCGCCACAAGTGAAAAGGTTCAATTTTAGAAAGCCTCTTCGGAGTTCGTTCCAAAGACAGATCAGAATTTGCTTACAGAGATTAGTTTTATCAACTGTTGATGTCATTCACTGGTGTGGATCAAAGGCCGTCAGCAGCCATCAGTTCCCCATGCAGTAACCTGCCGGGCCACATTATATCTGTTCGCAGTCATTTGCCATTTTCTTGTTTGTAGGATTCTTGCCGAAGCCAGCATCTCGAGCCATGCATATGATTGGTTGCCGTCAGAGGTTATATCGAAGTATCATTTGATTTTTGGGTTTGCTGAAACCGGCTGCTAGAATGACAACCAGCTGGTGATAGGAACCTCTGAATCTAGAGCTCCTGAGACCCTGTACAGGGAGCCCGACTTGATTATAAATTATTGACCTTGTTGGGCACGTCTCAGCGGTATTGTGATTGGAGATAAATGATGATGATGAGGAGGAGGAGGAGGATGCCAGATGGTTGCAAGAAGGTCTCCCGTACATTCCGTAGATGACAAAGTTTCCCCCTCTCACGTGGAAGGATACACAAGATTAAACCGGTTCGGTTAGAAAATCGGTTTTTGGTAGGTGTTGGTTAAGGGAGATTTGGTATATGGTTCGACTCCGGTATTGGATAACCTGCGAAGGAAACACATAGATGCAAAGTCTATATCGAGGACAAGTACAAGTGTAAGACAAAATAAAATATTTACAAGAATGTCAACAAAATGGACAGAAAGGAAATGAACCAACGAGCGAAGGGGTCGAAAGCGTGATGTTTGTGCTCCGGAGGTATCGAGTCGGAGTATGTGCAAGTGCGATCTTGTCCAGCCATCTCAGAACATGACATCAAACAAGGTTACCCTTGCTGGTCGCATGTAACCAGTCTTCGATATCCCACGGGCCTCAAAATTGAGTCGCATCGATCCGAGCACTGGGGAGGAAATCCTTCTTCGCAGGAACTGTAACGACGGCGATCTGATTAGTCGCTATACAATATCCATTCCCTCCGGAGGCAGCAAGGTAGCATCGACGCGCTTCGCCAATTCCACTGATCTCTCCAATGTATGGGTTTGATCATTCGTGAGGTTGCGAACCTCGCCTCCAATCATACAGCTCATGTCCTGCTTCGTGTCGCCCTTCAGCCATTCGGCATCGATCATCCAGTTCGTCGGGATGTCGTACACTTTCGTCATCTCTGGGACTCCCTTGTTTTTCAAGAGGCTTCCGTTCCACCACAGCAGTTGATCCTTTGCATCAACATGAGCGATCACGAAGCTGCAAACCCTCGGACGGTCTCCATCCATGTCTGTCCACCCGACAATTCCGCCGTAATGCGACGAGAACTCATAACCGGCGCCGGCGAGCTCCATGCCCATCCACCAGCTCTCCTTGTCTCCGTGGGTGATTCTATATGTCACTTCCTCGCGTACCGCGTGTGTGTTCTGCCAACAGACATGAAGCAAGCCAACCAGGACATCGACGCGGCTCTTGTCCATGACCACTAGCCCCGAGTCGCCCTCTTCAGCGTAGTCCTCTGTCCACACGCGGGATACGTTCATCGCTGGACTCGGGCGTCGGATCTGGTCTCTCCACCATTCGTGGCGGTCGGCAAAGCGGTGTTTCCACAGCAGTCGGTCGTGAAAGAGGAGGGATCCCGATCGAAGGAACGCGTCATGCTCGAGGAGTACTTCCGGGGGCTGGAAAAAGACGGCATCCGCATCGACGAGAACAACGCTCTCGAACCGCGAGGCCAGCGCGGCAAACGCCTTGATTGCCCACCCGCCCGATTGCAGTTGCAGCGTGCTGTCATCGAAGACGGCCATGATGTTAAGAAATTCGATGGGTGGGCCCTGCTCAGCCAAACTGGATAGATAATCTCGGCTCTGTGGCCCCAGATCGGCGTCACCGGCATAGACGACTTGGATGGGCAGGTTGGATCCCAGGACAGAACGGATAGAACCGATGAGATGCGCGGCAAACCGGAGGGTCTTGTCGCTGGTTGGGACTACGATGCCTGCTGAGCCAGGCTCAAAAGAAGAACGAAGATCCGAGATGGGACGCTCCGATGGAGGTTGTATCGAGGGGTTTTGCAGATAGGGAAACGTCGATAGAGCTACTCGTTCGACAGCAGCGAGGAGGACATCTCGGGTGGTGGGATCGGCCTTCTCAGCGTAAGTCAACCAGTCACGCAAGACTCGACAGCGTCGGCCGAGTTCACCGAATTTCTTGTCGTATGGCTTCTCAATGGGATAGTCGATGAAGTACTGCGATACGTCCCTGATGAGATCAGAATCAATCACGGGCATTTGAACGATCGTTTGCTCCACATGCTCTGGGGAAGATTCGGTAGTTGAATCCTCGATGGAATTGACCGTATCACCATGGTCTCTCGTTCCATTATATCCTGGTTTGGAGATTTCCGTGCCTTTGACATGCACCGTGGTTTGCGTCGGGGAATGCAAGAGAAGTAGCGAAAGCACCATCAAAGCAGCCGCTGCTACCACGACAGCCCGAAGAGCTCGGGGAGCCGTCAAGGGCCATAAAGTGCTCATTGTGTGTGAAAGATAGACTCGGTTAAACTCATCACAAGGCAGTGGAACGAAAAGGAAACCAAGGAAGGAGGTTTTCAAGCCGACAAGGGGAAATGGGCGGGGGGTAATATCAACAATCTAAACTCGAATAACCTTCATAGACTGAGAAGCTTGGCTGCCTTGGGGAAATGAACCGATCCATCTCCCATAGAAAATGGGGCCAAGAGGGCCTCTCATGGCAGGATTTTTCTTCGGATGGTGGCGGACTTACGCATGATTGAGGCTATTATTGGATGCATATTGGTGATAAGTCTGGTTTGGCCCCAGCAACTAGGCCATTTAGCGTTGCTAGCGTGCCGGCTGTTTGGCCTTGCCGTGAGAGAACACAGGAGCTTAATTGAAGGCCGCGTAGAAGCCGCACAAGTAGTCAGTTATCCGGTGCAAATTATAATTGCCTGTTGACTGATTACTGATTAGAGACTCGACGTTATCAAGCTCGCTCGGGGCAACTTGCGATCTTGAATACCTCGACTAATATATCTTCCATGAAACCTTCTGATCGAAGAATGGAGGCCCACTAGTCCATCCATACAGGCATGTTCAAGTTAGGTAGGAAATTGGGAATATTTCTTTTTTCGTTTCCCCTGAAAGATGACAACGTACATGTCATTTTCGAGAATTACCTGTCAGGAAAAAATGTGCTTTCCCCCTGATATTTCACTAGTAAATTGGTAGTGCTTCCTTCCTAGGTATTAGCCATGTTGTTCCTTACTTACGAAGATGCATGTTTGAAGGGACGTGCGCAGTGACGTGCGTGTTTTTTTTTTTTTTTTTTTTCTTTTTTTTTTTTTTTTGGTCACCCTAAAAATGTCCTGTTTTTTTTAATGCAGTGTAAAGAGAAAAAAAAGACAAATGACACCATCGTAGGGAGTTTATGGCGGTGGATATCTTAATGGATTCCGAATCCATTGCTGTTGGTTGTATTTCTCGATTGTTCTAATTGGCGAACCAAATTTTATCATCCTAATCTTCCTTTTGGCCTTGTCTTCCTGCATCTCCCGGAATCACAACCCCTTCAAATAATCTACAGCGTACCCTGGTCGCAGATCAGTTGGTATTACAGGGCCAAGCGTATTCCTTTCGGGTTTCAATTGTTTCTTATTCACCAGGTAGCCAGTACTGGTAGATCGGCAAATCCTGACGGGGGAATAGTACGCAAAATACGCGATCCCACGATGTAGATTAAGGATTTGGCCCGATGGGTGGCATCGCTATGTCTTTATTATTCTCTCGTGGGAGACCATTTCTAGAGTGTCCGAAAGGCAGATGTGGCATAGCGAAGCCCCCGGCGAACAAATCCGTATACCCCGATGTCCGATGATTGGATAGATTTCATATCTTCGCTGACTCCATTTCAAGGCTGAGCAATCCCCTCCCCTCCCTTGGTTGTTGCTAGTTCTATTTTCTCTCGTCTGCGTTAGGCCTTGAATTACGTAGAGACTTGACGGAATTCTCTGAACGATTCATTTTGCTCGAGTCATGAGTTGTACAGTCGATCCCCATCCGATTCCAGGATCTTCACCGGAAAAAATAGTCTAATTCGTAGCCGTTCTGGCGCCAAAAGCAGGCAGAATAGTTAAATGAGGCCAACAGAGAAGTGGATCCTCCGACGGAGCCGGAATACCCTCAGTCTCAGTCGAGTTTTAGGAATGTGCAGGGGCTAGGGAGTATCCGCACGAGAGAATTCATTCTCAACATGGTACCTTGAAGGTGAAATATCTATAGATGGGCTGAAGATAATATACTGCGTAGAGGAGAAACACTCGCGCTTACTAATATATTATTCCGCTTATTAATCCCTCTTGAGTATTTCATTACTATAGATAAGTAAATAATAGTAGATAATTTAAATTAAGATTAAGATAGACCGAAGAAAAAATACTACTTATATAGTCCTGACTCCTGTCTCGGCTTATTAGCCGCTGGCGACCCGAGAACAGCCTGAGATAGAGCTAAATCCAGGTATGATGCAGCTCTCTCTCGCTCGCTCGCTCATAATCGTTTCTTACACCGCCGCACTACTAAATCCACACCGGCCCAACCGTATGTTATCCGCATTCCTCGCCATCCATCCATAACCTTCCACCGAAAAATTCCTCTTCAACCGGCCTAGGTGTAAACAATATCACTCTGTGCCGGCGGCCACTTCCCAGCAACGGTGTTATTGTATTTGAGCTGAGCGACTGTAAATGTGTTGAGCTCGGACACCAAAACCGTGGCATCCAAGGTCAGGATGCGGTGCACCTTGGCGTTTTGAGTGGGCAGAGAGATGTACTCTTCGCCGGCAACTGATTTGATATCGGCGTCAAAAGTCACGCGGATCAGGGCATCGGGCGAGTTGGGGCTCAGCAGCGACGTAGACAAGAGCCACAGGGCTGGCTCACCATCTGGAGTTGACGCGTCAGCGACATGCAGTAAGCCGGCATTGGCGCCGAGTAGTGGCTGCTCGAGCGTGAAGAACTCCAGCTCGCCCGAGGATCCGATATGGCCAAAGGTGCCGGTGCCGCCGGTGCCATTCCCAGCGAGAGTGAACCACACACCACTGAGAGGGCCGTAAGCGGTGGTCATTCCGACGGCATTGCTGCCGACGTCGGGCGGAACTTTCAGCTGCGCCGTCTCGTCGCTGGTGACATTGATGCGCATAATAGAGCTTTCATTGTCTTGTGTGGCGTAGATCAAGCCAGTGGTCGGCTCCTCGCTAATAAACACGGGGCTGTTGAGGCACTGATACAATTTCCAGTCTGTGGTGTTGGAGATGTCGACTGAGAAAACATAGTACTGTCCGGTTTGGTCGGATGGCACCTTGAGGCCGGATCAGACGCGGTTGCCAATCTCAGTCACACAGTGCGGGCCGTTTCCCGGCTGTGGGATATCAATGGTCTGTACGATGGACGGCGCAGTCGAGAGGTCCTGACCGGGATCCACGAGCAGCAGTTGGTTGTCGGCCTGTAGCGACAGCCACATCAGGCCGGGGTACACTTTCGATGGCCACACGCCATGTAGCTGAGAATGGCTGTTCTTTCCCATGACAAACGACTGGAGAGCAATGGGCTCCTCGGTGATTGGATCCAGCTCGATCTTGACAAGCTCGCTGTCGGACAGCTGCGTCAACAGCACGAAACTCGAGATCGGCACGCGCGCCAACTCATGCGTCTGTTCGGTGGGCGGCATCACATACTCAGTGAAGCGACGGCTCACGAGCGGATTAATAACAGTCTGTGCTGACGCGGTGTTACCGCCGAACACCAGCGCCATCACTAGTAACATGAAAATGCGATACAACATGGTTGACTTCCCGTGCTTGACGTTTCTTGCTCTGCGCTGGATACCCTGACTCGATCGTTGCAAAAGGTCCGTGAAGAAAAGGATTTAGAAAGAAACTGTCCTAGACTCACTGAACGATATTCATGTCCGAACCCGACTTTGCCTTGAGATCATTTGAAAGACTTAATCATGCCGACCACATATCAAGGGGGCTGGGATACATAACTGGAAACGATGAATGCGACGGGTAAGGGATACTTGCGCATGAATGAAGGGATCTCCTACCGAGGTTCCAAAGGACAACAGCCGGTTACCCAATCGACTTGCGTCCACGGTATGGCCCGAAACTGGAAGCATCTTCCTAAACCCGACCTCCTCGTGGTGGACTTAGACTTCGCACTCCCTTTCCGAGCACGCCACATCCACGGTGCTTAATCCATGTGTCAAGTAATGGAACTGATGTAAGGCATAGGAGGTATGCCCACGGATAGAGTGCCCCTTGTCCCGTGCTAAGCATTCCAACTGCCCGGCTGGTATTTTGAGGAAGATAGTTGATACCATGACCCATTAACATTCGGACAAAAAGGCCTCCAGACAGCAAATCCCGATATGGACCCGACTGACATTCCAGGTCAGCTGTTGGTAGGCAGCTAAGTATTGTAAAGAAAAAGAGGCCGCTCTTATCGCAGAATACGATGCTCTACGGAGTACGCAGTAAGTAGCCTGGATCTGACCTGCTTTAGGCAGGGTCCCGTGACCAATGGCGTAGAGTCAGATCACGTGCTGCTTAGTGGCCGCCCGCAAGGTACTCGGCCCGCTAAGCCCAATTGAGGGCCGGGCGGGTGTGACGTCGCCTGCACAGAATCATCCCGCGGTGGCAGCATCTTCACGACATCCATCTTGCGACGCGTCTGCTCGACATTGATAACCACAGATCTGGTAATCGGCGTTGCTGGGGCTTCTCTGTGCAGAAGAGAGCACTGATGATTCCATTCCTCTTTCTCCCGCCCACCGTTCTTCTCGCCGCCTGCGCCTCTGCGATCCCTGTGTCTGATCAGCAGCCTTTGGGCGCCGGCATTTCGATCGATGCGGACCGTGTCAGCGGGCGGCCCTCGCGTGGGCTTACAGGGCGCTTCTTGCATATAACAGGTCTGGATGATGTTTCCGATGCAACTGGTCGGACGCAAAATGCAGTCGCTGACTATCCAGCAGATTTCCATCCAGATCTACACTACAAATCAGGCACCGACCAGGATGATGCATGCCACCGCGGGGAAGGCTCGGCGGGCTACTTCGGCGCCCAGGGCACAGAATGCGACTCCCCTTCCTCGCTGATCAACGAAACCTTCCGATGGATTTCCCAGAACTTGAAAGATAACGTGGACTTCGTCATTTGGACCGGAGACTCCGCCCGCCATGACAACGACGAGTCTATCCCCCGGACGGAGGATGAAGTCATTAAGCTTAATGATATTATCGCGGACAAGTTCTACGAGGTGTTCCAGAAAAGGGACTCCCCCCGTGGGCTTTCGATCCCGGTCGTCCCCACCATCGGAAACAACGACATCATGCCGCACAACATTATGAAGGATGGTCCGAATCGCTGGACCAAAAAGTTCTCGGACGTCTGGTCCAAATTCATTCCCGAACATCAGCGGCATTCGTTTGTGGAGGGCGGCTGGTTCACGTCGGAAGTGATACCGGGCAAACTGGCGGTGATCAGCTTGAACACAATGTACTTTTACGACTCGAACTCTGCAGTCGACGGATGCAAATCCAAGTCGGAACCGGGATTCGAGCACATGGAATGGCTGCGCATACAGCTGAAGATACTGCGATCCCGCGACATGAAAGCGATTCTGATCGGGCATATCCCTCCTGCAAGATCGGGACCAAAACGGAGCTGGGATGAGACGTGCTGGCAGAAATATACCCTCTGGGTGCATCAGTTTCGAGATGTCGTGGTCGGAAGTGCCTATGGTCACATGAACATCGATCACTTCATGCTACAGGACAGTCATAAAGTGAAAATCGCCGACACTAGCGAGGACTCGGAATCCTCGACTGCACCCGACAGCTCACTAGATGACTTTTCGGTCCTCTCTCGTTCAAGTTATCTCTCCAGTTTGAGAAAGGACTGGTCAAAAATGCCATCTCCGCCTCAGTCCAAGGCGAACAAAGCAGATTTCCTGGAGGAATGGGCCGCCGAGGATTCTCTTGCACCGACCGGCGATGATCGCCATGCGCAAAAATCGAAGAAAAAGCGCTTTCTCAAAAAGATCGGCGGTCCCTATGCGGAGAGATATAGCGTGTCACTAGTGTCTCCCAGCCTAGTACCAAATTATTTCCCGACTCTGCGGGTTGTGGAGTACAACATCACAGGACTGGAAGACACAGTTGTTTGGAGTGATACTTCGGAGGAGCCTGTCGATGTTGATTCGCTCTCGGACGACGATGACAATACCGTCTCTACCGACAAGAAGAAGAAGCACAAGAAGAAGAAGGGAGGAAAGAAGAAGCCTCCAAATTTCAAAGTCCCAGAGCCCCCGTCAGAGTCAGCTCCCCCGGGTCCAGCTTATTCGAACCAACCCTTCACTTGGTTGAGCTATACCCAGTACTTTGCCAACCTAACAAGGATCAATGAGCAAGTGTCAAAAGCTTCCGAACAATCGAACAATTCTAGCATGATGGAGACGGGAAAACCCCCTCATGACGACATTTTCTCATTTGAAGTCGAATATGATACCAAGGACGACCACGCCTATAAAATGAAAGACCTCACCGTCCGCAGCTTCTTCAAATTAGCCACGCGTATTGCGGAGAATCACTCAATCAAGAGCAGCAGCGACGAAGTCGATGCGGAGAAAAAGAAAAAGAAAAAGTCCAAGAAGAACCGAGTTTGGCGGGCGTTTCTGCGACGAGCGTTCGTCGGGTTCCTGGACGATGATGAACTTGATGACATTGAGACATGACCTATTTTTATCGCCTTCCGCGATAGAAGAACATAGCCCAGCTGTTAATGTAATGTTATAGTTTGAAATTCCTGGGTGTATATACCTTTCATGTCCATTTATTCCCTTTTCTCTGGGCTCCCGATCTCAGATAAACTATTGATACCTTGCATACTTACCGGATTTCCAACGCGGTTTCTACACAGCTCAATACTTTCTCTTCTTGTTTTAGTACTTACCCCTCGCCGCTTTATCAAGTTAATCTAAGCACGCAAGCGAGGAGCTGCGAGGAGAGCATTGGAAGAGTCCACAGGTCAAATGACAATGTTTGAAGCAGGGGGCGCTATCTCATGACGACACGGTTCCAAACATCCCAAGTTCATAAGGGTAAATGGTGACTGCGGGCTCCTAAAGTATCCAAAGGCAGGTTCTACGGAATCTAAGAAACTTCCGTACAAAGAGGCTCTCCCCAGTCTCACAGCAGATCCAATTTCGATCATGGTTTCACCGCCGCTGCATTACCGGTGTATACCGAAGAGCGCTTGGGTTGACAAACATGTTTGAAATACGTGTGGGCCATCTACCATCTACCCCTTGCTTGATCGCCATAGATCTACACCCACATATCTACTATGATATCTCTCATTAATAAAGGATACACGGCACATTTTGAATATATCCGAATATATCATTTCTTAAATCACATGCGTGGCAATTCCTGCAGTACCCTGCTGATCCAGTTAAAAAGTCTAGTTCAATCAACCGGTGTTGTGTTGTTCATGCAGTCAAAACGCAATTTGGACCCAAAACAGTCATCGAAACATATATATCCAATTCTCTGGGGTTTCTCGTATAAAACACCGCGTCATCTACTAAACCTAATGCAAACTTTTTATAACTCCCCGTCCCAACGCTTCTATTATAATAAAGGCCAAACTAATAACCAGGTAACGTACCTTCCCCTTTAACCCCTTCCCAGTAGAAAAGGCACTGGAACTTCTTCTAAATCGTGCAACCAGCACCAATACAAGCTCCTGCTACCTGCCAATCCAAAAACAGACACAATGGCCATCATAAAAGCCTCCTCCCAAGTACCAGCCCCCGAAACCGACCTATTGTCTTACATATTCGATCGTCCTTACTTATCCTCTCCCCAAGCCGCCGCATCTCCCGCTGACCCGCTGCTTCTGTCCGGTTGGGATCCGACCTTCGCTGGCTACAGTCTGGACCAGCTGAAAGACATTGCCAGACGACTGGGGAACGGTCTCAACCAGCGCGGAGCACGAGGTCAACCCGTAATGCTGTATGGAGAGGGTAACATCAATTTCCCGCCCGCGCTGTTGGGCATCCTGGCAGCCGGGGCTTCATGCGCTCTACCCACCTACCAAACGGCGGTCGGTCTTCCATTCTACCTGGAGAAGTTGGGCGTCTATACCGTGCTCTGCGCCCCCGAGGTCGAGGCAGAAGTTCAAGCAGCCGCCCGGAAGGTCGGCATTCCCCAGGATCGCGTTTTCGTCGTCGACGAGTCGTTCGAAGGAACAGGCGGCTCCAGCACACTGGGATCCTGCCATTGGAGCAGTCTGCTGGAGAGCCCAGGTTCCGACCATTACCAGCGACCCCGACTGTCCCCAGAGGAGGCCAAGGAGACGGTAGCGGTCTTCTTTCAAACGTCCGGGTGAGTCGTCACATGAAAGCTGGCATGAACGAAGGTTAATTGACTCCGTTCATTGGAATAGAACAACAGGATCCCCCAAGCTAGTGGGAAGAACCCACTATGAGCTGGTGGGGAACGTGGAGCAGATGCTCTTCTGGTATCATTTGCAGCCTCGGGGCAAAGAGGTTTTCTTTTGCACTTTCAAATTCTGTGGCATTGTATACTTCATGATGGGTTTAATGGCCCCGCTCAAGGCGCGCTATCAAACTGTCTTCTCGCCGAAACATCAGATGCCTACTTTTCTAGCCGCCCTGGATCGATTTAAGCCTACCTGGGCGGTATTACCCAAGTATGCTATCCACGAGATTCTGGACTACCCGGGCCCCGTGGACTGCAGCAGCATTCATACTTTGACCACGGGTGCCTGTCATATCCCATTCAGCTTGAGTGAGGAATGGCAGACCAAGCACCGTTCTCCTCTCTTCAATGCCCATGGGATGAGCGAGTAAGCAACCCTCTTGGGCCCCTTTTCTGGTGAGCATAACAATAACACTGAGAATCCAGAGGCGGGTGCTTCTTTCTTCGTCAATCCTACTCCTTCGCTACTGACGACTCCATTGGCGCTCTTCTGCCCAACATGGAAGGCATCGTGGTGAACGAGAAGGGCCAGCCCTTGGCGAGAAACCAAACCGGAGAGATATGGGCCCGATGTCCCTTTTTCATGCGAGGATACTACCAGGACGCCCAAGAAACCGCCAAGTGCTTGACTCCAGATGGCTGGCTCAAGACAGGAGACATTGGATGGGTCAACGATCAGGATCAGTGGTATATATCGGGTCGCCTGAAAGATCAGTATCTGATCGGAGGCCTTCATGTCTCCGGGAACGAAATGGAGGTGGCTATGCGGCAACATCCAGATATCGTCGACGTTTCGGTTATCCCCGTCAAGCTGTCCGTGACGGTTTTCCCCGAGAAGGAAAAAGGTTATATATATGGCTGACCGTGCTGCAGACCGCATGAGCGCGATAATGTACCCCGAGCGTATCTGGTCCAGACACCCGGAGCCAATCTCACCGTCGATGAATTGCTGGGGTGGATGAACAAGGAATGCTCCCCCGCGGTATATCCCCGCGGAGGGGCGGTATTCATTGAGAAGATTCCCATATCAACGGTATGTGATCCTCCTATTAGTTGGATGAGACATGAACATACAGAGTTTCTGATATAATGGAGCAAGGCCGGTAACTGTAAGGTCGATCAGAAAGCGTTGATCGAGAGAGCCAAACAGGAGCTCTTGAGTGAGCCCGTCAGGTCCTAGCCCTAATAATCAGGTTTACATTGCATGGTCCCAGTAGAGGATCTTCAAGGTCTGTCTAACTTCATTATGTCGCTCTCAATTAGGAATTATTTATAATAATCCTCATCGGTGATTTTGCTCGTGTGTTCTGTTTCAGCCGTCAACATAACACCGTGTACAATATGAGCATACCTACGACCGAAGTCTCTCTTTTCAATAGAAGAAAATAAACCAATAAGCATTTCTTATCTGATAAATGACGTCCATGAGCCTCGCCCGCCAGGAAAAAGTACGCTAGAACGAGCTAAATCATCGATCTACCCCCCTCCCGATAACAGGGCCGTGGCAAGGGAGGGAATGTGAGTGGCGTTCTTCCGAGCACAATCGACATCATTCCGGCGGTGAAGACTAAACCAACACTCTTTAGATATAGATGGGTAGTACAACGGGAGGAATGTTTCAGTTACTCCGTCCCGCTGCCTGTTGGAATTTCATTATAGGAGGTTGCTTAAGTCCAGACGGGAGTCTGTCTGGAGGCAACTACCTCTGTCTTATGTCTAGGTAGTATGTTAGACTCAAGAACTGCCGGTCAAGTCATCCAGAACTGACGGCGGTCAGCAGAGCGGTGGAATACTGCCGACGATCTCAATTCTAGTCTTGTCTAGACTTTCCTCCTCTCAACTCTGGGGATCGAAAAGCAAGCAATTCATCATGATTCAATTCACGATACGAGGCCTGAGATCATCGGAGTATCTTCACGCCCATGAATCCCTCGTATGATTCGTTGGGAAATCCCCCCTTTCATCCAATTGGCCCAAATCGGATGCCACGCTGGCAATGTCTGCCATGTCAGCGCTGCCCCCGAGGCAATTCCTGCCGCCATCCACCCCCATGCTAAGAAGCGCGCGGACGCGAGCTCCAAACCTTTGGGGTCTAGTCGATGAGACCGTCTCAACTCCGGCCTGGGTCAGGCACGGAAATTCCGCCTGTCTTAAGCCCCAATTGCTATGACTTCCCGCCAAATAGGAGAGGCTGGCGCTCGTCGGTCCACCGTGCTATTCCTTTCTTATCATTCGCCTGGATCAAGAGCTGCAAGGCAGGGAAAATCAGCATTCGGGCTCTGACACGTATCGAACTAATTGATGCGCTGTCCTCCCCCGCCTCATTGCCACTGTCTTTCCCTTCGTGTTTTTTTTTTCCCTCCGTAAATTTTCTATTTATGATGGTGATCCAAATCCTGGGGTCTTATCGCCGCGGCTCCTGCCCGATCCCTTCCGTGGCTTTTTTTTTTTTTCCCTAGAAAAGAAAAAGAGGACGGACAGGAACTAATTCTCCTATCCTATGTAATAATGAGGAGGTGCTCCCCTCAGATCACTTTAATTAGGGCGACATACTACCGCAGCGGTCCTCCACTTTTGCTGTACCAGGGGCAATTCCATTCGAACAGACCAATTTCCCTTGCATCATCCGTTTTCCACTACTACACTACTGCGTACGGCTGTGCTGCTATTATTATTATCCCTCCATCGCACGGCAGTAGCGACCGTTCGTCTCTAATCAATTGTGGCTGAAATAACTTCTCGGACTAATCCTCGTTTCGCCTCGGTGGAAATGACCTTCGCGTTTCATACCGTCTAGTGCTCCTGATTACTACTGCTAGGACTTGCAGCAAAGAGGTCCAGACTAACACCTTGCTACTCAAGTTGCACGCACAATGCATCAAAACCACCTGCTTCAAAATCACGAGCTCCTTACCACCCGCCGTTCCGCCGTTGACTGCTCCTTTCTGTGTGCCTTGCATTGCTAGTCGTTTCTGCCCTATCAGTCGGTTGTTTTGATATTCCACCTCTTCGTGCCGCTCCAATTGCCCCAGGATTGCTGTGGAGGTCTACGTTGAATAATAGGGAGTTGCTGATTATTTTACTTTTGGTTTTATGTGTCATTTCTGACTGTACGCTGTACTTGTTTGCAATCTGATTAAGGGAAAGGACAGAACCGGACATATGTAACATATCCGATCTATCGATTGGAATTGGTGGCTTTGTGATCTTCAAACGCTCGCGTTTGCCTGTTGTTCAATTCCTGTTTAATCCTCCGGTTTGGTTTGAAAGCGACTTTTGACAAAACAGAAACTACCAGAAACAGAAAAAAGAAAACACGCGACGAACAAAACACTCGACCGGATTCCTGCCCGCTCATTATAACCATTACCATCGCACTTGAGATCAGTCAAAGAAAGGACGAACCTCGATTAGGCGCTCTCGCATTGAGCATGGGGCCCTGCGGCGTCTAAGCAGCTGCATCTGGTCTTGCTATTCGTTTGCGCGCGTTTCCGAGGTAAGCTAACGGACTTTCTGTCTCACATTGTTCTCCATCAGCTGTGCCTGAGATGGGCTCGAAGCGCAGTTTGATCTGTTAAAAGATATGTTGTCCCGCCCAGGAGGAATCGATCGCTCGCATCTCCCAGTGTACTGGTTACACTGGAACTGTTTATCTTACTTTATTTTTATTTCGCTATCTATTCCGTTGTTATCACAATCCACCACATCGCAATGGACGAGGCTGATTTCATTGGCAATTGCCCTATCATAGACCCCGAATCGCTTGCCTTGTGGATGGCTTCCTCCGAAGTAGACCAGAAGGCCTTGGGCAACTTCGCGGCCATGACCAGCCTTGAAAGCCCGTTTCTATCCGCCGTCTTGTACAAAATGCTGGGCCTGTCGGTCATGCTCTCGAAAAAGCTTCTTCGTGCCCGACGGCTGCGGCGTCTAGATCCCACCCGAGAAACCAAGTCACTCCAGCTGTACCATCACATCATATGGCTCTCCCGTGAGGGCCTGTTAATGCTCGAGGGGTTTATCTTTCCCCTGATCGATAAATACATGGAATTGAAGATCCTGGCCTACAAACTAAGGGCCTCGTTCTACCACATATTCGTTTTGTTTCACAACCAACCCGCCATCCACTCTCCGGGGATTTCCAGCAGTCGGAGCGACGACGCCGTGCCCAATGGAAGCGCCCATACCGCATCCCCGACGAAGGAGCTGGGCCCGAGGTTTTCATTTAAATCGAAACCGGAAAGCATAAGCGTTCCCGATACTCCAACTTTCACCGCAGGAAATGCGCCTCGGGGGAAATTGACGCAGGCGCCTCCGGGACTCGCACCTGTCCTACTGCCCCAGTCGGCCTCGTTTCTTCTGCCCATTCTTGACTACACACCCACTGCGACGGCATGCTTCAACCAAGCCTCGGTTCTGGCCGAGCGGTTTCTTCCCGGATCCCACCCGTTGCGCCTCTCTATCAAACTTGAATTCGCTGCCTACTTGTACGATTGTCTCCACGATTCAACTGCCTGCCGACGACTCGCCAAACAGGCCATTGCCGATGTATATAATGCCCAGGAGGGAATGGATGACGAAAGTTTCGAGGACGCCGCGGAGATCGTTGGGATCCTGGGCAAGATGGTCAAACGGGGTGGCAAAACCAGTAGCGCCGGCAGCAGCACGACGCCATCGGGGACGCTCCGGGCGGAAAGTTCGAAGAGCGGCGACAGTCGAACGCCGCCCGTTAAGAATGCGCCTTCTAAAAAGTCGGAGCAAAAGAGCAGCGGACAATTGCCTCCTGCCGTTCCCGACCCGACCATGATGAATCCTATATGAGCTATATGAGTACCGTATGATCGTACTGAGATGAGATGATGACGATGTGATTGACGAGTGTATGTACATGTGAATGATACGAGATAGCATGATGTGCTATAATCTAATTCCGGAGTATGTCGTATCATCAGCTCATCAGATCCACTTGTCCCATTCATGTCAAAGTGACCGGCAGAATGCCAGTCTCAGGCACCAAGGCAGCAAGGCAGTCAGGCCCCAGGCGGTCAGCCGAAAAACTCACCGGAAACGTTCCACGATCTTTCGTGAAGGCAATCCGGCTAAACCCACTAGACCATCCGCTACGGAGCGACTAATGACTTAGTCCGGATTAATTTACCATGCATGCATGCACGTTCAGGGAGACCCTCTGCCCGCTCATCTGACTCCCATTGATATTTCACCTTTTCCCGTCCTCTGCTTGGCTGTCGCCCATCTTCTCTTGACTTGGCAACATCCGCTCGACTGGTTACTGCGACCTACCACTGCGACTCGTGTTTTACGTCATTGTCGCTGATCCATCCTCGCTCCGACTGCGATATCTTCATCGGCTGAGCGAAAATCAGGTTTATTTCTGGATCGGTTCTCTCCACTTCTCGTTGCTGGGGATTATCATCCCTCACCTCCCCCAGGACGTTCGCCGTGCCACTTCTTTCGTCCCGACCGCCCGACCGCCTGCGAAAAGCGATAGGGCAAAGAGATTAAAAAAGAAACGACCCGAGAAAAAGAAATTCCCCCGACCAGAGGCTGCCTTGCCCCAGAAACCACCACACGTTGTTGCAGTGCACGTACATGCATATATCCCGCTTTTGTTTTGATCGACTCCTCTTGCCAAATATTTCCTGCCTTGCCCCTCTTCTGGCAATGAAGCTATGAATTTTGTTTGCCTACGTCCTCGAAAGCAAGTTGTCACCTCGGATCTATTGCACATTGGCCTTGGGCAGAGGTCTTTGAACGTGGATGATGCGGTCGGGGATTCATAAACCTGGCGCAATTCCGTTTCTCGCTCTTTTGGTGTTTTCGCTCCTGAGTTTGGTGCCGTCGTTGGCCAAGGAGTGGGATCTGTATAATTTGCAGGTGGGATACATCGGGTATCAACGGCACGATGTTCGACGTACGTTTTTCTTACACTACGGTCGGAATGTTTGCTAACTGTAATGCCTGTATAGAAGCTCCACGAGTCAAAGATGATTCAATCGATATGTGGTCGAGGTTCCGCACATCCGGTGCTCGATGCCAGTCGTGGATGATCGATGATAGCTCCTGTCAACCCCCGCGACGCGCCGTTCTCGATACGCCTCAGGATTCTTTCGAAGCAGCTACCATATACGACGAGCCGGCGCCTTATGTTGAAGGGCCATCGACCTTGACTCGAGGGGTTCGTGCATTCAAGGCGTTTGTCAAACAATTGGATAGCCGCCCGGCTGCCCCGCTAGATTCGACAGAGGGCAGCGAAACAGTCTCTACGCGCCGTACCCCCGCGTCCTTCAATGCTTCTATACCTCCTTTACATTTCGGGCACGAAAGTTGCCCTTCAGTGCACGAAGATTCAGCTTTGTCGACAAAACCTAGTTGGCACATTGCGTTCCGAGAATCATGGCAGCAGGCCTGCCGCGTTGGGAATGACTATATAGAAAAGATCGCGCAGTATCGATTGGGGGAGAAAGCTCTGCAACCGGTTGAATCCGGCAATTCCTCCGAATCGCAGTTGACACCCCCGAGCAAACCGTCCGAAGAAATTTTCTCCGAAGCGCGACCTGCGAATGGTAGCGTCGATCCTGGCGCGCCCCGAGTCCCGTCGCGAGTGCTGTCGACTCAACCGCCTAACCCCACTGTGACCACTGCCGGCCAGTCCAAAAACACCGGGTTCGGCCAAGATTCGGAGCATATGCGCGGAAGCTGCATGGCGATTGTGATTGCCTTGGTTGCCGGTGTCATGTGGTTTTAACCGACAAGCACCGTTGGTGTCGAATATCCATCCGAGCATGAAATGCACGCTGCTCGGACATTTCTAACATTCTACGACTTCCATTCAGTGGTCCTGGCGATGGCGTTCGATTCTTGTGATTGCTTATTCGGTTATTCTGTTCCCGGACAGATTTCGTCGACGGGCTGGTTATGATTCTCTGCAACTACTCTTTTCTGTACGTACCTGTTATGCGGCCTTTGACAGGCCCCGTTATGTTTTATGATCGTCGGTTGGGGGACATAGGGACGGTTGGCGTGGATAATGGCAGTTTGGCTGCCCGTACTTACTCAATACTATAATGTTTGTTCATTCTACTATATACAGAGATCTACCCCAGAGTCCCAGAGCCCAAAGCATCACGAATGCCTCTCGGCCCAATCCTCCGGCAACCGCAAATGCTTCGGCAACGCATACTGCCCCAGACAACTCCCCGGCGTCGCACACCGCAGCCCACACCGTCCATACAACCGACAATAGCATTCCTCCGCGGACGGACACGCCCGCCGATTCAGCTCGCCCAGATCCACGCCGTCGCCCGCGCGCCTCACAAACAGAATATGCCAGATATACGAGACCATCCGGCCCGCCACGCGATCGTCCTTCGGCGCCGCCCCGCGCCGCCCATCCATCCCGTCCAACAACCACTGCCGCAGCGCGACATACTCCTCTCGGGAATGCTGCCAGATGCCCTCCTGGCTGACCGCAAACTGCGCACAGCACTGCGCCCGCACTGTGTCTGTTCGTCCGAGTCGACTTCTCCCTTGCCCTTGCCCTTGCCCCTGCTCCTGCGCCTCCCCCATCTCCCCCACCACCCCCGGCGATGACGATAACCCCGAGCCAAAAATCTCCTCCAACGCCTTCGGCAACCCCCGATCCGACACCGTCCTCGCACTCCACGGCTGCAACACCGCCTGCACACTATTCTCCAGACTGCCCTGCGGCCCCGCCGAGGGTGGACACGTGCTCAGACTCCAGTCGCACCGCAGATTATGGTACCCGGACGCGTGCAGCGCAAAGGGCAGGTTGAGACTCTTCAGCAGGGAGAGGTTATCGTAGGCCGGGTCGTCGTTGTGCCATGCGAAGCGCGAGCCGTGGATGAAGACGGCGCCGGAGCGAGGGATGGAGGCGTAGTTGTCGATGAGGAAGGTCAGGTAGGTGATTGATTCGTGGGCGCGGTTGGTGGGGACTTGCAAGGTTTTCTTTTCTTTGTCTTCGGGGTTGGTTGAGGGGGAGAGGGAGGGGGATTTGGGCGTGATTTGGTGGGCGGTGTTGGCGTCGGTGTCGTCTCCGTCCGAACCACCAGATGACGAGGCCGTGTCGATGTGATATACACAAACGTGATACTTCGTCTTCAACTCCTCCAACCACCCCGTGTCTCCGTCGCTGTCGACATGCGACACCACCAGCGCTGGACGCCCCGACTCCGACAGGCCCGGACACACGCCGTTCGGGGCCGGGAGGGAGGTTGCGCGCGTGCGGTACGTGACGCGGTGCCAGGCGAAGAGCTTATGCGGGGAGGCGGGACGGTTCAGGAAGAGGATGAGGCCGAGGATGAAGAGGAGGATGAGCAGGTGGGTGAGGGATTTCTGGGTGCGGCGGCGCATTTTGCTTCGGATTTGGTCTGCTGAAGGAGGGGAGGGGAGGTAGGGATGGATGGTCGTTAGGTCGTGGGGTGGGAGGTCATGTCTGGTGGTTGTTTCATTGGATTAGGTATAGATGTAGATACCTGTCGGTGGGAGGGTCGTAAAGCAGGGTTATTATGGAGAGAATAAATAAAGGTCGACAAGAATGCACGGCGAAAGAACGCTAAGGAAGAGGATTCCGAGTGGAGTGCCGGAACTTCCGGACTGCGACTAAGTTGACGGTGGAGTCTGACTTTCCTCCATTTGGGGGTACTAGTCTATATCTCTCGTCGAGAATATAAATCTATTACATTTTAACATGAACCTTTCTGTGCTTTTATCGTGTAATTAAATCGAGGTATAGATCTATCCATGCGACAAGCTCATGCCGAGGCTTGTCGGAGGCGTCGGATTGGCTGCGTCGGTTCTTGGTGCTACGGAGGCGTTCGACCGGTGTTTTTCATTTGTTTGGTTTGGTTTGAGATGAGACTATACGGAGTAGCGGTAGTTGTATGAGGAATGGCTTGTTGATTCGACTTGAATTTCTTATTTTCTTTCTAGAATTTCAGATGAAGATCCTGACTGGTTACCTCATCAGTTATGAGCGTTTGCCAAGCAGTACCTATCCTGAGGCATCCCATCCAGATCCTCCAGATTCAAAACAACCTCCCAACTACACCACGAGACAAAACCAAAAGAAAGAACCTCCCGAAAAAACCAAAGAGCCCTAACCCCCTTGGAACTAAACCTCCAAAACCTCAACTCCGAAATCCAAACCAGACCCTATCTCCGTAGAGAACGAAAAGAAGAAAATCATTCAGTCAACTCCTCAATAACCCCCCACAAGACCCCCTCAACGAGCGCCTTCCCCACCGCATCTCCCGGATGATCCCTCACGAGCGCCGACACCGCCATTATAGTCGCCGGGAACGGCGCCTGCATGTCCAGCATCTCCGCCATGGTCTTCATCTCATTGACGGTCTGCCGGTGCTGTAGTTCTGCTTCCTTGCCTGCTTTGATGATGCTCAGGGCGCTTTGGATCCATTCCGGATGGGGTTCGGGCTCGGTTTCTGTCTCCTGTGGCTGAGGTTGGGAGGCGTTGGGGGTTGTAGGGCCGGTGGTGGAGTTGGGGACTGGGGTTGTTAGTGACTGTGTTTCTGTTCTGAGGTTTGGTTTGGGATGGGAGAGGTGGGATGAGAAGGAGGTGGTGGGTAACGTACCGACTGAGTTCGTTTTGGATGTGGAGTTGGTATCAGACATGGTGAATGGAGTAGCAGCTTGTATGTTTGTTTGTTTGAGATGTAAGTTGAAGGGAAGTCGAGGGATATCAGACTAGAGACTAGAGCACTTGGCTGGGCGAGGATGACAGGCGAGGAAGAGGAAGAGAATGTAGATGAGAGTAAGAGTGAGAGTGAGAGTGAGAAGTACCTAGGCCAAAGACATTCTTCATAGAACAACCTGGTCGCAACGATCTATTGTGTACAAGTCTCATTGAAATGTGTGTTGATAACGCTCTGAGAAGTACTTTCTATACTGCTCCCGATTATGGCGCTCATGCGCTTGTAGCAGCCTGAGGCGAGCTCTAGGGCAAAGAGAGCACGTGGCTCATAATAAAGAATACAATAGGGGTTGGGCGCTGTTGATGGACAGAAAATGTGGTGAGCTGAGATATGCATGTGAGGGTGTTTGGTGAGAATATTCTTGGGTAAATTGCTGAGGGTCAGTAAATGAATCGACATGCAGGCATTTAGGGCCTCTACTGTCAGGTAACCCACGAATGAGACTTTATTTCAGTTTATAGATAGGTGCATGGAGAGAGTACGTTCATCTGATATCCGTTCAAATGGCGGTACATCATGATCTAGAAAGTATAAACGGCGATATGCTCAGTAATATTGAAACTCATATCTTATGATGTGTTGAATGAAGATGAAAAGATGGAATAAAACAGAAAGAGCGACTCATAGATCAGGTCCTATACTACACTACACTACCGTAGAGGGTGGAATCATGACTCTCCAATGCCACCTGAATGGTCAAACAATTTGGAAAATGGAAAAAAAGAGACTAGCCATGGCATATCCCCTAATATATCATAAAATCAAATAATCTCAAGACTCCCGATCCTCTGTTTGAAAGGGGATGCAAACTGCGCACGGACCACCATCAACAAAGCTTCTCCGGCAACCTGCAACGCTCCGCTCCCACCCATCCAGCCTCCGCGCAACCGATGAGCCTGCCTCAACGGCGTCCTGCGGTTGGTATCGGCACCTAAAACGGAAATGAAGCCTTTCAACCCGGCCTGCAATACTTGCTGCATCAAAAAGAGGCGCTGCGATCGCGTAAAACCAGGTACGGTGCCCTCGACGGATTCGTCGCTCCTGGTCGTTAACCTTGGCTGTAGTATGCTCGGGATGCATCAAGAGAGGCCTGTCCGACGCGTGTTTCTACCGCACAGAGGACATGCCCGCGGCCTTGAGGTACGTTGCTCTGTAGCGTCCAGACTGTGCGCTAACCTGATTAGGGACCCCAGGCGCGGGAAAACGCATCATTCCTGGCCTTCTCCACCGATGGTGGTGGTCAGCTCGCCGCCTGCTGTAACACCATTTTCTAGACTGGAGACGCCAAAACAGGGTCTAGAGTGGAGCTCAGGGGAGACTTCAGAAGCAACCCGCGAGGAGAACTCAGGGAGCTCAGAGATCCTAGAAGTGAAGCCAGAGGATGTTTCAGAGGAGAGCTCAGACGAGAATCCAGAGGTCAAGCCAGAAGACGACTCAGAGGATAGCTCAGACGAGGATCTAGAGATGAAGCCAGAGGAGGATTCAGAGGAGAGTGCAGATGAAGACCCAAAGGTGAAGCCAGAGGACATCTCAGATTCAGAGCAGAGCTCAGAGGAAAGGTCAAAGACGCGAGAAAGAACATTTTCTGGATTCTCCCCCGAGTTCTCTAGATTTTCCTCCGAGTTCTCTAGATTCTCGTCTGAAAGAGCACCCAGTCATGATAGGCAAGATAACCTTGATGATATCGAAGTGTCTTCAGCTCATTCAGATGAAAGCTTTCACACGGCTGTACTGCCACATGAACCTCCCACACCCAACGCTAATGGACCGCGACCCTTCCAGATCGCGGGACAAAAGGAAACCCATGAGCAGACAGACCGACTGGGTGAAGAAAATGGAAGAGACCCTCCATTGACGCCGCGCAGATTCAACCCAATTAATGACGTTCGCTCTCCCGCCCACGATCCGAAATGCCGTCAGTCTTCTGAACAGATCACCCCCGACCTAGCGGATCGTCTCGTGGCGGCGTATCTGACCCATGAGTACGCGAACCTGCCGATTTTTGATCTGACGGAGTTTCGCTCGTCTTACGATATCATCCGAATGGGACAGAACATATCCGCGGGGTCTGGCTCGTTCCACGGTCTCCTGATCACGATTTTTAGTCTCTCCGGCTTGACCTGCCATGACGTCGGGGAGACAGACCTTTCGTCTCTATTTAAATACGGCCAGGCTGTTTCTCGAAACTTCGATTCTCACAGCACGCCAGCGGAGCGAGCTCAATCTTACATACTCCAAAGCCAGTATCTGTACGCCAGTGGCGACCCAAGAGAGGCCTTGACTTCGATTGGCTTCGCAATCCGAATTGCCCAGGTCCTAGGCTTGGAAGTCCGGACGCGGGATCGACATTCTAGAGACCACGAACTCGCCCGACGACTCTGGCACGGTGCCATGCTCCTGGAGCGCATGATTGCATTTCAATTGCGACACCCGCTAGAGACCCTTCGCAGGTTTCGCGTCCCGTTGCCCACTCATATGGACACGGACTACATCGACGCAATCTCGAAGGAAGCCCCCTCCCCAGATGAGGAGCGCGCATCCATCGTCCAATTCTTGGTGGCCTGTGTTAAGCTCTACGAACATGTGGGCGAGATCCTGACGTGGGAAGAGAAAATGAAAATGCGACGAGGAAGCTGCGCTGCGGAAAAGCTGCTCTTGTTACACACCAGCACCCTGCTTCATCTGGACGCTTCGTTGTACCAATGGCAGACGTCCCTCCCGTCTTTTCTGCAGAAGCCAGGGCCAGAAATGCAGCCCATTCATCCTGTTGTCCGTCGCCAGCGGGCTATCCTCCGCGTACGCTACCTCTACGTTCGCCTGCGGCTCTTCCGGCCTTTGCTGATACTGGGGTTGGCAGCGTGTGATAAATGCAGCTGTCAGGCCGGCAGCAACCCTCATTTCAGACTGGAAGAATCGTCGCCTGACTGTCCACTCGCGCTCTCGGTAATCCGCGACTCTTCTCTCAAGTGCATTGCCGCCGCTCTAGAGCTTGTGACTCTCTGTGAGCATGAGCAAGAATCGATTTCTCCTTCCTGGGAGATCCTGGACTACCTGTACGTTTGCGGTACGGTCTTCCTTGCCGCTCAATCCTGTCCGTTTCTCTCCGCGGGTTCGCGTGGCCAGCCTGACCCGGAGGAAATGGAATTGTCGCTCGGTCGTGTCCTCGACCTTCTCGAATCGTACCAGAGCATCCATCCTAGCGACCGCATTTACGACATCGCGCAACGGTGTCGGCGTACCCTCGAGAGCGTTTCGGCGATCGTCGAGGGATCGGACGAGGCTGCTGTTTTCGACGACGATCGCTCCCGTCGTCTTCTGGAGCGGATGAAGATGTGCAATCCTGGTGATAATGACGAGCCAGGGCAAAGCGACTCGAGTCGACTTGGACTTTTTGGCTGGCTGGGCAGTTTACCCGATGATTTGGCGGGAGAGTTGGAGTAGTGTGTTGATACGATACCCTTAGAACTTGTACTTTTGTTTTCTTTTTCTTTCTTTCTTTTGGGATATTGGATGTATGATACTTTCACGAAGCATTGAATCTGTACAGTCCATCCTGGACGTTAACCGGCTATGATCTCGGAGTCGGTCCGACACTACCCACCTCCCTAGTGACCAAAGGGAGTTTACCTACGAAGTCTCCCCCACGCTCCCCGCAATCCCCCTCGGGCTATCATTCGCACGAGCTTCCTTCTCTCTCGCTCTCTTCTTTTCCGTCTGTTTTTCCGGTCTCTTATCCGATTCCGCTTTCTTCTTCCCCTCTTATTCTTTACTTTTCTCTTCTCACTTTATCCTGAATTACTATACACTACAGAACATTCATTCACCATGCAAGCCATGCAAGCCTCTAACCGTCTTCAGAACGCCCTTCGCACCGAGCGCGGCTTGACCTTCGGTGCCTGGCAGATGCTGCCGGGTGCCAACCATGCCCGATTCATGGCGCGCACAGGGTATGACTGGATTTGCGTGGATACGGAGCATGGCAACATTGCCGGTAAGTCGACTCGACTCTGGAATGACGGGTTGATCTAATGGGATAGACTGGCAAATGCACGAGGCCGTCGCAGCCATTGCGGCCACGGGAACGAGTCCAATTGTGCGGATTGCGGCCAACGAGGGGTGGATGGTGAAGCGTATGTATTTCTACTTCTACCTCTTGTCTAGCTATGCTAATGGCTATGGCATCTAGGGGCTTTGGACTCCGGTGCTCACGGAATCGTCGTTCCCTTGCTGTACACCGCGGATGATGCCCGCAGACTGGTCGAGTCGGCCAAGTTCCCGCCTGTCGGCCGTCGAGGATTCGGCAGCCCGTTTGCTATGGGTTCGACCGGCGGAGTTACCGGGCTCGAGTACCTGCAGCAGGCGAACGATGCGCTGCTCACCATTGTGCAGATTGAGACGAAAGAGGCGCTGGAGAATGTAGGTTCATTTCGTCGGGTTGATGTTCAGAGCTGACCAGACCAGGTCGAGGAGATCGCCAAGGTCCCCGGCATCGATGTGCTCTTCATCGGACCCTGGGATCTAGGAAACAACATCGGCCGTCCGGTCATGGGCGCATTCCACGACGACCTGAGCGCCGCCATCGAGCGGATCCGTAAGGCGGCTGTCGAGAACGGCAAGCGAGCGGGTATTTACTGCGTTGGCGGAGAGGCCGCGAAGAAATATGCCGACCAAGGCTTCCACATGGTATATGTCTTCAGTATCAGTACACTGAATACGGCTAATGTTTCTTGATAGATCTCGGTGGTTGCCGATGCCGTTGCCCTCCCGACTTTCCTGTCCAATGCGCTGGAGACCGCCAAAGGCACCAAGACGGATGCCGCGGTTCCCACGTACTAGATGCCTCATGATCATGATTCCCACACGTACTGTACATATTCTAGCGTGTCCAATTGACTATCCATATGCATCTGTAGCCTTTCCGATAGTACATCACTGAGAGGATTTCTCGGCTTCGTCGACTAGATTCTCAACCTCCTGCTCGGTCCATCGGTGGAATAGCTTCTTCGGATCGGACAGGGCGGTGTTCCCAGCTTGTCCCTGGACCGACTGCACGTGCAGCACCGGGACATCGTAATCGTATACATCCTTCCACTGCTTATGCTCGGGCAGCTGAATATCGGTCTCGGCGTAGTCGAAGGGGCGACGCTTGTGCAGTTGCGTGACGGTGTGTTTGGCGGTGTCGCAGAGGCCGCAGCCGGCGCGGGTGAAGAGGGTGACACGAGCGGCCTGGGCGAGACGAAGGGTGGGAAACATATTGACCGTCTAGGATTGTTCTTTATTTAATGGCAGAGATAATGAGCGTCGCTGTCAAGACAAGGGAAGGACAGATCCGCAACGAACGAATTATGGAACCTTCGAGCTCCCCGACTAAACCTAATCGGGCACCTCAACGCCAGTATTTCTGCGCTTCGTTTTTCGACTTCGACGATCAGCTTCCCCCGCCTCGGTCGATTGACATTTAATATTCTGCATACCTGGCTCACCTCTCCACTATCCCTATCGATCGCTTGATTTCACCCCCGAAAATGACGTCCAAGTGTGTGCACAAAGGCTGCGGGAAGGAGTTCACCGACCCCGAGGAGCCCTGCGTTTATCATCCTGGGCCGCCGGTGTTCCACGAAGGTCAAAAGGGTAAGTAGGGACCTTGGTGTTAGGCCTTCACCTTAGGGACCTATTCCATATCCTCTCTTTCCATTCGACGGACGCCCATCAGAACTGCCAACCTCCAGCTGACTGATTGCATCTAGGCTGGAAATGCTGCAAACCCCGCGTTCTCACCTTCGAAGAATTCCTCTCCATCCCACCCTGCACGACCGCCAAACACTCCACCGTCGACGATACCCCGGCGCCACCTCCCACCGATGAATCCAAGACCAAGCCCGAAGCGCAGACTCCCCCCGTCGCGGCTCCCGTGCCCGAACGCGGCGTGAAGCCGATACACTCGCCGGCGCTAGCCCCGCCTTCGAATCCGCCCTCCCCCGCGCCCGTCCAGGACGAGACCGAGTTCTCGGACGACGACGCCCTCGAGATCCCCGCCAACGCGACCTGTCGGCGCAGAGGTTGCAATGCCACCTATGAGGGCCCCGCCGCGTCCCGCGACGCCGAGACCTGCGTCCACCACCCAGGCCAGCCGGTGTTCCACGAGGGCAGCAAGGGCTGGTCGTGCTGCAAGAAGCGGGTGTTGGAGTTTGACGAGTTCCTCAAGATCCAAGGGTGCAAGGAGCGACGGAGGCATATGTTCGTGGGGAAGGGCAAGCCGCCGGGCGAGGAGAAGGTGGATTCCGTGAGGTGAGTTTGAAGCAGTTATGCCTTCATTTCCCCGCGATAAGATATACGAAAGAACTTGGCTAATGACGATAAGGAATGATTTCTACCAAACGGCCTCCTCGGTCAACGTCTCGCTCTACCTCAAGAAAATCGACAAGACCAAGGCCAAGGTCGAGTTCGCCGCGACCTCCATCGCCTTCGACCTGCCGACGACCGACAACAAACGGTTCACCGACACCTACCAGCTGTTCGCGCCGATCGACCCCGAAAAGTCGCAGTTCCGCGTTCTGGGCACCAAGCTGGAGCTGACCCTGGTCAAGGCGGACGGGACCAGCTGGCCGGTGCTGCGCAGCGACGATAAGTGGTCTGGGGAGAGGATTCAGATTGGAAATGCAGGACGGGCTTAATTGAATTGAAATACGATAGGTGAAAATGTTTGACTCGATGTTGATTTGAATATGCGAGATAAAAGCATGCTATATACGTTCCAAAATATCAAACTACAGCCCCAAAACACTGGAGCAAATTCATTGAGCAAAGCAGACAGACCACCACACACATAAATGCAGTAGCCCACATAAGAAAAGGAATGTCACGCCTCCTCCACAGCTAAAGCGCATGGGGATCTTTTCTTGCGAAATGAAGCCCTAGCCCAGCCATGAATTGTAAGGGAAAAAGGAAGACGCGAAGATCACGAGAATCAATCGCTCTGCGAAGCTGGGAACGGAGGAAAACCCATAGAGAAAAATCCCAAACAAGATAGCCCTCAGCGAGCCGTACTGTGACGGAGCTCCGGTAAGATTTACTTATGGTAGAGTAAACCGCTACTGATGATGAGGAAAGAAAGAAAAAGAGACGGAAGAGCGGGCGGCGGTGCGCTGCTTATAAAGGGATGCCGGGTGGAGCGCCTAGTGGGGTTCGGGACTAGTGGTTACCGAGGAGGGAGGGAGGTAGGGTTAGGGCTGAACCTTCACGTGTGTATGTCACGTGATGTCTATAAGTCATGTGACTATGCCAAGAGATTAGTGTCACAGGTTGAGAATCACATGTGAACGGTTGAGGGCGGTGGCCAAACCGGTCTAGCGTTGTGCTCCGTCACGGCCTTTTTTCTGAATGTCGATCTTGTCTACTTTCATTCTGAGGTGTAATGGCTCCCATTTAGGCATACGCAATAACTTTGTAGGTATGCAGTAGATACTCATGGATCCTAAACAAAATCTGATACCCCCGGTAGATATCAATGTAGTTTCTAATGCAGGGAGATTGAGTTCTGACTGCCGTAGTCTCCCATGTTTCCACGTGAGCCTGCCCTATGGCCTGCCCATCGACCTATTCCGGTACTGATAAGTCCTGGTGGCAATATGATGCCTCAGGCCGTCAGCCAAGGAGGGGAAGGCGTCGGAGGGGTCCCATTTAGCTTTCGGCCAATCACGGGCCCGCAGCGCACGAGACCATCGAGACCATCGCCCTCCTCTCCTGCTCTCCTCCATCTCTCTCTTTTTCTCTTTCTCTCCCTCCGCGATCTGGTGCCTTTGGAAGAGAACCAATTGCCGGCCAATTTGTCTCGATTGTCTTTTTGCGAAAACCACGGATTTGGGGTCTTTGGAAATCTAGAGCCGTTTCTTCCAAGGTACGAGAAGTGTTTACCCACTTCCCTTCCCCCTTTCATTCTCGGCGGCATTAACTGATAGTCTGGCCGCGCTAGCTGTTGCGGAAATTTATTTATCTTAGAATTTTCTTTTTTCTCTCGCCTCCTCCCTCCTGACTCTGACTTCTCTTTATCGTTTGATTCAACTTCGCCATGGGTTCGACAAACGGATCGTGCGACTCATCGCTGCGCTACATTGCGCAATCCTACAACCATGCCGATTCGCAAGCTTCTGCCATGCGGCTCATCCTCACGCTGAACCCCCACTGGGGAGGCCCCGACAACAAGATCGAGTTCGTGCGATTCACGGACGGTATCACCAACACAGTGCGTCGCGTCCGAGTCAGAACAAAGAAGTGGCAATGGATCGAATCCGCGCGCTAACGATGACAGCTCCTGAAAATCATCAATCGCAAGCCCGGCTTGAGCGATGAACAAATAGACCACGAAGCAGTATTGATGAGAGCGTACGGTAACCATACAGAGATCATCATAGACCGTGAAAGTATGCCTATACCGCCGGATTCCCTCCTTCCTTGCCCATTGCGACAACTTGCTGAGTAGTTCTGTGTTGTGTCCTATAGGAGAAACGAAGTCCCACGCGCTTCTGGCCAGCTATGGTCTAGCCCCTAGTCTTCTGGCTCGCTTCCAGAACGGTTTGCTGTATCGGTTCATTCGGGGTCGTCCGGCGACTCATGAGGATCTGGTGAAGCCTTCCATCTGGCGAGGCGTTGCTCGGAGATTGGCACAGTGGCATGCCGTCCTCCCGATATCTGAAGCTGCTAGTGCTACCAACGGGTCTGCGGATGACCACATGCCCATCATGCACCGAGTAGATGTGGAGCAGCAGTCGAAGAAGGACGATATCATCCCAATCACTCCGAGACAGCCGCCCCCGAACACGTGGTCCGTTCTCCAGAAATGGATCCGGGCTCTTCCCACGACGACAGATGAGCAACGGCAGCGGAGACTTAGTCTGCAGAAGGAGCTGCAACGGGTTGTCAAGGAATTCGACGACGGCAAGGGTCTGGGTGAAAACGGGGTACGTAGGCTATTCCGTATCTCGGGACTTCACTAACACTAAACCAGCTGGTGTTTGCCCACTGCGACCTTCTCTGCGCCAACGTCATCGCCGCGCCGTCGAAAGAGCCTTCGTCCGACGAGGCGACAACCGTACACTTTATTGATTACGAATATGCCACGCCATCGCCAGCTGCCTTTGACATTGCCAATCACTTCGCCGAATGGGCTGGCTATGACTGCGACTACAACATGATGCCGACACAGTCGATGCGACGACAATTCTTGACGGAATACGTGAAAAGCTACAGCCACCACCGAGGACTGCCGGAGTCCTCTCAACCGGACATTGTCGATCAGCTGTACAGAGATGTCGATCGATACCGCGGTATCCCAGGGCTCTACTGGTTCGTATCCCAATCTCCATCGCGTACAATCGCTAACTTAATATAGGGGCATCTGGGCTCTCATTCAGGCACAAATCTCCCAAATCGACTTCGACTACGCCTCGTACGCCGAATTGCGTCTCGGAGAATACTACGCCTGGCGCCGCGAAGCGGAGGGGACTCGCGCGGACGCCGGCGAGGAAATGCCTCTTCGCGAGCGACGCTGGGCCCAAGAAGCCTAACTACCGACCACCTAATACCATACACCCTACCCCCATCATACCCTATCTTATCATCCTACAAACAGCAGATCCCGTGTATATAGACCGCGATGTGATTAATTCTGATAATTCAACAGCAAGCGAGCGAGCGACCAGCGACAAGCAAGCATGCATGCATACTTTGGCCTTACTTACTATCTACATCAACTGTATCTGGATCTCTCCCACACGCGACTTTCACACTACCAACGCGACTTGACCTATTACTCCCTACGCACCAACCATTTTTTTTTATCTCACGGAATTCAACAATATCCTTGAGAACGAGACGAGAGCGAAAACGAAGACCCGAACGCAGACCGACATGACAGAGCAGAGAAATAAAAGACGAAAGAACCCCAACGCGAGAACGGTCTAGTTTAAAACAACAAGAAAATGAAACGAAACGAAACGAGACGAGCAGTAAGAATGAGGGTAAACCCGAAACAATTTGAATAAAACGGTCTTCAACGACTTGGCGATTTTCTTTCTTTTTTTTTTTTTTTTTTTTTCTTTAGGGTCTCATGGGATAAGTTTGTTTGTCCCGACCCTGCCTTTGCCTTAGTTATTTTTTTTTCTTGTTTTGAGTTAGTAAATCGAAAACCAGACAGATTAGGTAGACTGCGTTACTGAATGGAACACTCGTTATGAATAAATGTAGAGACAGATCTGACGTATATGTGTAGATCCCTATCCCCAATCAAATAACGCGACTAGTAAACAACAGGCAACATCGAACCTAGCAATCAAACCAATCTTAGCCACGAGTACAGCCCTATTTTGTACCCCACCACTCCTTGAAACCAGGAATCAAAACCAAATAAGGCTTGGGCATGAAGATAAACGCCACAGTCGTAGTAACGCTACTCAACAGCTTAAGCTTAGCATTTCTACTCCACTCATTAATCAGCACCTGTCGCAACAGATAGAGTTGATTCCAGCCCCAACGGGGAAAGAGGGGATACATACCCCGGAAACGAATCCCTAATATAAACACCCGCCAAGGCGACGAGCACGCTTAGATTCTGGGAGAGTATGAATTCGGAATCAGTGGTGCCGACGTAGTAATGGAAGGCGTTGCTGAAGAGCAGAAAGGAGATGAACATGAAGGGAGAGGCTTTGTTGATGAGGGTGGTGATTTCTTGGAGGCTGGGCATGGTTGATCCTGCGGTGTTGTGCTGTGGATTTTGAGGCTATGTGTTTGCGGGTAGATATGGCGTGGGAAGGGCTGAGGGGTGGTGGGTTTTAATAGTAGTGGAGCTAGCAGGCTGCCCTTGATCTTGACTGAGGCTTAGACTGAGCCAGCCGGCTTACTTTGGGTCCGGGGCAATGATCCTGCGTGGACTTCAGCCTTGTTTTGCTGTGGGTATTTGAAGTCGGTGAGTAACCGAGTGGTAGTGGTGGTTTTGCGATGAGATGATATTTGATTTGCGATCAGTTCATTGGGTCTTAAGTGTGTCAATGCTTAGGTTTTATAAGACACTATGTAGGTGAGAGTAGATTGCGTCTTGTCTTAGGGTTTGGTGTGGTCATGGGATCTTTTGTATATATGTTTTCATGTATAACGAACTGGTAGCAACCATGCTTTAGAAACAAGAAACATGAACAGTGTACTATCTCGTTGAATAAACTATATTATTCGATGTGAATATCCAAAGTCTTTTCACTAGACTAACCCTATATCCACACGCGTAGAGTTACTGATTCCATTCCTCCCAGCAAGACATTCACCTGCGTATATTCACCATTCTTCTGTAGCTTCCTGCATATCACAAGATAGCCGAATCCTCTTCTCTTTCCATCTGTCTCCACTCCCCATCTCCTCTCAATCATATTAATCCAACACCTATCTATCCAGTATCTATCATTCTATCCTCTGCCTGTTTCAAACATCGAGGCTTCTACTGCCTTGACCATTAAATAGTCAAAACCGTTCTTTCTACATTGTTACTACTGTCCTCTGTTACTTCATGGTGATTGTTCTCCAAGGAGGAAAGGTTCGTTTTCATCGTCAAATGGTCATGACGACCTTCGCGCAGGTCCACGGCAGGCTTGTCAGGATCTGAGCTTGAGGAGCCCAACTTTTCCAAGCAGAATATAGCCTGCTCTAGGACTCCATAGATTATGGAACCAGGGAAGACTTGCGCTAAAGCCAGTTGAGCTTACCGGAGTTGAGAAAAGACTGTGGACAGTTATTCTCTGGCTGAACAACAGCAACACCCCAGATCGACAAGATACTCCCTTGGTCCTGTTACGCCCCAGGGACCTTGGGTCTATACCAGGAGCGGATATGTACAACATATACTAAGGAACAGGTACCCTAAGCTTAGAGGTTATCTATAAGCATGTTCTCTGATATTACCACTAGACCAAAAACCTCAGCTGGGCTACTGGGTAGTCCTTGCAATATCTGATATGTCAACATTATCTTTGAGACAGATGATCCAGCGTTCTGGCCCTTTCTGCCTGCTCAACTTCTACAGGTGCAATGGTTTTTGAGCAGAGTATTTTATTGCCTCGATCTAGACACGCTTCGATTGCTAGTTCATACCTCGCCGATATACCACTGCACATATCAGCGTGTCAGACCAGATATTCTTCTTCATATACTTCATGTAGAGTATAATGGAGTGGTTGAAATCACAGACGCAGTCGTGGCCCTTCGATCAAGGGGCTGTACGCCATAATACCATCGAACAAAGAGAAACATATTTACTGCTGTGGCTCTTGGATATGATATCTCAGAGTGGGCAATACTTGCTGAGAATAAATGCAGCGATTCCTGCTCACGTAAGTACTCATGCTGTTTAGGAACTGGATGCGTATCGCTAATCACAAAGCTAGAAAGCCGCGGACTTTAGGCAGGGCGGCGTTGAGGTCGCATCTGAATCTCAAATTACTTTAATTTGAATCCCAGAAAGTGGATATCAAGGTCTACTCAAATAGAATGCCGCAGCATTATACGCGACTTTGCCAAATGGTGGTTCGAAAACTCATGCTTCGTCTCAAATAGCCGATCACGATTTGGTTGTGTTTTGGATTTTTTTGGAGGGGTGGTATAATAAGCGGACTCTTTAAGGCATTAAGAATGTAAAGTAAAATAATGAGATGGGGATATTAGAATCTTGTACGGTACTGTCGACTTAGGGCTGACGGGACTTTAGTTTAGGCACTGCCTCAGGTCTTGTACTTATAGCGACCAGTCGGATTAGGAACAGCTTCTTGTGTGATTTAATAAAGTGTGGGTATGAGGAGGCTTACAGCTCTAGAGGAATATGCTAGCCCGAAAGGCGTAAGGCTTGTTGATCTGGGACCAATTCAAGTGAATTGGAACAACTCAGGTTTAGAGTATAGTACGGGCTGCGTAGAGACAAGAAGCAGCAATGGTATACCTCAGCCCAGGATTCGCGCCAACAGGAATAAATGCGTCTCTTACAATATACTCATTGTTACAAGTATTAAGGAGTTAAGACTACACATTTGCCAATACCATGGTGCTCGGCACCTACATCGAAGCCTTCCTCCCAATTATCCAATGAGAAAGCCTTGGTTTCCATGCAATCCTTACCAAGGGGAAGCAGACCCCGCTCCAGCATCTTGACAAAATGCACTATGGCCTCACGTTGATACATCATCTTGCCTTTAGTGTACATCATCAGTATTAACCCCCTGATATGGATTGAGAACTTACCCTTTAATGTGATGTTGTTGACCATAATCTCCGGAGCCCCAATGTTCGCGGTAGATCCCATCAAACTGACCCTCCCACCGTGACGGAGCGCCTTTATAGCGCTCTTCGTATGCGTCGAGGAAGATGCACTCGAGGGGGTAATGTCCAGAACGGCATCGATAGTTCCAAACGCCCGCAGCGCACCCACGTCCTGAGCAGGGTCATTGGTTATCGTGACCGTCTCAATATCCGCACCGGGCGACCTCTCGGTGACATCCGCTTTTAGTTTCGCTAGCTTCTCTTCACTGCGGCCCATGGCAATCACTCTCGCCCCCATCGCGGCCGCCATCTGCACACCCAAGCTGCCGTAGAATCCCGTCGCGGGACACACAATGATCGTCTCGCCAGGCTCCAGCTGGATATCCCGGAGCCCGCCGTACGGAACAAGCATATACGCCATGTACATCAGGTCAGGAACGGTGTAGCCCAGCCCGCGACACAGCCTCGCTTCGTCCAGCGGGATGCAGTTCTCCAGCGGCACTTTGGCGTACTCGGCGAACGTGCCGTTACGCCACACGTCGCGCATCAGCCTTTTGCTGCCGTTGCTGGACCCCTCGTAAATGGCTGTCAGGAAATAGGCGTCTGGATCGTCGCGGGCCCGGATAACACAGTCAACGTAGACGAATTGTCCGGGAGTCAGTGCCGTTGCGTCGGATCCGACCGCGGCAACGTGGCCAATGGCGCCGAAACCCCCGACCAGGGGCGTGGGGAAAGGATTGGGACGCTTGCCGTTGTAGACATCGCGATGGTAGGGCAGGATCCCGGCCACAGCGATCCGGACAACGGCGCTGCCATTGTCGGGCTGGGGGGTCGGGACGGTCTTGATCTGACAGCCGGAGTCACGGCTTTCGAGCACAAGGGCGCGGTGATTGGCGGGTAAGGCAGGCTGCATGATGAGGAACGATTAGGTTAGGCAATCAGACAATTTTGGGATGTTGGTACAAGTCAATTGCAGGTAGAATTCTATAGTTGCTTAGAAATGCAAATAGCAGGGGTTCTTGGCGGCTGATTAATTGGCATCGGCTGTGGGACAGCCCTACAGGGCTAACAAATTTAGTCTATTCCTTACCCTCTAGGAAAGACTATGTTGAAAATACTGTACCTTGGGATCCCCATGGAATTCCATGGCCTTTTGGCTCATGGATGTTGTAGCTACCCACTGTTGTAGAAATCCGAGGAATGCTCACCCGGTATGCAAGATGGAGGTAATTCCCATCAGGCTTGATAGAGCAGTGTTTTACGTCCATTGCAAGAATGCTATCAAGTAGTAAATAACATTAAGACATGGTCCCAAGGTAATCGCGGAGATAGCATAACTAACGGTTAAACAACCAGGTGGTCATTGAAAAACAGAGAAGATCGAATTTCCGGCCTGATCTCAAACCTTCAGCATGTGGAGTCAGCCATTATTCATCTTCCATAATTCTTGATCCTGTAGGCTGTGACATGGTAGCATGTCATGACCTGCTCTAGATCAAAGCGCTTGTGCCACACGCGGCACAAAGACAGGAGGAATTTATAGACAAACCCTGATTATCCACGGGTATTCCAGTCAAAACTACCGTCTCTTCACGTCTATAAAAAGCCCTTCACCCACTCATTCTTTCATTCTCAAATAAACAAACCTCGCCTGCCCAAGTCCTTGCTATATACCATACCCCCTATACATTCGTCAAGCAAATCCGCCATGGCATCCTTTGACTTCTTTTCCAAATCCCTGGACAAGCTCCTTTCAGCGTACGGCATCGAAAGATGCTGCGCTTTTTTTGAAGTCGAGAACCTGGATACCGAGTCCCTCTCCCACTTCCGCCTCGATACCCTGGCGACAAAGGAGGTCTTCTACAGCGAGGCAGACCGTGTGGGCATTGAGGTTCCAGAGCCTGAATTGGCATTTCTGTTGCAGCTGGAGAACTGGTCTCTTGCGGCCCTTAATGAAAGAGAGCTTGTCACAGGTATTGAAAGCTTGTAGGTCTCTACTTCCCTTCTAGTCTGATATGCGCTGAGTGCGAAGCTCAGCATGGGAAGACTTACGTTCACAGATTGGCGTTAGTATATATTATTGGGCTTTTATATTGATTAGTAGTCATACTTTTTTCCCATTTGCAAAGGATTATAGAATGGCAAATCTCCAAAGACCAGGTATATAACTCCTCAAACTTACGATCTTCTGGCAGAGGACGGGGCCTTTGATCCCACGGAAAATCCGAGCCAGAGCTTCAGAAAGACGAAGCTATTGCAGGCATAAAATGGTGGTTGTTGCGCCGAAAAGAATGAAATAGAAAAAGCGACATTTGCCTAACAAGGCACGCAATTGTCCCAAACCCAATTATGAAACCAGACATTCCTCACGAAGGGCAAGACAAGATTACTGGGGAACTGAAAGCCATGGAATATACCGCTGAATGCAAACAAGAGAAGTGCTTCCATGGTAACTTTGAAACTGCATTATTCGTGGTCTTGAGACAAAGACGAACGACACAAAGAAGGCATTTCAACCATTGTGCTCTCATTTTATTGGGGAAAGATCAAACACAAATCATATCCTCCGTTTACTCTGAGGGTATAGCTTTTGAGAAAAGTGGTCAAATACCAGGACGAATATAGGTGCAAGTACGGATTTGCTTGCACCCACGAGAAACCGGTCTTCGTCAAATGATCGACAAATCTCAATAAAAGAAATGCTTCAATGAGAATGAAGAACAAAGGAAGACTCGTCTAAATATTACAAGGGCTTCCTGATATAAATGATTTAGATTAAACAATATAGGCAATTCCTGCCTTCCTTTCATTTCCCTGAGTAGCCACATCAGTAGTTGAAGTACGGGCTCAAATCAAATAACTAAATTTAGGAATCATAAATGTTTGGACCCATAATATTCAGTCGGTCTATCCCTCCGGTCGTAATCGCATCTGCAGGGCCCCGAATTACGAGACAGGACTATATGCTAGTTAACATGTAACATAAGAGCCAATTATGAGGTATATTGTAAGATTAGCGAGTGCAGAAAGCACGGCTCTTCGTTTCGGAATTTCCAAGGGAATAATGATATTTCGTGACTCATTATGTAAAAGGTCTGTCTACAGACCTTTGCCCCAAAAAAAGCCCCAAAGTTGGATCCAAAGCCATTTGTGGCTCTCATGGTACAGAAGATTTCAATGGAGCAGGATGCAAAACATTGGCCCATCATCTACTGTGCTCAACGAAAGCTAGATCCTCCTCAGTTCGGTCGATCAAGATTCCCACCTTTTTAGACACGCGTTGCATCTCATCGATATTCCGACAAGATCGTATGCTATTCTCAGGTTCAAGATCCAGTCGACCCAAAAGCAACGGAAGAATGGAACTCTTCCATAAGATGATCTTCTCGTCTCGTTTGAACCCTGCTACGGCAACAAAGAAGGCGATCGAGCCGACAACTATCACAAGTGGAAATGTGATCCACGGCCATCGGACATGGATGAAGACCTCGGAACGAAGGGCTTTACCGGGGGCCTTTGTGGCTTCGTCTCTTTGCACCATGGCATTAGTGAGGCTGGTAGCTAGGGAGGTAAAAGCCAGTCGAAGATCGCTGGCTCGCTAAAGCCCACCGTGGACCACATTCCGGCTAACTGGATCAGGCAGGCGAGCGAAGGCCATAGAAATCAGGCAGATTGCATTCTGTATGTCGGGGCAGAAAGATTCCTTTGCATTCCAAGATATGAACCAGAACAGGACTAATCCAAACATTGCTAATTCTCAGAGCCTTTCATCAGTCATTTACAATTCTAATAACGCCAGGCAGCCTATAGTATTTAGAAAAGATCCATGACAAGATCCAACCACCCTACTACATCTGCGCAAAAAAAGGCATCGCATATACAGCGGAGATCCAACAATTCCAAAGCCGAAACGTTTCCCGATCACTCTCTACGCCACGCGCTATCATAACCCTCATTGCCACAGTAACCGCAAGCCCGATACTCATCGCGAGAACCCCCCCCCAGTCAACCTCCAGAACCGAGGACACACGATCCCCCAGAAAAGCATGGGCGTCGCGATCGTCCACCGCGCGGGTGCGTCTCCAATCACCAACGGCACGGTGCGTCGGCCGCGCGAGGCGTCCCCTTCTTGATCGTAGAGGTCTTGGAGGTGGATTGTGCTGAAGACGATACCGCCGATTATGAGAAGCCAGAGGGCAAGACGGTTTTCAGGACCAGAAGTGGACATTGGGTCTGAGGTAAATGGGATTTGTCTACCCAATGCGACTTCCAACGCTCCGGTTATAAAGGAAAGGTAGCCCAGGGAGTTGAGGAGATTGCGAAGCACAGGGTTCTTGTCCGCACCGCCGACGTTGTTGTACCAGATGTCGAGGGCCCGGAGGAGTGACGACTGTCGGAAGCCAATCCCGCGGTAGATGTAGCCGTGGAGTGGAGCGAGAAGGACGATGCAGTACATAAGGCGCCGGGCTTGGGATGGAGAGAGGCGATTCTGAGGAAGCGGCCGCCATGGCTTGTTGATTGCGTCCTCTACGATGGCAGAGGGGCTGCGTTGGTTGTTGATGCCAAATGGGATGTAGACGAGGCTGACCCAGACAAGAGCTTGGATGAGACGAGTGAGGATTAGGGAGAGTGTGATGGGTGGAATGTCATCAAGTCCGTAAGCGCTCGTGGCGAGGGAGTTGAGCACGCCAAAGACGGTGCTGGGGAGGATGATTGTTTTGAAGTCGCTACGGGCGAATAGGAAGAGAGTATAGGCATGGTAGGCGATGAGTCGAGGGATATGAAGTAGTGCTTGTAGCGGCACCGGGCTAGTATATGGGAGATTCTGCCTAGATATAAATCAACTGACTCTTAGCGTTGATTGAATAATGGTCTAACCTTGACTAGGAAACTATGTAAGATATTTGACGTGTATGACATTGTGGAGATGGATGATCAATGCAATAAGTAGCAACTCCTATTTCATTCAAGGCGTTCAGACCTACCTAGCTATTTAAACTGCTATTTATGTGATCTATTGGTCTTAGTAAACTCCTTCCTATACTAGCATGATGAGCTAGATTAAACTTGTCTTCAATCGTGACTCGAGAGACGATCACGGAACCTATATAATACACAGCTGGGATAAAAGTATACAGCGCTTCCTTTCGGTCACCAATCTTCCAATTGAAAACTAACCTGGTGCAAGTAATCCAGAAATTCCACCTCGCATCTTGGCCAAAGTTCGGACCTTCGTCAAGCTAGTCATTCTAAGTTCCTAATTGTGAGGATATGGACCGGTTCACATTTGAGTTCCGCGTGGTGTCAACCCTATTATATTTCTTGAGTCTCCAAATGTTGACGAGCCATAGATCTTGGTTAAGTGGCGATACTGCCTAAACTTGCTAATGTGGTGTTGAAATGATGCAGAGCCCAACTCTAACTCTCTCTTCTACATCTCTGACTACCAAAGCATACCAAGAGGTCGCCAGTCTTACTCCCAAGAGGGCACAGCACAAATATCCCTGCTGGCACGACCCTGGGCCCCGAGACATACCATTGGACGATGTTTCTTGTCTCTACGCAGCCAGTGCTATACTCTAGACCTGATTTGTTCTAATTAATCACCAAACATATCTACCCCTGTAGTAAGGTCCGCGTTGCAAGGCTGAGCAAGCTAGCATCAGGTAGTATAGTATAGCCCGGAATTGATCCAGGATCAACGAGCCTTACTCATTTCGAGGCTAGTATATTTCCCTAGAGCTTAGGCCTCCTCGATACCCAGACTTGATTGAATCTCACGCAAGAAGCTGTTCCTAACCATCCGACTGAATAGGAGTTACTATGAAATACACGACCTCGAGGCAGTGCCCAGTGGGGTCCCGTCAGCCCTAAGCCAACAGTGCCATACTAGAATCCAATACCCCTGCCATCTCAGACTCCTACTTTGCATCCTCAATTCCTTAAAGAGCCTAGTTGCCAGTCTCGGGGAGATGAGCATTTAGTATATATTGGGTATGAGATTTCAGAATTTTACTGCTGATTGTATACAGTATTTGATGACCGAGATGCTAGTGTTCAGGCTGTTTACCAGACACCATTATTCGACTACTCATACACATAAAGGCGAGTACTAATCTGAATGCTCATTGCGTGGTATAAAATGGTAATATGCGGCCCGGAGTATTTACTTCCCTAAAGCGACATATTTATAATTAGAAATCTACATTGTAGGTACACAGGTCCTGCTATAAATAGAACCGATCCATCCTGACAAGAACTATATTTCCAATTCAAAGCTTCCACCAATTGGCCGCCCTTTTCCATTCCAGCAGCCAGCCTGACTTTGGAGAAACACAATTCAGCAAGACAGCAATCCTCATGCCGAACAAATCACTAGACATCATAGCGAGGAAATATTCCGACGTAACGAGAACACCACCTCACCGCTCTTGAGCGGACGCGAGTCCAACGAGGAAAGGAGCCAACGAATGACTCGTCATATTCAAACTCTGATGATATGGCAGATAAAAATCGATACAACTACTTGAACACAACAACCTCCCATAGAGCTATCATGTACATGTACACACCTCAGCACCACAATGTCCTCTGACCTTGAGCTGGAATTCGACCCCCCTCCGGACCCCCCGCGGCAGATCGTGGTGTTTTTCGACGACGACGAGTCCTCCGGCTACCGGCGCCAAACCAACGTCTGGAGGATCTTTAGCATGACGAGCCGAACAGGTGAGCAACGTAGGTACTCCCTCTCCCTCTACAATGACGCTAGATCTAACTATGGATTCAGATTGCCACTATCAACGTATGTACTGCATAACCGTACCCTGCTCCGTCCGCTATTCATTAACACAAACACACCCCAGCTGGAACCAATATCCAAATCACCCCCCGATCCGTGGCCAGCAGCATGCTGCAACCCACTCTCCCGCCGGACAAATACATCAGTCGTCACGTTCTGGAAGGCTACAAATACATCATGCGGCTGTATCGACCCGGCGCCGCGATCTACATCTTCGGGTTCTCGCAGGCGGCGAGCGCGGCGCAGCTGCTGGCCGACATAGTCGAGTATATCGGGGTGCTGAGTGTCGACAACGGAGAGATGGTGCCGGATGTCTGGGACGCGTATATTAGGTGGAAGTTTCATCTGTTCAGGGAGACAGGGGAAGAAAAGCACAGAAAGAGCTTCGAAAAGGCCTGTGTCCGGATGAGAACGACCCGGGATACAATGACGCAGAGAGTCAGGGTCCGGTTCCTGGGGATGTTCGATGCGGTTGATAGCGTGGCGGGTCCGCGGGATCGTGATTTCGTCCCGAATAGTGCGGATGTCGTTCGCCATGCTGTGAGTATTGATGAGAGACGGGTGAAGTTCCGGCCGCTGTTTTATGATTGTCGGGATCTTGAACAGGCTGTCGCTCCGTCGTATGTAGCAGAATTGCGAGAGGAGGGGGCTAGAAGAGAAACAGATGCTCAGGTCGTGTGGTTTCCTGGTGATCACGCTGGTGTCGGGGGAGGGTGGAAACCCGGCGAGGGCGAAGTGTGGCCGCTCAGCCAGAACCCGCTCATCTGGATGACGAAGGCTGCATATGAGGCCGGACTGGAGTTGAAACCAAGCGAGGTCGAACGTCAAGGCTGCTCTGAGATCTATTCCTCGGGAGAGACCCTTGAGTTGGAGGAAGCGATTCAGCGGGGGGTCATTCGAGGGCAGATCCATGATCTGCTGCACTTTGGAAATGGAGTACCGAAGTCGTCGGTTCTGTTCTGGCGGCTGCTCGAGCACCTCCCGGTTCGACGACGGCTGGAATCAAGACAAGTGCGTTGGCCGCTTCATCGTGGGGAGGCTCGACAGATTCCCCCCGGGTCGAGAGTTCATGTTTCGGCCGTCAAACGGATGGAGGGGAACGAATCCTACCGTCCTGCCAACCTGGTGTCTGGGGAATGGGAGGTGGAGGGGTGTAGTCAGATGCAAACTATGTATACTAGTTCAGATGGGAGTTGAATGGCGAGCTATGCCTGTATTAAAAGCTACAAGTCTATATAAATTGAATGAACACTTGCCCTAATGCCATTGCTATATTTGCATTCGATGTACGAAAAACTCATGTGGAAAAGCTCATATACCATATCATACTACACTATAAAACAAATGCCTGCTATTCAATCACAGCTATATCAAAACAATCCACCAAATACACCCAACACCATCCCAGATATCAAATCCTACAACCGATGCTGCACCACCAACTCACTCCCTTCACTCCCCTCGCTCGCCCCCGACACCGACACCGACTCCCCATCCGACTCATCAGTCCCACCCTCCTTCAACCCCAACAGCTTCACCATCTTCCTCCACGACTCATACCCCCTCTTCGCATGCCTCTCCGGCGTCCGCGGATCCGGATCCGCCAACGTCCGACTAAACAACTCCAACGACACCCAGCCCTCGAACCCGGTATCAAAAAACGCCCTCGCCACCTCCTCCACAGGCAGGTATCCGCCCCTCTCCTCCTCAAACGCAAACAACCTCGCATTCCGCGACCAGCTCATCCGACACGGCTGGCTCGCTACATGCCACTCATGGCCTTCCGTCAACGGAGCAGCCAGCCTCTCCCCGTCGACAATCTGCAGATAAAACACCTTCTTGACGTCCACCGTCTCCCGCAGTCTCGTCAGGGACTCCTGAAGCGCGAGCTCCGCGTTGGCGGTCTTTCCGCTCGCGCTCGCCGGGTCCGCATACACCCGTCCCGCCAGGTTGAATGTATCAAGACAGATACCCAGGTTCGGGCGGTCGACGGCAACCACGATCTCGTAGGCGGCTTCCCAGGTATCGACGTGGTTGCCCCATGCCAGGGCCTCGTAGACGAACCGGAAGGGCGGGGACTGCGCGAGTCCGAGGTCCGCGGCGCGTCGGAGATCTGAGACAATAATCTCCCGATCCCCTGTCGTCCGAGGGGCGCCGGTTTGCGGGTCCGCCGGGAGGAAGTTGGATGGGATTTGGATGAGGTCTGTGTGCAGGATGCGGGAGAGTTGGAACCACAGGGGGAGTTTTTCAGTGAGGAGGTGCTCGGTCTGGGAGCGGTCGAGGAGGCCTTCGTAGAAGGCGAAGGGCTGGAGGCAGATGATGGAGAGGTTGAGGGATGTGCAGAGGGAGTGCACGTGGTGGGCGGCGGCGAGAAGGTCCCCGCCGTGAGAGGTCTCTGCGAGGTGCGAGAGGTCGTCGAAGAAAAGCTCGATGCCGGAGTAGCCGTGGAGAGCGGCTTGGTGCAGTTTGTTGGGCAGGGGGTGGATGCCTGGACGGCCCAGGGACATGGAGGCGATGCCGAGGCGGTTGGGCATTTTGGTGGATACAGTGTATACTGGGGTTGAGGATGGGTGTGGATGATGCTGCAGATGCAGGAACAGTGAGATCTGATCGGACAGAAGATGCAGAATCAGATCAGTGATGTGATATCGACAGCTTTATAAACAGAAACCAATCCTCAGGAGTCGACCAGTCCAATACGAGCAAACTTCGAGGCGGAGCTTGGCGTTTGAGACAAATGAATGTGATACATCTATTGCTATTTATGATTTAATCCTCAGCTGCCTGCTTGCTAATACTCTCCTCCTGCGTTTATTCTCGGAGAAAGGCCAAAGCCCTTACCCCAGACTGACAACGTTCATCCGACTGTCCGACACCTAGTAACTGACTAGTAGTAGAAAAGTTGGTAAAATTAGGGCTGCGGCTAAGCGCTTTCCCCGTCGCTAAAATGTGGGCGGATCAAGCATTTACCCGCCAAGGAGGATTTCTTCAGAATATAACACTTCTTCACTTACTGCATACTTGCATCTACTATCTTCCTTTACAAAAATCAATTCATTCATTCAATCAACCCGACAAACCCAACTCCCCCTCCAACTCCCCCACATCCACCGTCTCCCCCGTCTCCAACGCCCTCCTGGCCGCCTGCACCACCACCAACGCCCTCAACCCTTCAACCAGGGAACATCTCGGCTGCGCCCGCCCCCCAATCACATCCACGAAATGGCTAAGCTGCAAATCAAACGGCCTCTTCTCCTCCCCCTCCACCCTCACCTTCTCCGCAACCAACTCCTCGGTCCAGCTCTTCGCCCGCCCATCATAACTCCACCGCGTCATATCCGGCACGCTCAATGACGCCCGTGACCCCAAAATCCGATAGAAGTCGCCCCCCGGACCCCCGGTTCTCGGTATGCTCGGGTTCTCGCCCGTCCCGGCTTCGAAGCTCCATGGCGCCGGGGTCGCGTCGCAGACGAGGAATGTGCCCACGACGCCGCTGCCGAAGCGCAGGGTTAGCGCGGCGCCTTCGTCTGCGGAGTGTGGCGGGGTAGGGCGCTGAGGGAGGGTCTTTTCGGCGTGGAGGCGAACGATAGGGCCGAAGAGGTATTGTAGGCAGTCGATGTCGTGGACGAGGTTGATGGCGCAGACGCCGCCGGAGGAAGGGGAGGAGCGCCAGGATCCCGAGCCCTCGAAGTAGGAGGCGGGTTTGAAGAGCGTCCAGAGGCCGTTGATGGCGATGATGGTGCCCAGGGAGCCCGAGTCGATGATGGATTTGGTGGTTGTGATGTACGGGTTGAAGCGGCGGTGGTGGCCGGCGAGGATCTTGAGGTGCGAGGTTGAGGGCTGCTGGGAGAAGCGCAGTAGGGAGGCTCCGCTGGGGAGGTCGTGGCTGACGGGCTTCTCGAGGAGGATGTGCAGATTCTCGCTGAGGAGTTGCTGCGCGACGGCGACGTGCGTGTGGTTCGGCGTGCAGATGATGGCGGCGTGGGGGGTGGATGACGCCGTTGTGCGCGTCGCTTGCAGACACGCCTCGATGGTTGGGTAGTAGCTGGTCCCGAGCGATTGGGCGATGCTGGCCGCTGAAGGGAGAGGGTCGATGAGCCCGACGAGGTGCGTGGATGGGTTTGCCAGCACCGATTGGGCGTGGCGCGGGCCGATGAGGCCGGCGCCGACGATGATGATGTTGATGGGGGACATGTTCTCCGTCAAGTTTGGATCTCCACTTCAAGAACGTTGGATCCGAGAATGAGGGAAGCGTGCCAGATATACCTCACAGGTAGAGACTTTTCCCACTCGCCTAACACTGTGGGGGGATCTTCACGATGAGTCAACGCGGCTATGGAATTACACGATTCTCCTGAATTCGGTTCTGAAAACGACTCGATTATCGACTTATACAGCCATCCACCATTTATACCCATCATCCGTACACCTTCGACTCCACCGATCCGTCCGCCTCCTCTACCTGCTCCGTGTCTCGCTTCGTGAACCCAGACTCCTCCAAGTCCCGTCGAAAGCGCTCCTCATCCTCGCGAATCTGCGCCAGCACCCTCTCATGGGCGCGCCAGATGGGCTTGTGCTCGAACAGCGAGTCCATACTCTCCAGCGGAATTCCCTTCGTCTCGGGAATCAACAGATACACGAAAATGATGGACAGAATCATCAGAGACGCAAAGAAGAAGTACACCCCGTAGTCCATCTTGGCGAACATCTGCGGGGTGAATCGAGAGATCAAAAAGTTCCAGAGCCAGTTGGACCCGGCGGCGCAGGCCTGAGCGAGAGATCGCACGTTGGGGTCAAACATTTCCTGCTCTTCGTCAGAAAACCCTACAATTACACGTGGATGGAATGTGGCTTACCGAGTTGATCACCCATGGAGTGCCGTTCCACGAAGGGGTGTAAAAGACGGTCCACAGATAGAAGAAAAACATCGCCATGATGCCGCCGCCGTCCATCTGCTGGTTGTCGCGTTCCGACGGCTTGGCGATCTTGATGTACGCGCCTACAATCCACAGGCAGATCGAGCCACCCGCAGCGCCGACCAGCAGAAGCAGCCGGCGACCGACGTGGTCAATCAACCAGAGCAGCCAGACAAAGGTGACCACCGTCTTGACCACGCCGAAAATGCCCGTGGTGAACAGGCTGGTGTTCGATCCCCGCAGACCGATGCTCTTGAACACCGTCGGACTGTAATAGTTGATGGCGTTGATTCCAGAGCCGTTCTGCCAGAGGAACAGCATGCTTCCCAAGAAGAGACGGTACAGGATCTTCTTGTTCGTCCACGCCGCCTTGAATGGCTTCCAGAACCCGAGGCCGATGGTCGACCGCTGGTGCTCCAGAGACTGGTCAATGGCGCCGATCTCCTCAATCATGTAGATGTGATCCTCGGGAAGCTGCCGAATCCAGCTGAGGTTCTGGATGGCCTCCTCGCGGCGGCCTCGTAGGAACAGCCACCGCGGAGATTCCTTGATCAGCATGGCACCGATCAGTAGAAGACCCGAGGGGATCAGCTGCACAGCAAACGGGATGATCCACTGCTTGTGGCTCGGTGGCAATGTCTCGTCGACACCGTACTAACCAGATTAGCCATATTCGTACTCGTAGTGTAGGGCAACTTACGCAGATCCAAAAACCAACCAGACCACCGATCTGCCACCCCAGCTCGTAAACTCCGACCAAGCGACCTCGAATGGCCGGCGGAGACAGCTCCGAGATGTAGATTGGCGTGATGTTGGAACCGGCACCCACCCCCAGACCGGCCAGCACGCGACCCCCGTAGATCAAGCCCAATCCCCGGTCGCCGTTGGCTCCCAGCATCAGACCCGCCCCCAGAGTGAAGATAAGACCAGCCGACATCAAACCCCACTTCCTACCCCAGAAATGACCGATGGGGTAGGCGAAGAAGGCCCCGAAGAAGGCCCCGGCCTGGTACAGAGACACGATGTTGGCGCTCACGAGGTTCTGGGACGCGTCCGACATGGATTCCCAGTCGAACTCGTCCTTGAAGGACTGCAACGAGATGGTAGTGCCGATGAAAGCACTGTCATATCCGATCATACAAGACGTGCAGGAGGCTACGGCCGCCAGAAGGTAGATCTTCCAGTTGTAGACCTCCTTAGGGGTCGGCCTATCCTCCACAAGAGAAAGGATAGACATGATGTTCGTTCGCCCTTAGGGACGACACCAGTGTGTGTAGTCTGTACGTTGAATGATAGGAGAAGGGTATGTGGTGTAGCAAGGAAAGGCCACTTCTTCACCCAAGTGTGAACGGTCGAGCAGGAGAGAGGAAAAGAAAAGATTCCAAGCCAACGGTAGCTGGGTTTTAAATATTGGATCCTGCACTACGCCGGAATAAGCAGAACCCAGGAATCGAAAATCCGGGGGTCAACAGCGCAGATGCGGAGAAATGATCTAGGACAGGGAAGAAGGGATATCAGACAGACAGACGAAGATGACAAGGAGAAGACCAAGGCGGGAAAACAAATAGCTACAAATGCCCAGGAATCTTCAGCAGCGAAGGATTAAAGAGAGTTTCTCGCAGGGGAGGTCTTCCTTGGCTTCGTCTCGTCTCCAGGTCTGACCGGCCACGGGACCTTGTCCAAAACTTCCCCCGCGCACCAATCGAACGCTGACAGCCGAGCCGTGCAATCTCTATGGCCAGAAAACCGTCGAAGAAATCTCTGCGCGCCCAGGTGTTGGCTCCTCCGATCCCGCTCATTCTGTCGGTGGGGGGCTGAGATGGGTAAGATTGGCGAGCATTTGTGGGGAAGCTAAGGGAGGCAAACTCCAGGTCGGTTTTAGTGTGTTCCAGCGCGGCGTGGTCGCCCCGGTTTGCGCAGGACTCAGATGTTGGATTGGGAAAGTTCCCCACGAATTGAAGACCAATCAATCCGTTAGGGATGTCATCAGTGGCTGGGGAAAGTGCTTCGCCGGAAATGCTAGCATGGAGGCGAACTTCCCCACGGGGCGATATCGCGCACGAGGAACAGGCGATAGGCATTTAGTAAGAACCTTAGGATCTAGAAGACTCGGGAAAAGGGTTCTGCCCGGCACTTGATCCAAGCAGGCGCTAAAATCCTTTGCGGTTAAAAGGTCAGGAAGGAAGATCATCCATGGTTGGTGTGAAGCCAAGATGCACCAGCCGACGGAACTACTCCGTGGGCCGAGATTTGTGCCAGCCGAGTCCACTGTTCAGCCGAGATGAACAGAATGGAGCTGCGATCTCGGGAATATGGATTGGCATTATGCAGAGGAAGGATGGTAGTGCAGTGGGGTGTACAGTGGGATGTGTAGTGATGAAGTATTCCGGAGTACTCCGTGGGAGGAGGAAAAAGAAGAACAGAAAAGAAAAAGAAAAAACAAGAGGCTAAACGTAATCCATCACGGGACAGAACGTTTCTCCGCCTTAGTCAGCCTGTCTATACTTGGGTTTTATGATCGCTTTTATTTTAATTCACCACTTCCTCCTCAATCCTCGAACTCCTGCTCTCTCTCCTTCCTCCTTCTCCTCTTCCTCCTCTTCTCATCTCCATCCTCAATTCCAACCTTCACAATGGCCGCTCCACAAGAACTCACCACAACCATGCAATCTCCCCCCGAAGAACCCATCTCCATCCCCGACCACCTCGACGGCGTCGCCTACCTATACGGCCACCCTCTCCTCAATTCGCTCTCCCCTCCCCTACACCAGACTGTCTACACGACCCTCGGCCTCAACTGGACCCAGATTCCCCTCTCCAGCGTCACCGGCACCTCCGCGACCTACCCCCCGCCCTACACCCGGTCCCCGCCCATCCCGACCTTCCTGGCCAGCATCCGCAACAACCCCAAGTTCGTCGGCTCCTCCGTCACCATGCCCTGGAAGGTCGGCATCATGCCTCACCTCGACGACCTCACCGAAGACGCCAAGCAGGCCGGCGCCTGCAACACCATCTTCCTGCGCAAGGACCCCGCCACGGGCTCGACCGCCTACGTCGGCACCAACACCGACTGCATCGGCATCCGCGAGGCCCTGCTCCAGAACTCCCCCTCTACCTCCGGCGACCCCGTCGCTGAGATCTTCCGCGGCAGGCCCGCCCTCATCGTCGGCGGCGGCGGAACCGCCCGCACCGCCATCTACGTCCTGCGCAAGTGGCTCGGCGCCAGCAAGATCTACGTCGTCAACCGCGACACCGCAGAGGTCAACGCCATCCTCGCCGAGGATGCCCAGCGCAACCCCAACTCCGACGGCTCCCTCCCGCCCCTGATCCACGTCACCGACCCCGCTGTCGCCGCGGGCCTGGAACCCCCCGCGGCCATCGTCTCCGGCATCCCGAACTACCCGCCCGAGACGGCGGAGGAGATCCGCGCGCGTGAGGTCCTGCAGGCGTTCCTGGGTGAGGAGACGGACGAGAAGGCCACGGAGGGGAAGAAGCCGCGGGGTGTGATCTTGGAGATGTGTTATCATCCGTCGCCGTGGACGGAGATCGCGGGGCTGGCGTCTGCCGCCGGCTGGAAGGTCATTCTGGGCTCCGAGGCGCTCATCTGGCAGGGTCTGGAGCAGGCGAGGCTCTGGACGGGTCAGGACGTGGTCAAGGTGCCGGGGGTGGTGGAGAAGGTGAAGGAGTTGGTGGCCAAGTCGATTGCGGAGAGGGCGGCGAAGTCGAATCTATAGTGGGGGTTCGGCTGGTGTCTACGTTTCATGATTCTTGTATAGAGCATACCCTAGAGCATAGTTATAGCTGGTTGGAGAACCAGATCTCGTTAATGTAAATCAGCTAGCCTTTGACCTCGTCGAACAGGGACTGGAGTGTTGAACATAAAAAGTTATTAGAAGGACTGACAGCTAGCGTTTTGGTCGAGTTCGCAAAACACGACTTCTAACAATAGCAATCCTCTTTGCGGACCGCGATCGAGGCCACCAGCCGTCTATCCCATAACACTTCTGGTCTAGTCGTACATGCTCAGATCGGGGATACTTCAAGGCGCATATTCAGGAGGTCATTATTTTTTTGTTCCCCGAAACATGCATCGCATACGATGCCAGCCAGTGCCGTCTATACTTCCCTTGATCACATGTAATATCGTCTGCTTTGTTGTAGTCACCGTTGCCTAAGACGATAGACCCTGTCACCTAATTTCAGGAATAAGAGTCAGTCCATCGGTATGATATATGGTTGCACGGGAAATTTACATCTAGGTGCTTATTTTCTCGTTCCTCGGTGGACGATCATTTACAGGTAAACTTCTACTCGCCAGTCGTCTCATCGCCCGCAAGCTCGATATACCGTGCTAACATGCGAGCAGCTTTGGTTGCTGCCCGTCCTGCCGGAGCCAGGGCCTTCTAGAAAGCCCCTTCTAACAAGAGCCTATAATCAGGACATTAGTTAATAGAAAAATAATACAAGCAAGGTAAGTACTACTTATATTATCTATTTTATTATAGTCGCCATGGCGCTAACAGCGCTTGGTTTCTCAGACTTATTCTTAGAGTCTTAGTCCTTGGGGTTTCAAACCCCCAGAACGGTGCAATTCCTACGCCGCAACAATATAGTCAGGGTCGCAGGGTGACATGGCATACATCGCGGAAGAGCCATGAAACAACTGGGAGGACAGCTTCGTCTTCTGTAGACAATTTGTCATTGTCATCGCGTTCGAGTGTTTTGAGGCTAATTCGCATCGGATAGGTGTCTTTATTGCTGATTATTTTGCCCAGCACCTGAGGGTCTTTTCCCAGGAACTTGTTGGTATCAGTCTGAGGAACTGCCTTGGCTGCAAATGGGAAGTTGTAAAGTGAATCAACAGAAAAGTCGGAATGAAGTCCCAAACGAGGGCGTATGTTTCGACCGGAGAACCTTCGCCGCTGCTTGATCAAAACGAATCTTCATCTTTTGAATGTTTTATCGAGGAATAAACAAGAAAACGCCTGGTTTTCAAACAGGCGAACAACGGTATGTCGTTTGGCGAAGGTAAACCACATTGTTTCATCGTAAATAGACGAGAAACGCCTGGTTTTTAGGCAGGATTGTCTCGTCAAGTCGCTCAGGGGACATGCAATCGAACTACAATCGAGAAACGTGCGATCGAACGCATACGACCGTGTAATGAGAAACGAGGTCCCTGATCGAACAGACGATCGAGTAACGGGCACGTGTTGCAGTGAAGAAGTCCTGTCCTCTTGTTCGAGCTCTTGTTTTGCATTCTTATGTGATCGATTTCAAAGGTCTAAAAAGAAGGGTAAGCTCTCTCTGGAGCGTTCTGGTCTATGTATTACTGCGTGTTGTTCTAATGTTTGTCCTGATGTGTCGTGCATATCCATCCAATTCTATACAGGAGTTGTAGTTCGTGATGTCATTAAGCTCCAGGCCGAGAGTACTCCAGCTGTCGCACGCGCTTCCACACCTCCCGCACCGTTCTCTCCTGGGACTCTCGTCCCGTTTCTGTCTGCGACGGCCCAGCCGGTCTACCAAGTCAGCATACCACCACCTGTCAGAGCGGAGTAAACCTACCGAATGGCCAAATACAGCCGGCTCCCCATTCGAACATCCTCGATCGGCGCCGTCGCCGGATCCTCGGGCGGATTCGCCGTCGTCACCAAACCCCCGGCTTCTAGCAGGATGGCAATTCCCGCGGCAACGTCCCTAGATGACACATTAACACCCTGCGCATCTCAATAGATGTAAATAAAGGGAACATACCACTCCCAACACCCACCCTCCCACCAGATATCAAACGACCCCATAGCCACATACGCCAGATCAAGCGTCGCGCTGCCCAGACTCCGCACGCCATGGACCATGCCGCCCTTGCCCTCACGACTGCCCAGCTCGGACGCCAGGTTCACGAAACTCTCGATCTTGCGCGACAAGTTGCCGTCGGGGATGTCGCGACGGTCTTTACCCCACTCGCAGGAGAGGATGCACTTGCTGGGGGCTGTGGGAGGGAGCGGAGGCACGGGGTTGCGGATGAGCGGGAGACGGCGCTTCTCGTTTAGCCAGGCGCCGCGGTTGGCGCATGAGGAGAAGAGTTGGTCGGTGAAGGGGGCGTAGATGACCCCGATTACGGGGCGGTGGTTGACGATGAAGCCGATGGACACGCAGAACATCGGGAAGATGTGTGTGAAGTTGACGGTTCCTGGTTATTCTTAGTCGTCTGTGTGGGGGAGGGAGTTGGGGGGTGGATTACCGTCTAGAGGGTCGATACACCATGTAGGATGTTCGTCGATGAGGTATTCGCGCGATTGGCCTTTCGCGTATGTTTCTTCGCCGAGGAATCTGGGTCGTGGTTAGCGGTGTCTGGCAAGGTCGAGTGAGATGCGTACTTGTGAGAGGGATATTTCTGCTCAAGAGCCTTCCTGATAAAGACTTCCACATCTGTCGCCAGTTAGTGTCTGATTGATCTCCGCAAGCGCAAATCCGTACCTTCGTCTGTCTGAGTTACAATGTCCACGGCACTGTCCTTCTCCTCGATAGACTGGTCGCCACCTCCGATGCGCCTCTCGATGCTATCCAGCAGAAGCTGGCCAGCCTTACGCCCCAGGTCAACTGCGAACGCGTAGATCTCATCCAGCTGCTCCTGGGTGAGGTCGGGGGTTGCCATGGTGGATTGCGGGGTTAAGATATGAGTTCTAGTATATGTTAGGTGGAGGAGGCGCAGAATCCGTCTGTGTATATATGTCTATCAAGTTGGGGATGGAATGCGCGCGGTACTGGCACCGAGGAGGAGAGGATGTTGAGAAAAGAAGCTGAGTTCAGGCGAGTTATCGGCGGTCTCCAGTCCCCGCGAGTAACCGATGGAGTCGATCTCCACCCTCACGTGGATGCGGCGGGAGCTGTCGCCATGTCTGCGGTGTGCCTTCGGGGTTAGTCTGTTATCATTTAGCACTAGATTGCTGTAGAGATAGTGTCAATTTTGTTCTTTAAATACTGTCAATCATGGTATGCTACTTCATATGGGATAGGTGGGAAGGTAGGTGGTAACTGGCACGATAGCGAGGACCCCAGCGTAGCCTGTAGATCAACGGTTTGACGACCAAAATAGACGACCGTTAATTGTCAAGTTTTTGCCATGACTTCATTGTGAGGAATAGGAATTGCGTGAGTGGTTGGTGGTCATTTGATATCTTGATCTATACATCTCTACCGGCAATAGGGTTTTACATCTACAACGGAATAACACTAGTTGCACAACACAAATAAACACCATTATGTTAATCTTAGAGAATACATATATTAAAAGATCCCACATCACAGCCTCAAATCCCATCCTGTTCATAACGGCGTACAGACACTTAAATGCACCTGCACGCAAGTACGCAGTAAAGTCCGGCAAATCAGACCGGCAGAGCCCTCCTCGGAAGTGCCGCCTCGGCACAGCGCTTATCCAGCCGACCCCGAAACCATCGCAGTTCTCTGGGTCAGTGAAACGCTTCTCCGCAAAGCCCGAGCGGAGCAAATACTCCGCGGTAACTAAATACCCGATTCTAAACCAATAACGCACGGGATGGTTATAAGCGTCGGAGAATATGATGCCATTTAGGCCCGTGGTCCGCCGATCTATACCACTGCACTGTTCTATTCTCTGATATCACATCTACCTACTCCTATACTTCCCATACCTAAATCTACCTCCCACAAAAGCAGTTTCACCCAACAAACCAAGTCAACAAACGAAAAAATGCCCGCAAAATCCATCCTCCTCATCAACGGCCCGAACCTCAACCTCCTGGGCACCCGCGAACCACACATCTACGGCAGCACGACGCTCTCGGACGTCGAGACCTCCGCAAAAGCCCAAGCCGCCTCGCTAGGCGCCACACTCGACGCATTCCAATCGAACCACGAAGGCGCCATCATCGACCGCATCCAAGCGGCGCGCGGCAATGTCGACGGCATCGTCATCAACCCCGGGGCGTTCACGCACACGTCGGTGGCGATCCGCGACGCGCTGCTGGGCGTCGGTATCCCCTTTATCGAGCTGCATGTTAGCAATGTGCATGCGCGCGAGCCGTGGCGCCACCATAGCTACTTTAGTGATAAGGCGGCGGGCGTGATTGTGGGGTTGGGGGTGTTTGGGTATAAGGTGGCGGTGGAGCATGTGGCGGTTAATTTTAAGGGGAGGGATGAGAAGGCGGCGTTGTAGGGGGTTGTTTAGGATATGGGGGTTATATAGAATTATGTTCTTGGTATATATTGATTTGGGATACTAAAAAAGAAATAAATCAGTATCTTTAAATTGTTTACTGGCTAAAGGGTGATTATATCTCCCTTTTGTATGGGAATTGCTAGTGAAAGTGAGAGTTCGGTGAAATAAAAACAGAAAAACGGTAAAAGGGGTCTATTTAATAGATTTACTTTTATATTGCATCTATCCTTCTGATCTTAACATCCTGGTCATGTAGTCTGACATATCTGAAATTATATACGTGACAATATGTACAACAGAAGAAAGTCGTGTCAGGCTGGTTATTTATGGAAGCCTGGTTGATTGTGAGGAGTTTGATTCCTCTGTCGCCCCTATGAGGGAATAAAGACAAGTATGGTCCTTAGGTTGAATTAAACGCGCCTGTTTGTTCGAGGTCATCTCTTTGGATTCGATTGGACCTCATTTATGGACTGCGATTCCCGCCGCAAGTGCCCCGTGGTCTCAGACCCTGGCATTTGTGGCTGGTTCTGGGCGAGAAGAAATGGCTCCACCTGATTGGAATACGAATAGAGCTCTGGGACTCCGGCATCGGGGACGAACCCAAGGTTTTGCATGAACTCTGGGAGATTGTCGGTCCTGTACCAGTAAGCATTTGATCATTGGTAAGTGTATGGAAAACTTACTTCTCAGTACCATCCAGCGACGCTAGCTCGTCGAACAAGGCGTCGAGATCAGGAGCAATTCGCGGTCGCCGGAGAGGCCCGTATCCGTCAACATCAACAAAAGAGCCCATGTTGAGATTGGGTTCGCCATAGGTTGGAGGATACTGAGGCGCGGCGGGAGGGAAAGGGGAGGTCAATTCGGACATCATACTTGTGCCATTGAGTGTTGGTCTTGTGGATGATGAGGTAGAGGCGCGATGTCTATGAGGATCGGTGTCTTTGAAAGGAGGCGCGGGGTGAGACGTTTCTGCCGATCGGTTTATGCTCAGTGAAGGGGCTGGCGTAGGCAAAGATAGAGCGGCGCTGTCCTCCACATTTGATGGCGTTCTCATCCATTGATTGGCGAGGAAGGGCTCTGATCCTGGTATAGGAACACGCGTGTCGTCTATTAGACTCGCCCGGCGAGCGGTGCTTGCAGTGGTCGACAAAGGAGGCTGAGGGGAAGTGGTTTGTGTCGTTGGGTCTATGACGGGCAAAGCGCCTTGAGGGTGTGATGCAGCCATTATTGGCACGTTGGTAGAGGGGGATCGCGCTGTGGGTCGAGAATCAATCTCTAGCCTACCCATGGCCCATACAGTTGCGAGGTGAGACGCAAAGGAGTGTAGCTTGTGTTTGAGACCAGGCTCAAGATCGAAAGTGGAAGGTACCTGGCCTTTGTCGCTCTGAAGAATGCCAGAAGTCAACAGCATCCCAAAGGTGGGGCATGTTGCCGAAAGGCTGTAACTCTCCATGTACGCCTGCAACAGCATAAGTAACCGCTGAGAGCTCTGAGTGGCACGTTTTATATATGAGGTTTGGACGTTGCCAGCTCCATGGAGGGCGAGGTGAAGACTCAGATGCGAGACAACACCTTCATACATCATCTCAAGCCCAAAGATATGTGGCGAAGCCGGCCGCTCGGCTTGTAGAACGACTCGGTAGCTTTTTGGCAAAGCCGAGACCCAGAGCTGCAGCTGGCGCTCCGAGGCTTCGAGATGTGGAACCGGATCGGTTGTGGTCAAGCAACACGTGTCGTTGAGAATGCACATTAAGGAGACAAGCCGGTTGAATGTGCTCAACGCGTGAAGAGGCCCTCGATGGAAGGAGCCCCGAGATGTCTCCACCGGGCGTAGACCAGTCTGATCCTCCCACGGATGCCATTCCTCCAGCCCATCTTCGTTGATAGGGCCAACTTTGGTCAAATCGCTCTTGCGCAGCGATGGCACTTGACCAGTCTGCGTGGCAACTAGGGTTTCCAAAACGAAACAACCCAGAAACACGTGTTTGGAACGAGCTCCGGGCGAGCGATCTAATCCTAAACATTGAGAAATACGTACAGCCTGGCCCACTAGAATCCAGGCCGCGGTCCAGTCCTGTTGACCAAGCTTGACAAGAGACAGTATGAGCAACGCCTGGGCGTGTCCAATCTCATGCACCCCGTTTTCCCCGGGAATAAAGCTCTTCGCGGTAACATAGAATAAGTTGGGATCGGGACGTTCGCTGGTCGGCTGCGGCAGTTGACGCGTGGTGGAAATAGAAGCTTCCTGGATTGACGCGAGAGTGAGAACTGCCCACAAAGCTGCGTGGTCTCCTGACCCGGCAGCTTCGTTCTCGGAATGACGGAAGGCCGTTCGAAGTATGTCGTGTTTCTCAAGTATGGGAAACCAGCATTGCGTGTAGGAAAAGTAAATATCAAGGAGCGGCCACGCATTAGATGGGAGTTGAGGAGTAGGGTTTGGTAGAGATTCTCTACCGGAACGGTAGTCAAGTAAATGTGGTGGTAATGGCCGACTCAAGGAAATATTGGGGATTTCCTCAACGCCAGGCGAGGACGTTTGGGTTGTGGAATCTCGGGTCATGCGAGCTGTTTGGGTTCTCATGGCCGCTGAAGCGGCTGACGGTGTTTTAATAGGCGATAAGCCAGAATTCTCTCGGTCTATTACAAGTCCTTCTGGGATCTGCCACTCGAGAACATCCACGCTGCTTCCCTCGGCATCCGCAGGGGAATCATTCTCCCCCGGTCGGGTTCCTTTGTCTTGCTCATCCTCGGGTTGTTCCAGAGAAACCAGCAATTTCTCAATTTCCTTCAACACAATACTGTTCTTCCATGACGACAGCAGCGTATCGGATCCTTCCGCTTCCTTGCCCATCGTCGCCAAGTGGCTGGGGATGTTTGCCGCCCTCAAGAGGGCGCGAACCACCTCTTCACTGCCCTGTATCTTGCAAAAGACGAGACCCCATAGTAGTTCGAGGGTGCGAATGTATCCGGTCGGTAGTCCTCGTTTCTTGGGATTGGCTTTGTACGTGCAGGGCCTGCATAACGATGCGCAGGTTGAGCACACCGGTTGTACGCCGTCGCATTTGTCCTTTTTCGATCGGCAACTGTCGCAGGCTCGGGAGACACGCTGTCGTTTGGGGTTGGAGGCATAATCCTCGGCGGTTGAGTTCGGCCTGCCATCTTCGTCGGCATCGATCAATCGCCGTTTACCTTTGCCTCCAGAGGCTTGGCGCGTGTCGTTGCTCATGATCGTCTATACAACGGGCCACTAGAGTGTTCTGGACGCATGTTCATCGTCTGATGCAGCAACCGGAGATGAATCCTTTGCCGGCGGGCATATGGGAGGACAGTGGCCTGGGGAGTTCGCCCCCACCTCACGGGGCGCGACGAAGGTTCACGACAGTAAAGGGTCGAAACGAATAAACCGACAGCCAATTGATACGACCGATCCGAGCAAGGTGATCTAATGCGGGCAGATATTGCTTGACAGGGACGATCGGAGGGGGATGGTTGACAGGGAAAAGGGAAGAGTTGTTAGGCGACGAGGGAGCAAAAGCGGAGAAAGGAAAAATGAGCAAAGCCTGGAGAGTTGGGGAAGAGGGCCCTATAGCTTTAGCCGCGGCTAGTGAATCAATGATAGCGAGCGAATTGCCAACCAACTGGGGCTGCGGTGAGCTTTTCCAGTATGACCTCGTCTGGTTCTGGGGATTTTGCATTATTTTTATTTCTTCATTTCCTGGCTCTTTTTTTCTCTCGTAAGAAGATTGTCAAATCATGAATCCTACATCATAGCGAAGTGGATCGTGGACACGACCCCAAGTAGCGCGGCATACGACAGACATTCCGGTGGATGGAGAGAAAAAAAAAAAAAAAAAAAAAAAAAGCCAACCAACCAAGCAGCGCCAGACTGAAATTCCTACACCTGCACCAGCACTGGCAGACCAGAATCCCCGCGGGGTAACGCGGAAAGGTACTCGCTTCGGCGAGAGTCCGTGGATGGCAGAGTGTTTGTCCGCCTCCCTACCCTAAGCCTAACCTCAATCGGCTCTTCCCCACGATCTCACTGGCCTCCACCGGCCTCCGTTTGCCTTTTGCTCCGAACGCGCTCATTGCTCAACCCGGCTATTTGCCATTCAATCCCTTGACCCCCAACCCCGGCGAACACTATCCACCCACATGAAGCTAATCCCGCTCGTTTGATCTCGGTACCTCCGTCTGCCTTGCAATTCAGCGCCCGTCCCATCGTCGAATTTGCTTCACACCAATGATTTGATCTCGATCTCCTCCTTACCCTCGAGTCACCCTCTAGTCATGCCCGCGTCCGAATCGTGCGAATGTTCATAATACTCGCCAGTCTATAGGTCCTCCGCCGGTTCTACACACCATGTCCATTCTCGTGAGACCTCCGAAGCGAAAATTAGACGAGCTGGACGGGTTCGATCCGCAAGAGAGAAGGATTTCGCGGGGTAGCCATGCGCAACCCTTTGAGCCGCAACCGTCGCGGTCGCCAGATACCATTGCCCGAAGAGCCACCAGCTACGGAAGTGTTGAGTCTCATCGTTCGTCCGAACAGTTAGATACGTCGGGGGATCTGTATCGCCATGGCCCGTCGCTGCGGGAGCCGCCGTCCGGTCGGGCGTCGCCGGTATTCTTTGACGGACCATTTCAGTCGCAGAAGAAGTTCATCCCCAATGCTTCGATTGTGTTGATTGGTATCCGGGGGACCGGGAAATCCAGCCTGGCTGTCATTCTGGCCGCGACGTCGGGAAGGCGGTTGATCGATGCGGGCCAATACTTTCAGCAAGCAACCGGTCGCTCGCGCGCCGAATACAAACGGGACTTTGGCCTCGCCGAGTATCGCCAGCAAGAAGTCAGGATCATGGAGTCGATGCTGGAGGAACATAAAGAAGGCTGGGTCATTGCATGTGGGCCGGGCTCCATGGAGCGCAGAGGGCAGATGCTACTGCGAGAATATGCGAAAACCCATCCGGTCGTTCACATCATTCGGGACTTCCAGAGTATCCAGTCCTATTTGAATGCATGGAACAAAGACAAAGTTCACCGATTTCTCGAGCTGTCGGGTCCGATATATCGGGCATGCTCGAACTTCGAATTCTTTAATGTCGACGAGAAGGGCTCGGGAGACCCTGTACTGGGGAAAGATGGCCATCAGAATACCCAGTTAGGTCTCGAGTTGGATCAGCGGTCAGAGACTTTCACGCCGTTCTTGACTCTCAAAAGACTACAGCGCGACTTCCTCCGGTTTATTGCCTTTGCGATCGGGGATGCTACGTATTTACGCAAACAACACACATCTTTCCCTCTTTCAATGAGACCCGTCGAGACACGCATGTATAGCTATGCTGCAGTCGCGCCGCTGTCGTCCTTGCTTGAGCGGAAGTTTGACATTGAAGATTTAGAGACCGCCGCGGATGCGTTCGAATTGAGAATAGACGTCACAGACGGCTCGTCCTCCCAGCTGGGAGTAGATTCCAGCCTTGCGGATAGGATCAGCCAAACGGTGGCTACTATCCGACGAAATATCATTGTCCCCGTGATCTACCATGTAGAAAGCAAAACAAATCCGAATACATCTCCTACGCAGCATAACGAAGCGTCATGTCGACCGGATACCGCGTATCTAAATCTAGTGCAGCACGGGCTGCGATTAGCCCCCGGCTTCCTGACGATCGACCTATCCTATGACGATGGAGTCCTGTCACAAATAATTTCCTCAAAAGGCACGAGCAAAGTCATCGGCCATTTCGAAGCTCTACAGCGTCCTTCCGAGGGCTGGGATGACCCCCAATACCTTGCGTTATACGAACGAGCGAAGAAGCTCGGTTGCGATATGGTGAGGTTGATACAGCCGGCGGAATCGATCGAGGACAACTTTGCCGTTCAGCGCTTTCGACATCATGTCAAGTCGATTCCGGGAGAGCAGACACCTCTCATCGCCTACAACTCCGGGCCATTAGGCCGGTTGTCCTGCTGCTTCAATCCGATTCTATCACCCGTGATCCATCAATCGCTAATGCCAGACGTCCGAGCCAAAAGGCTGCCCTGCATCACTCTCCGCGAAGCGCAAGAAGCACTTTACTCCTCATTCGCCCTCGACCCTATGCAGTTCTTCGTGTTTGGTGCCAACACAACGTACAGTCTGTCTCCCGCCATGCACAATGCCGCATACAAACTATGCGGTCTCCCGCACCGATACAACATCCACCAGTCATCCTCCCTGCGCGGTCTGAACGACCTCGTTGAAAACCCCCATTTCGGCGGAACCAGTGTCAGCCTGCCATACAAAACAGAAGCCATCCCTCTCCTACACTCCATGTCACCACACGCCCGCGCCATTGGCGCCGTCAACACCTTAATCCCCATCCGCGGCGACATTGGCGATCGAGCCCTCAACTCCGAAGACTGCACCCTCTACATGGAACGCAGTCGCGCCGGACCCATCAAAGCCCTGCACGGCGACAACACCGACTGGATCGGAATCTGCAACTGCTTCCGCCGCGGCTTGTCGCCCGCCAACGCCATCCGCCCGTCCTCCACCGGCCTCGTCATCGGCGCCGGCGGCATGGCCCGCGCCGCCGTCTACTCCATGATCCACCTCGGCGTCCAAAACATCTTCATCTACAACCGCACCGCCGCCAACGCCGAACGCCTCGCCTACCACTACAACCGCCAGACCCTCCACACAACCGGCAAGTCCGGCTCTGCCGCCGCCCGCCCAACCTTCCACATCCTCCACTCCTCCCACGACACCTGGCCAGCCGCCTACAAACAACCCACCGTCATCTGCTCCTGCATCCCAGCCCACAGCATCGGCGGCCAACCCGCCCCCAACACCGAAATGCCCATCCAGTGGCTCGAAAGCCCCACCGGCGGTGTAGTCGTTGACGTTAGTCCCCTCCCTTGCTCTCTCTTCCCCCTCTAACCCCCCCTCAAAACCCAATCTAACAACCGCTAAAACCGATCCAGCTCGCCTACAAACCCCTCAATACACCGCTCATGAAACAGATCCGCGCCCTCTCGCACCGCGGCTGGGTCGCTCTCGACGGTCTCGACGTCCTCCCCGAGCAGGGCTTCGCTCAATTCGAGCTCTTCACGGGCCGGCGCGCCCCGCGCCGCGTCATGCGCACCGTCGTGCTGCAGGAATACAGAGGCGAGGAGGGCCAGTATGATCCGAGGGCGATCCAGAGTCGACTGGAGAGTTTGGATGGTCAGCCGACTTGATTGGGTTGGAGGCGCTGGGTATTGCGTCTGGTTGGGTTTGTATATAAGTATTATATCATATCATATCATATCATGTTCGGGTAATGACTGAAAACGCGATGCGATGTCTTGGGTGAGAGATGCTAAATGGCTTGGAGAAATGGTTGGCCTGTATTGCTGCCTATACTGATAGATTGGTTGCAGAAAGCTTTGGATGGCAGACTGCTAATCACCATTCAGCGAAGTCTCACCTGCGCTGTGGGATGACGCCGGCGGCGATATCGGACACGTCAACTTCCTGTACATAAATGTCTCCGATTACAGTCCTGCCTCCTACAAACAGTGTTAGGCATCCAAGTCGAAGTTCTGGCCCGGGCTTCATTTCAGCCATAACCCTCTTGGGAGCCTACAAGCAACCTACATGCAATCCTTACGAAAGACAGACTGTAAAGGATAACAGCGCTGCACACCGCTTTGATGAGTTATCAATTAAGAAGTATAGGGTTTTAACAATAATATCACCGGTCCCATTCGGCACCAGAGGGCGATGTCCGTATGTACTCAGGAAAGACCGCTAAACCATAAGTATACATTGGCAATGCCGCATGTACAAGAAGCATAAAGAAAACGGAAAGCAAAACCGCGATTCATAATACAGAAAGAAGTCCAACGCCGATAACCTATTCATCAAGTTCCTCGGGATCCTTAGGATCCTCCGAGTCCTCGGATTGCTCGGATTGCTCGGAATCCTCGCTCTTCAGAGTGTTCAACGGCACGAAGTTTGCACAGTTCAGCCTGGTATTGTCGGGCGCGTGCACAACGATGGAAAGATTGCCGAAGTAGGCAGGGTCGTCCTTCTGGTTCGAGAGGTAGTAGTCGGTGTAAAAGACTTCGTAGGTCTCATCGTCGGGCGCGATGATAGGACCGTGTTTGCCGCTCAGATCGCCGACCTGGCAAGTCTGCGGCGCTTTGATGTCACAAGGAGGCTGGTCACCACGCTTGTATGGGTCAAGATGGGCACCGGTCGCGTAGCAGTTGCCGTCCTTGGGAACGGGCTTTTCGTGGATATGATAGGCTAGATGGGCAAAGGTGTTAGATACGAGCAAGGGCGGGTATGAATTGGACAGGCAGGTGAAAGTAACATACGGTAATGAAGAGATCCATCGGGGAGGCCCTCGACTTCAACATGGAACTTGATGCCGACTCCAACGTCAGTAGCCCAAGCAGTGAACTGCCCAGTGACGGTGGAGTTGTCTTTGTCGAGCAGCTTTGCCTGGTACATGAACTCAGGGTCGTTGTCCTCAATGACGGGCGCATTCTTGGGGACCGGGCCGGCAGAGACGGTAGCTGCCAGGCTGAAGCCCAACAGGGCGGACGAGACAAGAGAAAGGCACCGCATGGTTCCAGGTGGAAGATGAAGATGCTGGAAGAGAATCTTTAACCCAAGTGGTAAGGAATAGAATGGCTGTAACTCGCTGCAAAGTAGGCGATACTTGCAATGATAGCTAGCAGATGAGAGATGGATAAGACAGCCAAAGACCACGATGTGAGATGAAAGGAGAAAACAAAGGAGCGAGGCTTCCTAGGCGGAATTTATGTTTGCCTGCTTTCCTCTGCAGAGCTGGGAGGATCGACTGCGCCTTCCAGGGCTGGGGGCAAGCTAAGCCCGGCAACTACTCATTCTCCAGGTCTCTGGTACGGTCCTGGCCCAGCCGGCGCCTTCCATTAATAACATCGTTTCTTTCTGTTGCGGCCGTGGACGAATGAGCATCAGTGGTGGACAACGCCGAGACATGTCAGAGAGGCTGGGATGGGTGCCCAAGCAGTAGGAAGCCATGGTTACACGGCCAGCGATAGTTGGCGGCGGCACTCAAGCTCCTTCATTTGGGGTTTCTTTGTTCACCGGGCGGCTGGCTGCAAGGCTGACTGGGTGCCGTTTCTTGGTGGAAGTTGGAACGGCAATGCGATTTCATTGGAGTGAAGGGCGTTTCTCCTCGGGATTCAGTCCGGGTCACCTGCTCCCCATGTGACTGCGCCTGCTGCTCGCATTTTCATCTCATCCTCATTTCCCCTGGCGATGGAACCGCCAATCCGCATTCAACCCATCGATCGCAGTCGGGTTCCAGGTTATATTTAGAACCCGACCGTTGAATCGCAGCAGACGGTCCGTTCCCTGGATTTGATCCACGGTCTCCATGTCAGGCGCGCTGCCTGCTGACACACGCAGGATCGGCGGCTGCATGGCGTCTTTATATGATGAGTGATCATTCCCGCCACCTGCGCTAAGGACTACTCAAATGGGGAACCGTTTCGATGGCCTACGATGGCCAGATCGTGCGAGATGCCGACCGGAAGGATGGCGGCACTCCTTACCATTCCGGGGTCCGTTCGGTAGGATTTACTCCGGGGTCTCCCCCTCGCCGACCCCACGCCTCCACGCCTCCACTCCTGCATGCCAATGTGCTTTATCAGCGCTGCGCTGTCGGCTTTCTATTCCCCAGCGTCCCCTCTACGCACATCTCGCTGTGATGTCACTCGGAATTCCCCCGGCTCGGTCAAGTCTCCGTTCTCATGCAGCTATGCCGCTTAAAAGAAGGTCTTCGTCGGGTACCCGACGCCTATTCCTCGTCTCAAGCTCTTCTGAAGCTCCCACGACGCCTTGATCTCATGATCTCAGTTGACTTCATGAAATTATAATATATCCTCACCATGTCTCTGGCACAAAACCATTACATTGTGAAACTCCCAGTCACCCCGCAAACTCCCAGAGCCTTGGATGTCCGTTCAATTGCGCAACGATGGATCACAAACCTGGAGGCTTTGCTGAGCAATGGAGAATACTCTCGGCTTTCAGAGCTCATGCAAGAAGAATCTTGGTGGCGTGATATACTGGCATTTGAATGGGATCTTCGTACAATCCAGAACCGCAGCTCAATTCAGGAGTTTCTCCACCGGAACCAACCCCGCTCGCAGCTTTCGGGATTTCGGTTGCAGCATGAAGGCAAATTCCAACCTAAGCTGGAAAAACCGGCCGAAGGCCTGAGATGGATCTCCTCGATGTTCTTTTTTGACACGCGTGTCGGACGCGGAACGGGTGTTCTTCGTCTGACTCAGGATGAGGATGGTGCATGGAAGGCTTATGCGATATATACGTCGTTACAAGAATTGAAGAACTTCGAAGAGCCTCTCAGTTCCAGACGGGCAGAAGGCACCATTGAGTCTATGCCCGGCGGCCTCAGCCGAGGAAACTGGCAGGAACGTCGGCAGAGGCAGATCGAATTTCTGGACGAAGAGCCAGCCACACTTGTCGTCGGCGCTGGTGAGTTTATTCTTTAAAAACATGGAACAATAAACGCAGTTCTCAACGGTACCATAGGACAGGCTGGTCTCAACACAGCTGCTCGCCTTCAGTCTCTGGGCGTTTCTTGTCTGGTTGTGGACAGAAACGAAAAAATCGGGGACAACTGGAGAAAGCGATACCGGGTGAGTCTATGATTCGAAGCTCTAGCGCCCAAGGCTAATACTTCCTGGTCATTATAGACTCTTGTGACCCACGATCCTGCAGAATTCACCCATATGGCTTACCTTCCGTTTCCGAAAAACTGGCCTCAGTTCACCCCTAAGGACAAGCTCGCCGATTGGTTCGAGGCATATGCAAGTATCATGGAGCTGAATGTATGGCTTCAAACTAGTATAAAGTCTGCGGCATATGATGATACAAAGGCAGAATGGACTGTTGTCGTCAGTCGGGGAGACGGATCCGAGCGAACCCTTCATCCACGCCATTTGGTCTGGTGCACCGGTCACTCCGGTGAGCCGAAGATTCCCACGTTTCCAGGTCAGGAAAATTTCAAAGGAACCGTTTACCATGGCAGCCAGCATCAAGATGCTTCCGGACAGGATGTGAAGGGCAAGAGAGTTGTCGTCGTTGGAACTGGAAACAGTGGCCATGATATTGCTCAGAACTTCTATGAAAATGGAGCAGAGGTGACCATGCTGCAGCGCAGTGGTACTTACGTTGTCACAGCCGAGAAGGGGGTTTTTATGATGCATGAAGGCCTTCACGAAGAACACGGGTATGGACCTTTCCATTGGTTAGTTCAGCGCTTTGCACTCACTAAAATCGAATCTCAGTCCTCCCACCGAGGAAGCCGATATCATCGACGAGAGTCTACCCTACCCCGTGCAATTCGCGTTCGCGGTCAACTTCACCAAGAGAGCGTACGAGGCGGAGAAGAACATCCTGGAAGGCCTGCGAAGAGCAGGATTCGAGCTCGACTTTGGCATTGATGGAGCAGGAATCAAGCGAGCTTACATGACCCGTGGCGGAGGTTACTACATCGATGTCGGATGCAGTTCCTTGATTGCAGATGGCAAGATCAAGGTCAAGCGTAGTCCCGAAGGAATTACTGGGTTCAACGAGCGGAGTCTAGTCCTGAAAGACGGCACTTCTCTCGACGCAGACATTGTTGTTCTTGCTACAGGCTACGACAACATGCGTACCACAGTCCGTAAAACATTGGGTGATCAGGTAGCTGATCGGTGCAAAGACGTCTGGGATCTCGACGAGGAGGGCGAAGTGAATGCGGTATGTTGTGGATCTGTGCCTTTTCCTGTCGAAGTTACTAATCGGGATCTAGATGTGGCGCCCCAGCGGTCATCCAGGCTTCTGGTACATGGGTGGAAACCTCGCCATCTGTCGGATTTACTCCAAGTTCCTCGCTTTACAGATCAAGGCTAGCGAGGCTGGTCTAGTAGCCGAAAGTCAGGCCCAGTCCAAGCTCTAAACTGGTCTGGCAGAGTCGTTTCAATGACTGCATAGAAGGGCCAATATCCGAGTAGAAGATTAGACTCGAGAAGTGGTGAGACGAGACGTGACCTATAGGTAAATTGACAGAATCATAGAACACTTCTATCATTAAGATCTTGCATGACCTATTTCATCTACTTGTGACATCTTGTAGTCTCGTATTCCACTGATTCCAGGGTTGTCCACGGACTCCGGGTTCTTGGCGTCCCGAGGCCCCGAATGACCCGCCACGATGGCTGCCATTTGATTCCTTCATCATTCAACTATTTCTGTAGTGCACTTTTTCTCATTGAGTCCAAATATCCGCTTGTATCTCCAGTAGCATCCAAATGGGGAGAAACAGTGAAGATTCCGCCGAGAACGACTCGTCCCCTCCTTGTCAGGATGAGGACGGTCATGGTGCTCAAAAATATGCTGTACGACCGGTTCTGTCTTCTCGAAACACCCACCATGAGAATGTTTCATTCCAGCTGATCTAGTGCAGTGCGACCGATGTCGGAAACGAAAGGTATTGTAGTACTAATCTGCAACCCAACCTTCCATGCTGTGCTAATCCACTTTAGACCCGCTGTGATCGTTCTATTCCATGCTCCCAATGCGCTATGGTGAATTCGCGATGCTCTTACTCTCCGCGCTATAGGCCCAGAGAGAAGCGTCAACGGGTTATGATCTCTGCACGATAGTATTTCAAGCTATCCACTCTCCCGGTGAAGATGCTAACGACCTCTGCAGTGAAGAGAAAGTGGACAATCTCACGAGAAAGCTGGATGAGCTGAATTTGAAAATCGATCGTATGAGCAACGCATCATCCCCGTCAACATCCCCCTTCAATGCTCAACAGCTAGCCTGTGGAACCGAGCGGTCCTCCAAGCAAGCCTGCGCAGATGTTTCTAGAGACAACACGGCTGAATATGAGGGTGAATCATCCTTTTCTGCTCACGCGCTGTTTGCCACCAAGTTTCTTCAGAACGTCGTCAGCAGCAACGACTACTCCAAGGAAGTCGTACAGGAGATGACATCCATTGTGGACACGCTCCGAGAAATAATTCATGCTCAAAAGCAGCAGTCAGACTGTCCAGAAGAGCTCTACCCATATGCCAGACCGCGGCCAAGTGATTCAAGTTTGCAGCATCTGCCCATGCCTCCAATAGATATAGCCCTTTCAGCCTTGTGGAAGGCTAAAGGTATTATCTGCCCTGGATTGTCTCATTGAAATTATACTGACTATTTTAAAATCCAGAAATTCCCTATATTCGTTTCAACTGGCTCTACGAGTTTGTTTCAATAGCCCAGTTCACTGACTATTTTGTCAAGGTGTACTCGCCTGCTTCGACCACCGATGCCGATAGGATCATTGTCAATGCAGGCTTGTATTGGCTGTTTAGCGAGAGCGCTGAACTTATTCCTGATCAACAAACGAAGGACGATTATAGAGACCATGCCTCTCAATGTCGAGGTAATCTTGAAACGATTCTTTCCAGTCTATCATTTCACATTCCTGCCACCATAGATTATGTTCTTGCCCTGAGTGTTGCTGTAAGTCCCTTCTCTCGAGCGACGGCTTCCACTAACCTATATGAAGACCACTTACTGCCGACAAGTGGCCAAACCATCCCTTGCATGGAGCTACATTAAAACCGCGTCCCTTATGTGCCAGACCCTCGGTCTTCATGGCACCCATGGCCTCCACACAGAGAGTCCTGAAATAAGGCGGCAAAAGATCCACTTATTTTGGGCCATATTTACCACCGAGCGAACACTTTCCTTGCGATTCGGTAGATCATCTACTTTCCGCGATCAGGACATTACTATCCCTCGGTTGAGCATCTTACATTATCAGGAACAGGATTCATTGCTCAATCCCGTTCTGCCTAGATGGATTGACATCGCAGGCCTACAGGGACGGACGTACGATGAAATATATAGCCCGGGTGCTCTAATCCAACCGGCTCATGTCAGAGAATCTCGCGCACGAGCTCTCGCAGCTGATTTGAGGAAGGTGATGGGCACTGAAGATCCATTGGAGGTACATGATGTCCTTCCGCTGTTTTATGATATTTCCTCGCCTTTATCGCTTTCATGACCAAAGTCCCTTCGATCCTCTAACTCCCCACTCTAGACAAAATACAACAGCCTCAGACGCCACGCACTCGGCGACACCATCCACGAACTCATACTACATGCCGACCGCGTCTCCACCCTTTCTATCCTCACCCTCATCTACCGAGGCATTCCTCCCGACAGACCCTCCGGGGCCGCGTTCTCCAGCGAATGCATCACCGCCGCGCGCGAAGCCCTCGTCGAACACGAGAAATGCATCTCAACCATCACCACCGCAGACATCCATCCATGCTTTATAGAAATCTACATAACCTAGTAAGTCTGCCACCAACCCTCAACCAAATATGCACCCACGACCACAACCACACCTCCAACCCCCAACATAAGCCCAAATCAAAACCATTAACCCAACACCACACCAGCTCCCTCCTCGAATCCCCTTTTCTCCCCTTCATCGTCCTCTTCTGCCACATCATCGAGACCTCCTCGCCCGACGACCTCCGTCGCCTCGGCACCGTCGTCGAAACCCTCCAGTCCACCTCCCCATCGGCCTTCTACCGCGCCTGCAGCAAGCAATTCCGCCTCTTCAGCGCCCTCTACCACGTCGCCAGGAAATACGTCGAGGTCAAAGAGACCCAGCCGCGCGGGTGGATGAATCCGATCGACTTCGTCCCGAGTGTGAATCTTAGCGTTCCGAACATGGGGTCTGGATCGGCGTCGGCGTCAGCGTCAGCATCTGTCCCTACTCAACTTCCATTCCCAGACTCCAGTCCTTCTTCAATGCCCAGAATAGTCCGAGAAAACGCTATCTCGCAGCCCGGGGATCCCCTCACCAGCACCGGCATAACCCCCACGAACCACATCGACAGGGATGCCTTTGCCACCCCGCAGCCTCCACAATGGACGCAAATCCAGACGCAGCCGAGTCTGGAAATGGACGCCATGGGCACCGAGCTGGGGAACTGGTTCTACGAGAATCAGCAGATGCTCAAGTTCCTGGATGATAGCTATACTTTCTGACGAAGCATTACCACGGCAGGCTCGATGGGTTCCTCGTGTTGCGTACAAATTTGTGAGCGTGGAGCGGTTTCCTGGCTTTGCTTTAAGGCCGGATATATGGTTGGGTCTGTTATCTTGTGATGGTATATGATGACCAGGTTATAGGGAGATTGGAATTAATGATAAGGCTGCTTTTATATGAACATCAAGAGCTGATATATTACCTCTTTACGCATTGTTACACCCCGGCCTTTACCATGCTTACGTCCCTTGACTCTGGATCCCAGCTCGTTCGAGAGAGATATTCCCAGTCCTATAGCATACGAAGTAGGGATAAGAAATATAACCTGTAAAGTAAACGAATTCAGCCGTATCGAGAAATAAAAGTCTGTTTAAGAAACTCGAATCGAGCCCTTTTCCCCGATAGAGGAATAACATAGAGATCCAGATGCCAACCATCTTGCTCGCGGAAAAGAAAGAAAGCAAAACAGGAAAGAAGAGATAAAACCGAAATAATTAATGGTTCAATGTCAGGTCAAAAACCACGTTTTCATTCTCATGTGCCTTTGTCGTTGTTGTCGTTATGGTTGCTGTTGTTGATGGTTGTTTTTCTTTTTTCTTTTTTCTTTTTCTTTTTTTTTTGTTCTCCCTTTTCGTTACCATCCCAGTGCAGAATTTGAAAGAATCCATCTTGCATGTACCCAAGACCTAGTCGGTTTTCATTCTCTTCTCTGCTGGAGGAATAACGGCGAGAATGGCAACGCTGGAATACCAGGTACATATGGAAGGCTCGTTTCCATGTGCGATGTGGCTGAACGCCATCTCTTCGTGCTTTGGTTCCGTGATCCAGGTGATACCGGGGATGGGGTAGACGGGGAAACAGTCATTCAAGATCTAGAAAGAGGATGTCTGATTAGATTGAGGGCAGGAAAGAATCGAACCAGCTAGAAGGATGGAATGTACAAACCTGAGCCTCATTCTCAATCATATAATCGCTTGTATCGTAAGGCATCAACCCCTTTCCCACCAGGGTGACCCCCGCCTCATAGAAGCTGTTAGGTTTCAGGGGTAGATTATTTTCCTTCGCGTAGTATATGGCGGCTTCCATGCCGGCTATCTTGCGTGTCATGAGCAGCCACTTCCATCGTTGGTCGAGGTCATCGCAGTAGAAGTCTGCGGGCTCGAAATCGACGGTATCGAGGGTAAACGGTTTGCCGTGCATTAGATAGTCTTTGTAGAACCTGGGCCTGCGATAACTGATCGAGCACCTATTCCCACGAGACCCGTCGACCGTTCCTGTCAGACCGAGCTCTGGGTTCTTGGCATAGACGCCGTTTTGGGCTATTATCGGAAGAATGGCGAGTTCGATGCCTAAGGACTTGAAAACCGAGTAGAGAACAAGGTCTGCGCCTTTTAGGGCCCGAGGGACTTGGATGGTCGCCAGATCGGAGGTGTGTGGATAGGCGTGGGAACAGAAGATTCCGAGCACGCCACCTAGTACTGTTAGTTCTGATGGAAGGCGATGACCAACAAGGGTCTGGGGTAGATGTTATTAACAGCACCTTCTTTCATGAAGTCGGGCTTCGCGAGTAATTTCTCCATCCAGCTATGGAGAGGCAAGGTTTTGGGGTCTACAGCAGAGGTGGGCGAAGAGATTTCATCGACTATTGACCCAGTAACAAATAGGTTGTAGGTCAAAGTGATTCGGTCGCCGTGGGTGATGGTTTTTATTTCATGCTCGCAGTCACTGTAAAATGCCGCCCATTGGATTGTCGAGGAACTTTGTGTACTCCAGTCGAATTCGACCATTTGGCCCCCATGCTGCACGATCAGGCTTCCTCCCTCAAATTCAGAGGGGAGGCAAACCACTAGGGATCCGATCTGATTTTCAGAGCGTGGAGTGTCGACATGCCTGCGGAACAGACCTGACGGCCCAGAGTAGACCTATTGCAATCACCGTTAGCCACGCACCGCGATAATGAGACCATTTCGACATATGTACATTCAGCTTGTAGAGCTCGGCCTTTATCTTTCGAGATCGCAGGGCATTGTCAAGCTCATCGCTAATGCTCGGAAGAAGGACTTGTTCGATACTTTCTAGGATGCCAAAGTCGGCCGGATGGAAGCTTGTCGCGAACTGGTCAGGGTTGATCTTTCCAGCCTTGCGATACGCCGGATCGATAACATCTTTCTCACCGAGACCAAAGCTGGCTGGATCGCAGCTCGCAACCAACTCATGGAGTATATGTGGAGTATCATCGTGACTAGGCTTGCTCAGTGGAAGCACCAGCTTGCGCGCTGATGTGTCGTGATTAGGAGACCAGAAAACATTGACAGGAGGAGATGTCTGCTTCTGTCCAGGAGTATTTGCAGCATGCGCGTCCACGTGAATGGTGCCACCGCAAGAAAAAGAAGCCGTTGCTTGTTCGCCATCAATGAATTCTTTCAGCTGGCGACAGGAATCTGTCATGGTAGTCATATCATCTTCCAAAGCCTCGGTTGGGTTATCTTGCACGCTCATGCCGCGTTCTTTGGCCTGTTTCTCCATAAGTACCTCGAACAGAGAAGTGCGGCTGTGCTTTCTTGTCTCGTCTTCCTTGGGCTTCTGATCCCTTTGCCATCTATCATTCTCTATCTTTCTCGCAGTGTGTGCCCACTTCTTCTTGAGTATGTCTTTAATGGCATCGCATTCAAGAACAGACATGTTACTTGTGCAAGTCCCAGGGACCAAGCGATCCAAGTTTTCGCGCAACTCGGTTTTCAAAGTTTCCAGCTTTTCGCCTTCGAACCCCTTGAGGTTCGGTTCCCAATACGAGAATCTTATAGACTGGTCTTTCGCAATTTGCCGGATACCAGATAGAAAGAGCTCCATGCACGCTTCTATCTTGCATTGCTGAGGCGGCTGGTCAGTCTCATGTCGAAGAAACAGCGATGATATTAACCCAGCAAGTAGCGATAGCCGTTTTGCTTCTTACCTTCACCAAAATCCTGTTCGATTCATCTTCCAACTCTGTCATTGTGTGCACGAAGCTCGGCGGACTTTTTGGTTGAGAAGAAAAGCCGTGGTTGGTCTCATCCATAAGGTATTCTTGTTCGATGTAATCCATGACGAGTTGATAGTATTGTTGATGCAGAAAGGATGGGCTTGATTGGTAAATTATTAGACAGGGGTATTATGAAAGAAAGTGTCTGCGGGAGAAGGAATAGAACGGGAAAGAAGTGCCTGGCAGAACATTGATGATTTTAAAGATAATGAGGCAGCCCTCGTCACCTGACCTTTCTGCCTGGACAGGCAGGCAGCCTTCTAGGCACCCGTAGCTTTGGGTAGCCCTAACTGGAAGGATCAGGCAATCATCATGACTGCCTTTTGCTTTCTTTTGCAATGTTATTCTAGAAGCTCGCAAGGCCTTTCAAATGAGGGGAACGTCTTCTCACGCAACTTTAAAGTGATGTGAGATCAACAAGCATTCATATGTGGCTGACAAACTAATCTTATTCTGCAATTTACTGCTTAGCTCTTACATCAGCTCGAATAATCATCCGCCGTTAAGGTATCAAACGATTATACCTCTACCAGACAGACACAGAGCTACACCATGTTGATGGCATCAAATCTATACAAGTGGGTCTCGGGCGGCGGCCCATTCTATACCAAGATTTAGCGCCTTCACCGTGTCGTCCCGTAGCCAGCATCAACGTCAACATCCTTTTCGGAGTGGGAGTGTTTTCATGGTTTAAAGAATGGGTTTTACTAACTCAACAGGCCTTGAGTCTTCATTCACGACCCGAAAATACAGATTACATAGACCACGCCTGTAATAAAAGCGCAGCATAAACAGAGCAAACACAGCAAACACAGCAAACCGCATCCGTCGGGGCCGAACTCGGCCTTTCGGTGACTCTTTCTCCCGAGCCCCGAGCCCTAAGGCAATCAATGCTTGTATGGATCATTGCGGTATGTATGGCACTGGGCAATGTGTGCAACCTGACCATGGCAATCTAAAACAAGCTAATGGCATTTCAGTGTCAGAATTCTCCCAAGCCGGCCTCCACAGGCCCATGTGCTGCACGCGAGATATGAACGGCCAGGATGAGCTGTGACCTGTCGCTGGCCGAAGAGTCGCCAGTCTTCAGATTCGCGATGCCAGCGATTCTCGTCATGGCTGACAATGATCCGGCACTTTCACCTAATCTGGCAGATGGGTCAGGGGCAGTACTTCCCGCGGGGCTTGACAAAGGAAGTTGTGGCGGAAGCGTCACCTTTTGTTCTCATTCATTATCTTGAGTCAACCCAATTGATTGGCGGTTTTTGAGACAGGAGCTTTATAGTGGTGTTTTATTATTAGTTATGCTATGCAATAGGTCGATTATTGGGCTCATCGTAGGGGACCTGGCATCGAGAGAATTCTAAAGACTCCCAGGTATATACATTTCTTTACAATTTTCACTTATATATTTACCACTTTTTCTTTTTCTTTCGTATATATAACGCTAACTTGGCAGCTTACTCCACAATCTCCTGCAGAAAGAACAATGACAAAGGCACGGGAAACAGAAAAAAAAGATCAAAAGTCAAAGTTGCATGCTATTAACTAGGAACGCCTCAATAATAACAAGAAACAAGACAATCCTCCTGTTGATAGCGACTGCAAAGAGTGCTGAGTGGCTCTGGGAATCAGTTAACAAGGGCAGTCCTAAAGACAGACTCTCGCCATCTCTTGAAAGGCCGAGTTAGTTCCAGTCTCTCACATGAAGTGCTTTCCCTTCTCCTTTTTCTTCCCTTTTTTTCTTCTTTCTCTGTTGACTGACGAAGTGGGTCTTTATCTGTTGATAGGTTCCGTTAGCTTTCTGACAAAAGAAAAGAATGAAAATAAAATAAAACAAGCAGAGGAATCACGTAGAATGGAAGCAAAAGCATGAGCAACACATGATAGGACAGAGTGTCTAAGCACAATACTCAATCCCGACTACTAGAACGAAGTTTATGCAGGGGTATTCTCCATCCAATCAGTCTCTCGTCATCCCAGATAGCATACGCCCATTCCCAATATTTTTCGCGTACAAGCCATGCATAGAGAGGACGAGAGATCCTCCTGTTCGTAGACTCTGTGAACCAAGTCACGTCACACGCGATATTTGGCCGCTGGCTAGGCGGCAACCTGGCCCACTGGCTTCTGCTTTCACTCCAGTCTTCCCAGGCTTCGAAGTGCTCTACCGGATAGAAAAGGGGAAATATATGGTCAGTCCATCTGAGCATCTCCGGAAAATATGTCCAGCTGTGCCATGCGTTGACCAAAATCAGGTCTCGACGGTGCACGATGTCCGGCTTGCGAGTGAACTTGTAGAAAAATGCGGGGCCCATCGTAGCCAAGCAGGCCTGGGTTTCATCCCGGTACCTATCGAGATCGTGGGTGTCTAGAACGGCACAGTTTATGGGAAGCGGGGGATCGGTCTTGTCTAGAAATTGGTCCATGGGCAGTAGTTCAAACCCTCGAAAAAGCGCGGCAACCTCCTCGTATGGCTGCGCATATCGTCCTTTAATATACTTCCACGCGCTGCCAAACTCTTGAAATTCCCATGGTGTCATAGTGCCGAAGAATACACGGCACCCTTCATCTATGGAGAAGGTTTCGTCTGCCCAGCTGTTGTATCGGTATCTCAAAGGCAATTTCTCATCCACGCAGAATTCATTGTGGCCGAAGATGTTGCCATAGATTTGCACTCGATAGAGAGCCCTGAAGAAGCGGGTTTTCTCGGTACGAGATAGACTAAACGGTAGCATATCAGTCTTCCACCGCGCCGGTTCGATCCATTCTGGGCAATTCGCGGTGTTGCAAAAGTCATTGAGACAGAATTTCATTATCTTATGCAGCCGCACGAGCCGGATGATCTCGTCAAAACCGGCCGGTTTGTCGGGAAGATCTCTCGCCGACGGGAGGTCCAGGCGACGGATTTCCTCGTGCCGACGCCATTGGTCTAGAAGCGAATAGATTTTCTCTTTGTTGGATGGTACTACAGCGTATAGTCCCCTTGAGCGAACGGCCACGATCGCATCTGTGATTTCGACAAGTCCATCGTACTCTGCATGGAGTGTATGAAGGAGAGCCTCTTGTCTAACGCGCCGATACGCGCGGTGGTATACCGGCGAGGCATGAACTAGCAATCGAAGTGTGTCTAGATCAGGGCAACTAAACAGGATGGCAATGCGCAATTCCGTAGGCAGGAGCTCGAGCCTGCATTTGGTCTGGGACCGTGGGCCAGTGACTGATTCCAAATAAGACCCAGGGGCCATATCTACCATGATTCTGTAACTCCGACTTCGTAATGAGAAAGAAAATGAAAGGAATTGAGTAACTAGGACAAAGGGCTCATAGTTCAGTCTTTCACGCGGAGAGCATGCGAAATGGAATTGTCTTATATGGCAAACATCAGGTCTTTGTTCAGGAAACCTTGTTGGTTACTTCCTATTTCAAATTGAGAACCCGTGGGCTTTGTGTTAGCTGCTACTGATCCTTGCATACAAACCCAGCAAGCATGTCCAACAGCTTATTACAGCGCACCCTTAGCGTCCTTTGAGACAGCTTGACCATAAAGAGCTTCTCTCCTTGGCTATCAAACAACCGGAAAGTCACTAAAGGAACTCTTTCAAGACCAACTTGACAAACGGATTGTAGAGATATTCAAAGCTCATGAACAGTATATGCTCCATTGCTCCTGGATGAGCCTCCGTCGCTCAATTTGCTTGCCTCTTTCATACACTGTTGTGCTATCTTCTTTATCTTGCCTCCACTGCTCTTCTTGTATCAGTATAAAGAACGTAGCTCCGTTTAAATCATGACAATTCGACGCTCTCCCTACCTTCTATCTACACCTCTTCCCCACCCCTTCCCTTCTCCATAGCCCCTCTCAGAGCTGCTGTTCTATCTAGTCCTCCTTCCTTTGCAGCGCGTTAAGCCTCAACGATGTCCTACCCAACGAACAGGAACGCTGGCTCAGAGGACCAAGGCTCTGGGAATCACGGCAACCCAGGAATCTCGAGCAGGGGCCGGTCGTTGTCGTTTTCTACCGGATGTGAAAACACCCCAGGCGAGCCACCTTACGTCGGGAGGAATTTCGAGGCCGGTCAGAGAGGCCTCTCCGCTTCTTTCGCCTATGGCGATGTTCAAACACCACAAGCATCTTCCGAGTATGTTTCAAGGCCAGAGGTCTGGCCCGCTGACGTTGCATCGGCTTATCATCTTTATAAGCATGTATATGGGTTATTGTTTGAGGAAAGTTGCGAGGACTTGGAAGAACTGCCCAGCAAGTCCCAACCCGGACAGTGGGATGACTGGACGCTTCGAAGAGGCGTTTTCCTCGCGGGTAGGAGAATTTACTGGGCCAAGGAGTAAGGGCTTTTTCAAGTGACTAGGTGACAGCGCTGTGCTAATCCCCTCTGATTAGGGAAAGCGTGGCCCGAAGTGGCTTCGAGCAGAAGTTTCCGTGGGCGTACGAGTCTATCGGGTCCAGAGAGAGTCACGAGAAGCAGGCCAATCAGAAGAAAAGGTCAGCTAAGAATTTGAGGGACTTTCAACGTCGCATGATCCAAGAAGCAGAGCATCGTGGATTACGAGTCGCATCAAAGAAAGACATACGACTATGCTGTGAAAAAGAGCTTCTCGAACGATTTGGGCTATCTGACCCTAAGCTGGCTCACTCTTCTGCGTTTAGATGGCAACGCAGAAGGTTGAAACTAGTGCGATTGTGTCGGAACCCATTTTTCCTAGTTCTTCTCGTGTTTCTCTTCTGTCACTTTTCTTCCTCTCGTTTTTCTTTTTTTGATTATTTCTCGATTCTCAATCCTTATTAATTTCATTTGTCTGCGTGTATTTTACCATCTGTTGTGAACTAATCCTTTTGGATATTGGATATGCATACTGAACGACAGCCAAATCGGGCTGAACAACTCATTGGCATCAGGGCGGACGCCCATGGCAATTGTACTGTGCGTATTTCTACATAGTGCGTAATATTGGACTGTCTCTATATGAGCAATCTGAGAATGGTTTGAAATAGACTAGCCAGCCCTAAGCAAGGAAGGGTCAGCCTGTGTGGTAGAATAATCCGCTCGAATGAGAGGTGAGTAAAGATAACCAGGCAGTAGAAACATAAAAGAAAGAAGAAAAGAACATAGATACTCGGAAAGGATGACAAAATGGCCATCCCAGCACCGTAACTTCTCCGCCCTCTATCTTTGCAAATTCTATCAGATATCCCCATTATTGTAAACAGAAAGTATCTTCTATTCTATAAACTTAGGCCGTTGCATACGGTACATCTAAAACAGAAAACAATACATGCATACTAGCCGTGTTCCAACCTAGAAGCTTCTTTAAAACCTGCGCCGAGCATGCAAAACATAGATACTCCGCATAGTCAGTTTTCCCTCCAGTCGGTCATGCGGGTCTTCAAAGTGATACCCACTTATTGTCGCCTAGAAGTGCCATATCATATCGCATGTCGGCCTCGTCTCATCCCTCTCACCTGGACTACGCAAAGAGCTAAGTCATCTACGTCTCTGGTTTTTAAAACCAGATGAACAAAGCATGAAATATCACTTCCTACATAGAGCTTGGGGGCAGAGGCAACTATACGAATCTATGTAGAAAGACAGCAAGGAGCGACCAGGATAAAAGGAAGAGAAAATATACAAAGAAAGCAGATTTAATATGCGCGCTGTGCAATTCCTGACAACGGCGACTCGTCTTTCCATTCATCTTCAGGCCCGGATTTCAATTCCGAACTCAAATGCTCCCGGCTTTGTCATTCAATGCCGGTGGCACTTTTCGCGGGGATTGTGCCGGTCTAAACAATGAACGATGTTACTATCAAAACTGGACTTTCCTTGCAGAAAGGCATTATAGACAAAGCCCTGATAAACCAGTATTACGCCGATCCAGCCAGTCCGTAAGCAGAGCACACGCCACCAAGATGATTTTCCGGTCGATACATGGACTAGGACGTAGCCAGCTTTTGGTGCATGCTTATCGAACATAATATTAGTAAATAGCATCTTAATCGGAGAGGATGATCGGCTAGTTCTGATCGCCTATCCCCGCTACGTATCTCAGTTGCAGTCTCGCTAGGGGGTTCCCAATACGTTGATCGAGCGATCTACCAGTCGAACTGGCAACCAAGACGATGACGGATGCGCCTGTGTTGAAAGTCTGTCGGTTTCTCGGCATTGTGAAGAGAGATGAGAGAAGTAGAAGAAGGTAGAACAGGGGGAACAGAGGAAACATGTGGTTTAGGCGGCGAGTTACCTTGTATCATCTTTGATCCATAAGTCCAAAACACACAGCACGCTATTATCCCAAAAGGCTTGTGGCTTCTATCATATCATGTCCATTGCTATATATAGGTGTTTGGGTTGGCATGATTCCTATTGTAGTCAGGACTCAATCTACTGGATTCCATTTACATTCTTAGTCCTATAAATGCCTCTCCACGCGCCATCTAGTCTCAAGCAAATAATAAATTCATAGCAATAGTCATATACAGGCAGTCGTAAGCAAGTAATAATAGCGCCCTGTAGTCAACGCCAGTTCGCCTGATGTCCTCGTATGCATCACACATGTACAGAAGAGACCGCTAAATCGTGAACGGTCCATACATAAAATCTTTCCATCATCACATAAAAATCACATAAAAGACCAGAGTCCTGTTTTCGTGTTTCCTTTTTTCTTTTTTTTCTTTTTCTTCCCCTTTTTCTTTACTCGGCTGTTTCAGTCCCCTGTGCGCCATCATCAATAATCATCTCCACTTCCTTGATAGGATGGAGAAGCATCGGGGGGAGACACATCCGGCCCTCCCCGGCGAGTTCTTCTTGCTCTCCACCGTCGTTGTCAACCTTGTAGCCCAACCAGCGCCTCCAGAGGTTGGGCGAGAATCCGGCAGAGTAAAACCACGTGGTCCCCTTGAAGTTATGCTCCCGGTCTCCGAAAACTGACGTTCGAGCACCGCCCGACGCCCCGTTCCGACCGGCGTTGAACACGGCTTCCAGGTACTGGGTGGGCCACTGTCGGTCGATATACACCGAGTGTGGAACGAACACGGCCTTGAAACCATGATGCAAGGCTGTCGTGGCAGGCCACATTTCCGAAAACATGGTGTGGCGCTTGATGCTCGTCTCTTTGTGCATCGTATGCAGCAGCTTGCGGGACAGTCGGGACGCAGTGACAATGGCCGTACGACGTGGCGGCATTCCGTTTTCGCGGTTGTATCCAGTCACGTCGTCCCGAAGGAGCCAGGTCGTACTCTCGGGATCGTAAAGCGGGTTGAAAACAACCAAGTCGGCTTCCTCCCCGACGCCCCATTCGTATCGATCCTTGTCAATCGTGGTCGGGGGAATCCCATCTCCGTCCATCTCAAAAATGTCGCGCTCATCCGGTCGCTCGGGACCCCAAATGGGTCGATCGCCTTGCTGGTGAGAGGTTTTTTTGTCGCCGGGACTCTGGCCGGGTTTGGAGAGGCTCCACATATTGTTCGGGCTGTTGGTGCCAATATCAGTCTGCACGCGAACCATTTGCCGGAAGTCCTCCCAGCTGCCATGGACGGAGGGCACGTAGAACCGGGCGTTCCTCTCCCAAAGACCTTTACGTGGTTGCTCACGCGCCCAGCTGATGACCTTGTCGAAGAGGTGATACCAATGTCCCGTGTATCGGGTATCCATCTCCCAGTTCCAGTAATAGTCATACTCGGGGTGCTGTTGGGAGAAATACTGCATGGGCATATAGGTACTACGGTACACGCCGTGCACGGGCAATCCGCGGGTCATGGATTCCTCTAACCCGGGGTAGATGAGGGCCATCTGTCGCTCCGACCAGAGTGTCGCCAATCCATGGAATTCCTGCGGAAGCGCGTCTTTCAGGACGCGCTCGTATGTTTCATCGTCCGCCCAGATCTGCAGGTTTTCATCCTTGACATGGATCAGGAAGTGCACAGTATACTCTCCACCGGAGAGCAGGGAAAGTTCTGAAATCAGAGACCGCATGTTCATCACATCTTCGGGGGTGTATGGGTAGTCATGCCAGGTTCGGATCACGATTGCCGTTCGAGGCAATCGATTCGCCTCTTTTTCCGATGCCTGGTCATCCGCCGTTGAGTTCCTGTCGGTCTCCTTTGGTACCCCAACCGGCATAGAGAGAAAGCGCTCAGCTCGCGGACTGGGCAGACTCCGGAATCGATGGCTGTTGACAGCTTGGCAACGGGCCTGGGCAGAAGCCCAGTCAACCCGGCGAAAATCGACGGGGGGGAAATCTTCCCAAACGCGTTCTGAGCCTTCGCGGTGGCCCTCCAATCCGGCTCCAGTGCCGCCCTTGCGCACACTATAGCCCAGGCCATATGGGCCGAAACGACCAAAGCGGTCAAAGCAAACATCATCCTGGATCCCAAGCATTTCGTTCGATCCCATGGCGGCATCAGGGAAGCCGCGGGGCACGCCGGGATAATGCTGAACCAGCGGAATGCGCATTGTGTTGTCCGCATCTAAAAAGCAATCGTGCTTTTCGCCGTATGCTGAAATATATTCCGCCGAGTGATAGTCGGGGTAAGGATTGAATACAGAGCTGGAAAAGGTGGGCGCAGATTCTTCCCGGGCCTGGACGGCAGTCTCATTCTTGTCGGCACTCGCAGCCGCGGCCAATTCCTCCATGTTATTGCTGGGGAACTCGGGAACGTCGTCTTTGCGGGACACCAGACTCCGAAGACCGCCATGGTATCTCTGTAAGAATGGAAAACTCTCCCACTGGGGAGGCTTGGAGACCGGCTTGGGTATTTCGAGGTCGGCCTGTTTGGCGGAAGATGAGAGAGAGAAGCGGAAGAGAGTGATGACAAAAAGGACCAACGCCGAAAACAGCGCCAGACAGAGCCATCTCATGATGCGATTGGGAACTCGATAAAAGCCGGCCGCGACCCGACTGCGCCTAAGTGTGGCGCCTCCCAGCATGGGACGGTATGAAGCGGCTGTAGAACCGGTGCCAGACGAAGACGCGATCGAGTCATCACCGCTGTCCGAGTCGAACGAGCTGCGGCTATCCTGGCGGTAGTGGCGACTGTAGCGTGATGGCTGCTTCTCGATATCTATTCTGGCATCGTTGCCATCGTAGGACGAATACCGCCTCTTCTGACCCTTCATGTTTCCAGTCTAGAAGTCGAGCATCGAAGGGCAAGTCGTAATGTGTTCGTTGCAACGATCAATATGACGACATCAAGGTCCAGTCGTCCAAGATATCGAACCGAGATCGTGGCTTTTGAGGTTCCTGGAATGTTCGAGGAATCTGGGATGGAATCCTCTACTCCGCAGAACGTGCGGTTCGATCGATCTGCGCAATGCAAGAAAACAATGCAAGGTGGAGCCGGAATGAAGGCAAAGAGAAAAGAAATTGGCCTCGAAGATATCGATGGTCCGGAGACTCCGTTATGAACGCTGGCCCGTGAACAGGACTCAAGTGGACTGACAAGACGGTGATACTGGAGAAATCAACACGGCCGTGACCCCAGCAACTATCAGTTAGTATAACCCCGGCGTTGCCCAAGAGATAGGTTGCGCTACGCGTTAGGGCGGGCCAGGCCGTCTTGGCGAGAATCGATGGCGAGCCACTCCCTGGTAGATTAGGATGAGGATGAGGATGGATCTAGGATTGCAGGGATCGGGGAAGATAACAAGACGGAGTAGTGATAATCTGGTAGAAAAAAATAAAGAATAATCAGGGTGATGCTGCGAGGAAGGAAGTCCTCGTCCGGCCGTGGATGGCCCATTCGGGTTAGCGCCGGTAGACCAAGCTAGCTGTTTTGGTCAGCTTGATCTGTTTGCTCTGTTTGTCCTGTTTGCCGGTGTTGCACAAGATCCTCCAGAGCAGGAATCAATCATCAATCAATTATTGATTATTGATTATGACACGCATCTATGAGCGTCGATCATATTGAAATGCTCTGCTCCTGCTAAGGCTATGGCTCATCACATCTTTACCCAGTAGCTGACTTATGCTCGGCTTGACTGTTCAACTCACCCCAAATTCTCTCTGATATTGTGTGATATTAAATCTCTGCTCGCTCCTGCATACTCGATGTTAAGAAAGTGAAGTCATTGCATGCGCAGACAAGACCCGCGCACCCCACCTTTCTACCCTGCGTCAAGTGATTCTTGCCAATAGTCCTAAGCAGGAACATACTCGGAAGCAAATGGATACATCATACTTGCAAGCGGGACATCCGCTATCCCCAAGGCGGCCAGTAAACGGCCAGAAACGACCTCAGTGGCCCGGGTGGAGTTCCGCAATGGAAGCCGTTCGCGGGCCCCACTACTTAATATTCATCCTCGAACGCGCATCTCCTCAGCTTCTGTACGCAAGGAGACTGTCCAAATACTGACCGCCAGCTGAGCTGGTGTAATCTACGATCAATCCGTCGGAGTGGAGAGGATGGCATTCCCTGCGTCGTCGTCGTCTTGTTGCTCATATTTATCTCTGTGCGGAATAGTGCAAAGCCTGATTACGAGGTCGGACTCCTACTTCCCTCATACGTGGGAGCTTACCTGGGTAGAGAGTCTCACCGTTTCACTGGCCAACCGCCAAACCTTATTCATGAGGCTCCAAGAACCCATGGCTCGCCAGAATTCCCACGAGATGAAACCTCCCAAGCCACCCGGATAGTTGACATCAGTCTGACGGAATCGGAATGTGTCTTCTCCCTCCCTTGCATGGCACTCGCTCCTGCCCTGCTCTTTGTCCGAGCTGTCACGAGTCAGCACTACTAGCGGTGTTCTCAATTCGACTGGCTATCCTCGGTCTTTCTTTGTCCTGGTAGGTTTCTATCCTGCCTTCCTGTCCAACAAGTCGGGCTGTTGGGTGCCAGTACTTTTGTCCTGGCGCATGCCTGGGTATGTTGTCCTGTTGGCCCTCACGGGGTCCGCGAACATCCCTCCGCCAGATCTTATATGTCTTATCACCGGATGCTCGGCTCTGCAAGGTGCAGCGTAGTTCCACCGAAGAAATCTAGTTTACAAAGGATCCCATGATAGAAGAGTGAGTGGGATTGATCTCATACTTATATCATACTATCTCTTTATTCCCCTTCACTTCATTTCTAGCTCCCTCCCTTCACATACAACGATATTCTGGGAGCGTTCCAGGCAAGGTAGACAAGACATCCACCCACCATGGTAACTATACACCTCCCTCCAATCCACCACCTACTATACCACAGTATATACTAATCCCAATCTCCAGGACACACCATACTCCCCACCAGCCAACGTCCCAATCCACCCCAACGCACCACCATCACCACCACTACCCACGTCCAAACCCTCGCATCTCCTCTCCCTCCATCTCCTCCTGCTCATCCTCCCCCCAACCCTCTTCCTCCTCCACGCCATCCGCAAAGACTACCACGCCTTCCTGGCCCTCGGCCCCGGCGGCACGCCCTCCACCCCGACAGGCTACCTCCGCATCTGCATCCTGCGCCTCCTTGCGCTGCGAAACCCCTTCTCTCCGCCGTCCATCCCGGACTCCCTATCCCCTCAGACGGGCTACTTCCATCGCTTCTCTCCTCTTTCACCCTCTCCCTCTTCTTCCGCAGCAGGGAACCCAACAAAAGACACAGCCAGAATCCTCCCCCACCGCCGCGGCCCCCGCCCCCTCGTCACCGGCATCGCACCGCAACGCCAACTCACGCAGCGCAGCACCCAAGCTATCTACGAAACCCTGACGCAGGAAATCCACGCCCTGGTCCACGCCCACCCGGAAAAATACTACACCGGAACATCGTGCTTCGAGAAACACAGCACCGGCATCTTCGCCCTCCCTTCGTCTCCATCCTCCAAACCCCAACCCCAAGACCAAAACCAACCCCATCCCACCGGGAAGCGCTCGCGCGTCACCTGCAACGGCGAGATCTGCCACAGCCACCCGATCGACGGGAGTTTGCATCTAACGCTTCATCCGGCGGATGTGCGCGTGCTGGTAGAACGGGGCTGGGGGCAGAGACATCCGCTGGCGTGGGAGGAGGACGGGTGGGCGCGGCGGTGGCTCTGCGGACGGAGGTTTGTGCCGGCGGGCTTTGTGATGGTGTATGCGCCGCGAGACGAGAGGGAGGTGCAGGTTGTGATGGAGGTGGTGAGGGCGGCGGGGTGGTGGGTTTGTGGGGAGGATTGATTCTTGGGGTCTCTTACCGTTCAATGGGAGTTTAGTTGGATTGGGCTAGGTGACTCTTCACTGCCATGTTGGATTTTAGGTAGATGAGTCGACCATGCCAGAATCTAAGAACGTAACCGTCGATGGATCATAATATTCAAGTCTTGACTGTAAGTGAACACATAGGAAATTCAAAAACACACAAACAAAAAAAGAAAAAAAAGAGATGGGGGTTTTTAAACGGCACACAGTAATTCGTTTCGGATCGACGCCGGGATGAAAGAAGAAAAATAAAAGCTAATAGCATAGAGGAATGTAAGAGCCGTTAGAAGAACATACAAGCAACCACCAAAGGGGGGCAATGAACCCTTTTTTTTCCCCTACGCGCAAGGTGTCTTTTTGCCGGCCCCCATTGTTCCCCGTCCATCATCTCCCAACTCCCAGTCAACAATCCAGGTATTTCTTTCCACTCATCACATTAGGACACAATTTAGTCGCGGTTGACCTTCCGCAAGGTTTCGGCAAGCCACTCCAGACCTTCGTACAGACCATCTCCGGTGGTGGCGCAGGTGGATTGGATGTACTAGACACGCGGGTTAGCGAATCCGACCGGGGAACAGCCACGTAGGAGAGAACTTACCCAAGGACGGCGAGTGAGACTTTGCAGGCCCAGCTGCTGGGTGATTTCGGCAGGGCTCATGGCATTCTAAAGAGACACGTCAACATGTTTTCGATCGGGCGGTGGCGGAGGGTAAACCCGCGCGATCAATCAGAACATACCGGCAAATCTTGCTTGTTGGCGAAAACAAGGAGGAGAGCATCGCGGAGTTCATCTTCGTTCAACATGCGCTGCAACTCTTCCCGGGCCTCGACGATACGGTCACGATCGTTGCTGTCGACCACGAAGATGATACCCTGAGTGTTCTGGAAGTAGTGTCTCCAGAGGGGACGGATCTTGTCCTGACCACCGACATCCCACACGGTAAATTGAATGTTCTTGTATTCGACGGTCTCGACGTTGAAACCTAATCATCCATGCACTTGTCAGCCTTGCATATTCTCGCTCGGAATTGGACCACACGCGACGACGCCTAAGCCGGCAGGGGAGCCAAGAGCAGGGAAACCCAAGGTAAATAAAAGAGACCAGGACTGACCGATTGTGGGGATGGTGGTGACGATTTCACCCAACTTCAGCTTATACAGAATGGTGGTCTTTCCGGCAGCGTCGAGACCGACCATCAGAATACGCATCTCCTTGCGGCCCCATAGTCGGTCGAAGAGCTTCGAGAAAGTGAGACCCATTTTGGCGGTGACGAGATCGAGTCGAGGTCTAAGTGGAAAAGATGCGATGTCAGATATGATGGGTCAAATAAATAACGGCAGCGTGGCAGAGAAAGGAGGGGGGAAGAGGAAGTGTTCGGCCAAGCGTCCCAAGCAAGCCCAACGAACCCGGGGAGGTTGACCAACCAAGCGAGTGGTGCAACTAGAGAGGTGGTGGTGGTGAGACGGGGGGGTGGGAGAGTTGGTGGTGGGAGGGAATGGGGAGATTTGAGGTGTGGACGAAAGGGAAGCGTGATCACGCCGGGGAAGAACAATCAGGGGTGGTTTTAGTGGGAAAGGGTTGAACCCGTCCGCGGCAGAGGAGCAGGGCGAGAGGGAGGGAATCGGGGGAATCACGGACCGTGAAGAGCAACGGGGGCAGAGACAGGCAGGAGCAGACAGACTTACCAGGGGAAATGAAGCTGAAGGGAGAGTCGTTGATCGAGATGAGCCCGGGACAAGTCGGTATGGAGCAGCGACTGTTTTTGTCGACGTTGGAATTTTTGGGTGCAAAACTGCCAGGTCGAGATGTTCAGCCGCCGGCGTAGCCTCCGTCACTAGGTATCTTACCGTATCGTAACTTTCCTACGGATTGATCATTTAATCCACGCTCTGGCAGAGGAGCAGACAATCGGCTGATAGACGCTGGAATAATGTAGAATTAATCAATAAATAACCATCCCTTCTTGTCGGTTCTGCCTTCTCGCCATCCTGCCCTGGTTGCCATCGGGCAAAGAGGACACGGTGTTTCCCGTGCCTTGGGCCTTAGTCAGTCGGGATGACGACTAATCTCCTATCGACGGAGTATAAGTTTGCTTCTCAAGACAGTGCAGGTATACCTCCTGTACTCCTGTACTGCCAGGCCTACGTTTACTCCGGAGTATTCCTGGTATCTATGCGTACTGCGCATTGCTAGTCTCCAGCCTTAAGCAATAATCCTCTCCCCCTACGCACCCTTATGTAATCCCCTCCTATCCCCATCCCCATCCCAAGTCCAATCTCAATCTCAATCCAATCTCAATCCCAGAAACAAGACCAACGGTCCAGAATCGATTCCCACCCGACCCTCCGCCGTCCGTCGTCCTGATAGGCTCCCGACCAGCCTTGAATTTTCCCCGTTCCAGTGGATCTCCGTCGGTGGCTCTGGCACAACATCTTGCTTTTGCCAATTCACATATCTGGCCTGAGATGATCCGTCCCGTTCAGGCAGGCGGTTTCTAGGAGTACCCTCTGTACTCCGTAGGCGTATCCCTGGAGCCTTGAATCCACAATTCCACATCCAAGGGGCCGCTGCTCGCTGCACCGGCCCCCCGGGACCACTTTTCTCCTACTATCCTACGCGTCACGGGATTATTCATCCCTTTTTGGTCCGCTTTCTGGGAGCCCAAATCAGCTGCTTGGGCCAGGTGACAGACCTGTAGGTAGTTACCTAGGTTTGGGATGGATTCCCAGTTGCCACGTTTTTCTAACTGATGGGTTATGACGAAAAGTGGTCCCATCAGTATCTACTGTCTACTCCGTAATCCCTGTGCTTAGATTCAGGACAGTTCTTGGCTACGTAGGCGCTTCTCGAGAAGGTTCTCTGCGCGTCGCTAGCCAGCCTTACCTACCTAGTGGACACCGGACCCCGTGAGGTACTCCGAAGGTACTTTTGCCCTGCACCCGAGGCTCAGGACCAGCTCAGGAGCCATTATTGCCATGGGGCCAGGACAGGCAAAGACGTCGAGGGTCCACAGATAAGGGTCACCGCTTTTGTTGTCCCTCGCCCGGCTATATTTAACATGTTCCTGCTAGACGGCGGACTAGACCGGCTGCGGCTAGTGGGCGTGGCAAGCGAACGGTTAGTGCCCATGCTAAACGATAGACTACGGGGCTAGTGAGCTGGTCTGGACTAGGTGGATTGCGTCAAGTGTCAGTGTCAGGTCCTGGGAGTCAATATGTTTCGGGTGCACTGGGCGGTTGGTCTATTAATATAGCAGGGCCTGTCTACTTAGACTATTGGAATCGTAGATTAGTTCAGGGTCAGTGGGTGGAGTCTATCTGGATAAAGAATCCGGTTGATATATAGTTGAATACCTAAATATCGTGCAAACAGGCTGAAACACATTCTCATTGATCCCATCGTTAATCATCCATCTCGTTAACTTTAAATACGATTATTAATATACAAGTTTCTTGATGCCCTTTCATTTCGTCCTCATTCATAACCTCAATCCAATGCTCACTCGGTTCTCTCCCTCCGTTGCGCCAGCCGGTCCTTCGAACTGCGGAAGAAAGTCCGGAACAGCGATTTATAAATGGTCTTGCCTTCGATCGTGTCGCTGAGATATCCGAACATCGCCAGCATCACTATGGACAAAAACATGATCACTCCGAAGCTGACCCAATATTGGACTGTCGTATACACGTGCTTCACGCCCTTGAGTTCGGTCGAGAAGTAGCCGGTCATCAGGCTGACGGGAAGGAATAGGATGGTCGCTTTGGCCAGAAGGACCGTAATCCGGGTCAGTTTCTCGACCGCCTGCGAGTCCTTGAGGGCGATGAGGTTGAAATTCTATTGATTCGTTTAGTGGTGAAGGCCAAAAGAGACAAGGCAGATATCTTACCAGGAATGTCAGAGATTCCTTCTCGAGCAAGCAGGTGTCGATTTCAGACAAACAGTACAGCTTGATGCGGTCGAGCAGCCTTTCAAAGCGGGCGACGGCAGTAGAGCTCAGCTGCACGCCAACCTGCGTATCCGGGATACTCGCGAGACTGAGACTGCTCTGCAAAGTCGACTGTCGAGGGTCCACCACTTCTTGGTCGCCAATCAAGTGTCCGATCGGAAGTGTGGCGCGAGGGTTGCGGTGCTCGTCACGCAGCACCCGTTGTCTTTGCAGAATCCGCATCATAATAAGCTCATAGCTCTGGTACAGGCGCTTCAGGACCGCCAGCCGCCGACCCAGCCAGTGTAGCTCGTTCACCAGCTCAACCACCGGTTTGGACAGCATTTGCTCTCTCTATCATACTGTTAGATATAACCAGAATGCTCATTGAAAGAGGATGCAGGTCTCACCAGCGTGTCGAGAGCTCCCCCGTATGCATGCTCACGCTTGGCCACTAACGCATATGTCGAGATCCAGTCGTCGAAAATATAGTAAAAGAGCAGGCTAGCCCCATCTTCTTGTTTAATGCTCGCCTGGTCAGGACCGCCACCATGAGAAGGTCGCACTCTGATGGTAACTAGCGAATCACTCTCAGATAGGGCAGAGTGCTGCTTGGACACTCCAGAAAAAATGAATTGGACATTTCTGCGGACTGCTGCTAAAACGGACTTCAGCTCGCTCGGGTCCGGTCCGTATAGGCCAGGGAATGGATTCTCCTGCATGGAAATAACGGTACCTTCAGAGGTCAGCATCAATAACATGCCCAAATGCCAATAAAACTTACCATCATCGCATAGGATAAGCCACGACCACAGTCGTCGTCCATCAGGTAGGTCTTTTCCATTCGACGATTCCACGTTCGGTACCACATACAACGAGTTATACCCAACGCAAGTATCTGGAATAAAAGTCAGCGCGCGCAAGGAGTAAACCCGCCACCAAATGCCATACATTTCTGACCATGGTCGACGGAGCAAAAGTGCCAGATCTGGTTCGTCACATGCGCAAATGTAAGGCCCCTAAAAGACGCAGCCGCTTTTATTTCCTCCGGATCAACTGTGTCCTTCAAACCATGCGCTTCTTCGAGATCATTCATCCGAGGAATGCGAGGCGATCGGTCGGTAGCGGTGGTTTTCGGTGTTTCAGCCGGTGTCTGAGAGGCTTTGGCGGATTTCGGTCGCTCTACAGGGTCGGTACACATCATTCCTTGCAAACGTTCCGAGACTCCATAGTGGCTGGCGATCGCCTGGATAAGTTAGTACCCTGTAGACTTTCTCGAGGGATGGTCGCACCTTGATGGTATCCTTTTGCTCTTCGGGATTCCAGATGTTGCTGCTGAGTGTTAGCGCGCATTCTAGAAACTCCAGTCCTCACCTAAGTGATCCGGCACAACTCACATCCATCTGGTTCCAAAGCACTTCGGCTTCTAGAAACACAGGATTAGCATCGCATCTAAATGAACTGGATTCCTTGACCTACGGGTTTGCGCAGCAGCAGCGCAATGTCGTCGTGATTGAGATTCACTGCGCACCAAGCATCGTCGTTGCCGAAATCCAAGACGAAATTCTGGGTTTGCGACGATTGTAAATGCGCCAGATAGCCTCGGAAATGGGTCTCGTCGTCAATGTCATGAAATCCCTTCTGGATGGCGGTGCTGCTCGTGAAACTCGAATAGTACGCGTGCGGAGGTTGGGAATGCTGTGGTGCGGAGGATTCAGTCATGCTTCTGTCAGGCAACAGCTAGGCAGAGATCGTATTTGTTTTAACTAAGGAAAGGAACTCGCTAGGTGAAGCTCAAGCGATGCGGAAATGCAAATGCAAACAATCTAAATGTACGCAGGAAGAGCTCGAAAAGTAATCAACGGGTCGAGGAACACGGCCTCCTAAATACATGGGCGGGTGAAATGTAGGCAGAGCAGCTCAAGGATAGTCAGCCTCGTGCCTGCCGCCGGGCGAGTGACCGCAGTCATTTGGGAGCTGAAGCCGCCGCTTAGCCGCCGATGCTTTTTGACTCGTCTTTACCCCGTAACAGGGGCCGCTGCAGATGACTGGTCGACGGTGCACGAGGGGGGCGATTGTTGCCGCCTTGGGTTAGGCGGGGGATCGGGGCATCACCAGATCTTGACCTTGGACTCTACGGACTGCAGTATATCGATGTCATAGTCACAGCAGACTTGGAAATTACGTAGGAAATGCACTATTAAACAAAAAAGGAAAGGAAATAATTGATCCTATGCGAAAACTAAACCGAATGATTCAGAGATATGTCTCGAATCTCAAACATTGCTCTTTGATCAACAACAACAAGAAGAAGACGAAGAACAACAAGAGCAACAACAGAACAGAACGACCTCTATGGAACAAAGTCGATGTCAAGAAGCCTGGGCAGAAGGTGAACATTCCTTCTCGTCAGGCTTTTCCGCAGGTTTTTCCGCAGTCCGGAGGCTGTCAACGACGGCGCGAAACGCACCTAGGCCATAGTCGCGGTCGTATCCTTCAGGGTTTACCACGGTTCCAGATAAGTCGCACTTGATGAGCCGGCCCTTCAAATAATCGAAACTCCACTGATTCCGCGGGCCGATCTCTCGCAATTCATCCTTCGTCAAAGTGGGCGGGCGTACATTATTTTGCGCGAAAAAGAACGCTACCTCTGAGTTCTGCCAGAGAGCATAGGTGAGCTCGACTTTGTCGATTCCATCGATTGACACAGTATTATCCGCCATTTTAGAGGGCTGGTAAAGAAAGTTCACTCAATGTGTTGATGAATAGAAATGAAGTTGTCAGTCCTGTCTTGGGAAAACGGGTTTGAGGAAAACGGTGTTACGTCAATGCAGCCATGATGGATGTGTCGGACTGCGCTCCTATAAATACCTCCATGTTGAAAGTTTTGGCAGCGGCAGTTTCCCGTTTGACCACCTCTTTATTGGTTGATCCCTTGGACTAACATCAAATTCGTTTGATTTGGGCATTTCACAATGATTGCTTCAGGGCTTTGGGTTTAATAGAACTGATGGGAAGATCCATATTATCGATAAAGAATCTATGAAGGACCTATGATGAACTCCGCCAAGTAGTTGGCGTTTTCCGGTCTTCCATGACTGCACTCCTAGAAGAAATAGTTCTTTCTTCCGAGAGTTCATTCCCATCATGCCGACTAGTTGAGTTCAATCATTATGGCCATGGAATCCATCCCTGCAGGCAAGTGTTGCGGGAAGCAGCCTGATAAAAGAGGCATCCGCTGAGTCAGGACCCATGGCGGTTAGGGCACAGCTATACTCCATGCGGCTAGCGCAGTCCAACACCCACAAGCGGAGACGGGATTTTCTTACTTGCGGACGCCGGCGCCTTTTTTCTTCTTCTCTTCCTTTGCAGATATTCAGCGCAGAGCCACACCATAAGAATTTTGAAATCGATTCTTTTGGAAGACTGTCGCCATCATGTCCAAGATCACAGTCGGTATGTCGCTCGATTATTCCCACCACCACCTCTATCCGCTTGCCAGCCACTAACGCTTTTCGCCGTCCTACAGCCGGAGTGCGCCAGAATGTCCAGCAGCTGCTCGACTACTCTCAGAATGAGAAGAAGAGAAACTTCCTCGAGACCGTCGAGCTTCAGATCGGTCTGAAGAACTATGACCCCCAGCGTGACAAGCGTTTCTCTGGCACCATCCGTCTGCCTACCGTGCCCCGCCCCAACATGAGCCTCTGGTATGTGCAGGAAATCCACTCGACAGTATCGACTTGTTCCTGGATCCAACAAGGATTGAAATGCCTCGGACGGAACGAACCGGATCGATACGATGAGACATGTTCAGAAATGCTGACGGGTGAATTCCTCTAGTGTTCTTGGTGACCAGCACGATCTCGATCGTGCCAAGCACCACGGCATTGACGCCATGTCCGTTGATGACCTGAAGAAGCTGAACAAGAACAAGAAGCTCATCAAGAAGCTTGCTCGCAAGTACGATGCTTTCCTGGCTTCCGACACCCTCATCAAGCAGATTCCTCGTCTCTTGGGTCCCGGTCTCTCCAAGGGTAAGTTTCATCGCCACCCTGCACCCCGCCCTGGGTGAACCAAAAATTGCGAACAAAGCTAACTCCATCGCAGCTGGTAAATTCCCTACCCCCGTCTCCCACTCCGAGGATATGTCCAACAAGGTCACCGAGGTCAAGTCCACCATCAAGTTCCAGCTTAAGAAGGTGCTCTGCCTGGGTGTTGCCGTCGGCAACGTTGGCATGACCGAGGATGAGTTGCTCGCCAACACCATGCTGGCCATCAACTACCTCGTCTCCCTGCTGAAGAAGGGCTGGCAGAACGTTGGCAGCCTTGTCATCAAGGCTTCCATGTCTCCCCCCAAGCGTCTGTACTAGATTATGAGACATTGGGTGCTCGCTGGGGATTTTTTTTTTAGGACTTTGAGTGGGATTATGTATGCCATAGTCTAAAAGGAAATGTGATTCACCTTGATTCCTAAACTTGTTCATGAATTACCTATAGTATTGTGGGCTTGTATTTGCTCATTGTAGATGTATTTGTTCTTAGGTCAGATAATTTCGCATGTCTATGGCCATATGATATATCACAAATAGTATACATCTACACGGATCATTGCATGCCCGGCATCAGATCCGTCTTGTCCAAAATCATCCCCCTCATACCAATGAACTCGCGCAAGCTCTCCCACTCCTCACCCTCCTCTTCACCCCACATGGACACATTCTTGAATCCCCATTTAACAGCAACCCTATCCAAAGCAGCCCGCTCCTCTTCGCGTAGCCATCGGTGGCGCAACGGCACGCCAGACAGCCACGTCACCCGCTGCATCTGATCGTTGGCAGTGGTGATAGCCAGGACGCCGATGGACGAGACACCCCCGACGTAGGCCAGACTGGCGGCAAACGCGATCCCCGTCGCCGTGCTGGCATCCATCGTATTCTGCAGCGTCGAGGCCCACGAGGCAATGGCGTAGCAGGCGGCCGGGGTCGAGGCCAACGCGCCCAGCGGCACCGCGGCCTTCTTGAAGACCTTGGCGCGGTGGAACGCCGGCGCGCAGAACGTCGTGTCGATGATGGCCAGCACGAGCGGCAGGTTGCGCTGCTCGGTGGCCACGTCCAGCGCCATGTGCGCGAGCTCCGTGGGCACCGCGCTGTTCACGTTCTTGGGATTCGCCTTGTGGTATTTGATGGGCGAGCTGTTCTCCTCCGGCACCGGCTTGTATGCGTACAGGTGGAAGATCTCGGGGAAGTGCTCGGCCTGCTTGAGGAGGGTGTGGGTCTTGGTGTAGTAGGTCAGCGCCTCCGGGGAGATGAAGACTTTCTCGTCGGTGAGGAGCTCGTAGGCGATTTGGCACAGCGACTCCGGGAGATGTGGTTGCGCCAGTTTGGCTTTCGGGGACGACGGCTTTTGGCTGCCGCTCTTTTCTTCGAGATCGAGGAGTGAGGTGATCACGTCGTCGCCCTTGGTTTTGGTCGGCGTCTCGGGCTTCTCCTGGTCGGCGTGTACGATCGTCTCGGCGAGTTCCTGGCATCGTCGTAGAAGCTGGACGACGGCTTCGTCAGACGGCACGGAGTCGGACTCGCGGAGCTGCGCGGCGTCGCGTTCCAGTTGTTCCAGGGCCTGTTCTGGGTCGAGAGGAGCAGATGATTGAGGTGTGTTCGATGCATAGCGTCTGGAAATAGCCTGAGTAGGAGTCCAGTGGCTTCGTGCGTCTTTTTTCGGGCGCAATTGTCCGAGTTTAGACGGGTGTGTTAATGGGGCAGTCGAGGCATATGATCGCGCGAATTGCGAGCGAGGTCGAGTTGCAGGGGATGAAGTCAATTGGCACAATTGACAGATCAGACCTTGGGGCTTGACAGCCCGCTGGCCCCTCAAAACAATCCCTTTCATGGTAGTCACGCAAAAGGCCCTGAGTTCACCAGCACAAGGACTCCGTTCTTCTCCGAGATCTGAAAGACCGGAGAAGCGTGACAAGGCGGCGAGATACTGCCGCCGGGGATTAGGTAACCTCGCAATGACCTAAACGTCTCTCTTCCCCCATATCAGCAAGGCTACCTTAATCTCTTCTCTCCCCTCGCTCGTCAAGGCAATCATCAAATGGTCTGCTCGATTCCAGGCGGTTGATCCCTTCGTGATCGCGTCTGTCTACTTTCAGTACAGCATCTTCATCCCTCCCTCTTTCCCCTCTCCCCTTTCTCTACCCCTCTCAGGCTTCAGACATGCCTCCTCCGCCGCCACCACCGCCGCCGCCGCCCGGCGCAATGGGAGGCCCTCCTCCTCCTCCGCCTCCCGGAGGCTTACCCAACCGACCCTCAAAAGGCGAGGTTAAGGACCGAGTAGGTTCCTTCACTGTGCACTTCTAAGCGCAATCGCCTTGCTAACACATCCCCCAGGGCGCACTCCTCTCAGATATCAACAAAGGCACCCGATTGAAGAAGACCGTGACCAATGATCGATCAGCCCCGGTTGTTGGAGGTGGAGGCGCGAAGTCCTCTGGGCCTCCCATCGGGGGAGCACCGCCTGTTCCTGTCATGGCGAAGCCTCCAGGTGGTCTTGCGCCGCCGGTGCCTCCGGCCGGAGCCGCGAATAGACTCCGCAGCAACAGCGAAACCGGCTCAGGGGGTGGTGATAGTAGCGCAGCATCTGCCCCGGCAGTGCCTCAGCTCGGTGGCCTCTTTGCCGGGGGTATGCCAAAGTTACGCAGTCGAGGCGGCGGAGTGGACACCGGGGCGAACCGAGACTCGCCGTATCGAGGGGAAAACGATGCCCCCAGACCTCCCGTTGCGTCTGCTCCAAAACCCCCAGGTGCCCGGCCGCCGCCTCCTCCGCCGTCTTCTGAATCGCCCCCTGCACCTCCCGTCAATCCATTGGTCAACAATCTGCGAAAGCCGCCTCCAAGACCCGTGTCGCGACCATCATCGACCGTTTCAACCCAATCCGGCAAATCCGCCCCGGATGCACCACCTCCCCGGGCACCTCCTCCATTGCCGGGCGCAGCGAAACAACCTCCGCCACCTCCTGTGTCCCTGAGGAAACCGTCCGCTCCGGCACCACCGCCGCCACCACCTCCTTCGACCAGTCCCGCTGCACCTCCTCCGCCGCCGCCCACGGCCAGACCTCCACCCCCGGCGCCGGCCAGATCCACTCCTCCTCCACCCCCAGCTCCTCCAGCATCTGCGCCGCCCCCGCCTAGCGGCGCAGGCGCTGCCTCGATCGCAGTCCAAGCCGCAAGGAACGCGCTTGGACATAGCCCGCAGACTCCATCGGCTCCGCCACCACCGCCACCGGCAGCGTCCGCTCCGTCAGCACCTCCCCCTCCTCCTCCCTCTGCTCCTCCCACCGCGCCGCCAAGCGAACCGCTCTCGCGTCCGTCGTCGTACGAGCCCCAGGCAGCTTCTCTGGATCCGAGCGCTTACACCCTCAGCAACGGCGGGCCGTCACCGGGATCAAGCCCTCGGAACGCAGGCGTGCAAGGAATGATCCCGGTCGACGACAATCGATTCAAGTTCCAACTCGAAGGATTGTTTCCCAAACCCCGACCGTTCACGGGAGGCATCCGGCGGTATCGGGCTGGGCGGGGCAGCAGCGTGCCCTTGGATTTGAGCGCCTTGAGTGGCTAAAACCGACATTGCACGACCGGGGTTCCTTGATCTGCGGGCATGCATCTAGATAGTCGGTCTGACGCATCGCTTGCATATTGTTATTACCATGATAGCTAGTAAGCACTAGGAACGAAGCTGCGACTTTTATTGATTTATTTTTTATTATATTTTTTCGCGTACAAATTAGAGAATAGAATGGTTGTACATTTAGCTTCTCTCATCTTTGGTCTATTGAATCAATCTCAGCATGCATGTTTCCAGGCCTTTCGGTAAACGGGCGGACGCAGGAGAGCTCCGGGCAAGCTCCCCTCACGTGACGCCGCCAGCACCAGGCGTCGGCGCGGAGAAAGCAAGACTCAACACCGCCGCATACAACCTGAACCGCTGAACCCAGGGCCTGTCGATCATCTAGAAGCTCCACGCTGCATTGACTTCGCAAAAGACCTTTGCTCTTTGCAGCTTCGCATTCCAGGCAAGGAGACATACCGAAATTTTACGGAGACCAGCAACATCAACAAGCGGGAAAAGAAGAAATCAGTTCTCCACGAATTTACCCACCGGCGTTTTCCAGTCCGTCGCAGACAACTACCAACATCGGGAAATTCGCTTCTTTCCACACCGGGTGATTGAATTCGTCTCACAGCCGGTTGACCCTGTCTTCGCCTACGATCACCTACTATACGGTTTCGCGATCAAGTGACTGGTTTCGCTCGCTGTCTTGACCGAGCGAGGGCTCCAACCTGGCGCCGGGCGGTGGTGCCTCTAGATAGACCTGTTGACCTTGGATTCGGAGATCGTTAATCCCTTCCCCCTGTCATTTCTCTCCTCCCTGATACGCCGACCTTCATTTCCTCGCGATGTCTCTCCACTCCTACATCAATAGTAAGTGGTCCTCTTTATTTACTTACCCTACCCTCTCTCGCCCCTTTTCATCTTCCCCTCCCGAGACTTCCGACGGCGCACAACGCACTAACGTCCGTGATTGCAACCCTCTAGAGAAAGTCCTGATCCTGACCGTGGACGGGCGGACCCTCCTCGGGACCCTCCTTTCCACCGATCAGCTAACGAATTTGGTTCTCATGGATACCATCGAGCGGATCATTCGGACCCCCGACGACCCGGAGCCGAGCTCCCAGATCGATCACGGCCTGTACCTGATCCGAGGCGATAACGTGGTTCTATGCGGTGAGGTTGACGAGGGCATTGACAACGACATCGACTGGGCCAAGGTCAAGGGCGAGGTGGTCCGAAGTACCAAGAATGCATGAGAATTTTTTTTAATTTGACGAGATCCTCCAATACCCGATGCGACGATTCCGCGGAGAGCGAGAAAGAAAGCGAAAACGGGGAGGGAAAACCGAGAAGAGACAAAAAAAAAGGAATATGCAGAGGTGGGGGACGTAAGGAGGAAAGCGGAAGGCAATTATTTTCGCAACGCGATTGACGTGGACGATCGAGAGGTGACAAACAAAAACGGTGGCCTTGGAGTTCTGTTGGTATTTTCTTGTTTTCTGGCCCTCGTCGATTGAGGGTGAGGGTTTGTGTTGCTGCGTGGGTAGTGTGTTTCTCGGCGCATGCTGCCATGCGGCGGGGAACCGTACTTTCTGAGCCATTATTGCGCTGGGCAGCATTGGCTCGCGTGAGATTCGACCTCTCCTTCCCTGCTCGTCCCCCTCTCTGATATCATGGCATGCATTACGAGGTTACCGTGGCCCTGGGAGGGTGTGCACGACGATTTCGATCTGGCGATCCTCGGAGCCGGGCAAATGACGCTACGGGAAACGACCGCTGGGCTTTTTCATTGGGGACAGCCGGGGCGAAAGGAACTGGGGAGAAAAAGAAAGGAAACATGGAAACCAATGCGACGCTTCGCTGTCCCCGGATTATTCGTGGATGACGACATACGCGAGGGAGTCAGGGAGGGAGGACAGTATAGGCAACTTTGGTTCTCGTCTCGATTATTCCTGAATTCTTTGTGCCGTGAGAGCCATGAAAGACGGCGAGGGAGGGATGAAACGCGGCCGAGACAAGAGCCCGATTTGTTCCGTTGTGAATCTTTTCGTGTCTTATTCTTTGTGTACATCCAGCGTTTGCGCATGGTTTTCTACCGATGCCCCAATACGAGTCCGAGATGCTCAGCATGGACGAAATAGATTAAGTACAACGCGTTGCGATCCATCTGGCGTGACGGCCGAGCTTGGCAGCCACCGGAATCGGAAACCGTCTAGGCAGATGGATAACCGACGGTGTCGACTAGACTGGCGCCAGAGTAATTAATTCAATTAATCATGGCGACTGCATTGGCCCCGGAGAGGGAGAGGTTTGGTGCCCAACCCTAAGTCCACCGACTCAGCACGACGGGAAGTACAGAGGAGAGGAGAGTATAAGTATAACGGCATACAAGACAATAGTACACTTTTGAATGCCAGACTCCGACTCCGTAGGTATAATCCATATAATCCGTATACTCCGTTCAACGCAACCCCGTGACGGTAGCGCCGTTTCTCTGCCGCGCGCCCCGCCCGTGCCAAGTTGGCCCTTTCTCTCCCCCTGACGCTCTCTTTCTCTCTCTCACTGCCTCCTCATTTTATCGTCGGTTCTCTCCTCCTTTTTTCGCTTCTTGTTTCCCTCCCCCCTCCTCCCCTCCCCTCTGCATATCCCTGCTCTTATCTTCCTCTTTTTTCTTGCCCAGATTTCCTCCTTTCCTCATACGTTGTAGGTCGCTGGGCGACCTCCGTTCCTTGCGTCCTTTTCTTCGCTCTCCCCCCGGACAAACCCGCCGCTTATCAAGCCACACTTTACCCCCGTACGCCCTTCATGTTGCCTTCACCGTCGCTACAGATCTCAGGGTTTATTCGACGGTGTCCAAGAGCCTTTTTGGCTTCGTGAACGCCTGAATTGGTTTACTGGTTTACCTTTTCTTTACGTACATACCTACCTACATACTCCTATCAAAACTTTCGCTCCTCCCGCTGCATTCTCACCGCTCCCCTCCTCCCTCCTCCCCGGTCCGATCCTCCCATACCATGTGGCTCTATCGAGGGGCCCAGTCGGCCGTCTTCTACTACGCCACTTGCACCCCGTGTGCGATGTCTGTCGACCGTCGGAAACGCAAAAAGGAAGCCGCCCGATCGCAGCGTGAAAAGGAAAAACTCGATGCCATTGTCACCGACCAGCCACGCCCGTTCCCCCAGCCCACTGCGTTTCGCACCAATCAAGGATGGAAGGAAGAGATCGCCCTCGGCCCGGGTCCTCCAGCACGACGCGGTGGTCACCGCAATGCCCACCGACGGACGGATAGTTGGAAGTCGGACGCACGGTCTGCAGAAGATGTGGATCGCACCGGAGGCCCGGCACAGAAGAAGGACAAGGGCGGTCTGATGCAGCCGGTCAGCGATCGGTGGAACCGCATGCGATATCAGCGCGAAGACGAACCGCTCTGGGGTGAGGACGTGGAGGTGAAGGGTTCCTCGGTGGGAATCTCCGGACAGGGTCGAACGCACGCCAAGGAGCCCAAGTACTACATCGCTCGAGTTCCGCCCGTGAACGACCTCCACCCGCCCATCGTCAGTGGACCGAAAAGCAGAGCCGAGACGCGATGGATGTTGCAACCGCCGCCCAGCGCGAGAGTCATGGCTGGAAAAGAACGGACCAATCCCTCGGCCCAGACGACGCAACCCCGCGAGAAGAAGGCCTCGCCGACTCCTCCGGGGATGGCGCGGAACTACCAGCTCCCTCCTATATCTACGCAGACTTCCGTGAAGAAGAAAACATTAAAACCCTCACCTACGTTGATTTCTCCCAATGATGCCCATACCCCGACCACCAGTAAATCGAAACCGGATGACCACCGATCGGCTCGTTCGTCGTCCCCGACGGCGTCTGCCTACGGACGCGACGAGTCCAACTTTGTCGTTTCGCGGTCCCTCCACTCCCGATGCGACTCTTCCATGTTGATGTCCTCTGATTCCGAGATGGAGTCGCCGCGAGTCTCCATGCATTCCCCGCAGACGCCCGTCTCCCGGCCCGGTTCGAAAGAGACCGACGGAAAACATTTCCGACCGGCCATTCTACCGCGGGACACCACCAGCAAGGTTCAGATGCTCCATGTGGAAATCAACGAGCCTCACGACGAAGTCGGTTTAGGTCAGCTGGAACAAATCCGGCCCTGGCGATGGAGCATGGATGTATGATGGACATGATCGTCTATGATAACCATCTGCGTTGGCCATGCCTGTTTCATTTTCATTCTCCTGTCCATAGAGCATCGTGATGCATTTTCATCCTTGGATTCTTTGCTTTTTTTCCCTCCCGGCGTTGACAGCAGTTCAAAAGCTTTCGTTCCGTCCAGATTACCCCCATCGGTTTTTGTGCCTGTTTTTTGACTCATACACACTCTCTCTACCAGCATTGGAAAGAGCATGGACACCCCGTTCGAAGAGTTTCATCATCCCAGCATGCATGAGTGTATATGTGGCCGGTCCAAGATACACATCGTCTCGAAACGGAAACCTACATATTTTGGTGTCCCTTGACCTGTCTATACTGTTTCTGCTCTCCCATCGAGCGTCCATACATATACATATCCCGCCCTGTCTGTCTTCCTGCATCATTATACCAAGCGCAGATTACCATCCTTACTCTATTTTTTCTTACCTCGTCACATTCTCTGTCTCTCTTTCCTTACTGTCTTGATTACCTGTCTCACTGTCTTGATGTTTTGAGTTAAGTCTTGGTTGCATTGCATTGCTTGTTCTGTCTTTCCTGTCTCTTTCCCTGTAATTCCTCACCTTCATGTATATTACATTTTAATGAACATACCATTTCTCATTCTTTTTCATCTATATTCCTACAATGTAGGCAGTAGGTAAGTAGGTAGGGTAATTGTTTATTTATTTTCTTGAGTCATGCCTTCTACCGTTTGAGTTTCGGTCGTTTCACGCCCCGTCCTTAGCTTTCGTAGCGCGAACTTAGAGGTCCATTCTGAACGGAGTAGGACTGGAAACTGGGAAACGCCCGGTTCACCCGTTTCAGCGCCGGAAATAGAAGTTCGGGGGTTTTTCTATCTTTAGATTCTCTGGCCTTACGTTCTTAGCTCTGGGTTAGTTTTGGTGTAGTTTCTGGGTCTATGGGTTTGTGTTTGTGTGTATAGTGTATCTCTGGTGCTGGGTACTGGTTTTTATGATCACTATCATTATATTATGATCATGCTCATGGCTTAGCTTAGCTTGACTCAGCTTCGCTTGGATGAATAAAATAACAATAACAAGCCAGAAGAAAGTAGAGTAGAGTGTGAAGTTAAAGAAAGAGAGAAGAGCTAGGTACCTACTTACCTGAGTGAATTCAATGAATACAATACAATTTTATGCTCAGTGTGCACGCCAGATACCAGGTACCTAGGTTCCTTTCAAGACGGGAGAACATGAGATCCGTGCAGTAACCACCTACTAACTTGCCTAGTATATCATACCTGGTATGCCCTGGACAAAAGAATATCTGAACCGAGGTATGTGGAATCTAGCTACCTAGACTACTCAAGCTGGTAGCTAGCTGAAACATTCCGGAAGGAGTGACCTAGTATTCGGATAATCCTTTTTTCAGGATTTTTTATACCTTGCGGGAATTTGACTGGTTGTAGGGTTAAATTTAATGCTTGGTTTCTTTGTTTGTGTTGTTTGTTTGTTAGTGGTGGGCAATGTATATGATTCCGTGCAGGCGTACATCCGTACTATATATCTTAACAAAAAAGCGTCAGATAGAGAAAATGTAGGTACTATAAACTACAGTCACTGGTAATGAAGCCAGTAGCACAAATAAAAAATGACCATATTATATTACATATAAACGATTACCCAAATCTAATATATAAGGTGCAGAAGACACCAGTTCAGCATTTATGTACTCATAGGGATACTAGGTAGGAAGACCATCATGTGATCGTTTTCAAATGGTAAATTTGTAGCCCTGCATGATTCATATATAGCATACAGAATATATAGAAATTCAAAAGACCTAGCCAACAGATGATATATTGAAATTGGAAAAAGAAAGAACAACTCCCGGAAACATTGGACATTTCCAAATAAGTATGGTAGATAAATGGACCAGAAGAAAAGAAAGAGAGGGTAAACGCTCAAGGGATGGATGAATCATATAAATACTCCGTTTGAATGGATAAAGAGGTTGGTTCAGCACCCAATCCCAATAAAATCATAATAACAATGAATGCCACGAGAACACAATCTGCGGGAGCTTTTTCTTTCTTTGTCTTTTTCCCATTTGCTCAATTCGCAATTTTTCCATTTCGGATCTTGATTTTCTTTGTTCATTTCCCCGTTCGCGTCGTTTTTTATCCGCTCCCTAGATTTAGTAGACCTTCTTCTTCTCATCCATACTCAGTTGGCCGGGACCCATGTTAATCAAAAGAAGCAGCCCGCCACTATAATCATTATTAGCCTCGGCTTGAATTATCAGGAAACAAGGAAACTTACACGATGGACAAGATCTGGAAGAAGTCGTACTTGGCAAAGTCCTTGTGAGGGTGGTGAGGGTGGAGCTAAAGAAAGCCAATTAGTCCTGTTAATCCACACATGCCTGACAGATCATCCAAAACATACCGTCCAGAAGTTGTTGACCAGAACATTGAAGATGCTTAGCAACACCACAAGCATGATCGCGCTCCACTTGGCCTTGAATCCAACAATGACCATGACACAAGCGACGAAGCCGGTCAGACTGACAATGATGCGCCACATGGTCCACTGGCCCGAGAAGACGAATCCGACGAAGAGGAAGATCAGGAGCACACGACCGGCGAACTGGACATACATCTTGCGGTCCTTCTCGTCGAGCTGGGGCAAACCGGCGGGCACGAACTTCTTGCGCACCCACGAGTCGGAGATCACCATGAGAAGACCACCGACAACGCTGAGGTTACGCAGGAAGAAGTTGAGGTCGAAGATAAGTCCGTATCCGAGGCCCTGAGTGACGACCACGCCCAGCAGACCGGCGACCGCGATTTCGGTGTGTCTGCGAGCAACCACGAGGAAAGAGCATATGGACATCGCAATAACGTTGACGATCAGGAAGGAGTGGGTGATACCCCAAGGAACTGGAAGCGCAAGAAAGGCACGGTTAGAAACCCAATTCGCCCCCGCAATTGCTCTCCCCGGGAAAGACGAGAGAGCGCACGAAAACCGACGACTTACTTTTCCGGTAATCACGGAGATAAAGGAGCTGGTCGCTCCATTGCGTAAGAATACGAAGACTGTCTTCAATGAAGGTGACCACGATCAAGAAACGACCAATGGCAGGTAGGTAGCTGCGGAGGCAAAAAAGACACGGTGTCAGCGAGGTGGTTCCGGGATCCCGCGATCGATGGACTGCCATGTCGCCGAAATAGAGGCAGAGCCGTGCAAAGAAGCAAAAACAACGAATTCCAAGGGAGGAGCCACCTACGGCTTCACGGGATCCGACATGGTGTCCAACCAATCCTCAATCTTGCTGGTTTGTTCCCGAATGGCATCCAAGGGGCTCGGGTCGTCGGTTGCGTCTGCCCGACCAGGACCCTGGAACGGGTTCTGATGGCCGAGATTGTATCCCGCAGTGCCGCGAATTTGCGCCATGGCGGGAGAGAAGAAGACGAAGGGTTTGGAGGGGAACAAAGAAGGTGACGCAAGTAGAGCAGCGGATTGATCCCTCGGCAGTTGGGAGAAGGGGGTGGACAAACAAAGAACCAGGAACTGGAGGGGGCAGGGAACACCGGCGGTGACGGATAGAAATGAAAAGAGGAAAGGAAAGGACTTGAGAAACCAAGAGGGGAGTTGTGCAAGGAAAAGGCCGAGCGAGCGAGAGGAGGAGAGGGAGAGAAGGCGAAGAGGACAACAACAAACGAAGCTTCTCCGCCGCCCGCCGTGACTTTCCTTCAGGCCACGATACCCAGATGGGCGCCGCTAGGCCGGGTGCGGTTAGCCCGCCAAGACCCATCCGGCCAATGACGACATCATCGGCAGCGTTACTGATTTTTAAGGCTTCATTCCTTCCTGGGATTCCAGGCAGGCATTCCGCCAAGTCGAGCAGTTCCTACGGTGTGGACAGTCGGTCGCTGCACTACCTCCTCTTATACGCCCAATTGCACTTGCATGGTGCAGCGTTGACACTTGACAGTATCCTGCTCCCTGCAGTTCCTCAAGGCTCATCCATCGTCTCCACTTCCCTGCAATCAGGGACCAGTTATTTTAGAATCACTGATCGCCCACGTCCGTTCCCTCGGCCCATGCGGGCAACAATCGTTCAAAAATAGATCCTTCGCGGAGTCCGACCGGAGGTACGGGGCCCAGTTTGTGAGACCAAATTCAAGGGACGAGGAAAACCACACCCAGGACCCGGTTTGAAGTCCAGGGGGACAAAACATGCCAGGTGTCCGGTTTCTGGCTGAAACGGAGCCATCCCCAACTTGCCTCCTTCCGTTTCTCTGGCCCCTATTGCTGGTCCTTCAACTAAAATACATGGGGGACAATCCATAATATATTCAAAAATAACTGCGTGGTATTGATAAGATAAAATAATAATAAAAAAGTCCAAAGTCCGGCCATTGATAGAAACATCCTCTCGTCAATTATCACACAGCAAGTATGGTTGTTAAAAAAAATAAAGGTAACAATAAATGATAGGAAATAGGCCGAACAAATAGAGAAAATAAAACATAAAATGGAATGAAATAAAAAAATACATGACTCTATGTAGCACACAAGTTTTCTGGGGCTTTTTTTTTCTTACTGGAAATGGCGGGCTTTTTGCTGCATTTCTCTGGTCGCCGGGGATTTCAGGGTTTTTTGGTCCGTTTTCGTTCTTTTTTTTTGTTTTTTGCTGCTTGCTTTCGCTCAATATGCGACACGCAAAGCACCTCGCCAATTGCGCGGTGCCTTTTTGGTATAATAAAAGACCAAAACGCCAAAGCCGTAAAGGTAATAGTAAATACAGTTCAAGGTGGAAAGGGGTTTCCTCATCGGAAACAAAGGGGTGGATGCGCTGAGGGGGTGAGGCGCTCCTCAGCGGTTTTCGAGAGAGATAAAGGAGGGAGAAAAATACATTTAAGCAGCCCAGTCGGAGTCAAGAGGGTGGCCCTTCTGCTTGGAGAGAAGGACATCGGGAAGGTAAGTGGGCGTCACCTTCACCTTGGGCTCGACAGGAGTAGGAGTAGAAGCGGCGGCGGGAGCGGGAGTAGTCTCCGGGGCGCTAGCCTCGCTCTCGTCGGCCTTTCCACCCTTCTTCTTGATCTTCTTGCTGGAGACGGTGGTCCACTGGTCATCACCAGCCTCGAGGATGCGCATCTGCTCCTCCTCGGAAGGAAGACCTTGGTCCCACTCGCCGGTAGGCTTGCTCGACTTGGCTTCGGGTTCGAAGGTGTCCAGCAGGTCGACCTTGGGGGCGGCGGCGGGAGCCACCTTGGGAGCCACCTTGGGAGTACCGTTGCTCACGGGCTTGGTCTGCCAGGCGTTGGTTTGAGGAGCAGCCGGCTTGGCCTGGGCAGCCTGCTGGCGTTCGGCCTCACGAGCGGAATGAAGCTGCTTCTCAAGGAGCTTGCGGCGTTCCTGCTCGGCCTCCTGGACCTGCTGCTTCCGGGCCTCGTTCTTCAGGCGCTGTTGACGCTGCTTCTTGGTCTCAACCTGCTTGAAAGACTGGGGCTTCTGCTTCTTCTTCTGTTCTTCCATGGAGCCGGTGACGCGGAGAACGGACGCTCCGGGAGCAGGGGCTTCCAGCATATCGGAGACATATCCAGTGGTGGGGGTGGCGGCGTTGACCTGAGGGGATTCGGCAGAGGAGAGATCATCATCTGCATCCGCTCCGGTAGTGGAGGAAGTACGGGTGGACACGCGCGAGGCGGAACGCTCGTTTCCATTCTCAGGCTGGGAAAGAGTGGTGGTCTTCTTGTTGTTCTTCTTCTTCTGAGACTTGCCCGTCTGAGCAATGGTACCGTCCCGCACGGCGGCGAAACGCTTGGCCATTTCCTTCTGGTCGATCTCCTCGTCCTGCTGATCGGCCTCCTCGGTCTGGGGCACGTACGCAGGCTTCTCCTCGGCCTTCGCAGCGGGGGCAGAAGGCTCGGGCGACTTCTTAGCCTTGCGTTTCGGCTTCTTCACGCCCAGCGCACTTTCTGTTTTTTCCACAACGGGCTTAATGGGAACGCTGGCCTTGGGGGTAGGGCCATTGTAATACCAGCCGAGGCCACCTGCCACGACCAGCAGGAGAGCCCAACTAAGGTACGGATTCATCATCGTTTAAAGCTAGAGATCTTCAGCGTTAGTCCCTAGCCAACGACAGGAATCAGAGGGAGGCAAGATACATACTTTCACCGTTGATTCTTAACGCGACGTAGCAAAGGTCGTAAAGGGGGTAAAAGGAAAAAGGGATAGGGTTCAAACAGTACCGGAGTTCTGTTCTACGGGCTAGAACAGACTGCGCGCGAACTGATACTGATCGGATGATCTTTGACCACCCAAAAAGAAAGGTAGAAAGTTGAAAGGTAAGAAAAGGCTGTGAAATATAAGAAGCGATCTCTCGCGGTAACTCAATTCAGCATCAAAACATTAGGCGAAGGCTGGCGACAGATGGAAAAGTGGTTGGAAGAAAAAAAAAATGGCGGCAATCAAAGGCCAGATTGCGTTCGCGATCCCCGGAGGCCGACGAATTGAGTAGCTACTAGCTTGCGTAGCTTGCAGCTAAGCAGGAGAATTCCAGCGAGACCGCAAGTCGCACCGATGGGACTGGAGAGAGCCGAGATCGTCAATGACCGAGTCGGCGAGGGAGATCAATTGGTCTGGAAGCGCCTCGAGGGCGAGAACGCGGGATGGGAGGCGAAAAAGCGAAATCACCGAAGGGACATCGAAGCACCCAACCACCTCGACAACAACGTTGAAGGGGAGGAATTGGGCAAGTGGAGGATTGGATCCAAGGAACCAGACGCGAGAAAGGAAAAAAGATGGGGAGAGAGGAAGAGAGGAAAAGGAGGAACGAGCGTCGAGGAGAGCGGAAGAGGCAGCAGCCCGAAAAGGACACGGTCGAAGGCTGTGAAAGATTGCGTAGTCAGCAGCCGTATTTACCGTCCGTTACGGTTTTGTGCGGTAGTCGGGCGTGGCCTCTGCCATGTAAGGGTGTATGTCGCCGTACTCTGTATCGATGCTCTAGATTCCTCCTGGCATGTTCCGGTTGTTTCCAATTCTGCCCATGATATTGGGGTTCTAGATTGGCAGTTGACATCTGCTCTACGGCGCAGGATCCGTGGTTGACAGTTGCGATCGTTTCCATATCTTGCACGGCATCTGATAGGAGTCGGGATTGACTGTGTATGGTAACGAGTATCCATACGTACGGAGACTGGCTGACCAATACCACCCACCCTCGACCACTGCATGAATAATGCCAATCCACGGTGGAAGAAGGTTGCTACGCCTGGTCCATCAGGAAATATACCGGTGGCGCAAAGACGTCGAATGACTGGCGCGGGGAAGATCTGACGGCAACCGCCCCTGACGATGGCGCCGTCAGCTGCTCTGGTATGCGTATTACCGTCCCCACGGCGGGTTGCACGGCGCACTGCGGCCGATGGGGAGGACGTGGGACAGTACCGTACCGGAGAAGACCATCCGAACAGGCCACGTCTTTCTCTCGCTCGGACTTCCGTGCTTTTCTCCGGCCGGTGCTGACTAAGCCATCCAGCTGCCTGCCGAATCGAGTCTAGAACGAGGGTACATCTACAGTGAGATGGTGTGGACTTCTCTGGTCCAATTCCCTATCTATCCTATCTAGTCCCCTCATCCAGCGATATCCATGGATAGCACAATACGATGCTCTAGAAGTTCGCCTTCCAAGGGTTAGCTACGCCATTCTCAAAATGTGACATCACACATGGGAATCGAAGCCGGCCATGGCCATGCTATCATACTGTTTAGGGGCTTAGCAGCTTTGTCTCTTGACAGCTGTCTCCGCCAATGTCTTCATGATCAATGCACTCGTTGACATTCCTCGAATAGAGGTCAAACACGCTGTCTGCTAACAATATGGAACAATATCACCCGCCCGATCCAACGCTTTGCTGTGTAGCATGCGGAGCTGCCCCCCAGATGTACAATTCAAAACTTACTCTTGCAGAGCGGCATGGCTGGAAAATAGCCAAGTACAAGAATTTTTCGCCGCAAAATAATCGTTCTCTCACAATACCGTCTGCTGAGCTGGAGAAGATGGATTTCAAGAAGAATCCGGGCCAGTGGTCATTCTTCTACCGGTCGAGTTAGTCACGGCATACTGATGGAACCCGCCTGACTGAGGAACCCAAGTTCTGACTGATCAGCAAATAGTCATCGAAGATCCTCAAACAGGGGACTTGCGAGTCTCGGGGATTTTCCCGGGTGCTACCACGAGGATGGACGATGAGGCAGGGCGCCCACCTACCGATTATTACTCGGCACAGATCCACGGCAAGGTGATTCGCAACGATGACCAGAATTCGGTCTTCCATATGGTAAACCTCTACAAACCGGACTGGAATCGCGAACATGGCCAGCTTGTTGGCTATCCCATCCACTCGGATTGTTGGCTGCTGCTCGATCGCGTCATTGGACACGACGTCATAAAAAGAAACCTTCGTCTCTTCGTTAAAGCCGTGGAAGTGTTCTGGTCGATACACAGAAGGAACTGGGAGTATGCGTTCTCTCGTATCCCACGGGATGATCAACGTGGTGAGCGGGACAGCTGGGTGGATTTGTGGCCTGATAATAGTTTTTACCAACATACATATTGCTCTCTTTCACTTTGGAGTACCGGAAAGACCACGCAAAACCCGGGAAGCCCCTACCAAATCCCAGACATAGACCGACTGATTGCGAGAGTGACACGCGTACAAGACAGCCGGATGGGAGGTTTATCCCAGCCGCGACGGTCCACTCTCCCTGCATTGCCTCCGGAGATTAAGATAATGATTGTCGACACTATATATAACACTCGTCCTCTTTCTCGAGACAGGACTCAAGATGTGCGAAATACGCTGGAGGCCTTTGGATGGAAACTGCCGGACTCCTTCTGGCAGAACTAATGCAACCCTGGGCTGGTCTTTGAACTAGCCGAGTGGATGATAAAGGGATCCATGTTGACTGGGCTGAGATCTGCTTCGGTCTGGAAGAGTTGCCCTTGACGGATGGCAGATACTGGTATGGGATTAGTGGATTGGAAAATCGTGCTCGAACATTGCTAGTGATGAGACTTATCAAAAAGGAGGTTGAGAGGTCAGTGGAATGATATAATGTAAATGAGTCGGGTTTGAAGCCGGGATAGTCTTTTTGATCGCTCACATGGAAATTAATTGTTTTGAATCATATTCGAATGAAATGAATGAGTTCCTTGACAATCCCATTCATATTCATATTGATATGAAGAAACATGAAAAATATGAAGAGCGGGGATAGATGCGGGGACCAATGGGGTGATTTCTCGGCTCAATTGCCTCGAGCCTTCGAATTCAGGCAGGATTCGGGTCTTTCCCTTCCTTCGGCCGCTTTCGCTCTCTGAATTCACCCGGCCTTTACACATCCACCTTGGTTACGCGAATGAGTTGATACCGAGTCGTCACACCTAGTGCGGCAGGAAGATTGCGCTATCTCGGACCGTTTTGGTCTGCTCGACCACGAATCGGTCAATTCCAGGTCATCCCTGCAGGCGGGGTCGTTATCGGTCCGGCATCGTGATCAACGGCACCGGCACTCATTTCCAGAGATCAAACTTTTCAAAGTTTATAATACCCCAGTGGCCACCATTCCGACCAGAGATACACACCAAGGAGTCATAGAAATCGACCAGCCTGATCGCACGATGAACTCGCCAGATCGTTCCCATCCGCTGAAGCTACCTCCGATCATTCTCGGTGGTGCTGGATTCAGCTACCAGATTCATCCGGATCCGAAGAGCATCCCAATTCCGCAAATAATCCGCCGAGCGTTCGACGTGGGGATGAAAGCAATCGATACGTCGCCATACTACGAGCCATCCGAGCAACTCCTGGGTGAAGCACTTGCCAGCACCGAAGTGACCAGCAAATACTCCCGCAGCGATTATGTCCTGATGACAAAAGCGGGCAGAATATCGGCCGATCAGTTTGATTACTCCGCGAAGTGGATTCAAAAGTCTGTCCAGAGGTCTTTAGATCGACTCGGCACCTCTTACCTGGATGTTGTTTTCTGCCACGATGTTGAGTTCGTCTCGATGGAGGAAGCCATTGAGGCCGTTGGCGCCCTGTTTGAGCTGTCAGAAAAAGGCCAAGTGAGATTTGTGGGCATCTCCGGCTATTCGATTGATCGTCTGGTGCGCATTGCGCATACCGTCAAGAAACAATATAACCGGCCTCTCGACATCGTGCAGAACTGGGCGCAAATGACTCTGCAGAACACCCGCCTGGAGCGATATGGCATCCCTGCCTTGCGCGACGCCGGAGTCTCTACGATATGTAGTTCAAGTCCTCTGGCATCCGGCCTGTTGCGAGCTGGCGACGTACCCTCCGGCAAACTTGGGGATTGGCATCCGGCGCCCGATGGCCTTCGCAGTGCCGTGAAGGAGTCTTCTGACTGGGTTGAAAAGCAAGGATCAACTCTGGCCGGCCTTGCACTTCGATTCTCACTTGCCCGGGCAAACAGAGCGTCCAAGAACGGGGTTTCTGTCCATACTATCCTGGGTATTTGCTCACTCAGCGACATTGAAAGCAATGTTCATGCTGCGCAGACCATCTTCCAAACCAAGCATGAATCGGATGAACTTGACATTTCCGCCTTGGAGGATATCAATGAGGAGATCGAACGGGTCGATCTTGGGCTCAGCCACAAAGTCCGTGGAATCCTGGGCGAATGGGTAGAATTCGACTTTGAAACGGGCAAGAAAGAGTCGAAAGTGCCGCTGTGGCGGCGTCGCGAGTTTATCGCCGCTGCAATTCTGCTACTTCCGGTGCTGGTTTGGTCTAGCGGCTTCAATCCTATTGCTTGGTGGAATAAATGAAGCTCTATCTCTTGGAATCCCCTCATGTCTATGATACACGGAAGTGCGACACACAAGACCTCAGATCGATCGCCAGTCTCACTGCAAGCTACTTTGGTACATATCACATCTTCCCTAGAATTTAGATTTTGGTTTTCTTCTATTTCTTCACACTATTCCACCGGAGCCAACCCCTCGCTGCCAAGGCGAGGATCACGCTAAGACACTTCTTCAGCCTAATTGCAGAGGAATCCTCGTCTTCGGGGGAATGCTTTCCCCGGAGTCGAATGCTTGGTATGCGTCTCCTTTTCCCCGCATTTTCATTTCTGGTGCGGTCGATTCCATTCACATTGAACGCTGATACATCATATTTCCGCCTATTTGTTTCTCCGCGACACAAGACAATTGCCTAGCTCACGGCAGTTGCCTGACACCATCCGGAAATATTCTTGTGGGGAATATGGACCCAGCCTTGTCTTCGTCCGACAACGCTCAAAGCCGAAGGAGAATCGGACGCGCTTGCGATCAATGTAATTTCTCGCGCATGCGCTGCGATGGCCATGCGCCGTGGTAAGATCATTTCCATCTCCTATTCGCGATTCCTGGCTTACCTGCTTTTGCATCATTAGTGCACGTTGCGTTGGTGAGTAGCGACAATCTTCACACTGGCCCGATATGCAGGTCTAACCCTAGCAGGCTTGAGCTTATCATGTCAATACAATCGCGAAATGAAAAAGCGCGGTCGTAGGAGCAACGCGTCCAAACAGAGTCAAAGGTCCATAGTCGGAGCAACAATATCCTCTGACAGCTATGGCACGCATGACGACATTGCGAGGCATCGCTCACTGTCCATCAACTCCATGGGAATGGCACCACCGCATCTGGCTGCCACTGAAGATGACAGGCTCAGACACTTGCAACTCTCACCGAGAGCACTAGGGCCAACACACGATGAGCGAGCCGGTCTGCCAAACGGTTCAGAGTCACGCTCTGCATTCCAAGTCCCTAAAGCAGATTCTTTCTCGCCCGTCTCATTTCCTATCTCGCCCAGTGCTACCAATAGTCTTGAAAATGTGCAACAACAACCTTTTCCATGTCGTTATCCTTGCCTTGAGGCGATCTTGCCGGAACTGAAAGGGTTCGTGTCTGCAAATGAGGCGTGCGACTTGCTGGACATCTTCTTCGCGGAGCCCGGAAACTCTCTCTCGAGCACTCACAGTCCCTACGTGCTCACTACCGTTCTGCGAAAAAAGTCGCTGCTCCATAGAACGAGACCGCGCCCTACATCCCCCGCATTGCTGGCCACTATGCTCTGGTGTGTTGCCCAGACTGCGGACAGTCGTGTCTATTACGTGCCTGGGGCTCGGGAGCGTATCACCGACCACCTATATTCTCTCGCTGTATCACATATGCGCCGGAGGGATATGGATAATTGGCACCGGGTGTCAGGAGGCTGGCAGCTCGAGGAGGATTGTATGCTGAATGTGGACGGCAAGGAATCGAAGGGGCGGCGGACATTTAGCACCGGCCCGCAACCGACGGTGGACGATGTGTTAACCTTTACGCTGTTTACTGTTGTCATATCCGGAGGTGTATTCAAGGCTGACAGTCTCAAATGGTGGAACAAGGCCGTCGGTCTGGTTAAGTTCCTCGCATTCAATACTGAATCTGGGTTGGCAAGGAATAGCGACACCTCCGATCATTCCAGCGCCATCGAAGACCAAGAAGAGCGACGAAGGGCCTTTTGGCTAGTATACGCTCTAGACAGACATCTGGCACTCTCATACAACGGATCTTTGCACATTCTCGATGCCGAATGTCAAGTCCTCAACCCCCTGCCTGAGGACATGTGGCAAAACCTCGATACCATCCCACTCGATATGCTCCCTCGTCGCACCTATGGTCCCTCCACCACCATATCCGGACCCGGGTTGTTTGAATACTTTCTCCCTCTCATGGCCATACTCGGAGATATAATCGACCTCCGACTACGACACCACCATCCTCGCCTCCCAGCTGACGATTCGTCCTGTCTCAACGCCATCAAACGAACTCTCTCTCACTGCGAATCTAGCCTCGGGGACTTTGCCGATGCCACTATCCCAGGATCTCTTACCAACACACGAGCACAGCTTATAATCGCCTACGCAACTTACATCATCAAAGTCCTCTACGTCCTACTCCACGGCGAATGGGACGCCATCTCCATGCTCGAAGACACGGGAAACTGGATCGCTTCTCCCAGTTTCTCCGAGTGCGCATCAAGCTCCATCGGCGCGGCTCAATGCATCTCCGATATTCTGAGCGTCGACCCAGAGCTTTCTTTCATGCCGTATCTGTTCGGAATATATCTCTTCCACGGCAGTTTCGTGCTCTTGTTGTTCGCGGAGCGCATGCCGCAAATCGGCCCTAACGAGTCGGTCGAGCAGGCTTGCGAGGTGATTATTCGCGCGCACGAGGTCGCGATCGTGACATTGAGTACGGATTTTCAGGTTGGTTTCCTTCACTCCTGTGCAGGGCTCTCTGGTTTGACTGACAGAAAACCGCAGAAAACGTTTCGCAAAGCTTTCCGGTCCATTCTGTACCGCGTTCGGAGACCGGATTCCATCGACCCCGAGTTCCAGGTCCTTCGGAAGGAGGTGCTTTCCATGTATCGATGGACTATGGGACATAAGGGCCTCTGTCTATGATGTTTGAACGGGCAGTGTAAGATGGACAGATAAGAGTTTATCCGCTGACCTTTATTTTCAAGGCTGAAATCATTTTGATCGAGTGTTCACTCTGCCCAATTGCTTCTTAGGCGAATGAGTCGGACATTTAAGTCTCGATGATTTTGGTTTAGTGCTGAGAATTGACATCGGGCATAGAGTATCGTCTGAGCGTCCCAGGCTAATTCTAGAGCTTCTTGCGGGGTAGCAGTAGTAGCAAGAAGAATCCACAGCGTAGAACATCTCAACGATTTGTCCAGGAAGAAAGCGGCTGACCGTATGACACAATGGGGGCCAATCACGTGGACCATGGCCATCTTTTCCTTCTTTCCCATTCATCTTCATCCGATGCATCAAACAACCCACGATCTGCAGTGCAGCGCTAGTGGTCCGCATCTCCACCGGTCACTCTGCCCCAGTTCTTCAAACCGCAGCCTTGCGCTAACAGACTCCTACATCATTCTAGACCGAAGGTACCTACATAAGCATCCCATACCCTATCACTCCCTGTGAGATTCTACCCTTCTTCAATTCCCAAACCCAACAACCCATTAAACCACCACCACCATCAACAATCATCTATACCAACAATGCCTCCAACCTACAAATACCCAGTCCACCCCTACCCAGTCCCCCCAGTCCCCGCATCAGCTCAACCCACTCTGCAAGACTACATCCGAGACCGCAACGCCGCCACGGAGATCATCTTCCTGCGCTTCCGGCCGGACACGCCCATCGACGAGGAATCGACTGCCGCAGGGAAGCTATGGACGCAGGCACTTGACTCGATTCGTGGATCGGCAGAAAGCCAGGCACAACCGGGTTTTGGACGGTTGTATTGGGGAAGGGTTGAGAGGGTGGACGGTGGTGAGGAGGACGGTGGCGGGGATGTGGTTGTGTTGATGATCGGTGAGTATCTTCTCCTCCGCTAAATCCTACCTGTCCAATAGACTAATGTCGACATAGACTGGGACGACCTCTCCCTCCACCTCGACCACCATCAATCCCAACAACCCACCTGGAAAACAACCCTCTCCCCCCTCCTCCTCACCCCCATCTCCAGTTCCATCTATATAAAATTCACCACCCACCCGCCCCTAACCTCCTCCGCGACCTCAACACCCCCCTTCCCGCTGACCGCTCTCACCCTGGCAAAGTTCCCACCCGACATGGACACCGAACAAGCCCAGATCCCTGCGCTGTGGCAGTACACGCGCCATGATCTGCAGCCGCGAGGTGAGCAGCGCAGATATGGATGTTTGGGTGCGGTTGGGGGGTGGGGGGTGGAGTCTACGGCTATGACGAGGGTGGGTGGCGATGACGGTGGTGATGGGGCCGGGGGTTTGGGGGCTGAAGGTGAACGTGAAGGAGAAGGAGGGAGGTGCTACGTCATGCTTGATGTTTGGGGGAGTGAGGCGAGGAGGAGGGAGTGGGAGGATAGGGAGGGCGCACGGCTGTTGAGGAGGAAGTGGGAGGAGAGGGCGACGGGGGGTATGCGTACTTGGTTTGTTAGGTTGAGGCTGTGTAAGAGGGGGGATAGGGATTTGTAAGGGGCTGGATGGGTTGACTTAGCTGGTAGTGGTGGGGATTGTATTTATAGGGTTTGATACGGCATGTATGGGTTAATGTGCTTGTTATCTAGCCAATTTACGTATGACATCTAGTACATCAATAGTCATTCACATTCACCCCCAGTATATTCTCCCTAAAATACAAAATTAGTCCGGACTTCCCACATCACAAGTTCGTCCCAAAGTACAAGTCTGCATCCAGAACTCGCCGCAGACGTTCTTGATCGAACCCCCGTTCCACGGGCAACTGGAAACAATCTCATTGAGCGGATCCGCGCATAGCGCCCTCGACGCGTCCTGGTCGAAATGCTGACACTCCTCGGGAGCATCGTCCGCCAGGGTCCATCCGGCTCGGATGTAGTTATTACCAGCCGGGGCCTGCGGGTCAGTCCCGTCGACGAAGGTCGTGTCCGGGTCGTTGCACCAAGCCGAACCATCAGGCTGCGCGACTTCGAGGATCTTGTCGATGTCGTTCTCGCCGTGCGTCGGGAAGCAGTTGGCTTCTTCGGTCGGGCTGGGGTTGAGGGACGTCGTGGTCGGCTGGATGGTCGACATCATGACCCAGTCAGACAGTTGGCAGCCGACGAGCATGGTGCCGGATGTCATGGTCGTGGTTCCCAGCCCAGCAATAACGTGACCGCATTGGCAGTAGGTTTGGGTTTCGGAGGCTGAGGCGGTGGTTACGACCGTCCTGGAGTGAAAGTTAGCCATGAGGGATACGTGTGCTTGCCAGAGTAGGGCTTACTTACGAGGTTACCACGCAGCCGGTGTTGATAGACGTAGTGTGAGATGTCAATGAAATGGTCTCACTGGGAAGTTTCGTGAAGTCACAATACGACGAGGTCGACCCAGAAATGGTCGAGAAAGGCCCTCGTCCGCCGCAGAAACACCATGAGGAAGGCTCGTTGTTGAACCCCATCTTTTCATTATTCCCCTCACTGCAGATGGGAGGTGGTGTGGATGTAGTTGAAGTGCGGAATGTAGTTGGGCTAGAGGGCGAACGGGTTGGAGACGAAGGCGTAGTCGGGCTGGTAGTCCCCGAAGTCTTCGTGGCCGTAGAAGGAGTTGCAGTCGGCGATGGTGAGGCCGATACTGTAGTGGACCCGCCTCCCTTTGCCCACGGCAAGACAGTTGGCTGAGTTTCTTGGGCCTTTTCGATGCTCTCGGCCCGAGCGGTGTCATAGTTCACGCTGGTATAAGTAACTGCCTCGTTGATTCCAGGGGTTTGGGTGGCAGCCGTAGTATTGACACATCGGTAGTCGGTATTTGTGAAGGAACACGGATCTCCAGTCGTAGTAGAGGTTGTTCCTGTCACATCACACCCCGTCATGGTACTGTAGCATGTCTTGCTGCAGCTCTCCGTGGCAGGGCATGACACTATACAATCACTCACCGTCATCACCGACGTGCATGATGAAGACGAAGTGGTAGCTTCTGTAGTAGTAGTCTTCTCGCTGTCACTTGTTGATGAATGGTCGTCATCATCATCAGGCTCATGTTGCTCAGGTGCTCCAGGTTCGCCGCCACCGCCGCCACCACCACAATTAAAGATACATGGGAAATGAAAAGACGGCAGATTTGGCAACGAAAACTGAATTCCAGTCTTTACCGGCACCCCAAATAGAATAATCGCACCGTCGTCGCCGCACTCATCGCCACAATCCACAAGAACGGGCACCTCGGTCTCTTGACCACTAATGGTGGTCGTCAGAATGAAGTCCTCGGTCCAGTCACTATTTGTCACGGTAGAAGCCGAGAAGCCAGAGGGCTCGGAAGTCATTGTTGAGGTCACTTTGTCATCTTTTGTAGTTGGCTTGGTTATGGAATGGCTTTTTGTCGTACTATCTGTGCTTGCACCAGTGGTCGTGGTTGGGTCACCAGTGCTCTTTGTTGATGCAGTAGTGGATTGAGTTGAGCCTGTCTTAGAAGGGGAAGTTCGTGGAGTAGTGCTGATGACAGAACTACTACCCGGAGTTGTCGAAGTTGGCTTTGAGGTTGTCGTCGAATCTTGAGTAGTGTTTTCAGAGCTGTTCTCGGTAGTAGAGCTCTGTAATGAGGTACTCGAGGTCGGGCTCGAGGTCGGGCTCTTTGTAGGCGAAGTAGATGTTGGAGTCGACGAACTCGGCCTCGATGAAGTTGACTGTTGTGTACTAGTCTTCGAAGGGCTGGTCGTCGGAGAGCTTGGCTTCGTTGAAGGGCTTGTTGGAATGACCGCTGAGCTTGTACTGGTGGGACTGGTCAAGGTAGGAGACTTGGGAGTGGTGGTTTGCACGGGTCTCGAAGTGAAAGCAGACACCTCCGCGCAGACCAAATCCCGCCGCTGTAGAAGCTTCGATCTGCCCTCTAGCGGTTGTGCAATCTCTGAGCAAACTTGCACGGGTATCAGGCTTGAAGAACCGGCTGAATTCGTATTCCAATCTCCGATCCAGGTAACCGGTGTTCCGGCATCATCGGTAGTTGTTACGAAAGGGAGCGTTTTACCACTAACGACAGTGGCGTCCTATCGCAAGATTAGTATCACGATTCTCATTACCTTTGGTGGACACAAACATATTTTGGAACAAATGTAGCAGAGGCACCGGGGGTGGTTGCAGATGAGTAAAATCCGATTTCCTCGTAAGTTGTGGATTTTCCCGCATCGGTGGATTTAACGAGAGTATAGCCATGGGGCAGGTCTGGTCTTGGGCTGGCATTGCTGTAGGCCACAAGGCTCAGGCCCAAAAGACTTCCCCAAAAGAACGACATATCGCATAGGGATACAATCCCTGGGGAAAGAAAGACTGGAGTTGAAAAGGAATGAAGACGTAGCAAGCAACTTTAACGAATGACGGTATCCAGTACCTATGGGGATTACCAGGTAGGAAGCGAGTTGAACCTGGTCTCCTTATAATAAAAGGAGCGTTGAACAGACTTCCAGGCGACCAACTATCCAGGTCGAGAAAGAATTAAAAGGGGCCCTAATAGAGAGCAGGCTTTCATCAGATTCAATCAGGATCGATCATCATAGCTGACGAGGTAATTGTTTCAACCCCTGACAGTGGCTTAGCCCACAATGGTAATATGCAGCGGTCAGTTTGGGGTCGAAAACAGAAGCTTGTCAATGAAATCACCGATCATCTCTCTGCAATCCCAATCAGCAAGACCGCCAGGGTGGGTCGAGTTCCAGGCACGAGCAGTCAGCCACGAGTATCGCATATCAATGTGGGTCCAATTTTAGACACACTGTCCCGGTGCGCCGGATCCAAATCCATGTATCAATTGCGCGTCAGGGTGAATGGCACTGGCTGCCTTAATTGTGGTGCCACTCGGCGGAAATGTAGTCAAGATAAAGAGAAAAGAAGGAAGAGAGTGAAAAGAGTGGAAGGTCGAGACCGAGGGATGTGCAGACTTCGAGTCTAGACCCGATCTGGCTTAGGGCTGACTGTTCCTGCGCCTCGATCTATGCGAAAACGTTCTCATCATCAGCATCAGCATCGTCACTGCAATTTCAATTGAGTTCCTGTGTTCTAGATCATCTCACTGTGATAACCTATGACCTCATTCGATCCCATTGAAACGCACAAAACAAATGCACAGCGGACGCCTGAAGACTCAGCCCGGGTACCTGCGGATTGAACATCTCATGACCATGATAACCATTCGTGCAAGGCCACCTGCCACAAACCATGCTTTGTTTTTACCGTTTACGTGAGCGATATGTGGAGCTGAAGCTCACCTGGCTGAGCAAGTGCTATTCCACTAGTGTCTTAGACACATCGGGGACATCTGCATCGAGAGGCTTGATTCGATGCATGGCAACGATCGGTCAATTTGGGGGCCAGGCTGCAAACAGCCCCTGTTGATCCCTTGATAATTTGAAACAAGGAATCTTATGCCGGATTACTTCTCTTGGGTATGACGGCTGAAATCATGAGCATGCATCGGCTCCCCTATTCCGGTCTTTATCTATTAACCAACTCATTTCGTTCTTTTTGCATTCAAGACCATTAGCATTGATCAAACCTTAGCACCGACCTTGTCACTCTTTTAGTTCTACTTTACCTCAAACAAAGTCGACCCATGGCAGTCATACATCGTTGCCTTGTCCTTCTTTTAGGCCTCGGCATATCGCTCGCTAATGCCCAGAAACTTCATCACTCATGCGCCGAGTTGAAGGGAAAGAACTCGGAGGGTGTCGAGACTAACTATGGGGATGTACGAGGATCAATCGCAGTTGCCATCCAAGAAGTCGGTGCCATCGCAGAAACCGCACGCGACTATATGAGCAAGGCTGCCGAAAACAGCGGCGACGACTTCGATATCAAAAGGACTGTCAACTCCTTCTATGCGTTCCAGGGAGAGAAGGACGGCGCCGAGATGAGCTCGCAGGGGCGCTGGAATCTGGCTTTGCGTGAGTACTCTTGTCTTCTAGCCTGTCTAGCACAACCCTTACGCATAGCTGCTAGGAAATCTCGAGACGATCAAAGATTATGTGGACAATCGAAATACGCGGGATCCTCCCTTCCTGTGCGGCGACGGACACCTGACCAAATTCACGCACTATGAGAACGGCGAACGAATCCAAGCCCAAGACCACGATGGGAATGCCTTTGATACCTATATGTATTTTGGTGAGTTGGTCCCCTTGCACATCTTCTATCACAATACTCATACCTCGGCTAGACGGGTTCAGCGGGGAATGGTGGGCAATCGCCGAGCCCGCATGCGAGGATGACCCAGGGACTATCGCCATCACTCACCCCGGCGGATATATCCAAGTCTGCCCTTCGGCCTTTTCATTCGCGCAGATGACGGCTCCTCGGGATACGATTGACTCGGATAAGAGCGAGGATTCCAAGATCGACTGGAGTGACAAAGAGTACGAGGGTGACTATCGGCAGTCCCTGGACTACTGGGCCACTCCTCTCAGCTACAGCATGTTCCATGAGCTCACCCATTTCCTGCTTGGTTGTACGTGCCGTCTTCTCATTTCCCCTATCTTACATGACTAACCTGGATAGATGATGACTATAAAATCTCGGAGCCGGTCAGCTGGATTGGCGGCACAGTCGACAAGGCCTACAAGTTCAACGGAGCCACGCAGTTGGTGAAGGAAGATATTGACAAAGTTCCTAACAACGTTGATAATCTGGGAATGATGGCACTTTGTAAGTTTATCTATTCATTAATCCCGCACTCGCCTTAGTCTCGCCCCTTTCAGTCTGGGATGTGCTTTACTAACACCGTGTTCACAGCTCTCTTTATGAAATCCTGTAACTGGAGCTCAGGTCGTGCCAGAGGGAAGGAGAGTAAAGATGAGTAGGGATATCAGGGAGGAAGTGATTTTGATAAATGAGCTTAACAGATTTTTGTTGATACTTGATGGATTTCGTATATAGTAAGTAGTAAACAGTACGTCATAGTAGGTCGTCATCTTTGCGGAAGATGTCCACATTCTTTCTTATCTCCTCGACTCGCTCGATATGATCAAAGTTCATATCCTCCAGTCTCTCATTCTCCATCCTATCAATCAAATCCACAACTTCTTCAGGACCAGTGTCTATCTAATCAACCCCATAGCCAACTCCGTATCAATGTAACCATGACTAAGCACTCTTATCGCGATAACCACCGCCAAGACATCCCACTTTTTCCAAGATTCATTCAGTCTTCTTACCATCTCATAAACCCAACTCAGTCTCAAACCCCAGTCTCCTCCCCTACGCTTGTATAGAATTCTACCCCTATTCAGATTACAGTTACTCTCTAAACATTGACCATGGCTCCCAAGAAGATCATCATCGACACCGACCCCGTAAGTTATGATGAATACCCACCTGTTTCCCCGCCACGGGACACCCCGCGTCCTGCGATTCACCATCAACAGTCAACCTAGACCAAGGCCGCTGACATTTCTCGCAGGGTATTGATGATATCCTGGGCCTTTTGCTGGCGCTGTCGGCGACGCCTGAGGAGGTCGAGGTGCTTCTGATCTCGTTGACGTTCGGCAATATCGAGGTGAAAAGGTACGTGTGGTTCGAGGGTCAAGATAAACGCCTCGATTGAGTTCGCTGATGTTGTTTTGAAGCTGTCTTCGCAATGCGGTCTCCATGTTCCATATTCTCGAGCGCGAGATGCAGTGGCGTCGTGAGCAGGGCCGTCCTGAGGGCTTCGGAGCTCTCCGTGCCCACCCGCCGATCGTGGCGGTGGGTGCCGAGGATCCGTTGGAGGATCAGAAAATGTTGGCGGATTACTTCCGTGAGTCAACTCTTTCTACTTGGGGTGTTTTATCTCCGTATGCGATGCTAATGGCTGGTAGATGGAACGGATGGTCTCGGAGGTATCCATGGTAGCGTATGTTTTCATGCCCTGGTTCGTTCATTGTTTCGCTAATTGACTCGCATTAGCACCCTCATTTGACCCCCAAGGAGACCTGGGAGCATCTCTTTGATCCGTCGAATGATTCGCAGGAAATCAAGCCTGTGCCGTCGAGTGATACTGCACACAAGTCGTTTATTCCCTCGAAGCGTCCGGCCCACGAGGAGATCCTTCGTGTCTTGCGCGAGAATGACCCCGATACTGTTACCTTGGTGGCCGTGGGCCCTCTGACGAACTTGGCGCTGGCCTCTGCTGCTGACCCTGAGGCTTTTCTGCGGGTCAAGGAGGTCGTGGTGATGGGAGGCGCGGTCAATGAGCCTGGAAATGTAAGTGGTTTTCTACATAGATGTTTGGTCAAAGCTGACAGTATTCCAGGTCACTCCCGGTGCCGAATTTAACGCATATGCCGATGCGTTCGCCGCTGCTCGAGTCTACGCTCTTACGTCTCCGACGCCCAGGACCGCGATGCCCCTCTCGAGCGCCAGTATCGCCGGCTACCCTGCTAGTCTAAGCAGACAGCTCACCGTGAAGCTGTTCCCCTTGGACATCACCCACCGTCACGGCATCAAGCGCGGCCAGTTCCGCCAGACCGTCGCCCCTCTCTTGGAGAAGGGCTCCCCGTTGGCCGAGTGGTCCGCGGCTTTCATGGCCCATACCTTCAGCACCGTTGAACGGTTGCATCAGGGACAGGTGGGAGACGATGTCGAGCTCAGCTTGCACGACCCCGTGTGCGTGTGGTACGCTCTCACGGCGGAGGACGAAGGCTGGAAGCCCTCCACCACCTCGCCGGAGGACATCCGAGTTGAAACCACCGGACAGTGGACGCGAGGCCTGTGTGTCGTCGACCGACGAGACCGTCACCGCATGGAAGGAGAGGAGGAAAACCCCAGTGACCACGGACTCTGGTTGAGCTCGAAACACGGCAACCGCATCTGGCGGATGGATCAGTCTCCCGTGGAGAACAACTTCGGAGAGGTCCTTCTTACGAAGCTGTTCACTTGAGATGAAGGGGACTCATTGGTCTGGATCCCAGGTTGGAAGCTATCCCTTCAGAAGGGATACTTGTGAATATGTGTTTAATGGCAACCCATAGATAGATTTTGTCATAAAAACGTCATGGTTTCAAGATGGTATGATGAATTATGCATTGCATAACATATGATGTATTAAATTAGTGATATCAAAGAATCAAACATGTTGATAAGGGGCGGGTTTCATCCTCAGGAATCCTGGGTTAGGGAAGCCGGAGATGATCGACATCGTAGACCCACCCCAGTGGCTGGCAAGGCCAGGAATGCCATCCCTTCAACGAGTTTGTTAGAGGCTACAGCTTTGTTGCTGTTACGCAGAATATGGGGAAGGTATCCACCTGTGTGTACCTATTCTGCAACATTTCGATCCCTGAAGAATTGACTTCAGGGGCTATTGAACAACAATCAATTTTGCTGTTCCAGAAATGTAGCAAATCGCGTCATGTCAACACTACTTCGTGGGAGAGCTTGTAGACTAGCCAGTCTTCATAGACACATATTCGGACATGTGTTCAGACACAGGTGCCTATCGGAGCAGCAGATCTAGTCCGTTCTCAAACAGGCGTAGTAGAACTGAGCAATTGGTAATGTAGAGCAATTGCTGGACAATGCTGGACAGTGTGAGCAACATTCACCCCAGCCTCAGTACATTTGCCACAATCTGAACTTGAACACCGACTGGAATGTGCCAGCCCTTGAAAACGACGTTGGAATGGGACGTGAACAATCATTATATCATGATTGGTTCTGTCACGTCATAGGGAATGTCATGGGTCCAACGAGAAAGCTCAGTTCCGGTTCAAGAGGGGCGAAGAGAGCGCCAGGAATGCTGCATGAATGATCGTGGTTTTCTGACATTAAGTGTAAGAGATGCGAGGCTGGTGTTGAGATCACCGTAGTCCTAACAACCTCCTCTGCAAATGTCCTGTTGCGATGATGGCTATATAAGGGGGATGAATGAAGTAGGTTCAGTTGCTATTCAGACTCAATCATTCTTCCAGTTCCATCATCAGATCAATCAGCAACGAACAAACTCATATCATCCCAAACCAGATCATCAGATCCTCTACAAACTTCTTACCTTCATCCAATCAACTCAGCCACCATGCAATTCAACTTGATCGTCGCCACCGTCGCTGCTCTTGCCAGTGTCGGCATTGCTCTACCAACCGGAGGTGCCGCAGGACCTCATCGCGAGGCTCAGATCGAGGTCCCCGAGAACAACACGACGACGCACGCCCCCATGAGACATTGGCCTAAGATCATGTCGCCTAACAGCGGCAACGGTGAGGTCCGACATGGCTCCAACGCTGACCAGAGCCTTGATCCCCGGATCGACCGCTGCCCTTCGATTTGTGCGGTCGCAGCCCAAGCATGCGTCGTGGCCCTTCCAGACGACGAAGACTTTTGGTAAGTAATTCTAACCCGTGACATCACAGCCATTCGCTGACCAAGACCATAGCTGGGACACCTACATCGGATGCACCGACCGCTGCTAAATAACCGAGCCTCTGGGCGGAGTCGCCGTTGCGACCAGGGCAGGTCGCAGCAGGAGTTTGACCTAAAAATCCATCAGGGTCTGCCTCCTGCACTAGGAAAGGTTGAAGATCCAGTGTCGGGAGGAAGGAGGAGCACGTGCTCGGATGCCCGTCTGGACGAGCATCCAGCGGAAGGACTAGGAGTGGAAAGGGGGAGCAAAAAAGAAGCTATGGCGGCAAATAAATGACGCCATGAGCACTGGCCAACGGAAGAGACCTGGCGTTGAACCAATGGCCGTGTATTGTATCTGTTATTGTCCAGCGTTGATCATTGACGAATGAATATTTTTGCACATCTTTCATTCGGTTGCAATTGAATGCACGTAAAGTTTGACCAAGACCAAAATGCGGATTCCTGGCGCCGCAACGGGACACGAAAAAGGGCAGGCCTCACATGCTCTGATATAACTAGCGACCGATTCGGATCGGAGTTCATTCCATGGTTCATTGCGCAGAATACCGGGTACCAATCAGGGCGTCCGACGGCGACATGATGGTCTCCGAAGGTTGAGAGGCCGGCAAGGGAGGGCGAGAGGCAAAGTCGGTCTGCCCGTAAGAAGTCCAACCCCGAGCACGAGGTGCCGCTGTCCGGTCTCGTGCCTCGGCCAGCCCGCCAATTAGCGGACGCTTAGCTGCCGCGTGGGCTCGTCCAGCACGCGACACCGTGAAGTGCCCGGAGCTGCCTGATGGACTTTATCTGCCCCCGGCTGGTCAGTGTGCAGGAAGTGGTGTCCAGTGGTGGAGGAGCTGCAATCCCGTCTGGACCCCCGTCGATCATCCACCGTCTACTTTCTGCACTCCCTTCGTCTTCCCTATCCTCCCGACTCTTTCTCGCCTCTCCACCATGTTGCGACCTTTCCCTGGATGTCCTTTAATTAGCTCATCCATCGCCTGCCCTGTTCATTTCCCCTCCCCTCTTATAGCTGCCTCTGCTGCGTCGCTCGTCTCACCCTGAGCTGCTTTCCCTGTCCACTCAGCCGACGGCCAGTCTCTGCATTTCTAGACCTTTGCTGCGCCTGCATCTCCTAGACAACCCTGTGCAACGTCTATCCTTCTAAGCATCTGTGCTACCTTCTATGTTCATTGGTCAACAACGCTCCATTTGCTCGCAGAGGATACTACCCAGTACCTCTTTCCCCCCAGATTTGTCCACGCCGCATCGAGAACCGGAGGCTGTCGCACACTCGCAAGACCATGTCACGTTCTCGTCTACCGCCAACTCCCTCCATGTCAGGGGAGTTCACCATCAAGGAGCAAGTATCTGTCGATGGGACAGATGCATTTGCCTTGCCTCCCGCCGCCATGAGCCCGTCCAAGCTGCCGAACGCTGCCAGTAGGAGGTCATCCAAGACCGACTCCGCCTATCTTCCAGCATCGCCAACGTCGCCCGAGTTTGGCCCGGGGCGTACGGCGTCGTCGACTCGTCAGGCCGGGGTCAAGCGGTCCCTGGAGGATTTCGAACTTCCCCCACCTCCCACTCGCACTCGCAAGATCATTCAGATGAAGCCGAAAACGCAAAATTCCCCTAAGCCAGCACCGGCCTCCAGCAAATCATCGACCAAGGAGAGCAACAAGAACGCCCCCAACAATGCCAACATTGCAACCCCTGCCGCGTCTAAAAAGAAACAGCCAAGTGCTACCAGTGCCGCCGGTCGCAAGATTGCCAGAAAGACAGCCCACAGCCTGATCGAACGGCGACGACGATCGAAAATGAACGAGGAATTCGGGACTTTGAAGGATATGATCCCGGCTTGTAAAGGCCAAGACATGCATAAACTGTCAATTCTACAGGTTCGTTGAATTCCAGCACGAACAGTCAGCCCCCCGCCGTCACTAACCATCCTTACCCTATAGGCTAGCATTGAATATGTCAACTATCTAGAGCAATGTATCCAGGATCTCAAAATGGCGGGTGGTCAACAATCGCCCATGCTCCAACACATGCCACCGGGTCCTCCCTCGCCAACATCTCCCGAAGCTCTGCCGGAATTCACTGGTAGCACGTACTCGGCTTCGGTGTCTCCAGACCTTTATCCTATTAGTAACCAAATGAACGAGACGTCGCCGGTATTCTCTCCTCAAGGCCATGTGCCTTCAGCAGGAATCCCCTCCGAGGTTGCTCCGTCGGTTCTTCCCAGTCCGGCATTGGGACCTATGCAATCTTCGCCATCGATCGAGCCACAGTACCGCAACCCTTCGTCGGCCGACGTGGATCATGAAGCGTCGGCCGCGCTGCTCATGCTGAACCGGGATTGCCGACAGGCCACGAGCCTGGCCGATGGCGAGCGTTCTGGGTCGATTTCGGGTCCGCCGGAGGGACAGGAGTATTCCCACCCTGATAACCAAAGACGAATGGGGATGAGTGTCAAAGAACTCCTGATCTCTTAATCTGCTGTTTCCTTCCTCCGATTGTTATTTAGTGCAGGTCGCAGTGCCGATATATACGATGCCCTGGCGTGGCGTGGGGTTCCCACCACCTTCACGAGCGCATGTCACCTTCCGTGCGGGGGCATCGGCCAGCGACGTTGACCAAAATTTTCCTTGCGTGTATGAAATGTATTTGATGAATTAGCCTATGGTTGTTTGGTGGGGTTATGTCGGACAAAATTCCTGTTTTTCTTTTTTTGCCCTTTTCACTCGAAATGTTTAATACCCATAATTAAGAGACATCAAGACTTATAAAACAAATAACCTCAAGATACGAATGTTTCTAAAGGCAACCTCCTCCGAAGGCAAAACCTCCGGTAGCATTTCCTCGTAGGTCGTAACACGGGGGCAATAACGCACCTTGCGACGAGCGTCCCAGCGCCAGACCGAGACATCCGAATGATCCAACCATCCATGCAGGCGGCATCATCGACGTGTGACCACCTGATGTCAGCTGCGACGTACGCTCGACCCTATCGGAATGCCGAGGGCCGCAGGGATCGATGCGTTCTCGAGCATGCGCCAATGAGAAAAAAATACCCCGCACTCCCAACGCCCTTCGATTTCCTTCTGGCCGCCTTCCAGCCCGCCTTGGTCGCCATCTTAGCCTGAGGTTGAGGTTGAGGTTGATAAGGCCGGTCTGGTGGTCGGTCGGGGATCCCGCGGGTCCGAGCCGTACTGCGTAGACTGGTTTCGCCGGAGAGCTGGCAGGGAAGGCGAATGGCGACCGGACTGGAGTTGATTGACTCCAGGCTAATGGGGTTAAGCATACGTGGAATTCCCGGAGTGCTCGACGGTGGGAAAAAAGAAAGAAGGCATTCAGGCAACTAGTCCAGTCCGGTTTGTCGATCCTCGCCGCCAAGAATCGACTCTTATCGCCGGACAATGGATGCGTACAGCGCATGTGTCATGTACACGGTACAAGCCTCTGGCGGTCGATTACCGATTACCTTGCGTGGAAAGAGGGCCTAGTCAAAGTCAAAGCACGCCACCGGTGCGACGCGAGAGGTAAGCATACAAAAACCAAGGTGCGCGGCATGCCGGTGAGTGTAACCTGAGGACGGCGCCGGCATTGGCCTATACGCGACGTAGGTTTTCTCGGAGCATGGCGGTACGTGAATTGCCTTTTCATTATAGTACTCCGGATCATCAGCCAAGGCTTGAACCCCCACCAAGCATTCGTAGACAGTCTATCTGTTCGAGTCAAATCACAGAGTCGACTGGAGTCTCGAGGATCTACGCCTCATGGCTGACTGGCCATTAGTAAACTAGTGCCGCCAGCCAATGACGTAGTCCGCCCATCCTCCTTGATCGCTTCACTTTTTTTTTTTTTTTTTTTTTTTTTTTCACTCTCACTTTTTCTATGAACAGCCACAAACATGATACTCTGGTCTCAAAGTTTCCCTCCAGACGCCAAGCAGAAACCATCTAACCACAGAGTCAATCGACCGGTTATTACGGAGGATTGCGCAGGACCTCCGCGGAGGCCTGCGCATAGGCCTTACCCCGGGATGTCGCCAAGAAAGTTGTACTTTAGCGGCGATTACCATCTTGAGAGAAGTGACCCAAGTTCAGTCGTCTCGGCACGTTAGTCCCGTGGGAGAGCCTCTGATTTCTGAAAGTGAATTAAACCAGACCCAGAGGCCCCGCACTACAAGTTCCTTTGAGACCCGCCCGTATCCTGACGTAGTATATATTCCCCCCCTTCATCTCTTGATCTCACTCCCTTTCCCCCCTTTGTCATTTCCCCTACCACTCCGTATATACAAGTCATGATCTTCCCCCCTCTCCTACCTTAAATGGGATCCAGCATGCCTTCCAAGGTCCGCTCGCAGCACCGCATGAAGAATCCCCGCTCCCTCGTCTCCGAAGACCCCTGGAGGGTCGACACCCCCTTTGGCCCGCCTCGCATCTCCTACTTCCCCGGCCGAGGCATCCGTCGCATCCGCAACACCCTCTCGAAGCTGTCGCCGTCTGCTCGCGCCGAGCGACACCTCCTCCGACAGAAGAACCGGTACAAGATCCCCCTGACGGAGCGCAATGTCGACACCCTAGTCACCGAGCAGGAGTTCACCGAAGCCTGTCATCCCAACGAACACAGCAGGGAGTTATCGGTCTCTGCCTGGCTGGAACAGGTTTCGAATTGATTCGAGGCTGTGCCCATCATCGCCGACACCACCTTAGCCAGCCAGCCGAAGCCTGAGGGCTAAGGGCTAAAGACAGGGGCTACGCCTTGTTTTTCATTTTCGGCCCCTTGCTGGCTGGCCCCCGGCATCTGCATCCCGACTCGACTCGAAACAGTCAATCGGGTCGAGACACATCACACACCACCCCGAGATCGACCACCCAAAACAATGCAGGACTAAACAGAATGTCTCGTCTCCCCTGCCGGCTCTGCGACGCCAATCCTTCCTTGGCGGGAACGTCATCGCGCTGGACACAGCCGCCGTTGGCATGCAAGGACGACGCCGACGCCTGCATGCCATCTAGACAAAGATCTCTGCGCTCGACGAGTTCCGCGCCTGTGAGTGTATCACAACAACACCGCCCGGGTGGTCTAGTGGTATGATTCTCGCTTAGGGAGTAATATGTGTCTGGGAATCTAGGCATGTATACTAATTAACCCAAGCATATCTGCGAGAGGTCCCGCGTTCAATCCGCGGCTCGGGCCGTATATTTTTGCACAACTGATCTCTTGTGTGCAATTGATTTTTCCTTTTGGAAGGGGAAGGAAGGAAGGGGAGGGAGGGAGGGAGAAGATAAGGCGGCAATTTTTGTTGAGTTTGTGTTGTCTCTGTCGTTTTCTGTCCATCTTCGTGAAGTACTTACTTACTTACTCTACATATATAATTTGTAATTCGATAATTAATAAATATATACCATATATATATATATATATATATATACAGTCTCAGAAATATCCTCGAACAGTTTTTACCTGAACCAAAAAACCAATATGTCTAAAGTGTGTGCGTCGTGAGTGAGAGACACAACCAATCCGCACAAAATATATAATTGTTCCTATACACAGAGTTTCGTTGTTCGGTTCACTCACCACCGCCAGCCACACAAAAAATACATTATGAAAACTCTAATTAATTGTCACTCGGAATGACATAAATAACAATTACTCACAGCCTAACTATTTTTAACAATTCCCGATTTCTTCCTTTTTCTAGGCAACATCCAACAACCATCCACACTGTTTCTAGTCCATGCGGGGAAGTCAGAAAAGAGCAGGGATGTTGTTCCTGACAGCCTCGGCGAAATGAGGGGTCTGCAGGCCGCCAACCACGAATCACAACTCTCTCTCTCTCCACCATCGCATCTCAACCACAAACAACACCACTACTAATTTACTTATAGAGTAAATAGAGTAGAAGTAAAAGAAATATCCATGCTCCGACCCAAAAAAGTCGCCATAATCGGTCCGTCCATCCCCCTCCCCCACTCTCACCTCCCTCCAAACCAAGCAAACTAACCCCCACCAGGCGCAGGACCATCCGGCCTCGTCGCCGCCAAAACCCTCCTGCACAATTACCCGACAGGGACCTTCAGTGCCACCATCTTCGACAAAAGTCGCTCCATCGGCGGACTATGGCCTACCAGCTCGCGTCGGCACCTGCGGGGCGGTCGCGGTCGCGGCTTGATTGACCCAGCGATGCGCACGAATCTGAGCCGGTTCACGGTGGGATTCTCGGATTTGGCGTGGGAGTCTGTGGGTGGGATTGGGGACGGGGATGGGGATAGGGTGCCGATGTTTCCGGCTGCGTGGCAGGTGGGGAGGTATTTGGAGGGGTATGCGGAGAGGTATCTACCAGCTGAGGTGATGAGGTTGGGGTGTAGGGTTGTTAGGACGGTTCGTGAGATGGTGGGGGAGGGAGAGGGAGAGAGGGCGAGGGCGAGGTGGGTTTTGCAGTGGGTTTGTGAGAGGTAGGTGGATTTCGATTTCGATTTCGGGGGAGGGAGTGATGAGTGGGTTGCTGATGCGGAATTAATCAGGGAGAATGAAGATGGACATGAAGAGCTGCATTCCGAGGAATTCGACTACCTGCTCGTCGCGTCGGGGTACTTCTCCAGACCCCATGTTCCCGACATCCCCGGGTTATCTGGGTTCTCGGACCACACGGTGCATAGCTCGGCGGTGCAGGGCCGGGAGGACGTGCAGAGGCTTCTCGAGTCGGGGTCCGCGGGTAAAGTGGTTGTTATCGGAGGGAGTATGTCGGGCGTGGAGACGGCGTCTGCGCTGGCGACGCACCTGTCGTCAATGGACTTTACGTCGGGATTGGCTCCGCGAGCTGGAAAGGCGTATGAGGTGCATCATGTCTGCTCGCGGCCGTTCTGGACAGTGCCGTGTTATCTACCGCATGAAACGCCGCGGGAAGATGCGCAGTCCGGCAGTGTGCAGTTCCTCCCGCTGGATCTGGTCTTCTATGACTTGTCGAGACGTCCGCCTGGCCCGATCGAATATGGCTTCGGACCTGCCTCGCCGCTGCAGGTAACCAAGGTGAATCAATATTTCCGGTCTCTGTTGGGGAGCGACTACAAGGATGTCGGGGAGAAGATGTTCGCTCTCGATAGTGGACCGGGTCAAACGGTACAGCCATCGTGGATAGGAATCGGAGACGAGTATGCAGAATTCGTGCGATCGAAATCGATACACTCGACTATCGGCCGAGTCAATGCCATCCATGTGTCCGAGACAGGCAAAGCGAGAATCGATATACAGTCAGCGGAAGGGGACACCACCTCCCTGGATGATGTCGCTGCCATTGTAACAGCGACAGGGCTCACGCCGTTCTCTTCGCTGGACTTCCTACCTGCAGATGTCCTCGCCACGCTGGAATACTCGGCCACCGACGCATTCTTCCCAGTTGTTCTTGACGGGAAAGGCAGCACGAATGCGCAGATACCAGATATGGGGTTTGTAGGGTTGTACAGAGGGCCCTACTGGGGCGTGATGGAGATGCAGGCGCGAAACGTTGCAGAGAGCTGGTTCCGACAGTCAACAGCAGAACCCTGTTTATCGGCCGAGGAGGAGAAGAAGACGCAGGAAAGGCGGAAAGTCCGCGAATTTCGGAATGCCGGATCGACCCTGCAATTTCCCATGGGCGATTACGTTGGATTGATGGAGTCGTTTGCTAGGGATGTTGGGCTGACTCGGTCACCTTTACCTACTGGGGAATGGCCTGGCCCGGTGATTCCTGCTCGGTATACACGGGGCGAAAACGAGAACAGCACGAAGGGCGAGGATATGGATATGCAAAAAGAGGCACAGACTACGATGGACTCCCTGCGAGGGATCCTGTCGCCTACTCCTGGATCGCATAGCTTGGCTATGGCAACAGCGGCATTCAGAGCTCTTCATGGGGCCTGGATATACACTCAGACTTCCATCAACAGCGATAGCATTTCCGGAACAGCGATCTTCTACCCCAGATACCCGTCAAACCAAGGATTCGAAAAGGAGTATGTTTGCGAGGAATACGGAGATCTTTTCGCAGATAAGACAGCGAGGTCCATTTATCGACTGGCTGGAGAGGGCTCAAACCTGCATATCTGCATCTGGGATGTAGATCTGGCCCGAGATCCTAACTCGGCATCTCGGTTCTCCCACGGATTCTGTCTTGCACCGGCGCAGATGGCGAAAGATGGGAAATTCGTTGTGCATGCCACTGCCGCTGCGGATGGTCATGGCCATCGCCACGAGTATGCCTTCCAGTTTGACGGCGTGACGATCTCATCCTGGGAGCGTACAGTTGACATAGACGGATCCACCATCAAGACCGTCTATTCTCGACAATGAGTGCAACTTTGTTACTGAAATGAGCCTATCAGCAAAATACAGAAACCTAATAAGTAAACCGAAACGCAGGATACCCGTCCCCCAAATTCTCCAACTCCTCCCTCGGCAACCTCAAGCGATAATCTCTCCCCCCGTTCTCCCTCACCCGGTTCTCCCGCACCAGATATATCAAGAACACCGCACACGCCGCCCCACAGATCCACGTCATCCCCAGACTCACCCCATACCCCGTCGTATACGCCGGCGCCTCCTCCTGATAGAAGATATTACTCGCCACCAGCCCCCCGCAGTTTCCGAACCCGATCTGCATCGCCGACGCCACAGACTGCTTATAGTGCCCGGCCATGTTGTTGCTCAACCACCCCATCAGGATCGGCTGCGTCAGGTACCCCCCGCCCGTGATGGCCACCAGCGCGAAGTACCGCGCCCCGACGGGCACGCTGCCCTGGCACAGCAGGATCACGTACCCCGTCGTGGCGACTAGGCAGCCTGCCAGCGTGAAGGCGTACCGGTGGCGCAGCCGATCGCTGACCCACGCCGCTGTCAGCGTGGTGACCATCGCGATGGCGTAGATAGGGATACTCATCACTTGGGCGCGTACCGCCGTCCACCCCATCTGGTGCAGGATGGTGGGCGCGAAGAAGGATACCGCGTAGCCGGTGTTCACGATGCCGAAGTACATGATCGGTCTGATATCGTTAGCCTACCTGTATTTCAACTTATCCCTATCACCCTCCCCCAATGCATCAACCTAGAACAACCAGCACCAATCCCCAGGAAAAAGGAGAAAGAGAGGGAAATACCCCAAGTAAACCTTCGGATCGGAAAACGTCCTCTTCAACGACTTCCGATCCAGCCGATTCATGCGCGCCTCGCCCTGATCCTCCGCCAACCGACGAATGAGCAGCGCGCGCTCATCCTCCGTCAAGAAAGTCGCAGACTCGGGCCAATCGACGATGATGAACTTGGCGATGACGGCGAGAACAACGGTGGCGAGGCCTTCGATGATGAAGATCCACCGCCAGCCGCTGTACCCGGCCAGGCCGTCCATGTTGTTGATGGCGTAGGCGAGGAGCTTTTTCAGTCAGATCGAGTCAGTCAGGGGTAGACTTGGGAAATGAGGCTCGTCTGGTTTATACTGGGATTGTGTGATAGATATAGTGAGAAGGGAAAAACGTACACCGCTGACCGCACCGGCGCAGATACTCGCACTGAAGAAGACGTTCAGACGCCATTGCAACTCGTGTCGGCGGTAGTACATGTTTATCAGGTAGACGCAGCCTTGAGTTGTCAGTTAGTCAGATATGGATGGATATAAGGGATTGTAGAGTAAGATAGAACAAACAGACCAGGCATAAACCCAGCCTCCAACAAGCCAATAATAACCCGACAAACCACCAGACCTGCAAAGCTGCCCGTGACGCCTTGACAGATGGTTACGATTCCTGAATTCCCGAGTCAACTCGAAATCAAGTCACGAAAGGAACAAAAGAGAAGATGAAAACACACCCCACCCACAAATAATCCCACTCAACCACCACGACGGCCGCATCCGCTTCAGCAGCATATTACTCGGCACCTCGAAGAGAATATACGGGATGAAGAAGACAAACAGCGCGACGTTGTACTGGTGGCCACTCATGCCCAGGTCCTTCTCGAGGCCCATCAGCCGCGCGTTCCCGATGTTGATGCGGTCGAGGAACGCGAACATGAACAGCAGCGTCAGGATCGGGACCACGTGCAGGTCGCATTTCCAGAGGAGGCGCTTCTCGGCGCGCGGGTCGATGGGGGATTCGGGCTGTGAGGGTTTCACGGCGATGTCTTCGATGGTTTCGGAGCGTGGGGGGTCTTTTTCGGGGTCGCTGGTGGTGTTGGGGTTGGGGTTGGTGGGCATTCTGGGACTGAGATTGAGACTGAGATTGGAACTGGGAGGGTTGATGAGGGAGAAAGGTGAGGTTGGAATTAGGGAGGCGATGGATATAACCTTCGCTATAAAGTATAAGGTGTGAGGTGTAGGTAGAACCCCACATATCCATGGAAGACACCGGTCTTTATAGATTCCAGGCCTTGGCTTCCACCCTCTCTTCCGTATGACAGTGAAGATCCCCCGCGATCTACATCCATTCCGCCTTATTACCGAGTTTCCGCGCTCCGGCTGGGCTTGGGCTGGTGCCAAGGGGGTTGACTGCCGAGTATAAAGGATTTGAGTTTTGTCTGGCTGGGAGTTCGATGTGTTGGTGGTTCCGAAAACCATGAGGATGGATAGTATCCGTAGCGGTTACCACGGATGAATATGAATTTAACATGTTCGTTTGATACTTGGCAGAGAATCCGGGGTACTAGTACTCTGGGGAAGAATTCATTACGTATGTTGATCTGCATAGAGGCTTATATACAGGACGGGGATTCGTATACTCCCGGACCTCTGGAGCGGAGGAATTCCGTTCCTGTCATACCTGGCGAGTGTATCCATAGATATCACCCGCATTTTTCAACCAATCGTCTTTCATTATCTGTTGATCCAGGCCAGTAGGTTGGCAGTGATTTAATTATCCATCCATTCACTCGTTTATAAAGTCCCAACTGGTTCTTAGTCATTGCCAATATCCTCCCGTTGAACACCAACATGCCGACTGACAACCCGACAAAGATCTGCCACATATTATCATGCTTCAATTATGGCGGTCAATGCAGATTCCTTTAGGAGTCATACAGCATCTCCGAATTCCTTTTCTTTCTCATCGAAATCTGTCCAATATGGGAAGCAAACCCTGCACCCCGTCGCCGCATCCCTTGCCTAATCGTTTGTCCCAAGATTCAGATTCCAAAGATACAGTTCAACGTTAGTAGCATTGTTTACTAACCTTTAGCTTCTACATAACTGACTACTAGTCCGGTTTTCTGGAACCGGAGTCCCGGAGAACCTGAGCTCTACGGCGGTCCTAGTCGCAATTGCGGTCCTTGTTAGTTTGCAATCCCTATCTTTCATTAAGCAGAAGTTCTAATGCAGCCGCGCGAAATCAGGGAAAAATTTCCCAATCTATTGCCTAGGCTTGATAGAAGCTGGTTTCTCTCGGTTACCGAAACAAGATGCTGGCAATTTCGACTCTCTCCCCCATCAAGGATCAGTTGAAGATCACATCAGACTTTTGAAAATAAGTCAAGAAGTGATGCAGAAGTTGATCAGCGACAAGCGTATCCAGGACGCCGCTACTCCAGCCCTGCTTCACCCTGATTTCCACAAAAGGAACATCTACGTCTCACCCGAGGACCCAACCACCATCACTGGCATAATTGATTGGCAATCAGCAAGCATCGAGCCTGCATTCATATACGCCAACGAGACACCCGACTTCGCCGCCCTCCCTGATCCAGACCTAGAGGAAATCCTACTCGAAAACGACTCGGAAGACCACAAACCTCCCACACCCCAGAGCAAAGAACTCAAAGACGCATCAATCTGCCACCAAACATACGACGTCTGCATGAAAGGACTTACACTCAGACTCCGCCCCGCAAGGCTCCTTGATCCAACTTTGTTCCGAGTCTTTCAGTACTGCCATACGTCATGGAGAGATAATGCCACGGCCCTCCGCCAAGAGCTAGTCGAGCTTTCAGCGCGCTGGACAGAGATGGGACTACAGGGCTCTTGTCCTGCTTCTTTGAAAGAGGAGGAGTTGAAGAAACACGCTCAAGATTATGAAGACTTCGAGACCGTGCAAAGACTTAAACTGTGGCTGCGAGACTCTCTCCAGACAAACTCGGATGGATGGGTTCCAAATGATGTATGGGATGCTGCGAGGGAGGCTCACCGCGCGGTGTATGATGAGTGGATACAGACGGCTAGAGAGGCTGAGGCTCGTGGGGAGGATATGACGGTAGCGAAGGCGGAGAGGTTGTGGCCGCTTGATGCTAGGTGATGAGTTGGAGGGGGTTTTAGTCACTATATCACGAACTACACTGTCTGCATGTTAAGGTCTCTAGAACCAGAAAGGAGAAATACGCCCAATATAAAGTTAGAGCATTTTTGAGTCGGACTGTCCGTCAACTCCGTCTTGTAGATTCCAGACCTCTCGGCGCGGAGGAATTCCATGCCCTGTCATGCCCGAAGCTGTCGATTGATAGGCTACGCATGCATAGATGCAGGAAGCTAGCGAGTCAGGATGCTCTTGGCGAGAGCGGAATGGGATTCCGCTTTACAGTCAGCAGGAAGGTTCTGTCTAGGAGAAAAGCCCTACTAAGGGTTCCACGTTCCCCGCATTTCTCCGCAAGAAATAAGCGGATCCGGGGTAGCTCCACATCCGATCAGCAGTACACTCAAATGGTCAAGAAGACATTATTAGAATTCATTGTATATAACACTGCAGACACTGCTTATTGCTACCTCAATACACGTAACATGGACTTCGACCATGGCCGATTACAACACATTCACCTACTTGTACCGCTGAGACGCATCCTCAACGTTAACTGCACCCGCTTTCTCACCCGCCTCTTGCTGACTGACAGCCATCTGCTTCTCAGTCAGGATCAGGTCCTGGCCTTGCGTGGCGTGGTTGGCGCCGCCGAACAGGGCATCAATCTCCTCAAGAGGCACTTGCTTGGTTTCCGGGATCATGAAGAACACGAACACGGCGAGGAGGAAGTTGATGCCCGCGAACATGTAGAAGGCATAGAATCCCTCGTTGTCGAGGAAGATGGGGAAGAACTGCTGGAAGATGGCGTTGGCGACGTTCTGGGTCTGCGAGGCCATGCCCACCGCTTGGGCTCGCACGTTCATGGAGAAGATCTCCGACGTCCAGATCCACACTGTCGCGCCCCAAGAAGGCTTGTCTGTGATTGTGTTAGTAACAAATCCTTAACGATGGTTGTGAGGAGATGGGCTTACAGAAAAATATAAATAGGAAGAGTAAGAACACAATCGATATACCGACGGACTGTGTTTTAGCTCCATCAGGTGAAGGTGTTTCTGTCTCGACAGCGGCAACGATAATCATGCAGATACCCATGCCGATACCACCGACAATGAGAAGGAACTTGCGTCCAAATCGGTCGATGATCCATACAGCGTTCAGCGTGAAAATAATACCAAAGGTTGCATTGAGAGCGTTGATCAGAGCGATCTGACCGGCGCTGGTAAACACCTTTTGGTAAATTTTGGTCGAGTAAGTGTTCAAGGTGCCTTGTCCGGTGATCTGTTGACCGGCGTTGACCACCAGAGCCAGAGCCATGCGCTTGCGCAGGGACTTGTCTTTCCAGAGAGCGGAGTAGCTGCTGGAGATGGCTTCTTTCTCGTATTCGATGGCCTCTCGGATTTTGAGCAGCTCTTCCTCAACCTCCTCCTCCGTGTCTCGGACTCTCATCAGAGCGGCACGCGCCTTCTCAATATTATTACCACGTTGGATAAACCTAAAATGCCGTCAATATATGCTTTTTCTGCCGAGATTGTCAAGCTTACCATCGAGGAGAGCCAGGGATGGTGGGTAGGAGAGCAAGAATCAGAACCGGGACGAGGAGCTGGAAAATAACGACCATTTTCCAGTCCCATTCTCCCAGGTTCTCTTTATGCTCAGTACACCCATAGTTCACCCAGAAGCAGATGAAAGATCCGACGGAGTAGAACATCTGCCAGAAGGTCATGATCTTTCCACGAATCTCGGCTGGTGCCAGTTCACCGATGTAAATTGGACCCGCAGCTGCAATCATCTAGTTAGCTGGTGCCTTAGATTGAGCATGAATAACCAAAGGTACATACTTAGGGCAATTCCCTGACCAACACCAATGATGCATCGCCCGGCAAGGAAGCATGCGATGTTTCCACGAGGGGACCAAGTCTGCATGAAAGTGGAGGCGATCACCAGGACACAGCCTGTTCCCATTCCGAATTTGCGACCAAGGAAATCGGCGACGGGTCCTCCCAAGAAGAAACCACCGAAAATGGCACCCACGGTATAAGCCGTGTTGACACCACCGATCATGTTCGGCCCGGGGTTATTGAAGTAGGCCACCCAGTTATCCGACCCTTGCACCGAGTTATATACGGATGCATCGTACCCATACAGCACCATGCATGCCGCCGCAACCAGAGATATGTACCTAAGGAAGATGAAATCAGGTATGAATCAGAGATATTCTTATGAGCGATGTACGAACCAGTTATAGGCTCTCTTCGAGGTAAGAAGGCCCATTTTGTTCTGTTTATTTGTGCCTCGACTGTACAGTCAGGCCTAATAGCACGAGATAAAAACCAAAGAAAAAGGTGCAACCGTTCAAACGGTTCTGAAATGCTAATAAAGTACAGGAAGAAGAAAGTAGCACGAGGGGTTAAAGAAACACCAGTGCTGCGTGCTCACGAGTAGACTGTTGTTGACAACCTCGAAAAAAAATGTGAGAGGTGCGAGATCGATCAGGACGCAACCAGATATTAAAACCAAGGGAGTGTTCGCTACAATTTCAGTCATCCAGCCACGCTAGAGGCCAAGAGACACCAAGGACTTGCCTCCCCGGTGGCACTAACATCCTAGCTTGTTCGTGATAGTGGTCGAGCTCTGGGCTCCAACATTTCTGACTGGTGGGGTATCTGGGGTGAGCCGAATCCAGCAAGATATTGGAACCTCCATTACGGGGTCCATTGCAGGGCATCGTGGTGCCATGGGGAAACCTGGGGTGGAGATTCGAGGAAATTCTGCGCCGGCGACAGGAGCCCACTGCAAGGTTTCCACGAATCACGGAGCGACATCACAGAATGAAAAGATAAGACCGAGTCCACCAATGGAACATGCAAGTGGAGACGAGCCTAGAATCCAATTATTTTCCTGGGGGAGAGAGTCTGGGGGGCCGGGGAAGGGAGAAGACTAACTAGAGGTTAGTGCCGTGTGGAGAGATTTGGAACGTTGCAGTCACGGGAGGGGATCACATGCCCAACAAGGCGACAAGGCAGCGACAAGCCTCGCCGTGTCTTCTTTTCTGTGCTTCTTCCCTCGCCAAGCGTCCCCGGGCTTTCCCCTACCTTCGCCATTCGCTCTGGCCGTCTGACCGTCTGCGTCCAAGAGATTACGGGTGATACGCTCAGGTCTCGGAAATAGGGCTGTCAGTTACTCCGCGGCTTGGGACTTTGGACAGCTGACCCTGGCCAACGCGCTCCTCTAGGTCTTCATTTTCGCCTTCGCATATTTCGAAGATTATATCTACCTAAGACCAAATGGAAGAACTTGGCTGAATCTTCTATGAAACCCGTCTATCTCTACATCATGACAAATCAGCTCAGACGTCACGAGCAGCTGCATCCACTCCATCGAAATGAACACAACGTGGATTCAGAGAGACGACAAGTGCATGGGAACTTTTCTCAACACCACAAACCCCTGGGCCAAGAAGCTAGGCTAATGACTCGGTTTTCCCGCGGCGAGTCTCGCCACCTGCAGTGGCATTTGTGCGAGGGAGAACCCTGACTGAGAACCTTGACTCAGAGCCATGTGCACCCATTCTCAAGAAAGGGTACTGCATATCAACTGTAGTTAACTGTGGTGTGAGAAGCTCGGAGCTGTAGTTGCAACAGCGTTACTATTCATGCTTGTGTATTGGACGGAACCGGGATAAGCATCGGTTATTCCATAAAGTCTGTAATCCATAGAACTAGAATGTGCTCCTGAGGAGTGTATGGAATGAGAATGAGCTCGTTAAGTAGATTGAAAAGCACTTAAAAACAAACTGTTGGTCCCTCTTTGCTACTACTCACATGCAGTTTATGAAGTCGATGTGAATGATGCTCGTAGGCGACAACAGTCCCAACCAATCAACTCTTCCTCTTTTACAGAAATCAGAATTTCTTTTCATTTACAAATTCCCACATACCGTTTGAATAGATGTGAAACCAAAGTGACATCCCATCAAGGACAGTATGACATCACGTGCTCTCGTGACACCGGGACGCGATCTTATCGCGATCTGATCTTCCGCACCGCGAATTTTCATCAGTGCCCCTCTACATTCCTCACTTCACTTCAACCCACACGCGAGTGTCAATCTCATTCATTCATACCTCGAAGCTGTCATCTCCTCCCATCCCACATGCCCCGCACATATGGCAGAGCGAAACAGACCCGGCTTTCCTTTAATCCCATAGCCTTGCCGCCCGAGGAGGATGACGACATGGCTCGTCAGGCGACATTGAAATACGGACACCCGTCTCGGCCAACGTTTCAGTTCCCCGGCTCGAAAGCGAGCAAGACGTCTGGACGGAAGACTTCTCCTGATCCGTTTGTGACGAACAAATCTACAGACGATGAGGCTGCCGCGGAACCGAAAGGATCTCGAAAGTCCTCGCGCAAGAAGGACAAGAAGAAAGCCGAGAAGCAGGATGGTGAGAAGAAATTGAAGGATAAGAAAGAGAAAGACAATAAGAAGGCGAAGGACGATAAGAAAAAGGAGAAGAAGAAAAAGAAGGCGAAAAAAGAGAAGACTGGTATGTGTGCCACTATCTGTCTCAGGAGACAGAAGCATTGCTAATCTACTGAAATCCAGAAGACATCCCAGACATCCCAGACATCCCTTCTCCACCCCGGAGTCCAACCCCCAAAGCTACAGTCTCAGCCGAACAGAGTAGCGACAGCGAATTGGAGATACTATCAAGCGTGCGCAAAAACCGAGCCGTCAAGCGAAAAAGGTCGCCTTCCCCGGAAGACTCGAACCCCCAGTCCCCGAATCCACCAGATATGACACAAGACAATGATGAGGACGAGGTGATAGCCCGGCCTCGTCGAAAGTTAAGAAGAGGTCCAGCTCAGCCTACAACCATTGTTCTTGACGATAGCTCGGACGAGTCGGATGAGCCTGTGGCTTCGTCCCCGATCAAACGACGTCAGCGTAACCTGAGCGCAGAAGAACCCCAAACCCCACGTCGCAACATGGATCAAGATCAGCTTGACCTGGAGGAGGATTTGGAGGATCTTCAGGATTCTGGTGAGTGACAGTTTAAACTTGGCAATGTTAGCTCCACTGACTTTCCGAAGTTATTAAAACATCGCGCACCCGTGGACGAGCTGCGAACTCAGCAAGAGCGCAAAGGCAAAAACATCTGGAAACATTGCGTCGACGCAGAGCCGGTCAGGCAGAAACAGATGAAGAGCAATCGGCATCGGCGTCAGAGGCGGAATCAGATGAAGATGGCTCTAGTGAGTCAGAAGACGAGGATGAGGAAGCCGTCAAACAACCTCGAATCCCTTTCAATAGGGAGGATAGCGATGTCGAGTCTTCCATTGCAAGCAACGAAGATCTGGATCGGTACGACAAGGACTTCGTGCTCGAAGATGACGAAGACGACAAGCTCGGTGCCCCAGCTGGTATCGAAGAAATGCCGATTGAATTCACCCGGCACTCTTACAAGCAATTGAAAGACTACTTTCAAGATGCGGTGCAATGGATGGTGTTCAATCGATTGTTTCCCGCATTTACTCGTTCTAGTCCCATCTACAAAGTCGCGTTCGACAAGTTGGAGGACGAAGTCAAGGGCCGCACCGGCTCCCAACTCATCTCTTCTGTCTGGAACGCCGATTTTTGCCGGGCCCTTATGGCGCGTCCGCACTTAGAAGAGACCACCTTCCCTACCAGCGAGGGCCATCCCTGCGACGCATGCAAGCGATCCGGCCACCCAGCGTCCTTTGATCTCAAGTTCCACGGCAAGGCTTATTCCCTCGAAACCCTAGAGCCGCTCTCTGATTCCGACAGCGACGAGGAGCAGTCGGATAACGAAGATGAAGACGAAGATGACGGCCAGGAAAAAGACAGGGACGGCCACGTACTGCCGGACCAAGACACTCGATTCTACCTCGGACGGTTAGTCAAGCCCCGTCCAGCCTGATTCAAGCCCCCTTACTGATATAAATATCTCAGACACTGCAAAAACAGAGCCACAATGGCTCACACACTCACCCACTGGCGCTTCCACCTCAACGAATGGGTCGTCGACCACCTCGACCGTACGGGCTACCTAACTGACGAAAAGACCCTCGAACGCAGTCACTGGAGTCAGCGACGCAATGCCAAATTCGCCGGCGAAGCATTCAGCGACATGGTCGAAGAGGGCGAGATCAAGAAACTTTGGCGTGACTTCCATATCAATTTACGCACGGCTAGAGAATCGACGGTATGTTTTCCTTCCGGCCTACAACCTTGTCTCTGATATCATTTACTGATGTAATCTGTTGTAGACTATTGGATGAAATCGTCCCGGCACTGTTATTCTATCTTTACTTCTTTTTTTTTCGTGATACCCACCGAAGTTTCTTATGGTTATTTGGTGATTGCATAGTTTGACTTGGGGATTCATTCTATCTACGTTCCATTGCACATATAGAGAAATATGGACTTGCACTCACCTAGACCAAATCTTTGAGTTTGATACGTCTAGCAACCTAAGTAACCTGACCTCTAGTATGAGTATGTTGCCTCTATAAGTGACAATACTACTCGAAGCAATTCAGTAGACAGCACCGGACACTAACAGACATCGTCTCTAGAATCATTCACATTCCATTATTCAGAAATTGAGATCAATAAAGTAGGTAAACAATGGACATAACGAAACGAACAGAATAGGAAATCACTTATACAAATACAGCCATTGCCTAGGTCCAGCACGCCGGACCAAAGGCATGAAAGAAGCAAGTCAAATAGACCAAAGACTCCGAAAGAAACAGGTGGACGAGGGTGCCATGTTCGTAACCGAGTCCAACTTGCCGTCGTCACCCTAGAAAAAGCGCAGGAACATCCCATCCGAATTTTTCTCGTACATCCTTTTTCCCAACCAAACTAGACTGCCATAAATTATGTTGCTGTAGTCAAATGCTCGCCGGTATATTGTTTTTAGGGGTTGCTTTCTATTTTTTGAATTGATATATCTTCGATTCGTTCAGTATCGGTTCCAGTCGACTAGTCCAGGTCCGCTTCGGACGATGAAATCGCATGCGAGACCTGAAAAACGACAGGCGGCTTGGGACAAAAAGTAGGTGATGGCCATCGAAATATCAAGGCGGATCCTCTTCACCTGTTGCGATCTTCATCTTCGACAGGAGGGTTCATTTACAGAGTGGGCTGGGCCGGCTTCTCTTCCGTGGGAGCGCCGGGCGTGAGCATCTGTAAAGACAGATTTGTTAGTCAGACCCGGTCAATTGAATGAAAACACAAATGGTGTAGAAAGCGCATTGGCAGCGCTGAAAGTCGCGTTTTCCGATTTCTTGGCGCGGTTTGTTGACGGAAAAGTTTTTCACGTCATCCCGATCATGCGACCACCACCAATGATACCGGAATAGTCGGACAATGCCAGTGATTATAACGCGAAACATCATTGTAAACATACCTCGTTGGCACCCTTGATCATGCCCTGCTCACGCTCCATTTGGATGTACTGCTCTTCCTCGGCATAGGCAAGGGCCCACGGGACACCGAGGAGGAAAGCACTGGTACTGATGATCCACAATGCCTTGCCGCTGAACGAGATCGTGGACTTTGTGAAGGAGGTGACGGAAGAAACGGTGCTGTTGACTGAGCGACGGGCGGAGGGAGGGATGATGTCTTTCAGGGCCGACAGACGTTCGTACAGACCCTCGCTCTCAAGCTCGATCTCCTCATCGTTCGAGATCTCGGACTCTGCAGTTCATATCGTCAGAAAACTTGATCTGGTATTTATAGGTCTTTGTAGGTCTTTATGCGGCTTCAACGGGCTTGAAGTGAGGTATGGATTGAGGTGTAGGTATAGGTCATGGTTCGGGTGTTCGAAAGCAGGGAATGCCGGCGATGGCAATAGCGATCGATACGGAAGATGAAAGGCGATATATATAGTATTGCCCTAGGTAAGAATCGCATCAAGGATACTAACCAGTGTCAGTGTAGTCCTCCTCATCATCCGAGTCCAGCAGAACGTTGTTCTTGCTGGTCTGGGGCTTCTCCTGAGTGAAGTGCTCGTCCTCGACCTCGGTAAGCTTGACCATTGTGGCGGCGGGGGTGGTTAATATGGGAGATGAAGGGTGAAGAACGGGGAGTTGAGGTGATCGGGGTTCGTGGTGAAGACGGGGTTGAGAGGACGGAGACTGATGGGAGACTGCGGATTTGGCCGTTCCAACTTTTTTCCCGACCCAAACGCGCCTAAAGCGGCAAGCAGCTTCGGCCAACGACAGAGCGTCATCCTACGGCGGACGACGCCGACCACTGAGCCCTCCAAAGGATTCAAGTCACCTCATCCCTTTGGATTGTTCCTTTCTCTTACCACCGCCACAATGTTCAAGCTCACCGATCATTCTCGTCAAACTCCTTTATATCCAATTCGTACCAATCCATTCAGTTGGTAGGCTCCTTCTGCTCTTAGAGCAATCTACCAAGAATCTGACCTCAATAGATTGCAGCCCCATAGTCCGTGCGACCGGTCTTAAATGAGTAGAAATTCATGGAAATCCTCTTAATTACATGAAGAGAAGAAATTAGATTCTCGAGTCATCCCCAGTTCTATAGTATACATTTCAACAAATACAATCGTGTCTAGTTATCTGGCCTTTACCTCCGGCCCAACTTCCAGCGCGCAATGCGTTCCTGGATTTCCTCCCAAGGGAATGAGCGAAGCTTATAACCCTCCAACTCACCCTCCTGCAGCACGACCGTGGGCTTACCGGTACCCTGTCCCTTGTTCTGGACATTGCCTCCGAAGACTTGACGCGCAACCCGGCGCAGATCCTCCACAGTCAAGGCTTCAATTTGTTCGCACATCTCCTTCACACCGACCTTGCGGCCGTGGACCTGGACCTGACGTCCGAGATCTTCGAGCTCCACCATACGCGACTCCAGGTTCATAAGAAGCGAAGAGCGCAGTTGGTTCTTGGCCCGGTTGACCTCCTGAGGCTGCAAGGCCGCAAATCCGGAGTCGATGGTCAGCGACTGGAGTTCACGGCACATAACCTCGAGCATCTCCGTCGTCCGAGTCGGGCTGCAGGATGCAGAGATTCCGAAGACACCGCTGTCGGTATAACTGTGGTTGAACGCAATGCAGCTCTCCACCCACCCGTGCTGGTTGAGCACGTTGGTGTAGAGACGGGAATACATTCCCTTACCGGGACCGCCGGCGGAGAACGATCCACCTCCTCCAAGGAGCGTCTGGAGAGTTGCGAGAGCATAGATATCAGGGTTGGAGATAGGCAGAGCTTCGAAGGCAAGGTGGATATGGCTCAACCGGGGAAGCATGGGGTTGGCGGGCGGGGGGATTGGCGGAAGCGAAAGGAATCCACCGGTGTAATGTGAAGGACGTGCCAAGTCCAGGGTCGCCTGCCCGGTCAGCGAAGGTTGTGATGCCGCCGCGGCGTTGTTGGAGCCGGATGAGGAAAGGTTCTTCAGGAAGGGTAGTTTAGAGAGAAGACCGGGCTGCGACTTCTGGGAGGCGGCAGGGGTCGAGATAGTGGATGTAGGAGTGAACTGAGGAACAGTGGGCTCCTGGCCCTCCGACAGAGTGGTGTCGACGCCACTGCCGGACAAACTAGGGCCTTGGTGTCCCTTCATGTCACCGAAAAGCTTCTCCGTGAGGCTCACGGCCGTCTGGTGAGGCACTCCGGCAAACGCAACGACCATGCGCTCGGGGTTGAAGAAAGTCTGGCGATACTTTTCCACAACGGCCTTGTTGATCGCTCCCAGCCTCTCTTCCGGACAGAGTAGAGGGTTGCCCAAGGTGTTGTCCTTGTAAGCCGCCATGTGGACCAGCTCCGGCAAGATGAGCTCCGGTTTGGCCCAGATCTCTCCGATCTCATACTCGGCCGTGGCCAACTGTTGAATCACTTCCTCCTCTGTGATGAGCGGGTCGCGGATCGTTTCCGCCAACAGGCCGAGGGTGGTAGGGACAGCGGAGTTAAAGCTGGCGGACTGGTACATCAACGACTCGCGGGAAGAAGCGCACTGAATGTTGCCGCCCAGGTTCTCGAGAGTCTCGAGCATCTCATCGCTGGAGCGCGTCTTTGTCGATTTGAAAGCCAGTCGATCCATGATGTGACTCACACCGCGCAAATTCTCATCCTCATATCGAGATCCAGCATCGATGTAAACGCCGACGCCGGAGAAGGGTCCCGGCAAGGATTCGGTGGCGACGCGGATACCATTTGGCAGTGTGGTGATTTGCTCTAGCTCGGCAGGATCCTACCAGAGGCAAATCAATCGTTAGACCGGAGTAAAATCAAATGGTCATGGCCAGGGTGTTCGGTTGATTTACCTTGGAACCGGCCTCAGTAGCAAAGCCTCTCGACACTGAGCGAGGCACGCGGGCAAGTGGCTTTGCGGACTCCACAGCCCGCAACACGGAGCGACGCATTCTGACGGTTAAAGATATTAAATGGACAGGTAGATTCAAATCAAATTGGTCACCCCCGTCTGGCGAGAAAAAGCTGGTGTTCGGATGGTTTGGTCGCAAGGATTTGGTCCGGAGACTCGGAGATCGCTTATCTAATCAGGCGTCCACGCGTGAGGAGGCTCTGGTTTTGGCCAGTGTTTTGAACGTTTAGGATTCTAGGAAATGAATCATAAGTGAATGAACTGTGATAGAAACTATGTCAATTTCCGAGCAATCATTATAAACTCAATTGTACTACGGTGGCAACAAGAGAAAGCATCCTTTAATAATCTGAGATCTAGAATCGCTGTTGACTAATTCCCGGGCACACCCAAATATACCAATCTATTATTTGGAATCGACTTTTCAACCATACCAGCCAGTCTATCAGTTCAGCACTAATAAGGGAATAGAAAGCTCAAAGCCACATCCTACGGGTGCTCTGCTGCCCAGGAACGATACCAGTCAAGACAACCGGCATTGGCAACACTTGCTCCAATCTTGATATTCAAGCCACAAAGAATCTGCTTCACGGCATTTTCCACCTTCTTGCCGTTGGAAGTGACCGGAATCTCGGGGCAAGCATCAACAATTCCAGGAACATGGCGAGGGCTAAGTTCCTTGCGGATGGTTGCTTGGATCCGTGCTACTAGGTCTGAGGGCATTGAAGACAATCCGTCAGGTGAAGCCAATTTCACAAACAAGACGACGGTTTCATCTGCATCGACTCCTTCTCGTCTTCTTCCCACGCACAGGGAATCCTCAACCTCGTCCGCAAAGTGTTTGAGAAGGACATTGTATATCTCTGCACTTCCAAATCTGACACCGGCTGGCTTCAGAACACCGTCACTCCGGCCCAGCATAGTCACGCCCCCGGTTTGGGGATTCAGGCGCACAAAATCGCCGTGATGCCAGATCGACGGGCCAAAGACGTCAAAATAACTTTTGCGGTATTTTTCGGCCCCGACAGGACCAGGAGGCCAGAACATCACCGGTTGCGCAGGGAAAGGCTTCGTGCAGACGAGATCGCCGGGCTCGTCAGAGGTGCTTATATCATTGCCGGCGTAGTCATACACAGAGACAGCCATTGCGAGGCAACGACACTGAATCTCACCCTTATAGACGGGAATAATTGGGCAGCTAGCACAAAATAATGATAGGATGTCGGTACCCCCAGTGATCGAGCCCAGCATGATATCGGGATGGATGGAGGAGTAAACATACTCGAAAGTGGAAGGGGCCAGTGGTGAGCCGGTACTAAAGATCGCCCTCAATGATTGCAAGGTTACCGGGCGGTGCGGGTGCGTCCTGGGATTGAGAGACGCCTGTTCTAGAACAGACAGATATTTTGCCGACGTTCCAAAGTGGGTGATTTGCAATTCATCGATCAGTCGTGGCATAGCCATCTCTCCGTTTCCCCCTTCGGCATCAAAGGGTCGGAATGGGGAGCCGTCATATAGAACGATGGTAGCGCCACTAGCAAGTGCCGAAACCAGCCAATGCCACATCATCCAGGTGACCGTGGTGAAATAGAACAGACGGTCTCCGGGGCGTATATCGCAATGAAGCACGTGCTCCTTCTTGTGTTGCAACAACGTTCCCAGCGATCCATGCACGATTGGTTTCGGTGCCCCCGTAGTACCAGACGAGTACAGAATATAGACTGGATGCTCAGGAGGTAGACTTGTAAACTCAAGAGGGGCAGAAGGGTTACTGGCCGAAGAGAGAAAAGTATCATAGGTAGACGCTTTCCCTTGGACCGGGCAGACTTCTTCAAGGTTGAATTCGTGCGATTTCACGGTCTCGAATATCACCAACACCTCCAGCTTTGGGAGCTCCGGGATAATTTGGCGAATTTTCGCATTTGTCCCGTGCACCTTGCCATTATATAGAGAGGCATTGTCAGCGAACAAAATCTTCGGCTCGATCTGAGCCAGACGCTCCAATACTGCATGGACACCCGTGTCAGGGGACACGCCGGTCCAAAAAGCTCCAATTGACGTGCTTGCTAGCATCGCAACGACCGTGTTCGCATGGTTTCCTAAGAATCCTGCGACCCGGTCGCCAGGCTGCAGTCCAGCTTCCTTCAGTGAATTAGCGCATCGTCGCACGCGATCCCGCAGCTCTTTCCACGAGATAAATTCCCGATCAGCCTCGGTAGCGGTGATGATTGCGATGGCATTTTCATCGGGCGATGTGGCTGGGTAGAGTAAATTCTCGGCGAAATTGAGTCTGCTGCCGGCGAAAAAGTTGGGCCTGGGAAAGAGAAGTTTGTCCGAGTCCAGGACCTGCAGGGATATTAGACGAATCCGTAACCCAATTGTGCAATCACGGCCAGCTTTCTGCCCCTCTTTCAGGACCACTCACTGTGTTGTACGGCTTGTGAGCTTTTACAGCAGTATAATGCCACACATGCTCCCAGAACTTGGCAGGCTCCGACACACTCCATTGCCACAGGTCGTTATAGCTGGCCAGAGACGATCCGTAGTTTTGGTTGGACTTTTGCATGAAGTCATAGATCTGGGTGGTGTGCGGAGCGGAGTGGCGCCAGAGTTCTTTCGAACTGGCAGAGGTGCCATTGGACGACATGGTCGCGGCTATTTGAGCTCTTTGCTAATGGTCTTCTTTTGTTGCTTTCCTCTTGGTTGAACTCCTCTGTATGTCAGGAATCTGGGTCAAACTAGGGATTGATTGACCGACTCGGCCCACAAATATACTTCGGATGTAGGGGACTTGACCAACTCAGAAGAATGTGCTGAGTCTTCGGGAATTGGTACAAAAAGAAGAAGGAGAACAATAGATTCTTGAGAGCCCGAATTTCAGTTCCCGGCGTAACTTTAAATTTGATAGGAAGAAGCGTCGACTAGTCAGCGCGGTAGTCAGCAATCGAATCCCCGAACCTGGGGCGGAAATTTCCGGAGATGGCGTGGGTTGGGACTGGGAATTTGGGGATAAGTCGAGCACTAGAACCAGAGCCCCGCCAGCACCGGTGGTCAAGTAATCAAGGGCGGACATTTCGGAACACAATTCGTCAGAATCGAGAGTATTACTTGACACGATGTCCGTGATCAGATTTGGTCGACGTGCGGTACTCGAAAGAGAAACCATGACCGATGGCTTATGGCCTGAGGCATACTACACCCGTGGCAGCCTGAATCCCGAGGCATGAATTGAATGCCTGGAAGGACCCGAAGTCAATTGGAAGCAATTGGAATGGGTCAGGCATCAGGGGCAGGCCGATGCTTGTCTGAGTGTCGGACAAGAAAGAGCGTACCTTGCATGGGCCCCTTTCTTGTGTGCCATCGTGCCCAATGATGATTAATTACTCACAATTTTATGAATGATTCTGGATTGATCGATGAAAAGAAAAAAGATTCGATGGTGGAAAATCCGGGAGGGTCCAGGGGTAGCGTAATCTTACCGTTCCGTTACCGCTGTCCAGGGCGGACGATGGCGGATCGGCCGCTAAAATACCACGGACACGCGGGAGGTGGATACCGCATCATACCATGAAAATACCGCATGGGTCATCTCCACTTTTCTTTTTCCTCTTTTTTTTTTTTTTTTTTTTTTTTTCTTGATTCTCTCGCTCGGATCCAGTTCCATGTCACGATCCGGATCCGGCTCGAATTACCAGCTATCCCAAGGAGAGATTAATTTCTTTCTTCCTTCCTGCACCTCGTTGCTGCTTCCACCCTTCAGCTTCCCTCCTCAGCCTCGAGGTTCTGTCCGTTGCGACCCATTCGATCATTGCAGGGCTCAGCGCCCTCCCCAACGTCCTTCCACGTGCCGGGCAAATTAACCAGGACCAATCCGGATTTCTCGGGAGTCCTCCTGTCTCCTCTCTCTGTCCGTCTCCCCGTTGCCCTCCCCTTCGCGATTTCCCTCCCTCCTTTCGTCCTTTCCCCCACCCGCGCCTTGTTTCTTTTTTATTTTATTTTTATTTTCATTAGTTGTGCTTGGTGTTTATCCCTCCTGCTCGGTTGATTTGATTCTGGTCCACATGTTCATCGGAATTGATTGACTGACTCGTTGCCTGCGCCTCGTTCAGATTGACGTCGATCTGGCACCATTGAGAGAACATCCGAAACAATAACACAACTCGCTCGATTCTTGTGTTGAAAAAAAACATAAAAGCCCTTGATCCGCACCTTGTCAGGTGTTTCCTGCTCTTCCTGTCTTTCCGAATCCACGGGAGACGCTTCGCTCTGTTCATCACGTCGGTGTCGCGCGACCTTGATTCTTCCCCGTTCGGCCGGTTTCTTGCGATGCCTCGTCGATCTGCCAATTCTTCTTCTACCAACGACCCCTCCACCTCGCCGTCCTTTTCTTCCGTCTCCGGAAAGGGCGGGATCGCCATCAAAGCGTCTTCCAGAACGAATCGCTTGACCCAGTTCTTTTCGACCTCCCCCAAGTCCAAAGTCGAACCGACGCCCGCCCAAGCGGCTCTTCAAACCACCGGTGGGAACACCACGGCGCCTCCGATCAGTTCGGCGTCTCTCTCGCTACCGACCATTTCTCTCTCTACCGCCACGGCAGACAATCCCAACATGGACGAACCGCCGACCACGCTCTTTCAACCTCCCTCGCCGGAGGAGGCCCGTCGCCTGGCGAAGCAACACGCTCAGTTCGGACCGATCGGCCATCCGAGTCACCGTTACTCGAGTCAACATCCCGGCGGTGACTTCCCGGAGCCCATCATGGATGAACCGCCCTACTACTACCTTCTTACCACCTATATCAGCTATTTAATTCTAATTGCATTTGGACACGTTCGCGACTTCTTTGGAAAACGATTTCGCGAGGAACATTACCGACATCTGAAGCCTCGGAATGGATACGGGGCTCTGAACAGTGATTTCGACAACTTCTACGTTCGCCGCCTGAAGTTGCGTATCAATGATTGCTTTGAGCGCCCCGTCACCGGCGTCCCCGGAAGATACATCACCTTGATCGATCGCGCCACGGATGACCATAACAACAATTTCTACTTCACCGGAACTACCACCGATACGCTGAACCTCAGCTCGTACAACTATCTGGGTTTTGCTCAGTCGGAAGGCCCGTGCGCCGATGATGCCGAGGAGGCCGTGAGAAAATACGGCATCGTTGCACCCAGCACCCGTGCCGAAGCCGGAACGCAGGATCTTCACAACGAACTTGAGGACTTGATCGCTAGATTTGTCGGCAAAGAAGCTTCCATGGTGTTTTCAATGGGTTTCGGTACCAATGCCAATGTTTTCCCTGCGTTGGTGAACAAGGGCTGTCTCATCATTTCGGATGAGCTGAACCACGCATCAATCCGCTTTGGAGCGCGTCTTTCTGGAGCCTCCATCGGCATGTTCAAGCACAATGACATGAAAGACCTCGAGAACCGACTTCGGGAGGCTATCAGCCAAGGACAGCCGCGCACCCACCGTCCCTGGAAGAACATCTTGGTCGTCGTCGAGGGTCTCTATTCCATGGAGGGGTCCATGTGCAATCTGCCTGGCTTGATTGCCTTGAAGCGACGCTACAAGTTCAACCTGTTCGTCGATGAGGCGCACTCCATCGGAGCCATTGGACCCCGAGGACGCGGCGTCTGTGACTATTTCGGCATCGATACCAGCGAGGTCGATATTCTCATGGGCACCCTCACCAAATCTTTTGGCGCCAACGGTGGATACATTGCAGCCGATAAGGCGATGATCGATACTCTGCGTTCAACCAATTCCGGAGTCGTGTATGGTGAATCCCCCTCCCCTGCGGTTCTGGCTCAGATCTCCTCTGCTCTTCGGATCATCAGTGGTGAGATCGTACCGGGCCAGGGTGAGGAGCGGCTACAGCGTTTGGCTTTCAACTCTCGGTATCTTCGTCTCGGATTGAAACGTCTCGGATTTATCGTTTACGGACACGACGACTCTCCCATCATTCCGGTTCTTCTTTTCAACCCTGCGAAAATGCCCGCTTTCTCGCACGAGATGCTGAAGCGGAAGATCTCTGTCGTCGTGGTTGGTTATCCTGCGACGCCTCTGGTCTCCTCTCGAGCCCGTTTCTGCGTTTCGGCAGCGCACACCAAAGAGGACCTCGATCGTATTCTCACGGCGTGTGACGAAATCGGAAATGTCCTGCAGCTCAAATTCTCCACGGGCGTTGCTGGTGGCGCTCTGCCCTCGAGCGAGGGCTCCACACCGCCGCCAGAAATGGAGAAAGAGTGGCACCGCCAGCAGAACCCGAACATGAGCCCTCCCCGATGGCAAATCGAGGACGTCATCAAGCGCGGTGTCCAGGATGTCAAGGCTCCCTTGTTTTAGGGCCCAATTCATCTGGCGCTTGTATGTACCTCTGTGGAAAGAGTTTGCACATTCACCTCACTTCCAAAAGGACTCGGTTGATGCTGGTCATGCCGCGTCGCATATTGATTCCATTTCTTCGCCATTTATGTATCTTTTTGACGATCAGTTCTGATTGTCCTGTGGCACCTCCATATCTTTTACTCCGTTTGACCTATGCGAGAGGCTCACCCAGGGTTCAAACAATCACGAATCATTGAACATGAAATACATGCCTTTCGAGCGGCTTTTTTGACTTGTTTGGCTTTTCTCTTCTCTTCCGAAGTTCACCGATTTCTCTTGGCCCTCTACCACTAGATTTCAGTTGTGCTCCGTCTTTTTTTTTCTTTTTTTTTTTTTTTCCTACCCTTCTTAGCCCCTGCCCTTCACTGTTACTTTATAGACACATACTGCTGGCTATTCTACCCCACCAAGTGCTGGAGGGCTGCGATTAGAGCCAGTCTCTTATTGTTTAAACCAAAAGTCCGGGGCTCTTTTTTTCCCTCCTTTTTTGATTGTATCTTAATGAATGAGTTTGATGAAAGTGGAATGGAATGGGATCTGGCATCTAATGACACATACAGCTGTCAGAACTGCATTCAAGCGTTTATAATTAATTTAGATGATTTGTTAATTTGACCTTATAAATCCTTTTCTTCAGCACCCGTACAATCTGATCAGGTGATTCATCGGGTTCTGCTTATCTATTATCGTCAATCAAATCAACTATCAATGTGTCAATTTCTAGCCTAATGCTAATCTCTATTCTAGCCCCGTCCCCCGGTATTAAAAAAACAAAACCACCTTCTTAATCTAGGCAAGTATAATAGAAGACCCCCGAATCTACTGACGCACACACCACCCGATAAGAGAAACAGTACGGTTGCATGCGACAACGCATGGACTATGCACCACGCCGAAAAGGACATGACGATAAAGATGAAAGAAAATCAAAAAGCCAAAAAATAAGACAAGTGATACCGAAATGAAACGCCAAGCTATGTATATGTATGTGCATGCGTACACATTGGGATGTATGTACTTCGCCAAGAAACCTTGATGCAAATTGTCACTTGTCTTCGTTATCTCTAGGAGTTCTAGAGGGTTTCCTCGTTCTTTCTTCCAAGGGGATCGCGAAGAGCCAAGTGGCTGGTATAACCAAAACTGATTGATCTGGTAGAGAAAACAAAAAGAGCACAGATGTATAGTATAGGAAACCGAAAACAGTAGAGGAAGTCCTCTAGTTGATAGTCATTACGTCATGAAATGGTCATTCCTCTGCGAAGTGCAGGGGTTAAAGAAATGGGAAAGCAGGGATGGCTCAAACGGTGCCGTATCTCTCGCGGTCTTCGTCTAGAAGAGCTCGTCGTTCGTGAGGAGTGGGAGGGTTGCTGTGGTGGATCTCGCGTTTGGGGGAGACGGAGGGGATCCAACCCCTCATCCAGCCACGGACGCGGGTCCAGCGGCTGCGTCCGCGCTTGGGGTCTTCGACTTCGATGATGGATTCTCCGTCATTGGAGCCGTACATGAGGAATTGCACGCCCATGAAGCCGTCCAGACCCAGGACCCCGAAGGCTCCCAGGAAAAAGGGAATGGCACGGCCCACCCACTCGAGGCGGTCGTTGCCATCGCCGTCGGCCCATCCACCACCGCCATACGCAGGAAAGTCATACCAGGCGTTCGGGTTTGTCAGGAGAGAAGCAGAGTAGAAGAGGTTTCCGCCAAAGGCAGCCATGAAGAGGAGAGGAGACAGGCCCGACGTGCTCTTGCGGCAGTAGTTCTTATATAGCTGGGGCGGTCGAGAACCGAGATAAAGGACCGTTGACATCCACGAAACGATGCGGCCGATGAGCTCAAGATTGATTCCACTGGATGGGGACCCGGTTTCCGGTTCCGTCGGAGCTGCATTTGCGAGCACGGCACACAGCATGGAAGCCAGCAACACGGTGCGTGTTGAGGTAGACGGGAGGCTGCGGCCGCTACCAGTGCGAGTCACTGACCGACGAGAAGAGCTCATTTTCTCGTTGGAATAGGACGGCGACTGGCCTCCCACCAACCCCTGTGCCTTCAGGTCCTTCACATCCGTGATATCCGTGGGTCGTGCTGCCGCCGAACGAGGTGCCGCGAGGCTCGGGTTGTTTTCGGAGAAGGATACTCCGTCCAAGACACTGGCGGTCCCGTCATCATGATGCGAGTAGGACAGCTCGCCATACTCATTTCCGCGCTGTTTGTAGTGGGTATACCAGAAGTACTGGAACACCAGAGTCACGTCCACAAGCACATAGTATCCGGCCACAATGACTTGCCAGCCCGCTTGGCGAGTGAGCAGGGCACCAACCAGGTTGCTGGCATCGCCCAGACACCACTCAACGAGGAAGAACAAAGACAGGCCCGACGTCGATTGCAATTGAAAGTTCTTGTAGATCTGAGGGAGCTGGGCAAAGAGCCACGAAACAATACTCAACGTCCCGAGCACCGAGGATATGAGCGCCAAGGGTGTCGGAAGGCAGATATGCAAGTGCGAAGAAAGGGAGGCCAGGAAAGCCGACGAGGGTTCACAATGTTGCGGAAGAGCGGTCTGAACGATCTGATCTAACAAAGGCGGAGGCATCTTTCTCGGGATATTGTCTGAACCGTCGTGTTCGATAGGAGGATCTAAGCGGGGTGTATAAGGTTGGGGCAAGGAGAGCGAACACGTCGGGGTGCGGCTGATCTGTGTCGTTTAGACGAAGGTTCAGTACTACCGAGAGGCAACGAAGAGGGAAACTCTAGGGAACGGTAAGGAAGGAAGTCAATGAAAGGAGAGTCTAAAAGATCTGAACAGCAAAGAAGACACGGTTGACTGAACAAAAGGAGAGTAAGAATAGGAGAAAACGAGGGAGCCCGGAAGAGGGAGGGAGGGAGGAAGGAGTCACACCCCATGGGTTTGGTCACGAGTGCTATCCTCCGGATCGTCGATAAGTCAGGCTGATAACCCCGTCGCCCCTATCCGCGCCCCCTGATTGGCTCGGACTGCCCCCCTCCTCCGATTGCCGGCCGATCGTCGCGCTCGTCACGTGAGTTAGGGCCCACCGCGTCACCTGCCCGGCCGCATTCAGCTGCGCATCTCAACCATTTGACGGTGTTGAACTCTGCTGACTACCTAGGTCTGATGGAAACATGGAGCCGAAGAGATCTGGCTTTCCCTGCCTCTGCTAAAGATTGGGTGTAAGCCCTTTTCCGGATTTCGTATCGAGTCCAGTCGCTTTGCCAATGCAATCAACGAGTTGTATTCGATTATTTCGACTAGGAGCCAGGGAGACCAGGTCTATCGAGGACTTATAGAAAGGAAAATTGAACAGGCGCTTGATCTAACAACAAAGCCATTCCATATTTGGGCTACCGCGATTAAGAATCATATCACTCTAAGACGATACTTTCCAGTCGAGGGAGTTTCTCCCGTAACAGTGTCAGTCTCGCGCAGTCCCCAAGGTGCCGAATCTGTTGACGTACCACAAGCCCTGTGACCGCTTGAACAGTGGGGAGATCTTCCGGAAGGGAAGTACAGCACGGGGTGAAGAGGTGCACTGTAGCCTCTACACCTGGATTATTGACCCATTGACCGTTGACAAGTTGACAGTTGACCCAGACGAGTTCTGGGCCATGCCTTCTATTTATGGGAGCTGCCTGCTGATGGATCCCATGTTGGTTTCCAAATGGGCAATTTGTGAGCCAGTGTTGAGGTGAAGAGACGTTGAGCTCTAATACTAGGCGACCTGTGGGCTGCCAGGTGACAAGAACAGAAAACAGCTTTAGCTTAGCGCGCCTAAAGATAGCTTCAGGTTGTAGCGTAGCTGCGTGCGGGTCTTGCTCACAAGAAGAGCAGGAATATCGTGGAAGATTGATATACAGGTAAATTTGTTGAACGAGATGCCTTGGTGGAGTAACCATGTACTCAAATTCGTCTAGGCATGATTCCTGTAATTTTAGCTGGTGGAAGACTTTTAGTTCGAAAAAAGCACTGCCATTCTTTGCAAACAGCTACACAAGAGGCCCAGCCGCGATGCTTTTGGCGCAGAATTTCCTCAAAGATCATAAGACGGATCTCCGTGGGTAACAGAGCCCAGCCTGCCCTGGGGCCACTAAGTCTTGCCTTTTCAGTAGCGCTGCGAGCCACCCGTATACAGATAGGATCATTACTGCCTCTCTTCGGCATATCGAGAAGAAGGCTTGCTAGCCAGTAGCAGTTGTGGTGAAGGGGAGAGAGTAGTATTTTTTGTAGAACTAATCGAGGTGCTTTCAGGCTCTGTTCTAAAAACGAAACGACAGGCCTTATGTGTGCAGTCTTCCGTTGTGATGAAGATTAAAAGATTCAGTCATGGAAGAGATATTTATACCTACAAGCTGGGAGTTACCGTCTCTGTGCCTGTGTCACTCCCTTTCGTCTGTGATGCGTTTTAACCTTTGATGGTGGAATCGGGTCAGCTCCAATCATTGTAGGTTATGTGCGAACGAACCTTGGGTCTCGGTTTGCGGAACCAGTCAGTAAATGCTGCTGATGGGGAAGGGAAAATAGACAATAACATCAAAATCAAGGGGCCTTGGCTCAGGAAGCACTGCAAAATCACAAAATAGAGCTGCAAGTTCATGGGGTGGCAGATATAGATAGCATATAAACGAATGACAAGGCCCTGATGAGTCTTCACTCCAGTCGGTGATTACAGTCGATGCAATCCCATTAGACAAATAAATCAATAAGCTCTGCCGAGTTACAAATCCATTCCTCTCTCTTAGTGCCATCTAACGTGTCAAGGCTCGCGTCTTCCATTATAGCAGGAATCCATTCTTCTCTGCCTTTGGCGTTCCACAGCCGGTTGTTTGATGGCATTGGGAACTGAAGGTCGCTCGCAGTAAGGCCCCCGCGTGACGTCTCGGCTACATTGTGGTCGTCATCTGTTCTGCTCAACAGCTTGTGAACTCTGTACAGGGCCAGATCAAACCGTTTCACTTCCTCGATGCTGACCCAGGCCAATGTCGCGATGGTCTCTGGATCTACCCGCGCAAGCATATTCGGATAGTAGAACATGCCTAGTCGCTTGCAACTCGCGACAAGAGAGTGTAGAAGTTGCTCATCGGCAGGGGGTAGGGAGAGCTTCAAGTCAAACCCCACGGAGGAGCCGCCTTTTTGCATTATACTGAAGATGATATGCAGGAGGATTGCCTGATAAGTCGGGATCGGCCAGGAACAGGCACTACTACTGGCATCTGAATTTGATGCATGCAAGGCATCCCACACCTCCTAAAATGGGTTGGTCGTAAGTAAACGCAGGTCATAGGTGACATGGGCGCCCACTCACTCTCTGCTGATGGATGGCCGAGTCCAGTGTTCTGTGAAGATCGAGAGCAGCGCGCTGCGCCTTCCGCTCGCCACTCGCCCAAAGACCAATGACCATCATTGATTGTGCGAGCAAGGGTGTTTCACGAGACAGGTTAAACGACCCGCGATGGACGAATGACCAGTGAGGATGAAATCGCTCGAAATAGAGATCGATAAAGTGTTGATCCCTCCTCTCAGGCCGGGGGGATTCCGTGTCTGACAATTCAGGTACTCTGTCCAGCAAATGGCGGACTGAATCCCGACGATTCGTCCTGTCAGAGGCATCGAGGGAGCAGAAGACTTTACGATGGACGCACTCGCGGCATGGTGGTCCACCCTCGCAACGAGACTTCAGGCGCCGACATTGCGAGCATGCGCGTCTTGTTTGGGAAGGGAGATCATCGGCCGCATGAGCCCGTCGCATATGTCGACGAAGGGTATCACTTGATATAGAGAGCTCAACGTTAGATTTATTTTCCAGGAGCAGTTGGGGGGACACCGATTACTTCCGGCCAAAGTTCCGATTACAAATTGAACACTCGAAGGACTGGGGCTGGGTATTATGTTGCGACAGGTGACGTGCGAGGTGCTCCTTGCGTCGATAACTCGCACTGCAGCCTGGAAAGTGGCAGTCGAATGTCACTGTTGGTGTCATGATGCATGGTTGATAATTGGCAGAGAAGAGAAGTGGGAGACTGCGGTGGGATATCGCGACGGGAGGTTCCGGCGGGAGGCTCCGCTGATGAGGAATTAAGTAGATCCTTGTTGATAGTTGGTATCAACCACTGATTATTTGATTAGTTTACTACCAGAAAATCCGATCACCTTTACTAATGATTGTTAATTGCTTTCTGCTGCACTAATCAGAGTCCTAAGGTGTGCAGGCAACTCAAAACTATAAGTATACCAAGTCGCACCGGTACTATTTCGACAAACTGACAGTACTACTCTATTTTCATCAGACAACTTCTATCAAGCAACCCCTTTACTCTCCCATTCAATCATGGCCCGCACCATCCTCATCGCCGGCGCAACCGGCAACACTGGCCGCAGCGTTGTAGAAACGCTACCAAGCCTACTAGCCTCCAGCAATACTCTATCCGACCACCGCGTCATCGCCCTCACACGTTCCCTCGATGGTCCAGTCGCCCAAGCCTTCGCCAAACTGCCCGACGTGGAAGTCATCGAGCAGAGCTGGGTCGAAATCACTGCCGACTGGCTGCGCAAGCACGAGGTCGTCCGAGCCTTCATCGCTTCACACAACGACCCGAACCAATTCGCCGAAGAGTCCACTTTCCACCAGGCTGCCCTCAAAGCTGGCGTCGAGTACGTCGTACGGATCTCAACCACTGCCCCCAACGTTCGCCCGGACTCTAATGCCTACTATCCGCGTTCCCACTGGGCCATCGAGGCGCTCTTGGGCTCGGAGGAATACAGCACCTTAAAGTGGACGTCCCTCCAGCCTAACGCCTTCTCGCAATTCTACTTCTCCTCTGCCCTCGAGTTCATCAAGAAGTTCCGCGAGACCGGAAAGCAGGATACACTGGGGCTGATGGCCGCCAAGGATGCACCTGTTGGCATCATCGATCCCGCGGACGTCGGTGTCTTTGCGGCCCACCTTCTCGCTCAAGACGATGTGTCGGTGCACAACAAGGCTAAATATGTGATGAACGGACCGGAGGATATCACCGGGGAGCAACTCGTGGGCATGGTCGAGCAGCAGATCGGAACGCGGGTTGAGAATGTGAGTTACAAGGACATGTCGTTTCTCGATTCTTACCTGGAGTTCCGGTTCGCGGGAACCCAGGATTCCAAGAACGTCGTCTCCTCAATAAAGCATGCCCTGGAGGTGGTGTGGGAGGGAAAGTGCTCGGCTTCTACTACCAGTAAGGAAGTGCTGGAGCTTGCTGCGCCGAAGCGTACGCCTGCCGATGTGTGGAAGGACATGCTGGAGGGATAGAGAGATGATATACTCTGTTGACTGCTTCTATTCTTTTTGATATACATGTCAGGTAGAAATATTATGAAAGGCGTCGTTACACTGGAAGCATCAAATCTAGTCCATGCGGTTGATTTCTCACGTTCCAGCTGTTGTGGCTTCGGGCATTGATATGGTTCCATGGTCCGGTTCCGTCTGATGTTTACATTGTTGCGACTATAAACGCGAGCATCACCTAATCTACCATAACATAAACATGGAATACTCCTTTTGTATCAAACTATTCAAACCAGCTCACCTCTCAAATGAGGTGCTCCATGGATCAATAGACATGTTGGTTTAGGTGTATCTGCATGTATAATCTTGAATATATCTGCTACTAAATAAGATATAAGCATCATGTAAGCGCATGTATATCAGAACTCTGAAGTCACAACGAACGCCCAAAACCAAACCAAAAGCAAGCAGAACAACGCACAAAACCGAAATCATCTAATCATAAAAAGGCAGGTAAGTCATCACGTCATTATCATAACCCTTCCATCCCCTCTCACAATCCTCCCCCCAAACTCAATCCCTCACCACCTATCATATCCCCCATGACTAGGACTGCTCTGTCTCGACCGACTCCGATGACGCCGATGACCATGATGATGATGACCATGGTGATGATGATGATGGCCATGCCCATGGCTCCCACTATGGCTACTATGGCTGTGGTGGCTATGACTATGACGATGTCTCCTCCTGCGTCTTCCATCATGCGAAGAGGAATGATGCGAGCGGCCGTCGTCGTCCTCGTCGTTGCCCTGCCCACCACCGCTTTCACTCATCTTGTCGCCCAGATAGTTCCCCAGTAACGCGCCCCCCACGGCGCCCAGGAACCCGTGGCTCTTCTTATGGCCGAGGTAGTAGCCCGACGCGCCCCCGATTAGCGCACCGCCGAGATTGCGGTCTTTGCCTTCGCCGTCGCTGTCGGAGGCGCCGCCGCGCTCTGCGTCGGAGGGTCTGTCGCTGGCGGGTGGGGTTGCGGTATTGGGGTCGTTGGGGTGTTGGTCGCTGTTTTTGGGTCATGGGGTTAGGAGAGAACTGAGGAAGAGAGGGAATAAAATAATAGGGAAGAGGGAGATGTACTAATAATCCGCATTACTTCCCTGACGATGAATCCCCGGCTGCGGATACTCCGCAGACACGGGGCTGAGATACTCCGCGGGCTGCGGCATGGGAGGCGGCGGGACGATAGGCGCAGGATAGGACCTAGGAGTCTGCGACAGATCGTACTGCGAGCCGAACTGGCTATACTCGTAGGGATGATTTGCGGGATCCTGGTGCGCGTAGGGCTGCCGCTGGTGGGGATCGTAGTTGTACGGCTGGTTCTGGTAGTTGTTGTCGGGGGGCGCGAAGTACGCGGACCCGGTGCCGGGGGCTGCGCCGTCCGGGTATGGAGACCGCTCCGGGTAGGGATAAGGGTAGGGGTCGGACATGGTGAGGTTGAGAGAGGTGAGGTGGTCTGGATGGTGGGGAGTGAAGGGTGTGGATTTATAGTCGGTATGGATCGGGTTGTCTAATGACTCGCGGCATGCATGACTCTTCGGCAGCAGCTGACCAGCCCGCACGACAACCCCTCGATTACACATCAGATTCACGTCTCGCTTCGAATTTCCGGGATTATAAAAACCAGACGGATCTGCAGTTGGCTTGGTACGGATTTATCCTTGGATCTCTTGTTAATTTTCTCTCGGTTTGGAATGAAAGCTATGTGAGGAACAGATACAATTCACACGAAATCAACATGTCTTCATACAAAGAGAAAGAAAAGAAATTCTGATGGAAAGGTGAGAAAAAGAAGAAATAATGATCACGACTGCAGGTATATGTAACAAGGGGGTATACAGGAGGTGTATATCTGACCGGGAGATATGAACGGAAACAAGTGATCAGTGGCCGCTCATCTTGACGTGAAGAGTCGCGCGAGTCTTGAAGAATTAAGGCTTTTGAGAACCGGCCAAGACAGTTTCGAACGACAGATCAAAGGGGAATCGGTATGCTGCGGTTCATGTATAGAACTGTGGTTGCAACTTGAGGGAAACGGGAAAAAATGCGATCAAGAAAACGAACGAAACAAATGGTGTCATGTATGAAAATCATAAGGACAGAGGAAAAGAGTCAAAAGGATTCACACTTGAGTCCATCCAATGTCATGCGTCCAGCACATTGTTAGCTCCTGGCCAATATAAGCAAAGATTCCGGGTCATTTCCAACCGCTATTGTGCGAAGTCGGAGAAGAGCCTGCTATATACCAAAGGAATGTGTTTCCTAAGAGGGGACTGCTTTCACTTGCTGGCCGGGACTTGTCCTCTCCGACCAACCCATTCAGACAACAATGAATCCAACTGGGCACTCATCTCCTTTAGTCGCTTGCTCTCGTCTTTGAACAGACTACCGGTAATGGGGTGGTCGGGGCCGGCAGGGGGAACATTCGAATTATCATGGACAATGTAGAACAGATCACGGATATCGTTGTCGTCATCCAAATACGAGCGCAAGCTGGCGTCGCTCCAGGTTGGGGTTCCGACAGACATTGTCTCAAAAGGCGGCGACGAAGGTGCATCGAGCGATTTGCTACCGCGGAGATTGCTAGTAGGAGACATAGGGGGAGACACTGGGGAGAAAGACTGCCCCCCTGGCGAAGAGAGATCCGTTGTAAGCCCGGGTGTGTTGGGCGAAGCTTGAACGTCCAATGGTGAGACAGCCACGGGAGATTCCCCTCGCTGGTCTCGGTAAGCCAGACTCTGGGTGGGTGGGAATTTCTGCGGCGGAGAGGTGACGGATGGCGTTCTCTCTTGTCGTGCTCCGTAGGGTTCGATTGGCGACTCCGCAACATCGTTCGCGCTAAGCTGAGTGGGACTAGGCCTCTTGATCGGACTGGACGAGCCGGTAGGAGAAGAGAGACTTCGAACGTCTGGTTGAAAGGGCTTCGTGATGGGGGATCGGGGGGAGTCATCGTCGGGCGCAACTTGTCGAATCGTTTGATCTGCTTTTGGTTTTTCCGTGAGCGGTGCTCCTTTGACGTTTTCAACGGGCTCTTGCGCCACCGAATCTTGTTGTGAATCTTGTTTTGTGGGCGAGGTAACCGCTGGTGGTTGTTTCTGAAGCTTACTCGACTGTCTTTGGACGACCAAAGGTTTGGGAGCCCGGGACTCTGGCGACGACACAGACTCCGAAGATGTCTTTGGCTGGGGCGAGGTTCGAGACAGCTCGCTAGAGGTCTTTTCGGCCTCATCGCCGTCATCCTCGGCTGTCCGGGTCTTCTTGTCTTTTCGTTTAAATAGACCGCTAAGCATTCCGGGCTTCTTGTCTTTGCGTTTCTTATCGTCTTTGCCCTTGTCGTATGCGCTAAGCGCTTTATCGATGGCTTCCATGCTTCCACGGCTCTTTTATTCGAGACAAAGATCAGCACAGGTCCAAAGTCCGCTGGAATACAATATGGTCTTACCTCCTTTGATTCGGTCGGCGATCCGTTATTGTTATTGATTTCGTCGCGAAGGAGATTGGGCGTAAGAGAGATCTTCTTGGTCTCGACGGAGTCGTCCTTAAAGAATGAATCGGTATTCCGAACGGTTCCATTCCTTGATCGGCTGACATTGTCGTCTAAAAGCGGTTAGCTATCTGAATGCGCAGGAGAAACAATGGATTTTTCCTTACTTTCAACCTCAAGCAATTCCTGGCTGGGGCGTTGCTTTTCAGGGCTGACTCGTTCGGAATCTTGTATCTCATGGTCTTCTTCGGCGTCGTCCGATTCTTTGTCCCGTTGCGACTTCGGTCTGAGAGGCTCAACCACAATATCTTCGGTATGGCCGTCTTGCAAATCTTCCGCGTCTTCGCGCGCTAGATCCTCGTCATTGAATGAGGCGCCGTCGTCGAGTTCATCGTCGGTGGAGAACTCAATATCGGATGCTTCGATATAGGTGGGGCTGGTGAAGGTGACCGTCTTCGCGTTTCTCCGGCGCATGGCTTTCTTGAGCGGATTCTTCGATTTCTCCGAGTTATCCCCTAGCATGGTTGCGGAAAGCTGTTACTATTAGATTTGTTTTTTTTTTAAACGTAAGAGAGGGACATACATCAACGTTTCGATGCTTATTGAGCCTCGCAAGTCGTTCAGTTGGGGTTTCGATATGCTCGGCGGGAAGATATCCTTTTGGCTGTCAGTGACTTCAATGTAATTTCCAATAGGGCTGGTTCTCACCAATGCTGCCATCTTTCACGATTCGGACCAGCCACCAGTAGCTATTACTATCATCCAGTAGAACCATTGTGTCGCCTTTTGCCGCGTTGGCTTGACCATCTACCGTTGCGACGAAATTATGCAGCGCATAAACGAACTCGAAATTGATGTCTTCTGCGATAGGTTAGCTGTGACCACTCAAGAGCTCGTGTTGGCTATCGTAGGGCAGAAAGCACGGCCGCGATAACGCAAAGCCCAACAACCCTAGACAGTTGAAGTACGCACCATCGTCGATCGACGGAGAACTTGAGATCTTGTCCATCAAATCATCATCCATGAGATCATCGCTCTCTCCATCCGCTAGATCATCTTCCATATCGCCATGGTGTCCATCCAGATCGTCCGCGTCATCATCGTCGTCATCGTCGTATATGTCGATGCCGTCGGGGTGGTTGTCAAGCGGCTGTCCATCGGCGCCAGGACCGTGCTTCATCTCTGATTGCGAATCCTGGTCGGCATGGCGGATGGTTTGTTCCTGATGGGGGGCTATGCCCGCCTGGGTGTCAGGGTGTTTGGAATGATCTTTCGCCGAGGGAGCGTTTTGGTCTTGGAGGTCAAGGGTGTCTATCGGGTCCACATCAGCGCGCGGGAAAACAATCGCAACTATCTAAATGTATACACACCAGCTCGTACAATTCGGGGCCGGGTCATGTTGAAGACACCGAGTGATCGGCCCCAGTCGGACTGCTCAGGATGGCGTGGAATTCAGCGAGAAAAGATGAAATCGTAGAGCCAAGTCACTTCAAGTGGCGTGGAACGTGACGGGTTGAAGTGTTTACCCGGTAACAGGTCGACGGCGCCCAAATAAGACAAAATAAAACGAACGGAAATTCGCGAGCTCTCAAGCGCGATTGGTACGGAGACACCAAAGAAAGGAAGGGAAAGCCACGAGCGGCGATGGCGGGGGGTACCTCCAAAGACCGAGGTGTGTCGGGGTCGGGGAGAAGGATAGGTTGGCCAGGGGGAGGCCACCAGGCGAAGGGGAAATACTTCCAGAGCAATTTCACAACGATCGAACAGAAGGCAAAACAAAGCGTCGCAGCGGAAAGGAGAAGAGTAGAGCTCGGCGACCACAACACAGCACTGCAGCGTGAACGAGTTCCCCAGACTTCTGAGACATCCAAAAAAGGAGGTCTCCAGCGAGTCTCCAAACAAGCGCCCCTTGCGCGCGCTTGCGCCGGCCATTCCTAAAACGACTCGTGCCTGAGCCGGCGGGCAACGGTCCCCGGTGCCGCTAACCCGGTCAGGGTCTAGCGCCTGCTGTCGCTCCGTTAGGGCTCAGGGTAGAGGGCTAAGGGCCCGGGAATCAGGTGATGCAGTGGACCGGCTCCGTCATTCGCCGCCGCGCGAGACCCAAACAGGCAAAGCGGCATCATGATGACTCCATTCTGCATGTGCCTAAAGCGCATTAGTCAGTGGTGACGCCGATCTGCTCTTCCCCGCCCGCTGAGTCTTCCGATGCTTGGCCTCCGGATTCTCCCGATCTCCTGCTCTCTGCCCATTTTCTGTCGATTTTTCTTTCTTTCTCCTCTCTCTATCCACTTCGCCCTGGTCCACCGTGAACCAAACTCTTTTGGCAACCGCCCATCCGACATAGTCCGCCCTAAATATTTTTGTTCCTCGAACATTCCTATCTTTGACCTCTAACGGCCGTCAAAACGGCCCTGTCTTACCACTACCACACCACTTCTACCACTACTTCCTACCACCATCACCACCACCACTATCGCCATCGTCATCGTTTCACCCCCCTCAACCCCCCTCTTCCATGCTTATGCGCCAGCCCGTCGTCCTCCCATTGAGATTGTATCCTTTTGTCTTTGTCACCTTTCCTTGAAAGGTGCATTGTGAGCTCTTTGCGAGGGCATGGCTCGTCTAGAGAGGAACAGTGCGTTGGCAGGGTTGAAGATCGAGACGTCGTTTGAGAATCGACACAGACCGCGATGGTTGAACGAAGATGGAGGCAGAAGATTGTCGGGCGATAGAGATGGTATCGAGGGCGACCGTACAAGCATCTTTCACGATTATGACGCACCCCGTTGCGGTACTGATGAACAAAACAGTGAAATGAGTGGTCTGCATTCAGCTACACCCCCCATCTCGGTACCGCGACCTCATGATTTGGAGCGAGCGGAGGGGGATGATGATGTTGGCTTCCCACATAAGCCCGATGACCTCCCCTCCTCGCCTCTTGATAGTTTCATCCAAAATCGCCGCCCGTCAGTCAGTTTTGATCCGACTGTCACGCTTGATTCTGGCCGGCCGCGGGCGCTAGAGCAACCCCTGGCAAGATCGGATTCAAGAACCCGCCCTCAACGATTTCAAGCGAAAGGCTCGAGCCTGAAAAACGCCCTTACTCCTGACGATCATGATCAGGATCAGGATCAGGCCCATGAAATTTACGGCCCCCGACCCATGGGAATCAACGCCTCTCTTCGACGTTATCAGAGCCAGCGAGGCAGTCTGCCCACTAGTCCTGAGGATGATCTACGGCTTGACCGTCCAACCTCTCTAACGTCCGTTTCAACTGCGTCACCCCTCACTGAAGAATTACGAACTCCTCCCGAGGCCTCCCGTGGGGCACTATCACCCATATGCATGGCATCGCCTGTGCAGGGGTTCACGTCACTCGATGATCGCAACTCCTGGTCTGGCACCGCCATCACCCCCTTTGGAAGCAAAACAAGGGGACCTCGGGCTCGCCATAGCTCTCGCCGGTCTACTGCCTCCAGCGGCAAATCCCCAGCAAGCATGTTTCTTTCCATGTGGGGAAACGCCGACGAGCCCGCGCCTCAGCCAGATGATGAAGGACAAATGGTCGGAACCGACTATGTCTTGGGAAAGCAAATCGGGTTCGGGGGCTTTAGTACTGTCAAGGAGGCCTACAAGGTCGAAGAAAGTGGCGAAACCAAAAGACTGGCCGTGAAGGTTGTCCGAAAGCAGATCTCTGGTAAATCCGAGAAGGAAAATGATGAGGTGCAGGCGGAGTTCGATCACGAAGTTCGAGTATGGCGATATCTCAGCCACCCAAACGTCTTGACTCTGGACGCTGTCTACGAAACCGACTATGCTACATTTTGTTTCACCAAATTAGCTATCGGCGGCACCCTTTTTGATCTTGTCCGTCAGAATCGACAGGGTCTAAGCCTACACCTCGCGAAGAAGTATAGCTACCAGCTTGCCTGCGCCCTTCGATATTTGCATGAGGATGCTCGGGTGGTTCACCGAGATATCAAGCTCGAGAATTGCTTGTTGGACCCTATCGAATTACCAGATGGCACTCAAGCATCTAACCTTGTCCTGTGTGACTTTGGTATGGCAGAATGGATGACGACGGACAACGGGGGCGAGTCTCCCGATCCTTACGACAACGTGGCAGACCGACCACCTCCTAAAACACTTGGTCCCGCTGGATCCAGCACCAGCGTTGCCGGTAGCTTGGAGTACGCTTCTCCAGAGTTGCTTCTTTCCACTGATGGTGTCATCGATCCCTCGGTAGATATCTGGGCATTTGGCGTGATCGTTTACGCTACCATCGTCGGCTCTCGGCCATTCCAGGACCCCTTCGCGCCTCGGATACAAACACGCATCATCAATGGTACTTGGGACAAAGAGTGTGTGTTGAACGCTGAAAAGGACCCGCAGAGCCGTCATGATAGAGAAGCTGCCCTTGAAGTCATTACCGGCTGCTTAGATATGGACGTCGAGAAGCGTTGGACCATCCGTGATGTCTTATGCTCCCGCTGGTTGCGAGACTTCGCGGATCCTATGAACGACGCTGCACCCGAATCGGCCTGGAAACTATAAACTCTATCCGTCCACGGTGGCCTTCTATCACTTCTTTTCTTTTCTCGTCATGTTGAGACCCGGTGTATTTTCAACAGATGAATTCCTGAGGCCGATTCAAACGTGGTCCAGCGGTGATCACGACAGGCGCTATTATTATACGGATCAGCGCTCGGTGTTCGGGATTATTGGTCATCTATGATACCCCTTGTTTTCTGCTTTTCTTTCTTACTGGGCTTCGTTTTATGGGCCATGGGATTTTGATAAAGGTTTTTGGCGTCTGATTTTTTACTTTCGGGTGTTTTCTTTTTCTACTTTCTTGATCAAACGACAACGAGCGAGACGACATGGTTTTTACGACGACGGTGATATCTATCTACTACAGCATGGCGTTCAGTTCGGGATCTTTTGGGCTTTTTTTATCACTTTCGTCTGGCGATTACTTTTCTTATTACTACATGTATCTATATATTTCTGGGCTCTTAGGAGCCGTGTGGCGTTTTTTGCCTGGCTGGCTGTTTTTATATATTTTTGCAGGCCGGCAGATATACTCATACTTACTATATGAATATTTATCACTACTTAATGTGATCGAAAATGAGCGAAATGAGTAGATTAGGATTTTCAAGTTGACATATTCTCCCTTGTCTCCTTGTCTTAATAGCTTGTTAGGCCTTCATCAACAACTCACCTCAACCAATCCAGCTCTCACCTATCTCAGCTCCACTCAACGTTGTTTACATCCTTTAAACCCCTAGCACCCTGCTGATTTCGGCATCAATGACCCCAAGCGCTGAGAGGGAGGAATGGAGAGATCTTGGTATATTTCGCAGGACTTCATTGACGTTGAGAATAATCGATCGTTCCTTTCGTTTTCGTCGACTCGATGGGTCCGAAGGTAGTCAGTTGGCTCTTTCTTCTCAAGTACAGGGACCGAAGAATAAAGTAGGCTTTCAATTGCTTGTCTGCTAACGCTGCGTCACGGTCGGATATATGGTTGGTCTTTCTCGACCTCGATTGTACGGCTTCTTTGACCGGAGGTGCGAAATCCTAGAAAACCAATTAGCTTTCCTAGCGCATACTCAGATACGATCATCTGAGCCTCTGTCAAACACACTCGTGATTCATTTGATGAGTGGGTTTGTGGTGGACGGTGAGCTTCGTATCCATGGATAGTATCAAAGCTTTCTCAAATAGGAAGGAAGGCGCAGGATGGATCATGGGCTACGAGAGGAGCTACTAGACACTCCGGTTGGGCTCGTGATCTGTGGAAGTCTAGGATATCGAGGATTTACCGTGGGGATTAGGAAAGGTCAAAATGAATGGATAATGATTGAGATGTATGGATTGGGATGTTTAGTTGGTTGTTGATTTGTTTTAAGCTTCTATGCTTCAGATACTACCAACTTTTCTTCTGCTCCAGTTATCCGCTATTCTAACCCATCTATTCCGTATTCGCAGTGGATCCGCTGCCCGCAAAGACCTAATGTTGAGAGACGAGAAATCTATCTTTGATATCGCGAAATCACTTACATTCATGTACTGTACCTAAGCCAAACAATATTTATACACGTAGTTCTTTCCACATACACCCAGAGACCCACAAGAAAACGTCCCACGGATGAGGGGAGGAAGAAAAATACACAAAATCTCCTCCAATGCCAACCAAGGCCCGTCATGTTTACCAAACCCGGTTGACAGGCAACACCTTCTCCTTCTTGACACCAGCCGAAGACTTTCTCTCCGCCGGCGAGCGGAAGAACAGACTGGGTCCCTCCATCGGCTTCAACAAGTGGCTCAGATAGCCGCGGTGCGCAGGGTCACGGTAGTACTCGATATCGCGACGCTTCGTGGGGTCAGGCAGCCGGTACCGGAAACCCATCTCCTTCATGATCTTCGACTCGGTCAGCTTGTCCTCGGCGGCGAGGCCCTCGGCCTGGTTGAGTCCCTCGGTGCCGGACTCAGCGGTCCACGCCATCGACACGAACGGGTGCATCTCGCGTCTCATGATGCGCGCAATCGCGGTCCGCGTGTAGAAGCGGGACGTCACGGAGCCGCCGGCGGCTTCGACGGCGGAGATGGCGGACGCCGAGGCGCGCGAGACGACGAGGTGGATGGGCTGTTTGAGGACGGGGGCGGAGGTTTCGGGCTGGGTGGAGGAGGGTTCGGTGGTCTCGGTCTCGGAGGAAGAGGTGATGGAGCCGCTGCTCAGCACTTTAACGCCTTCTTTGGGCTGGTGGATGCAGCGCGATTGAGCCAGTTCACGGACCGTGATGGGCCGGGCGGGATCGATTCGGCCTTGGTCAATCCATTCCTGGATGCGCTCGAGGTTGACAGTCGCGAGGTTGATGGAGTGGCTGTCAAAGTAATGTCAGTGAGCGGTGTCTTGCAATCTGGGGAATTCTTGTTGTCTTGTTTGACTTGGTCTCCGCGTTAAGAGCGCCGAATACAACTCAATTGAGCCATTGAAACAACCAAGAAACCCCAATGGAAAAGGGATACAAGCATACACATTGTTAAACCCCCGTTCACCATGGACCACGATATCAGGCGTCTGACCACCCGCGAACCCCGTGGGCACTTTACCGTGCTGCTTCTGACCCTTGTGACCTCTTCCGGAGGTCTTACCCTTACCGGAGGCGGGACCGCGACCTCTTCTGATCCTCTTGTTGTAGGCGCCCGGGTTATCGGAGAGCGAGGCCAAGATGTGAGCGTTGCGGCTTTGTTGCTGCTGGAATTGAGGGAGGAGGAATGACAACGGAGAAGCCGCTGCGGTGGGCTTCGAAAGAGCAGCTGCCCCCTGCCATTGAAGCAGAGACAGAATCTGGGGCCTGGGGGGCATGTTGGTGGGCGAGTCCTGCGTGGGAGGACTGGGGAGACGGCGGACTGCGCTGGAGTGCTTGGATTACGGGGACAGGATCTTTTCGGGTTGTTTGGCTCTGGATGCTCCGGCGGAGGAACGTCGGGCCGGTCGAGAAGTTTCGAAGCCTGAGGCAGAAAAGTGCCGGTCAACATCTCACCGCTTTTGGTGTCGGGCAGAATGTTTAGGACGTTTGCGCTAGTTGCAAATATGACAAACATTGGAAAGCAGCGCATCTACTGAGACTCCAGCACGTGACCTCAAGGTAGGCACTCCGGAATAATGATCTTCTTGCTGTGGAATATCAAGGTGTTACATAAGATTTACATTGTGAAGACAGGTGATAGTACAGACACTGAAGTCAAGTAATCTCATTCTTTATACCAGTCCCATCCATTCTTCTGGAGGGTGGCATTCAACGCCGGAACATGCCAATGCTAGTACAAGATGGAGAAAAGTGTATATGAAACCAGAGAACAACGCCATAGCTATGCTCCAAGGAGCGAATGGCAAGAAAGTCCCACCCATTGTTCGGAAAGATAACAGTAGTCCTTCGGGTGAAAGTGTCTATGATGAACGCCATATGAATGCCAAGTCGTCAAAATATAACAGGGTAAAAAAGTGAAGAAAGAAAATGTACATAATACAATGGTGGTAAAACAATAGAAGAAAGAAAATATCAATGGACATCGAGCTCGTATAAACGGTCATCAAACAAGATCGTAAAAATTGCGTGTTAGGTGTGTTGTCGACTTTGTTAGGTCGAGTAGTTCGGGTTTGAGTGGAAGGTGGGAGGGAAAAAAGGCCCCTGAGGCCAAGCTTCGTGGTGAAGATAAGGCAACAGACCTGTCTTGCGTTCCGCCGCCGTCTTGCCCAGAGGCTGGTAGTGCATGTGCTCAAATGGAATGTTGCGCTGTTGTTGAAGAGAAGTCGACGGAGGGGGAATCAGGAGAGTATTGACATTTCGAACGGGCCGGTACGGCGAGTTGCGGTTTGCCAAGAAGAAGGACGGGGACAGGTTGGTCTGGGGCGTATGAACCGAGTATGCGGATACTGCTGGCGACACTGTTGCCGAGGAGACGCCAAACGGGCTGTTGTGCTGTCTTGCGGGATCCGGTAGCGACAATGATGAGTTGTACATGCCGCTGGTGACAGGAGGGACTCCAGTTGAAGGGGCCACCTGTGGAACCCAGTTGGTGGTTGTATTGTAGATCGGTGGCATCGCTCGTCCGGTGGTGGAAGGGACTTGAGGCATGGAGGTCGGCACGCTTGGGTTGAAGGAGTGAGAGAAAGGAGGGAAGTTCGGACGAGGAAGGCGAGACGTGGCTCCTGCCGGTGCGCCCACGGTGGGTGCGGACGTAGGCGTTAAGACTGGGGGCAAAGTCGACATTGTGGGCAACGCAGATGATGGTGGGAGTGCAGACGAAGGCGCAGGGTTGGCGTTTGGCATGGCCATCTTCTTCGACGGAGTTTCTTCGACGGTATCATCCCGACTTCGTTTCCGAGGGTTTGCCGAGGGAATCTGACTGCTGAGCTGGGGTCCATTGGTGTACGCCGGTGTGTTGGCTGGCATATTCCAGCTTGGGGCACGCAGGGAATCTAGCGCGGGTGGTGATGGTAATTTCGAGCAAGGCGATGGCTGCTTCCGAGGCGACGGGCCCAAATTGGGGGAAATGCGAAGTACTGGAGGAGTAGGCCCCAATTCGTTCTGCTCGGGGACCAAAGGCGCATTGTGGAAGAAATCGGCAAACAGACCAAGCTTGGCGTGCCACCGGGTCCATTCCTCCTCAGAAACAAAAAGGTTGTATCGAACGTTGCTGAGAAATTCGACTTCCATGATGTGGATTTCTTGAACGGAAATTCCGGATACTTCGGCCCAGGTCTTGTTCGTGTACGTGTTGTCGTCCAAAACTGTAGACTGGTCAGCTTAACCATCTCGAGTCCCATCAGGAGATTTCAGAAACTCACATTTGTTCCCCAGCATGAGAGCAATGGTCATCAGCCGGTACTCACTGCCTTTCTTTCCTCGCACGCCAGAGTTGAACTTCTTCAAGCGATAGATGAAAAGCAATGCCAGCAAGATGACATTTTGGCTCACTTGCGTCGTGGAGAGGATGTTCGTCACCCACTTCTGGAAACCGGCAGAGGGGATTGCTTCTGGGACGAGGGAAAAGACCGGATTCAGGCGCTCTTCGATAGCCCTCAACTTGGCTGTGCTCTCGAACCAGAAAAGACAAGTCATCTACTCGATACGTTAGAAATGCCTGCCAGCAAGAGATCCGAGATATTCTCATGCTTACCTGAGCCGCAAATTCCGTCAGACTTCCTTTGCTGTTGCTGATGGAGGGTGGAACCTTCAGGTATGAAGCCACCGAGCTCGATCCTTTCTTCTGATTGTTGGGCTCGGAGGCCGGGGCATCGTGAATCGAAGGTTGGCTCTTCGGATGAGCCGCCGATGCTGAAGGTACCGCAGCATTCGAGGAGTTCATCCGGGGGTATGCGGGCTGCTTTGCGTATGGGGGAAGTGTGATTCCATAGTTGGTCGAGGGGATGCTGTTGTAAGCTACCCCGTTCATGTCGTTGGGAGGCGTTGGCAGACCGTCCCTCAGAGGCGCGGTCCAGTTGCGATTAGGGACCTCTGAAATGGCCTGTCGATTCGGTTTTCTTGCACAGGTCGAACCTTCCGTCTGCGAGTAGAGAGCGATGGTGGGGGTGATTGGGTGGGGAGCAGAAGGAAATGGTTGCGTGGAGAGGACCGGGAGAGACATATGGCAGGATGTGAAAGAACTCCGGGAGATATCCTTCCAAAACAGAGATGGAGATGTAGTGTAGATAAAACTGTCACTGTATTCCCATTGGATTCGATCACTCTGGCAGCCAAAGTTGTGTACAATTCAATATCACCGCTGGAGATTTGTAGAGGCCGCGGTTGAATATACCGGCCAGTATCTGCAAGAACCACCAAGTGAAGAAACAAAGGACCCGTGAGGAACGGGATTGGCAGCACAATATAGGCCGACGGTCGACGGGGAGACAGTTAATATCACAAAGGACGAGGGAAGATTGCGGTAGGATAGCAACCACTGCAGATCCGGTGAATGTTGAACGAACGTGCCTTGTCCGATGGAATGAAGGCACTAAAGGGGGTAGGAGCAACGGAATTAAAATGAAAGGCCAGAACCCAGGGCAGGGCAATATCACATAGTATTAAGTAGAAGGTAACGAGGTGAAGAACTGAGAGAATGGAAGGAGAGAGTTTGGAAAGGTAGTATGGCTTGCAACCTCGCGGAGTAGTCGCGAGTAGATCCAGTTATAGAAGTTGAAAAAGGATATGTCCAGGAAAGGTAATGCAAAATAAAAGCCCAATAATAATGAAGGAAAATCAAAAGAAATAATTAAAAAAAAAGGCTAATGGTCCAAGACCCTCTCTGGGAATCAAACCATATAAGAAGAATTGAATTTAAAATTGAATAAGTCGAATAAATAAAATCAAATAAAATAATCCAAATTGGAATTTTTGAGTAAAAAAAACTTAGGTGCAATAAACCAAAATAAAAAAAAAAGGAAAAAAGAAAAAGGGTAAAAAAAAGAAACAAAAAAAAATAAAAAAAGGAAAGGGTAATGAAGGATGAGGTCAAGACATCATGCCTCATCCAGCAAATAACTAAAGCTCATACAACTCCGCTAGAAGAGCCAGGGTAGGTTAGTTCTTGTCCGGAGAAAATGCAGTGTCCATCCAGGATAGACAGAGTTTGACCCGGACGCAGGTCCAAAGGGTTGATCCTCCTTTCTGGACTCGTTTGGGTCGGTTCCGGTTTGGTCATCCAAGTTTGATTGTCTCATGCTTTGTCTTGGAGTAAATTGGGAAAATACCGGTTGATGTCAGAGCCACGGGGAGGAACAAGTGGATGCACGCTACGGGGCCGTGGGAGGGTAACAGCAACTAACAAGGTCAGCAGCAGAAAAAAAAAAGACAAGAACCCTAGACCCGTCCCAGTAAAGAGGCCTAGCTGCCGTTTAGCACGGGCGAGGTCAGGTCTACGGAGCGCTGGCCAATCAGGCGCTGAGATTCACAAAAGGAAGGGGTTAGAGAAAGAGAGGAGAAAGAGAGGGGGGAGGGGACCAGAGTCAAGAACGCGACGAGAGCAAGAGAGGGGTGGAGGTTCGGACAAGGCCTCGCTCGCAGTGATGATTGATTGAATGCAATCTACTGACTTCGTAAGGACCCATATCAGATCCAATAATAAGTCGGGTTTAGCGTCGCATTGCAACCGTCGTTGTGGTGTGCCGCAGGACCTTTTTTTTTTTTTTTTTTAGGTGAATGATTTTGATTATTTGTTTTATTATTATTTTGGGTTGGGGTTTGCGTCGTGTGTAATGACGGATGGAGAAAAGGAAGGGGAAGGTAATGAAAAAAAAAAAAAAAAAGAAAGAAAGAAAAAAGAAAGAAAACCAAAAATTACCCGCGTCCTCCGTCCAGAGTAGGGAGGGCGACAGAGCAGGAGAACAAAAAAAAAAAAAAAAAAAAAAAAAAAAAGAGGAAAAAACAAAAAAAGGCAAAGGGGTCTGTCTCCATTGCTCAGCAGCCCCGGGAGGCACGGGAGAAAGTGGATGAAGGGGGTTTGTGCACTTTGTGTGTGGTTGATCGCCAATTCTAGTTCAACCAGGCGGAAGGCAAAGGAATGGGAAATTTGGGTACGGGTCAAAGGCGCCTCTCTGCGGGACTGAATTTGGGCGTAAGTAGTCAGTAAGAATGGTCATAAAATCATCCTGCTTCTGCTGACGAGGTACTTCCGGACTAGCGGTTGGCCGAGAACACTCAACGCGCACTTGGGGATGGAGCGGACAAGTCCTAAGGGGAAAGAGGCGGGGGAAAGCGTCGAAAGAGGAATGGAATCGTCACCTCTGGGTATGTCTCCGGCGCCGTCATTGGCCGCGAAGGACCAAAACCCAATGTAATTTTACTCTGTACGGAGAGGGGGAGGATGGAAGGACAGGGCAGTACATGGATGGAGACCTGAACCAGCCAAGTTGGTTTGGGAGAGTTTGGTCCTTAGGGTAAGGCAAAGTCCGGCAAAGCGGTACTTCTTCTTTTGCCTCCGCGGCGGGACTGATGGCAAGGGTGGTATGGATCGCGTTGTCATGGGGAAGCAGCAAGTACCTCCGTACCAGGGAGTAAAAGAAAAAAAAAATTTCGGACGAATACCTAGCGGTGGCAGAAGGTATGGAACTGCTCAGGATAGGCCGGGAAGACATGGATGGGAACTTGAGTCGGCGGTTGGACAAACCAGGGAGGGAGCGGCTAAACCTAAGACGGACTAGTCATACCGCACTCTGTGGCAGCTCCGGCGTAAGAATCTGAAAGACGCTGTAAAGTATGTATGTAAGAAATAATAAAATGTGGTCCTTATCCTGAGGTGACTTAATAATACCGATACCACCGCCAATTATCGCCCGCAACAAGGTGTGATGAAAGAAGGTTTGGCCAATCGAATCCCGACGTTATCCACCCGCTGGCCGTGAAAGAGAATGGGGGGAGGGGGGGGAGGGGCCTAAAGCGGCATGGTGCTTATGTGGATGTATGTACTGCGTATGTAAGGTATGCGTGGACGGGTAGGTGCGAGGTTACCTAGGTAGCTGTACCGAAGGTGGTTGGTAGAGACTACGCTGGGGAGTCGGAGGTTGAGATGGACAGAGAGAGAGCGAGAAAGCGAGAAAGCGCGAGCCAGACTCAGCTCTAACGGACCCAGACAATGGGGCGTCGAGAGCGTGACGCACCAATCACACGGGGCGGTGCAGCGAATGGATGACTCCCACCGACGACAATCAAACTGGCTGCATTCGACCCTTTTCCGGTGTCGATACCGCCCTAAACCGGAGGCGGACCATGGCCGCCGGACTGTCGACCAGTCGCTGCGGAGGGGACGGCACCCCCTCGTACCATCCCCTAGACCGCGACGGTCAACTAAGCGCCCCCCTCGCCCCCTTGTGACTCCGGCCAGTCGTACTGAACGCACTCGCAGGTGCGACCTGCCCAAGAAAATCCACCGTCGAGTCATGATTAGGTGGTTTTCGGCTGAGTCTTACCCACTTCCTCCCATCCCATCCAACAGCCGCCGCTCTCGTCTGCGCCTTTCCAGGTTTCTCCTTTGCCTTTCCTTTTTTTCGCCTCGAATCCGTAGACGTAGGTTGCTCTCTATCTCGCTATCGCACGCCTTCTTTTCTCCTCTCTTTCTCCAGTTCTCCTCCCACCCCCTCCCCTGCCCCTAACCCTACCGTACCGTCTTACTCCGCCCAGTCGTAATGTTCCGTGCTTGATCCGAACCATCAACTGATGCTTACCGATTCTGTGCTATTCCACGGCGGGCGGGCACTAGGTTGCTACACCCAAAGCTCGAGTTCAATTTAATACACTTATCATCCCGCCACTACGTAGTACGTAGTAGGTCACTCCTGGTGTTGATCCGGTTTCGACGTGATAGGACGTCGCTCGGTGCCAGGACAGATGGGAAAGCCCACTCGGCCAAGGACCCATGATGGCGCAGGCGGATGCTGAATTGGGTTTTCATTACATCCTGTCAGCTGCTCGTGTACGTCCGTCCGTCGATGAGTATTTTTATCAGCCGGAGAAAAAAAAATTAGTTAATAACAAAAATCGATTGTTACAGCACTCCGCAGCGACAGAGTATCGAACCCGAAAAAAAAAAACACCTTTTGCGGCGGGGGTCAATCCAAGACACAACCACCACCATCTTCTAGGCCCCTAGCATGGGTAAGGGCGCTAAATCGGAGGAGAACGTTGATGTTCGCGTCTGCAAATAAGAGGTTTTGTAAACGCAGGTTGCTCAAATTTCGGCTTTTCTAAGACAGAACGGCCAGGGCGTCTATTCCGAAGACAAGAAAACACAAATTGCTTTGTTAGTAAGACTGGCAACCGCATTATTAGCATGTACGCATACTCCGTATAGGTATAACACCAAACTAAGAGACTATTCCGTAGGGGGCATACGCCATATATCGTACGGACAGCGACTCTTCCGTCGTCGGGGGTGCCAGTCCTCCGGGGCTACTCCGTACAGTATGGTTGATTATCGAACACTGCGTCATTCACTCGCTTCAGGATAAGTCCAAAGGATTCGAGCTTTGCCAAGATACGAGTTGGTTGATCATTCTCAATAATCACGGCTCAATTCACGGCTGAGAGGGCTTCGTAGCCTGATCGTCAACGATAGTCCTGGTACAAAGTATGTACCTCCTGCACATACGGGACAGAGACTACTGAAATAGAACAAGCCTCGTTGTTCGACCCCGAAGTTCTAACGGAGCAGGCTGGGTGAACTCTCTCTACTTGATACTTACTGTACTCCGTAACATCGCGGGTAACTTAATGCCCCGTTTAACTTTGCTGCAGTGCCTACGTAGTAAATAGTGTACCCCGTAGTATCCTGGTGATGCCCATCCATCGGACGACTTTCCTCTTCCTTGTATCTGTACGAGGAACTATGTACCTAGTCCCCCGGCCTAGTGAGCGTCGGGGATTGTTCAGCACGCTTAATTATTACTGCTACTATTTACGAGGTTCTGGACTTTATCAATACTACCCAGGCAACAGTTCAGGAGGGAGCGTATCCAATTTTGATGGTTCAGCAGGCGAAGCCATTTGATTATTGATTACCCGAATGGAGAACGCAGTCCTTAGGCGAGGCCGATCAATTTGCCCAGAAAGACACATCAATCCGACCTCTCATTCGTCCGATCATGGAATTCAAGGGCGGCTAGCATTAATTTACCCCCCTGGAAATTGGACCGCGTCGATGGAGTCGAACTGTCGAGGAGACCAGGCGCAACCAGGCTCAACCAGGCAAAAAAAAAAAAAAAAACGCCAACGTGTTCTACGGCGTACCACTCAGACTACATACACATACTACTAACCCTAGCAACGTGACGGTGACCTGACACTTTGCCCTTTTTCCTTGCTCCTTCAATGTTGTTGAAACCTTGTAACGGACTAAAGGATTGAATCGTTCTTTGTCTCCTCGAGCCGACCGACCTCAATTCACAGTACTTCGTACTATTCTGACGAACCTAGTCGGCATGTGGATTCAGGATCTTTTGCCTCCTTGATTGGCAAGACCAGCGTGATGCATAACAAAATCTTCTCATCACGGAACGCTGCTTCATCGGGCGATATCCGCCCCGGTTGATTGGCATCAATGCGGAACCTCGCCCACAGTTATGGCTGTTTTTTGGAAATTTCTTTTTTGAAAAAAAAAGGCATTTTTCTTTTTTTTTTTTTTCTTTTTCCCCCTCCATGACCGAATGATATCAAATTGGTTCCCATAATGACAGCTGGATTCATCTCCATCTGATGGGGCCGGGCTGGGATCGTACCGGATTAAAACCGCGAAATATAACTGACGATTCGAGAAGTATCGACCGATGATCATCGTTCAGTCGACATACTCCGTATCTCTGGGTGCAATTGAACCGCTGGGACATTGTCACATTTTTTCCCGACGGATGATTCATACCAATCTTGTGATGCCTGCAGCACCGCTGAAGCACCCATGCCAACAATCAATCCACTGGGCAAAAAAGAAAACAAAAAAGCAAAAAAAGCAAAATATGAGCTAGACGCCAGAATGGGCAATTCAGCGCCGATAGACTGATCGTGAATAGCCGCTGGGTCCTTTACTTAGTTCTCTTTAGAATTTCCTCGGCGGAGGAGGAGTACGGACGGAGTACGATAGAAGGACTCCTCCGGATGGATCTACTTCGAAGTCTTCGAGGTCCGTTTCTTTCTTTCTTTTTTTTTTTCATTTTTATTTTATTATTATTATTTTCCTTCTAGGTTCCTTCTTCAACCTTCTTTCAATCGAATCGGCTAGTGGCCTCCGTAATCCCCGTCACTACTCTCAGAGCAGCAGGTCCCAAAGCAAAGTGCGTCAATTCCTTGGCACCTTGCATCGTCGCGTCGAGTGGTTTTATGCCCGATACATCATCATTGATGCCGATGCGGGTGGGAACCGTGAGGTCGAGCAAATGAGCGGCGTTGCGCTTTGCCTGTCCCCAACCAATTTCGGTCGGTTCTGGGCCACACCGCACAGGGTGTAACAAATAGATTTCGCGTTTCTTTTTTTAATATGGCGTTCCAGAAGTCCTGAAGGATGCATTGCACCTGTTCGGAGTGGAGCGCGTGTGCCACTTCCCATCTGAGGAATAGGCATCATCGAAACTCTGTGGTATCAGCGTCATCGGCACCGTCCAGAATTGTTGATTATCTACGGAGTGGTATTATTAACCACGATTCCGATTTTCTCAAACTGCCCGAACCACCTGAGTGGCCCGTCGCGATCCAACGACGGGGCTGAAGGAATCCTTGGGTCCTCTTTGTCATCCGCGCTCTCGGGCGCAGCGGCCAGGCGATGCGAGACGAACAATGGTACCAGTTACGCGGCGATCGAGGACGCGCTCGGTCACTTTACGGTTTACGCCGAAGCAGGGCCTGCTCAGAGTTCGGACTTGCTACGGGGCTGGGTCGCTGATGGGCACGCAAAGCCTAAAAGAGGCGGCATCTTTCGAGGCTTTCCAATCTTTCCGTTCTCAGATCATGGAACCTCTCCGTGCTGCCGGTCTCCCACTTTCCTGTACCTTTTCCTTTCTAGCCCACTGTTGGAATCCTCTTTTTTTTTTATTTTTGTCTTTTCTTTACGGGCGTACGGCATAGATTAATTTTCGGTGGCTTTTCTTTTTCTCCCTTGGATCTTTGT